ACTGCCTGCAGTAATAAAGATGTCGATAACCCAAATAGCAGCAAGAGACCATAAGAAAAGCTTGCGGCGGCCAACCTTAGCCGGCAATATCGCGAAGTAGATAGCGGAAACCAAGACAGCATCTAATTAGTCGCGTTGATGAGGGTCTGTTGGAGGTCTAACTTGAGCCCGACAGAGTACAGGATAGGCGAGAGGTAGTAGGAGACAAATGCGTTGCCTGGCATCTGCGAGCAGATCGCTGCCCAGACCATGATAAACATACGCTTGCGGTTTCCGGGGGTGCTTCCAAGATCTTTCAAGAATACAAACATGTTGTCCTGATGGGATGCTTCTGCACTCAGCGTCTCCAGAATCTCGGTGTACTCATACTGGACAATAGAATCGGATGGATCACCCTCGCCGTGGTACTTGGCAAGCATCTCCAGCGCCTCTTCGTTGCGGCCTTTGCTGACGAGCCATCTAGGCGACCCGGGAACAAACCAGACAAGAGAAGTTGGATAATGGAGGGGAGACCTTATAAGGCCGACAGAATGCGCCAAGACGCTGTGCTGTCGATGCGAAAGGTGCCAAAGGTACACCAGCCCGCAACTATAGAACCGACGGAGTAGAAAGTGAGGAAGAGAGCTGTAGCGGTACTTCGCTGTGCTGGGTGGGCGATCTCACTGATGCAAGGGGCACCGACTCCGGCAAGGATGACGCTGCCTGCGCCAATGATGACGCGGGAGACGATGAAAATGGCGATGTTGATAGCAGCGCCCTGCACAGCGGCTCCGACGCAGCAAAGAGCAGCTCCAGTCGCAAGCCCAATTCGTCGTCCAAAGATATCAGCCGCAGGAGAGATCAGAAAGGTGCCCAAGATTCCACCGAGCGGGTAGGCAGCGTTGAAGAAGCCCAAGAGGGCTCCAGTAAGCGTCCCAAAGTAGGTCTGCCAGTGTGAGACTGTTAAAGCAAAAATGGGATTACCCCCAGAAGACAGTTGAGACTTATACTTCAACACTGAGCCTTGTTGCCAGCCTGTAGTAACTTTCTAAGTTAGATCTATACTAACCCCAGCCAGAGACAACGCAAGCTTGCATGAGATCGCTAGCCTTTGAGGATATGGATGGCCAGGCTAATGACATCGGTGAGACCGCCGATGGCACCTACAAATGGCTTCTCAAGCACAACACTTTGATCCAATGGAAACGTCAACATCGAGGTCTCCTATAGATCAAGGGGAAGCCCGGATCGGGAAGTCAACAATGATGAAGTACGCGCTTCGTGAACTTCCTGCTCTTTGCGGAGCCGACACGCAGGCGTTTGCTTTCTTCTTTCATGGTCGTGGCCATGAACTACAGAGAACTCCGCTTGGCCTCTTCCGATCCCTCCTGCACCAGCTGCTTAGCCGTGTTCCCGGTGCCCTCCGCGACTTGGTCGATGATTTCGACGCCAAGCGAAAATCGATAGGTGAGCCCGGAGAGAAGTGGCAATGGCACCTGCAGTCACTGCAAAAATACTTCCAGTCTGCGCTTCCAAGGATCTTGAAGAGGTTTCCGGTCATCCTCTTCATTGACGCGCTCGACAAATGTAGCCAGCAATCCGCCCTCGAGTTGATTGACTACCTAAAGCGCACACTTTCACGTCTTCCTCCAGTGATGCTCAGTTTGGCATTTGCTTCTCATGTCATCACTGCCCCATTCTGGCGCTCGATGGCGGATTAACAATACTGCTGGACTCTGAAAATGCACAAGACATCGCCACATTTGTTGAGGCCCACTTCTCCACAAATCACTCAGATGCCGACATTGGAAGATTGATCATTCAACGCGCTCGGGGTGTCTTTATGTGGGCACATCTGGCCCTGAAACGAGCGCTACTGCTGGTCCATGACGGAGAACCGACAGCTGAGATCACGGCCGAAATCGAGCGCATACCGCAAGAATTGAACGGCCTTTACATTGAGCTCATCAAAGCCGTGAAGCATCGCTCGACTACCTTGAAGCTGATGCAATGGATCTGTTTCCCTATGAGACCTTTGACAACAGACCAGCTGCAATGTGTTGGATATCACAAGCGTGAGGCGACCAAGTCGGTGGCAAGGTGTGGAAGAAGGAGGAACATTCTACAAGAGATCGTGCCTGTACATAGACAGTTGTTCCCCTACTGCACATTTAGAAGGAATTAAGCAATCTGAATCTTCTCATTTCAACAGTTTCTTCACTCCTCAACCGCGTCGGGTCTCACTCTGGCGCGATGATGTATGGACTCTGCCAGCATTTCGGCCTGGCGGAGCTGCGCACATCTTCACTGCAAGAGGAACAAGAGCGAGAACTCCCACCCGAAACCGAACAAGAAAGCCAGGTGGAGGGGCCACCCCCAGCGCAGCCGGCAAGACACAGTCTACATGCAGACGTGCGCAAGTTCGTCCGGAGTGGTGTTTTTACAGGATCCACCGCAGCATTTCAGCCCGCTTTTGCCACCCTACACCTCACCTTGGCGGCGAAGAATTTCGACGTGCGCCGGCAACGAACAAGCCGATAAACTAGCAAAGGCAGCGTCCTCGCTGCCAGAACCGGAAGGCGCTCAGCCGACACTAGCATATCTGCGAAAGGTGGCAAGGCAGAAACCAAAGGAAGTTTTTGAAACATGGTGGACAACTTCCGTTCCCGAGCAATACAAGAGATTGAATCTCAAGGCGACTATACGCTGCCCACCAGAACTCTCGCTCCCTTGGGCTGCCCTGCACCATCTACTCGTAGCAAGGCCCCTCCATGGGGATTTCGCTGCATACCACAAACGATTCAACTACAACAACGTGCAGGTGACTTGCTTGTGTGGACGACGCAAAGCACCTGACCATGTTCTTCTACTGCAGGAAAGTACCGCGGCGGTGTCGAATAAGGCTCGTCCCCTCGCCGACTGCGGCGGTCAACCTCGCAATAGGAAGGAACTTCGACAAGTACATCAAGTTAGCCAAATTAAGCGCCTTTTTCGAAAGGATCTGCACTCGTTACTAGACGAGGTAGATCAGAGATGCATTTGCGTCTCCTCCTCTTTTTCTATCTTCCTTTCCCTTCTATTTCTTTATTTCTTTTTTTTATTCTCATGGGCTCAGCTGCCTTGTACAGTCATGCCAACGCCCTCTTCCCAGTCTCACTAAAGACTGACTAATATAGCAGCTACCACTATGATAGCTGCACCTAGTCATCCCGCTGACAGGTAACAGGCTCGACAGGACATGCCTTTAAGCTGATGATATGCTGGATAGTAGTCTGTTCTGTAATTTGCATAAGCTTTACGTAGATTTTAGTACTAGAGACTCTAGCTCAGCACGTCCTATGCCCCAATAGGGGACTTTACGGGCCTCGCGGTCCCCGGACGAAAAATATACACACATACATACATACATAATTTCGACGTGCGCGAGTTCCAAAACAACGTGTGGGTGACACGGGATTTTTCCAAGGTCGTCAAGGAATCATTTGGCTCCGAGAACTACTCGGACGGATTCTAACGTTCCGTGCAGTGGATATTGACGAGCAAAGATGAGGTCCTCAACGAGCGTCTCTGGTCATTAGCCCATACGAAGCCCAAATACTTCTACCGGATATCGAAAAGTCCCAACACGTCTCTCTTCGGCTTTACTCGCCGGGGGTCAATCTCGGCTTTGAGTCACTGGATCATCTCAACCTTTACACCGTCCCCCAGACGCAGAATTGTAGCGCTATCCCTCGAAGTCTCATTACACCACTCAATGTCTTTTCTGGACAGCTATATCTCTCAGGTTACTGCGATTACATCCACCTTTGCGATTTTCTTGGACTTGCGTGGAAGGCTGCCGATGGAACCGTCGGCTTCGGGCCCGATGGCTGGATTCCACCAACGCTGCAAACGAACACCTGCGTCAACAGATCGGGGCTCTCTAAGAGTCCCGTTCCATTTTTGAAGATTCTATTCGCGAAGATACGACAGGAATGTGAATCGATCCGAAAGACGCACATGGGGAAGATATTGGAAGGGGTGCGATTGCGCGGGGAGGATTGGGCGGAGAGTTGAGGGGTACCATCCGGCACCACCTAATGGACACCCCCACCTAATGCACCACCAAAATTTCGATCCTCCCATATAAAATTCAAAATTCGATACTCGCAAAAACAGGTCTGATTCTTAATTAATAAATAAAGCCTTAGAGAAAGTTTCTAGAAGTTTGTTCAAATTTTACTCTCTACGTGGTTTTTTGACCTCCCGACTGCTCCGTGTGCGCTGGCAGTGCTTTGTTGCGACCCTAAAGTCGTCACTTTCGTCCTCTGATCTGACACCCACCTCAATCACCGACTCGACCTACTCATCCACATCCACCTCTATTTCTGCCTCCTTTGAGTCAGGAAAAGCTTCTCCAGCCGCTAGACATAGTTTGGCTCGAGCTGGATTCTCTTAAGAGGAGTGATTGCGTGAAAAAGTCTCTAAAAGGATATTTCTGTGGGCGCTGGCATATTAGGATTGAGGAAACGAGAGGTAAGACGAAGGATACTTTTATTTCTTCTAATCGCTTCCACGCCTTTGAGCGTGAGCCCCACTTGAATGTCTTGTTGGGTCATCTGTGGTTGACGCCGTCATCTGATTTGGAGGTTCAGTTCCCGGCGCCAGGGATCGGCCCCGGCCCAGGTCCCCCGGTTGCTTCTCCCGTAATTGTTGTACTAAATGCCGATATCTCTTCTTTGCTATGATTTTCAAAACATTGATTCATGAGGCTGTCGATAGATCTTTATAGAAACTTGCATGGTTCGTCCCCCGAACGAAACGAGTTAACCGAAAAGAGCAATGCGTCCCGAATGACAGGATTCTTCAGCCCCCCAAAGCCTCGGGCCCGGGGGGGGGGGGGGGGGGGTCCCATTTTGGCCCATAGCAAGGAACAATATTTCTCCGCCCCCATCTTTGCGGTCCTGTGAGAACCGCACCAAGTCCACTACAGTCACCCTTTTCCCCATCACAGTGGAATTAAGGGGATCGGTAATGTCCCCCTAAGCTCCCCTTCTGCGCCTGATCAGAAGCTCCGTATCCGTATCGACGTACGGGAACTCATCAATATTCCTATTAATCGGCCTCGAACTTCCCTCTGGATACTTGAACTCATACCGTAGGAGAAGCGTGGCGAGGATCATCTTAAGCTCATTGGACGCGAGGAATCGGCCCGGACATGACCAGGTACCGTATCCAAAATGCATGTGGTTTTTGTCCGCAGTGGCGTACTGGTGCTTCATTGCCTCGGCCGGGCTCTGGCGGCGTAGCCGATAGTACCGCAGGCCATCGAAGACTGAGGCGTTAGGGATCACGGAAGGGTCACTGGAAATGGCGTGTGGCATCATACAGAGGTGCGTGCCGTGGCGGAGGTGGACGCCGTCATGGAGAGTGATACCTTCCGGGTCCTCCACAACGCGATGGAATCCTACTTTTGATGGAGGATGGATGTTAGGCTACATAAGATGAGAGCACGATGTGGATGAGTAGCATGGACGACTTACGTAGACTTGGAGGACTCCACCTTTGAGATCTAGATGAGAAAGGTGATATAACTTAGTACCGGTCATGATGCTGAAGCCTGTATGTAATTCTCCCCTTCCCTTGTCTTGCGAAGGTACTTACTCTCTTAGGAAGCTATCCATCTTTAGTAGCTTGCTGAGTGTCTGCTTTCCCCAACCGTCCCCTTGCCCTTGGAGTGCCTCGGCGGCCTCATCTCGGATCTCTTTCAGATACCGAGGTTGGGCAACAAGATCGAATAGCGCATGAGAACCAGCAGCCGCAGCACTGTGTCCGGCAACTAAAGTTATGACGAGTTGCCGATGAGCGAGGTTGCTTGGTTGGCTGTCTCTGCCGCCTGGTGTGGATAAGTCCATCATCGCCTGCAACAGGTCGTTTGGCTTCTTGTAGTCCGGGTCAGTGGCCTCGAGGTGTCGCCTCTGTTCAATTTCCGGGATAAGGATAGCTTTTCCACGTCGAATCGATGCCTTGTATTTCCAGAAAGATGGCAGAAGAAAGTTCAATAACGGACGAATCAGTGACGGAACAGCCCTAACAGCCATCTGTGTCATTGTTACTATTGTCAGAAATGTTAGTTAAATTACTTTCTCTTCTGTAGAACAGTCGTGAATAATCGACTGGGAAGATAATTACCATTGTGTGAGTGGCTAAACGACGCCTCGAGCCATTCCTCGTTGCGACACAGGGGCAGCCCAATGAAGACACGATTCGTTATCCGGCCTACTAGTCTCAAAAGCGTGGGTTGAACAGGGAGTGGAGTCCATTCTGGAAACGGTTAGTCGATTGTGAGATATAATTCCGCTTGTGTATCGAGTGGAAGACAACCTTCGCAGTCTGGCAATTCCCGCTGAAGCGCGTATTCAAGCTCATCTATCATGGCGTTGGATAGCATGGCTAGGTTCGGAGTGATGCTTGTCTGTATCAACAGAGTCAATAAGAGTGAGTCTCAACGCCTAAACGGCCCGTCGTATCTTTCATATTACCTGAATAGCTCTCGTTGCGATATCACTTTCGCTAAGAAGATCAATGCCACTATAGTTACCACCGAAATTCTAGAGGGCGGATGGATCCGATCAGCAAAGGCACTCCAGGAAGGAAAATTAGGAAACTAAAACAATTCTCACTTTGATTAAACCCTTGATAGCACTCAGCCGCTCGGTCGGGGCATTCTGTAATTCATCCAAGTATTTGCGCGACAGGACAACCAAGTCACCATCGCTTCTGGTAATTCGATGAATGCAATTTTTCCACTGGCAATTGTTAACGATGGTGTATTGATACCTTTTGATGCACTTAAATAGGTTAGACGTGTAGTCACCTTGGAATATCCCTCGCTAATTATACTGGCAGCTCCTGTCTTGAAACGCAGCTGAACGAAGAACTTCGGTTCAAGTGGGTGGCGATATCCGGCGAATGGGGCCGAGATGCCACCAAAAGTAGGGAAGTAAAGCCAAGTACATACGGCGAGCACCAAGATGACATTAACTACCTGGTTCCAGGGAATTCCATTGAGCCCGGTCGGTGGGAGTCTCCCTAAGGCATACCCCAGAAGGTTACCGGTTCTCGTTGTGTTGCTCTGGCTCATGTTCAACTGCTTTCAGATGTGGTTGTTGTGTTCCGGGAACAAAAGTGGAAAAAGAGAGGTAAAAGAAATACGGCGAGTGCGTGATGATCGCGTTGAAACATCGACATATGTCGAGGGGTGCTCCTGGGGCTTTATATAGACATCAGACATACAGTATAAAGCCACTGCGTAATACAAAAACAAGACCAATCTAACAAAATATTATGCTGGCTGAGTCTCTCCCTTACGGGGAAAAAGTACTTATAGCCCGAATTCGGCAACACGCAAGGTCGCCAATGGATCAATTGCTGTCTTCCTTTTCTCTGCCACTGTAGGGTGGTGTATCGTTCCAGAAAAGTAGTGAATCTCTGTGCTGGACCGAATTATCAACTGGGACTTTCTCAACTCTACTTGATGCACAGGTTATCATTGATCAATCTTAACACGTATAAAAGACGCACTTGCGCCTACATTTTGATTTTACAGCAGTTTACTATCCCTGACATCTGAATGACATTCAAGGAAAGGACTATGTAAATGCAATAGATGATTAGGTCCTCCAAATGCACATCGCCGTGCCGTATGTGGATCTCAGGACTACTTCACTCGTGACGATGATGAGTGTCGAAATATTAGGCGACGCATGGCTGAGGAGAAAAAGCATGGACAATTTTGCTCTCCAATGTACCACACTATCTAGATTATAGTATTGCCTCACTCTTCTGCGACCAGAGGCGCGCTGAAGTACAATGTCTGATATATCCCATTCTTCTCGGAGTATAGGAAAGATGCGTCGAGGTGGACTGGCTTTTTCCGGTTGTGGTTGACCGGCCCGCTATTGAGATTGGAGTTAGCAATGTTGCTCGTGTTCTAGTATCAAGTAGAAGAAGGAAAGGAGATCGAAGGGTGGTGAAAATCGGGTAGGGAGTACATACAAAGCGCCCTCAAAAGCTTTCTTATATCTTCCCTCGTGGCCCCACGCCTGGCCACACTTCCGGAAAACCTCTTCGTAATTCCGCACAGTCTCCTCGTCGCTCCGTACGTAGTTCCAGGTTGGTAAGTAGGTCTTAACTTCGGGGGAAGCGGCACCAGGTCTCATCTCAAAGCTAAAATACAAACTCTGGCAAAGCATTGAACCGTCGTTCAGAGGCTTGTTGTAATCGTCATCCGGTATGCCTTCGGGCTCCTGGAGCAGGAGGTGCCAGATTTCTCGCAGGGAGGCCAGGCCTTTTAGCGCCCTCTCATCCTGCAAACGGCCGCCTAATGTCACGTAATCCCGCACCGTGTTGAAAGAGTTGCTCCTGGTGTGGACATAGATTTTCACTCTTGCGTCTGAGAGACGAGCGTCATCAACGCAGTCGATTCCCACCAGCTCAATGGTCGAAGGAACATCCCGTTCACTAAGGAATCTGTTTCGCAAAGGGGGTCAGCCGTGATGTCTGGTAGATAAACGGTTACGAGAAAAGGAGCAAGGTTTCTTTTTTTTTTTTTTTTTTTTTTTTTTTTTTTTAATAGATTACTTGGACCTACTTCGCCACAATGTCGATCGACTCCACGTTCAGAGCGGGCTTCAGATCGCGAAGGACGCGCCAAACCATGTCATTTGCCGGCACTCCGGTCGCTACCTCCTTGATTTTGGGGTTGAAGTAGGCCTTGGTCGATGTCTTGGAGCCTTTCAACTCAAAGGCGACAAACGAGAACGGAAGTCGCTTCAAAGAGGGAACGCCTGCTTCCGCCGATGTGAAGTTCGCTAACCATTTCGGGAGCCTTTCCCGGACGTCTTGAGCCTCCTCGGGCGTCGGGGCGAAGGCAGAGAGTAATTCATCACTCCATTGAGTGCTGAAACCCAGGGTCTTGGAGAGAGAGAACAGTATTTTCTGCGCCGCGTCTACAGCAAACGGGTCCGTGTCGCTGCCTCCATCAGCGCCCAAAAGCTCCCAGCAATATCGCACGATAGGCTTCCCAGCACTGAGGTTGAGGCTGGGTTGAAAGGGAGAACCACTCTGTGTCAACAGAGAGCCAGTGTGGGCCGCGGACGGCCTCGGACCAAGATTTGGGAGCACATGGTCGGTCAGAAGACGGAGATGGGCGTCCTGATCAGCTGGCGAGTAGGACTCGGCAGATTTCAAAAGAGAGGCGAGGATAGGCACAGCGTGGCGTGCCCAGTAGTCCAAGTCTACTGTATCGGATCTCGGGGTTTGCTCGAGGACAGTCATTGTGTCTGTGAAGGTTGAGCCGTGATGGAAGAAAATAGAATTTACGGAAAGTAGCGGTAGCACAGACGAACAGGGTCTTACCAAATGGATCGAGAGACTCCTTTGTATGTGGCAGAGCCGTAACATATTCAGGACCTTTAATAGTACATACACTGCAAGTTAAAATTGTTGAACTTATTGAGAGAGGGCGCAATTACTCCACATGGGATGCCGCCGAGGTCGGCGGGGAGGTCGGGATGCCAGAACTCACTCGTTGCCACTTGTAGGCTTCCTAGCGAACCATTTCCTCATTCATGGTGACTGCCCTTCAATTGAAATGGCTTTCCGTCCTTCTTGCTGCGGTAGCCAGCCACCGTCCGTCATGGGAATCGGCGAGGTCAATACGCTCGGTGTACATGCATCTCAGCTTAATCTAAAGGAGGTTCAGCGCGGTAGGGCCTAGTAAGTAGTAACTGTGGCTGGCGGAGGTGAAACAAAGATGCATATCACCGTCAAGATATTTTAGTATTTCTCTACTCTCTCACTCGCCTAACGCACCCCGACTGATATGTGTGGAATTGCCTTCAGGCGGCCTGCATATGCCGGCTTAATCCTCCCCAGCCACTCGTCTACTTATCAAATTACCACGGCCCGGACCAGCGAGTGGTGAAGCAGTCCCATAGACTCTCAACAATAAAGCATCAAGAAATATGTATGATAAGGGTCTCAACCGAATAAAATAATAGGAGGATCCTCAACCAGGGAATAGCGGGCTGAAACGATGGGACATCACATGAAAATTGGGGAGTGGTGAAAGTTGCTTTTCGTCAATCTTGCTCAAGATTAAGACACAACCTTTCTCATCTTCTTCCGTTGGCCTCGTATCGTTCGTTACTGTACAAGTTCCCGCCCGCTTGACCCCATCGGCCCTTAGCGGTGAGGCCGGGATGGCACCGAGGGTGGTTGGCCTTCTTAGATACAAAAGCAATCTTTAGAGCTCTCGGACTCTTGCGATTTAATAAAGTGTCTCTATTGGGCCACAGGCAATGGTTAAGATCTCTCACATCAGAGAGCATAGGTAGAGTTAAGGTGCCTTCAGCAGAGGTGTCTATTAGATACCATATAACTCGTGAGGACATGTAGGTCAGTTTAATGGGTGAGTCTAGCATTCATCTGTGTGTTACAAAAGACATACAATGAGCTGCATTAAAGTGGTATATAGTAAGATGTAAATTTTAACTCTGTACATGTTTCCTTCCTTTTTTTGTTGCTCATATTCCCCAATTTCCCTTCTCCACCTAAAATGAAAAACCTTTGTCATGGCTTCTTCCTCGACACAAGGGAGAAGGCATATTTACTAGACCAGCTATCTCAGGGTACGCAAACGTCCTACACACGGGGCAGAGCCGCTGAAACCGTTCCAGCCCAACCATCGTGGCTGTACGATGGAGACGCTACGTGCGGCGTCGGCGTCGAAAGAGAACCATCGCATCTCGGTTGGGAAGTATCTTGTCGCCTTGGATCGTGTTCGGGGGACGAAATGACCCGTTTCCGTCTTCCAGTTTGAAATCAAAATCCAGCAGTAGGCGACTTGTGATTGCCTTGATCATGTACTATTACCGATGGGCACTTTGTTAATAAAGCGGTCGTAATCATAGTCATGGCGGCTATGCCCGGACCAAAAAAGCTGTACAACTTGAACACTAGGCACTCTGGCAATACATACTGAAGCGAAGAATCGTCCCGGGCAGGCGTATCGACCAAGACCAAAGTGCAAATTGGACGCGCTACTGTGTGCAAACGATGCAGATGCGCCTTGCTGATTCGCCCAGCGGAGGGGATCAAACGACCGGGCGTTGTCAATCGTGTTATCGTCCATGTTAATCCTCCTCGCCAATACTCCAATTTGTTGCCCCGGCTGAAGTTTGTAGCCGTCAGAAAGGGAGATGGGCTCCCGAACGACGCGTCGGAAGGTAACTATAAGCCATTATTAGAGGAATGTGTCATCTTGTAAGGGTAACGCGAAACTCACATTCTCCCACTGGGTTGAACCGCTGCGACTCTCTCATTAGACTGTCCAAACGGCGCATTTCAAGCATGGCCTTCTGGCCGATTCCTTCTTCCCAACCCAATGATAAGACCTCTTCCTGCTCCTTTGTCAATGATTCCCGCAATGCAGGGTTAGCGATCACGTCAAATAGCATGTGAGTAGTAGCCATAGCAGTGGTGTGGACGACAGCCATGCTCAGGATCCCGAGGGTGCGATGCGCCAACGCCTCGGGCTTTGACTCCTCCTCAGTCCGAGCTAATTCCATGCACCAGCCCAGAAAGTCGTCGTGAGCCTCCTCGGGACACCCGCGTCGCCGTTCGACTTCTGAGCCCAGGAGCTGCTGTACATAGACCAGCTGCTCGCGCGCGTCAGATACACTGGGCACCAAGGCTCCGAAGAGGGAGCCGATGGTACTGCCGAGATTTCGAAAGGAGGCAATTGTGTTAAAAGTATTGCGGCTGAATGAGGCTGAAGTCTCGAGAAATGTCTCGTCACGGCAAATAGGCTCACCGACAAAGGCCCTGGCCGCTGCTCGAGTTGACAATTCGAGCACCATGTCATACACACTTGCAGAAATCCAGTCGCCTATAGGTTCAACGACATGTAAGTTGAGACCTCCTGGGGTGAATCGCCTATCCACATCCTTAACTGTAAACGTACCATCATCACTTTTAGGTAACACTTTGTCGAAGGCAAATTTCAGCTCATCGATTACCATCGGAATTATTTTCGCTATTAAGGTTACCAAAAGCGTTAGAAGAAAATGTGCACAAGTTTGCGTCACCATTGTGAGAACTTACGAAGACCTGGATTCAGCCGTCGATGTATGGCATCGGAATGTAGTTCACTCCCAAGTAATATGCTAGTGAGACTACCCGCATTGTCGTCGAAGCTTGCTATGAGAGGGTCCAACTTGTCGTTCGTGATAGAGCGCAGTTCCGACACATATCTCAATGGGAGGACGATAAGGTCCATGTCCATTCTGAGAAGTCTGAAGGGGCGGTCCTTGTACTTGAGCAATAGTCAGCCAAAAAGCCCTGCACAGTCCCCACTCCCTGAGTGACCATCTACCTTTTGGTATGCCTTTGTGATCAGCCGTTCAGCGTTTCTGTTGTAGCTCAATCGGTCCAGGAATTCCGGGAAAAGAGTCGGCCATTGCCTAATGGTGGGAATGGCAGTCCCACTCTTGCGGCGCCGGTTGATAATGTACAGTAGTAGTAGCCAAGAAAAGACGATAGGGCCTTGGACGAGTAAGACGTTTGGCGACATGATGTCCGCGATCAGCTGGGGAGATGTGATGTTCCATTTACAAGTGCTGTTCACATTTCAGGCCTGAGATGGAAAAAAAATGGGCGCGCCCACTTGATATGTATTTCTGTGTTACTTTCGTCTCCCGAAGGACTTCTTGACCCAGTGATACGGTTCTAGCATACCAAATGCGGAAAAAAGTCAAAGATGTGGAAACAGAAGTCAGATCTTTACCATTCTCACTCAAACAGGCGTATGCATGAATTGGTGCGTTGTAACAGAGCCAGGCCTACTTCGGGGTCTGGTCGCGGATGAGCTTCATGCAGGACACCTTGTCAGTCGTCTTCAGCCGCTGTTGGATTGACATGAGCGCTTCTGATATGGTCCCAGCTCGCTGCATATCTCCTTTTCACCACCTCAGGTTCCTGAACACTTCTCGCCGCGTCGAGACATGCAGAACCCCGCCTTATTTCGCCGCAAGTTGATTTAGACGCCTCACAGTTTTAGTGGTGAGGTCCTGAAACGCTAAGTTTCGGCCTCTGGTGCGGTGAATTATGCAGCTGCCGCAAGCCACTTCTGGGAAGTGGTCTGATCCTTTTCCCTACAATACTGTGCTACTTATAATATGAAGATAGTCGGTATTGGCAATGGAACACCCGGTAGCCAAGCGAAGAGTGCCTTGGACCCTTATCCGCCTCTCGGGCATGCCATTTTACTCCTCTGTCCTGGTGAGAAAAAAAAATTGTGAATTTATTCTTTCTTTTTTCTCTTTTCTTTTTTTTTTTTTTGTTTTTACCCGGACAAGCAACAGGATCAAGGCTGTCTAGCAACCTCACATACCCCTTCACAGGCGGCGTGAGTGGTCCAGGAAAGACTGGAAAAGGTGGAATTAGCCAGACCTCCTCTATTCCTAGAACCTTAGTCCGTTTCCAATAAGTAGCTAATACACCCAACACAACACTGCAGAATCACCAACGACAACTTACTCTGCTGCTAATTTCTCTGCCGCCATGGAAGACTTCAAAGTTTTGATTGTTGGGGGATCAGTGGCTGGTCTTGCTCTCGCCCACTGCCTGGAAAGACTGGGCATCTCGTTCGACGTTCTTGAACAGGGTGATGAGATCAGTCCGCAGGTCGGAGCCTCAATCGGCATCCTGCCTAATGGAGCTCTGATCCTCGACCAGCTAGGCATTTTTGACGACATTGAGAAGGTGATAGAGCCTTTAGTGTTCGCAAGAATCCGTTTCCCAGATGGGTTCTCTTTTCAAAGTGAATACCCGTCCATCATTCGGTCACGGTCAGTATGCACGACCAGATGTTTTAGTGCTACTTCTAAGCCCCCTTTTTCCTAGATTTGGATACCCTCTTTCATTCCTCGAGCGCCAGAAATTTCTTGCGATCCTCTATAGGAAGTTGCAGCACAAAGAGCGAGTCCATACGGGTCAAAAAGTCGTATCGATCGAAAATCGGAAAACTCATGCGGTTGTCAAAACCGCTTGCAACAAAGAGTACACGGGGCACTTGATTGTGGGCGCTGATGGTGTCCATAGCATCGTAAGATCGGAAATGTGGCGACATGCCAACGAGCTCGCCCCAGAGGCTATTTCGGAAAAAGAAAAGTCAAGTAAGAAATCACCATCGTTCTCAACGGTTAAATAGACACAAACTAATGGCATCAGCGATGAGGGTATACTACGCTTGCATCTTCGGCATCTCCTCGGCAGTTTCCGGGGTGGAGGATGGCGTCCAGTTGAGTCTGTTGGACTATGATCTTACAATTCACGTTTTTAATGGAAAAGAGGGCAAAGTCTTCTGGTTCGTCATTGTTAAGACGGATAGGCAATATACCTACCCCGACAGGCCTCATTTTGACCAGGAAGATGGTCGAAAGATTTGCGAAGGACTAAAGTCCAAGAAGCTCGACGCAACCTTGACGTTTGGGGATATGTGGTCGAGGTGTGACATATTCACAATCACACCATTAGAGGAGGGGTGGCTCAGCAACTGGCACTTTGGTCGCTTGGTGTGCATGGGAGATGCGGTTCACAAAGTAGGGATCTCTGAACTCCTCCACACCTCTCCCTCGATGCTTCCAAGAAACCTCCCTTCCGTTTTTCACTCACTTGGCTTCCATGAGCTGACGTCCCGGTTTAGGTTACTCCAAATATTGGGCAGGGTGCAAACATGGCTATCGAGGATGCCGCAGCTCTGGCTAACGCACTCTGGAAGGGCGATCTCCAAAGGGCCATGGAAGCCACTCCCGCCTTGGAGGATATGCTGCATCATTTCAGCTCGGCCCGGCTCGCCAGTTCGAAAAAGATCTGCACACAGTCGGAGCTTCTTACCCGCCTGCAGTCCAATGACGGCATTGTGAAGCATTTAGTGGCGAGGTACCTGCTCCCCGCGGTGAACGACATTCCTGCGGGCTCTTCAGCTGCACTTTTAGGGGGTAGTCAATGCCTGCAATATTTGAAGCTTCCTGAACGGGCGCAACGACCACGCTCATGGTGGGCCGTCATTAGGGATCTTCGGTCATTCTTCCCTAAGCCGCATGGACTGGTCACTGTCTGGATCGGGGTTATAATTCTCTGGTGTGTGAGAGGTTGGGTGAGAGATTACATCGCATAGAGAAAAGAGCAAGCGAAGCTACCCTTAGAACAGAGCTGATATGTAAACTGCCGTCAATGTTGGGATAATCAATCAGCCAGCCACCGGAGTGGAGGGTGGCATTGCACTCCTGTTAGTTACTGAGACATCCGCTTTTCCGCATAGATTTTATCGATTGTCCACGGCAGATTGTCTTGAAATCTTCTGATCTGGACTCATCCGCCTTGGTAACGGATTTGTATGCTCCCTAATCTATCCGCTCCCTTCGTGAAGCATCGTCTTGAGTCATTGGAATACAGAAACGGCGTGAAACATGGAATCAAGATAAGAAAAGCAAAGTTTCCATAAATTTTGTTCGCCGAATAGAGAAATATGGCTCTGTTTGTGCTCGGACTCGTGTCTTGGGCTATGCAAAGCACTTAGGCATAGTCGCGGCCAAGCTTAAGATACTCTTCGAGAACAGCAGCTTTGTACTCTCTCTCTCTCTCTCTTTTCCTCCTTCCCCCTCCTATTTGTGTGGATTAACAGTCACTTGCGCTCTTTGCCAGACACTAATTACCATGTTGTTCGACCGTCTAACCACCATTGAACCTGACTGGCCCAATGTCAAAATCACTGGTGCCATCATCTTTGCCGTCGCATTAATTCGATATCTCAACTACGATAAAACGGTGCGTTATTTTTGTTATTTACCAACCGAAACTCAAACGCTGATCGGGAAACCTAGGTCGATGTACCGGTTGTAGGACCCGGAGTTCGCTTCACGAAATGGCTGGCCGCTGTACGTAATGTATGGTTCGCTCGCGAATCTGTCAGTGAGGGTTACGCAAAGGTTGGAAATGAAAAGCTCTCATGACCCATCGAAATGGAACAACTACTAATGATGAAAAAATCAGCATGGCGAGTATGCGTTTCAAATACCTACCATGACTCGGATGGACGTCTTTCTCTGTGACAGAGCGATGACGAGGGAATACTACACTCTTAATGAGGAACACATGTCCTTCCAAGCGGTGATGTCCGAGGTATTTTTTCCTCATGATTCAACATATTAGCGAGTGGCAGGCCCAGGCTAATGTATTGCAGGAGTTTCAATTCCAATACTCGCTCCCCGGACAGCAGGAGGGTGCGCGAAAGATCCCAACCTCAGTGATAGCCAAGGCCTTGAGCTGGCAGAAAACTCGAGCCAGCAACCCCCAAGATCCATTCTTCATGGAGTTTTCCACGGAATTTTTGCAAGGATTCCAAGAAGCGATGTTAAAATTGAGTGCCCAGCAGCCATGGTACCGCCGAGTTTTCTCGCACTCCAATAGTGGACCACCTGCAAACTCGGGCTGGATGGAGGTCCCTTGCTTCCCTCTGGCGATAAAAGTGATCGCTCGGCTTACGACGAAGTCCCTCTTCGGGGCACCCTTATGCAGGTCCCAGGAGTTCCTTGAAAAGTGCTGCCAGTTCGGGGACGCAGTGCCCAGAGACGCGTTCATCCTGCGTTGTTTTCCTGCTTTTACAAGACCGTAGGGTTTTTTTCCTTTTTTCCTTTTGTGAAATCCCTTTAATGCCCTCTTCTACGACTTCGGCTAAAATTCCACTCCAGCCTCCTGGCAAAACTCCTCCTAGCGCCACGGCAGGTCAAGAACTTACAGGATGAGATTCATAACGAGATCGAAACTCGCAGAGATTCCCGCGATAAGAATTCCATGCAAGTAGGTGCTGTTGTGCCCTGCGAATTACCGTACGATCGGAAACTGACAGAACCGTAGGATCTGCTTGACTTCTCGATGAACTGGGTTGACGAACACCGTTCGGCTGGTTGGAATGATGACCATATCACTGATATGATGGCGAACACGATTTTTGCCGCCCTGCACACTTCCAGTCAGGTATGTTGTCACACTCTCTCACCCAGTCCAGAAAATGTGCTCTGACGTAGAGACCAGTTGGTAGTTCACACCATCTTTGAGCTCGCCACCCGTCCTGAATACGTCGATCCGCTTAGAGCAGAAATAAGAGAATGCTTTGCCGCATACGGTGATGGAACAAAAGCTGCCATGGACGCCATGTACAAGATGGACAGCTTTATCAAGGAGACTCAGAGGTGTAATCCCCTCGATGCATGTATGAACTTCAAAGACGGACCGCTCTTTAATCATTTCTTTACGTCTCCCAGAAAGATTCAAACAATTGCTGACGTTGACCGTATTAGCTGCCCTAGCGAGGCTGGCCATGAAGCCCTTCACATTCTCGAACGGTCTCCACATCCCCAAGGGAACCTTCATATTCACACCCAATTCCCCAATATTTGAAGATGAACGCTTTTACGCCGATCCCAAGCGTTTTGACGGTTTCCGTTTCTCTAGGATGCGAGATGACCCGGACCTGAAAGCATCTGCCCCTCTCACAGCAACCAGCGAATACAGCATGCACTTTGGCACAGGGCGTCACGTCTGTCCAGGGAGATTCATGGTTTCCGACGAGGTCAAGCTGGTGATGGTGCACCTTCTACTGAACTTCGATTTTGCTATAAAGGACTTCAGACCTCGGCCCCAAAATGTGGCGTTCGGAAAGTTCATGCTTCCAGATATGTACGCCAAGGTGTGGTTGAGAGAAGCGAAGCACGAGGTCGCGGTCGGTGATGGTACATCAGATTGAGAATGCCTACATACGCAGGTATCTTCACTTATTGTTCGGTTAGGTTAGTTAAGTTACGACCAAGGAAGCTGAAAATGGAATAAGACTGGTATTATTTTTAGAAATGTTATTTCCCTCTATATTCTGTTGTCTAGGTGATGTTCCGACATGAATAACATGTTACCACTGAGTCCCTCTTCTTTGAGAGTAGGATAATAATTGTGCGGGCGAGTATTTTCATGTCCGCAAGGCCTCGTCTCCTCGTTTCAGTATATCTACTACGGGTTGGACTGTCAACTCTATCCCAGAGTTCATCTAACAGAAGAGTAGGCCTACAGAAGAGGTTCCCATTTAACTTTTTTCCATTTCAGCCATTCCCGCCCCGCGAAAGGGAAAAAAAAAAAAAAAAAAAAAAAAAAAAATTGAAGAGGCTGACAGAATACCCACCAGGGATCGTCGCTCAACCGCTTGGAATATTTAGTCTTAGCAACCAGTGGCAGCCCCAACAACGCAGCCTCTCTACACCGACGAGGGGCAATAAAAGGGCCGAAAGACATGGTTCCGAAGCCCGAGTGCATGCATCTCTACATGCTCAGTCCCTGATGCGCCCTTGCTCTACGCCCCATTTATTAGATTTAAGGTTGATCCCACGACATGCAATGCACGCCTAATGAGTGAAAGTTTCGGCGTTGCTAACTGATCAACAGCCAGCCACGTCCTCCCGCTGAAGAGGAGATATTGAAACAGCTGACATACCCTACTAAGGATCCCCCACTTAGTAGATTATTACGTCTTTAGAATTTCAATTTGACGGGAGAAACGGCGGTGGGGCCCAGAGTCTTGAACGAGTCAGAGGTAGGTGTACTAGTGACAGGGCTGATGGATCGGCGGTTGGCAAGACGAGAAAAGCTCTCTTCGTCTACAGGCAACTCAAGACACCAGCCGCAGAAGACACGCCAGCCACTACCGACGCAGAAAACAGGAAACGGCACGTCTTGATGCGGCTCTCTATGATTCGTGTTCGTGCAGATAGCCTTAGGCGACTAAGCTTCGGGAGGGCCTTTCGCTATCTACAACAACAGACAAAGTAATTAGATCTGTTGACCTTGGAATTGCGTGTTCGTGTTGCTTGCACACGCATACACATGTGAATCAGGCCGAAGTCTCCGGCAGAGTCCAAAGTATTTTAGCTCCCAGACTGACGAAAATGAGGTTCTCATACTCATTGTATTATGCTCCATGTACTCTGCATCATTCCCCTCCAAAAAAATGTCCTTCATCGAATCGTTTCCCCTTCTCCAAGTCTTCTTTCTCCTTATCGGCATAACCTGGAAGCTGGGGGAGGGCTACCCAATCCTCAACGTGCCAGATTTTGGGCATCTTTTTAGCAAAGAGATTGGCATCCCGCGGCTGTATGCATGGCTCGAGGTATTTGCAGGTGTATCAATTGAATCTCTGCTCAATGACTGGCCATGGTTCTCACTGCACTTGTTTCTCTACGTCGGCCAGCTAATCCCATTCACTATCATAATAATTAATGAATGGCCGTTCAGAACGAGAGGACTGGCGGTGGCTAGGTATGGCACAATGAATTTTATCCACCACCAAATCCCTCATTTAGTTACAGGATTGACAGTATCATTCTCTAAGCCTCATTGTGTTGGGTTCTCTGTCTGCCTTTTGTGGGTTCGCAGCGGCCATGCCGGTCATTTCTCTCAGGATACTTCGCACATCCAAGCAAGCCAAACATTACCGTAGGGTAGTGAGAAGGTACCGGATGTTTCGGCTTCGTTTCCTCTTCGCCTTCTCGACGGCCACGCACATTTCCGCCTTCCTGGCGGCATTTCTTGCAACCTGGGCTCCCTCCATGCTACCCCCTTCCTCCACCGGTCCGCTGCACATTACGAATAGCTTGATAGGCGTGCCTGACGCCGAGGAATTTGGTCTGTCGGACATGAGCGTTCGGCAGGCCCGATTACGGCAGATAAACGAGATGACAGGCACGTCTAGTGGGTTCTTTCTAACGGTCGGGCTTCTCTCCCATCTGCTCGAGTGGAAAGGTCAGCGTCTGACTCCACGATTAATCGCCTGGATGTTCCTTGTCAGCTTGGTCGCTGGCCCTGCGTCTGGCGGGGCTGCCGTTCTTATGTTCAGGGATTATCTCGTAGAGAATAGCAGATCGGGTTAATAGCGTTAGGAGGGAGGGACTCAGAAGCATAGAAAGTGGGTGCATTAAGTCATCCTTGGCATATTGAGCAAGCTAGATACGTGATCTGAGGAGGATGCATAAACGAGGAGATTATCTCCTTCAACGGAGGCGGGTTAAACCATCATTCGGAGTCTCGTCCAGTATCTGCCTAGCTTCCTAGACCATGAGATGGCTTTACAAACTGCTAGTCCTTTCGGAGCAGGTAGTCGCGATAGCGGCGAATGCATCATGGTAAGGAATTTAAGGTGATCCAGTAGTCCGAGGCTCAAAATTGGCTGCCCGCTTCACCTAGTACAATCCTCATCTTCTGATGGCTAGCCATTGGGAGTGGCGCTGACGTTCCGGCTTGATTCTCAAGACCTTGCTTGCATCTTCTCTCTCCTTCCCCAGAGCGCCACGAGCTTATCCAACCCATTGCTAGCATCGTGGAGTGCCTTCATACATGATTCTTTCACGCGCTCTGATTGCAAGGCGTCTATGGCCGCTTCAATGTCCTCTTCAGTCCTGCTTTCTAGCGCCTTCTCGACCAATTGACGAGTACTCTCTTCGTTGAGAGCCGTAACAATCGGGAATGACAATTCTCCATTCCGCAAGTCCTCGGCGACCGAGCCTTTGTTGCTAGCATACTCTTGCGAATAGATATTCTTGCAGTCGTTCTGGAGCTGCGCATACCATCTGTGTGGGGTGACGTGTTTTTTTAGCTTTAGCCGAATGAAGAAGTATACTTCGGATGTAAGATACTCGAAGGAACTTACCCAAATCGAGTCAACAAATCATCTAATTGTTCTCCGCCGTCGTTCAACAGTCTTCCCAGAAGCACAAACAGAGTCCCCGTCTTCAGCACGGCCATGTTCTTATAAGCCGCTATCCGCTCATTGCCTTGGTATTGAAAGGACTTCAATCCATCCCTACGCCACACCAGAGATAGGTCCTGGCCTTGCAGGATGTCCTCCAATGCCTTGAGAAGCTCCGCTCCAAGAACAGGCCTCTCGCGTAAGGCTCGATTGATCACCCTTGTGAGAACCAGATAGGCCCTATTCGCCGTCTCAGATGCTCCGTAAATTAAATGAGCCGTCGGTTGATTCTTGCGTTGATAGCTGTTGTCCGATATGTCGTCCACTAATATCAGGGCAAAGTGCACAGCATCCATGATATCGAGGATCAGCGTGTATTTGGATGGGTCTTCCGTCTTTAGAGTCGGCCGGAACCCTTTAACGAAGGGCTCAAAATGGTGACGACCATATATCCCGACAAGATATTCATAAGGACATCCGGCCTCGCCGCCGTGCTTTTGCTTCGTGGAAGACTTCTTGCAATACCCATACTGTTGAGCAGGTAGTGGGACCGGCGATTTGGCAGCGGTAGAGCCTCGAACAATGAAGCCGACGAAAAACACAGCGAGTAGTATCAAAACATCAATAACATGAGTGTAGGTTCCAAACCAGTCCATGGCCTGGACGAAAGAAAGCTGCATTATAGTAGATTATTATCGACAGGAGTTCTGGCATGTGCGGTGCGATGTGTCGAATTCCAGAATTCTCGGAGGGCCACCACGTACTTTTACACTTGGTCCATACATGTGTCGTCTTTGAATCGCAACCCCCGAGGGATATAAATGCAAGAGGGCCCTCCAGCACGCATTTCCCGTTTTTACTCAAAGTTTACCAAGCTTCAACGAAAAATTACCCAATCCGGAGAACAACATGGACGGCTTTACCGATTTACAACCCCCACCAGCCTATCAAGAAGTCCAATGGCTGGCCGACACCCTTGTTGCATTTATGGGCGCGGGCTGGCTGATCAACTATGTCGCCATGATCTGGCACTCGTACAAGGGTGAGACATACAGCATGGCTATCATCCCGCTCTGCAACAATATAGGGTGGGAGCTAGTGTACACTCTCGTCTATCCTTCACGAAATCGGGTAGAGCTAGCCGTTTTCGCCGCCGGAGTTTCCTTAAACGTCCTTATCATGATCGCTGCGGCCCGAGCCGCCCCGACGGAGTGGGGTCACTCACCCTTGGTTGCGAACCATTCACCGCTCATCTTTCTCGCAGGGACGCTTGTGTGTTTCACCGGTCATGTTGCTCTGGCAGCTGAAATCGGGCCTTCCTTAGCCTACTCCTGGGGAGCCGTTGTATGTCAGCTCGTGCTGAGTATAGGCGGGCTTTGTCAACTGCTTCAGCGGAATAGCACACGAGGCACATCGTGGACTTTATGGTGAGATGCAGGCAGACTCTTTCGGGTTTCAGAGTTGAAGCTCCACACGCTTAGGATATATTATGTCTCTAACATTTCTAATAATGATAGGCTCAGTCGATTCCTTGGTTCGTGCTGCACAGTGGGCTTTGCATCCCTACGATGGAAATATTGGCCAGATGCATTTGGGTGGCTGGCAAGTCCGCTCGTGCTTTGGAGCCTTGCGGCGTTCCTGCTAGTCGATCTTGCGTATGGAGTTTGTCTGTATCTGGTGTCTCGAGCTGAGGCATTGGCGGGGAAGGCCGCGAAGGTGGAGTAGTGCGTCGTGTACTCCGACGGCTATCAGAGGGCAATTTCATGGGTCCACTGGAGACCAGCTGGGCATATACTGGTCACTTTCTGAAACATCGGTATTTGTTGAAAATCGGGCATAGAATTAGATTCAAGATATGCGCCTCCTCATGCGGGACCTACTGTCCAGTCATGGTGCAGGCAATTTGCATAACGCCTATGCAACAGCTGGGTGGAACTTGGAAGTGGAGACACGTAGACTTGCCCTCAAGCAGGTTTCATTGGCACTCTTTAAGAACTGTCCTAAATCTATTCAGCGTTTCGAAAGCCGTGTCTGGTAGCCCGAGTTTTACTCTTACGGTGTTCTAGCGATTGCTTAATGTCAAACAAGTGGCTGGCTGGTACAATGCAGATATGTAGATGTCCGCTTCCGCTGATGCAGCCAAAATGTCTCACCTAGACTGATGTCATGCTATTGATAAATATCGATCGAAAAATGAAGGTGATCCTCGCCGAGCATATGTCCGTGAGGTTTCCGGTTTCCAACATCTCAGCTAGCCACATTGCTACGGCGTGGGAATCACGCTCCGCCCGGCTTCTATGTTTCTACTGTTGAGATCTTCGAGTCACACCCCGTAAGCTGTAGTCATACAATCTAATCGGAGCGCGTGTTTCCGTTGAACATATGAACCAGCGTCCAACCGGGAGCTCGGTAGTCCCATTCCATGCCGAAGTTCGAGACCCAACACCTCCCTCAAGCGTTCGTAATCATGGTTCATTCTAATGTGGCCGCGCCAGCAGAGCCTATCCTCGCCAAAGCAGTTAGCGGTGCGTTCGATGAATCTCATCCCACAGGCAGCAATGATTACAGTGCACCACCGAGCAATCTCTCCGTCGGCGATCATCGCAAGGTAACAAGCGCTCACCCTGTGGAAGTCGTTCCTAAGAAGAGGGGCACGGTAAATGGTGTTTACCAACAGACAACTGTGGACCGTGGACAGGCGGGTGCAGGTATCTCAATTCCCGACCTCGAAGGTGTCGGACCACAAACGGTCCTTGCGTTGTCATGGAATAACACTTTGCTAGACACGCCGTTCGCTGAAATCTTCCTTCGTATGACACGGACTCCTCTGGATGAAAAGGTACGCTCCCTGCTCTCGATTCGGCATTCCTGGCTTTTATTGAACGTTTGCGTCTAGGTTGTAAAATACCCTTGCGACTATATTGAGTCGCTTCCTTCGAAGGGAGTTCGTTCACATGTTCTTGCCGCGTTGAACATATGGTACCTCGTACCTGATGGCGCTCTGAGGACAATAGATCGAGTGGTTAGCTTGCTGCATAACTCGTCGCTCATGTAAGAGGTTTTATTCAAGTCCCCTCTGTTCTGGGGATTTCTTTTAATTTACCGGCGCAGGTTCCGATCGCCCGCATGCTTGAGAGTTGTCGACTGACTTGGGTGATGTAGGCTTGATGATATCCAAGATAACTCTCTGTTACGCCGGGGTAAGCCGACAGCCCACACCGTTTTTGGTGCCGGACGAACAATCAACTCGGCGTATTTCATGTGCGTGGAAGCGCTGGGTAGTCTCCAGTCATTACATCCATCAGCGACGTCAATATACATCGGTGGGACTTTTTTCCATTCCCTTATAAGCAAGCCCTCCGCCAATTCCACAAGACGGGGAGTGCTAACCTCGATTTTTATTAAAGAGGAACTCCGTTCGCTGCATCTTGGACAAGGATACGACATCCATTGGAGCCATGCCTCTGTCATTCCATCGGAAGAAGACTACATAAAAATGTGTGACGCAAGTAAGAAAGAGCCTGATCGAAACTAGGAATGTGTGAATGATTTTTAACACTGAGATCCCAGAAACCTCGGCGTTGTTTCGGATGATTAGCAGGCTGATGAGAGCTGAAGCTACCAAGAATGTGTGAGTAAAGTCGTCAAGGATGAATTTGTTCACCGAATTGCTGATCTTCTCCAGTGGCCTTGACATGGACGGCTTCATGACTTTGCTTGGGAGGTACTTCCAGATCCGCGACGACTACTTGAATCTGGTCTCCAGCGATGTAAGTCCACCGTCACTTCATTGGCCCTGGTTTGTGCTAAGATTCAGATAATAGTCTTCATACCAGAAGAGTTTCTGTGAAGATCTCGACGAAGGGAAGTATTCTTTGCCTCTCATACACGCACTGAGAAAGCCTAATCCGGTACTGGAGAGTCTGTTTCAGCAACGGAAACACACGGGGACTATGAGCTTGGAGATGAAATACCTCGCCCTGGATGAATTGAAGGAACAGGGAAGTTTAGTATACACCTTGAACGTTCTCAAAACGCTTCAATCGGCGTTGATGGACCAATTGGAGCTACTTGAATCCGAAGCCGGAGGGGGCAATCGAGCCTTGTGGCAGATGTTGCTTAAACTAAGGATTGAGTGACACCCCCAAAAGATAAAACTTTCGGATGTGGGGTTCGCAGGCATAACCATCAAGTACGGGTACTAGCATTTTATATCCCGGTTCTTAGGGTTAGTCTGCGTTGGTGCGATGCAATCCAAGATGCGGGTGGTCTCCAGCTTTTTGTGTGAGTGCAAGTTTTAGAGATTTACGATCCTATTGTGAGCGTTGCACGAGTGAGTGGGAGAGAGGGATAGACGGAGGAGCTGCCGCGTTCTGAAGACGAAAGAGCGAAGAATCGGAGTCCGCGTGTGATAAGGGTGGAAACCTGCCGTGAATACCGAGTTCTCCCATCCAATAACTCTAAATTGGCAATAGCTTGCGGGCGGCCTGTCCGCAACCCCCAAGGCTGCCATTAATATGCCGATCCGGCCTGGTTTTGGCTTGTAACTAGCCTTGAAAACTTCAACGATCGAGCTCAAGCTATGCAAAAGATGGCCATCTTTAATACCATACGCACGAGGTTGAGCGATGTCGATGGCACTGTTAAGACAGTCGTAAACTCGAAAAAGGAGCCCTTGGCACTTAAGAAGATCTTGAAAATCATCTCACAGGTGTTGGGATGGTGCGTCTCGCCATTCTTCATATGGGAGGACCATCCGGGACGGGCCGCGCAGATACCACGGCAGAAATTGTCAACACGATGGGAATGGCATTTGATGCTGCACAAAAGCACCTTGAGGAAGAGCAAGAGAAGCAGTGGGAACCGATGTCGGCTAAGGGCTCGGAATGTTCTACACAAACCTGAACAAAGGCTTGGAGAAGACTCTAGTGGACTTGTTCGATTCGGGCGACATGTCAAACTGGCCTGATCACATATTCCCAGATCCCACTCTCACCCAGAGGCAATCCAAATTTCTTTCTGACCAGTCATTCATTCCACAATCTTCTAAGTCGGACCCCCCCCTCACCGCCACCCCCCCCCTTTCCGCCACCCTTTTCTCATACAAAACAGCAATTTGCAGGGGTCTGTATCTCCACCAATACTTTATATATAATAATAAAATTTTATATATAGCTTCTCTTCATAGTTATTAGCCAGGAAAAAAATATAAACTTGAAATTTGTTAAAAGAGTAGTGTATAGTAGATAGTTAAAGTATACCTATATAAATTATATATAAATTAAAACTAATATAATTATAGTAATAAGAGATATTATATAATTAAAAAATATATAACTAATTCTATAGAAAATTAGCTTTTAAAAGATGTTATTTTTTATTTTATAAGTATTTTTAAATTAGAATATTATAATAATTACTTTTTTTTATATAAAATTTATTAAAAAAAAAATACTTTTTAAAATTAAATATTAAAAAAATACTATAGCTTAGTTCTTTTTACTATATAATATTACTTATATTATAATACTATATTATAAGTTATATTATCTATAATCTATTTATTATAAAGTTATTTAAGTTTTATATTTATATATAATTTATATAAAATTTTATAATCTATAGTTTAATTATCTATTATATACTACTCTTTTAATAAATTTTATACTTGAATTTTTTTCTATAGTAGTCTTATAAAATATAAGCTATATATAAAATTTTATTATTATATATAAAGAATTGGTAGAGATATAAGCTTTAAAAAAGTGTAACTTTTTGCTGTTTTTGGTGGGAAGTGGGGTGGCGGAAAGGGGGGGTTGGCGGTGAGGGGGGGGGGTCCGACTTAGTTCAGAGGGCAAATGCCTGAAAGAGGCCATATACTCGGATTGGGATCAACCACCTAGCACTCTATCCCGAGAAGTAATATATCCTCAAGAATCATTTGAAAACGACAGTTTGTGGAGGAGACAGCCATCCGACAGCTATCATAATCGATGACGCTTGCTACCAACTTCATCGTCCGGGGAAAGGGTGGAAAGAACTGGGAAAGGTGACTATACATGGTGGGCTGGCCTTTAGCGTTCCAGCCGGGAAATTCATGAAGGAGCTCTTCGAATTTAACGTCGCAGTCGACTTGGACATCACATTGCCCTCGAGTACAGACCCTATAGATTCCAATGCCCCTCGGATGTTCTACAATGCCTCAATCAAATGCCAGTACCAGCTGAAAGCTGACGAGAAAACGGAATATTCCAAACTCGTCGCAGGAGATGGCTATCTTGACCTGACATTGACGGCTCATAGGGAAGGGAACCCGTTAGCCAGCTGCCTCTTCAATCTCCCGGTTTTAGAAGTGCAATCCGCAGAGCCCCACGAACCCACGATCTTGACATCCTGCATCATTAATAAAGAACGCGACGACATTCCTGGCGCTAAAGACAAGGACCTGCTCGGAATAAATGTTTTGCCCGATTACCTGAAGGATGTCTTTGGAAATGAGGAATTCTGCAAGACGGAATGTGAGCGACGAACATGCCTTGACGAAGACACTGCCTGCCCTCAGCTAATTTGCACCCTTAACAAGACCAAACCACATGAGCCTTTGAAAATGAAGGGCCGGTTTCTACCGTTATATTAGAGGCGGGGTAGGAAAAGCCCCTCTGGTCGTTTATGTTGCTGAGGAACAGCCAGAACTGTTGTCAAGTATTTACCGCCCTCACTTCCTAAAATGCGCAATGTGCTTCCAGGTATTCAGTTCTGGGCGACCGTCTTAACAGGTACGTCTTCACTCAATACAAAGCCATTATGCACTCTAGATCCCGTAGTAGACAAGAGACCCACTGGTACTTCTTTCTTCAGCGACTGCTGATTAAGATCGTCCCATCTAAATCGGGCGTATGTTCTGCTGGTCTGCTGGAACTTCTTTTGCCGTGTGAACTGTTCTGTATACAAAAACCTTCCTCAGTGCTAGGGTCAATAGACAACACCAGCTGCCGCTTCGTGAACCAGGAGTTCATTATCGGCAAAAGAGTAGTCGAGCTTTGGGGTAACGGCTGATGCCTAAGGGGGTAAATATAGCAAGATGATACATAATTATTCTCTAAGAATCATCAGTTGCGAAATGAGATACACACGAAGCTCAAACAGAGTTGATTGACGATAACTAAACAAATCATAAACCCAGAGGAATCCTGTACTAGTATTTGAGTAGCTTGCGTCTAGTTTAGCCGGTTACGATCTCGACAGTAAGATTCTTGGGCCACACGGGCTGGTCGACTCCATTGCCTCGGGTACCAATATTGTATCCCAGCTCTACCTCCTTATTTGGGAACTGGGCGATCGGCTTGACTTGAATAAACGTAGTATTCAGCGCTTTTGACACTCTTGGCTCGAAGAAGTCGGCCTGAAATAGGGTTTTGGCGTCGTACTGGTAGAGCATTTTCATCATTGCAGGCAGGAGGTGCTGCATTGCATGGTAGTACTGGAAGGTTGGCGAGCCGTGGCGCGTCCACAACTCATCCCAGATCTCCTGAGGGTAGGCTCCGCAGGAACGAACAAGCCATTGAGAGTAGTAGTTGAGCGCAACCTATGGGTGAGCGTTTCGAAGTTAGGCAGTTGATCTAATGGGAAAAGTTTGGGAGAGGGGGGGAGGGAGGACGGTCATTACATCAACCCCGTAACTTCCCCCGAATTCCCCACGCCTCACCAGCGCTTCAAGGACGGCGGAGCTCCCACAGATTCCGGTGCTGTTGGGTATTAATTGTTTGGTTAGTGAGGCAGTTAGCAAGCCTGGAACATGCCTGGAACATCTGTTCCGATATGGCTAACTCACCAGTAATCAGAGTTGGGGAATACAGGAGTTACTGCTCCCTCAACGCCCATCGCATCGGCGTAAGCCCTAGAGACGCCGCAACACTGACGGAAAAGTCAAGTCAACACAGCATCGGCAACAAACCCGGACATACAAAGACGGACGGGTTCCACCTACAGCGTCGCTAATCTGCTGCCATCCACTTCTGTGGCTCCAGGGACCGTGCCATCCATAACAATTTTCACGCACGTGAATGATTCCCGCTGGACGGTCCTTGACCAAGTCAAAAATGGCCTGGCGGCCGAACCCGAGACGGTCCATGACTCCGGGCCGGTAGCCGTCGACTACAACATCGGCCTCCAAGATCAGTTTTCAGAGTTTCTCCTTGTCCTCTTCACTCTTGAGATGGAGGAATGCATTCCACTTTCCCCAGTTCAAGTCCTGGAAGACGGGCGACAAGTCCGTAACGTGTGGGGAGACAACCCGCATGACACTCGCGCCCATCTCGGCGAGGCTCCTCGAAATGGCGGGGCCAGCAATGACACGGGTCAAATCGACGACCTTGAGGCCAGCCAAGGGCCGCTTGGGCGAAGCCAGGAGACTATCGTTGTCCTCCCACCAAGCCGCCGGCTGAGATGAGGCAACATCCTTGGCAATTTCGTATAGTCCAACCTTTCCTGAAGCCTTACCATGGTCGCTATCGAAATACTCGGCCGAGGTATACGCGATAGTACCGGCCTGGCGATATTTCTCGTTCATGAGGTCATCTAAGGGGGCAGCTTCATGCTCTAGGACAGCATTCTGGATTCTCTCCACCACAGCATCATAGGTGTCGCCCTCTTCGCCGTCTAAACGTAGTCCAAGGGCAGTCAATGTCGGGTCGGGGTTCATACTTCCTAGATGGCTTGTTAACATCCCAGGGCATTATTTGCAGACACAAAGGGCGGGGAGGAAACTCACCGTGGATATGATAAAATCGAGCATCCTCTGTCTTGTAAATATTAGTCGCTAAAACGCGGTGAAGATTATCTTGGCTCCGATGCTTGTCTTGGCTGGGAATCAATTTCAACATATCCGGCGAAAACGGATCCAGGGGCACCGGAGTGCCATCCTTGATGTATTGTGCGACCACTGGCGACATGAAAAACAAGCTTGCGTGATCGCTAACCCCGTCGACGTTAGCATCTGATTTAGGAAGGACGAAGAAGGAAGCTGGGCCATCCCTACATGTTGATAGCAATATCTACCGGCTGGATACCGTATTTGCGCGTCAAGAGGTGGTTGAGCATAGTGGCTTCGAATGCCTTGAGGGCGGAAATGCTCTCTGCGAACCTCCAGTTGATGGGAATACTCGGTTTCTCAGTGCCGGTGAATGTGACATGCTTGCTGAGGGGTTTCAATTCTGTAGGCAAGGTCGACATTAGGGGATTGTTCAGAATTCCTTCCTCAAAGAGGGCTCGGGCCTCTCGAGGCACTGAATATTCGGCAGAAGTTACCATTTTGTCTGCTTGAGTGGGGATAAAACCATGGTTCCTTAAGTTCAGCACCTTTTGTCCGCAGCGAGGGGTGTTATATGCAATGAATGACATTAGCTCGTGGATGGAACAAACACATCTCTGCCCAAGATCCAAAACCTTAGGAATTCGGGGTTAAGTGCTGCAGATTCCGATCATCCTGGTCATGGTTTAGTGACCATCATACTTGACCAATGACACCACCCATCCTGGTTGACCCACCACGCAAGCTTGGTGGACGACGTCGTCCACCCGACCATCATGGCTGCGGAAACATGAGCAGTAATATCTTCATGGCTTCTTTATGGATCTAGAGCTGCTTTTGAAAGGATTGACCGGACTTTGACTCGGGCTAGTCGAGACTAGTTGACTCGAACTAGATCTAATGACTCGAAGGATTTCACTTTGAAGGCCCCCCTCCCGCCTCCCTGACGCCCTCCCTGCATTCCTCCCTGTCGTGCCATAATACTATTCTGCTTTTGACTGAAGAGGAGGGGCCAGACAATAGATAATAAGGATCAAGCCCTTCATTCATGACAGGCGGTTATTAGGGTTAATGTGCCGGTCAACCGAGACGTACAACTTCACATCATTTTCAAAGCTTTGACGACAAAGTGTCTTTTACAATGGCCAGGTTTAAGAGAGCAGTAAGAATCGCCAACTGCTCGGGCGCCGAGAGTATGTACCTTACCCACCGTGGAAGATGCATGCGCAGTCGAATCGGTGTCTGACATTACCAACTGCAGGTGATTCCGGAGTCCACATGTATAACCAGGCAAAGTTTGGACAGATTGATGTGATCACTGGCGACTATTTAGCTGGTAATACGCCATCAATACTTACGCGGCTGGTAAGATCGCTGACTTTTTTTGCAAAGAGGTCAATTTGGCCAACTTTGCTGTCGATAGAGAGGCTTTCGGCCATCCCGGTTGGGCTCCCACGGCCCTTGATGGTCTCGAACAAGCACTGGAGATTGTCAACGAGAAACGCATCAAGATCATCATTAACGGAGGAGCCTTGAATCCCAAGGGCCTCGCTGAAAAAACTCATGGTCTTGTCAAGGATAAGAATTTGAACCTGAGCGTTGCCTATGTCGATGGCGACGATCAAATGCCCAAGGTTAGACAAATTTTGGGTGACTTCAAGTCTGGAGTTCTGCCCCACCTTGATATTGCAAACGGCGACGTGAAGCTCGCCCGCGACACGCTGTCCTTCCTCGACGAGCCCGAAAAGATGCCTATCGTATCTTCTAATGCGTATCTCGGCTACAGGGCTATCAAGAGGGGTCTTGAGGAGGGGGCTGATATTATCATCTGCGGCCGAGTTGCAGATGCATCGCCTGTTATCGGAGCTGCTGCTTGGTGGCATGGGTGGAGCGATGAGAACCTCGACGAACTCGCTGGTTCTCTCATTGCTGGGCATCTTATTGAATGCTCTACTTATGTCACGGGCGCCAATTTCGCCGGCGCCTACAGATACCCCGCCGATGCTTTTGTTGGACTTGGCCTCCCTATCGTCGAGGTTGAAGGGGACGGGGCATGTATTGTTACCAAGCACCAAGAGCTGCCCGGCTTCGTCACGCCCGATACGGTGAAGTGTCAGTTGCTGTATGAGCTGCAAGGAGACATCTATCTCAACAGCGACGTCAAGGCAGACATCTCGAGTATCAAAGTTGAGTCCGAATCTAGAGATCGTGTTCGCGTCTTTGGAGTCAAGGGGCATCCGCCCCCTCCCACGACTAAACTTGCGACGTTTTATAAGGGTGGATTCCAATGTGAGATGCTCATGAATGCTACTGGATATGCGACGAGCCACAAGTGGGACATTCAAGAGACTCAGATGAGGGCGAAGCTGGATGAGTGGGGAATAACGGAGCAGCTCGATGAACTTGACTTTCAGCGTGTTGGCGTTCCTACGGATAATCCCGACAGCCAGTTGGCATCGACATCGTACTTGCGTGTTTTCGCGCAGGCAAAAGATGCGGCTGTTCTAGGCAAGGTTCCTGCTGCTTGGATGTACAATGGAATGGCTCATTTTGCCGGTCAGTGAAGACCGCAATACGCAAAAGCCTCGTCAATGGCTTCCGAATTATTGACAAGACCCCCTTTAGGTATGCACTGCAGCCTGGATATGAGAACGGCGAGGCCCAAGCCTTTCCTTGGCTTCTACCCCTCTCTGATCCCACAATCGGAGCTTGAAGAGGCAATCAACATTTTCAATGCAGACTCAACGAAGAGTCCCAAGCGCCTTCTCGTCGGACCTCCTACGAAGACCGAACCTCTGAAGCCCAGAAACAACTTCGAAACGAAGGACCCAGTTCCTCTCGAAAATTTTGGGCCAACTTTCACAAGGCCTTTGGGTGACATCGCCCTGGCCAGATCTGGCGACAAAGGCGCCAATGTAAACATTGGACTCTTCGTCCAAACGGAGGAGCAATGGGAGTGGTTCCGTTCCTTTATGACGCGGACCAAGATGCAAGAACTCATGGGCAAGGACTGGCGCGATTGGTATTTCATTGAGCGGGTGGAGCTGCCGAATATTTACGCCGTACATTTTGTTGTCTACGGGGCTCTTGGAAAAGGGGTGAGCAGCTCCAAGCTTCTCGATGGCTTGGGCAAGGGCTTTGGCGAGTTCATCCGCGCAGTTCACATTCCGATTCCGACGAAGTTCCTGTAGACGGGAGCTTCTCATTCTATCAACCGGGGCCTGGTGAGTTCATTACTTGGATAGTGATAATATATCACAGCATTGAATCCACAAACTGAGACTGTCAAGCAAGGAGGTTTTTGGAGTTTATATTTGTAGCTAGTTTTTCCGCGAATTTTGAAGCTCTGTTTTGTAGGTTACTAATAGATATCAGTCGTGTTCACAGTTCGGTTTATTAGTCTTCATCTGTTTTCCCTCCCTTAAGTTGTGACGGCCGGTAACCCTCGCGGTTCTCTCCTGCCTTCGTGGTGCTGCTTAGGTATTCCTCATCCCATCTCTCATCACCTCGGCGGAAAGGCGCAGCCAAGGATTGATTGAAAGTCATATATCCCTTGCCCAGTTTATTGAAGTCGTTTCACGGCGAAGAACGCTGAAATCCATTGATTGCAGGTTGGTTAGCCATGGTTGACTTCGACAGCGTATACGTATGCTATTCAGCTGGCGACAACGACCATACACACATCTCATAGATAAGCTGGCTGTACCTCTGGACAATTAAACCTGGGGCAAAGATGTGAAAAGTTGGCGCAGCTGCCCTTCTTTGGATACAAGGGTTTTGATTCTTGGTGACAGAGATTCGTCAGTCTCGTTACGTGGTTCTCCATGTCAGTGCATGTCATGTCGTTTAACCGGGATGGAGGATGGTTAATGTGCTCGCTCGTTACTGTAACAGCAAAACTCGTGACCATCGCCGTGCATACAGGAGCTAATCTGATCCGCCCCAATAGGAATAATTTCTTATCAACGCGGAGTTCCCAGGCACCTATCACACCAGAGTCGGCAGTTACGCCCTGAAGATGACACGGCCTTACATGGGCATATTGAGGGGTTGTTTCGAATTTTCAACGGTGTAAAATCTCACTTTCCCGCAGCATCGCAAGTCTCGCAGACCGGAATGCTAGATGGCGCAAGATGCAAGCCTGGAACCGAGAAGAACGTTGGGGGACGCGAAGTGCTTAGCTGCCCGTTGTTTTTGCAGGGGTGTCCGTTTCACTGTCACAATACCAACCACGGCCCTGCCGTTATCCGTTCACATATGCCATTGCACGATTTGCAGGTATACCCATGGGACGCCGTGCATCTTCCATGCGGTCCTTCCAAAGGGTTGCGCGCCTGACTTCGTAGCGCCTTCGAGAGATACGGTCTTGTCTGGATACAAACACGCAACCGCACTAAGCGAGCGACTATTCTGCAGGACTTGCGGGTGTCACATCGGTGATGTCGATCTTGAGGCCGATGGGGACGGGTTTACAGAATGGCGTGTTTCGAGCAGCATCTTTGAGACGCACAGTGAGGACATTTTCCGAATGACGTCTCACGCATGCACCAAGTCTTCGCCGGGCGGGGGCCTGTATCAGTGGCTACCCGAGGTAGGAGGCCGACAACTGAGAGTTTGGAACCCGGTTTCAAAAGGGGCGGAGCAAGCAGGCGATGCTCTCGGCGGCGCTAGTCCTGGATTTGAGAACGTGGGAGGAGGAATCGACGGAGAGCTGCGCGGAGAGTGCCACTGCGGTGGTGTTAGTTTCGCAATCTCGAGGCCGTCTTCGAGGATCCTGCAGGATGAGAAGCTTAAGAAACTTGTGTCACGTCTCGACAAGTCAAAGTGGCAGGCTATTCTGGATATCTGCGACGATTGCCGCCTGGTAACAGGAACCCATGTCGCTGCATGGGTGTTCATTCCACTCTCCTGTATATCCCCCTCATTGCCAGAGGATTTAGAACTCGGAACGTTGACGGTTTTCGAATCCACCAAGGACGTATGGAGAGCCTTCTGCGGCGTTTGCGGCGCGACGGTATTTTACGAGAATAAAATCAGGAACCGGGAAAGAAGCGAGAGGGTTATCGACATTGCAACTGGCATCCTCAGGACGCCTGACGGATCCGTCGGCAGAGGTTGGTTTACTTGGCACACGGAAAAAATCGCGTTCCAAGAGAGTGGTGATAAGTTCGACGCGGCCTTCTCACAGGCTCTGAGGGTGGGGTTCGGGTCATGGGGCAAACAGGAATATGGCGCTCGTGGCGGTTAAAGCTTGCAATTTGTGAGATGACCTGGGGAATAGCTATCTTGTTCCATTTAGCAGTTAGGAAGGTTTTTGGCTCGATTTTGACAATGCACCCTCGAAATTTAAACCAAGGCAATGTCGGTTCGCGATATCTTTTACGCTGCGCTGTCTTTATCTTGCGTCCATCCATGAATCCATGAGCGAGCACGCCAAGGGTCGCCGTGATGGCGACAGCCCCACCAAGCTCCTCCATCATTCCTTCTCCCGAGTCAAGCTCCACCCCACCGGTGTCGGAGCAAGTGATTTGTCCGTCTATAAATAAATCTCGGATTTCCCAATTCGCCCTGAGGTTGTCTGGCTGTAGACGTGGACACAAACCGCCGTAAACCATCCGGACAGTCTCATAACCATGCCGATTGTAACCGATTTCAAGCTGCCCGCCTCCACTGGCGCCCTAGCGCTACCCGGCCAATCGAGCGCCGCCATTTTCATCGCCTTCATAACTGCCGACGACCCTCACACGAATCAACCATGGTGCCCGGATGTCAGGGCTGCTTTGCCATACATTAAAGCAGCATTCTCCGCAGACAGTGCACCGGATTTAGCTTTTGTTTCAGTTGGACAGATTCCCGAGTAAGTTTTCCTCGTCCTTAACCCAAGCCATCTGGCCTGTGCTAACGTATGCAATCAAGGTGGAAAGATAAAAGCAACGTTTACCGGACTAAGTGGAACGTTCACAACGTGCCGACGGTGGTTCGCTTCGAGGCCGTGAGCGGCGTGGTTAAAGAGACGGGCCGCCTAGTGGAAGGCGAGATCCTCAACGAGAAGAAGCTTAGCAACTTTATTAGAGGCCAATGACCAAATCAGGTCCCTGGGATAGCTTAACCGAGAAGCACTGGGATTGGGGTTGCTTCTTCTGAGGTCACCTCAGGACGGGGTCGGTTGTCAAATACTATTGTGATAGATCAAATGTAAAGTTGACCAAACGCTCTCTCACGGAAGGTTAGCTGAGTCCAACTCGGGGTATTAACTCGTACCAAGCCTGAGCTCTTCCATGTGTTGTCGGCAAGGTTAGAGGACAACCTATTTGAGACTGAGCAGAAGCACGTCATGAATCGACGAGAGGTTGCCAGACTGGTGCCTCAATAGGCCCTAATGAGAAGAACTTCGATATCAGTGCCCCCGTCATCATAGAATACCATAGTCAGCTTTTTAACGATGGCACGCTTCATTCGATTGTTCAGTTCTAACTCCTACGCATCAGGCTCTACGAGAAGGTCGATTTCCGGCTCGCAAGTCTTTCCTTTTAGAGGAGGTGTAATTTCCATCTTCTCAGCCACAACTTCTCAGCCGCCTCCGGAAAGCTGTGGAAAAATTTCCGAAAAAAGAACGGTGTACAGGACGGGATGTAGGCCTGAAAAGCACGTCTGGGGTGCAGGCTTCGTGTAGATGCTCAAGACGCTGGTAATGTGATCTGTGGTGCAAGGGGCGAGAGGAGCGGTTCCGCTTGGAACGTGTCAAGCCTCTCCTAAAAATGGTATTCTAACCCAAAAGGCAACGCACAGCCCCAGTCCAATGGTCAGGTTGTTAAAAGCCTTGGTGTGATTGGACAAGAAACTCGGGAAGATTACCATGAATGAGCTATTTTAGCGATCAGCCCTACGAGAGTTGACGGCCCCTTGAAAAGAGAGTTTAAGCGTAATTCGTCGAGGAACCATTTTTTTAGAAACGAGAACTCGCTGAAGCAGGGGCCGCATCACCATCCCAATGACTCGGCGCCACCGAGCTGCAAGTATTTGAGCTGGTCAGAAATTCTTGGCATTGGAACTTTTGTTATGACAGCACACGGTCGGTTTCTCAAGACTTCGAGATGAGGGATGCAACAAGATGGATTTCTTTATACGAAGTATAAGAAGGTGGCTGGCCATCATAGTTGAGAGGCGGTTTTGTTGATTCTCGTACACCCATCTCCCAACCTACCTCTGCATTCGGACATACATCAAGATGGCTCCCGTTTACGCCGACCAGCCCTTCAAGCTTCTTCACACGCCGATCTATGAGCTCCCAAAAGATGAAAAGGTATGATGGCCCAGGCAGAGCTTCCGTGATTTGCAGCCCGATTTCCATTCAGCCACCTTGATAGCATTATCAATACACAATACTAAACTGTGTTTCTTTCAAGCCCGACTTCATACAAAGTCTAGCGAGTGACATGGTCCTGGTTCATAATATCCTCATTCGAGGCCTCAACTCCATCATCTTACAAGCTCCGCATATCCAGCCGGAGGACGAGATTGCATTCTGCCAGTACATTCTGCACTGGTCGCAATTCCTTGAGATCCACCACTCTGGCGAGGAAAAATATTTCTTCCCGGCCGTTGAGCGCCTGAGTGGCCAGAAGGGCCTAATGACGGTCAACGTGAACCAGCACGACAAATTTCACGCCCAGGCGGATGACTTTGCCGACTACGCGAAGGCTTGTATCGCTGGAACTGAGAAATTCAGTCGCCAGGAGGTCGTTAAGCGCGTCGACTCGTTTGCGGAAAACCTCGTTACCCACCTCAACGACGAGATCCCAACAATACTGGGCCTACGGGAGTTTGGACTCGAGAAGATGAAGCCACTGATGGCGGTTGTGGAGAAAGAGGTTAAGGAAGGCATGGTGAGTGATCCTGCCTGTTACCAAACCTTCCCTCAGTCGTGATTTATCGTTCGATTTCTCTCTTTTATTTTTCTCGTTCGGATGTGCGGGGTTACATACACGCCCGCTAACACTCGTGGTAGGGATCCATGACATTCACAGGCGGCCTGCCATGGTTCCTCTGCAGCAACGATGTGGGATTCGAGGATGGACTGTGGGCAGACTTCCCTCCAGGCGTTGCGCCAAAGGTCATCTCCTTTGTCTGCCGCCATTTGACATTTGGGGTCCATGCGGACTGGTGGAAATTCGGGCCCTGTGACCGATTCGGCAAGCTTCAGCCGTTGTATGCTGGACCTAAAGAGTGAATATGAGAGGTTGGAACGTGGATGGATGTTGTTGGATATTCGTCATTATCGTTATGGTCTTTTATTCGGAGTCTCGGGACCAGGATCGAGGTAGTATATAGAAGTTAATTCCACAGAGAGGGATGGCCCTGTAATTAGGGAGTCCTTAGCTGATTTTTCATATCAGGGACATCCAGGTTCTAAAACGACTGAAAAGACCGAGGAGCTTAAAAATGCATCCCTCGGCTTTTGTAAACGACGGTTCGGTATACTCGCGGGGGAGTGCATAGTGAACAGTAAAAGGCGAGGAAAAAAAAAAAAAAAAAAAAAAAAAAAAAAGTCTTGCCAAGGGCGCAGAAGTCAACCAAAAACAAGGAAAAGCACTAGTGGTTTAGTGGTAAAATTGGTCGTTGCCACCCCGCGCAGCTTCGACTAGCCCCCGGTTCGATTCCGGGCTAGTGCATCTCAAGTCGTTTCTTTTTCCGCTTTTTGGTCACGGGCCTTATTTTCCCTTTTTTTCTTCTCTCTCTCTCCCCCCCCCCCCCCCCCCCCTTTTTTTTTTTTTTTTTTTTTTTTTTAAACCGAGTAGATATCGAGGAATTGGGATGGCGGAAGCAAACGACAGTCATAGATACCGACAATTATCACCTCATAAATTCACGGCGCAGCAAAGATTGTACGCAGAAGAGAAAAAAAAATTCAAGCCTTGAGATACCGGCGGAAGAAAATTGAAAATGGCATTCGCTCATCAGTGACGGCGTCGAACACACCTTTCAGCTCGATCTGCTGCTTTAATCTCAGTCCACGCATCGTCGCCAACAGACCATAATCCTTCATGGCCCAGTCTACCTCGATATCTCGTCCATCAACGCAACCGGCCATCTCGAGATAGGAGAACGCCCGCTGCCATTCTCAATTGGCGAGAGGACATCCATCAGAGAGAAATGACGCTCTAACCGCTGGCTCACACACAATTTCCTTCACGGCATCCTTGATAGCAGAGGTCGCCTCCTCGACGTTGAGTTTCGGAGTGTCGCGTAGAACGTACCGGATCTCGACTCCCTGGCCCCAGTTATCCTCCCTCCAGGGTCGGTAATGAGAGTCAAGAATCATGACTTGGGCTTCGCTCGGCTTCCTCCTTCCAATTTCTTCCATGAAGCGGGCAGCCCAGCGCAAGACACCTAGGTCAGAGTAGGCCACTCCAATTGGGGGGATGTAGATCATATATGTGTGCATACGGTCCGGTTCGAAGAAGTCAAAGGGCCTCTCAGACACGAGGTCCCAGCGGTTGCAGGTAATTTCCACCATGGGTCTGTAGTATTCAGCTCCATGGCAGGTAAATCCATCGGCGTCCTTGGAGTCTGGTAGCCTGTAGCCGCCGGTATCAGGATTCAGTGTAGGCGTGGGAGTGCCGGCCGCGGCGTCGGCTCGACGGGCAATGATCGACTGGGAAGGGAGCTCGTTGGCATCGATAGTATCATGAGCATCTGTAAGAGCATCCGCGTCACCAACAGGCAGGAAAGTGGGCGCGGCAGAGAAGGCAACCGGGGAACCGGAGACAGTAGGCGCAGCATCGAAGGTGTCGAGTGAGGAGATGTGTTTGTGTTTCGCAGTTTCAAAGTGGCGCGGGCCGAGAGCAGCTGCAGCGGCAGTTGGAGATGCCACGAAAGGCAAAGCGATCACGAGGATCAACGGTAGAGCGCGCATCTTGGCTTGATTCAAGATATGTCAGTTGGAGGATTGAATACAAGCCGGGGTCGAGTACGTATTAGCATTTAAGGAGCTCACCCAGTCAGAAAATTGGCCGAGTTGAAAGAATTTTGGTATCAGATTCCGCAGAATTGGTTGGGTGAGAGAGAAAGACGCAGGCGCGACATTTTCTTGGTTCATGTTTACTTGGGAGAGAGAAAAACGACATCGAGGAAGGAGCAAGTGGTCAATGATTCACTGACACGAATTTCCATTCGCGAATTTCCATCGCGACTTCCTTCCCATTCCCCAAACTAGGGTCGCGTCTTAATCCAATATTCACGAATTTCATGGGACATATGCAAGCGAGTCACCTCTCGTCGACTACCAAATTGGACCCGCCCCCGATGTTGTGCAAAGCACAAGAACGGACCGACAGTATCCCGAATCTACCCTGAAAACTCGTTTCGCTAACTCATAATGGGTGTATCACCTCCAGCCCTTTTGGATGATAAGGCGTGAGTGTTTGAGAACTTAGAGCGATGCATACACCAGAGATCCTGTCTATGCCTAACCCCGTCTAACTGCCCCGAAGAAGTGCAACGACTGCATCGGGTGTTGAGTAGCAGCTGGCCACGAGTATTACGGTGTGCTGCTCTTGAAGAACTCACAAGCCTGCCATATGCATGCCCCGTCCCAAGAGAGGGCCTTAAACTTGCAGACTCATGGAAAATTTTCCCCGCCATGGCGTGGCCCAGGCAGTTCGGTCTAAGGCTCCAAGCAGAACCTGGCTCGAGTCTCCCGAGTAATGCTCGGCAGGAATTTCTGCACTGGAGATATTAATGCGTGCCAATGGCATCAGCGGTCACGTTGGCCGACTTGGCCTGGCCTCTTGCCTCAGACCCCAAAGGTTAAAACGGATCACAGGAACTGCGCCGCACAGCGACACACACGATGAGGTTTTGGGAGCCTAAAATAACCCATGCGCCTCCATAAAGTGTCACGAATGCACATTCCAGCTTCAGCCACCACACCTCCTTGAATCCTTCCAGCTAACCGATTGGCTCATATTCATCAGACAAAATCCAACGGCTTCAGGAAGCGCCAAAAGGCCACGCATCAGGGACCACACTACCGCCAAGGGCCAGGCAAAGGATTTTGTTCAATCCAGGCAGACGATTCATGCTGCCAGATGATAGTTATATAGATGGCCGACCTCTGTCAAACTACCTTGGTTCTGGGTTCCATCCCGGACGACTGGCAATTAACGTAATTCGAGCATCCACCGTACCACGTTGAGCAATGAGGCCTAGAGCTCCCGATTTCGACGGCTTGGAGCAGGCCATCTTGCGCGCGATTGCCGTCGGCCTGGGCATAGCTATCCTAACGCTATACATCTACGACACCATCAGTGTTGGCTTGGTAATCTACGTGGCATATGTAGCGGTTCGTTTGGGACATTTCCTCGTCTGCGCTGGGCTAATTCGGATACTTCATTACGATTCTAATGTTGATACTTATCATCAGGCTGGCTGGACCATCATCTACAACGCGGTGGATCTCTTTCTTCTTCTCGACAAAAGCCGACGATTCCCCCGACCTTGGCCATTGTTATATGCTCTACTGGAATTCATCAGCACAGTCCTGACAGCTGCCGCTGGTGTTTTCACAGTGCTCTCAGGCTTTCTCCTGGTTTTCAATAATAACTATTCTCGAGTACTGGTGGCAGCGGCGATGAACTTTATTCTTAGGTATGAACTCCTTGCCTTTCAGACTGGAGTGGTTTCTGATCCCTGTCCAAGTGCAATGCACTTTGTCCTCTTCATTTGGCTGGGTGACTGCTGTGGACTAGCCCGCGATAAGTCTTCGGATCCGTTGTTAAATCGATAATCCGAGGATTATTCTTGCCATCACCCATCCTGAAAATAAGTCTTGATTTGATACCCATGTACCATTATGGCCAATTTGAATCGCTGCTTGTAGTGAATACATCCTCATTTCAGTTTAGGGAGGTGATTGTGTTACGGACGCCAGGAGACAGAAATAAGTTCCCAAATGTGACGAGAATGTTGATATCTAATGTAAAGAGATGGTGAGAGATTTACAGACCTGTTAGCCAAGTGTTATGAAAACATACGCCTGCGCCCATTTCCTGATTATTCTCGGCCTTCCGATATTGCCGTCTTGGTCGTGATAGTAAAATGTCGGACACAAACAGTTAAAAGACGGTGACTTGTGGGCAGTCTCGCGGCGATTTACACCTCGGGATTAAACATGGCTTACGACTGGGTCAATCTCCCTCGCACCGACTCCCGATCGTAAAATCAAGACGGCCGAGGATAGTTTTCCTGTAGTCGGCCAGGAATACTTCGCCCTCTCCGCTGGTTCGAAGTTCCAAGACGGCAGATTCACTCATACTAGTACGATTACCAGTACCCGTCCACATTCCCGGCAGTATATCGTTAAATGCTGTACTTTTTGCACCACGCCACGGTACCAAGTCATTCAGGTGATGTGTCCAAGCAACGTGGGTATGGTTTGGTTGGCATTGGCCAAATCATAACGAAGCGAGGAGTCGTCTTGGTGTCCTTAACCCTGCTTCACAGCCCATCCAGCTGCTCTATTCAACCAACGTCACCTGGGCGTGGGAACGTGGGCGCCGTGAAAGACATCAACGGTTTATTACTGGAGTACGTATGATGCTTGCGTAACGAATAAACGAGTTGACGCATGTTGACCTATCGGTTCTATTCGATTCGTTAGTTCTTCCCGAGATCCATCAGGCTGAATGCCCTCACTCTACAGGACATTAATCGTCATCATTCCAGCTGGCGTAGTGTTATTCAAAAAGGATGATTCTATCTGCGGGTAGGTACTAGATCTACGTGAAAAGAAAAGAGTAAATGCTATTGGTATCACAATATATGAATCATAGTGCCGAAGTGCACTGCTCGGGTGTCGGCACTCGACAAAGTTCTCGGCTCAAGTGTGTGCGCGGGCATTGCAGGCTAGTCGTCATAAATACCCTGGATCTCGCGCCTACTGCGAGCGAACTTTGGGGTGCCAAGGCCTTGGCTTGATACAACTTCCGCCGGTATATTGAAATCGCCGCCTCACTCCCTCCCTCTTTACCATGGTGAACCTCACTCGTATCTTTGGATGTGCCCTTCTCGTGGGAGTTGCATTGGGACACCCCGGCGGCCATGACCGAAGTAATGCCATGTCGCATAACGATCGTCGTGCATTCCGCACGAGAGCTCGCCGGAGCCTGGATGCATGCTCCGAGAAATTAGAGCAAGACCGTACCCTGCATCGCGCAGCTGTGAAGCGCGCAGATGTCTTTCGGAAGCATGGCAAACGCGGGCTCTCTCGCCGCGACACCCCTACGGTTCTCGCAACCGACCACTCCGTCGAAGTCGATGCGTCTGTGCTAGAGAATCCTCACGATCTAGATGTAACGCTCTTCGAGTCCCCGACTGCGTGCATCGTTTTCCCCGAAGGGGAAATTGGGCCGTTCTGGGTTAAGGGAGAACACATCCGCGACGACTTGATTGATGACGAGTCTGGTGTCCCGCTCCACCTCCACGCCCAATTCATCGACGTGAACACCTGCAAGCCTATTCCGGACCTTTATATGGATGTGTGGAATGCCAACTCAACTGGCGTATACAGGTAAACTACGCTCACACACCAACGCCGGAACTTCTTGGGCCACCCCCATTCCCCTTAGTTTAATAAACTCCGCTCGTGGTAAAGCTCACATTTTGGAATGAACAGTGGTGTACAGTCGCCAATGAATGGCAACCCAGCGGACGATTCAAACCTCGTCAAAGCGGCTCTTCGTGGTATCCAGAAGACTGATGAAGACGGTGTCGCCACCTTCAAAACACTGTTCCCGTAGGACACTCTTAAGTCAACCCCTGTCATATCAACCGTAAAGAGATACATGTTTGACTGACATATGAAATTGAAAACCGTTGCAGTGGTCATTATGGCGGACGTTGCGTCCACGTGCACGTCGTGGCTCACTTGAACGCAGAGCTGCTGCCGAACAACACCCTTACTGGGGGATCTGTCTCGCACATTGGACAGCTCTTCTTCGATCAGGCACTCGTTGATGAGGTGGAAAAGGTGGCTCCTTATAAGGATAACACTGCAATCATCACTACCAACGAACGAGACCATGTTGTTAACTACGAGACGGCGGACTCTGAGTCAGATCCTTTCTTCTATTACACTTTGCTCGGGGACTCGGTTGAGGATGGCATTCTCGCGTGGATCACCATCGGAGTTGATGCCACCCAAGATTACGAAACTCAGTGCGGGGCTGAGTTGGGTGAGGATGGAGGCAAGATGTGCGAGATAACTGGCAATTTTGGTATTCCTGGTGGCTTCCCCGGAGGCCCTGGAGGGTTTCCTGGAGGTCCCGGTGCTCCTGGCGGTCCAGGTGCCACCCCTCCACAGCAGCCGTAGCTACGTCTTTTGAGTGGAATATTACTCTAATAGGCAACATGTCCGCTGTTTTAGCCTCTTCGTGGATATCGAAATCCGGGTTTTCAGAGTTTGGTAAGGGTCATCTTCACGCCCTGTCAAGATCTCCAGGGGGCGGGACGTTTAAGAAGAGGTTGCGAATGGCGAAAGTCCTTATTCCAATTACGAGGTATTCTTCAGCCAGGGATACTAGGTGATTTTTTGGTAATTCGCAGAAGATTGACATCCCGTTATGATATTGCCGTCTTCGTCTTGCCCACTTCGCAAATCGAGTCAACCCACGTTTTCCCAAGTACGACAATAAGCCTCCTCAGTAAAGAAAAGAAAATAGAAAAGACAAAGCAAAGAAATATTCGAAACTTTCGTACAGATTCATGACTCGTTTGAAGCTAATCGTATCAGCAACGCACCCCACGCAATATTAAAACACGCTCGAAATTCCTCGCCATTTGTCGTAGTCAAACAACACATGTCTTCGGACAATGAGAACCGGAAAATGCAAATCGAACCATCATCGTACAGCAATCTCAAAACACTTGGGGGTCTGGACCATCGGCCGCTCGTTAAAAACCGCAGTTCTCGACCTCCACACCCTCGCCTGGCCGGTGCGTCGGCGATCAACGACAAATCCGGAGTAATGTGACCAATTACCTCCACTGCTTGTGTTAGGTTTGGGTCCCACGCCGTAGCCGGCGGGAATGAAAGGTGTGTGACGGATCTGAAGCGAACTTCTCCTCGGCATCCTTGGCAGCTGGCTGCTTCTTCGCTGCGAACGATCGAACTAAAAGTCTCAGTGCAGGGATGGAAGCGGCAATGATGGTCACGGCTGGCTCGACAACACTCCATATTGCCAGTTGCATTGTGTCGCCTGAGATGATATTAGGAAAAGGGCAAGGAGAAGATGCTGGGGATTTTGGACGTGTACTTACCCATGTTCTCGGGATCAATCGAGGGAAACTTCGAGCACTTGATAAACGCAGCGGCGCCAGCACTGGCGAACATGGTGTCGTCAGTATTACTATCGGGGAGGACTCGTATGATCAGGCAGGCAGATGCCACACAGTGACTTACAAGATGCCCATGCTCATCGCGATTACACAGCCCATCTTCTCCTTAATCTCCAAGTTTAGAGGCAGGATGATCTTCCAGGACATGGCGGCGAACAGTAGGTCCATGACACCAGAGTAGGCTTAACAAAGTTGGCTCAAAATTAGCTTCACTTCTTGAGGACACAGCGTGGTGTGGTGTCGATGCAGACGTACCGCTAACGATGATGTTAAATACGATATTAATCCTCACGTCCCAACAGGTACCCTCAACCAAAGGGCGCCAGGACTTCTCCAGTGGAGTGCACCCGATCCAAAAGAGTAGCGCTGCCGTACCAACTAGGCTGTTGATACTGATGATGGCGAACCAGAGGAAGTACGCCATCCAACCATCCGAAACGTAGAGGAGCGTTATGGCGAATGAGCTCTTGCTCCAGGCCTGGCTCATGAGTGACAGCGTAGTCGAGAACATGCCCAGTAGCACCATGGAATTCAACGTGTCGACGCTTGGTGGTGTTGTCTGTGCCGAGTTCAATAGGTCAAGGATCACGGTTATTATAATTCCGTTGGCGACCAAGGGAAGCTAAGCCATATATATTCGTTGTCCGTCAGTCAAAGATCAACTCAACTTCCAAAAATGCTGCGCGGTCGAAGACGACAACTCTTCAAAATGCACACGGAGGACCTACCCAGGCAGCGAAGAGCACCAGATCATCGCGGTGTAAGCCCCGGCCACGGCGTTGTTTGTAGTAGAAACGAAGGAAGATAAAGACGGTCGATGAGGAGATTAGAACCCAAAAGGTCTCCTTTGTTCCCTTTGGCACGCTACTAATGAGATTGTCCATGACGTTTCGAGTCCCAACGTAGGAAGCCGTCGTAACGTCACTATCAAAAATACTCGCGACGCCGAACAAATCGCAGGTCGGGTGTCATATCCAGTTTCGTTCGTGAGAAAAGAAGTCGGTGCTGCGAAGGAATGTGGGGAAGAGAGAGATGAGAAACTTTAATCGTGGGATGAACATGCTATTGATCAGTTATTATGCCAATTGTTTCTGCTGGATATCGGCAGCACCGGATGATTCTCAGGATGAGAGGACTTGAACTCTACAGGACATCATGGTGGCGATCCGTGATCTGCGGCACGATCATAGGTGTTGAAACCGGGGCAATTCAATGGTATTTCTCTAAGCACTCGGTCCGCATAACCGTGCGGCAGTTGGCTGAGGCTCAATTAATAGCCAGGAAACACAGTCACGGACAGATGTTGGAGTTGTTGCCCAGCGGAGCTCTACGGAGGGTATTAACTTGAAGTCTAATTTTCAATTGATGGTCAGGTTAAATGGGCAAGCTGGACTTAGTGGACCCTTCTCTTTCATCTGATTCTTGCCGTGAGCAAATCATCTCAAGAAACCATACTCAACATTGGAGTTTCTGGTATCAAGGGGTCGATGAAACGCCAAAATGCCAAGCTAAGACATGCCAGCGAGACTGCCGATCGAGGATCGGCGTTTAGTATGCTAATTTTCGGGGAAACTTCATCTTGTCTGCACGGTGATCGTCAAATTGGTTTCAGGACGAACTATGTCCTCCGTGATGTAATACACCATCCTCCATCAAGCTGTGTGTGCACATGCGGACAGAAACCCCACATTGCGTCCGATTACCCTAGTTTCAACTCGCCACTCACCTGCCATCCTTTGCCGGTCTACGCTCTTGGACCTCTGAGCGGCCTGCGCGCCGTGTCTCCTGGATCGCCAAAAGAGATCAGATTGTCCTTGGAGTGAGGAGAGCTCGGGGTGAAACTCAGGGACGGCTGAAATGGCCATTGGGCCAAGGCCAATTGAGAGGACGTGCATTTTACCAGCACCGGAGATCTAGTGCCCGGCATGCAGAGCTGGCAAGCTGGCATAAATTGTGGTGGGTTGGGGAATATGGACGGGTCGAGGGCTCACGCGCTTAAGAGCTGCGGGCCTGGTCAGTGTAGATTTTCCACTTCCAGCATCGAAACTTGACAGTAGCACGCCTCGGCTGTCCTCTCCAGCTCGAGCATACTGATCCTCCCTTGGAATAGGATTGATCCATGGGTCCTAAACCTGGGAGAACCTACAGTAGCAGGTGAGCATCGACTAATCCCTTCTTATCTCCGCTTTCGCTCTCCGGGGGCAGAGCGATATCCGCCACTAACCGGTCCTTGTAAACTTTGAATGGTTACTCCAACGCCCTTTCAATGACAACTCCGCCCTTCAAGGAGTGGGATGTTTAGGGTAATTGGGCACCCCAGACTTAGCCCTATGGGCAACCACTGTTATTGGTTCCGTCCGACGCCTAGGAATCCATCGGGAATCCACTGGTTGATTTTAGTTCCGGAATACTTATATCAACCTGTCTAGTTAATCGTTAATATCCTACAGTTTGCTTTGTCCTATTTTTTTCCCCCTCAAGATCGAACTTGCACTCTCTTTACGTTGCGGCGTTCAAAGAGACTTTCGTGGCGGGTATACCGATATTTATATGTGGAAAACATACATAGGTGGCTCCCACAACCTTGTTCCTTGGCACCCCATGGAAACTCCCAGCGAAACTCGGTCAGCTCCTATCCCATTACGATCGGAACAAGACCACGCTTGGATTGAGGAAAATGGTGAACCAAACCTAGCTTCGCTTCAAGGTCTGAAGCCTACCGATCGAGGATGGGATGCATGGGTCGTGCTCATTGCCGGGTTTGTCTTTGAAGCCTTGTTTTGGGGTTAGGTTATAGCTATTGCCCGATCTTGCTGCTGGAGCTGGTATATTAACGGACAAGAACAGGGTTCCCCATGTGTTTCGGCGTCTTCCAGAATCACTACTCGCATATACCAGAATTCCAGGACGATAGCCACAATATCGCCCTCATTGGCACACTAGCCCAGGCTCTCTATTATCTCGGTGCTCCATTTTCTGCGCTAGCCACGAAGCGTTTTCCAAGATATCAAAGGCTGCAAATCTGGATTGGTTGGCCCATGTGTATCTTGGGGTTGTTAACAGCTTCCTTTGCGTCCTCGGTCAGCGGACTTATTGTTACGCAGGGGCTTCTCTACGGCCTCGGGTTCGTGATCCTGACTTACCCTATCGTCAGCATGATTAACGAATGGTGGGTTGCACGAAAAGGCATGGCATTTGGCCTAATATCGGCGGCCTCAGGAGCCACTGGCGCGGCTATGCCGTTTATTATCCAGACGCTCTTGGATACTTATGGCTATCGAACGACTCTGAGAGCTTGTGCAGTTGCAATGTGCATTCTGACCGGTCCTATCATTCCCGTATTTCGAGGTCGTCTCCCACCGTCTGAGCAAGCAAGTCTGGCTAGGTCTGACTGGCGGTTTTTGAAGCGACCACTTTTCTGGGTCTACGGGTTAGCCATCTTGGTCCAAGGATTCGGATTCTTCTTCCCCATTGAATTTCTGCCATCGTACGCGACTTCCATTGGGCTGAAGTCTATCAAGGGAGCTCTTCTTCTCGCTCTCATGTCCATCGCCCAAGTTCTAGGCCAGTTCGCTTTTGGGTACATGTCGGACAAGAACCTATCCGTAGGTGTCCTCGCCACGTCTTGCTGCGTGTCGGCGGCGGCAGCATCGCTGGCCCTCTGGGGTCCCGCTGACGCCTTGTGGTCTCTCATCGCATACAGCCTCATCTACGGCTTCTTTGCATTTGCGTTCGGCACTCTGCGCGTCGCAATGGGCAGGGAAGTCAGCGACGATCCATCTGCTGTCTTCGCGACCTATGCAATTTTTGTATTTTTGCAGGGGGTTGGGAATGTGCTTGTGGGCCCGATCAGTGCCGCATTAACGGCTTCGAAGGCGGTGTCGCGTGGGCATTATGGTGCCGGGAAATACGATGGGGTAGTCATCCTTACAGGCACGACATCTTTCCTTGCTGCACTCATCATAGTGTTCTGGAAAACCTATGCAAAAGTGTTGGCGTTTTAGGAGGGTGAAGATGATAGAAACGCGGTCTGACTGGACCGGATGCGCATGGGCGTCTGACACCATGCCACGCTTGGTGGGTCGCAACTGGGCTCTCTTGAGGACGTTGTTCACAGCTCAACGGTTCGTGGGCGGCACATGGAGCCTATTCTGGCCTGAGAAACTTTTTCACTCGCGCTGGCCTCCCGCCTCCTCGGTTCCATTAACAGCCAATGCAATGTAAACAACGATTGCACTAGACTCTATTCGTCTGATGTAGGAGCGATCAACGCCCTAGCCAGGCACTAAGCCGGAAATAGTTATTCCATGTCCTCGGTGATTTGCCTGGCTGTCTCTCCTGATTGATCGTACTACGAGCGGTGCTGGGATTCTCACGAATCGAAGAACGGGTTCGCCAGGCGCATGTCCAGTCTTCCCCAGTGTGGATATCTATCCAATGAGGGGGAGTCCGCGAGAAGAAATTGCATTCGCCGATGGGTTACTCTGATGTCAGACGCACAGGGCTGGATTCTGCTTTCTGGCCGTACTTTTGTTTTCAATATCTCTCAACATCCAATTTCATTGGACCACATTTTATGACACGCTTTTAAACTCACTAGCTCCCGACTAAGGCGTTCCGCGAAGTGGCGCCAGCTCAGATGACACCTCTTCAACGCTCCTTGATCGAAAATATGTCATTGGTCGAGGAATATCACCTTGTTTGACACAGCCCACTGCTCAGCCACCAGAGCTGAGTGAGCTAAAACCAGCCAGATATATATATAGACCGATCTGATCATCTCACAACTTGGAGGACCTGCGATCGTGTGTCGAACATTTACCATCCTCTTTCCCCTTGCCTTCAAGTGGTAACACCATCGCAACCTTTGAGAGCGAGATCGTCGTTCAGAATCGTAACCATGGAGGCCTTCCCACCCGCACCCCAGCCAATTGGCATTTTCGACCAATTCATCGCCCGACAGACGGAAACCGTTGTCGTGGATGAAAAGGTCATGTCGCTGTCCGGAGACAGCTTCGACATCAAGCTCGCCAATGGATTCCCGCTCCTCCGCGTTCAAGGTAACGCTTTGTCCCTCCGAGGCCGGAAGGAGGTCTTCGACATGGCCAACAATCATCTTTTCACAATTGTCAATAAGCTGCTGTCATTCCGGCCGACATTTCTCGTTGAGAATCCGTCTGGTCAGACCATCATGGAAGTAAAGAGCAGCCTTTCGACCCGTAAGTTGTCCACTCCCCCTCCCAAACATTGAATCAGGTTCTCTCCCGTGTGTCGCGCTTGAGGTTTGTTGCAGGACTGACAAAGTTTCTTTTCCGAAATAGTCATTGGTTCCAAAGCCACAATCACATTCACTTCCAAGAGCGGAAAGCAAGAAGTCCTTGTCATGAGAGGCAACTGGCGATCTTCCAGTGCAGATATCGTGGAGGAGTCCACCGGCTTCGTTGTGGCTAGAATCAAGCGCGACAGGAACCTGAAGCATTACTTTGCAGGTCAGCAGACGTATACCGTCACTGTCGCCCCGGGTGTGGACATGGCGCTCGTAGTAGCGATGTGTATCTGTATGGATGAGAAGAATAACGACAAATAACGTGGCACCGAGTGTGGGGGGCAGAGAGCTTCTCCAGATTGATACCCAGTATAATATTTATGCTCCATACAATGTAATAATTCGTCTCTCTGATCCTCTAAAGATATCCGTGCCATGTTTTCTCCTCTATAAAAGGGGAGAAGGCTCGGATTCACCGCACTGGAGTCAGATGCGTAACGGCGAGATCGGTTGCAACGAACCCTGGTCGTCTACAGAGCGTCGACGTCGGGTCCAGTGGTTCGACAGCAAGAGGTGACAGAGCAGAGGAGACACTACCGCCAGCTCTCTCAACATAAGCGATAAAATACGTGTTTTCATATATCTTGCAACTTTGTGATAGAAATCTATATGACTGAACCTAGATATAATTGTTATGCTCAAAAGAAGGCGGCGTATATACATATTTGGACGAAGACCAAACTCCGCTGAGCTTCCTAAACTTAGTAGCCATGGTACACTTTTTCAACCCAAGATATTCTATTCCGTCCTCATCTTCTAGTAGGACGAACATTTGGACGCTAGAAGATGAGCATGTGGCAAGACCCCGGGCTCTAGGCCATTACGGGTGAAAAACACAGTCCCTGGCCTCCACTCAGACCTTGAAGTGGCGTGTGCTAATCGTGATGGTTCTTTAAGCGGCAGGAGCTTCGTCGCATCCAACGCGAGTTGAGCTAACAGCAATGTCATCGTACCAGAAGGTGTTAGTGTCACCGCCGTACGACTCCCAACCGAAGTAAATACCAGTGACTTTGGGCTTGACGCTGCTTCGCTGCCACTGACCGGCGTTTGCGTTGGTGACGCCCGCCTTGCTTGTAAGACCGTCAATGACGTCGCCGTTCAACCAAGTCTCGACGGTGCCGTCGGTTCCTAAGTGGTATTCGAAACATTCCCAGGTGCCTGTTGGAAGCGCCTTAGAGGCAGCAATACCCTGCGGGGAGAGGTCGGGGAGTGTAGCATCGTCGGACTCGCGGTTGTACATCAGGATCTTGCTTTGCCCGCCAATGCGGAGGTGCTTGTTGGCACCTTGGGCGGAGTCGGGCATGGTGATAAAGGAGACATGGGAGTCGGTTAGTGCCTTGGAGGCTTTGCTGTAATCGGATGGTTATTAGTACCGTCTTTCACCGCTAGAACTCATCGCCTTTCGCCGGGAGGAATTAGCTTACATCCAGGCCCTGACATAGACATCGCCGCTAGGAACCTTCGTCGTGCCGAAAAACATGTGTCCACAATAGCCTCCCGCGCCATCAACCCTGACGGAGTTCTTGCCGCTGTGGGCGGTTGAGCTGTCAAGGCTCACTTTACCGCCCTGGTTGCAGTCATTAGCGTAGGTGGGCCAGGAGGCCTCATCCCATCCGCCTTCGAAGTCCTCGGAGACCTGAGCGAGGGAGAATGGGACCAAAGCAAGCGCGAGGAGAAAGGTTCTGCGGAACATTGCTGCGGGTCGTCTGCCTGGGGGGTTCGTAAGGACTTGCTTGAGGTGATGTGATGACGGATAGAGGGGTAAAGAGAAGAGTAGCCCCAAGGGAAAGGGAAAGGTCAGGGTATTTAGGTGCTCCAATTTGCAGCCCGGCGGTCCAGGTTCCGTTGCCGTTGCCGAAACAGTTAAATGGCTTGTATCGTCATATCCGTCTCTCCACCCTATTCCCCACAAATTCGGAAATTCGGTCCCCGTTTCCCCAATAGTGATGCGACGCCTTAGAGAACTTCACCAAGGCGCACTCTCCTCATTCCCAATCTCTTTGTCCAGTAGCTGCCACGGACAACGGTTTCGCATCTTCTCAATGACATTCGAAGGTCTTTCGACGCTCAAACGTTAGCTCGGTGACAGAACTACTGCTGTTTTTTGTGAGGGCTTACGAATATTATATCATCTTCGTCGCATCCCACCAGAAATCCGCTTTGAATGCACATTAGCCTAAATATCGAAGATTATATCCCAGCCGAAAATACTTCCATTCGTGGCATTTGTATACCAGAGGTGGTAATGGGATCATGCCGCATATATAATATTTAAATAAGCATCCACGGTTCTTGTCAAGCGTCGACTGTTCGAATTAGATGTCTTGCCCGGGACAACCCCTAATGTGGTTTATCACTTAATCCCTCTAATCTATTCTAACCCGGATCCTACGGGGCGATCGTGTAACTGAACCACGGCCATAAATAACAACGAAGGCTAGGGTGCACTTCACATTAGACTGATATAGGGCTTAAATCACGAAATTGAGCGGAAAGTCGCAGAGTCTATGCAATATGTACATTCATAGGGCTTCCGGGACGTGTACGATTAAATCGATACAACGGACTGGCAATATGCTTAGTTACAGAGTCACCGGGATGCCGATTTTACTATGATGATCTTCACGACTCGGTCAAGGTTAGATGAAAAGTAGTAATTAACGAGAGAGATTGTACTTTACCCAAGTCGACATACACGAAAGCTAAACAGTCTGTTCCTCCACAGGCAGGCTATAATCCATACATGCTACTCTTCCAATTCGGGGTTTTCATGCCCATTTACCCAGTAAAGCCATGAGACCTGCGCCTAGGCACATGCATGCGAAAGCGGCCAGGGTGACGGAAATACTGCCGCGACGCATCTCAGTGCTAAACAGAAACTCGTGGGCCATGAGCTCGACAAGGCCGGTATAGAGAAGGATGCCGGCCGAGATGGAATCGAATACACCGTTGACAATCAGGGTCGAAGAGCTTCCGGGGGCAAGGCTCTGGCGAACACCCAGGCCGGCAGCGATGGCTATGGGTGTTGATAAGGCGTAGAGGGTTCCAAGGAGATAAGGCATCCACCCTTTGCCAGGTGGCCAATGGGCAACGGCCAAACGTGACCCAAGACCAAGGCCCTCAAATGTCTGGTGGAAGACCAGGACGATGTAGAGCACCACAAACTCATCGCCAGAGACGGCAAGAGTCAGACCGATGAATATGGAGTGGAATATGACACCAAATTCGAGAATGAAGATGGCAGTCATTTGCATCGCCAGCGAGTCGAATTCGGTATGTTCCCGCGCGTGGCCCAAGTGTTCGTGTGCGGCAGGAACGCTTTCTTTGGGATCGGTCACAACAGCTGTGGTATTGGCATCTTGTTCTACATTACATTGTTAGTTGAGTGGTAATTAGAATGGAATCCTCCGTACTTCGTAGGTGGTTAAAGGATAGCACTCACCAACATCACCCTCTTTATCGGACTGCTCCAAACTCTGAGAGAAACCCGGGATGCCGTAGCGGCTGGAAATGAGTTCGATGAAAAACATCAAGAAGACTGTCATGAGGGCGATGCCCTCGGGCCACGAATATTGTGTAATCGGGCTGTCCTCGTCCAGACATGGTGAGCCGAGGGCCTCTACGGCTGGGGCAAGTAGATGAATAAAAGCTGTGGCGATAATGACTCCAGAACCAAAGTACTTGGCGATGAAGAGCGCGGTTCGGGGAAAGGGGAGTCGCTGGGTGCGGGCGAGAAGGATGGGCACGAGAGTGCCTAACAGAGACCCGACTAGAATAACGAAGATGGCGGATATACGAAGTCCCAGTCGGCCATCATAGTCGTTTTCAGGACCACATTCGATCGTCACGGTGAAAGAAGAACTATCAGACGAGTCCTCTCGCCGGACTAAACGGCCGATCATGATGCAAGTTGGGATTGGTTTTCTGGGCTTGTGACTCGTCGAAAAAAGAGATAATGTCTCCTGCAAGCCAAGACGCTTGGCAACTTGGCAAGGCTATTGTCAAGGAATAGAAGGATAGAAGAAGAGTGTAAGATGCGCGGGACAGGGCTCTCCTCTCCTATCCTGATGTTACGGCTTGGCAGGACGAGTTATATTGAACACCGAACGAGCAGATGACGAGGAACGAGTACCCTGATGGCCTCTGAACCATTCTTTTCCCCACCCGCCCGCGCGACTGGAGCTAGCGTCCGGGTAGATCGGCAAAAAGAAGACTTTTCTAGGCAATTATTGGGTTATCCTATCTCGTTATTGAGTGTTTGGGTCTCTTGAGGCCAAACGGGTTGCATTTATTGGTAACCGCACAGAGGAGGATCTGACGAGCTGGCCTGTGGGATAGGTGCAGCACCACCCGAGAACCTGGTCGCCTCAATTATAAAGTTGCCGTCATATCCGTCATCTAAGAATATCTTTTGGACATTTCTTGTGCCTGTCTCGTATGAATTATCTAGTCTATTACGTATTGGAGTATTCGCGTCCCGCGGGTGTGGATGCTGCTGCTTGACTGATGGTCTTTGATACCAGGGGGCAAGTATCCCGGTTCGTTTTGGTGACGTGGGGGGAACAGCCCACAAAACGGAGGGAATATTCATGTATCCGATCTTTACTTGCTTGTATTTCATTTATCGCGGAGTTTTCATAAAAAGGAACAAGCAGGAAAATATTTGTTTAGGTTTAGTCTAGGTTTTTGTCTCAGGAAAATTTCTTCTGATGTGGAATCTGACCCCACTGACTCGCTCTTGCCCTCGATCAATGAATATGACAAGGGACAAAGTCCACCGGTCCTCAAATGTAAAACATGCTGTTTCTCAACTTCAAGTGAGGCTCGACATCTGTATTCCCAACGGTGCCGGCCCGTCCTAGGCTACCAGCAACTGAGCCGGCTCCCGAAGCCGCGGGAGTCGAGTCGTACACGTCTTTTAAATATACCCGAGCGCGCTCGCACAGAATGTGCGCGTAGTAAACCGGGGCACAAATGCTCACGGCCTTCGTTGCCCTGCCGTACGTGTAACATAGGGTCTGGCTCAGGCTTTCCACCACGTCGGCAACATTTCGGTACGGAGGCGGGACGCCCTTCTTGTAGTGATCTCGGAAAATCTCGTCGAGGATCACGACGTAGTGTGCGGGTCTCGCAGTGCCCTGGATCGCAGTGTGTGATTGGAGGTAAAAGTCCCAGGTTCCCGCCTCGGTGATGCCCCGATCGACGACGGTGCCAGCTGGGTTATTACCCCCGCGATCCGCGTCTTTCTCGCTCGTGGGATAGAAACGCGTGTGGTGTCGCTTGCTGACGATAATGATGGTGAGCCGTGGCAGCCCGGCCTTTTGATCGGCCGCCGGGTACACCTCCTTGCAGGCCTCTCGGAATAGCGGGAGCTCTTCAACCAGAACCTTCTGGTACTGGCCTTCCGACACGCCATCACGGTACACGAGGATGTTTTCCGGCAGAGTCTTGTTCTTCCCGAGCTCTTTCCACAGTCGCAATCTAGACTTGAGCATGTCCTTCATATCCGAGACCATTTCCTGGCGTGCTTCGGATTGGAACCTGAGCACGCCCGGCCACTGAGACACGTGTCTGTCTATGCTCGCAACCATGCCTGCAACGCTGGGGGCTGAGGTGCTGGATCCGGGAGACGGGTGCGTGACGTCGATGCCCACAACCATGGTCTTGCCCTCGTTGACGATACCGAGTCGAGATGGGTCGACGAGCTGATTCTGGCCGCCGAGCTTGAGATTGAATTTCAGAGCGACGTTGCTAAAGTATTGGTCTTGGCCCTGTTGCTTGGCCAGCTTGTCGGCCACAACGCAAATGGTGTGGAGACCATACCTTGTGTCTCCGTACGACTTGATGCGGTAGTACACGGGAGTATTGCTGGTCGGGAGGATGACGAGGAGGAGATCGAGCGGTCCTGCAGCGCCTTGCATGAGATTGCTGAGCTGCGGGTCGTCGGGGTTGTTGAGGTTGAGCTTCCTTCCTGGCATGGGAGGGGCCACCGTGATCCCGCGTTTCTTCAAGACTTCGGCAAAGCTCCTGATCACGTCGACCGGGTTGACGGAGTCATACACGTTCCGGGTTCCCGGATGTGTGACGACAAGGTACGACCACTTCTTCAAGTTCCCCGCGGCGCTGAACTGGACTTCAGTCATATTCCAGCCCCCGAAACGGACTTGAACCGACTTGGCTTGTTTGTACAAGACCTTGGGCTCTGGGAGAACCCGCCCTGGAACCTTGATTAAGCTGGGGGTTAAGGATACGCCGAAATGTCCCTAAATGGAGTTGGCCATATTAGCGATAACCCATTACGCTTATTTTCTTGGGGAGTGGATATTTGCTGTGTTGGGGACAGCCGCTTTGATGCACTTACCAAAAGGAGGTTTGTCTTGGGTGACAAGCCCACTGTGTTGAGACCGTCCCGCAGGATCGACTCGGCATTTTCCCACGGTTTGCGAACGGCAAACCGGATCATGTTCTGGGTTTGTTCTGGGCTCAATTTGGTATTCGCATTTTGCCCGGGAAGTAGATTGCAGGCCTCAGGGGGCAGATATGTTGGTCGCTCTCGCGTGCCAACGTTGACGACGGGGATATTCGCATTGACAGAACGGTTATACGCTACGGTTAATCGTTAGTTTTCTATGCCCGAAGAGACCTGATTGAGAAGGGCAAAGGGTCACTCACTCTGTTTGAAATAATCGTAGACGCTGATGTATTTTCCGCTTCCTGTCGAAGAGGAAGGCTTGCTGCTCTCCGCGGCAGGGGCTCCTTTTCCTTTCTTCTTTTTCTTTCCTGTCTCGCCCTGCCCCTGTGCTGCAGCTGGTTTGGCCGAGCCCGTGGAACTATCCATCCAGAACTGAACTTCCTTCGGACCTGCGCCGAACCTTGCGACTTTTGGCGGATGCTCCGTACCTTGCCCATCATTCTGCGTGGCAAGTCCGAGAATCGTCTTGGCTCGGACGATGACCTCGCCTCTCTTGTTCTTGCGTTCGGGGAGGTGACGCATCGTGATCCTCAACCTCTTCACAAAGTTGTGAAGCCCTGTCACGTTGCGATTCCGGTCTAGATATTCATTCATCACCGCATCAAGAGGCCCGCTCTGATAGAAGACGCCATGGCTAACATTCACGTTGACTAGGATGCGGGTGGTTGCCGCTCGAACGCTTGCAAAAAATCCTCGTACGGCGACGAGGCCAGCACCAAGGCTATAGTTGGCGGTACCCTCCTTGAGGGAAAACGTCTTGTTGCGGCCTACCGAAATGAGGTCCTTGGACAACCTGGAATGGTGGTTTAGAAAAATGTCCAAGGCCTGGATCGTGGGCATCTTGTCGACGTAGTCGGCGGATGGGGCGGTAGCCTTGAGGTGGTTGATGAGGGTCCCGATTGAGAGGGTGTTGGTAAACAACAACCTAACGGTGTAGACTGGCGCATCTTCTCGAGGTTCCTCGAAGCGCTCATCGTGATATGTTACTTTGATCGAGATTTGATTGCCTCCGAGCTTTCGCCGCGATATCAGAGTTGATTTGAAATCGGAGACGATATCTTGTTGGAAGCCCGCGAGCTCGGGTGCTTGGAGAACTTGTCGGATTATCTGGGTGAGCTTTCGACCTGTCGCACCTGGTGACGTCGAGATATCATAACGGTAGAGTGTCAGGTCGGAGGACGCCACCAGCTCGATGTAGTTGGCCCAGACAGTTATAGGGCGCCCTCCTGTACCGTAACCTGGCCGTAGAGGAGGCGAGGTCTTCAAGCTGAGATTCGCAATTTGTTTGGAGAGGAAGTCGTCTTCGGCTTTAGCAACCGTCGTCGAAGGTGGAGAATCGGGTCCGCCGGGTCTGTAGTCGAAAGGGGTTAGTTAGCTCGCCATTCATGCTGGACTTTGCGGAAGTGGTGAACACCTACGAAAATATCCTGGCGCCTCCACCACCACCACCGCCAGGACCGAACCCTCCACGGCCACGAGCGCCGCCGCCGCCGCCGCCTCTGCCACCTCTACCGCCTCCCCCACCGCCTCCTCCGCGACCTCCTCGACCTCCGCGTGGTTGATAGTGTGACATGGATCACAATCGTCGCAAGTAAAAACGGAGTAAATAAGCGGATGGTATTTGGAAAGGAAGAAAAGTTTGGGCTACATAAGTTTGGTTTGGCTGGGAGCCCAGCACGCATTTATGGGGGGGAGGGGGAGATGGCGAAGGCACCCAAGGCCCTGGTTGGGCTGGAGCACTCAATTGGTGCCCGCTCTCAGAGCCTGCGGGAGGCCAACTCTCTTTGTGTGACGAGGACAGAGCATCCAGTCCTTGCTTCGAATCAGATGATGGAGTAATTATGTGGGTAGTTCGACAGTCAATATCTTTGTACTGTGTCTCTTGATGAAATCCTCGACTGAACCAGTGAATGATTCGGCCTAATGCTAGGGGACTTGTTTAGAGGAGGCCTGAGGTCCTGTTCTGTTTTCTTGTAGCGCTACAGCAGACCGCCGGCGCCATCTCAGATCAAATGATTGATCAATACGTAGATCATTGATGGATTTAACCTCTCAGCGGCTGGCGAGCCAGTCCGGACCAGACAGACAGGTGCAGCCCTATATTCCCGCTCAGGACTCAGGAGGCTACCATGTGCCCTGGTAAACTAAGTGTATTAAGTTAGGACCCCTGTACCTAAATGAAGTACCTGTGTATTCATTGTTGACATTACTGCTTCACTTCACACGACCCCTTCCAGGGCTGTGAGGTGACGCATACTATCAGACTTGGTACCTGTGACGCCATTCACATCGCCAGGCAGAACACGTGAGCAAGTCTGTGAATTCGTTAACCGGAATGGCGATCAGTCAGGTCCTCGAAGTCGACTCGAAACTCAGTTCGATGATGTTCCTTGGAGGATGTGCATCGAAACGTGAAACAAGAACGAATCTCTCTCAATTTTTGAGGTTGACATCTCATTGCCCTTCTTTGCTCTACTTTCGTCCTTGTTACTGTCCATTTTTTTTTTCTTGCCTTCTTCTTCTTTCCTTTTCCCCTTATTTTCACTTCGCTTTTTTCCGCTTCTTTTCTTCTCCTTACTTTTACTCTTTAGTGAAAAAGGTAAGATTGGATTCGAATTATTTTGAATACTACTCCTCAAACTGAAGATTTTGGTTCAGCCTACATAAAGGCCCCATGTTTCGATGCGATCTGGGAAAACGAGGGCTTCTACTATCTCCGAACCACTGATCAGGGCCATGAGGCTTATGTGATGCATTGAGACTAGGACTCGAGCCTGCGCTTCTTCGCCGTCTCCCTGGCAACCTTCGCCCGCCGCAACCAATTCAGGCGCGCCAAGTAAAGGATCAGAGGAAAGGTAGATGGCCGACGTTGTTGATGCAGTACCATTCGAGATCAGCATGGAAGAGCCACCGAGAGAAGACCTCGCGTTAAAACACCTTTGCCTAAGTGAGACGCTCTCAGACACTTCACCTTCGTGATCTCTGCGGGCGTGGCAAGGCTTCGGAATCTCCTTGGATGATGCACCGCTTAAGAATGCTTGGGGAACCAGTTGTGACAAGTGGTGAAAACCCCATTTTCCTTGAGTTGCACGTCCTCGATGCTGCGTAATCTGATTCCTGAGTGCGCATGCAGCGCACGAGAGGCGCTGCCCACCTTCGGCGACTGGGAAATATATTTACAAGTTAATCTAGCAGCTCCGTGTGGTGAAGGCCGGGTTCTGCATGATTGTGGATGTCGCCCAGTAAACATGCAGTTTTCGTTGCGCATACTTGATGAGGAAGGAGACGGATCCGTGGCAAAAACAAGTGGCGGTCGGGTCGACAAGTCGGCCCTTTGATAAAAAAAAATACTTCATTTTATGTCCTGTCCCTACCCCATCTATCTCTTTTGTGAAACGGGCTCGTCAAATGGGAATCTTGTTCCGACATTTGCCCATTCAAACAAGCCGTGCTCTAATGGGAGAAAGGGGTGTGATTTTTAGTGAGAATTTCAGGGCAATCGTCATCACGCATGGCAATTAGATTATTTAGGCCCGATACGGATGCGCCGAAGAGGGCGGTGGACCGGTGCTGGAGATGGATGCAACGATCAATCCCCCCCGTCCTCGGATATTTGGCTCAGGGATGTGTGGGATGTATGGAATTCCTCAAATCGAGATTACCCCGCTCGATCCCGGTGTTGATCGGACGGTCGCGCCATTTGAAACCGGGCTGTGTACTGAGGTAGACGCGGGAACCTTGCAAAGTGGAAAAAACACAGACGCAAATCCGTCGCAGACCATGCACTATTGGCTTATCTGCACACCTTGCGCCACGATGGATGCGGGTCTTTCGTCACTTGGAGAGCCAATGGCTTTAACGGGCAATCGTCGGAACCTCTCGTCCGTCGACCGACAGATGGGTGGAACCGCACTATCAACATCCCATCAGGGAGAAGGAAGAGGGAGTATTTAACCCGATGAAGAGAGCTGGTGGGTTCTTGAAGAGTTCCTCTCAAGTTCTATCGGATTTTGCAACTCCATTCCTCAACGAGACGGAGCAGATTCGATTGTTCAACGTTGCATACAAAAAATTGTGTCATCATGGATAAATTTCTTTCCGCCTCAATAAAAGATGTCTCTAGGCTGTGTGAGTACGGCTTCTACGACTATGTCATCGTCGGCAGCGGCATGGGCGGCGGCATTCTTGCCCAATGCTTGCTGGAGAGTAGCAGCACGACCAGGGTTCTCCTGATTGAGCGCGGAGGCCCCGTTTTCAGCACCCATTGTCTCAACGCACCTCGTCCTCACTGGAGTCACAATATCCCCGCCGGTCCCTCCCAGGACAATGACATCGTCTATCATGCCCTCAAGGCGCCCGTCAATACGGTCACCCAAGGATCGTATCCGTATGTTGGCGGTGAATTTTTCTGTCTTGGCGGACGGGGCAACGTTTGGGGATTGTACACGCCAAAGGCGCATCCCGAAAACCTGAGAGCAAACTTCCCAAAGGAAGTTTCCGACTACTTGCTGGAGCAGGGCGGCTACGACAAAGCATACAAGATCTTGGCCAACGACCCACATGCAACACTTGACCGACCGTATCCTCAGAATGGCTCTGTGAACACACAAGTTGTCGACAAGATTAGCCAGCTCATTGAGAATCTGGATAGTGGTACCAAGGACTGGGGCTGCCGCTTTACCAACTGCCCTCTGGCCGCCGAATTCGCGACCCGAAACCCGGGGAATGCACTTTACCAGTTTTCGATGGGTGCATTTAGCCCGGTCAACTGGATTCTGGACCGCGTTTACAACAGAGACGAACGCCTCACTGTTCTACCCAACACAAGAGTCCTCACCGTCAACCGAAAAGCGGAGGACAAGTCGACCATCGTGAGCCTTACCGTGTCTAATCAGGCCGGTGAAGAGGTAGAAATCCCGGTTGTGAATGCCGCCGTGATTCTTGCCGCGGGAACACTGGGAAGCCCCTCGATCGCTCTGCGCAGCGGCCTCGGCGAAGGATGCCGACCCGCCACGGAATCTGGTAACCTCATCGGAAAGGGGCTCATGGATCACGACATTTGGGGAACGCGTTTCGAGGTGTTGCAGGGGCCACATCTCGCAACGCTCAACAGCCAACCACTCAAGCTCAATAGCTGGGTCAAGTTCGGCGACGAACCAGTCCTAGTTAACATGGCCGTCAACGCCGACACGTTCCTTGGACCGGCCCAGGCAGAGGAATTGCCCACGGTCTACCTCGACGAGAGCCTTGGCGAAGTTCCTGAGGAAAAATTCAAAGAGGCCCTGAAGGAGCAGAACGTAACCAAGAGCGTGGTCCAGGTAGCCTTTTCACTCGGCGCCCATCTCGACGACAGGAACAGAGTCCTGAACTTGCCGGATCCTACCACGACCATCCAGATCGAGCGTGTCAAGGACAATACCGGCCACATTCCTGAGATGCAACGCCTTGCACAGGCCATCGGTGCCGCATTGGGGCGAAAAACACCTGACGACCGCCGTCCACCGCTCCCGAATGTTGGGAAAGCCGGTTTCGGAATTGTGGGTCACGAAGTCGGCACAATGCGGATGGGCAAAGATGGAAAAGGAGTAGTCGATGAGAATCTGAAGGTCAACGGGTTGAAGAATCTCTATGTTTGCGATCTTTCCGTCTTCCCCGTCAGTCCGGCCGCGAACCCAACATTGACACTTGTTGCTCTGGCTCAAAGACTAGCCGATCATTTGCTCAGTTCGAAGTAGACGACGACCCATATTGGTTTTATGCGTTTTGTTTTTCCCCGGCTTATAGCACGTCCTAGACTGATGCGGATAGCATGAATTTATGATTGAAAGACTTCTAGCATAAGTAAAAGGATACATGACCACTAGAGTTAAAAAACAAGCAATATCATTCTGTTCTCTCCACTACAACAGCAGCGTGGTTAATTCTTGCCGTGGGATATCTCGAAACTTCACCTATGAACAACAGGTTGTCTTGTCCCGTCCGTTTCGACCTCCAGCAACCATTCTCTGGAAAAGGGGGTGGTAATGCCGACAGATATCGAGCTCCAACATCGTGTACTTGTACGGGTCTTCGGCGTAATGCTTGTTGTAGTCCCCTACCATGTTCAACCCGGGAATTGCGGGTATCCAGTCCTCCCGTAGCATCTCATCAGGATCTCCGTACTTTGCAGCGATTGCTCGGACCTCGGGATCATCAAGAGCCTTGAGTCTCCCATGCTCAATAATGGCGACATCTTCGCCATTGACATCCTCGGCAATGTATGTCGGGAAGTATAAATGGATGTGCCAGTGACCCACCAGCTTCCCGGCCATTGCGTCGGCGCGCTCGGTGTCTGCGGAGATGATGGTGCCAAAGCCAATGTGAATAATGCCAGACCGCATTCGCTCGTACAATCCGCAGTTGAACCCGTTGGCATAATTTTCGCGGGGACGGTGGATCTTTGGAGAAGTACCAATAGACGCCTCCCACCACTGCATAATGCCAGGCTGGTTGAAGCCCGAATATTGGGTGCCAGCGGTCTTCTTGGCAAGTAGTCGCAGCTTCTCTCCGAAAATGCCACCTCCCTTGATCTCGGTGATTACCGAGTTCTTGATGTGCATTTCCATGCGAGGATACGGAGCGATATGGTTCATGGTGCCCTTGATGACTCCCTCACCATCTTCCTGCGGAATCATGAACGGAGGACGGCCCCAGATGTGACCGGGCAGATATGTCTCGCCGTATGGGACATTGGAAGAGTAATGCTTTTCGACGTGGTCTCTGCGGTAGACTTCCCGAGTGCCATTCCAGTAGGCATCGTGGTTGGTGTAGCGGATGTCAGTCCCCTCGGGATCCGTGATGTGGACTCGCTTGCAGGCCCTGATCCTTCTCCAGGTCCACTCATCAATGGCGACGAGAACTTCCGCAGGAAGCTGGTGGCATGGAGACACGACGGTCTCTGGGACGATGAAGGGCATTCTTTGGATCTTGATCTTGCGCTCACGAAGGATAGGGCCTCCATACCCTTGGATTACCTTATCCCATTTTCCTTCTTTGTCCATGACTTCCCATGAGTCTATCCACTCAGCAAGCTCTTTAGTACGGAAAAGGTAATATTCCGCTTCATCGTGGCCCTGCCATTGGGGTGGAGGTCCCTTGTCCTCGATATCAATGTGAAAGTCGGTCTCGTATTTCTCAAGGATTTTCCTCACGCCATCGATGACCATCGGATGGTGCCAGTTTGACATCTTGACCAGGACTTTTTCACCCTTCTTGAGACCCCACGCAGGCCAGAGCCCTCCGGAGTATGGGCGCTTCGCAACGGCGTCTAGAGAAGGCAGGAGTTCTTCGACGTCTTTGACGGGCGGAATGTTGGGACATCGAGGGCTTGGGAGATTCAGCTTGTCCAAATTGGCGAGCTCCTCGGGTGACATTGGAATCCAGTCCTTAGCGGTCGCATCCCAATCTTTGATGTAGGTAATGCTGTCAGGGTTGTTCTTGTAATAGCCTTCAATTTCGGGCATTTTGACGAGGTTGGTCTTCTGTTTAATTCTTCAAGGAGTGATGAAGGTGGTGAGTATATGTAAAATAGAAAATAAACTGAGCTGGAATCCTAATGGTTATTTCTTGTGCTTGTGAATGAGAAGATGGTGAGAATCTTGTTGACTTATATCCGAAGCATGGCCCACAATGTAAGTTGTGCTCGCCTCCTCGCGACCAGAGTTCTTTCGGAAGACTTTCCGAACCTCGTCTTCGCCTCTCCGCACCCCGCATATCAATCTGGTTTAGCGTGATCCCACTCCACATTCACTAGTAAACTAGGGCAGGCATGCTTCATAGACTCTCGATTTGACTTTGTGGCACTATGCCGAGGAAACACCAAGTCCTAGCCCTAGGCCCTTGGAAATTCCATGGCGGAAAAGACAGAGCGAGTTGAGCCCCGGTTCTACCCACATTCTATCCCCGAATTCCCATTTATTCCTCTGCCAGAGTAAGCCCCGACATACCAAAGAAAAAGACCATGCCACCGTCGTCAGAGAGGCGCAAGATTGCAGTTGCGTGTGAGAACTGCCGTGCGAGAAAGGTCCGATGCGACGGATGTCGTCCAGGTAAGGCCGATCTGTCCCTACGTCCTCCTAAATGCCCACGCCTTTGCGTGCGTGGATACTGACGGTGGAGCCCTGGAGTGTGCCGTGCATGTACCCGCCGAAATGACCTGTGCAAGTATACCGTCTCACTCGCTCCATGGGATCGCCACCGGCAAAAGTATGTAGAGGAACTGGAGAGGAGGCTCGAGGCTCTGGAAAGCACCCAGACGTCACCAATGAGCCAGATCGAGGGAACAGGTGGTCGTTCCTCGTCTCCCCGAAGCGATTCTAACCGGGCCCCATCGATGTTCGACCATGATTGGCAGGGGAACACACCCTCTCAAGTCGCTCCGGACTGCCCTCCACAATTGACCGGTTCTGTCCATCTCGGTCAGTCCTCCACCGGCGTCTTCATCCGCGAGCTCCAGAATACCATCACGCGACCGAACCCCCAGACAACTCGGAGCGTCACTCTTGAAGATCTCGCCCCCCATACGCCGATTGGCGATCGGATATCTGCCGATTATGTTCTTCCCCGGCGTCACACCGCGGACGAGCTCTTGAAAGTTTACCGGGCCGTTCACTATCCGGTTTATCCGGCGATTAATTGGACTGAGATGCTGCGAGAGATTGACGCTCTTTACGCGGGAATTCAATCATCTGACAAGTGTCGAATGACCCTCTGCCTCGCGAACCTGATGTTTGCGCTGGCGGAGCGGAGCAAACTGCGCGACCTTCCTAGCGATGCTGGTCGGGGTTATTTTGAGCGCGCAAAGCGGCTACTACGATTCGACATCTTCGGAGACATATCGTTCCAGGTCATTCAAGCCTTGATCTTATGCGCGCAGTATCTGCAGAGCGCCGAGAAACCTCGCCAATGTTGGGTCATCGTTGGACTCGCGATCAGGGCAGCACAATCGATAGGTCTTCACATTCCAGAGGCGATCAAAAACTTGCAACCGGAACGAGACCAGCGCCTGGCTGCGGTCGTCTGGAACTGTCTTGTTACCATCGACCGCACCCTGTCCATGACGCTGGGCCGGTCGCCAACGCTATCGCTTTCCGCGGCAAGGGCAATCGCAATTACTGATTGCATCACCCAGGATAACCAAGAATCCGACGATCCACCTTTGTTCTTTGTCTATTCTTATCAACTTTTCGATATCCTACACGAAATTCTTGTCTCGCTATATATGGAGGGCCCTAAAGTCGCGCCAGCCATCGACATTTTGAGCCATACCTCCAGGCTGGAAAAGGAGCTGGATCGATGGACACGCAGACTGCCGGAGCAACTCAGCCTCCAAGACGACCGTCCCATAATGACCCAAGCCCACTTTCTTCGGCAGCGGTATCTGCAAGTACGCATGATTTTACTACGTCCGGGGCTTTCCGCTATCATCAAAACTCCTTCTACCGACGGTTGGGATTTGGAAGAGGCCACCACTTGGTATTGCGCCACACGGTGCATAGAGGCGGCCATGGAAATGGCCGACATTGCAATTCTCCAATTCCAAGCCGATGCAAACGGCACAGCTGTAGCTCCCTGGTGGTATAACATGCAGTTTTGTTACAACGCAGGAGCCTCTCTGCTAGCCGCACGTTTGTGCAGCAAGACAGCCGACAGGATCGGGCCTCAGCATCTCGACGAAGGCATCGGTAACTGCGTTAGGACTCTGAGATCCTATAGCCCGCTATGCCCAACAGCGTCTAGGTGCCTGTGTGCGTTTTCGTCCGTAGCAGATAAAGCTGGCTGCGTTCTCCCGTGCATGCTTGCCGACGTCACCGAAGGGCAGCTTGGGTTCGACCCTGTTAATCTTAGCAACTTTGAAGGATTTCCGATAGAAGACTACTGGAGCTTGAACTGGACTAGCTCATCTTCCACAATATTTGACCAGTTTGGTCTTTTGGACGAGCTTGGATGAGTTGAATCATGGCCGATGTCTGCCGATTAAACGTTCCGTATCACTGCGTCCCTACTGTTCGGATTCTATGTCCCCCTAATCAATTTGACAACCGGTGATGAATAGAATTGGTGATGCTTATCTCCCCACACAAGGGTATGTCTATCTTAGGATATTCACCCATCTCTCATGCCGTTGTCTAGACCCGAACTGGCCATTCTTGCATATCAAATTCCAAATTGGGCCCTTAGAAGTAACTTCTTGGCGAGATGCGTAATAAGCTCTCGGAAAGTCCTCCGGGAATGATGGGGATGATGTTGGGGTAAGAGATCATGGTAAGGAGTAATGACGGGAAACACTTGGGCTGCCCTTCTGCTCAGTCCAAGCTGGGGGCCGCTGGCGCTAGTTAGAGCCGGAAAGTTCTCCGAGATACCACTAGACGACGGCGCTAGAGACGAATCAAAATGTTGAATTGCTTTCCCCGCATCCGCACAGATCGTATTGCAGGTGGTGAGGAATCGGAAAGTCGTCCGAGGTAAACCTTACTGCGCAGCATGACTGCCGATCCCTCACGTTCCCCAGATTTGAACCAGATCGTCGGTTTTGTCGATATAAAGAAGAGCGATGGAGCCTTCGGATCATCGAAAATCGGTCCAGATGATACTTCAAATCAAGCCTCATCGACCAACTCAAATAACTCCTCCACAATGGCGGATAAAGAAGCTGCCCGTAGTGTTCATCACGTCGATTTAAAGGAGAAGTTCGACAATCAAAGCTTGGTTGGCAAAGAACGACGCAATGGCTACCAACATTTATTGACCGAGGAACAAGAGCAGTTCCTCAACAGCGTTGAGCCTTCTGAGCAAGACAAGATTTTCCGCAAGGCATGTCACACCGACATTAGTCCCATCCCTAATCATGGCCTTAATTAGTTCTCTGCTGACTTCGGGCGTGAGTTGTAGGTGGACCGACACGTTGTCCCGATGTTGACACTCTTATACCTTGCCTGCCATATTGACCGAGCTAACATCGGTCAGTACTAAGGGCGCTTCATCAATTTCAAGACGGGTTTTACGTAGCCTAACCGTGAACTAGGGAATGCCAAGATTGAAGGTTTGGAAGCCGACCTCGGCATGTCGGGGACAGACTACAACCTGATAGCAGCCATCTTCTTCATACCATATCTAATGTTTGGTACGCATATCTCCAAGCACAAATTATTGGGGGAAAAGTGAGCTAATTGTATACCTATTATCCATTCAGAGCTGCCGAGCAACACTCTGCTGTTACGATTCAAGCGGCCTTCCTATTATTTGGGCGTCATCGTCACCGCTTGGGGACTTGTTATGACCTGCACAGGCTTTGTCAAGAATATGGGTGGTTTGGCAGCATGCCGAGCATTGTTAGGTCTCTTTGAGTATGCGACAGCACTCCCCATAATATTGGGTTACAAAATTTCGGGACTCTGACACCACTAACAATCCCTCTCTTGCCTAATAGATCCGGATTTTTCCCTGCCGCAGTCTACCTCATCAGCAAGTGGTATCCGCCTAATCGAACATACTGGCGAGTCGCAATTTTCTACTCCGCCAGCGCCGCTTCTGGAGCCTTCTCGGGGCTCCTAGCCGCAGCCATAGCACAGATGGACGGTGTCAGAAATCTGGAGGGCTGGCGATGGATCTTCATTCTTGAGGGAGTCGCTTCAGTCCTAATTGGCCTGATGTGTTTCTTCTTCTTACCAGACTCCCCATCCCTTTCCAAGTGGCTGGCGCCAGATGAAGCCCGGTTTCTCAACCTATTGCATGACGCCACGCGAGGCCGTATGGAGATGGAGAAGAAGAAAGCTGACAATAGAAAGACGCTGGTCAAGGTAGTCAAGGATTGGCAACTTTACGTACATGCTCTCATTTTCAACGGCGTCGGCATTCCCCTCTACGGAGTCAAGTTCACGATGCCGCAGATTGTCAAGAACATGGGATTTGCCTCTACAAAAGCGCAACTCATGACCGCTCCGTAAGTCCTTCAACTCTGCCATGGGCCACTCAGGTCTCCCATGGGGAAAAATCCTGGCTAACTATCTTTCAAGGCCATATGCGGTAGCCGCACTCGCATCCTTATTATGTGCATGGTTCTCAGACAAGTACAGGTGGCGAATGCCCTTCATGGTTGGACCTCAGGTTTTAACACTCGTCGGATTCGCCATACTTTACGTCGTCTCGGACAAGCTCAAGGACAACATTGCCCTCGCGTATTTTTGCCTGTTCATCGTTTGCGCTGGAACGTACCCGACTCTTCCTGGGATCAACTCCTGGTCGTCTGATAACTTGGCAGGGCCCGCTAAGCGAGCAATGGGACTGGGCTTCATGATCATGATGGGCAACGTCAGTGGGTTTGGCGGCAGCTACATCTTCATCAACAAGGAGGCTCCCAAGTATCCGACTGCTTATGGACTGTCTCTCGGCCTGCTCTGCACGGCCGTCGTAGCATCTATTTCTTTGGATTATGTGTATTGGACAATTAACAAGCGGAGGAAGGCTATGACACCCGAGGAGATTTCTGCGGAGTACACCAATGAGGAGCTAGATGAGCTAGGAGACCGCTCACCGCTCTTTCGCTATCAGTTGTAATTTTCGAAGAGCGGGGGCAAGAAGCTCAGTCGCGTGCTTCGGAGTCGAGGATATGAATAGATGCAGGTGGGCCAGGGGGATTAAGGTTGGAACATCGTTAGAATGAATAAATAAGCCCATCCTACGAAGCTAGAATTTACTGGAAGAACCTGTCTCCTCCCGCCTTGTTTCAATGTATTTTAAAGCGAGGAGGTGATGGGGATTGATCCAGCCGCAGGTACTTGTGACGTTGTCAAGACTGCTTTGAGAGCTGCCCGGCGGTGTTACAGTCTTCGAGAGAGAGTGGGAGGCAACTAGATTCCATTATTCCAGATGGAGAACCCTGGGAGGATAATTTGATTGGTAATTTAGGAAATGTAATGGTCTCTGGCGACTTGGTGTAGCTAAATTCTTCCAAGTTCGAAAGATATATGACGACTTACAGGGCAGTGACATGTTCGCCACTACTCTAGCGGCAGTTTAACTCCCACGCAAACGGCATCCACGCCTCTCTCCTCCGTAGCCCCAGATTCAAAGCACATCCACGGCTTTCAACAAGTACAGATCTGCCGCTCTGGCCGCTAACAATGGTATAAATTATACATCTACATTCTTACGCCCAGGCCTTGCGTTAGAACAGGATATCCCTTGAAGTAGCCAGCTGAAGCATACTATTTCGATTTTTATTCTGCCTCTTCTGTATGTGGAGAGCGGTTTATCTCTCCTTTTTAGACTAACCGTCACCCGAACAGCTTGCCGAGTTCCCTCGAAGTCTCCTTGCCCGTCTTCCGATGCCAACACCGGAACCAGCTCCACGAGTGGTTGCAGGATTGGAACTATCGAGTGTCGGGGTCGGCGCCTGGTATTCCCCTTGTACATGTGGGAAGGAAAGCTTGACGGCTAGAGATGTGAAAGAGCATAGACGAGGACTCTCCGTGAGAGCATGACGCCGGGTATACGCCGAAAAAATCGCGAATGCCGAAAAGCACCGTGATTCCTTGACTCCAGGGTTAAGAGCTGTCAGAGACCTGCAACTCATCAACCGATATTGTTGCCGACTAGGCAACTGGACCATGGGATGTGCGAGGATCGTCGAGTTAAGCCACCACTGGAAAGCATTCAAACCGAACCAAGCATGTAATGATTCCGGCAGCGTCCAACCATAGACACGGAAACGTGGTCCTCCCCCCCGATATCGATGGGTGAGCTAGCTAGTGGACCCCTCCACTGAGCCCGGTTGAGGAGACTCGGGGTGCTGGCCCTGGTCTTGACACTCATGTTAGGGAAGCACTAGGCCCGATTTAGCTTTAGGCCGATTGAAATTTCTTGGTTCTCCAGTCTTGTTTAGTCGGAGAGGATGAAATCTGCACTTGGCTGATAAGTTTATTTCACGAATCTGGGGTAAAAAGTCCCGAAAATGAGGGACGAGGAAAAAGTCCCACATTTCAACTCCGACGCATCCCTCCCTCACAAGGCGCGTGCCCCGCTGCGCTCAGCGCTCAGACAACTTAAAGCACTTCGCGGGGAGGGGGGAGATATCGAAAAAGTGGAAAAAAGCAGGTCTATACGATGCAGTACCTGGTAGCTATTACATTTTCATCGTGTTTTCGGAACCCCAATCTGAGTGATTGCCTGTTCCGATGCATTTAACCCGAAGCGACTATCCCTGCAGTTCCCCTGTCGGCTTCCCGTTGCTTGAATTAGAGGCCATCATCGCTTTTCGTCGCGGCGTTCGGCTGCAGCAGGATACCCTTAGACAGCATCACTGACCTCCCCTCGTGCCTCCCACTGAAGAGAGATCCCAAAGCTACTGTACAGCTCATCTTTCTGAGAGGGCTTCTTTGCGGGCCGTGCCTCACTTGTCCAACCCGGTCAAAGTCTCCCCGGACAACTTCACACTATTTGTCCCCTCGGGTGTGGTAGTGGTATTCAGACGGGTTTCAGGTTTGCGGTGAACGCACTTAATGTTCCTAGCAGCTCTGACTATTTCTGGTGTTGTATCCGTGAGCCTGGATGCTCCTGTCGCTGCAGGGTACCTCCAAGAAGCGGTGATCGCTATTGTGGGTATTTGGACCGAGCAATTTGCCCCTGGCGAAACACCCAGGGCCAAGGAGCCCCTAATGCTTAAGACGGAACCAAACCCCCCAGCTCTGTGCCGACGAAGAAGGCAAGCACGGAGTTTCTGGTATTTATGTATGGGTGATCCCGAGAGGTAGCTGAGTGATACTCTGGCCATGTTTTTGAGAAACAGTATCTTGAGACTGATAGCTTTCTTTCTCTACCCGTGCTCTAATTAATCTGCACCTTTTGGAACTCTGTAATAAGGTCATTGACCTGCCGCATACTAGTCTGATCGTACTTTCTCAAAATAGGGTCGGTCGATTCTGTGCTCCCATCAGCCACTGCGTGGTCGGATGAAGGGGGGAGCTTGTTCGCTGCAATAATGCGATCGACGACGACGTTGGTGAGCAGCCAGAACTCTGGGGCGAAGCGCATAAACCCAACTCTCTTCCACATGTTTTCGCCGGGTATGAAGTCCTTCGGCAGGACCATCGCATGGGGCGGCGATGTAGAGAGCTGGTCGGTGTATGTCTCCCAAACCAGATGCCAATTGGAGAGGGCGAGACGGACGATTCGACAATCCTCCGTTACGAATGAATTCTGCTGGAGAAATAGCAACGAATGGAATGCTAGCGTGGATATGCCAGTTAGTATTAATGTGTAGCAAATCACCAATGATTGGGTAGATCCGTACCGAGCAGAATTGCAAACAGATTCAAGGGTCCGAGATCCGCAAGATGTATGTACATCTCTGGAACCATGGTGTTCTTGCAGAACATCTCCACTGCGCCTCGGACAGTGAGGCTCTTCGTCAAGGCGGAGCGCTGGAGCCACTGTTGTATCTCCCGAGCACATTCATCAGCGGTTTGGGCTTGGAAGCAGGCTTCGGGCCAGGCCATGTGCATCAGCATTTCTTTGATGACCAGTCGAGGGGGTAGGTTGTTAAAAATGACAAAGGCGTAGTCAAAGAGGAATATCCACAAGAATGTCCTAACATTGTATTAGCAGCCTGCGCTCGATACATCCAATCCGCAAGTCGACTCCTCACCGGATCAGTTCCTCTCTAGCGATGTAACCCTCCCAGTCAAAGTTGTACATGTTGAGGGGATCATAGTCGAGGTGCCTCGCGGACGCCATCCCGATATCACGGGCCACCTAGTATGAGGAAGAGGGTTATGACTCTATTTCGCACGAGAATAGGGTTATAAAGCTTACCGACACTACCATGGAGAAGCGGTAACGTCGAACTCGTCGCTTGCTGGAATCAGTGCCCTCCCAGTTCTGGTAAACACAGACAATATAAGCGGCTTGGAGGGCCTGGACCTTGCTTCTGTTGGAACTCGGTATCCACGGAGCTGTCTCTGCGTTGGACCGCGTCTCACAGCAAAAATGGTCGTCAGTAAAGGCAATTTCTTCGATACAGTTGTACCACATCCTGGCCTGTTCGTTGTCTGCAGGATCGGGAGAAATGGAGGCTCTTAAATTTTGTCTTCTGGTCAGTATTGCGACGTCTATGTTAGGAATCCCTGGACATATCTGAGCGGAATAGCCTCTGAAACAGCCTTACCGATGAGAGCCATGCTCGCAACAAGAGCATGTTTGGAGTTTGCAGGGTTAAAGGAGAAGCGATGCATGAAGTTAATATTGGGGTGCCACACTTCCCAGTATATCCCCAGGAACTTTCGGATATTTCTTGGGGAGAAGAACTGCAGGCACTGCTGCTCGAGGGCGGGCGACCACTTAAGTGTCACGGGGCTATTCCGGGGCCTCATTGTACCACCTCCTTGACGCCGAGAAGAATTTCATATGTTTTGAGGACCAGGGGATCTTGGAGAACTGGGGTTTGAGTGAATGCTTCCGGCGTTGTGGCAAGGTCGACTGGATCTGCGGCCTCAACCAGAGGGTCGGCAGCAGTCTGAGCCTGGAGGATAGCTGAAAGCACCTGAATACGAAGATTTTCTGTGGCACAGTCAAACGAGACCAAAAGGCCAGTTCGGCTTGTAAAGTTGTATAAAAAGTCGAATGAGTATCTGTTAGGCTTAGGGATGGTCGTATCCTCCAAGCTCTCGGTCGCGACATCGAGGACGTTTGCCCAGTGGCTATCGTTGGTGGTTTCCGTGCCAAAGACATCTGAGACCAAGGTGTAGGCACCAGTGACACAATATGAGGGGTTTTCGTATATTGAGAACGGCGGGAATATCAAAGGGTCGGCTGGTTGACTGATACTCGGGCCATCACTAATACTGATTGAAGTGCCACCACTAACTTCAAAGTCAGGCTTCGATTCCTTATCCCGACTCTCATCAATGGTACTATCTCCTCGACGGGTGAAGGTGCACCTCACAGATTTGCGACGGCAATTCTCACAGGGTTGACCCTCGGTGCATGCTTTCTTCTGCTTCATGCAAAAATCACACGCGCGACGTCTGCTCTGGGAAGGCCGGGCACCGCCGACTACCTCGCAGCTCTGGCAGGTTTGGGCATGGCGTTTGAGTACATCAGCCCTCTGGAACGAACTGCGGCACCACGGGCATAGGAAGGGTCTGTCACTTGTGTGGGTTGCGACATGCCGCCGGAGATGTACCCTCCGCTTGTAGCGCTTGGGGCACATCGAGCAGGCGAAGGTGGGTTCGGAGTCGGGGCCGTCGTCGGACATTAGGGATGGACGATAGCTGCGGCAATGTGGGTTGAGGTGACTGGGAGGTGACTTGGTTCAGTTGCCGGGCTGGGGCAAGTGGGTGGAACTAGAGAAGTGGAAATATGCGGAGATGGAGAGAAGTAAAAGAATCCCTGTTCCTGAGAGAGTAGTATGGTGGTAATTTTGAAGCCTTTTGGAGAGGATAACGATTGTGATGGGAGAGAAAGAAATGGGCCAAGTACGATAGGTCGGGGCAAGTTCATCCCCATCCTAAATTAGGGTCTTAGACTCCAGGAGACTAGTAAAGGTCGACACTTGCTCGAATCATGTGACGACAATGATGTATGGTCTAATCTAGATTGATGGAGCCGGAAGCCTTCGTGCCTTCGACGCTAATGTCCATCCCAGAAATCCCGATGCTGTAACCCCAAAATTCGGATATCAGCATCCATCAAGTGGTGCTCTCCATTCAGTCTACGCTTAGGCTGTCGCTTTTGTAAATCCCTTCCCGAATCCCGAATCTACATTATCGTAACTGGGACGAAGCAACTCGGAAAGAAGTAATACCTGTCCACACCTTCCACTACGAGGTCTGAGGTATGGGCGAACGCGGTATTGTGGAAACTACCAAGTATTTTACCGAGATTGATTGAGCAGGGCGATTGGCATTTGGGAAGGATCATCGCGGACCTAGTCTTGGATCTAGGCTTCTTACCTAGCCTGGAAACGGCTGCCACTAACCCCCACAAAAATACCATGCAGACCCCCTTTTCCTTGTTTCCCCCGCATGAATCGAGTACGAAGTACAACGACTAGCTTTGTTTAGTGGTTGCGAAATATCGATAGTGCCCTCAACTGCCTCCCCAAAATACATCCCCAAGACCTAAGTAAGTTTAGCTCAATCGCAGCCGTCAAGGGTGATCCACTCTCCGGGATCGACCTGGGGTAAGTGGCCCCCTCTGGGAGTCTGGGTTTCGCCTTGGGTCGGAGGCGATGTGGGTACTGCCGATGTGGGTTTCCTCTGGAATCTAGATGCGGGTCCTCTCAGCTGCCGAGACGATCGTAGGGTCCCTGTAGATGGTATGCTTCCGAAAGGCTTCGAGTAGGGAGTAGGTTTCATGAGAAAGTAGAGGTCCTCCAGAGAATGGGTTTCATATATAGAGGTGGGAAGCCAGATGGAATGAAAGAGAAGAAAGCTATCGACGCATATGCTTCCTAGCTCATTTAAAAGTATCCCACTGCCTGCCATGATTCTCGATTCTGTACTAGAGAAGGTTGCCACTTTCAAGGCCCTCTTTGTCCTCACGCCGCCGGCAGCTGTAGCCTTCTGGCTTCTAGGAGCCGCGTATTCATATTACTTCCATCCTTACGCTGATATTCCGGGCCCCTCCTGGGCCAAGGTAACACGGCTTTGGCTTGCCCGTCAAGTCTTCGCCGGCGACCTTGACAAGACACAGAGGGATCTACACGAGAAATATGGTACGACTCGCATTCCTTAAGTTCACTTCACTTCTCCACTAACTAACGGCTCTAGGGCCGATCGTGCGCATTGCCCCTAATGAAGTCTCCATTTCCGATCCTGCTGCCCTCAAGACCATCTATTCTGTAAACGCAGGCTTCACCAAGACGGATTTTTATACGCCCTTCGCACCACACCTGTCGCCCAACGAGGACCTCTTTACTCAACGGGACGAAAAGATTCATGCCCAACGCCGGAGATTCGTCAATAACCTGTATTCACTCAGCAGTATTCTTCAATCTGAGAAATACATCGACGCATGTAGCAATGTATTCACTGCTCGGTTAGACGAGTTCGCGGCCTCCGGTGCAAGCTTTGATCTCGGCTTATGGCTTCAGATGTACGCGTTTGACGTCGTTGGCGAACTCTTCTTCGGTCAGCAGTTTGGCTTCATGGAGAAGAGCTATGACTACGGAGGCTACATCGAGTCTTTGGATACCCTGCTACCAGCCGTCGCCGTTTCTTGCGTCCTGCCATCCTACGTACGCCCTCTGAAGGTGCTGGGCCATCTCTTCCCACCCATGCACAGGGCATTGAAGGGTTACGACGACATAGTGATTGCCGCCAAGGCTACCGTGGCTTCCCGTCAGAAGTTGATGGAGGCAAACAAAGTAGAGAGGTACGTTTGTCTTGTTTCACAAGCCATGCTATGGTTCATAGCTGCCGTTCCACAAACTGACATAGACCCTATCTCACCAGGTCCGATCTTTTGGATAAACTGTTCAAGATCATGAATGAAAAGGACGACTTCGCCATCTGTGATATTGCTACTGAGACTTGGGTTTCGCTCTTCGCCGGTTCCGACACGACAGCCATTGCGATGCGCTCGATAATGTACAACATCATGAGAAATCGTGATATCTACGACAAGGTCACTGCTGAGATTGATCAGGCTACGGTGGAAGGGAAGCTTGGTAATCCAATCACGTATGCTGACGCCATCAAACTTCCCTACTTCGTTGCCTGTTGCAAAGAGGGTTTTCGTGTCTATCCCAGTGTCGGTATGTCGATGCCTCGACATGTCCCCGCGAATGGCGTCACGATCTCCGGTCGGTTCTTCCCCGAAGGGAGTCGAGTCGGTATGAGTGGCGCTGTCCTGCATTACGACAAGTCAATCTTTGGAGAGGACGCAGATGTGTATAATCCCGAAAGGTGGTTCCGGCCGGGTACTGAAGTGATGGAGCGCCACATGTTACACTTTGGCGCCGGACCGCGCACGTGTGTGGGTAAGAATGTAAGTAAATCCAAGTTACCTCCAACCCAATCCAGACCTTTGCTTCCCTCGCTGACTAGTGCTTTCCAAAGATTTCACTTGCTGAGATTCATAAGCTTCTCCCTCACATCCTCCGCCGATATACCTTTGAGCTCGTTGAACCAGAAAAGGAAATTAAGACGTTGAATTATTGGTTCAACAAGCAAATGGGGATTAATGTCCGAGTCACCCGGCGAACTGCATAAATGGGAAAAGGAAACTCTGGTATGCCATCACTGTAGCAGTGTCTGTAGGCTTTATCAAGTAGAGACAGTCTGAAGAAACGACCCTACGGATAGTATGTGGTATCCAACGATACCTCTGCAAGAACTACTTGAAGACACGTGGCCTTTTGCTCTGAGATTTATAATTCTAACGCAGTTATCATAACGATCGAAGATTAAGCGTCAGGAACAGACATTGAATATTCCATGCCCCATTCAATGTTCGATCTTGATGCGCAGCTTCCCGAAATGCTTCTGATCCCACATGTACTTGTAGGCTTCCTTCAGCTCCGAAAGTATGAACACCTTGTCATCCACAACTGGATGGATGTCATTAGCCTCGATGGCTCGGTTAAGGGCTTCCAGCTGGTCCCGAGATCCAACCATGATACCCCTAACAACGCAATTGTGCATCAATATGTCCTGAAAGGTCGGTTGATCGTTGGACTGGCCACCAATATATCCGATGATCGAAATGACACCGTCCATTCGCACGGCCTTTAGAGATTGGGCAACCGTTGTAGGCCCGCCCACCTCGACGACGTGAGCGACACCTTCCTGGTCGCCTGTGAGAGATTTAGCAACATCGCCCCAGTTAGGTTCTTCCCTATAGTTAATGATGTGGTCGGCGCCGAGTTTCTTCAGCTTCTCAGCTTTTACGGCGGACGAAGTGGTAGCGATGACTTTGGCTCCGGCTGCTTTTGCGAGCTACTTGGTGGTAAGACGGAGCGGCTGATCACGTCGTGAGGAGCGATCCTCGCGGAAAGGAACTACTCACCTGAAGTGCAAACATGCTGACACCTCCAGTGCCCTGAGTCAATACATAATCGCCCGGCTTCAACGATCGACCCTCAATGCCGTACAGGGCATTCCACGCCGTCAGAGCGGCGCAAGACAATGTACCAGCCTCCAGAAAATCGAGATTTTGGGGGATCTTGACGACTCCGAGCTCCAGGAATGCACCATACTGCCTCAAGGTCCCGTCGAGCTGGCCGCCGAGTCCAGTCATACCGGCGCTGGGGGTCAACGCTCCGCTCAGATGACCCTGATTGAACAGGGTGTACACGCGGTCGCCCTTCTTAAATTTCGTCACCTTGGATCCAACTTCAACAATCTCGCCAGCACCATCAGAGCCCGGCACGACGCCATCGTTGGTGGGTATTGGGTAGCCACCCTCAATCGGGATAGTGAGGTCTCGGTAGTTGAGGGAAGCTCCATGGACTGTTCTGAAACGTTACTATCTCGTTTCATTGCCCCATAGTGCCGCGTGAAACTGTCTATCATTTGCCGAAACTTCCCTTGGTATACTCACATTTAACCAAGACTTCGTTCTCGCCGATTTTAGGAATCGGTGCATTTTCGTTGTAGATCAGGGAATCAAATCCATTCTTCCCCTGAAGGGTCCATTGCTTTTGGGTCTGGGAAACCATTGTCGCTGATGTTGCTGAGGTATTGCTAAGGTGTTGTTGAGGGTGTTGCTGAGATTTGGATGCCACCAGATTTTAAAGTGGGCAACGCAAGATATAAGCAGATGGAATGGCTCTGCTCAATGCTATAATTTATGCCCCATCTCCCTTGAGGTATCAGGACATATATTGCGACATCATTGTGACAGCTTCACAGTTGATTTGTCAGAGGGTAGGAGTTTCCACTTGTATTTGAAATTGTAATGGGTCATTTGTAAGCAGTGGAACGCAAAACTCGATCTAGACTTCAATGTTAGATCTCGATTGTCATGGAACAGTGAGTTGATGAGTTGTGGAATAGTCCTACAGTTAACTCTTCCCGGCGTCGTTCAATACACTAGTTTGATCAAACCTGCCCCGTTGCTCGACTCATGGCTCCCACGTTCTCGGGACATGTCTTTGGCAGCTCAGGACCCACAGGAGAGCTGAAACACCTGGGGCGTGGGGGTCCTCGCTGCCGCCTCGTACCTGCACTAGCGCGATAGCTAGGATGGAGGATGCTCCGAATTCCCAGGGGGTTTAAGTTTCGCTCTACTTCATACTCTGATGAGGGATCCCAAGACCGTTAACATATGTCGGAGGAGCGTCCAATAGATTCGGTATCTTTGCGCCGCAACCGCCCTGTCTCCTTGATCTTACGACAGCTGCAGGGACCATGGAATCCTTGGATTTCAGGACCGTCGATGAGGCGGTGCGGAGAGTGTCAAGACAACTGCCAATACTCCAACGAGTATTTTAGTAACCTCTTTTATTAGAAATATCGATTTCTAATTTTACCTCTGACGTGCCTGTTCCTTCTTTGTCGACGCGTCCAAATTAACCACTGTTTTCCCACAATCCCTGCCTGATATTCCAGGTTTTACCTTTGCCCAAAAGCAGCGGTTTCATGGAAGGTGCGATGTGGCTCTTCGTCTTTGTGCCACTTCGCGGTTTGTTCTTGGAATCTTAAGTCCGATTAATATCCGGGGGGGGGGGACGGGAAAGTGCGAGCTGTGCGCTTGGTTATGGTGGGATGGCGATCCCCGCACTCCTCATGCATCGCCTACGCGGAGTTAGCACTTGCAATCTCAAGGCCGAAGTCGAAACGCGTCGTTATAAGTTGAACCCAGAGACTACAGAATCCCAAGGAGGCAGAAAACCGAAAGAGAAACAAAAACAGCCGTGCAGACCTATCGCGCCCGGCGGGTAACAACGAGCAAGAACGACAATGGCAGAACACGGTCCAATTGGCTATGGCCTCATGGGTAAGCAAGAGACTTGCTGTCTTCCCCTGAGCCTTTTTGGGTTATTTTCGTGTGGAGTTATGCTCGGCTCACACTTGAGGTAGGCTTAACTCCCCATCATGGCGGCATCCCGGAGGAACAAGCCTTCGAAGCCATGAGAGCCGCCGTCGAGGCTGGTTGCACAGTCTGGAATGGAGGTATCTTCTACGGGACGCCCGAGAATAACTCTCTAACCCTGCTCCGAAAATACTTTGAGAAATACCCCGAGGACGCTCCAAAGGTTGAGATCAATATCAAGGGCTGCACGGTTCCCGGTAAGATTGAGCCAGATGGAAGCAAGGAAGCCGTGTTCCGCGATGTTCAACGAGCTATCGAGCTGCTTCCACCCCACATCAAGAAGATCGACATGTTCGAACCGGCCAGAGTCGACAAGAACGTGCCCCTTGAAGAGACGATCAATGCCCTCAAGGAGTGCCAGGATAAGGGATGGATTGGAGGAGTGGCCTTGAGTGAAGCCAGCGCCGACACCATCAGAAAAGCCAGTAAAATCGTTAAGGTGGCTGCGGTCGAGACCGAGGTCGGTCTGTTTACCACCGAGGCTCTTACGAATGGTGTCGCGGTGGCTTGTGCCGAGTTGGGCATTCCTATCCACGCGTAGGTCTTTTTTTTTTTTTTTTTTACCAGTTGCAGGCGTGTACGGTCTATTTCGCTAAACGTAAACCAGATACGGAACTCTAGGGCATGGGTTCCTAACCGGGACAATCAAGTCCTACGATGATCTCAAAGAAGGCGATTTCCGACGTATTTTCCCACGGTTCTACCCAGAAAATTTCGACAACAACCTCAAGCTCGTCAAGGAGGTGGCTGACCTGGCAGAAAGAAAGGGGTGCACCAATGCGCAAATCGCCATCGGATGGGTGGTCGCCATCTCCAAGTCGGAGGGCATGCCCAAGATTGTCCCGATCCCCGGTGCTGCCACGGCGGAGAGGGTGCGAGAGAATGCGGGGGCAGTGGAGCTGACCGAGCAAGATATGGATGAGATCAACCGTATTCTTGCGCGGTGTGTTGTCAAGGGCGAGAGGTATCCCGTTCCTTTCCTGAAGCTTCTGGATGGTTGATGGGACCTAAGGTCGTCAGTATATTGCACTTTCGGTATCCGTTCTTTCTGGGATGGAGAAATCTCGAAGAGGAGCGCTTTTGCTGGTTTAATTTTAACGGCCGTGAAGAATTCGGGTTTCGATTTCGATGTTGAGTGTTGGCTGAAGCGGAACCACTTCCTTGAGAGTCATGATAATAGCCTGCCCCTCTTGATACGCAAACTCAAATTGACATCCCGCAGATCCAGGTTTAATGAGTCTTCGCTAGTCCGATGCTTTGCATTGATATTTGCTAAATGCTAGTGGGATGTGCTTCATGCTAGAAGACCGTTTACCGCGACCCCAGACTTGAGCACGCACAATTTAATGATCTTTAGCGTTTACGTCAGCGAAAACTCGCGGCAACAATGAAGCCGACAACGGAGACTGGCCTCGTCCACCACCCTTAACTCTCGAATTTTAGAGTTTTTCCGTTCTCATCAGCTTCGACGGCACCAGCCGAGAGAGCCCTGATCGTCATGCGGTTTAGCGGCTCGAACATTTTGCTGACACCACATCCACTTGGACACCATTTTCCCCTGTGCAACACAACCCGCAATGAGATCTGCAAGATACTCGGCATCCCGCCAAAAGGCCTGCCAGCAATGTGCAAGTGCAAAAGTCAAGTGCGATCGAAAGTCGGAATGCTGTTCTCGCTGTCAACAACGGGGTTTATCATGCATCTACCCTCGGAATCAACATTTGCCTGTCCCCGCCCAGGAATCTATGGATGCCCATGGAGTTGGTAAAGCCACAACTCCATCAAATGATTCTCCGACTCTGGTTCCATCAGTCGTCAGTCCTGGCGCGTTGCTGGAAAATGCCGGACCTAATACTGTGTCTCCCGTAAAACAGACACTGCCGAGCGGTACCGTTGTCGCGGTTCCGGAGTATCAGAGTCAAAATGATCTCGACTTCTCGAATCTGGAGCTGATATGCCCCATAGATCCCGAGGGCATAGCCAACCGTTGGCTAAACAATTTCATCCCAGTTCCAGGGCAGACCACCAAAGAATATCCTCACGTCATACTGCCATTCATTCACCGAATTCTCAAATCATACGTCGACTTGGCAATACGCGGTCACGGTATTCCACCGTTCGTTCACCGTTTACAATTGACCATGGATGAGACCCTACCGCTCTCTATTTGCTTATCAGTTATTCGCATCTGCAGCGAGCCACTTCGAGGGAGTGAAGAAGTTGTGGTCGAAGTGCTACATAGAGAAATGGCCAAGATATATGAACAACATACCACCTATGACGACATGAGTCTTCTCGCCGCTTTTCAAGCATATCTCATCTATGCAATGGTCCTGTTCTTCCGTGTCGGTCAAGACTCTACTCCGTTCCTCCGTGAGGCCATAATGAACCTCCAGGAGCTTGCATGTTCAAGTTGTCGGCTGGGCCTCGTGTGTTTGGCGGAAGAGCGAGGAGCTCGCCCCAGGTGGGAGGACTGGATAGTTGCGGAAGCAAAGCGGAGAACCCTCTTCACCATGAACCTTCTCGATAGTCTCCTCCTGACAGAGGATGGTCTACCAACTTACATGAGCAATGAATTAAAAGGGTTGCTGGTGCCTGGAAACGGGCCTCTCTGGGAGGCTACAACCAGACGAGATTGGATGGCCAAATATAACATTCTCCTGGTGAACTGGCAGGGTGAAGACCTCCTCCGGATTGAGGAGCTCTGGCCCGTTCCTGAAGATTTCGGTCCAGTCCAGAAGGCGGATAGACGGCGAAGGATCGATATGTGGTTAGAAAGTCTCGATGCCTTCGGGACGCTGATTTATGCGGTAACGAGCTGTACGCATGGTGCCTGATTTCTAGAGCAAAAGGAACCAGGGATATTTCGCCATACATCTAGACCCGACCACGTCGGTGCATGCAGCGCACGGTGGCCGCAACTCCGCATGAACACAAATCCCGGCTCGCTCCTCATGGGGTGCTCACCGCCGATTCCGGGCCTCGGTTGTAATAAGGGCCTTGGGACTGGAGCTTCACCATCTCAACTCCGATAATTTGTGGGGCTCAACTCCGAAATGCTGCCGCATATCCGATTTGGGCAAATCTCCACTTGGCCTGCAAGGTATTTAAAACTAGCGTTATGCCATTGTACGCTTCACCGGAATCGGCCAAAGATGGATGGTCGTGTGTTAAAAGCTAGACAATGGCGGAGGAGGATAAGAGGAGTAAGAGAGGTGCCAACTCCTCTACTCTCATGATCTCGCAGGCCGAGTCGGATCAATTATACACAATCTTCGACAAGCGGCAAAAGATTATCATCGTTTTCGTGGTATCGACCGCTGCTACCTGTAAGTCTTTTGATCCTGGAAGCATACACGTACACATCTTGAAAGCAGGGATACTAACGTAAGAAACAACGTTGAAGTCTCCGGATTCGCTTCCAATATCTACTTCCCGTCTCTTCCCACAGTTGCCGCTGATCTAAACGTCTCCGTCGAGCTTGTCAATCTCACTGTTACGACATATCTCATCTTCCAAGGTTTAGCGCCAAGCCTCTGGGGCCCCATATCGGATGTCAAGGGACGGCGGGTTACGTATTGTTGCACGTTTCTAGTACTGTTGGGAGCCTGCATCGGGCTTGCGGAGACTAAGAACTACGCGACTTTGATGGTTTTACGATGTCTACAAAGTACGGGAAGTGCTAGCACGATAGCCATCGGGTCTGGAGTGATTGGGGACATCACCACTCGTGAAGAGCGCGGTGGGTTGATGGGCATCTTCCAAGCTGGTCTCCTTACGCCTGTTGCTGTGGGACCGATAATTGGAGGTGCCTTATCGGACTCTTTCGGGTGGAGGAGCGTATTTTGGTTCCTCGCCATTTACTGCGGAGTCTTTTTACTGTTTCTTGTCGCCCTTCTCCCAGAGACTTTGAGATCCGCGGTTGGCAATGGCTCCAGAGCCCCATCGAATCCATTGGCAAAGTACCCTCTGCGCTTCTATCAACGAAGCACAACAACCCAGTGGTCTTCCGAGACACCAGAAACCCCGTTGCCTCCACCGAAAAATGTCGACGTCACAGGGCCTCTCCGGATTCTCACCTCGAAATACGCGGCGCCGATAATCATCTTTGTCGCCATGTACTACGCCATCTGGCAGATGGAGATCACTGCGCTATCCAGCCTCTTCAAAGACAAATACGGCCTTTCGGACACCCAAATAGGTTTGACGTATATAGCCAATGGTGTCGGGTCCATGGCTGGCACGCTCATCACGGGAAAGATTCAGGACTTTGATTACCGCAGGATGCACGCGAGGCTCGAGCGTCTCGGCCACTCGACCGATGTCGAGGACTTCCCCATTGAAAAGGCTCGCCTCCGCGTGGTCCCAATCTTCTCCCTATTGCAGTGTATCTCCGTCGCCCTTTTCGGATGGACGACGCAGTTTCCTCGCCGGGTTCATATCGCTGTCCCAATAGTGTCCACTTTCATCACAGGATGGACCGCTGTTTCGATGATATCGCTCGTCACGACCTACCTAATCGACATATTCCCCGACCGAGGGGCAGCGGCTAGTGCCAGCGTTAACTTGGCAAGGTGTCTCTTCGCCGCGGCTGGCACCAGTTTTGTAATGCCGATGGTGAATTCCATCGGCGTCGGCTGGGCTTTCACGATATGTGTTGGGTTGCAGCTCGTCGCTACGCTGGCAGCTGGCATCCAGTGGAAGTTTGCTGGCACTTGGAGAGCTGAGGAGGAAAAGAAAAGGAACAAGAGGAACTCGAGCATAGAGGCGCAGGAGGAGAGTGAAGAATTGTCCACGCCTTCAGGTGGAATCCTCGGAAGGGCCGCGTAGAGATAAAATGGGTCGCAAGAGTCACAGCATGCCACTCTCGGTAAGAACCGAGCTGAATTCTCAATTCCGATAATTCTGGAAGAAGTTAAAATACCCTCTCTTCAGATTCTCATAATAGACTGTAAATCAATTTTCAGGGACGGCTCGCATACTAGTATTACTTGCCATAAGGTGGCGCGTGCCCAAAAATGTTCTTAATACTAATAACGTTGATGGCATTCGCCCTAGTCGCACTCGCAACTGGAGCGTCGTTCATGTACCTGTGTGGGACAGATTTGGGCTGCTGTTTCTGCCTGGAAAGTGGCCATCTATGCCACGATTCCTGTACTACCGACATTTCCGAATATTTAGTGTATTTCTCCTATGTGATTTCCATGCGCTTCACGGTGCCAGGGGCCCAGGATCAATACATGTACCGGTATGATGGGTGATCATCACACAGCTCCTCCAGGGTCTTGCTCTCGTCCGGGTTAGGCTCTCCCCTCGCTTCCCACTCTTGAGCTAACGCATCCTTCTCCTTATTGTGACGTTTCATGAGATAGGTTAGCACAATGAGGAAGAAGAAGGTGAGCACAAAGAAACCCAAGAGAACGCCGTGCCCTTTGAAGAAGCGAGGGGGCTTGTCGTAGATCTTGCTGGCCATGATGCTGAAGGCCTGGCAAAAGATCTGCGTGATCCAAGTAGCGGCAGCTCGCTTGGTGTAGCCGGCGTTGCTGCTCGGAATCCAGCCTGACACGATGGCAACCCCCGGATATACAGCAGCCGTAATTACGCTGCTAGCAAAGACTCCAACGGCGGGATTTGTCTGTGATAAGATGATGATGAACCCAACGATGGCCACGCCAGTGACAATGAGCAGGGGAATAGATCGCATGACCAGCCTGTCGGAGATACGCGTCACGGCGATCAATGAAATGAAGGCAACTCCATATGGGATAATGGTGTAGAGCTGGGTGACCAGAGCCGAGTAACCAAATTCGTGGATGAAGGTCGGGAGGAAAATACTAGAAACACAAAGTTTAGGCAAGGCTTGAAATGTGTGGCAATGTGTAGGAACATACGAGAAACCGGTCAGGCCAGTCGCGTGGGTGGCGGCGATGAAAGCCATGAGCCAGACCTTGATATCCTTGATGGCCGTCTTGATTTGCCAGAACTCCACCTTGGCACCCATAACTTGGTGAGCTGTGAGAAGAGGTTAGAAATACTGTTTGTCAAAAACACAGGTTGGGTGGGATCAACATGCCCGCCTTCGATCTGACTTCAATCAGGCGTCGCTCTTCCGGATCCCTGAACCAAAGAGACCTCTTCTTCGCAAGCTCGTTCTCGGGCATTTCTGGAAGGACAATCCAGATAACCAGAGCCCAGACAAGTGTAGCCGAGCCTTCAATGATGAACAACCACTGCCACGCACGGTATCCACCAGCTCCCTCGAGACCTCGCTGAATGCCGTAGGAGATAAGGCCAGAAATTGCCCCAGCAATAGGTGTGAAGGCGAACAGATAGCTTGCCCGCACCGACATCTCCTCCCGACGGTACCAGAGTGACACGTACACAAACCCTGTCTGCACAGTTGCTTCTCCGAAACCCATGAACAGTCTCAGGACAAGTAGGTGGGCGTAGGTCTTAGCATAGGCGGTAAGGAGCGCAGAGACGCCGAAGACAAGAGCAGAGACAGCATAGACGGTGGGAGCATGGAAAACGCGAATGAGGTAAAACGTAGGCCCCTCGAAGGCGGCATAACCGATGACTGAATCAACGTATTTGATCAACTGCATGAACTTCGAGACTTATGAACAGCGGTTGGGCTTACAGAAGATGAGAAGACAATTGAAGAAGCGATCGTTGGAAAGACCAAGATCTTGCTGGAGCCCCATGATTCGAGCATTGCCGATAGCACCACGGTCCTTGCGAAAAAAAAAAAAAAAAAAAGGTCAGCTATCCGAGATCTTCATCTCTATGTGGCCTCTAATGACCACTTGTGACTGTAACTCTTACCAAGTACGCGAAAAAGTAAGACAATCCGAACATCATGCTGACAACAAGATCGGTCTTCTTGACTAACTTCTTCTCGGCCTGAGACCGCTCGCCGGTAGGGAGCGTCGCCATCTCCGATGCTACCTCCGTACGAATCTCTTCATGCGCTTTCTCGTCCGCATAGTCATGGGACGACTTTGCCCCGGCGTTGCGGTCCATGGTGGCGGTTGGGTGTTGGCGATTGGTGACTGGTCTACTGAGACACACACTGGATGCGTTCCAGGCCAGCAGAGAAAGATGTTTGCACAGTGACAATAACCACCGTCAATGCGATTGGAGGTGAGGAATATCACAAAGTCTTGTCCGGGGTAGTCGGGGTTTAAGAATGAAAATCCCAAGATGTGAGTCAAGGGTCCGGTAGGACCCAAAAACTGGAGAAATCTGGGGAATCTGGGGAATCTGGGGCTCCGCCAGCACCGCTAGACGTAGTTTCTCTCGTGTACACAGATATTGCGAGCGCTAACTCTTTCTCTTACACGGGGGCGCCAATCGGGGGGTTGCGGCGACAATTGCGAAGTTCACCGAGTCCCTGTGGGGTAATTGGCCGCACTCCGGCGAGCCTCGGCCAAATAGTGTGGCTGCTTGTGGAGTGTGGATGGACAATCAACCCATCGCAGTAGCTGTTCCAAGCCTCGGACTTTTGGAGATTTTCGGACCGTAGAACTTTGTATTAAAGCGATTCTCATTGCAAACCCGTTGACCTGGCACACTTCCGTCAATTACGCTCCACAGAGAAGTATCTCAGCACCATGGCTTCCGAAGATGTTGTCCGTCGTTACGACTACAAGGGGGATGCAAAGCGTGTATACGATGTTATCCTAGCTGGCGGTGTCGCCATCTGCCCTGCAACCATTGGCTATGGCATCATCACCTCAGACCCGCGCAAGCTGGAGAAGATATTCCTGACCAAACAACGCAACGCCACCAAACGTCATGCCATGGTCGGATCTTATCCCGTCCACCGGGTCCTGCAGGTCGTTGACAAGCTGGGCCGGGAGATTGTGGATCACCTTGTCCTCGATCTTGACCTCCCCCTGGCTGTCATCGCGCCATTTAACCGCGACCACCCGATGTTCAAGAAGCTCGACGACGTCACTATGGATGCCGCCTCTGTCAACGGCACCATCGCCATCTTGATCAATGCTGGACCTTTTCAGGATGAGCTCACCAAGCTGAGTTTGGCTGACAACCAGCCCATCCTAGGCAGCTCTGCCAACATTTCACAAACAGGTATGTCGGCGGACAGAATGAGTACGAAATAGTAGCCCTCCAAGCTTTGTCTAACATTCATACAAAGGCACGAAATACAGGAGAGAAGACGTTCAGCCTGAGCTTAATGCTATTGCCGATATTTCCCTCGACTATGGCCTTCTCAAGTACAACCGATATGCTAGGAGTTCAACTAGTGAGTAAACCCCTTTTGCACCTTCTAGTGTCGGAGTGTTCGGCTTACAGCTTTACTTCGCAGTGATTGACTTCAGTGGGCCCAAGCCGGAGATTGTGAGAATCGGAGCCTGCTACGAGATCATCAAAGATGCCCTGTGGCGCCACTGGAAGATCGAGACGCCCGAGGACCCAGGCCTGGAGGCGAACCCGTTCGGCCATCTCAAGCACCAGAAGCCCCTGGCGTCTCTTGAGAAGCTCATTGCGACTCCCAAGATCGCCGCATAGACGAATCGAAGGACCAGACTTGAGCTCCGACGAATCCTCTCTATGCTACCCCACAGATCGTGACTTTCATCCTAGGGTACAGGACTATTGGAGAAGGATTTCATAGTGTAAACACATAGCAAGTAGTCAATTGGAGTATATTATCTTGTACCCCATGATTCATATACCAATCGGACTCTCAGAAACGACTGTTTAGAATGTAGCTAGGTCGTGATAGTCTGTCCAATGATGAGAAGCCCGACGGGAAGCTGACCCTATCTGGCGGTATGCTTCCCACCTGCACGTGTGGCTGCATAATCGTGGATCTAACTCGGACAGGCACGCATTGTCGAAACAATATCTTTGTCGCTGTATTTACTAACCATCACGAATCGAACCACCGAAGCCTGTCAGCGAGGCATGCGCGGCGGGGACTAGATGAAAAGGGCGTCTTTGCCCTTTTAGAACCAACACCTTTACTACTATCATTTAGGTTAAACTTACGAAGTACATCTCAAATGTCACAACCTGGTCGCGACCTGATCCCCAGGAAGGCGGTGAGGACCGGTAGGAAGACAAGTCACATGTGGAAAAGTTTACCCACAAGCATTGATTGAGATGGGATTGGACGAACCAGGTAAGCGAAAAAGTAGCATCCTGAGAGTAAGGTTGTAATTAAAAGGTCCTGCTTGCGGACAAGTCGCTTTTCCGCAGGGCTCTTGATGCGAAGTTCATCAGACAGATATGCATGCTCAAGTTGTACTGGTGCGCCAGGAATGGAAGCTTTGTCCGAGTCGGCCATTGTGTACGGCCGAGGATATGAATTAAGTTATAGATAAGAGTACAAGAAGGAGGGGGAAAAATATGGCAAGAAGGATTGCCATTAAATACGAGACCGTTGAGGGCCCGAGAATCGAAGATCCATATCCTCTAAGTATCACGCTTGACCCCGGAATTTTCAGAACCAGGAGCTGCCTAGGTAAGATACCAGAGGTGTGGTTCCACGACATCCTCTTTTCGTTGGACAGCTGCGGGGTGCAGATTGGGCTTAGGTTGCCAAGTCCGGCGAAGTTCGGCGAAGGGCCGACACACCAACCTATGCTTTCCGAAGGCTCGCAAGCCATCAACGGAGAGACCTGAAGCCACCAACTTGCGAATCATATGAAAAACAATAGTCCTGAGTTGATTATCTTATTAGATCGTGTCCCAGCAGAAATAACTCATGGACTAGACACCGACCGAGTAGAGCGTCCCCCCGGCCTCGATGTCAAACTCAACCGCCTCTCGCAATCCACAGACTTCAAACGCAGTCTTCGGCGACACGACCGACGCGTACTTTTTCTCAGAGCCCGTAGACTTCAAGCACTTGGCGGCCTCAGATACGGCGCGGTAGACTGGCCCAAGTGCGAAACTAGGGTGGATGATGATTCTATACCCCAACTCGCCCGCTTCTGTAGAAGAGAGTTCGGGGGAGACCCCTCCCGCCACACAGTTGAACAAAACAGGGGTTGGTGCCAAGTCTCGGCAAATACGTCGACCCTCTTCTGCAGAATTAATCCCTTCCAGAAACGCAACGTCTGCTCCATGTTCTACTGCTCTCTTCAACCGGTCTCTCGCTGCTTCATACCCGAGAGATTGAAGCGCATCCGTCCGAGCAATAATTACGATATCTCCCTGAGCTTTCTCCCTGGCCATTGTGGCGGCTTTGATTCGTGCGAGAAACTCATCTTCTGAAACGAGCTGCTTGTTGAGCAGGTGTCCGCAACGCTTGGTGATGACTTGATCCTCCAGATGCAGGCCGGCAACACCAGCACGTATGTATTCCGACACCGTTCGTCCAACCATCAGCGGGCCTGCTCATATCAGACTTAATACTCAAAAGCAGTATATGCAATAAGCAAACAAACCTCCATAGCCAGTATCAGCATCCGCAATCAACGGCACCGATGGATCAACCGAAGCTATCATCGCCGCATTGTCTCTCATGTCGTTAAGAGTCGCAACCCCCAAGTCCGGCATGCCAAGTCGCGACATGGTTGTTCCAGCCCCTGTCTTTAAACTATTTAGCTTTCATTTCCCAAAAATTTCGACGTGAATCAAGGATAGTGACTAGATACCATGTATAAACAACTAAATCCCTCTCGCAGGGCAATTCTTGCCGTGAAGCCATCATAAACTCCGGGACACACCAATATGCCATTCCCCGGCTCCAGGAAGCTGCGCAGCTTCGCGGCGCTCGACATTTTCTGCTTATTTTCTGGGATTTGCGCCATGAGATCCTGATGTTGTAAAGTTGGTTATGCGGTTAGTGTCGCCTTGCCTTGGTCGAAGGGCGCCGAGGAAGTTTCCGGATGGACCTTCAGTCATATGAGTGCGGCGAGCGGCGACGCGCTATGTCCAATTATTCCCGCCTGGATATGCTTGCCACTAATACAGATATGGGGTTGGCCGATATTGGCCGATATTGGCCGACTGCATACAGATATCGGCATATGAGCTGGAAGGGATGCCTTGTGGTGTTAAGGACATCCGTCTACCAGTGGAGTTGAGTATTATACATTAACGAAAATAAAATGTACCTTGGATCTATGGAATACTTTGCCAGCCGCCTTGTTCCTGTTATACCCAACCTCATCTTTACAATTAGCAATTGAGAATGTCCACTTCTGTCAGTATGCAGGCCGCCGCCAACAGCATGCTCCCGCATGTAATTGACCTCTTGAAGCATGTTCGGGGGGTTGACCTGACCCAGGAGTTTAGCAGCGAATGTGAGCATATCCTCCACGTACTAAGAAAGGAAAGTTGGTAACAGCCTCCGGGAGCTGCAGTGGCGCCGAGCGGAGATGCCCTTGCCGATATCGAAACACTAGTCCGCCACCTGAATGATACGGGCAGACCACGAGAAGCAGCGGCATTGAGAACCGTGGTTGGAATATGCAAGACATCAGCCAACTACGGCGGCCTCGAGTTGAAACAAGGGGATATCAGCGACATATCGATTCAAGAGATACAGTTTCTCGTGTCTACATGTAAGTTCACCAAATTTTGACGGGAAAAGGGTGCCCAATAACTTCTTTTAGGGCTCGAATCTCTCAATTCGGAGGATAGGGCAAGGGCCCCAATCATACCGTCGCCGACGCGTCCTGTGGGGCGAAGGCCGATGACGATGACAGAGAAGATCTTTGCGGTACACGATGTCGACCGGAGAGATTTTGTATGCCCCGGAGAAACTATTCGCATCTCTGTTGACTGGATCATGGCGTCAGAGGCCTCCTGGAGTGTAAGTAGCGCCTAAACTTCGATCGCCGAAGCTCGCTCTTACGCGTAATATCAGAGTATGGAACGAACGTATGATAGCCTCGGGAAGCCTGGTATATTCCGAAATGACCGATTCTGGTTGGCCGGGGACCATGTTGTTGATCCTCGTGTCAATGACAATCCCATTATCAAGAAGCTGATCGAGTCTTCTGAGCGAGCAAAAAAGGTCTTCAAAATGACTGAATACCAAGGGATGAATGCATGTTACAGGTTTGCCTCCAGAGTAGCGAAAGAAAGCATAACTAACCATCAGGTAGTACACTATCATGCATACAGAATTCTACCGCGAAAGGGCCCAGCCCGGTGCAGTTATCATCGGCTCCGACTCTCACACCTGCTCTTCAGGCGCAGTTGGGTGTCTCGCTATCGGACTGGGGGTAGCGGATGTCACTATGGCTCTTGTTACGGGAGAGATCTGGTTCAATGTCCCTGAATGCGTAAATATCCGATTTGTCGGTAAGCCAGAAAGAGGAATCGGGGGCAAAGATGTCATTCTCTATGTTCTCCAACAACTCAAGAGAAATACGGTGGCCGCGGATCGTGTTGTCGAGTATACTGGCCCCGGATTGAAGTATCTCTCTCCGGACGCCCGATTTGCAATCGCCAACATGACTACAGTTAGTTTACCTGACTTGTGCACGTTGTTTATGTCCAGGATACCATACTAACGATATACAGGAGTTCGGAGGCATAACGGGGATATTCATTCCTGATTCCGCCACGATGAATTTTGTCAATTCTCGGAAGCTCGCCAGACATAAATCGAGCTCTCACTATTTCCGCCCCGACGAAGACGCGGTGTATGCTGAAACACATGTTATTGACCTCTCCAAGGCAAAGTCATTTGTAGCTAAATACCCGAACCCTGACGATGTTGTGCCCGTCAGTGATATGGAGAATACCCCTCTCGATGGCTGTTTCATTGGTGCATGCACTACCGCAGAGGAAGACATTATACTTGGTGCGCTGGTACTGGAACAGGGGCTGAAGAAGGGTCTCGTGCCTGTCTCTAGGGGCAAGCGAAAGGTAGTTCCCGGTTCCAGGCCTATTGTTGATATGCTTCACAAAACAGGGCTGGCAGCGATCTACACCGAGGCTGGGTTTGAAATCGGTCTTCCCGGTTGCAGCTACTGCGTGGGAATGTCTGCGGACAAAGCCGGTGAAGGTGAGGTGTGGCTATCATCTCAGAACAGAAATTTTGAAAATCGAATGGGAACAGGTAAGCCCTGGCTGGCACCTTCTCCGATGAGGTATATTCAGTTAGGTTAACGAGCTGTAGGCTCCATCGGGAACTTGGCATCCGCCGCCACTGTCGCCGCCTCCTCTTTCGAAATGAAGATTACGGATCCGCAGTATCTGATTGACCTGATCGACCAAGAGAGATGGGACCAAATCAAAGGGCGAGGTTCCATTAGAGAAGTATTGAACAGCCCGGAACCACCATACGTCGAGCCGCCTAGTTCTGGCGCGGACAATCAAGTCCCCCACAACGATGGAGTAGGAGTGAGGTCGGAAACACCAGCATATAGCCATATACCCGAACACACTTCCCAGAGCGTTGCACGGGAAGGCGTTATAGACGGCAAGGTTCAGAGGCTGGGAGACTTTATTGATACTGATGCGGTGAGCTTGCCAGCACCTTGGAAACGAAGCAATTGTCCTAACGCAGTTAAACAGCTTGCACCAGCACAATATCTTGTTAGTTCAAGAACGGACGACGAGTTGGGAAGTCACTGTCTCGAATTCACAAATCCCGGTTTCAGGTCTCGAGTAGCACAAGGATTTGATATCGTTGTGGCTGGCAAGGGCTTTGGTTGTGGCTCCTCCCGAGAGCAAGCGGTCTCGGCCCTTCTTGGTAGGTAAACTAAGGGCAAGCAGGATCCAGATCATAACTGACATCGTGAGTAGGGTGCGGAGTTCGGTGCGTTATCGCAAAGTCGTTCGCCTTCATTTATAGCCGGAACCAGCCAAACCTCGGTTTACTTGGAATAACGATCAATAGCGACGAGTTTTTTGAAGCCGCGCAGGACGGAGTCGCTATATCTGTGGATTTACGTAAGAACACCGTTATTGTGGGCGAGAAGGAGTTCGCCTTTGGATTGAGCAAGATTGAGAAGGAGTTGATAGGCTTGGGGGGAATAACGCCTGCCTTTATGAAGTTTGGGAAAGATCTCTTCCAAGGATTGTGTTCTAGCCGACATAACTCGGGAGCCGGAAACGGTATAAAGGGAGGTGGCTGCTCATCGGGGAAATTGCTCGAGTGGTAACGTCGTAGTTGTTATATTCACGAATGATACTCAACACTCAACAACGGTAATTAAAGCAAGAAAGGAGCAATCAGTTTGAGCTGTAAACTGGAGGAGTACACCGTATCTCATCGTTCATTCACGTTCATCCAGCAAATCCGAGAATCGAGTCCCTACCTGATACCTAGGCTCGGTTCATCCTCTCAAGCTTTCCTCGGGACCGAATGTACGGACCTCATTCGCTAAAGTAGGCCGAAGCTTGTTACAAAGCGTGCTGATCGTACCAGCTGCAAAGGAAGCTAAGCCGAATTGGTTCACCCATCTTCATCTTCTCTGTACCCCAGAGCCGGTGGAATTGCTGCATGCGGGGTAAGACCTTTCCCCAATTTAATTTCCTTATTGCTTGCTTCCGCGACCCAACTTTTACCACGGTCAAGCCCACCCTTTTCAGAACATTTATTTGCTCTTCTGAGTAGTATCCGACGGCCTTATAGGGCAATTGGAGCTGGCCTTTCCATATCGTGTAAGCCGGGAACATTTTACCCGGCGATAGGTGCAACGCAGGATGCCTCCGGAGCGGAGACGGAAAGCATGTAAAGAATGCCGGCAACAAAAGGTAAACAGCTTCGAAAAACGTGATTCCGGATCGACCATACTAACTCGACTAGATACGCTGTGACGCAGAGCCACCCGACACTTGTTCACGGTGCCGCCGGATGGGGCTCGCATGTGTTCTCTCATCAAATTCCCATGTCCGACAAACGAAAGCACAGCTCCAGCGCGAACTAGATCGGCTGAAACAAAACGACACTGTCGAACTTGTGTCCATATTGGCTGAATCATCCGAACCTCAAGCTCCCGAAGGAAACGCGGTAGATACGCCGCTGATCACAAATATACCCCTCGGCTCAACATCCATGACTAGAACGTTTGGCATCTCACCGTCCGAAAGCCATTATGTGTCCCCAGCATCTTCTGACGGGGACTGCTGCTGTTCGAGAAGCTTGGATGGTCAAGATTTCGATGCTCGGAAAATCCGGGATTGTTTTTCTATGTACGTCTCAATAGGCGCACTTGCTTACAATGTTCGAAGATTCTGGAACTTGAATCGTTCGCTGACAGTAGCCTACAGATTCTTCCAACGTTACTTGCCGCATTTGCCAATTTTGGACTATTCGCTTAGCCCAAACCAGTTCTATGACCTGTCTCCTTTTCTCTTTTGGGCCATCGTTTTCGTCGGCAGCAGGCGATACGAGAGAGATCCCACGTTGCTGAGTATGCTTGCTCCGCGCATCAATTCCCTCGCGTTGAGGTCGTTGGAAAGCCGGTCGAATCCGATACAAACAATACAAGGCCTCCTCATCCTTTGTGTCTGGCCCGTCCCGATCAATACGATGCACAAGGATATCAGTCATATTCTAAGTGGTGCTGCCTTACATCTCGCTATGCAGATTGGCCTACATGTAACTCACTCGGGTCAGGATTTCGCTCGGACGAAGGTTGATTCGGGCCGATCACAAAACCTCTCTCGAGCGCGCCTTTGGATTCACTGTATCATGATATGTCACAGGTTGGCGTTTTTTTTCGACTTATACCCCCTCTTAAGTATTTCACTAATATTCCTTTATAGCACGAGCTTACGTGAAGGCATACCTCCTCTTGTATTGACCAGTTCTGTGGCATTTGGATTCGACGCGGACGCGGCGCTCTCCGAATTTCCTGAGGATTTGAAGCTCCGGTGGAGGGTGCATGAAGTGATGATGGCTTCAACCATAACTATCAGCAAGACTCTTGAGGACAAGGCGGCCATGTCTCGTCCCAACGCGCTAAGTCCATTTATTAGCGTTTTCGATGCTCAGTTTTCAGATTTGCTAGGCCAGTCTCGTAGCACGATCGGTATGTCACCCGGAATCCTAGGTCGGCAGATCTCTCCGCTAAAGTCTTACAGGTACCATTTACGTGATGTGTTGCCAGCTTCATCTCCTGGCGTACTACATGCTCGAACGTTCCGACTTTCCAAACCAAGCTGGTCTGTTGCGGTTGCATACCAAGGCGTGCTCGGTAATTGAAGCAGTCATGGCCGAAGATCAGCGGAGTGGATTTGTAGATGTGTGCCCCGTTTTTATCGACAGGTGCATTACCCTCGCAGCATTCACTATCCTAAAAATTGTGCGAAGCTCTCTCTTAGATCACGTCGATAGAGAAGCCGCCGAGCAGGCGTACTTTTCGGCAATACACTTCACCCGTCGAGCCACGCTTCAAAGCGATGACTTAGGAGCTCGTGGAACTACACTGCTGAGCCAGTTATGGACAAGCAAGAACATATTTACATACGCCAACGGTAAAGTGGATGGTCTGCGGAGTAGGATTCGCAGCCGGCTTGCTATGAGCGTGGTTTTTGATTGCTTCTGGTGGTGGCGAGAGGAATTTGGCGGCCAACCAAGCCCATACGGCGATGACGGGCCTGATTCTACAACGAGAGGTGTGAAGGCCCATTCCACTTATTATCTAGGATTAAATGCTAATAGAATACATTGCAGTAGAAAACACAACAGGCACGCTTCGTGCCGTTGAGGGCAGTCCTGGTGAGCCACAAACGCGAAGTGAGGGCTTCTTAGGCGCAGACGCTATCAACGATATGATGATATTTCCCGATGAACCGTTCCCTGACTATGACTGGGCGGCGAACTTCGATTTCGCTGAATTAAATTGGACACCGAGAACCTTCACAGGAAATCTAGTGTAGCAGTGTACAATAAGAGTGTGTGTTATGGTGTATTACCCCAGGTAAATTCTGATAGCGTAGGCGTAATGTAATATCAATAGCCCTTGGCACCCTCGTCCGTCTCGGCCCAGTCAGAGCAGGGCGAGAGCAGTGACTCTTGCATGAATTGACACTGAGAAAGAAACTGGGACACCTCCAAGTAGCTTCGGCACTAAACCTTTCTAATGGTCAGCGGATGAGTGGATGATTAGCTTTGCTAAGAAGCTGGAGCTTTACCAACTAGTGCAAAGTCGATGGGCTTGCCGAAGTTCGCCGAAGTTCGCCCAACCCCAACATAACCGCGTTCCTACCCCCGCGAAAGCCATCTGTGTCATGTACTCAGTCATCCACTGTTTATTAAAGGGTGACGCACTCTCAGGCTCGACATTCAGGACTCACCACCCGTTAGGAGTCATGCCCGTCGACGTAATCGTCGAGGGGGGACAAGGTAACAAGGAAACGCCTGTATTCCGTACCCTTTCCTTCATCAGGACGGCTAGGTGGATCATGACCGGTAGTGTCCACATTCCCGACGAGCTTGTTCGCGAGCTTAAAACAGACCTTCCGGACGCTACTGAGTCTATCGTCCAGATGTCGACTGCTCCAACCGCTCAGCTTGACGCAGAAAATATCACCGAAGCGTTTTGCGAATTTGTGCTAATACTACATTCGACTCATGCCTGTCAGGACTTGTTCCGAAATTATCGGACCTCATCGATCATATTGGCGTTGCCGCTGGCGCCGCGCAAAGAGGAGAATCCAGTAACACATTCCTGCAGGCCCATCAGATAGATTGTGGGAACTACAGGCCAAAACACCGTCTACCCAGAGGGGATGTCATTTACTCCCCAGTATGCCGCGCTCCTGAACGGCGCCTTTGCACATACCTTTGACTTTGACGATACCATGGCCGAGGCCGTCCTCCACCCCGGAGCAGCTATCATACCCGCTGCCCTTGCGGAGGCAGAAAGTTCCGGGGTGACAGGGAAGCGCCTGTTACTTGCACTAGCTGTTGGTTACGAGGTGGCTTGTCGGCTTTTCGCATGCGTATTCCGAGAACGCAAATCTGTCGGATTTATGTTCTGGCCTGGGGTCTACTTGGGTGTTCACATCCACGGCTCTTAAGCCATTCCCAGCCTGCCGAGTGACACATACAGCGATTGACATCGCCGCAAAAGTCTCAGTAGAAGAGAGAAGAGTGCTCCTGCCAGAGAACATGGGCGTCAAAACTTTCGCCTGCATGCTATAATGTCGTCGGCGCGCCAGCAACCAAGAAGCGGCATCCGCAGACCATTGTGGACGCCCAGTTCAGCATATATTACCAAATCGCTGCCGCTTGGGCATTTGGCTCAGGTACGGGTTGGGCGATATACGACGATGAGAGAATGGCCGATTCACAGGTGGCGCAACTCAGTGATAGGATTACGGTGACTGCAGATGACGATGTCAGGGGTGTGGAAGTTCGAATGGGGTTTAATGGAGGATCGTGAACGACGGTTAAATATATTTTCAAAGCGATATCGAGATGTTCGTAGTTAGACGATCTCAAATAATATAGACAAAGGTCGAGCAGAGGGAGGCTCTTCCCTCACGTATATTTATGGAGGGTCTCAGTAAGATTCTTCATTCAGGCTGAAAAACAAAATTGTACGGGGATCCTGAAGGTTCTGCAATCCTGATAAAGCGTTAACGCACGATCCATTCCGAGACGCACTCCATCAATGCTGGACAATTCGAAGCAATAAATCCCGCTGTGGCAGGGTGTCACTTCCCATCTTGTAGGGTTAATAACGTCACTCTTCCAGCAAGACTTGTGCGAGAATATGGAGTTATTAAAGCTCACAATCGGTCCAGCAATAAAAAGCGAATTCGATTGACCTGCATTCAATTTTATCCTGTTATCAAAGCAAGAGCGCCAGGCAGCCCGTTTACGACGGGTATCCCGTCCAAAAAAAGAGAGGAAAAAAAGTATGAAGACGAAGTGAAGCGAATAAACACAGTCCCCCATATTATGTCCTATCTCATCCTTCCATGCCTAAAGGGCTAATGAGAGATATGCTTCGAAACGAATCAACAGTCTCTACCTCCAGCCAACTATCCCGAAACAACACCATACCAAATCAGACCCATCACGGCGCCGGCGATAATGGCGACCGGAGGGCTCACACCAAACCAGTAACCACCGACATAGCTCGTCGCCGTGATGACAACCATCCATGGCTCCAAGGCAAGGCTAGTGCCCTGTTGATATCCTTCGTCCATGTATCCGATCTGCCACAAGCGATAAACAGCGGTATAGATGAGACCAACAGCCGCAGCATTTACGCCTCGCAGCATGGACTTGACCCATCTAAGACCGCGAATGGCGCTCCAAACACCCATGGTTCCATGTACCGTGATGAGACCGGGGGCAAAGATTCCAATGAAACCCAATAGCGCTCCGAGGGCTGAGTTGTATCCTCCGTTGATGGCAGTCAGGGACCCGAGATATACGGCAAAGTTGAAGTTCGGACCCGGGAAGCTTTGCTGAATGGCGAGTCCGATCAGGAAATCTCGAGCACTAACCCAGTTCTCCGCGACGACATATTCACGGAGGAGGGGAATAACGACGGGACCACCGCCAAAAATGATGGTTCCGGCGAGGTACATGTTGGCGAAGAAGCTGAACAGGAGAGGCTTGCCGGGAAGAACACCGCGCAATACCATGATTGCGATGAAGGTGAGGAAGAAGAAGACGATTAAGCCAACGCCAAATTGCCACGAAAAATTGAGAATGCGCTCTTGAGGAACTACGCGGGGTTCTCGTTCGGCGGAGGAAGGCTCTTTATTTTGTTGGTCTTGCGTCTCAGAAGCCTGATTCTTCCCGTTGGCTTGGCTGTCTTGCGTCATTTCCATGTTTTCTTCCTCGGCGGGTCGGCTGCGTTTGCGGAGATTGCGAACCCAGGTAACGATCGCGATGACGGGCCCGTGAAGCCATCGGAAATCATGGATGATGGTGGCGATTCCGGCGAGGAACATGAGGACCGGGAAATACCACAGCGCGTTGTACAGAATTCCAGCGGCGGCGCCGAGAAATACGAGAATCCGGGTTAGTTTGTCAGTGATGGCTTTTTCGGACAGCTGGACGGCGGCAAGGGCGATGATTCCGACGGTCGAAGCGTTCAGGCCAGAGAGGAGGGCATAGGCAGGTCGCGGGAGGGAGTCACCGATGTTCGACACGCCGATGGAGAGGCCGTACATTGCCAATGCGCCGGGCAAGCTGAACGTGGTTCGTCCGGGTTAGCTCAAAAAGCGGCATGTCCGCGTTGTGCTGAGGAACCTACCTCCACATGAGAAATCCTAGGAAGGCCGGGAGAAAGCCGTCATGGATGAGGTTGATGCAGTAATGCATCTTGGTGCTGCCAGGGCCTGAAAAGGCCTGGCAAACGCTGAAGAGTTCCTGGTACTGTTCATGCTGTCAATATTCCGCCATATCCCCTCTGTAGGAGAGAACCGTCGTCTTACCACTTGCTCGTCGATCCATTTCAGCTTGGTTACAAACTTGTCACGGAACTGAAATCGGAGCTCGGTTAGCGGCAACCATAGCGGCGGGAGCTGCAGGTCTGTGGGGGTCCATGGCGTCTCTTCCCGCGGTTGGCGAGGAAAGGAATACCAACGGCAGGCACACTCACGATCTTGAAGTGGACCGGAGGTCCTCCAAAAGACGTGAAGCCGAGATAGTAATTCTGGCGGATTGTGTTCCAGAATCTCTCGCTCATGTCTGCTGGAGACCAGCTGAACCAGTTCGTTTTGACACCCATTTCGACGGGTGTATTTAGGGGTTTAATTCTTCTATTAATTTACGAGTTTATCTATCTCTAGGCTTGGGTGCATGCCAAAGTGTGACAGCGCAAAGAAACATCAAATTGATGTCGCCCAGTTAATTGAGTCTTGAATCAAAACTCTGAAGCTCAAGTCGAGGAAATGCCCGCTCTTATTTATCTGGTTTCCTGACCAAGAAATGGTGACATATCAAAGTTTCTTCGGGATTTAGAAACTTGCCCAATCAAATCAAGGATGGAAAGCACGTGCTACCAATCGGCTCATTCCAGTGACAGATTATTGGGTTGGGGAAATGAAGTAATTCTGAACACTTGCCATCAGCTGCGGTCACTCCACAAAGCTTTTGTTCTCGGTCTGGAATCTGGTAATAACGAGGGGGAGAATTTCCATGATTCGTCTTGGCCTTGCCGCAAATTCTCCCGGAATCAAGATCACATGTCCTTTGATGTCTGTGGGCTCTCGAATTGGAAGCAGACCAATACCCAGCCCCTCTGTATCGATTATCTTTTACCTACTAATGTTACGCCGAGTCCCTGATAAAGCAGGATCTCATCATCGCCCAACAACTTATCGCCGTCATGATGGTGTCCGGGCTCACGAGGAAAGAGAACAAGATGAGCAATCTCACCGAGAGCATAAGCCGGGTGCAGATAACGGAGCATAAATAAGGGCAACTTTGACATTCTACGCTAGCTGGACAGATTTGGTCGTGCTCTGCCACCTCAGTTATATAGTGGGTGAACCACAGTCGTACGTTGGTGGTACCGTTGCTGTATCCGGCGACCATATCGGAACGTAGCCGGAGCGGCTCGGACCGCAGCTCCTGTTAAGCGCAGGAACGATTCTTCATTGTTCCGGTCCGGGCAAACCGTGCCTTGGGTTACGCACATTAGTTTCACAACACACAGCAAGCCATATATGTACGGGTTTTGAAAAAACTACGAATGGCAACGTCCTGCGGTGTTCCGTATCCGGCAGTCGTGTCCTTTTCAAGATTTTCTTTCTAGATGCATCCTGCATGTCATATCCGCCATCTTATAGAGTGTTCCTAGAAGGCGGGGGCCGAACAGGTTAGACTATGTGTGGAATGTGGATGGACTACTAATCCCAGACCCCGAGTAAACGGAGGTTAAGACGGATGAATAGCTCCCTGGTATCCCACCATCTCAGGGACAAACCGGACAAGTGAAGCGATCAGCCGTTAGCATTAACACAATGCCTGCACGAAAGCGGCATATGCGGCTCGATCTAGGGCGTGCTGGCTTATCCTCGTCTCCGACGAGGGACACATGTGTGACTGGAGGAAGGGTTGCAGACGCCGAGGGTATGGTTGCCCCGAGTCGACATCAGCCATTTTTTCTTCTCACTGGGGTTAAACTTCTCGGGAAGGAGGAAATAATGTATCCTATCGGTTGCTTCGTTTTCACCATCGTGAGCATTCTTCATGCATACTACACATCCTCCATCCATTCCGTCTTTGACACAGCTTCCACTTTGAACGATGAAGTACTCAGGTACAGGCAACATCAATAATTACATGCCACAAGTCGCCGCCAGGGATATCGCTCGAGTTTTGCAAATGGCCCCTACTCCAATATCTCTAGCCCCTTCTCCTCTACTCAGCCAGTTAATCCGGCGCCTAGGCCCACCGATAAGGAACCTTAGCGCTGCTGGCCATTGATAGACTGGGTAGTAGATTCCCTCCTCTCTGCGGGTGCATGCGGCACATTCTGGGCCTGCTCTGAGAGCAACGCGCAGGCGTTATACCGCGTCTGGAAGAAATTCGCCACATCAACCGACCTCTTCTGGAACTCTTCCTCCAAGTCCCCCAAGTTATTGCACACAGAGCTACCAGCAGGACCGAGGGCCTGCAGCGCGCCCGTCATTTCGCGGAAAGCAGCGTGGGGTCTCGTCTGGGCGATTTCGCGGATCTCGCGGAGGCGGTTCTCGACGGCTTCGAGTACATTGACGTAGACTAGGCTCGTGTTGGGCGGGGAGTTACCAGCGGGGACCTTGCGCATCCAGGCGATGTATTCTGCTACCGCTAAAGACATGCCTGCGATCTCGGCTTGGCTGTGAAACACCGCTGAGGAGAACGCGGCCAGTTGTATAGCGATGGCGTTGCCAATGTCGTCGTTTGTTTTGGCTCCCTGAGCTACTGCCGCCGTCGCCGGGTCGTGTGTCGTAGAGGAAGACCGATTTGCGGTGCTATCACCCGGCGACGATAAGGCGGTTACATCGACATGGATGTATCCCTGGCTATGTTGGCTTTGACTCTCGGCTTGGAAGCGGGCGAATTCTCCCTCTCCGTTGCTACTGTGGTTTCCTACGTCTTCGTCACCACCCAGGCGCATCGGGTCGCCTCTTTCGACTGTTGGGCGCGGGCTGCCGATCGACTGTAAAGAAGCCAGGAAGTCGTTGTTCAACGGGCCGGGAGACGTGGGGTTGTGCGCGTGGTAATTTAGGGACGGGTAACCGCCGGATTGAGTCGAGGGGGGAACACCGTTAGATGTCGATGACGCGAAGGGAGGGAGAGGACAGTGGAATGCTGCAGGAGCCGAGAAGTCGGCGTTCGATGGGCACGCCGCAGTGGCGTTGTATGTGGGCGGCGATCGGGGCGTCACGACGGCAGCGGTGGCGGAATTGTTGTTCGCCTGGGCCATCCTCGAAATTTGGGCTTCTGCTTCGTCTATGCATTTTTATTTTTGTACTCGCATACGTGCGAGTCCCAAATGTCAGCAACTTTCTTCGGCGTTCGCCTCGGCCTCAAAACGAAGGGGTGGTATGAGAAGGGAGAGACTCAGAGGGAAGGGGTGAGGGAAGGGGTGAGGGATGATTGGGCATCTTCGTACACAGGCGCTTTTGCAGTGCCTCAACGGTTTGGGTGAGATCAGCTCTGCTGGGCCGTTGGGTGGGGAGGTAGATGCACTCCTCCCCAGCCCTCCGGCACTTCTGACATGACGGTTGTTCCCCGTCACACCGCACCTTGCGATCGCGACAGTGTTTGCATGCCGTGTGCCGCGAACTTCCATTCATTTTCACCACAAAAGGTGACAAACGCGCCCTCGAGACAACTGATGGATGGAGGCTGGTAGCGATGGTGGTAGTGGAAGAGCGCTAAAGCTGCATTCGTATTTGCTCTCTTTCAAGTCGTCTCGTTCGTCAAACGAGGTCGCGTAGGGTATGTAGCGAGTGTCGCTGAAGCCTCGAGGATTGTAGGTCTGGTGCGTTACCGCGGCTCAGCAGCATGAGGAGACTTCGCTATCTGCGACAAGGACGGAGAACTGTTATTGTGCGAGATCGTGCGCAAGTGAGAGAAATCACAGAGGCGAAGTTTCATTAAGCATAAATGGTAACAAGCGGGTTGTACGAAGTGTATTATTACTACTGTAGCTTTTCACATTTCTCTGTAGGGCGTTATCCTGCGGAATGTCTGGCGATCCCTGTTATCACGTCAGCACCCTCACAGGCATGGACATGGACTGGTTTAAACCGTATCGGGCTGTGGGGTCCCATGTCTCTTGTCTATTGGTCAGGTTACTTGGGTTTTTTTGGGGGGGGGGGGGGAGGTTCTCTTCTGATTCCGTTTCCGTCCCGTTTTGACGTCTACTTCGTACGGAATAAGCCGGATTCGCCAGAGGAGCGATTTCTGAGGCACTGGGGCTCTTAACTGTGATTCACCCCGGTTCACCACTCTAGCCAGGCTTTGATAATGGCACTTTTGTGTAAACTCTGACTGTTCTCCAAAATAAAATGGACCTAGCGATCTACTAATCATTCCCTTCCTCGGATCTCCTGATGTACGATTCTCGCGGTAAAACTGCAAATCGGGCCAATCTAGAGTTGAACCCTTACGCGATGGGAAGCCCCGGCGAGGAGCGAGTATATAAGCTTGCAACCTCCACAATGGAAAATTTCGCAGTTTGTCTAGTTTTGGTTCTACTCGCTGTGGTAAAATCCTTTTCCACCAAGTCCGCTATCACCCATCTCAAAACTACCTCGTTAGCGTACGACGACAAGTGGAACAGGGACAGGGAGATCCTCAGTGTAGCAATGTGAACTTTCCTCCGTCACTCGCATCATTGGCATTGCGCCTATGCGTCCTGAGCCGGTGGGTGCTGGGGATTATTAGAGGAGTGACTAGTGACTATCGGCGTTTCCACTCCCCCCATTGGCTCGTCCCGGCATACCAGTATCCCCATGCCACGATACGGCCCGGTTGGACTTTGTATACTCCTTATAGCCTCGTCAAGCGCTTGGACGAGAATTCGGGCGGGGTGCTCTTCGTACCAACCGAGAAGTTCAGGGTGAAAAATCTCCCTCTAAAAGCACCCAACGCCTGCAATGATATCTGGTGACCTCGAAGTTGTATCATGTGAGCCAAACATAGCTGCCGAGTTGTTGCCTCCGAGAGCCGGCGTTTGCTGAAGATCCGCCGCCTCCAATACGCCCTTGGAGCATAGTTTGCACCGGCCAACGCAATAATCGATGAGATAGAGAACTTTGAGGTCCTTCTGGAGATAACACGCCAAATAGGTCATTTCCTCGGTGGTAGTATTCCGTGCCGCGTAAGGGGACCGGATTTCGTCAACGTTAAGCGCAATTCGCTTTGCTTGGTGCAGTGTCTCCGCCAGTTCATCACACCATATAGCCTCGAGAACATCCGAAATGCCACCGGAAAGAGACTTAGTGTGGTCCGGTGTATGGTTAAGGCAGGTGCCGTTTGGTGAACACTTTGGTACTTCACTTGGCGCGCCAAAGTTTAAAGCCAAGACATCAATCGAGTTGTTGTACTGAACCCATTGATTCTGGCCAGGTAGATAAACCATGTTGATATCTTGTGGCTTGGGTGTGTTCCTCTTAGTGACATTCGAGGCTTCGTCACAACTGCAGCAACTGATTGGAGGAACAAATATATAGAAGGATCACGGCTGAATATTGTTGTTAAGCCACCGAGACCGTCCGTCGAGCTAGTCGCTGCGCTTGGCTGTACAACGTCGAGGAATATCTTTGATTTGTATTTGTTGTAGAGCTCGAACTTGTGAGTGCTTATATTCATTGAAGACCGCGGAAGGCTCGATCAATGCGTTCCCTGGATATACACACATGGAAAACATGCATCTTAGATCCGGAGTAACTGGCTTACCAAATATGGCTCTGCAATTCTCCGGGAAGGCTTGCGAACTGTGGAAACTGGCCCGTCATAATCGTAGTGCAGATGGAAGAGAGGTTCGATGAGTTCGAGATGAGGACGAAATTGTTATTAACCTATTTTAGCAGAGATGAGACTCCTGAGACAGAACTTCCTCAGACGTTTATATGTGCCCACGAGCACACATGTATCCCCATTCTATCGTGTGCTTTATGGCCATATCTCCTCGAAAACTAAGGATCTCGGCTTTCCCGACATGAAAAGCGAAACGGAGAGCCTCTTCCGCCGTACATCCCGTTTCCGAGAGAAGACTCACCAGGGCACCCCTGCATGGGTCCATAGCTCAATTACGCGACTGGGCTAGTCCTGGCCAATGACCAGTTTGAGGTATTAAGGCCCGGCCGAGGTTCGGAGGCCCCAACCAGAGCTGGAACTGGTGAGACTGACATAAAGCCGAATCCTACTGTCAGCTTACGTCGTTTGAAACGGTGCAGTCTTACAATGGGAGAACGAGAGGGAGCAATGATCCAGGTCCCCAGGTACCGAGAGACAAGGCGGGGTAATAAATCCAGGAGCTATCAAATTGGCCGCTCCATTGTCTTTGGGGAGACGTGACTTTCGAGCACCGCGCACCACGGCACCTCTGTCTTCACCTCCGCAATTAACTTAAAGCTGTGAAACTTGGACGGTTCGACGAAAAGACAATACCATGAATACTGCGACCGGAGTGTCGAAAAACAGGAGGGCCCCGCGACAGGGCACTCACAGCTGAATAGAATGTAGGTGGCCTGGGCTGCTATATCCCCTTCGTCCAAAGCATAACTTGAGGGGATCAATCGCAGGTAAAAGGCGGAAAACGCGTTGTCTCTTTCCCTCGGGTACCGATAGCAAATGCGTCGGCTGTCACCATCGGGGCTCGACTTGCCTAAGTCAAGAGTTCTCGCCTGAGTTTCGGCGGTCCTTTTGCGACATAGGCTTTGACAGGATGCGTTGCTTATCCCACTGGCATGCCCAGATGGGATTGATGGAGAGGGTCTGTCAGATTTAAGCGTTCACCCTGCAGCCCGCATTAATGGGCACATCCCTGGGTGACGGTGGAGTTAGGCCTCCATGCTCCGCCGAAAGACACAGCTGAGATGACAGCTCAATTCATCAGCATGCACTGCAGCTGGATTCTGTCCTTGGAACCGGACAAAGGCGGAGCAGCGGACGTTCCGAGTCCCGACCAATATTATGATCCTACTCGTGTATTGACCAATACACTGTCGTCGATCATGGAGAACGTTGACCAGTCTCGGAGAGATACTTCATATCCAGGTGTTCCCACCCTCTAGTCAATTCTCACCACCCATCCTTTCACACCAAAATCTGGGAGTGTTTTTTTTCCTTCCTTCTTTGTTCTGGGAAACGGAATCATGGTCTTAATCCGCTCAATTTTTCTCTGCCTCCAAGCCACGGCAGTGTTCTGCCACCAGGTGTGCCGCGTCGTTCCTGGTGACCGAGGTTGGCCAAGCGAGCAGGCTTGGAACCAATTAAACAAAACGGTACTCGGGAGGCTCGTGGCGACGGTTCCCGCTGCGTCCCCTTGCCACGACCCAAACTACGACGAAGCCGCCTGCTTGGCCAAGAAAGAACAGTGGAACTTAGCTCAGACGCAGTAGGTTCCTAACCAAACACTGTTTGCCTTCAACCATAACCGCGACCGCGACTGCTGACAAGACACAGGCATCCATGATGCTGGAGGACTCATGAATGGATTCTTCCAGAAAGACTTCTGCACTCCTTTTACACCACGCTCGACCCCCTGTGAGCTGGGAGACTACGTGCGGTACTCAATCAACGTTAGCAGCGCCGCAGATGTAGTCACCGGTATTAAATTTGCCAGAGAACATAATGTTCGACTAGTAATCAAGAATACCGGCCATGAGTTCATGAGTTAGTGATATTGAATTTTGTTTCTCTGTGGATTTGTTTAATCAATACTAACTTTCCGTCCTAGTCTCTTGGGTAGGTCTCATGGTCGGGGCGGGCTCGCGCTTTGGACTCACAACCTTAAATCTATCAAAGTCATATCAGACTATAAGAGCCTCGAGTACGAGGGCCCAGCGATGAAGTTGGGCGCTGGCGTGCTATCAGGAGAAGCGGCCGTGGCCGCGCATCAATACGGATACCGTGTTGTTAGCGGCGGTTGCCCGAGCGTTGGTATTGTTGGCGGCTACACTCAAGGTGGAGGACACTCCAGTTTGAGCGGCCTCTACGGGCTCAGTGCCGACAATGTCCTGGAATGGGAGGCTGTCACAGCAGATGGTCGACACCTTATTGCCACTCCATCGCAGCATACGGATCTCTATTGGGCGCTCTCAGGGGGAGGCGGCGGCAGCTTCGGCGTGGTCTTGTCCATGACTGTCAAGGTGCATGTGGATGGGCCAGTTAGCGGAGGTTTCCTGTCTTTCAACGACTCCTCGATCGGGCCGGACACTTTTTGGGATGCTGTGAGTGCATTCCACGACAAGCTTCCAAGCCTTGTCGACGGCACGGGTGCCTCAGTCCTGTACCAGATCACCAAGAACGTCTTCAATATATCCTTGCTTTCCCCTCCTTTCACGGCCCGCCTGATATGGTTTCATTCCTTGCCGACCTACAACGCAGAGGTATTGAGTACGTATGGGTACCTAGTCAATTCGCCAGCTACTTTGATTTCTACGCGGCACATTTCGGCCCCTTGTCATATGGCGCATTCCCCATATCTGCCATGATCACGAGCAGGTTGATACCGCGGCGTGATATGGCTGACGGCTCTGAGGCCATTCATCACGCCTTACGTAGCAGCGTTGAAAGCGGTCGCTTTTATCTGGGCTGCCTAGGTTTCGACGCGAGCTTGGCCTCGCGGGCGGCGACACCAGGAAATGCCGTCCTCCCAGCCTGGCAGGAGGCCCTAGCACATTGTATGGTTATGGCTCCCTGGGACTGGACGAAACCGTACACTGAGATGGCCACGTACCAAGATGAAGTCGCCGACGTCATCATGCCAGCTCTCGAAGCCGCGACGCCTGGTTCGGGAACATATTCGAATGAAGGCAACTTCCAACAGAAGGACTGGCAGCGTCAGTTTTACGGAGAAAATTACGAGAAGTTGCTTGCCGTAAAGGAGAGGTATGATCCCGAAGGCTTATTCTACGTTACGACGGGTGTGGGTAGTGAGGCATGGGAAGCTGATGGCGAGGGTCGGATTTGCCCTGTCAAGACGCACGAAGGTCCCGGCAAGGATGAACTTTGATTTTTCCTTGGATAAATCAGCCAAGTCCACTAAAAGGCCGTCTTATTTTAGTATCCGTATAAATTTGGTCAATTAATAGCTGCGTATTCCAAGCCTCTTCTCCCACTTCTCCCTCTTCTCCCTCTCGATCAATCTCCATCTTTAGAGACCACCGGCCGCCGATAGACCCACCTGTCGTCTAATTTGTATGATATGTATATCTTATGTATATAGTTTCCCACTTCCCGTCTCCCCAATACTGCAGTGAAGTGCATGGGATGTCTTGTTACTGAAGGTAATCCTGACAGTCTTTCCCTGAAGATGAGACACTACTGGCTGTTCCAGGTGTAGAGTTCCACTCCCTCGCAGCTGCTCCATGGCATCCCTCACACGTACATAGATTAGGAGAAAAGATGGTTATTTTAGTTTAGCCTGGATGAAAATAACTAATAAATAAACTGGATTAAAGTATCCTGATCTAGAAGTGAAATGGAGCCATTGCCCTCGAATCTCCAATGCGATAATTATCATCCGTCCACGATGGGGATAATAATATGGCGGACTAGTGACGCGTCTACCATCTCAACGTTTACTTTAGATTCCCCGCCAAGAAGTCGGTGATGACCTTGTATGCTTCCGTCGCATTATGATGGAAATTGAAGTTGTGGCTGGCATCCGGATGCAAATAGGGCACAAATGGCTGCGCGTTCTTGTAAAAAGTTCGAGCCGGTTCATCAAAGATGCCATCGCATTTGCCGTCGCATACGATGTAGTCATCCCTTCCTGTGATGGCAAGGGCTGGTCCTGTGAAGTTGCTAGCATCTGCTCACGGAAAACATTGTCAGTGAGTCTGGCAACAGCGAGGAGGATGAGTAGGACAAAAATCAGCTATTTCCCAACTTACCGTAGTTACCCCCATTGCCAAGAGGGAACGCGTAAAACTCGGCAAAGCCGAAAGGTTGCTTCGCTTCCTCAGCAAAGTCGGCGGTTTCGGCGTCGTAGAAGGGCTACTTGAAGTACCTGCGTCTTGGTGTGAGCTTGGACTCAATCATTCCGCTTCCCAAAGAAACACACTCACGTATTAACCTGCGCGAACTTGTCCACCCAGATCAGGTATCCGTTATCCCATTTCCCATATTTCTTATTTTGTAGCTTTGCGATTCGCGGAACGAAGCTCCTGACCAGACCATTGAGATAAATGCCCGTGATATTGAATCCGATAGCGGTCAAGACCACAGCATCCGCGATCTCCGGGCTTGAGGCGACGGCCGCATGAATGATGTAACTTCCGAAACTGAAGCCCATCAACGCCAGCTTTTCTGGTTTCCCGATTGCCTCAGTATACTCGCCGCTCCTCACCATTTTCTACAGCTCTTTCAAAATGTCCACATGGATGTTGATTTGGTTGACAAACCCGGGGATCTTTTGGCTCGATCCCTGGCCCAGCCGGTCGTAGAAGAACACGGAATATCCCTGGTCGACGGCGAATTGGACAAAATTGTACTCTTCCGGACGGAACGGCGAGTTCCAATGGGAGCGCGCTTGTCCAATGCCGTGTGTGGCTAGGAGGACCGTCTTGGACTTGGCACTGAGGTTCTTTAGCGAACAGGAAGAAGCGGCGACTTCGTAGGTAGCTTACCCCACAACGGATCCGGTAATGGGAGACTGAGTATCAGGGTTTTGATGAGTTGTGGCAGCTGCCAGGAAATCGACGAGATCGTAGTCAGTCTCCCATTTCGGGAAAGCGAATTGAAGGGCCTCGGGAGCGACGGACACGGGAATCATGAAATCGGTGTAGTCTGCCGTTGGAGGGTAATAAGGTTTGGGTGCGTGGCCAGAGCGAGAGCTTTTGCCATGTGCAAAAGCAAGCCATGAAAGGGCTAATAGGGTGCTTCGTAGGATGCCCATGACGAATTGTATCAAGTAAGGCTAACAAAGAAGGGGTCCAATATCAATATGGAAAGGGGACTTTGGTGCGCCTGTGGGTGGCAGCGTTGTTCGGACGATGCTATTGATTCTGAGGCTGCTCTTCGCGATTCTCAGGTTTCTAAGTGCACGCTTTATTCCCCCTTTATACTCTCTTCTCTCTTCTCTCTTCGCTGGGTGGCGCTGCGATTCAACTCTGACGTTATATGGCAGCTGGGCATGGTACCCGTGCATGGAAATTTCAGAAGGATACAATCTCAATTTCGATGTTGTCAAGCAGGTATCGTGAAATCGCTGCTGAAGCTCTTCAAACGCAAGAAGGCGCCCCCTTTGGCTTGCTACATGACTCTTGACCAAGATAAGAATCATGTGCATACGGCCGCGTGCTTTCTAAAAATCGAGCCTCTTGCACTTGCAGAGCTGTTTCAAGCGCAGGGCTGCGAGTCTTTTCCTCCTGTCATACCTGGAATCCACGAGTCCACGAACGATTTTAACGTGCATCTGGTCATGTACGACGTCACGTACTTCGATCACTTGGTCAAGGATTCCTTCGCATCTCCGTCAGAAGAACTACGTTAAGAAATGGGGACGGGACAGATTGTACACTCCCACGGTGGTAGTGAATGGCATTGCGGACGGCGGATCAGGAGGGGGCACGGAAACTGAGATTGACGGAGTGATTCCGAGAGCGAGGGATGTCGCTTACTAGATGATGGACTGTGAGTGCCGTGCCGGGCAAACATGCTTCTTCGTATGGTAGGCGTCACTAATACGGAACTTTCTCCAGGGCACATTTATCTCGACGCAAACGATAATACCGGAATCCGCATCGACTCGGACAAATTGGAAATCGAAATGCATGAGGTCCTCGTCGTTGTATATCTAATCCAAGAGGAGGTGATCAAGATTAAACAGGAGCCTAACAAGGGCAAGAAAGTGAAGAACAAGAACCCTGTACAGGATATACTCAAGATTGGAGACTGGACTGGGGGCGACGTTGTCCTGCCACTTCCTATGGCCTAGGATCAGATGAAGCCAGGCACGGCTGCCGTGGCTGTGGTTCAGGTACCGAGAGGTGGCCCCGTTATTGCCGTCCGTAAAGTGGATGTGTAAATTGTCTGGAGACAACTTCCCTCCGAGTCCGAGGGTAAATATTAGCTGGAAAAGGAGAGCCGCAGTAAAGCTTTTCCACGTCTAAAAGAAGAATAACTGGGAACTGGGAACCACTCCCGCCCAGATTCATGAGTCGTAGATCTATCGAAGATCATCAAAGTCCACCCACACACGATCCGAGTTCCACCATCTCGTAAACTACCTAAGTTGCAAATCCACGCGTACAGGCCCCACTGTAGCGTAGTTTGTTGGCTAGAGAGGTGGACCTTCAGGGTGAAGCGCCATGTATCCTGGCTGGGGGCTGAAGATAATGTACGAAGTAACTATGGAGTCTGCCTGAACCCCAGAGCGAGAAATCCGAAGCTCGCACACTAGTCCTGTTTTGGGATGATTCCTCGCATTCAGTCTTGGCAGTCGCGGAGCCCCTCCGAACGTGCCGACGGGGTCATACTAAGAAAGACGGTTTGACAGGAGCTTATGACCGATGCAAGGATCCTTAAAAAACATGTATAAATATATATACACTTAGAGTTTCTGAATCCCCTGGGGAAGGCATTTCAATTTTGTAGACGTAGTTTTGATTTCTTCGTCTTTCAATCACTAGTTTTGATGAGGCCGAGCCGGCGCATGCCCCATCTCTATCACGTCTCGCAGAAGCCCGGTGACCCGTTTCAATTCTTCCAATTCTTCTGCTGCCTCACCCTCATTTTAATTTGCGCAAGCCTGCATCGTCAACATGCCGCGCAGTTTTGCTGCGTGCGTCGAGGTGACACCCGACTGCCCGGTGGAGGCCACCACGTACGGATACTACCCTTCATTGGGGCCCAACGCTGCGCTGCTCGCTGTCTACGCCGTTCTCTTCTTCTCTCAGATCATCGTGGGCTTTATGAAAAAGGTCTACTCGTTTTCAGCCGCAATGGCAGCTGGGTGCTTTCTCGAAATGCTCGGCTATGCCGGCCGAATAATAATGCACGACAACCCTTGGAGCGACTCGGGAATGAGAATCCAGATTGTCTGTTTAATCATTGGGCCTTCTTTCATTGCCGGCGGTATTTACTTGACTATTAAGCATTTCATCCGCATGAACGGTCCCGAACACTCTCGCCTGAAGCCGAATTTATACACCTGGATATTCATCGGCTGCGATATTGGATCTATCTGTCTGCAAGCAGCCGGCGGTGGGCTCGCTGGTTCCGCCAAGGATGACCTGCAACTGCTCGAGGCTGGCAATAATGTTATTATTGCGGGCATCGCCTTCCAGGTCGCTACCATGATCCTATGCGGTATCCTCGCTATCGACTATAACGTCCGCCGCCATCGCAACTATGCCGCCAAGTCATATACCAAGACCAAGCGCGCGGGGATAAGGGCCGTTCTATTCCAGGGAGGCGTTGTCTTTGCCTACGCTGCTGTTCTTGTCCGGTGCATTTACCGGTACGTTTGGGACGATCCAGGCCGAGATCCTTGAAACTAACTTTTTCTTCAGGCTGCCCGAAATGGTCGGTGGCTGGGGGAATCCCAGAATGCGGAACGAAACTGAGTTCCTTGTTCTCGATGGACTGTACAGTGCCCCATTATTTGATTCTTTGGATATGGTTTTTCCCTCGCTAACAAATGAACTTGGCAGAATGGTTGCGCTGGCTTCGGCTGCCCTGACCATATTCCACCCCGGCTACTTTTACCCATACATGCGAACCGGTTACATTGAGTCTGAAGGGACTCAACTCTCATCTGTGGAGCCCTCTAGCGCGTCCATTATCTCGACAAAGCCTGATAACAGGACGTGAGATCTTGGCTCCGCGTTGAAATATTCCAGGCCATTTCAATGAACTGTTCTGTGCGCACCGCTTTGCATTCATGTCGAATCCACAGAGCTATAGGTTTTTCTGTCGCCTCGAATCTGTGTAAACTGTTATAGATTAAAGCCCCGAGCTCTATAGGTTAACGAGGCTGTAGGGAGTCATCCCTTTATGCTACAAACCAATTTCCAAGTATAATAGTCCCTAGGTGTCTTTACCCAGCATCTAAACCTACACGCCGTCTCGGCCACTCTAGCAACTCAGCCCAAGGACCCGTAACAATCGAGGAGATTTCCGATATCAACGATATTCCCCAACCCTTGGCCCACCATCTATCCTCAAGTGTATGAAAGGCAACAGCCCAATAGGCGAGTATTGTGAGCGCTACGTGGTTCCGGAGTTTCACCTCTTCTATGAACCCGTTTGCCAGGCGGATCGGCCATGCGACAATGAGCTCTCCCCATTCCGGCTTTAGGGCTATCCGGTGCATGGTATCCATCTTCAAGAGGGGTATCGAAGCATGATACTCGGACAAGCATCTGGGAAGGGGGTGGATATGCCGGTCGAGCGCAGACAGAGCGCTTTTGGTATCTTCATCAAGGCCAGGTAGCTCGCCGTCTTCGGGTACCTTGCTCATAGGTGAAAGCTTGCCAGTGAGGACTAGGGGACGGGTTTCATTAAGAACAGCATGGGTGGGTCGCACTCTCTTGAGGAGTTCGAGGAACTGGGTTAGGATGGATCCCGTCGGAAGGGAGTAATTCGCATCTTGAGATAGCTCCAGATCCACAGTGGTAGAGAGTATACTCAACTCGAGTGGTAGCCTTAACGACGCAAATGCCCAGTAGGATACGAGAAGAGAGAAGGAATACACGATCTCCGCCGTTTCCTTCGTGACAGAGTTCAGGAGCGGCACGAAACCCTCTAGCGCAGCCGTCTGCTTTCTCAATGCGATGGATTTATAAGCCGAGTCAGGGTCGCCGCAGGTGAGGATTTTATGCATAGCTGCTACCGCGAGAATGCCGCTGAGAAGTGGCGGGTACATGATGGCATCGAGGAAAATGATGTCACGCCAAAGCAGACGAGCCTCTTGCCTAACCCAGAGGGTTTTATATGTGTGAGTCAAGTAAAAATGAGTGAGCTCCAAGTCCATTCCGTAGCACAGTGGCTCTAGGGACCTGCGCGGGGCTCCAATATCGGATCTGCGGCCTACCGGATGCCGGGCTGGGCAGCTGCAGGGGGATGACTCGGCCGAGCCAAACTGGTCGAGATACGAGCAGTGTTCGCGGCGACGCTGGCATCGGTTACAGCATGGTAACGTCTCGTCACACTACGACCCGATGGATCAGTGGTCCGCACAGATATCGGTGGGTTCTTATCCACGAGTGACGAACCTTGACTTTGCGCTTCTTGCACTGGAAACAGCCCCGGCGAGATTTCGTATGGTCTTTCATTTCTCACAGTAGAAAAAAGGAAGGAGAAGAAGGGAAGGTTGGTAGGCTGTGTTGTGAGTGGTTCGTTCGGTGAATAAGACTTTTCGGATTGGGCCACAGGCCATGCTCTCGGACTGGACTTGTCAAGTAGAAGCTCGATGGGCACCACCGGCATGCTCGGCTTAATGATTGACGAGTATTAGATAGGTTTTATGAAAAGATAGACCGTTCCTGGATAGGTCGTCAGATTTGTAAGCGTCATGACGCGGATGCTGTTCCCGATTTCGAGCAGTGGGTGATTGTAAGAGATTCACGTCGAAGAATTGAGGAAAGGGGGGGAATAGGGTAATTATATCAGTGTAGCGATCAGCGCGACTCTACTGGCAACCGGATGTGGCGGAGTGTTCCACTAGTTTGGGGAAGATGGGGCCAAGCCAAGCCACGACTGAGGTTCTCGGAAAGCACCAAAGCGCCACGCGGCGCTCAGGCTGGTGGATGGGCCGGAGACAGCTTAAAGAGAGGAGGAGCATCGTGCGCAATTGAATGGAAATATATCTAATCATGACAGCAAACGAATAAAATCTTCGGGTGAGGACACATGCTTGTGTTAACTTATGAACTCGCTTGGCTAGCTACGACTGGCCCGCGTATATTCCGTACGAAATTTTCCCATGATGGAGCCATGTCAAAATAGTCCCACCTAGCGGCGAGGAACGGCGAAAGAGAGGAGACGCCGAGCAGGATTGACGAGGGATGATGCAAGGCTGAGCTCTGCCCGTGCGACTTCAAGGATGGCACACGACGCCCCTCAGACAACAGTTGTTATGGTGTATTGTAGTCAGGAAAATTGATTTCTGAAATGTTAGAATCTCAAATGTTTATACATTGAGTTAGGCTTGGTTTCGGTTGAGCTGAGGCTCTATGCAAAGATTACCTACCCCTTCTAGATCCCCCTCCATGTCACCTCGGACAGCGGACTTGCCCAGGTGGGAGAATTAAGAAAGGCGTTGACGTTGTACCAACCTCACCTCGGTTAGATCTGGTATCGTATGATCAACCCGGGTATGCATTGATTGAGATTAATGGGCGTATATTGTAGGTATTCTGTCCCTGAGACAAAAGCGTTCGAGGACCAATCTTGGAGATCAAATCTGCCTTGCCCGCCCCCTAATAAGTGTGCCACCGGAGATGGAAGCTCCGAAGTTACACCAACGCTTTTCCTTCAGACGGTCGGAAACCATCTACCAGCTGCCCGGAAACCTCCCTCCATTCGTCTAAAGATGTGAATTCATGGCGCAGGACCAATCGAATGGTATACGCCGTCGCCGTAAGTGAATCAAGCCCGAGCTTGCGTTCATCAACCACCCGCATCAGGTGGCAGAGATAGGTCCGGAGGGGCAGTGCCCTCGAGGCACGTACGAGGTGATCGAGTGAACTGATGTCGAGATTCATAATCACAATATCCACACAAGGGGGACCGCTGCGCCTATACGCTTCGGCCTCGCAGATCTCTCCCGTGTCGGGATCTTCGTATTTCCCATCAACGATTGGGCAGTCCTTCGTAGAATGCCAATCCCCACCATGGAATTCGTCGGGATGCCGCGGAAGAGTGAAGCGGGGGCAAGCAGGACTGGAAGACATGATTGTAGTATCGCGTCGCGTAGTTGGAAATTCTTTGGGGGTCCGGAGGGAGGGCAGTCTGCGAGGTGTGATTTTGAGGGTCGAAGGGCGAAGCCCAACCTGGTGGAATAGGGACGTCGCTTTATATTGAAGGATTGCCACGGACTCCCGACATGCAACCATGATTCGCGAACTAGCCAATTCCCTGCTTCGAAATTAAGATCCTTTATTTGGATCATACGTCGACTTTAATGCATTCGATCCAGGTAATATGGGTTATATTACCCTCGCCCTAGCCCGCTTAAACCGCAATCAGTGGACGACCCGGAGGGGCCAATCGCAAGCGTCCATCGTCGCGTTGGTCGTTTTAGGAGAACGCCTTGCTATCATTGTCGCGAGGTGGTAAAACGCCTAGAGGCTCGAGAGAATGGTCTATTTAAGACGCGATCATTTCTATTTGCTCCGATAGAGAGATTCCTCGTTCGGAAGGGATGGCAATCGGCAGTAACACGCTCTTAACCAAGTCATTCTTGTCAATCGTCTCGGAATCTCCCCGTAGTCTATAGTTGCGGATTAGACCTGTTGAGCAATGGGCATGAAGGTACGCGAAAACCCCAATCGCGTGTTCGAGATGATGTTGTCACTAACAAATAAGCACCTAGGGCCTCGTGATCTCCGCCGTCATGGCCGCAATTTGGTCCATGGCCGAGGGAATGCCAGCCGTGGACGCGCAAGGCGAACTTGAAGCACGGCAGGGTTTCAGCCAATTTTTGCTCAGTTGTCATCCCGACTACGAGCAAGACTGCCTGGGCCCTTGCGCCACATACTGTGATCGTTTTGGGGACGTCAAGAGCAACTGCAATATCTGCCGGAGAGCCGCGTGCACCTGCGACCCATTGCTGATGGGCTGTAGACCATACCCCGACCTCATCTGTGCTAAAGGGTCGGAGGATGCTGCGGGAGAAGATGCGGAAGGGGTGGTGAAATCCGAAAAATCGTGGCCGGCGGAAATCGAGGCAGGAGAGCCGGCTGAGATTGATACGGTCGATTTTGATCTGACAGAGGCTACTTAAGCTTCTCCCTCTATAGTACGTTGAAAAGGGATATCATGCGGGATTAATGCAAGATAGGCCCTCTGAATATCGCGTGCTCCTTGATGGTCTGCTTTTGGGCAAGCAATGTTGATCAAGTCGGAAAATACGGGCACCACTGCACACTCTAAAAACTAAAACCGAGCAAAACCTTGATTCTTATTCGTCTCGGAAAACGAGCTCATGGACACGGCTGGGGGATTTCCATCCCGATTAATGTGTCAATTCTCAGAAAACGTCTCGGTGGCTCATTTAGAGGCTCCGGGTCCCAGTCATCGTGTTCTGAGGAGAGTGGTAACGAGGTGATGATTGATATTAACGAAGCGAATTCTTATTAGCATGTCCGACCACTGCCTAAGTTATTTGCAATTCTTCATCACGTCCATTGATCTTCGTCACTGGCTGGGACTGTCAATGAGTTCTCTGGCCATGGTTATGTCGTGGTTTTAGAGCGTCGAACATCACGGCAAGATGCCAGAGTGGTTAATGGGTGTGACTAGAAATCACATGGCTTCGGCCGCACAGGTTCGAATCCTGTTCTTGTCGATATCTTTTTTTTCTTGTCACCCTTTTTTCATTTCTTTTTTCCTTTTTCCTATCCTTCATCTACGTGTGGTCCCGGGACTAATTGCTATAATAACCTCAAGACGGATTTTTAATGTACGGAAGACGACTTGGAGATTCTAGCTGAGTAGATGGTGTATATGTCGCCGGAGAGTCTGCGGGATCATGCTGGGAGCCCGTGACCGGTCGGGCGGCCTGGCCTTCTTGGTCTTCCGCCTTGCGCCAGAGATCTAAAACGGCCATCCGTTTCCGTTACCGTAGTGTGCTCCCTCTGGCGTGATTGAGGCAATTATTAATCCTGAATTGCGTGCTTGGACACTTCGGGGGAATCTGCCCGCCCGCTTCGGCCCGCAACGCCCGAAGGCGATTTTCCCCGCACGGAAATCTCCGTTCGGCCAATTCGCCCCGAACGCACCGAAGGATAGCCAGGACCGAAGTGGAAACCACACACAACAAAACCCTCGACTTGAGGACGTCCGGCGGAAGAGTCCGGCATCTGGCTTTCCGGGGTGTTTAGTAGCCTTACTTGGCTAAGATGCCGCTTAGAGCAAACCCTTCCGTGCTATTGCCGTAGTGCTGGGGTGTCTGTGCTTCCTGCCTCACACTCCACTGTTTCTCGTAGAATTTACCGGTGTTATATCTATTTCTACCTCTCAGGCTCAATCCAGTGACATTTGCACTACTGTTAATTGTCTCTAACTAGTATATACTGCCTGAGTATAACCATAGATCCGGTCTGCTTTTCGTCAAGAGGCAGCAATGTATTCGATATATTGCTAGACAAGACACCCATCAAGACAGGTAAGGCACCCAGTTTCTAGCCGACAGGGTTATGGGAGATACAGAAACTCAAAAAAAAAGTGGTCTAAGGTGGCGGCCCTTGAAGCTTCAATTCCATGCTTTAGCACCAAACGCAATTGCAGACACTTTTGCACCATCTTCATCTTAGCAATGATGCCGTTTCACTCATGATGAACAAGGAAGGTGCGACACTCCCTTCCGCAGGAGTACACAACGCTGTATATACAAAAATACGATCGAAAGCTGCCGGGTCGGTCATTACCCAGCAGTTTGAGCTTGCATTCGTGGCCCGGTTCGCTTTCTAAGAGAACACATCTTTATATATAAATATTGATCCAGCGGCGTCCTTTTACTTCTCCGATTAATGCCAGCAAACACGAACCAAATACATTCGGAGTGTCTACGGCGACGATTGACCGTTTGTGCCTACGAAAACCACCAGGACTGCCGAGTAGGTTGCAGTGGCCACAAGAGTCTCAACGTTGGAACACTTGACGCCGAACGAAACCCCGCAAGCAAATAATATCATAAACACCGACGACGTAACCAGGTTTTTCGTCAGCGACGGCTGAAGGCTCATGATACACATGGGCGTGACGAGCGCCAAGAGGGCCGCACAGGAGACGCTGAAACGAACTATGTTGTCTACGAATGCCGAGATACCGATGGGTGGTTTCCCCTCCTCGAACTCTTTGGCTCGAAACTTGCGTTCCTGGAGCGAGTACGATAATCGAACAGGGAGTAGTCTTCGAGCTGCGTCGCGTAGGATGTCGTGCTTCTGGTGGGAACCGCCGTGTAGAGAGTAGTAGTGTGATTCGAATGGCCGGGTATATTTATGGGATGTCGTAATGGATTGGAATCTATATTTCAGGCTTTGTTTTCGCTGCTCTGTGGTCGCTGGATCGAGACGATCGGCTGCATGAATGAAATCATAATCTCGAATTGCCGTTGCTACCCCAGTCAGACATATTCAAGCTAGACAAGTGCATAGATTTGGAGACACACTCACTATAAGACTCAAGTAGTTTCGTCAACTTGTCGTTATCAAAGGCGCTGTTGGGATCTCGGAAGATATCCTCTTTGAAGGCGATAAGATCATTTTGGAGGCGAACGATATTAAGCCGGCGTAAGAACTCGAAGCTGAAAAAGTGAAACGTTTCTTCGTTCCTGAGGGAAGCATTCACATACTCAAAGAGTTCAAGATTGGTTCTCTCCTTGTATAGCTGTTGTTCACCGCTGGTGCTTTCCTTCGCCATCGCAGGAGCTGCTCTGTCTTCCCGAAAGCCCGGCCTAAATCCAGAAACGAGAATGAGGGGTTGTGGTTCGCCTTAAAAAGTGCCTCACCTGGTGACGGTGGCGGAGCCTGCATGTCGTGTCCAGAACATACGTCCATTGGATAATGGATACACTGCACATGATGTCGTTGGAGAAATGGGCATTAATGAGGCCTCTTGGGAAATGTTCTGTCCAGCACATCTTCTCTTTTCGTCGCAGCCGGCGAGGCGCCCTTTGACACGCTTGTCGGTCAGATCCACTACAACACGTTAGGAAGCCGCGATATCCCGGCATTATTGCTCTCTGCATCTCACTTAGACGAGAGCCCAAATCTAGCGAAGGCGAATCTATGATGATGGAGCTACCTGAAAACCAAGCTGAAATCCAAGGCGGCTCTGCTGGGAACAGTATTCCACCCAGCGATAATGACGAATTCCCAGCACCAACACCCCCATCTCCTCCAGCCTCGATCCGCACTCTGAAAATACGCGTCGACTATTCGCAGTGGCATGAAATATGCCGACCTGTCGTTGTCAGCGCAATCCAGGGACTTACAAGGAGCAAGATCAGTGACATGACGCAATATCACGACCTGCGTGAAAAATACCTCATGGAGGCTTTTGGTTACCGGATTAGACTCAATCCCCATTGCACTATTTTGACACTCTCGCCCTTTCCCCAGCTTCTTACGTCCTCAATATCGTATCCTTACGCCCTTTATCCCGACATCGACTCCCAATACGGCGGGTCTCCGGTACTCGCCGATAACCTGTCCAGCATATCCGTTGACTCGCATTCTTCGAGCACCTCGATAGCCTCCCAAGTCTCGGACTCCAATGCAAACGACGTCCAACAAAGCGCTGAGATGCTTTTGCGGATCGTGAAGGACGCAGAGAACCTACTAATGTCAGTCGAAAAGGGCAGTCTTGCGGCGAAGTTCAAGGTGATTGCCGCCATGCTTCCACTGAGAGGCGAGGCAAAGACGCTGTGGGATAGCATGAAAAATCTCTCAATAAATATTCAGGACTCCCTAGAGCTTATGGGCATGATCGGACTTGGTAAGCCAAACGTCACTGAGCGTACGATAGCAATCTAGAATCTACCTAACGCTGATCGGTAGTGGACGTTGGCCTGGAAATCAACCGCTACGCCCAAGATTTTGAGGGCATCGTGGTCGCCTACCTTGAAACTGCGAAATCTAAACCGAAAGCGGACGAAAGCCTCAAGGAACTACGCGAGATTCTTGGCTTAAAGGAGAGTGCTAGGAATAAATCTGGACAAACAGGGATACAACTCTGTTATCCGTTTTTCATCCAAGAGAAAGCGCAGCTCCAGGAACGTGCCGACGGATATCCTTACTTGACTAGATTGATCAGGGACATGGACAGATCTGTCCAAACGATTATACGGGAGAGTATTGACATACAGGAGAGTTTCGTTGGCATGTCATTCGATTTACTCGATGACGTTGTCCGCACAACGTGTAAGGAATATGGAATTGTGATCCAGGACGTGATTGAAGGACAGGTTCTAGTAGAAAGGACATTTATACCCCCGCCGCTCATGAAGAGCTCGAATGGGCAAATGTGATGGAACCATTATCAACTTCTGAATCGGCGTGGAGCACATAACTCTGTGACCCCAGCACACTGAAGCTTGCCCAGATGAAGCCGGAAACCACGAACCTGACCAGAGCCGAGTTAACATCGGCGTTCCCTTTTGCTGGTGGTGGTATTCGCTCATGGCTCCCTCAACGGGGTCGACGCATTCCATCCCGAATGACCGATTAATAGCTTAATCCGATAAGCCCCCTATGCATCGTTAGACATCAGATTATACAATAGCAGTCGCCTCGGATGACAATGACGCGATTCTCACTGTCCCTGTCCTGAACAATGATCAAAATAGCAACAAACATTTAAATAAAAGTGCATTGCAAATCCAAAAGCATTTTACTAATCCACAAAACAGGATAAAGCCCGGTGTTACCAACGTCTCTTAACTCCGATCGTCAGATATAAGACTGTCTTTCACAATCCAAACCTCATGTTGAACCATGTCACACTACCCATATCAAATCCTACCTCAAGAGAGCCCAGGCCAAATCTCACCCTTCTCTTCATTCAACCCTTAAAGGCATCAAATACAAACAAGATAACTATATAGGTTCGAATCCGAAAGGGTGAAAAACCGTTTAATAACTCGAGCGCGAACTGTAGGGATTGAAACCGGGCGGGCGTGTCGGGACTCGGGACACCTGCCCCCCCGGCCCTAATTTCTTTTTTTTTTTTTTTCCTTGTTTTCTTTTCTTGTCTATTATTATCACTTCGTCTTCTTTTCCATCAGTGAACCTTTCCATTTTCCCATACACCTGCGAAGGATGCACCAACAAAACCTCGACTTCATCGACGCGAACGATTCCACTTCTGGGCGATTCCTGCGGAAGGACATCACCCAGGAAGTGGGAGGTGCCATGATAAAGAAGGGCCCTCTGGGAAGCAGAACCGCCAAGACGCTCTCGGGCAAGGATTGGTTTGGTTGCGTCGTCGACTGCTGTTGGAGGATGTTTGATATGGCTTGTCTGACTCCCTATTATAAATTTTGTGCCTGTATCTCCCGCCTGCGAGAGTGGACTAGTGAGATCAAGGTTAGATTCTAGAGAAGGCACTTTTAATTAACATTCTAGTGTCTGTCTGACGAAGAAGATATTGAATAACGATCGTTACTAGCCAGGGAATGGTGCAAAAGATACTGCGCCCGTTGAGATAGTAATATACAGTGGCTGGCATTATAGAGTAATCGTCCCGAACCAGGGAGATAGAAGACTGTTGTCCAACTTAAATTCAGATTTCTAATCGGTACGGCGCTTTTCATAGGCAATTGAGGCTTCCCGAGATCGAAATCGGAAAATATTCTCCGAGGGAGGATGTGAGGATGACTCCCCTGCAGGTGCAGGTTGGAAGTGACCAGGTATCACGCAAGAGAAGACGGAATCGAAGCGTTGCCGCGACAGATGTACGCCAGCCCTTAATAGGTGTAGCCAGTTCCAAAAACTTCCCCTATCCCCCACCAGACAAAGAGGGCACCTGGTTCTTTCCCAGCTCTCTCCTTACTCGAAACCTAACTTCCAAGTTGCTGTTCCATTGTCACCCGAATTCGTTTTGTGAACTGGGGTTATAGAAGTTTGACCTGAAGTTGATAATGTAAGCTTGTATTATAACTTTGACAGTCTGTGTTTTGGTAGATTTGTTTGTTGCGTTGTCCTGGAGTAGTCGGACCGGGCTGCCCGGTGGACAGCAACAGTTCACCCGGGATCTGCGCTCCAAACATGGCGCATCGGGTTGATTCATATGCTACATTACAAATTTGGCAAAGAATGTGATTTGTTATGTTCTCCTTGTCCTTTTGTTTTTTTAGCAACAAACAAAATAAAACACGAACTCTCCCATCGCGAGAGCCAAGAGGAAAGCGTCTCAATCCTGCACATCTTTCGCGCAAAATTCCAACATGACGGCGGCCAACAACGACACTAGTGCGGAAAATTCCCAAGTCGGAAAGGCTCGTGTTGGGGAGAAAGCGTCAGAGCTCTCCAAGGTCGAGGCCACACTTCCAGAAAGTACCGAAAATGCAACCGATGAATCAAGTACACCACCTTCAGGGACCAAGAGGTCTATCACAGGCTTAAAGGTATCACTTCTCTCCGCGACCAGGACATCAACTGTAGAAATTGCTAATCGCTCGCCCTTCGTGACTTACCTTCGTTTCTTTAGTGGTTCTTCGCCTATGGCTCGCTTCTCTCGACTGTTTTCCTCTTCGCTTTGGATGGTACAATCGTAGGTCGATAACCAATCCCGAGCTCGACTTTCTGGTATTGATGCCATCGTTTCTAGGTTGCAAACCTCCAACCCTCCGTCGTCGAAACCTTCCGAACCGAGCGAAACATGGCATGGATCGGAGTCAGCTTCGTGCTTGGTAACACGACCATCTTACCTCTGTGAGTCCCACCACATCGACTGGCTAAGGAGCATTCTATGAGAGAGAGTCCTGATGTGCGACGTATAGAGGAAAGGCTTTCGGCACGTTTGATATGAAATGGGTCTTTATCATCTGTCTCATTATATTCGAGGTCGGCAGTGCCATCTGCGGTGCTGCTCCCAACATGGATGCTCTCATTGTCGGCCGCGTCATCGCAGGAGTTGGCGGCTGTGGAATTTACGCCGGCGGTCTCAATTACGTTGCCATCCTGACTACGAACCATGAGCGTCCTCTGTACCTTGCAGGTATTTACTCTATCTGGGGTATCGGCTGCGTCTTAGGTCCCATTATCGGCGGTCTGTTCGCCCAGAGCAGCGCGACCTGGCGCTGGGGCTTCTACATCAACCTTCCCATTGCCGCCTTGTTTGCGCCTGCGTACCTCTTCTGTCTACCAAGAATCCAGGCTCTACCGGATATGCCCTTCGTGCAGAAGCTGCGCTTGCAGGATTGGATCGGTATGACGGTTTTCTTGGCAGGAAGTACTTGCTTCAGCTTGGCTATCAACTTTGGCGGCACCGTCTTTGCCTGGAACAGCGGCTCAGAGATTGCCGTTCTCGTGCTAACCGGGGTCCTTTTCGTTGCGTTCGTTCTCGTGACCATCTACCACCCGGGCGTACCGGAAGCGCACAAACTTTTGCCAGTGGAGTTCATGCGCACATTTGATCTTGTCGCTCTACCGCTGCAAGGTGCAATTGTGGCCGGTGCCATGTTCACGGCCATTTACTACACTCCGCTTTTGTTCCAGTTCACCAAGGCAGACGGCCCCCTGGAAGGAGGTGTACGAATCCTGCCACTTATTTGCGCTCTTGTCGTTTTTGCCCTTTTGAACGCCTTTCTGATGCCAAAGCTTGGATACTACATGCCGTGGTATGTTGCGGGTAATATCGCTGTCGTCATTGGCTCTGCCCTCATGCGTAAGCTCCATCCTTCTCACTTTTCCAATACGTGTTATGGCAGAATGAACTGACCGGCCCGGCCCTCTCTGCTCTGTGAAATACAGTCACTATAGACTCAGACACGGCATCTTCCAACATCTATGGGTACACTGTCCTCATTGGCGTTGGTATCGGCTGCTTCCAGAGCGCTGGAGTTGCTGTAGTATCGGCTATTTCTCCTCCATCTGAAGTGAACCATGCTGTGAGCATCATGACAATTGGTACGTGGGAAGACAGCCAGCTATCCGCCCGATTTGTAGAAGTCCTCTTACTAACTTAGTCGAGACAAACATAGCCCAAGTGTCTGGAATCCTGGCAGCCCTTTCCGTCACGGGAGCTATCTTCCAGAACCTCGTTGTGAGGAAAGTCAGCGGGGTGCTCTCTGATTATCCACTTGACGACATTGTCCACTTGACCACGGGAACGAGCAGTGCTCTGTTCCAAGACCTCAGCCCGGAACTTAAGCGGGGAGTCATCGCCCAAGTGACGGATGCCATCCGCCAGGTGTTTATCTACATACTCGCCGTCTCTTCGCTTGGTTTAGTCCTATCATTCCTTCTCAGCGTGAGTGTTACCCAGACTGCTTCTCGGTAAATAACCTAGACGCCAGTATTCTAACTCTTCCTCGTTCCTTTAGCGCAAGAGGCTCTATCTTGCAGGAGGTGAGGTCGCCAAGTAATTAGGAGCAGGGTTGATGGATTGAGGAATATTTGGTAGGTTCATACTTGGATCCGTGACTAGGTCGAGCGTCCGTCCCCAGGAATGGAATTTTCTTTTCTACTTTTCGTTTCGCCTTCTCTCTCTTCATTCCGCTTTCTTGTCCATCTATCCTCTTCTAGATATTATGGTTTAATATCGCTTCAAGCGTCACAGCATTTGAAACTGTATTATACGGAGACGCAGATAAAATCATTAGACTAGATATTGGGAACTCGATCGTTTTACTTTTTCCTTCCACGTTTTCGGCCTGAGAGAGGTGCCGCTGGGGCCATTGTGCAAGTGATACTGGGGAATGCGACGAAGAGAGAGGGCGTGGTTCGGGTGGTTCGAGCTGATTCGGCCGAACATCATACTCCGTAATGCACACTCTGTTCTAAGCTAGTCTTCGAATAAGGGTCACGCGACTGCGACGACGTTCGTTAATCTATGCTGCAGGACGACGTGTTCCACTCGACAACGTATGACATGGGAAGGATCGGCCCGAGGGTCCCTGGCGTTCTATTAAACATTCACTCGTTCTCGCCGGGACGCCACTGGACTGTTTCCTCGTGGCGAGCTCCGTCTCTGGAACTCTCGGTACGCCAGGCTAGAGCAATTACGCCACTCCTAACAGATATATTGTCGGCGACAACAGCGAAATAGAAGAGGTGCTTAAGCGAAAAGGGATTTACGACATTGGTGAATACTACTCCCCGAGCCGTTTGAAGGGGCCATCACGGCTCCTAGCTCGAATCACCTTTCCGCCAGACTAGATTCCACGAAGCGTCAGAAGGCCATCGAGGATGTCGCGACTTCGGGATTCATTATTTTGAGTTTTGACTGTCGTCTTTCCCTTTAAATCGCAAATAGTATTCCACCCACTCTATCCTTGGTTAAGCATATCCGCAAGTCCTGAATATTTCAAAACGTCTCATTACAGCTTACGACTCATGCACGATTGGCGTGGTGGGTGGTGGTGGGTGAGGGGTGCACGTTGATTTTCAATCAAGGACATCTGGATTTGTAAGGACTCAGCAGTTGGTACCAACTGGAACTGGGCGTCACTCATTCTCTCATCTCCCCCGCTGATGGTGCTATCTCGAGTACTCGACATCTCCTCTCTTCGGGGGATAAGCAGATGAGAATGTTCCGGCCCTTCCGTCAGCTCAACACGTTCATTTCATCACAGGCGAGAATGTCAGATAGAAAGCCGATCTTGATCTCGGGCGCTGGCCTGTCATCGCTACTACTTGCCCAGTCACTACGGCAGTCTGATATCCCCTTCAAGATCTTTGAGCGCGATGCGTCGTTTGTATTCCGCGCGCAGGGTTACCGACTGCGCTTGTCAGCACAAGGCCTCGATTCGATCGAGTCTGTCTTGGATCCGCAGTTATTCCAGCGTTTCTGGGATACATGTGGTAAAACGGGCGGCAGTGGCTTCGTCGCATTCGATGCCGTGACTGGCGAGGAGACTGAACACAGGGCACCTGAGAGTCTGACATCGCGAGGCGGGAAGGTTGTCGGGATTGCTCGAGGAGACATGCGAAGGATCTTCGCGGACGGTTGCGAAGAACACATCGAGTGGTCGAAACGTGTCACGGGTTATGAGTTGACCGAGGACGGCGTGAAGGCCATATTTTCCGACGGAACCAAATCGGTCGAAGGCTCGCTGCTCATCGGTGGCGAGGGCATATACTCCAAGGTCGCCAAGCAGCTCTCGGGTGGGAAGCTGAAGGTCTACGATACAGGCGCAAGGGGTATCCACGGCCAGGCGCCCAGCACTGCCTTCAAGGGTCTGGGCGAAGGTGTCTTTAGGCTTCGGGATGACTCGGGCCCCAACGGCGCAGTCTTTATCATTACCAATGTGCGTTCGGGTGACATGCATGACCCCAATGTCCAGTTTGGTTGGACAATGGGCGGAGAACCCGGCGTGATCGCCGCACCCAACGAAGATTACACGATCGTGGGCAAGGAGGCTGCTGATCTCGCCAAATCGCTCACAAAACATTGGCACCCTCGCTTCAAGCCGCTGTTCGACGAGATGAACGAGTGGGAAGCCGCCTTTTGGAAGATTACTTGTTCGACGCCGTCGGGTGTGCCGGAGTGGCCGAACGAGCCCCGCGTGACCCTCATTGGCGACGCTGTCCATTCCATGACACCGGCAGGAGGGAACGGTGCCAACACGGCTGTGAGAGATTCTGCTTTGCTTGGGAGGTTGTTGCGCGAAGCTGGCGGCTACCAACCCGGCATCACTGCTGCTTACGAGAAGGAGATGAGAGTTTACGGCAGCGAGGCCGTCCGGCAGAGTTATGGTACTGCAGTTGCCCAATTTGGAATCAAGATCGATGAGAGGTCCAGCCCCACGGTGTAGATTTGCGATATTAACGTCAAGTAGATAGCGGTCTGAGAGAGAAGTGGGGGGTTCGTAGTAGATTACCTAGACAGTTAGCTGTTCCCGACCCGCAATATTGGCATATCTTCCTATGGCTAAACAGATCGGGAAGGACGGAAAGTTTCACGTGCTGAATTGGCATGCTTCTCGAATGTTTCCTCCTTCGATAGACCTATCCACAAGGGTTCGGGAGCTGGAAGATTATTCTTTGGTCACACCCCCAATCCCCAATACCACATAATGTACTAAGTATGATAACGGAAGGAGTGATAGAGCTACCGTCACAGATGGTGTGGAGTCGTGTACTGTAGGGGCAGAGACCCACTGGCAGTATTTTCCCTCGGATACCCGCTGATAATCATTAACTCGTTGATGACTGTGTCTAATTGCCAATCGGACTCGCTGTCCATCATTCTTATCACTGGGCTCTGCGATTCAGTCAGACGCAATGTCGATAGCGAACTGTTCAAGGTTGAGAAGCGACCATCGGCAACGCGTTCGCGCCAAATTTTGGCGTTTTCAGCTGCAGTTTCCCGCATCAAGTTTCAACATAAGGGTTCGCTTGGCATCCGTGACGCCTATTTTAGGGCTATTATTCCTTCCGAACCCATCGCTCATCCATCCATTAGAGCAGTGAGCGCGGGGTTCGTCTCTTCCCCATAGACAGGAAGAGCTAGGCCGAGGATTGAAAGTAATAAGACCGTGGAGCAAGAGTGTTGCGCAACTTTCGCAAGCCCGCCGATTCCCGAGTCCCGTTTGTCCGGCCCGAGCTCTGGATAAGAACCGAGCTAAAGGGGAAGAACATTCCACGCTAGGCTCGCACCTCTAATTGAGCCTTACAATGTGGGTAGGGCAGAGGCAGGTTTCCAGCGCCGCTAGCATAGGCTACGGTTTCGTACATTGGAATTAATTCTACGATTGCACATGCCAAAAATGGTTTAGATGGATGTGGTTTTGGACGATAGAAGAGAGGGAATATGAGCTAGAAAACTGTCTAGAAAGGGAATAATCCAAGGATTCATGAGGGAAATGTACAAGTACGAAGCAGACGATAAACAAATGTCACATGATCAAGACACGAATTGCGTGCGTTCTGCGCATGTAATGTCAGGTCAGTTGTCCCTTCAAGGGCGCCACCTGGTGACATCCGTTTCCACCTATCAAGGTCCTGCAGTGAGTTTTTTTGACACAATTTCGTACGAGGAATTACTTTCCCTTCTTCGTATCCCATTCCGGTCGAATGTTCCAAGGCTTCATACGAGGTGGCGCTAGAAGCTCAGGAGAGAGATTAGTTTTATCTTAGCCCCAGGTCAGGCGTCCTGGGGCTTGGCCTCTAACCGGAACCGGACGCTGGACGCGGCATGTAGCACGACCTTGCATTAGCGTCCGAGCATTCGAGGTTTAAAGGGCCGAGACTTGGGTTGCAAAAAAAAAGGAATTAGCCCTCTAGTGAAATGAAATGACTTTCTTTGTCTGCGGCTACGGGGGTCCCGATGCCGGAATCGAACATCTCCTTGGTATGAAGTAGGCATCAATAAAGGCCAAAGAAATGAATCCTTCGGACGTGGCGTCAAGGAAGAACAACATTTGAGCAGCTTAGCCCTTCCACCCCCTCAATTAAACCCAATTTGAGGATTTAGTCCGTCAGATTGACACGAGAGTTTCGCCGTAGATAACCGCTGCCATTGGACGAAACTAGAATCGCCCGAGAATAAGCGGAGAAACTGGACGCCGCCGACGCCCGCGACGTGGACTCGGACAGGACAAGGGGCCCAGGGCCATGGAGCGCAGAGAAGCGAAGCAATAAACCGCCCGCAACACGGGGAAGTTGGTGGGGAACCACGCCCTTTAAACCCCCAGAGAAGCAACAGAAAGATCACTCGACTGATTACCTGCCGGCACTAGGTTCCCCCAGCGCGATCTGACGCTTGGTTCTCCTGGTTAGGTTCCCCGCGCTCTCCAGAGGACTCCGCTCCGGTTGCCACTCGAAATACCACCTCCCGATTAAAGGACTGAAAAGGCCGATCACCTGCCACTTGAGGTTAGGATGAGGCCCTATCTAGAAAAAATCCTGCTTCTGCACCATCATTCTCTTGCAGAAGTCGGGCCAGTTAAAACCAAGACTTGATATCACAGTGCAGCCCAAATGCTACTTGGATTCGAGTGGTGACACTGCTGAGTGGCACTGGCTGATTTTTTTTTCCCCGAGACGCAACATCGAGCTTGAAGATAACAATTATATTAAAACTGCCTCCCTCTCGTGGTATGTCGATCCTCTGCCTTTTTGCGCCGTCTCTCCATTCGCGAATACTGATCCTCTCCCCAAGAACTTTTTTGAATCTGCGCCTGCATCCCGCTTCCTTTGAGGATCGCAGCCCAACCCTCATCCACCCTGAATTGAAACCACAGCACCGCCAAAGTCGACGCGTCTTAGCTCGACAGGCCGATCACGAGTCGTAATGGAAAAATCACCAACAGCAAGCCTGGGCGTAATAGAAAACGCCCCGAACGGCGACCCGACCTTCCACGATGTCGACGTCAGAGCACTGGACGGAGGATCGTCAGACCTTCTGAAGAACCAAAATCAGGTTAAGAGAGGGCTGAAAAGTCGGCATATTCAGTTCCTTGCCCTCGGTGGCGCGTAAGTTCTTTCCCAAACACAAGAAAAAATTTTTTCTTTTTCTATTTTTAATTCTTAATTTTCAAATTTTGTTTTTTAAACTTTTCCTGACCGGCCCGGCAAATACGTGTGTGCTAACAATATTCCCCCTATGACGCAGTATCGGTACTGGACTCTTCGTCGGCTCCGGTGTGATTCTCTCCACCCTCGGACCCGCGCCCCTCTTCATGGGCTACATCTCCATGATGATCGTCGTTTGGAACGTTATGAACAATCTGGCCGAGATGGCAACCTACCTCCCCCTCAAGGGTGTCTCGGTCCCCTATTTTGTCCAGCGATTCGTCGAGCCTAGCTTGGGCTTCGCCTGCGGCTGGAATTACTGGTACGCCTACGCCATGCTTATCGGAGCCGAAGCGTCGGCCGGCTCCATTCTCCTCGATTACTGGAACTCTCCCGTGCCGGCTGCCGTGTGGATCACCATTATCCTGCTCGTGATACTGGGCCTTAACATTTTTGGCGTCGCCATTTTTGGAGAAGCCGAGTTTTGGTTCGCCAGTATCAAATTCATTACCATCATGGGACTCATCCTCGTTAGTATCGTCATCATGTGCGGTGGCGCGCCTAATGGAGACGCGGTCGGGTTCCGATACTGGAATGACCCGGGAGCGTTCAAGGAGTACATGGCCCCGGGGTCGACTGGTCGCTTCCTCGCCTACTGGAGCGGTTTCGCCCGTGCTGGTTTCGCCTTCATCACATCTCCCGAGCTGCTTGCGCTCGCTGCTGGTGAGACTGTGTCTCCTCGACGAAATATTCCCAAGGCCGCTGGACGTTTTGTCTGGCGTCTCGCCATTTTCTACGGCCTCGGATCTCTCATGATCGGATGCATCACCCCCTCCAACGACCCCAACCTACTGAACCCCGAGTCCAACGCCAACTCGTCCCCATGGGTTCTCGGCATTCAGCGTGCCGGTATTGGCGCTTTGAACCACATCATCAACGCCGCCATTCTAACTTCCGCCTGGAGCGCCGGAAACGCATTTTTGTATTCCGGCAGCCGTATCCTCTACTCCCTCGCCCTCAACGGCCAGGCGCCGAAATTCTGCGCCCGCACCGACAAGCGAGGTGTTCCCTACGTCGCCGTCCTCCTCACCTGGTCCATCGGCCTGCTGAGCTACCTCAACGTCGACAACAACGCCGCCAAGGTCTTCAACTGGTTCATGAACATTAGCACCATTAGCGGCTACATTGCCTGGATCGTCGTCATGATCACCTTCATCCGTTGGCGCAAGGCCATGGTGTTCCACGGCATGATGGACCGCCGGCCTTACAAGACGCGCTTCCAACCCTACGCGACGTACTTTTTCCTATTTCTCCTGACTCTCTTGACCTTGACGAATGGTTTCCAAATCTTCTGGCCGTCCAAGTTCAACGCGGCGGATTTCCTGGCGGCGTACATCACCATCCCCGCCTTCTTCATCCTTTACATCGGGCACAAGATCTGGTTTAAGACGCCCCTGGCACGTCAGATTGAGGATGTTGACGTTGTTACAGGCGTCAAGGAGATGGAGGAGCTTGCTGACATGGATGAGGAGCGCAAGCCGAAGAACATATGGCAAAAGATTTGGTATTGGGTTGCGTAGATGTGCGGAGCGATTAAGTTCGATACCCTTCCCTCCACTATTCAGTTTAGAAGGAATAGACTATTTTATTGTTAGCGACGCTCTTGTGTACTGTATCTGTGACTTCAATGACCCCCTAAATGGCGCTGCTCGCTCATAGGTCTCCAGCACGGCATTATGAATCACTGTATCTTCCCCACTCAGCCCAACTCCAGGAGCTACGTCTTGACGCATCTCTTTCTATTTTAGAAGGGGTTGTCGTTTTCCTTTTCCTAATCGAATAGCCTTTTAATCCCCCTTGCACCCCAACCTAGAAGATGCCAGAGTGGGCCGTATGAGTTACGCCCCACCTGAAGACTCGCCTTTATCTGCTCTCCGGAGCTGCCAATTAGACCCGTGGCCTTGTCCACGTGGTTGAGAGATTAAGGAACGTAATAACCTCTTCTCTCCGCAAGGCACCCATGTTTGTCGACAAATTCCGGTAACCGCCTCCGAACAGCCTCGTCAGACTTGTCGGCAGAGAACACGGCAGTGACGGACACGACCAGATCTTCTCCTGAGTGACCGTCTGAGCGAGTTCCTCCCCTTGGAAAACATCCACCGGAAATATACTACTGGGGCATTGTTTGTCTTCACTCTTCACGGCCTCAGAGTAAGTCGCGGCCGAGACCAACTTGGCTATGGAGCGCCCATTTGTAATTTACTGGTAGGTGAGACTCGATCCGTCTACGTCCGATATGCTCTAGTGGCTGTGACTTTCGTTATCCGGCTTGTCCAGTCTTTCCCGATGCTTAGCTCTGGCAAGGGGGACTGTCCACTCGGCCGACTCTCCCTAAGGGTCGATTCTAAGGTCGGTCGTAGCCGGGCCATCCCCACGGAGATCGAGCGCGCTTGCACCGTGGGACACATTTTAGGCATTTCTGCCTTAATTATCCTAGGTTATTCGTGATCCGTGACAGAGATTGACCATTCTCAGTTATTAGAGGTAGAAATACGAGATAGCACTAGTTCCCTGTTAGGCCTAGATTTAGTACTAATTAAAGACCAAATATCATCCACCTTGATCGGTTCCGAAACGGGCTCAGGGGCCAAATCCGCCAAGATCCGGACGCACCACCTCATTCACGGCGTTGAATCCAACCAATGACAGACTTTCCTTCGTCATAATACCAGGTCTAGCCATGTCTGGAGCCTTCCGCGCTGCCGTCCAAGGTGTGAACTACATCATTCATCGCTCAGCATGGGGTTCCTTCTTTTGATGACAGCGCCCCGCCCAACCAATCTGACGAGTGCTCCGTCGAAGGCGCCGTCGCCAGTAACCCGGGAATCTCACGAAGTTAGGTGACCGCGCATAGCTTTGTCGGGAGGGATGTGCCTGACCGGCTCGTCAGTCGCCGTCATTCCGTTCTCGTACCTCGCTACATCGCCCGGCGTCGGCTCCGGCGTCAATTCCCGGCCGAGCGTCGCTAGTGGACTTCCCTGGGACCTTGTAGCAGCGAGATCGGAGGGCTCCCCGCCGGGAAGTCAGTGGCCTTGAATGCGGCAGAGAAAAAGATCGCCGAAAACGACGATACAGTCGACTTGAAGCTCGTAAGCGTTCTGTCCGGCTGGTCATTTTTGGCGCGATACGTGGGTGACCTCAGTGGATGAGCTGCGCCTTCCCGGCACCAATTCGGTATTTCTGGACATACTGCTGGGGAAATGGGAATGAATATTCCTGTACTGGAAATGCTGTGTTGGGGTCCGACGTCGCGCGGGCTCGTGTGGCTACTCTATAGTCTCGATGCCTCATCCGGTCGTCTCAATACTGATATTACAGAACGGCTGCTGCTGAGCCCGAAATGTCAGACGAAAAAAATGAAAAGATTTAAAGGAGAGGTAACCCAAAAATAAACAAGTATAACACTTTTTTTTTTCTCATTAAATGAGGGCAAAATCTACGAGGGGGACGACAACATTCACAGATTGATACTTCTACCCTTGCAGGACCCTTCCCTCATTTTAGTCTCAATTCAGGAACGGAAACGCGATTTTATGCCCTCACAATCTGTATATTAAGCTAATCCAGCGTGAGACCTGCCGGGTTGACGTCTAGTGGATAGCAAGGTCAGTCTCAGAAGTTCAGAGCACTCGGCTGGCTCTCCGGGTGGGACGCCGGGAGGATCTCCAGCTGCCCGTCCTCCTAGAACAAATCCATTCCCTCCCGTTTACCGAGGTTATGTACCCTCAGCTGCAATTGGGGCAAACAATTAGACCGAAGCCACTCGCTCGTTTCGCCTCTTCAAAACCTCCTTTCGCTGCAAGAATCGCGTCAACAACGTAGACGAAATAAGCGCAATGGCAATAAACACCATCGACAAGAAGCCCTTATGATATTGCGGAGCATCCGTCTGCTTCCAAATGAGCAACGGGAGCCAGGCTTGGATCGCAGAGCCCATAGTGTTCATCGTGGCGATGACAAAAGCACGCTCTTCGCTATCGTCACCGCACACCTCGTTCGCCCAGGCCATCAACAAACCACCCAGACCGTTTGGCAACCCTCCGAGAATGTAACAAGTCCATTTCCAACCGAGTGTTATGTCCCATGCGGCGAGGCTGGCGTTGATGACGATGTTCGCGAGGCCCGCGAAGACGATTGGGGGCCACCGGCCACCGCTCCACAGAGAGTCCGAGGTCCACCCGAATACAAGGGCAAAAATGACGGCAATGGCCAGTGCGATTGTGGGATAGGTGTTGATTTGTTGGACCGAGTAACCCTCTGACTTGAGCCATAGTTGGAATCCGGGCTGACCACCATAGTTTCCGTTGTTGTTATACAGGACATACGTGAAGGTGAGAACGTAAATATGCCAGCTGGTGAAAATCTTCTTGAACTTCGCCTTGGTGTAAGGCTTTCTGTCAGCCCGCTCCTCGAGAAGCATGCGCTGCTTAGCCAGTGCGATGTCATCGGCAGTCAACCACCAAGCGCGCGTAATCTCTGGGATATCGGGGAGGAGCAGGAAGCTGGCAAGTGCGATGGGAAGGGAGATGACTGTGTTGATGATGAACAGCCACTGCCAGCCCTTCCAGCCATGCACGCCGTCAAGGTTGTAAGTAGCCGCCATGAGGTAACCCGAGAACATGGCGCCCACGAAGCTGCTAGCTTGAAAGATACACGAGCGCTTAGCGAGCTCGTCCTTTCGATACCAAGAGCCAAGGATATACAGAGTTCCGGGATTAAAGGCCGCCTCAGACAAGCCAACAAAGAAGCGCAAGGCATACATGCCCTTGACATTTGTGCATTTGATCATCAGGATGGTCAGAACTGACCAGATAACCTCGCAAGTGGGGATCCAAATCGACGGTCTGACTCGGGTGAGGATCAGGTTGCTCGGGATTTGGCCGATGACGTAGCCCACAACCCAGCAAGTGACAAGGTAGTTGATCTCATTTCCGTACAGGGACATGTCCTCTTTCATGCCCGAGACATAGGCACTACCGACGTTGATCTGGTCGAGGTACTTGATGAGACTGCCGAGGCAGGCCATGGTCAGGACGATGGCGTCCAGCTTGAAGAGGAAGCGGCGCTCCTCGGGCGACTTGTCCAGGGTGTCCCAGACGTAGGAGCGCCATGTGCGTTTCTGGGTGGGGTCCTTGGCCACCGCGTGCAGGTGTGGAGAGCCCGATTCGGACCCAGAGTCGGTCGGACCGATTTTGCGGGGATGTTTCTCATCGTCCTGGGAAAAGACTTCTCCGCCTTTCGGAGACATGACGGGTAATAAGTGATTCAATAAGATGGACGGACGAAGGTACCCGAGAATACCTCAAAGGTAAGAACAGATGCTCGACGTCAACTTTAGCTTTGAGGAAAACGAGCCCTTGAGCCTTGACTTGAGAGCGTAATGAGATCTTGTAATTTCGATGGCCAAAGAGCAAGAGCCGCTCTGTATGTAGTCTTTTCGAACAGAGAGGCCAAGCTCAAAAGCGAAGATCGTCACTCTGTGGCTGGATTTGCAATCGACTAGACTCGGGCTCGCAGCTCCGTCGGGCCGGGAATGAGTCAATATCGCCAACATCACCCACTCAGCCTGTCGACCTGACCCTGGTCCATGGAGCCGGGGTCTAATATACCAGATGCGAACGATGATGGGAGTAGAGCCGCCAAATTACTTCCTCTTTTGGTCTTCGCAGATCACTCTTCATTGTTGACGCATGCTACGGTAACATGAAGAGTCATCCCAACGCTTCGGGACTCAAACGGGACTGCAACCAACATGACGATGCCAACCGCCGTGACACCCGTCCCAAAAGCCGCAAAATCATATAAATGTGTCAAAATTGAATTTCTGTATTTGGCGAAAATTGGTTTCCAATCCGGTCATGCATGCCCTTCTCGAATTATACGACAGCTCGAGACCATGCAAAGCCGTTGGTTCTAGGATTACATCCGGGCCGGCCACGCCGAGAGTTGCGCGAGACTTCAGCCGCATGGGCGAACTCCCCCCCCCCCTTTCTTAAGTCTCTACTATGGTTGAAAAGATTCGTGTAAGGAGATTGCTCTTCAGCCTCTCTCTGGTTTGGATACGCACCATCAGAAGCGATTCGACAGCCAATAATGAGTTCGCAGCCTGAGAGATATCGATTCCCCGCCCAGATCAAGGAGGTCGCCGTAATTGGAGCCGGGCTCGCTGGTATCACGTCGGCAGCTCACCTCCTCAAGAAAGGGTTCTCGGTCACTGTTTTCGAGCGCTCGAGCGTACCCGGCGGTGTCTGGCACTATGACCCCAGAGTTGCAAACGAGCCCGACTATCCAAATGTGCGGCCCCATGCGCCACCAGGCAACAAGCCCTGCGATGAGAAGCTACAAAACTTCGAAGAAGCTTCATTGGAACACGCCCCACCTGGAGCGTGCTACAAGGGCCTGAGGAATAACATTCCCACTACCATCATGCGAACAACTCTGCTCGAATGGCCAGAGGGGACACCGGAATACCTCACGCATGACGAGGTAGAGAAGTACATTCAAGATCTTGCCGTAACTACGGGTACACAAGAACACATTCTCTTCAACACGAACGTGCAAAGCATTCGGAAGGAGAATGCTTCTGATACCGGCGCCAAATGGACTCTCCGCACACGAACGCTCCGGAGAGTCGGCGAATCCGATTATGACCTCACCGACCAAGACTGGCATTTTGATGCCGTCCTCGTGGCTTCCGGTCGATACCATGTGCCAAAAATACCCGACCTTCCAGGACTCAAGGAATGGAAAGAGAGATTGCCCGGTAATATCCTCCACTCGAAGGGGTACCGATCGCCCGAGCCCTTCAGGGGAAAGACAATCTTTCTTATTGGCAGTGGTGTCTCGGCCATGGACATTTCTAGAGAAACTGACGGTGTTGCGAGAAAGGTGTACCAGAGCTCTAGAAATGGCAAGTTCGACCTTCCTGCGGCCATGTTTTCCCCGGGAGTGCAGAGGGTCGGAGCTGTCGAAAGCGTTGTGGTCGGGGAGGGATCTGCTTCTGGCAATGTTGTTCTTAAAGAAGGACAAGTGATTCGTGGAGTGGACGTGATCATTCTTTGTACGGGTTACATAACTTCGTATCCGTTTCTGGGACATCTTCAAGATCCGCTTGCTGTGAGGGATGAGGCGGATGAAAACATCATCATCACCTCTGACGGCGCTACGACTCACAACCTGCACAAGGATATGTTTTACATTCCCGATCCGACTCTGATTTTCGTGGGCGTCCCCTACCATGCCTCGGCCTTTTCGCTATTCGACTTCCAGGCCGAGGTTGTTGCACGTATCCTCGCAGGTAAGGCAGAGCTACCGAGCCAGAATGAAATGCGCAAGGAGTACCAGAAGCGCGAGCCTGGAGTTTCCGCTGGAGGACCTGCGTTCCACAGTCTCATGAAGAAGGATGTGGAATATATGAATGGCATCCTGGACTGGGTCAACAGGGATGCGGCCAGGTTGGGGTACGAGGCGATGAAGGAAGTTGACCCTGTGTGGATCGACAAGTATTTTGTGTTTATCGAGGAGATGAAGAAGTATAGATGGCCCAATGTGCGTGAGGACCAAGAGGTTCCGTTGGTCGGAGAGGGTTTGAAATTCCTGTCAATCAGTACAGTGACCGCCTAAAACACGTCAAGCTCATTGTAGAATTGGTACCGTTTAACTGTCTTGTATTTATTTACACTGCAGCTCATTCAAGGTCTATGGTCTATTAGATCTCGAGATTTATGCAGCCTCATCCTCAATTTGCAAGTTGCCGACAACGAACTTTTGACCCTTCTTGTTGGCGTAATCCTTGTGGTCGTGGTAGTTCTTCACCCGCTCCCTCACGTACTGCAATCCAGTCACTGGTGCCTGGTCATCGCTATCTTCCTTCAGTAGTCCCAGCCTCTTAAGAAGTGGCGACGGGGCCGGCTTGATATCTACGGCATCTCCCGGGCGGACAAAATAGAACAGGCCTTGACGATAGATGGACGCCTGGTCCTCCGGAGGGCGAATGACGCGGTGTGTCGTCGACTTGAAATATCCGGCCGACCAAAAGTCAATCGTGTCACCTACGTTGCAGACGATGCCGTTGTCGACGGGCGGAACGTAGCGCCACTCGCCGGACTTGGTCTTGATCTGTAGGCCGGCGACATCCTGGCTCCAGAGAAGAGTCAGGGAACCAAAGTCGGTGTGCGCCCTGGACCATGTGTGCTCGACCTTGTCATCCTCGCTGAGGGGTCGGGGGTGGTATGTCATGTACCTGACATGGTCTTCGCTGGGGGAGGAGTAGGCGTGTCGGGAGGAGAAGTAGTCTTCGGGAAGCTCGAGGATGATGGAGAAGAGGGTAAAGACTTTGCTAGCAAGGTCGAGGGATTTCTGTTAAGACAGTTGATGTTAGTATGACTTGAAACGAGCATTTCACAGCCAAATGTCAAAGACAGGTGGATTCGACATTACCCTAGAGAAGGCTTCTATTTCGGCCCGGTAAGGCTCGAAGAATGGATGAAATGCTTCGTTGGCATATTGAGGGATGAACTTGGCAATGTTGAATGATTCTACATTGTCGAGGACATCAGTGCTCATGATGGTTTTCTCGTGGGCCTAGATACAGCAACGATCGGAGTTGTCAGTCAAACAGGTCGAAGATATGGGGCATAGGATAGAGTGCAATAAAAGACACTTACAGGGCGGTATCCAAAGTAGTGGCCCTTGGTAAAGTCACAGCGGTATTGGGGCTGGTCCTTTTCTTCCTGTGAGAGACTGAAGAAGCCTTGACCAATGTCATATTGCCTTTCCACCTCTTCGGGACTGAACCCCGTGTTGGTCAGGCTGAAGAAGCCCGTGTCATGCACCTGAGCGATTACTGATCAGTTTATTGACAGGGGACTTGACGTGATACCCAAGGAACGGGGGCGCTGATGCTCACCGCTTCGCGAAGCTCTTCGGCTAGTTCCTCCTTGCCACCTGGCTTGTCGAACTTGCTAAGATCAAGCACCTTGATGTCGGCCCAGGGAAGAGACGCTGTCGTCTTTGCAGGGCGTTGCCACTTGGGCAAGGGAGCAGGCTCGGGCAGTACAGCAGAAGGCATTTCGTTTTTAGTTTTGTTCTTTTTTCTTTTCTCTTCTTGTTTGACTTGATAACGGGCTATGAGAGTCCGGGGTGGCTGGCTGATCCGTGCTCAGTAAACACAAAAAGCGCCACGACGACAGAAACAATAAATACACTCTCGACCATTCTTCATCGTTCACCCAGTCGGCCTGGTCCGGCGCTCGGTATCGCGATGCTCCGCGCTCTGTCAAGCACGCAATCATATCCTGGTATTGCGCAGGAGTGGGGTCTGCCATCTTTGGATCCAAGGAATTCAGCAACTTTGGATGGTGCTAGTACTACTCCGGCCTAGAGTATCATCGACACCGCAACCGCACCTTTGGTTTTATGGCCGTTTTTCACACCACATGGCACGAGCTCCTGGTTATCAGGATTATCTATTCTTTTTTCCGCCAGTGGTCCAAGACACGGGATGAAAGTTGTGCGTGGGCTTCATGTATGAGGCGCCGTTAGCGCGATCCCGGCACTCGGAGCCGGTTAGTGTCTCGGCTCGCCATCGATTACTTATTCCTGGTCCACAACTTTTTTCCGAAACTCGGAACCAAGAACGAGCAGCTCTTTGCCCATGCCGAGATTGGGTAGCTTGCACCCTCCCTCAATAACCCATTATACCCCCGTGAAAGGATCCAATGATCCGTCAATGTAGGCCAATGAGACCTCGGAAGGATTCAAGTCCAGTGAGAACGTGGCTCACTGCAAATAGCCCCACAAAAAGACGTGCTTTGAGTCCGCGGGATGTTAGACTTCATTTGGGACTCTAGCCTGGAAAAACTTTGTCATGGATAGCAAGTAGATGCAAGGAAGAGAGATAATGAAGAGGAGACGGGCGCATTCAACCAGAGACTGGGGACGGCCATGGATAGTAATATTTAATATGATCCCGTAGTCGACGATCTCTGACACTCTCGTCTAAGAGGAACCGTGCATACGGAGTCCGAGTCTCGCTGATCTTTACGCAAGCCGGAACATCAATCACAATGGCGCTAACATTCCTAAAGCACGGCAAAATCACCGTCGATGAAGAGGAGAAGCCAGTACTCAAGGCCGCCCACCGCAAGGTGGACAAGAGGCTTCTTCTATGGTACGCCTTTGTGTACCTCATCATGCGAATCCACGTCGGCAACATCAGCAATGCGGCCATCATCAACCTCGAGCAAGGCACTGGCATCAAGAAGCAGCTCGGCGGCCTCACCAGCTCTCAGTGGGCATGGACCCTGAGTATCTTCTACTACCCGTACATGTTCTTTGAGCCGGTGGCCACCTTGCTGCTGAAGCGGTTCTCGCCTTCTGTGTGGATGAGCCGAATCATGATTACTTGGGTAAGCAACTAAGCATTCGATCCCATTGGCAGCATGAACCATGGTGCAGAGGACTAATTATGAAACCAGGGAATAATATCTATGTGCCAAGGAGCCACCCAGAATTATGCTGGAATCTTAGCATGCCGATTTTTCCTCGGATTGGCAGAGGCAGGCTTCTACCCCGGCGTCTTGTATGTCACGGGAAAAGGAACCCGGCATCGTGACACTTCAGCTGACAGGGTGTCTAGATATCATTTGAGCTTCTGGTATCCCACTGACAAGCTCCCTCTCCGAATTGTACGTTGAATCTTTAGTATTGATAGTCGAGACTGTGGCTGACCTGTGGCTTTTCAGGCTTTCTTCTACGCCTGCGGAATGTTTTCCGGCACGATCAGCGGCCTCCTGGGTGAGTGGAGAAAAGGCCCTGTCTTGAAATGCTGTGTTACAATTATCCTAATATTATGGTACAGCCTACGCCATCTCGTTCATGAACGGAGCTGGTGGCCTCGCGGGCTGGAGATGGGTGCGTTGTCTTGGCTGCCTGTTATCACTTCAATACATCTTGGAGCCGGACTCCCCAAGCTAACATTTGAGCCACAGCTCTTCATCCTCGAAGGAATTCCCGCCATCCTTTGCGGCATCTACACCTTCTTCTTCCTGCCTAACTGTGAGTGTAATCACCCATCCTGGGAACAGAGACGCCTTGCAGAAAGACATCTAACATATCCCGGAAGACCCTGAAACCGCCAAGTTCCTAAGCGAGCCCGAACGAGAGGCGATCCTCAACGATCTCCCTGACCAGGCACCGACAATGAATGCCAAGACTTTCAGTGTCGAGCAGATGAAGAACCTGCTGAAGGATCCTACTTTCATCCCCTTCCTCATGATTTGGATCACCCATGGAATTGGTGGATGGGGAATTTCGTTTGTCCTTCCAACCGTCATCTACGAGCTCGGCATTTCCAACACGGCCATCTCTCAGGTCATGACCATGGTAAGTACTTAACTGTATCATCCCAAGGCTCATGTCATAATTTGGCTCGACTAACTCGCACAAGCCTCCATTCACTTTGGTCTTCGTCATCTTATTGACGCTGGCCTACTTCATCCACACCGGCCGTCTCAATTTGTGGGTCGCCGGATTGGGAGTTGAGATAGTGCAGATCATCTGCTATATCCTCCTCATCACCATCAAGCAGCCGGTTGCCAAGTACATCTTCGTCATGATCGCCACTGCGGCTTCGCAGAGCTTCTTCCCAATCATCTGGCCGGGTAAGAATCGACGCCCACATGATCTTCTAAAGCCGTGACTCGGACGTGTCATGCTAATACATGAAACAGAACGCATCCGGGCGGCCAAGGGAACCACATCGGCCGGTCTGGCGATTGGCCTGACAAACGTGAGCAACTAGTTTCCCTTTCCTCCCCGAGAAATCAACTACTAATTTCATCTTCCACTCATAGGCATCGTGTCAATTGATGGGCATAGTTGTATGTAGTAGCCCCTATCTCAGTCCTAAAGCCATTGAGACCCCAGCTAACAACGCACCAGGGACCGCAAATCTATCAACCGAAATTCGGGCCTACGTATCGAGTGAGCTTTTCGGCTTCAATCGGCATCTTGTCCGCCACGGTCCTCTCTGTGGCTTCCGCGTGGTTCTTTGTCGCTAGAGGGGACAACAAGGCGCGAGCGCAGGCTGACTCGGCGCTGGAAACGGGGGAATCAGACGGAACGAGCGGGTTCCCCGTACCTATTGAAAAAGGGGAACTAAAAGCGTGATTGCCACCGGGAAAAGGATCGCTATGATACCAAGTGAAAACTAGATAGATACTGATGATTTGAAAAATGACAATCTCCCGACTCCTCTTATGATCATTTTCTGGCTTTCTTCAGGAGGAGCATGACAATCATTTAGCATCCAATGGCCGGGAGGTACAATGCCATTCCTATTGCTTTTGTCCTTGATATCTACATCGATGCCTTGATGAAGGAATGGCTCTAATAAATGCTTTTGATGAAAGGACCATGATTCTGTCCATGCCGCCCTTTCATCAAGCCGATCCAGATCTGAACTGGAGCTGAGCGGAAGGAGTCCTCGGTTAAGATTCGTTTGTGTTCCTAACTCCTAACTACCTCGGGATTCCACTGCATATTCGAACGCAACCTCTTTGACGCCTCCGATGACAACCCTCAGTTTCCTCCCTCAGCGCCTCTGCACCATCTCCTTTGAATGACCAGTTGAAGTGAGGCAGCCAAAACGAAATCCGAAATCGGATTGGATACGGGAAATTAGTTAGGTAGCTAAGGTGAAGTAATCTGTAACGGACTAAGGTACTTAAGATGAAGCTCCCAGATTCAGTCTGCTGCCGCCTTGCTAAATTTATCCCAATAATTGGATCATTGTGAATGCAATCCAAAAACACGTGGCTTATGTTGTAGATAAGAAATAGACTGATATAATCCTGATCGGGATTTCGGTGAGTTGAGCCAAAGCGACGATACTATCGAGTTCCAAGGCCCTGTCGCTAGCATGACGCCACGCGAAAAAGTTCCTTCCGTAAACCTCCGCATTGCATGCACTAACACCACACAACGGCTGGCGAACTGACTAACATCACTAGACCAGAGCTAGGGCGAACAGGAATCTCTTAGCGCACTCCAAAAACGACCAGGAGCGAAAGGGCGCTCCATAGGGCCAAGCAAGACGCAAGTCTCCTTTTTGACTTACTTTTGTCATCATAGGGCGAGTTCTGGGTAGTGGCAGGGATCGAGGCTGCGAGGAGGAATCGAAGGGACTCGGTTCCTCATCTCTGCTATTTCCTCCGCAAGAGTTCGACAATGTCGTCCTGTTCGCAAGCGCTGGCAACGTCGAGCGCGCTTCTGCCCCTGGCATCTTCCTTCAAAGGGTCGAGACCCTTCCCCATCAACATCTGGAAGAGGGCTTTTTCGTGCTCCTTCATCGGATCAGTTGCCTGTGGTCGCCTCGCCACCATGTGCAACGCCGTCTCGCCCTCGTTGTTCACCGCGAACAAGTCAACGCCGCTGTCTGCTGGGAAGAGCTTGTCGAAGAAGTCGAGATGGCAAAGGGTGTTGTACTTGTAGGAGTCCTTTCTCGGGGAAACAAGGTACTCATGGAGTGGAGTGTTCCCTCTTTTGTCAGTCGCGTTGATGGAACCGCCCTCCGCAACGAACCTGTTCCATAGGCCTAGGCACCGATCGAAGTAGTCGCCCGGCAGATCGACGGAGATGTGGCCTTGCCCACGCGGCCTTCGGCTAGACTCCAGGCAATGTCTCGCGATGTAATGCAGGGTCGTCAGCCCATATGGGTCAGACTCGAGCAGATTGGCACCTTTGGCGAGCAATGCCTCGCACACCCTGGGCCGTAGAATATCCAGGGCGCAATGGAACGGCGAGTAGCCATTCTTATCTTTGACGTGAAGAATCGGGGCAACTTCTTTGCGATCAATGAATTGCACAATTACATCGTCAGGGATACCAGGATTCCAAAGCAGGTAATGGAGCGCCGTCATCCCCTCGTTATCCACCAATGTTGGGTCAGCCCCGTGATCCAACATTCGCAAGGGTATTCCGACAGCCTTGGCAGACCAGTGTCTATACGAGTAGCCAGGCAGGATCTGCCGCCAATCGCCCGCCGCCATCAAGATCGTCCGACCCTGTTGGTCACGGCGGTTAAAGTCGATCCGAGACACGCAAGGATCTTCCATCAGCGCGTCCACCGTTTCGTATTCTGCGTACTCGAAGAGGAAATGCACGAGAGTCTCTGTGTCGTTCAGCGGTAAGTACAAATCCGCGCCCCTTTCGACGAGGCAGCGGAGCAACGGCACCGAGTTGGAGACGGAGGCGTTGATGTTTGGGGCGATGCTCGCGCACACGAGCGCGTACAGCTTTCGAGATTGCCTCAGGCTGTAGTGTAGTTCGCGGCTATGGCGTTTTGCATCGAGGGAGTTGACGTCCACCCCTTGGTCAAGAAATGCCTCAATAGCGTCCAGATTCTGGTCGGCGATGGCCTGGAAGAGCGGACTTCGCGCCCCAACTGACATGCTAGCGCCTGCGCGCAGTAGCTCCTTCAACACGTCTGGTGCAGCTGAGGCCTTGTGGAGCGGCGACTTGTCCTCCTTGTCGAGGACATTTAGATCCGCGCCGCGTGCAATGAGAAGGCGTACCACGGCGATCCTCCAGAACCCGCTAATTTCCCCAGGGTATGATCCGAAGCTCTTGCCACAGGCCGCGATGTGGAGCGGGGTGCGACCAGATTCGTCCTTGACCTCGATATCGGCCCCCCTTTCGATCAAATACTGCATCGCCTCGACCTGCCACCGGTGATTCGCTTGTGCCAGCAGATGAAGCGCGTTCCCACCGGGCACGACTTTGCCCTTTTCCCTCCCGAACCTACCCGCGGTGGCACACGGGACGTTTACGTCGACCTGGACCTTTTCTACGAGCGTCTTGACCGTTTGCATGTTGGGCTTTTTCGACTTACACGCCAGCTGGAGAGCGGTAAAGGCTGTGCTTTCCTCGCCTAAGTATCTCATCTTTTGCTTCTCCGCTTTGAGCTTTTTCGCGACCGTGTCGTATGAGCTGTAGTACAAGGCGAGGGCTGGTGACTTGTCGAGGATGTGGGCGTATCCTGGCAGCAGAAGTTGTTCAAGGAGAGAATAATAAGGTGTGCTGTCTTTTGCAGTTGGATCGAAGCCTTCAGAGATGACTTCTACAAGGTCATCCGTCGTGAGAAGTGGTAGGTATGCGTAAGGGTCCCTCAACACTTCGTCACGTACAGCCTCATCTTGCCTAGCTATGGAGAGGCAACGTTTTGGTTGCATCAAGGTCATGTGAGTCATTATGTATCTCCGGGTTCTTTCGCTATTCTTGGAAGTTTTCTCGGATTGTTCCAACCCCTGGGTCGCTCTAATGAAGAGCTGATGATCCTCGACAAAGACCTGGGCAAACTCGGCGCATCCACAGTGGAGAGCAAGGTCTAGAGCGGTGAAGTGCTTCTCGTCCGGAACGGTGGGGTCGCAGCCGGCTTCCAATAGAAGCTTCACGATGGCAGATACTCCCGGGAAAAACCTCGGGCGCGAATCTGGGATCGGTCCGCCGTATGCGCGATACCAAGGGCCAGAGCTCAAGTATCGCGAATGGGAGGAAGCGGGCCGGTTCGGGTCACCCGCTGGGCCGCGAAGCCAGGGCGCACCCTGAACGTGTGCATCCCAGATTGCTTGCTCGGCCTTGAACTCTGCGCATGCATGTAGCGGGGTACGGTTTGTCTCGTCCACGACGTGCACGTCTGCCCCATGGTTCAAAAGGAGCGCCACTGATTCGGGATCCCCCGAGCTACAGGCGTAATGCAGCGGAGTCCTGCCGAAGCTGTCCTTCTGATTGATGTCGATGGAGCCGGGGTCATCGAGGATCTGCCCGACGATATTGGGCAAACGAGCCCTGCAGGAGAGATGTAGGACGTTTTGGGAATCCGCCGTGAGGAAGGCGATGTCCGCCCCAGCCGCTACCAAAGTAGCTAGCTCTATCCCGGATGTCATGGCCGCCACGTGAAGTGCGGACAGACCGTGCTTATCTCGGATCTCGAAATCGAGATTCTTGTCAGTTTTGATAGCGTCGACGAACGTGATACGCTTATGGACATTGTGTAAGGTTGATCCAATCCGTCCCTTCCTCTGCTCGACATGCAATGCGGTGCAGCCGTCCTTGTTGACTGCATTGACAGGTACGCCTATGCTGAGAAGCCAGCGCACGTACGCCGCCGACTCTGGCTCCGTGTTGTAGTCTCTGGCGATGAGATGGAGGAGAGTATCGCCGTTGTTGTTCGTGCTGAGGGGATCCAGCCCCGTCTCCTTCATCAGCCGTTCCATTCTCTCCTCGTTTCCTCCGACCGACCTGGCCAAGGCAAGTACATGAAGAGCGTTGTTCCCGAATTTATCGACCGCGTCGCTCCTTGCGCCGTACTTGACGAGTTCTCTCCTCATCCACTCCGATTGAACGCTTAATAGAAATAGAGTACGACCGTCGCTCGTTCTGGTGTCGATGTCTATTCCCTCCGCTAGGAGCAAGTCGATGTATTGACGAAATCTCTTCTCTCCCAACGACGATAGCGCGAACCAGCACCTCCTCTTTACCGACCTATCCGTGCACTTTGAAAGCAGCAGTGGGAAGACTTCTTCTGATCCGCCGATCATCGCGCGGTAAACAAGAGATTCACCGTAGGCATCATGGATGTTCGGATCGGCGCCTTTCTCGAGCAGGTAGTGGGTAACGGCCGTGATGTCCTCCTTGTATTTACTATAGCAATTTCTGTTGTCTAAAACGCAGTGCAGAGGCGTTTGTCCGGAACGGCCGCCGGCCTTGTTTACGTCGCTTCCGCGCTCCACAAGAAGTTTGACGGTGTCGAGGTCGCATTTGTTGGAGAGAAGGATATTCAACACCGTATCTCCGCTAGTGTGGACTCTCGTGACGTCCGCTCCGGCTTCGACCAGGGCTTTCACAGCCGGGAGGGACGCCAGGTACGGCGGCGCTCCACCATGGCCCACTTTGCAACCAGCGGCAATTAAGAGGGGGGTATCCCCCACGGCGTCAGTTTGTTCCAGATCCGCACCAGCCCTGATCAGCATGCGGAGGATGTCTCGACACGTGAAATCCGTTTTCTGGTGCCATTGTGCAATCATGCGGTGCAGGGGAGCCTTCCCAGTCTCTGTGGAAGGAATCGGGCCATATAAGACCCTCGGGGGACTCCAGTGAGACATCTTACACACATCTGCACCCTTCTTTATGAGTGCCTCAACACACTTGGTGTTTAGCAAAGCACAAGCAAAGTACAGCGCCGTCGCGCCACGGTAGGTTCCGTCGGGCGAGACATTAGATTCTCGAAGTATGGCCAGTACGGCGTCTGTTCGGTTGAACCGACAGCACTCACAAAGCATCCGCTCAAGAAGCTCTGCCTTGCAGAACGGGATCATGGTTACGACGGTTTCCGTATGTCCGCGTTCGCTGGCGTAGAGGATCGCGCACTGCCCATAGGTGATTCTTTCTCCGCCCAGAAGACGACCGACATGGTCCTCACTAGTTTTGATGGTATCCGGTTCCACTCCAGCTTCGAGGAGGGCTTTAACTATCGAAGCATGGTTTCTCAGTGCAGCAAGATGGATGGGTTTCAGGCCCCGGCCATCGCAAGGGTTAGGATCCGCGCCGTTCTCGAGAAGCAGCGATACAACATTGACATGGCCGTTCGCAGCCGCCCAGTGCAAAGGAATGCGGTCTTGGGCATCCCGCTCGGAAGGGGATGCTCCTTGTTCAATTAACTTTGACACGAGTTTGGCCATTCCAGAAAAGGCGGCTATGTGAAGGGCCGTCGGGATGCCGTCGGGACTCTCCTTGGTTTTGGATGTGGACCCCCACTGGAGGACAAGCCATCTTCGAAAGGCCAGGCTGTCGGGATTGAGGAATTCCTCTACAGCGTCAAAGAATTCCTCGTCATAGACGTCGTACCGGCTTGCATGGTACGCCCAGTTTTCCACGGCGTAACTGAGGAAGGGATAGAGTAAACGCGCACCCTGGTACTTGAAAGGATCGGATTCTCGTAGTATGCCCAGATGCGATCGTTCGTAGTGCTCCCTATCACGGTCTACCAAAAATTGAGGAAGAGTATAAGTGATGGAAGGGTCAAGGTCCGCCTCCCCGGAGCGCTCCTCGGCTCGAAGGAGCGGGCCTGATTGGAGGTATCTGAGGGCATAAATCGCCAGGCGCTTGTGGGCTTGAGCAGAGTCTATGGTAGGAAATGTTCTCGAGGAAACGGATTCAGTTGAGGCACTACGAGTATCACCTCGTAAGAACTCGGTGAATGAATGATGAATCACTTGTAAAGTCTCGTCTTCCAGAATCTCCACCAACGGGCCACAGGACGTGGCAATCATGCGTTTGAATGCCTTTGGCTGCGCTGCATCGGGGTACACGTATTCGGCCAAGGCTGTCAACTCATTCAATCGTAGGGGGCGGGCCGCGTGGGTAACTGCTTCTAGAACTAGTAACTGGATATCAAGACTGACACCGAGGTCCTGGCGCTGTTTGGCAAGGACGCTAGCATAAATCTGCTCCAGCCCGACAGGAAGAGACCGCTCGAATATAGTGAGATTGACCAGGTCATCCGACAGAAAAGCCGCCTCCACCTGGTCCATCGTGAGCTTGGCGTAAAGGAATAGGCTCTCGGACCTTTTCGCGACCATGTCTACGACTTGTTTCTTGAGTGGCCGCTGTGCGTCGGACTTCTGGGCCATATCGAATCGGTAGTCGAGGTAGGAAATGATGTCTGCGTCGACTAATTTCTGCTGGAGGCTAATGTGGACAATGGAGGAATCGCGCAATGCGCTCTGGAGATACTGCTTTGGCCTGCTCGTGATGAGCAACTTCACTGAGCAAGGCCGGTAGGTAGCAAGCCCATTCAAATGCTGGAGGAATAGCTTATTGTCTGATGACATCTCGTCAAGAGCATCTGCAAAGCAGTACACCTTGGGCACGCTAGACACTCCGTCGAGGAAGAGCTGGATCAGGTCCCCGTCCGAAGTCTCATCGATCTTTGTCTGCAACCGCGACTCAAGCGCAAATTGCAGCTTGGGCGAGTAAGGCAGGAGCTGGGCCAGCCAGTCCTGGACGAGCGCGCGCGGAGAAAAGTTGGCCGCGACAATGTTGCGGAAAAAGAAGAAGAGCACGGGGCAATCCTCCGTAGCCTGCAAATGCTGAATGATGGACGCCGCAGTGACGGATTTTCCGGCGCCAGGGACGCCCTTGATCCACAGGCTGCCATGGTCTGGAGAGTCGTGCCATTTCCGATACTCTTCCGTTTCGCAGACCCAGAGCCCGGTTCCCGGGGCCTGCGACGAGAGGTGGCGACGGAACTCGCCTGACTCGGCGAGATAGTCGGTGGGGCGGAGCCAGTCGGTGATTTGGGCGAGGACTTTCGGGCTTAGTGCCGTTTCATCGTGGTTGATGATGTCGTACTCGTCGGCTGTATTGGTGGACTTGGGCATGGTTGAGGAATGATTAAAAACAGCGCAATGGACGCAGTTGGAAATGTTAGAGACAAGAACAGGTAATGAATCCGATCGTGGTTCAACTGCGGATCGAGTGATGAGGTGATGTTGAGAAAATCTGGAAGGATTTGATTTGAGGGGGAGGCGCAGGCAGCAAGCAACAAGAGGGGACAGCAAGGATGTTTCAACCACTACTGATTAATTCGTGTAACCTTGCCATATTTATCTGGAAAGACCTTGAACGCTTCCAGTCTTATGATCTAGTCCTACACCTCACATCCGATGATAAAACCGCCCCATTTTCCGGGACACTATTTCCTCGTTGGAAGCGCAATAGCCGCAATAGCTTGCATAAAATACCATTCTTCGCCCCTTGGCTTTATGTGCGTCATGGCCAGCAAAAATCGACTGCTGAGCAATTGGTTGAGTGTAAGGACAGCTGGTGCAGTGGGTAGATAAGACTACTTCCAGCCAAGTGACGCTGGTCGCGGCATTTGGAGCATCTTTTTGTTGTCATATAGCTCAGTTTTCCGTGAGTCAAGCCTGGCATCCAGATGGTAGGGAATTCGGAATTCACCTGTCGAACCTGGTGTCTTATGACTCGGATCCAGTTCCCACCAAGCTACAAAAAACATTGCTTCATCTGCCATCGACGCCTTTTAGAACATTACCATCACTTAGAAAATGTCATAAAATACCTTGGATGTCCCACATTTTCAATCTTTGTGCATCTTGTCTAAAGAAGTACCTAGCTATATGTAGTGGGCAATACAGCCGAGGGGCAAGGGTACCTCTAGAGTTGGCCAATCTGAATGCCCCTCCGGATTCACCAGTGTTTCCTTAAGAGTAGACATCGATTTATCTATCAATATATCTCAATATCTCTGCTCACTTCCAGACCGTCGAGACAAATCGAAAAGACTTCTACTTTGTGAATGAGACTCTATGATAAGTACCACGGCTGGTCACATTTCCACCGAATATAAATTTCACGGGTGGAGGGACGCTGAATTCGTTAAGAAGGAACCAGCCATTCTATCCGATGCTGATCGGGAGCACTTGAACCATGTCGTATCTGCGCGTTATAGACGGTTGAATCTGCATCTCCGACACGCGAGAAGACGGCATTGGCGACATTCGTAAATGAAGTGAGGCAACATGTCCCGGCATTCCTCGCACCTAAATCTTCCTGTACGTCCTGCCCAATATGCATGGGTGCACTGATGGTTCCGGATCAAATTCTCCCGCTCCCGCACCACTGCCTGCTCCCGCGCAAGCCCACCCAGCCCATGTCTAACGGTCCGATTGGCAATCTCATTTGCCCTTGCGATAAGGCGACTCTCGTCCCACTGCGCGCAGGAACAGTTTTTCCACGGTTCTCCGCAAAGGTAACAGAATTGCGCTTTGCAGAGACATGCTACGGTTTTGTTAGCAATCCCCACCCCTCTTCCCTTTCTTTTTGTGAAGTAATAGAATGGTTCTCACTCATGTGGTAGCATCCCATGTCCAGCTCAACCATCCGACGGCAGCTGCGGCAGCGCTGCCAACCGCTATCAGAGGCCAGGCGAAGAACCTCCTGCACGGCCGGATCTTCCGGGCAGTCGCCCTTGTGGCGTGCACCTTTGCAAATGACGCAGGTCTCACTCCCGCATCCCGGGCAGGTTGCAACGTCAGCTTTGATAAGTGACGGGGGGATGAACTTCGAGCAGGTGACTTGGTGGCAATATGTTCGATTCGGAGTGGCGTATTCTACCTCTTTTGCGAGGAATGTCTCGACGACGCTTCTCGGGAGAAATTCCACGCACAATCCTATTGGGATCGCCATCTTACAGCAACGAGGAGGAAACAGCGACTCGTCTGTGGCGGATATCCTGAAGAGGTCTGTGACGCAAGAGTGACAGTAGTCGTCAGAACAAGGGCAGTGGATGGATTGCGTCGACGGTACCACTTCGCCGCAAGAAACACATTCTCGTTTCGTATTCATCGCCGCCCCGCGCTTGGCCGCCCAGGAGGATGACTCTGGCGCTGCAGAGACGGAATTTGCGTCATCGTCATGGGACACGGAAAGGTTCTTGAACATGCCCCGAAGCGGGTCGGAAGGCACATGTTTTTGAGCTGCAGTCTTCGATAGTTCAGGATCGAGTCGCAGTGCCTCCATTCGATCATTGACGGCCTGCTCCTCAATTTGTGTGTGTGCTGCAATCGCATCGGCGTCCTGCTCGACGGCCCGAGCCATGCTATCACACAACCTCCGATCAGCGATACATTGGCTCATCGATGTGAGTTCCCTTCGATACGTTTCCATCGCAAGTTGGTCATCCCGCATTTCACCGGCCTTGTGTTTACCCTTCGCCATGGATTGGATATCGGCAAGTTGGAGCTCGATAACGAGCGCAAGGCTTTCTGGGTCGAGACCTTGGAAAGACATGGCGAGACCTGCAGGGAAAAAAAATTCTGAGTATAAACAGACACCGAGGGAACTGATTGACCCGAAATCTGGTTTTGCAAGAGAAGAGCAAGACGAGCGGTCAAACAAACACTCCTTCGGTAGCAAACAGCGCCCAACCTTAAGGCGAGGCGGGCTTTCAATGGTTGGACAGTAATCACGTGTATTATATGCAACGGAAGAGTGGCATACGGAAAGGGTATCGAATTCAGTATGCGGCAGGCCAACTCCGTCAGGATTTCTCGAGGGCGGGTGAGAGCATGTTGTGGCGCTTTCCACACCGCCATGTTGGTTATGAGATTGCCGAGTCAATGTACTAATGGCGGAATCCTGATAGATTAGCCTTGGTCTTTGTAAAGAAAAGCATCGCCTTAGGACTGTAAGGCATCAGTTCCCCGATCATCGTGTTCGAATCGAAGAAGATCGTTAATCCCTCCCTCCACCCAAGGGAGTCTCAGTGACAGTTTGGTTGGGACGTAGCCTTCTGTTTCTGTTTTTTACTGTGCTATTTACAGCTCAAAGATGCTCTCGGAGAACATGTGCTGCATCCTAGAGCACGTAAACAACTGCAGGTCTGCCCAAGGACGCCTAATTGAACAACATTGACACCGCACTTTGAAAAGGATTTACGGAAAGCTGCCCGAATGCATTGCGATTCTTCATCGTCTAATTTGCCCTACCAATTCCCCAAGGATCTTAAACGTACAAAAAAAACTTCGGGCCTTGTAGGAGAGGCAGGTTACTAAATGCAGCCTGCTCGCGAAGAATGGCAGTTAAAAATCCGCTGTGTAGCTTTCTGTAGTACAGATCGAGAGATATATCCCTGGAGGCCATTGTATATCGTCGCCTTTGTCGGTAAGGAGATCAAGAGGTCGCTTGTCCAAGAGAACCTCTACGAAGTCTGAAGTTGAGGGTAGGATACGAGAACCATTGAGCCAGTGGGGAGGGAGCACGTCCAGTGCGTTCACACTTCTCGTGTCTAACGGCTCTCTGCTTCAACCCGGCCAAAGCAGCCCTGGAAGAAGATACTACTTTACCCTTCTCTAAAGCGAAAATAATATCGTGCGGAGATCATTTAGAAGAGAGAAAAGGTGTGTTGCTGACGCACTACGTTATTGATATGAGAATGCTGGGTGAAAGAACTCGGCGGTAGTGATCGAGGACAACATGAGGGCAATCGGTGTGTTGAAACTTATCGGGGCCTGGATCGATAACTCCTATCGGACGTCCTCGAAAACTAACGCCGAGCCCTTTCTTACTTGGCCTTCTCCCTTATTCACCACGGAGGCGCGAATGGCAGAAACGGTCCCCCTGCTCCTACGGCTAGCACCCACGCGTCCTGACCGCAGTGTTCAAGGACCTCATCCCCAACATCTCCTTTGCCGACGGCAACGGCATCTCTTCCTTATTGAGCAAAGTGGGGGGTCCGGTCGGGCTCGGTCAAGCTCGTGAAGGCACAATAACACCGCCATGAATGAGATGAAGAGTTCCCGGCTGATAAGCCCACGATGGCTTTGATCTCAAATTGGGAGACCACCGCCCAATGAGAAGGCCTAAAGGATCTCATTCAGATATGTCGCATGACGGCGGGTGCTCCATCGCTACCGAAGATAAGGATCAAATATTTCTATTCATGTTTAAAACCTAGGGGAGAAGTGGAACGTGACTGAGAATGGGATCTAGCTGTTGAGCGAGGGGCTTGCTTTCGGAGTAAAGATTCGTAAGGATTCCGAAGAGAGAGAGACCGACTGCAGCTTCAAAAGACTTCAAAGAGGTGTAACATGACGCAGAGCGAGGAGTCAGGCATTCCAAGCCTGAAATGATGAGCTCGACTTAATCCGGTCACATATGCAACATTAATAATTCATGGAGAAATTGTGATGTTCGTTATCATTTAAGTGTTGCATTTGTAAGCAATTTGATCCTAGAATAGGAAACGCTGCGCATAAAGTTTGAACGATTCCCTCCCTGCATCCGCAAAACATCCGCAACTTGATCGCGGCATAACTCATGCGCCATGTCCGCAGCAGATGTAACTCGCCCCAAAGCCTGCATCACATGCGCGGCCTCCAAACGCAAGTGCGACAGGCAACTGCCCGAGTGCCAACGCTGTCTAGATAGAGACGTCGAGTGCCTGTACCCACAGCCAAAAAGAAGGGGGAGGGCAGCTCGATCACTCTCCCGTCGAACCGGGCCATTGCCGGTTCCCGGCCCTCGGGACCATGCTGATACACTGGCACTAAGTCTCGGGGACTGGGCTGCTGCTGCAACAGCGACCGCCCCTGGCCAGGATCTCTCATTTCTACCCAGTACGACCCTGATACCGGACGATGTTATCAATGCAACTACATTGCTAGACCCTTTTACCGAGTCCACGGAACATGGTCTTCAATTACTCGGAAGCGGCCAATTCTTCGTTGGTGACACCGACCTCTGGTTCCTCCAGGATGAAAGCTGGGCCAAACAGCACAAACGCCAACCGAAACCTCCACGCAAGAGTACAGACTTCGAGATGGAAGTCTTTATTGGTGCCGTGCGCGAGATGCTACGATCCTGGGTGACGGACGGCCACAATGGCTTCATTCATGAACAGTTATACAAGAAGGGCATGTGTGCCTGTACCCAGGATGCGTTCACGACTCTCGCGGCCTACACCAGCTGTACCCCGGCAGTGAAGGGAACGATACTTCAGATTGCCGAAGACCGCTGCTCCGCGCTGGTCCTCCAGGGCCTGCTCGACGCTGCTGAAGGCAGCGAGTGTGATGCACAAGCCGTGCGAATGGCTCTGGGCCGAACCCAAGCCCTGTTCACCTACCTCTTTATCCTGATCTTCGACGGCTCCGTGTGGGCCCGGGCGTCTGCCGAGCGTCAAGTCCCAATCCTCCGTACGTGGCTGGTGCAGCTGTTGAGCACGACGCACAAATACTGTGACGAGTGCCGCCAATCTCTGGAGGGCCGCCTCCCACTCCGGCGGACTACTACCGCAGGCATATTCGACGACAACTATTACGAGGCCGCCACGGAACTGTGGAAACACTGGATCCTCACCGAGAGCGTGCGGCGGTCCCAGATCGTCATCGAGGCCGTCCTCAACATCTACATGTGCATGGTCACGGGCTTAGCCGAGTGTACCGGCCTCATCAGCTTCACCGCGCGCCGAGGACTGTGGGATGCCAAGTCCGCCGTCAGGTGGCTCGAGCTGTCGTGGGCGAGGACGCCGCTCCTCGCCTCGCCGGTGAGCGCTGAGCTCTGCATCTCTCAATATGCCGCTGAAGAGATTGATGAGTTTGCGAAGGCAGTTTGGGCGTGTGCGATTGGCACAGAGAAGATGCAATGCTGGACCGATAAGAGTAATAGAAGCAAAGAAGAAAACCAATTTAGTCTAGTATAGTCAAGTCTTGTGTGGATTTTAAATGCAAGTTACAATGCGACAAACTATATTTTTATGAAAGAATAGTTACTTTTCCTTTCTTCATATCGGCATGTTCCCCTCCCCCTCTCTTTTTTTTTTTTTTTTTTTTTTTTTTTTTTTTGTTGTTGTTGTTGTTGTTATTATTCTTACTCCTATTTTTATTATGATTTTTTTTCCTTCTCTAGGAGAAGGAGGTAACGGAGTCGGTTGCGGGAAACATGCGGACAATTTGCGGAAATCTGGCGGGAAACCATTTAACCTCTTTCATCAACGCCGCAATTCCCTAAAGATGATTTCAAAGCACTATCGAAGGCAATTTCACATTGCCGATCCATTACATTCAATGGAGAACAACACAATACAGAAAGTAGGCGCGGATGTGGAATATAAAGCCTACTCTTCTTACCTCGAAGTCTTAACGCGACTGGTTTTATCTTTACAGCACTCACCTTACTCTAATAGTTATCGTCTATCTCTGGCAATACTCCATCACCTAGTTCAATACTCATCCTCCCTTTGCATCTTCCAAGTTTCGTTCAATCAAAATGCCCGAAGATCGTCAGCCTGTAGAAATAATCCTTGGAACCCATACGGTACATCATCATATTTCTCCCCAGCGATGAACCTTGTGGCGGACTAACTAGTGCCCCCCGTTACTAGATTGGAGACTCTTCGGCTCTGCCTGGAGTCATACACTTCGACGATGTAAAAGACGTCCAAGCCGTACTGGACTCATTTTACAACCGTGGCTTTAGAACCATCGACACTGCGCGGAACTACACTGGCTCCGAGGACCGTCTCGGCAAGGCCGGCGCCGCCTCGCGCTTCACCATTCACACCAAAGTCCTCGACGGGCCTCCCGGCTCCCACGAGCCTGCCAAGCTCGAAGCAAGTATCGACAAGTCACTCGCCGATCTTCGGACCTCCTCTGTCGAGACCATGTTCCTGCACGTGCCTGACCGCCAGACGCCCTTCGAGGACGTGGCCGAAGCGATGGACAAGGCTTTCCGGCAGGGCAAGTTTAAGAATTTCGGGCTCTCGAATTACTCCCCGGCCGAAGTGCAGCAGTTCATCGACATTTGCGAGGAAAAGGGCTTTGTGAAGCCCAGCATATACGAGGGACACTATAATGCTATTGTGAGGGGTGGTGAGAAGGAATTGATCCCGCTCCTCCGCAAGCATAACATGGCCTTCTTCGCTTACAGGTGAGTTGGCGGCATGGTCGGGAAAGTGAAGCAGCCTAGGCTCGGAATCTTGAAAAACTAACGAACGAAACAACGGGGACCAGCCCTGCAGCAGGTGGCCTTTTTACAGGTAATGCTGGTAATTCGACCGCCTCCAAGCGGTGGAGCAAGGACGTAAGTAGTCGATTTTCCCTAGAAGAAAGGACAGAAAGGGAATAAAATAAAGGAAAAAAAAATATGCAAAGGAATTCCAAAGGGGATGGCATTCGGAATATTATTCATGACTTGCTAACAAGGTCGCAGAATATCATCGGGAAGGTGTATAGTGACACGTACGGCAAGCCAACTGTTGAAGACACCGTTGCTGCTGTTCGCCAAGCGGCAGAGAAGTATGATGTTACTGGACATGCAGCTGCGCTGCGATGGACAGCGTTCCACTCCATCTTGGATGGGAAATATGGCGACGCCGTTATATTCGGAGCCCGCAACATGGAGCAGCTCGAGCAGTCTCTCGAGGCCTTTGAGGCCGGGAGGCTTCCAGCAGAGCTTGCCGACGCAATATCCGCGGTTTACAAGGCAGTGGAGGGCGAAGATGAGCCTCCCTTTCACCTGTAGAATATTTGAGGTTGTTGATCTCGTGAAATGGTATCTAAGCTCGATATAGATATACGTTTATACGCTGAAAATGTACTCCCTTCCTACTTTGAACGGAGACCGCAGGGTCTGCCAGCACATACTAATAGAAACCGAAGTCCAACGATGGTAGGACTACTTGTGTAGCCTACCGAGATTATTGCGACGAAGTTAGAATCCCGACGTCTCAATTTCTTAGCAAGTGAAGCGGTAGAGCGAATGATATTAGTATCTCCCTTAAAAATCCTTTGCCTGCAGAACCCCGCCAAAGATGAATATAGAGCTAGATCACCTTTATCGTCGCGACTTCAGATGAAAATAATAGATCATAAGGGTTCACACCCCTAGTATACAACTCCTGGACCCCAATACCAACACGCTCGTACATTTCCAGCGGCCCTCTGGGTTTTCCAACGCGCTTAAGGACGAGATGCACGCTGCCCATTTCGGGTGAGTTCGGAGGGCCATCTGGCTAGAGTCATGGATCCACTCATAGGATGACAGGCTTAGACAAGCGTATTCTGTGTCCCCTGGCCAGGCACAGCACCTAGACAAGCACCGACCGGCCAACCAGAATCTGGCCGTCTGCCCGTGTCTCTCGATTGTGGGAGGTCGTTCGATGTCGAGGATAATCCGCCACGTTCTTAAGGACTCGGTTTGAACTAACGCGGGTAATTTCCGAGCGATACCAGCACCGCGAAAAGAGTATTCAATGAAGAAAGCGTCATCGCCATTATGCAATATGGCGAGATCAACGCGGACAAGTGAGCTGGCCAGGATCAAATGTGCATTTTCAATAGGGCCATGGGGGTTTCTTGCTTCCACCAACGTATATAAAACCTCCTAAATGACTATGTCGCTGGCGCATTTGGGGGACTGAAACAGTTTTAAGACGCCAATCTCGCCTTCCAGGGTGCCCAACGTAACCGGGCCGTCAATGGATGCCCATGGCCACATTGGCGCGCAGTAGGTTGGGTATCTTGCGTGTCGACTGTGACCCGAACTAGCTAAAGCCGTTTGGTCAACCATCTACCCGAGGCTTGGAATTAACGTCCCCTTCCACACCCCAGCAATATATTCATGGTTCGTAGGAATGCCCATCGGTTCCACGGGAAAGAAGATGGCAGTTCCATCCACGGTCGTCATGGTCTGGCCGTCGACGGTTCCGCTAACCTCGATCAGCCTTTGGAAAGCCTTGGCGAGACCAGACAAGGCGATGAGCTTGTCCATTGATTTAGTTAATGAACGCGTGGAATATTGGGCCACAAGAAAGCGCCACTCGTGGTAGAGTCTGTGTAGTTGGTGGCCGTCACGGCGATGCACGAATCTCTGATCGCCAGCGTGAAACTGGCCTTGGATGGCACCACCGTCTCGATGGCCGCACTCGCACAGCGATCTTTCCACGCAGGACCAAGAGAGCTCACACTCGTCAAATACCAGCCTTCATCTTGCGAGCACAGACTCCTGCAAGCACCAACCTCTCGAGTCGAGAGGATATTGCCGCAGGGCGCCAACCTCTCCGTTCCTTACGAGGCTCTTACTCACGGGACGTGTTGCAATCGAGGGGGGAACTTCCATCGGGATCGCGTATTGCCAGTCCGGGCTCCCGAATTTCTGCGGCCCTAGGTATCCCTTGTCACAGGAATCGGGATCTCGAGCACTAATGGTTATGAGCAAGTTTGCGTAAACATCAACCATCGTCGCTGCCTCACGTGCCCAGTCGTCAGGATCATCCTGAATGATGCGAAGGGCATCGACCCAGATATAGGACGCACCAAGCCCAGCGCAGACTTGGATGGCGTCTTGCACGGTCCAAGGCAGGTCTACGACGCGGACAGCGTGCTGATAAGATTGCAGGTTTGCCTTGGTTGTCGTGACAATGTGACTAGTGTCCTTGCCCCAGCAGTAGCTAAGCGCGACATGCTTCATGATTTTCAACGCAATGCTCCTGCCACTTAGAAGCCCGACGAAAGGCGATTTCTGAATTCGATGTTGGTGCAATCTCAACGGTCTCTCCGAAAAGGAGCCGCTCGAATGGGTCCGAGTCGGAGAGCAGTTTATCCTCATCTGGCGGGAGTTTCAGTAAGGCTAATACACTCTTGGGCTTTGTGATGTTGGCTTTAGGGCCTCTAAAGCCACGCAGGGTGCCTGCCTGGGATTGGCAAAAATAGATAGAACAAGGCCATGGTCACATCATTCTCAATTAGGCGAATAGATTCCGTTCCCCCGAAAGACTTCGTGTCCGAGTTGAACACCCAACGCTGGCGGCGCTTCAAGGCAATAGCCGAGTGCGCTGTGTTGGACCCATCCCAGAGTTGCGTCAGACAGGGTGGCGGCATCGGTATCGATTCAGTAGCGGGCAAGCTGTCACGAAATCTTGAGTCTTGGCGCGTGGTCGACCGTGTGTACGGCCCTTGGTACCCGAGCCTCCAAGGAGCGGAGTGAAGAGGTGACAGCGACTGCTGTTTAGAATACAAGAGGGAGAGAAGCAAGCAGATTTACCCTGCTATCCCAAGGTGGCCACTCAGGCACAACTGGGGGGTCTAACAGACACAACGCCAATCAAGACCCTTTATTCACCGGAATTCAATGACTAGGATCAGAGATTTCACCGTCGTCGAGGACGCGCCTGCTTCCCGCAATGAGTGACCCAGCATCTCGGTCTGCGAGGGTGAGAAGGTCGATAAAAACGATGATATATGAGGGCCTTTCAGAAAGGGGGCATAACTACAAGCATTCAAATCTACATATAATACAGAACATGGCAACAAAGAACATTTACAGAGACTGGCTCAGTGCCAACAAACTTGCTATGGCAGATGACACCCCAATAACTGAAGAGTACAGAAAGTGGCATATCAAGTACAATAAAAGGGACATTTTTATAATTTATGTGTTGAGTTAGGAAAAGCCCACGACGCAACTCTCTTTCTGAGTCTATGAATTGTTATTTATGATATCTTCAAAGTCCCATTGAGCTTCTTATAGCATAAAACAAAAAACCACCGTTTCATTTCTTGCAAAACTCCCATCAATCCATTCCGACTAATTTGAACGAACATCTGAGGCCGCAATGGTCGCTCCATGGGATGGATTCCTCAACTGCATGCTCCTTTCCATGGGTCTGAGCTGCATCCGGCGAGGATCTGGCTATGGAACCCGGGTCCAGTATCTCTATAGACTGTAGCTCGACTCCGACTACAGCGATCTTGTCCAGTCGACTTGGGGGGAACGGTTGTTTTCCATCGTTGCCCCAGGTGAAGCCAGGCTCTTCTGGATGTAGTTCGACCCAGCCGTCCACAAGGCCATTGTCTCGGATGAGCGCATCGTCCTCCGGAAGAACCGGGTTGAAGTCGCCTGCAATGAGGCCGCGACCCGCGCTGCGTAGGAGACCAGCAACAATAGAAATCTGCTGAGGACGGCGAGACGGCTGTACCGGGAGGGAATCCAGGTGGACATTGATGAGTCGAACCCGAGCGGGGGGTGAGGCAGGCGATGTTGGTATAAAGATGTCGCAGCAGAGGGCGTCTCTTCCATAACGGCTAGGGTACGCAACTCTCCATACCGGACCAAGAGCTTCCCCTTTCAATAACTCCGTTGGATTCTCTTGTCGAAATCGTGCCTTTGACAGGAGGGTGACAGTCGTAAACGGCTGCCCCGCGGGAAGGTACGGAACATGGAAGAAAGAGCCTCTGGAGAGACTTCTTGGAGAAAGATGATGTCCACGGCTGGGGTCAGGCCGAGAATGCGTGAAACGATGGCCGAGAACCGCGCTACTGGTAAAGAGGAGGAATAATCTACATTCCAAGTCACAAGGTTCAGTGCTTGCGCATCTTGGCTGGTAGACATATTGTCACTGTCGAAGGCACTGGCCGTTGGGCGAATCGGTTCGACAGGGCACCATCGGCCTCGGGTCTCATCAAATTCGTACCATGGATGGAAGATTGGGGCCGTCGTGATCTTGTCAGCAGGTAGGGGGGTGCCTTGCCAGCATGACCGGACTTGGGCGTGAAGGCGGGATAGGAACTTCATGGGAAGAAACCTATGCGTGCGTCCAGATTTGGTACCAGCATTGAACAGGATATGAGAGGTCGACAGGGCTGGGCTGGGCTGAAATAACGCCTCGAGGCGTACCAACAATTGAAGCCCGCAAATCCACGAGTTCTCTGGAGTTTATGCAGATGAGGCCAAGAGCGAACTGCACGCCTAACAGTGGGAGTGAGAGGCTGCTGTTGCATTGTCGGGTTAGTGTTGTTGCCTGGAGCGAGCGGCGAAGTGAAGCCTTAAGACTTTGGAACACGTTGGATTGGCGGCAGCTGACGGCAGGCGCTGGTCTGTGTCCGCCTCGGGAATGGTTAATTCTGAAGAAAACCGGTCGAAATGAATTGCAAGAAGGCGAGCAGTCAATACAAGTTTAAAGGGGAGAAACTGATTCAGAGACACTGTATTGCTTGTGGGAATAGAAAGAGCGGGCGAAATTTATATCACTTAGACCTTTCTTGCGAATTTGACTCTTTAACTACTCCGTAGTGCCTGAAATTCCTGAATCCTTGTGAAGCTATTAAAATATGACAATTCACAGGCTGCACTTGGCGGGCACCTCCTCTGGGTGGTTTAGACGCACTGACGCGAGACGACGGGCCCTAGAACTCCAGTGACCCTTACGTAAGGGTCGCCACCTCTGTGAGGTGGCGCCCAGCATAAGCAATCACGATAATATCACGGCACTACTTGTTCGAGAATGGAAAAAGCAATGCGGCCGCCTTAGGAAGCTTCGTTTCATTCGATAATGTCGTGATTTAGTTGGGTGTCAGCATATATGTATATATCTATATCTATATCTATAATTTTGAATGCACCGATATTGTTCGGATGCTATCGCCCCTTCCCCTCTTCGAAAATTCGTCACCAACTTAGGCTACTAAGCCGCTACTGTCAGTTCCGGCGTGATTAGTGGTTCGTCCCGTCTTACATTGCCTGCCTGCCACTCATAATACACTTCTAGGTAAACGCTTCTAGCGGAGACGATAGTTTTAACGCGTTGTGATAGCGTTTCGTCCACTTCTTTCTCAAGTTACAGTTATTACATCACCGGCCGTCCAGATATCGCCCTTGCTCGCGCCCGATGGCGGGCGAATAAGATCGTTACCTACCAGATCGAAGCGTTCACCCTTCTTGGCTTTGCCCTTGGCGTGACGGCTCTTCGAATCTATTCTAGAGTCAAGCTCGTTGGAATTAGGCGCTTGGAAGCAGATGACTACCTGGTCCTGGTAGCAGCGGTGAGGTTTCTAGTCCGCCCCCCTCGATATAATTTCGTGTGGAACCGCGACTCATTCATACACCAATCACTCGGTCTACGATAGGTCTTCCACTCCCTCGAACCGGGCTGCGCATATGGCGTTGCCCTACTCGCGTGTAGGCTCGCAAATAACTCGATGACGGACGAGCAGCAGGCCACGTTAGATTCCAGCAGCGATGAATACCGCTTACGGTACGTTACCTTGGACGTCAAAATGCTACTGTTTTCATATGCGAATCTAACCGCAGGGTATTCGGTTCGAAAATCCATATCGCCGGTTATTCGTGTTACGCAACCCTTTTATGGAGCCTGAAGGCCGCCATGTGTAATTTCTATTTCCGCCTCGTTGTGAGTTACAATATATCTTGACCAAATGCGGCTTCCAAAGGCACAATCACTCTCTAACGACCGGAGCAGAGGCGGCTATGGAAGTACCACCGGCGCATCTACTTCGGCTTCACGGTTATCGGGCTGAGCTGGCTGGTGGTGATCCTTAATCTGTTCCTAGCCTGTCATCCTTTCCGCCGTATGTGGCAAATCAATCCAGACCCTGGAGGTAGGCGGATGCAGTTTGATTTTCCCCCAAAAACCACTCTTTATATGAAAAAAAGAGTTTAGTGCTAAAATAGACATGACACAGTATGTTGCCACCCTACTCTTTCGCCGGCAATCCTCGGGACGAACCTTAGTCTTAACGTTGCTACCGACTTATACCTTATGTCAATCCCTATTCCGATAATACTTGAGTCTAATATAAAGACTAAGATGAAGATCGGGTTAGGTTTCCTTTTCGGGTGTGGCTTCTTTATGATTGCTGCAGCATCCCTGAGAGTCGCCCTAATTCTCAAGGTATATCTGTCTGTAATGTAATTACTTCGTATATTAGCACTCTTTCCTGGAATATACCCTACCTCCAGATCCCAAGGTCGACGTTCTCCCGTAGCTGACCTTTTTTTTTTTTTTTTTTTTTTTTTTTTTTTTAACCTTTTAGAATCCTATCGAAGGTGCCCTCCTCCCCGCTTCATGGGCAGTCAGGGAAACCTTTGTTGCCGTAATAGTCACTAACCTGCCCGTTATATTCCCCCTACTTTGACATTGGCTCGAGCCTATAATCGCCTTTTCGAGCTTCCCTCTACCATATTATCGAAGGCAGCGGTTAGAAACAGTAATAGAAACGTCCCTAAGGGCCAACCATGCCGGCCCCGAGCCGATAGGTGCCGACACTTCTAGGAGACAGAGAGCGCGGGGTCCTAGCACACTGTATCCTATAACTATGTAACATCAGCACTGAGCGATCTAGGGGAGGTTAAATAGAAAGGTGAGGGTATAGGTAAGCACTAAGGAGAACCCACTTTCAATTCAAACACTCTGGGCTTGGCGCTTATTGTGCTTATTAGATTCCGACAGGGGGCGGGCGCCCCAGCTGAGGTGAGAAGATCCGCTTCGGCGTTGGGCAAACCAATCGTAGAGCGTAACATGGCTAGGCCTGCTCCTTGACTGGGGCCGCCACGCTGGATCTCACGTCAGAGCAACGCGGGTTACGAATCCTTCGCCTTAGCGTCGAAGGGATGAACTTAGGAGCTGAATCATGTCCCGAACCAGACTCGTTGAAGAGCAGCTTAACTCCAGCAGTCCCGCCCCCCTTGGGAAGCCCTTTTCCATGCATCCAAGTTCCACCCTTTCGCTTCAACTATCCGCACTTCTCTTTCTCCGACGCGTTTTGTCGATACGGGTATCTAGATCCACGGGCTTTCAACGCGCACCACTAGCGAGATACGGCCAGAACAAAAGATGGGCAAGAAACGACCCCAGTCACTGCCCCCGGTGGCCACCGACAAGGTCATACCGCTCAACTCCTACGATGACAATGATGTCAACGCCTCCATCGTGCTGTACTTTATGATCCGCTTCGACGATGTCCTCGACCCCGAGAAGTTGCGCGCCGCGTTTGAAAAGCTTTTGAACCGGGAAGGGTGGAGGAAGTTAGGCGCAAGGCTCAGGATCAACGTAAGTCGTGGCCCAACTTCGAATTGTTGTCGCTTCAACCCGTTTCCCGTTGCTTTTCAATAGCAATTATTAACCCGTTGATTACCAACAGGCTGCCGGCAAGCTAGAGTACCACGTCCCCGAACAGTACAACGAGAAGCGCCCCGCCTTCGCCTACAGCCACGTCAAACACGACATGCCCATCGCGAAGCACCCCCTCGGATCCCAGGTCCCTAGCGGGTACGCGGGTGAAGGTCCATCAGTCGTGATCGAACCGAGAAAAGTCGCGGATCTGGCGGGCGTCGAGACCGGGCCCAAGGTGCTGGCGGACTACGTCGGGCAGGACAGAGGCCAGCTGGGCCTCCACATCGAATCCTTTACCGACGCGACCTTGGTCACGCTGAACTGGTTGCACACCCTGTGGGACGCCATGGGTCGGAGAGAGTTCCTCCTGTCGTGGATCGCCATCCTTGAGGGCCGCGACGACGACGTGCGCCCCTTCCACGGCTTCGATACCGACCCGCTTAAGGAGCTGGGACTGCACCCCAAGGAACCCTACGAGCTAGCCAATCGCAGACTCTCCCTATTTCAACTCATCATCTTTGGACTCCGACGCTTCTGGGAGGAGTGGAGGCACGAAGAGGGTGGTCGAGTTCTCTGCGTCCCTAGTTCTTTCTTGCAGAAGCTTCGCGAGCAGGCTATGGCCGATCTCAAAGAAGAAGCCGCCAAGGACAGTCGCAAGGTCGACGAAGACTTCTTCCTCAGTGATGGCGACCTGCTCGTCTCTTGGATTGGTCGCTCCATCGTTAAGCACTCGCCCATCAGGCACAGCCGGACCATAGCCTTCTTCAACGCCTTCGGCATGCGTGGCCTCCTGCAAAAGGACGGCACGCTACCTTCAGATGAGGCCTACGTCTCGAACTGCGTAACCTCCGTATATACCCTCGTCTCCGCCGGCGACGTCGTGAACCGTCCCCTCGGCTACACCGCATCGAGGATAAGGCAGACCCTCAAGGTGCAGGGAACGCGCGAGCAGCTCGAGGCCGGTCTGGCTCTCATCAAGGAGTCGTACGAGGCGACGGGCTATCCTGCCATCTTTGGCGACGCCACCATGCAAATGGTGATTATATCCAACTGGTCCAAGGCCAGATTCTTCGAGATGGACTTCTCCGCGGCCATCGTCGAAGGGTCGGGCGACCCGTCCAGGGAGGGTTCGAAGAAGCGCGGCAAACCTACTTATATCCAGCCTGTCGGCTACTCGGACTACTCGAAGAGGTGCGCGTTCAACGTGTCTGGGAAGGATAATGACGGTAACTACTGGCTGGCCGGTGGTTTGAGGAAAGCGGCCTGGGAGCGCATGGAGGAGGCCTTAAAGCGCGGTGAATACTAATCTTAGAGATATTTCGTTTCACGGGTTGAAAAGACGGGAAACTAGGACGGACCACATCACACTTCTTAGGTACAATAGGGCTACTGGATGTCTTTTTATATTTTAATTGTCCGCTCGCTCAGTAACCAGCTCTTGAAGGGCTGAATATCAATTTATACAAAAAGCCGAGGTGTCCATTCTTCACCGACCCACACCTTACTCACTATGCCGGCGTACACTGGCCATTAACTGAAATAAATGGCGTCATTTCACCGGGGAAGGGTCGCACTGGATACGAGGAGCCTCCCTGCGTCACCGTGACCTGCATTGGGGATCCTGCCGCCGGCAACAACGAAAGGTCGGGCCCAGCAACCCTTAGGCTCGACCAGCAACGGCCCAGCGCCCTCTAACAGGACCATTCGTACAAAACCCAAGCCAGGCCAATCAAGATGAATTACATGTCCTCTTCTGCCAAGCTCAAGTAGCTTTTCGAGTATCACTATCCTTCGTTTCTGTGGCGTAGATAGGATCGGGGCCAAACCATAAAAAAAAAAAAAAAATAAAAAAAAAATCTCGAATCGAGCTGCAGTATCCGGGGGAAGAATCCAGCACCCAAACCGACGATCAACATGAAGAACGAGCCGTCGGGTCAGTTAGCAGGCAGATCACCTACGTTGGCCCTTCGTCGTTTTACTCTTCTCTCTCTAGTTTTCTTATTATACTGTAACGGGCTACGCCGCGTATAAGGCAGTGGCGTCGTAGTACGGTTGACGTCCGTGATAGTTCATTTTGAGATCATGAACTCCTGCACAGTGCTTCGTTTCGCGCCGTCCCCATATGCATAGACTATTTCGCCTGGGGGACCGCTGTTTTCACAATATTCGATAATGGCTTCAATATTATAGCGCCGAGAGGAAACTCGCGGGATCTGCGCTCGCAGCCTCTCAATTCTGCCACTGACACTTTCGCCCCGCTGTGAAGACATTTTCGAACAGCGCAACGAGGAGACGATATATGATGCGTGAAGACGATGAGATCGAGGATGACGATGTCGACGAAATAAAGAGGGCTATCGTTCGATACCGAAACGCGTTGGTTTGGGATAGCTCGTCAGAATAGGCAGAGTAATGTTGTCATCGAGTTGGCGTCCGGCTCAAGTCAAGCCACGGCCGTCGCCATCGCGCAATGGCTAAGGGCGAGGAACAGTTGCCGGGTTTGTTCCCATGTAGAATAGCCATGGTATCGATGACAACACTTCCAAATGCGTGTTGACTGGATAATTCGCTCGAGTTGCTCCTCATGACCCAAGATTCTTTCGACTAGAAAATGTTTTGTTGCCTTGGCAACATATTGGCCCGGCGACAAAGACCTGGTTTCTACCCTTTTCTTTGACACTCTCCAGTCAGTCTTGGTGCGGCGCTCTCGTGCGGCAAGCCCAGACACCTTCCTCCAAATGTCGGCCAAGTATGTACGGCGAAGCCGCATCATATTGAACGCTGTGTTTGGCACGACAATCTGGATTACCACGGGAGGCTGCAAGGAGGTTGTATGAGCTTCTCCGTCAAAACATACTCAACCGCAGCCCATTTCTGAGTTGAAAAGTACAGGGCTTTCTTGAGGCTGAAGTCGTTAGACCTGTTGGTGGTAAGCGCGTCTAGCGCAAAATTTCACGTCGATGCCGCCCTGAAAATGAGCTGGGCCGCGGCCCCATGACAACAATTGTTGAAAATTGGAGGTCTCTGACCCTAGCAAAAGCAGAGCTGGAAAGCTGACCACGCCTTCGAAAGAAACCGTATCGACGAACCCGGGATTCTTCCATTCTCATCGCCGCGCATGACATCCTTGACACTCCAGAGAAAATTGTCTTTCGTCATGGAACTTGTGGTCTTCGTTGAAGTTGTCTCCAGTCATTTCGGCGAGAATTGCCACGATTGCCAGTGTCGGTTGTTCAGTGGGCTGAATCGCGCTCGCAGGTCGTTGTCGAATAATGGAGTGAGGAAGCCACAACTTGACGATGATGCCAGGTTAGTAGTGGGTATAATGGTGCGAAGTTTAAGTAGGTCTGACTCGCTGAGATGGGGCAGTGAAGAAGGGAAAGGGGCAGAAGCTGCTGGAAGAGGAAGCGGCTGTTGGGGAGAGATCGAGGCAAGAATTCGAGGCTAGAATTCGAGGAAGCAGCTCGAAGAGTATAAACATGTGAATAAAAGGGAGAGGGCACCGGACTTCACGCGACTCACTCGCGAATGGGGAAGGAACGGTGAAAGCTTGTGATTTTCTGATTTTGTGATTTTAGCACCAACCTTTCAGTTGCCGTTTTCGCTCCGCCGTCTTCAGGCTAGAACGGGTTTCACGAGACTAGCTTTACCCTAGCCCGTCACCAGCGTTAAGGAACGCGAGTACTGGGGCCAACGGGAGAGCGAACATATTGTCCATGGAGATGAAGGAGGGAGCTTGTCAACATGGCTGGAGAGAGACTGTGGGTTCCGGAGGGGAACTCTTCACGCCAGCCAAGGTGGAAGCAAGGATTTTTTTCATGCATTCGAATCTCGCCGTCATGATTGATAGCCTGTGATATTTCACGCATGTGTCAAGCATGTGTCAGGCATGCGTGCAGGGAAGGAATGTCTCGTGAGTCGAGACCGAGTGTTGAATGTTGATATTCTCAGTTTTGAATATCTCTTTCCCAAATTGAGGTTGTCTCGAGAATTTGGCATATAAGAGCCGATGTTCCTGTCAAATATCCATCAAAATATCCATCATTGTTGCACGTTGGTATACTAAATAATTATGGCCGCAGAGCATGTATTGATAGGAAACTAACTGGACAAAAGAAAAACACAGTCGGCCGACAGTAGTGTAGAAGTGGGCAAGGACTAATCTTCTGCCCGCGTAAACTTCTCACTCAAAAGGCCACTCTTCTCGACAACCTTGTATCCCACCAGCTGGAGCGAAGGCGCCTGCAAGATATCAAACACTGGAATATCCGCCTTAAACTCCCTCAACAGCCAGTTGCGCACCTCTACCGCAACAAGCGAGTCCACGCCATATGCCGAGGTAGGAGACGCAGCGTGGATGTCTTCTAAGGGAATCATAAGCGCCTTGGAGAGCTTCTTGAGGAGAGCATCCACGACGATGGCGGCCGCGGCGTCGATGGACGTGGCCTCCTCCAGCTGCTGCACAAGGGACACCTCCACGTCGGTCTTGGCGCCAACGGTGCGTGCCCGCATCATGCGCAAATGGGAAAACACGGGCTCGTTGAACCAATGCGGGATCTCGTGTTGTGTACGGTCAAAATACGCCTGCGTACCGAGGCCCGTGACGAATTGGCATCTCTTCTCGCCGTCGTTGATGTTGCTCCCTTCCATGGCGATACTCATCATAGCGAGGAATTCCTCCTCGTCGATCAACACGAAACCCCACCGAGACAAATTGTTTTGCGTCGCGCCCTCAGTCTCGGCGACGTACCCTACCGACCGGATCATGCCGAGATCAACAACTGTTGCCGGGAGACCCCTAGAGGTGCGGTAGTGGGCGAATGAGTCCTGAAATGCGTTCGCTGCGGCGTAGTTGCCTTGCGATAGATCGCCAATCGTGCCCGCCGCGCTGGCGAGCAAGACGAAGAAGTCGAGCGGCTGGTTGAGAGTTGCGTTGTGGAGGTTCCATGTGCCGTGCACCTTTGGTCCAATAACTTTGGCGAAGGTCTCGTACGGCATATTGGCAAAGACTCGGTCCTGCGAGGCGAATCGCCAGTCAGTAAGTTACATCGTTCCTGGGAAAGTTCGGTCACGAGGAAGGGGTATGCGATCTTACCTCCAAGACCATGGAGGCCTGTATCACTCCACGGATTGGCGGCAGCTCGGCCAACGCAGCACCAAAGGCGCTTTGTAGTTTATTATCATCCGTGACGTCGCAAGCCAGGACGCGGACGTTTGTGCCAGCAGCCTCGAGCTCATCAACCAGCGATTGAGATTCGGATCGACTCGTCCCAGACCGAGATACGAAAATCAAGTTCTTGGCACCATGTCTTACCAGGTGCCGAGCAAGGCATCTACCTAAGCCACCAAAGCCACCTGCGAGCAGGTAAGATGCGTCAGGCTCAAATTTGATGCCAGTTTTCTTTCGCGGTACGACCTATTAACGTGATACCTTGTCAGTTTATGGCATAAACCAGGACAATACCAATCCCAACATCTGGAGAAGTCCATCGTGAAGCAAAGAGATACAGATACTCACCGGAACAATATCATCGCGCTGCGGGGTCAGAACCACCTTGCCCATGTGTTTGCCCATTTGCATGTACCGGAATGCCTCTTCCATCTTGGAGAACGGGAATGTCGTGATTGGGGTGACGACGCCGATGCTTTCGTCGCGAAGAAGGGCCATGACACTAGTGATAAGATGCAAAGCAAGGTCCCGGCGTTGCTTGAACATCACCGTCAAGTCCACAGATGCAAACGTGACGTTTCGAATGAAGGGGGCCATTCCGATGTGCGTGTTTTCTTCGATATCCTTCTTGCCGATCTCAATGAATCTGCCAAACGGTGCGATTATCGACCAGGATGCCTTGAGTGCTTCGCCCGAGAGGCAGTTGAGAATCACGTCGACGCCTTTTCCGCCTGTCTGGCGTTTGATGCCCTCGGCGAAAGAAAGGTTCCGACTGGAGAAGATGTGGCTCTCAGGAATTCCGTACGTCGCCATGATGTGTTCCTTCTTTTGCTTCGTGCCGACCGTCACGAATACTTCAGCCCCGTAGAATTGGGCCATCATGATTGCGGCCTGGCCGACTCCACCGGCTGCAGCGTGGATTAGTATCGATTCCCCTTTTCGGATCCTCGCTTGATCGACCAGCGCGTAGTATGCCGTGCAGTACACAACGGGGATAGCAGCCGCAGTTTCAAACTCCATGCTATCTGGAATCCTCTGGACCAGCTTGGCCGGGTTCTTGACCGAATTGCTGTAGCCTCCCATCGTCCAGGCGCAGACTCTGTCTCCCACTTTGAGGTGTGTCACCTCACTGCCAATCTCAGCGACGATTCCGCTGCATTCGCAGCCGAGGAAACCATCGACTAGCTGGCCCATGCTCACCATGATGTCACGGAAATTCAAGCCAACGGCGCGGACGTCGATCGTCACGTAGTCAGGGGGCAATTGCATGGGGCCGGTTGGGTCATCGATGAAACGGAGAGTGTCAAGGAGACCAGGCACGGCGATGTCTAGGGTCAGTGGCCGATCGGGCTGGTAGAATGGCTCCATCTTTGTTTCGAGCCCCGAGGTCGCTTTACCGCCCAATTCGGATAGTCTGGCATCAAGGCCTGTTGCCTCTAAACAACGCTTGATGTAAAGATGTCCTCCCTTTTCAGAGTACTCTGTGTCTTCCTCGGCAGCAGGCCTGGCAGACAGAACTTTTTCCAGCACCAAGTAGATTTTATCAAAACATTCTGTTGCGGAGAGAGGGCTGTCGGCAGAGAAATCTAGCGTTATAAAAGGGAGTCCAGGGTGCTCTCCCCGAAGAGTTCGAGCAAGGCCATGAATAAGGGCGGCGTCTGGATTGTTGGCTTCTTGAGACCCGCCCACCGTCAACCACAGAAGGCCTGCAGCTTTGTCGAGGACTAACTTGAGCTGTTCGAAATCAGCAGGGCTGATATCTTTCACAAGAGGCTGCCACATTTCGGCTTCGAAGACGCAGATTGTCGAAGTCAGCTCCTTTTCCGAAAGCTGTGAAACTGACTTGGCTGATGACGAGTGGCCCTTCTCTAAAAGTCTCTGCTGTAGACCTGCGACAAACTCTTCCTCTCCGTCAGCACGAGCTTCCGTCGTTATGATTATGATGGATGGCGATGAACCTGCAAGGTCGCCATTTGACTTAGGAATTGGTGTGTCATGAATTGCTTCAGCAACCATGAGTCGACCGCATTGCAGACGAGAATCCCGGTGATCAGGGATACTCAAGCTCAAGCCTCCAAAACCACACTTCCCGAGGACAGAGTCCCAGGTCGCCTCATCCATCGTCGGGCCCCAAGGCCGGAAGTCCTCCTCCGACATCCACCACCCGGGAAGTGTGCCGAATGGAAGGAAGCCTCGGTTGAGAACTTGCGTCATCTCCAAAAGAAGGAGCTTTCCTCCCTCTTTCAAGAGCTTTCTAACGTTCGAAATCGTGTTGCTGATGTTTGCAGTCGCATGCAGCACGTTGAAGGCCACGACAACATCAAACTTTTCATTCTCGGCAAAACCTTGCGATACTGCATCCTGCTCGATGTTTAGCTTTCGGTAGCGGATCAAGTCACCCCAATCGCGGAACTTTTCTTGAGCCTTCTCGAAGAAGCCTGAGGAGATGTCCGTGTATGTGTAATCCTCGAACCTAGGATAGGCGCCTTTGTTGCCTCCCAAAGCTTGGAGAATGGGCCACGTTGCTCCTCCGGTGCCCGCTCCAATCTCCAGGAATCGAAGATTGGGATGCTTGTGCGAAAGCAGAGTGATGTACTTCCCGAGCTGCGCGTATGTGGTTGCCAAGCCTAATGCGTTTTCGTAATACTTGTAAAGAAGATCTCCCTCAAGCATTAGCGCAAGAGGGTCAACATCACCCTTTAGGATGCATGAGAGGCTCTTCCCCACTCGGCAGAGTAGCATGGCTTCGTGGTCCGCAGACTCCACTGTAGAAATGAGATTTTCCATTTTTTCCTGGACTTCTGGCGTATCGAACTGCAGCCACTGTGAGGTCTGATGAGCTACCTTTCCGGAAGAGAGCTGCTCACGGTGGTGTTGCATGTATCGATATAATTTCTGGTGATGAGGCTGGACGACTTGACTCTCTCCGACCTCCTTTAAAGCTTTCTGGTAAAAGTAGGACGCAACCATTTCCAGAGTTCCAATGTAATCTGGTGACGTATCTGCGACACCAGTGTCCCCCAACAAAGCTTCCACCTCATCCTTTCCGTTTAGGTCGAGATCTAGCGCCCACTGGACATCGAAACATAGCTTCTTCTCTTCACCAGAAGATACTCCATCTGCCCCGGGGTCAGTCGATGTGACTGCCGTGCATCTCAAGCCCTGAACAGTCACAACTGGAGTCTTTGACAGACTATCCCGAACATATATCGTACCAGAGGCCTGTCGGTATCCCGCAAAGGCAGCTTCACTAACAGCTTCCAGTTCGAACCCGGGTTTATTAGCGGCCACCGCGTTCGAAACTTCGATTTTCTGGATGAATGTCGGCATGTAAGCTTCCTTGATGTTTGAACGGGTCAGAGCTGGGAAGAAGCTCTGTAGGAAGGCGTCGAGGGTTGCGGGGTGGAGGAGATGTTCATGCTCGTACTCGAATGGCATCACTTTCTTTGTATCGGGAATAGTGATGGTAGCTGTGGCCTTGCCAGTTCCGTAAGAGATGTTTGTCAGGTTGCGGAAGGTTGGCCCGTAGAGAAGGCCAATGTTGGTGAGCGTTTCGTATATCTGGGATGTGGCAACAGGCGTCGTGCATTGCTTCTTAGTACTGTCAAAGTTCTCGTCATACCAATTAGTTGCCTCTTTGCCCTCTCGGCCGTCATCGACTACATCAGGCTGCTGCTGGGCGAGAGTAACTGTAAAGACACCCCGACAGTGTTCCTGAGTTTCCCCAGGAGTCGAAAATGAAAAGACGCGGAACTCTTTCCATACATCGGACGAAGTCTTGCTGCTTGACCTCAGAGGCCTTACTTCGAACATGACTTCCACACCGGCGTCCGTCTGCGGAACCACAAGCGCCCGAGATATCACCATGTCTGCAATGGTGAATCCGGTGACTCTCTCTTTGTCTTGGGAAGACGTGATTTGGCGTGCTGCTTCCAAAACCATGGCTATGTAACCGGCAGCAGGGTAGATGACGGTGTCCTGGACCTGGTGATCCTTCACCCAAGGTTGTTCCTGGATGCGGATGAAATTCCTCCATCTTGGCTCAGTGGGATTCCAATCCGAAACAGGCGCCCCGAGCAAGTCGATACGGGGAGCTGACCGGAAGCGATAGTCAGTGCTTAATCGCGATTCCATCCAGAATTTCTTGTGATTCCAAGAATACGAAGGAAGGTCCACAAGCACTTGGGGAGTCGAGGAGCTTTGCACGGGCTCGTTTGCTCTTCGCAGGCGGACAGAGACGCCGCAGGTCCAAAGCGATGCGGCAGCGTCCAGGGACGTTTCGCAGGCATTTCGACCTCTGATGAGCGCCGAGAAATAAGAGATCGATCGGTTGGTCCCATGCGAGGCTTTTTCCAGGGCTGACGAGACGATCTGCTTGACCGGCCCGGCGAGCGCAGAATGTGGGCCGATCTCGAGGAGAATGGAAACGGGACTCCTACCACCTCCAGTTTCCAGTGATTTTCTTGTCCTCGAGGAAGCGCCGCTGAGAAGCAGAGATTCGAGGCCTTCAGAGAATCGGACGGGAGAGAGCAGGTTGTCCACCCAGTACTGCGCGCCGAGATCCACGTCCGCGGTGGAAGCGGAAGTCACTGTGGAGATCATCTCGCACTTCTGCGGGGTAGAAGCTTCGCGTGTCGGGATCTCAAGTTCACCTAGAAGCTCGAGATAGTGGCTCGCCACGTCCTTCATGTGATGAGAGTGGTAAGCTGTTTTTACCTTCAGCTTCCTGGCAAAAATGCTCTCGTCTTCTTCTTTGATCATGTTCTCCATTGCTTGGATTGCGGTTAAGTCGCCCGATAGGGTAACGTTGGACGGGCTATTCATGCAAGCCACAACAAGCTTGCCGGAGGCAGGATCCAGTCGAGAGATTCTCTCTTGCGCATCCTGTGCAGAGAGACCACAAGCCATCATGGCACCTTCTTGCTTCACTTGCGACGACACGATTCCCCGGAAATATGCGACCTTCAGGGCCGAGGCGAAGGTTAGCTTGCTGGCCGCATAAGCCGCCGCTATCTCTCCGCTTGAGTGTCCAATAACCATTTGTGGCAAAATGCCCCAGTCATTCAGGAGATCGACTAGGGCGAGTTGGACAGCGGTGCAAGCAGGTTGGCTGACTTCAGGGTCGTTGACCCGGGACGCTTCCTTGTCTGTGGGGACGATGACTTCGTCTATCAGGGACCAGGTACAACCCAAGGAGGCCAAGGTGTCGTTTGCAAGTTGTATCGACTTTTGGAATACCGGATAAGATTCGAAGAGTTGCTGTCCCATGCCACACCATTGGGCGCCTTGGCCGGTAAATACGAAAGCGACGCTAGGCGCCTGGTTTATCTTCATGGAAGGGTATGTGTTAAGAAAGAGTTTGAAGATAAACAACGGATTGGCTGGGGAATTCACTTACATCTGAACGAGTTGGACTCTGATTCAAGCTTTCCAGCTTAGTGACAAGATCATCCAATGAGTCGGCAACCACGGAAACCTTGAACGGCAGGGACGAACGCCGCTCCCCAAGCGTGTAGGAAAGGTCATTGAGGAAGGATGCCTCATCTTTTGACCCTTCCACGATCTTCTCTTGCTTGAGATAGGATGCATATGTTGATACTATCTGCTTTGCGCTGGTTGCTTCGTGCGCAGACCAGACGAATATTCGATGTTGGCTACCTGACTCCGTCGCTTTTTCGTGGCCGTTGGTTTGGACAGCATCGCGCTCGAAATGCGTGCCGTTGCCGTCGGAATGGCCATTAGTATGAGAGTGACCATTGACGCCATTGCCTTTAACACCGTTACCATTGACACCGTTGCCGTTGACATTGTCATTGCCGTTTGTGACGGCAGTCAAGGCTTCATGCTTTCCGTGAAGACTAGGATTAACCACAGTACGATGAGAGCCCCTCAAACCTCGTAGCTGTAGATAATTATAGGCATCATCTAGGATGGCATGAACATTCGTGCCTCCGAACCCAAACGAGTTTATACCAGCTCTCCTGACTCCGGCAACCGGCCAGGGAGATAACTCGGTTGGAACACGGATTCTGCAGCCTTCAAAGTCAATCTTGTCATTCCCGCGTTCAAAGTTGATATTTGGCGGAATCAATCCGTTCTCAAGGGTCAAGACAGTCTTGATAACTCCGGCAAGACCGCTGCACCCCTCCAAATGGCCAATATTCGTCTTAAAACTTCCAACGTATAGAGCATTCTCTTGGCCCTCGGGTCGATATTTGCCCAAAGCTGAACCAATTGCGCCCGCTTCTATCGGGTCACCAACAACTGTTCCCGTTCCGTGTGCCTCAAAATATCCAACAACCGCAGGGTCGCATCCGGCACTCTGGTAAGCCGATGTGAGTAAGGCGTGTTGCGCTTCTCCCGACGGAAGCATAATGCCAGGTGTCCTCCCATCTTGGTTGGAGGTGGTCCCTCTAATGACTGCACGGATGGTGTCGTTGTCTCGGATAGCGTCTTCCAATGGTTTTAGGTATAAAGCGGCAATGCCTTCTCCCCGGGAGTAACCATTTGCTCGATGGTCGAACGTGAAACACCTGCCGTCAGGTCCAAAGAATCGAACGTTGGACATGGCAACCATGGGATCTGGATTGAAGATGAGATTGGCGCCACCAACAATGGAGGCCTTGCTCTCGCCAGCCCGGAGACTCTGGCAGGCGAGGTGAAATGCCACAAGACCGCTGCTGCAGGCCGTGTCAACCGTCAAACTCGGACCTTTGAGATCGAAGAAGTAGCTTATGCGATTGGATAGAATGGCCGCTCCATTTCCGGTGCAGACATAGGCCGGAGACACCTCGAGGTCTCGGCTCAGCGACTCGTGGTAGTCTTTGGAAAAGCACCCGACGTAGCAGCTCGTATTCGAGCCCGCGAGCTTCTCCATCGGGACTCCGGCGTTTTCAACGGCCTCGTAGGCGCATTCCATCAGTAGCCGTTGTTGGGGATCCATGCCCACCGCTTCGGCGGGCGAAATGGAGAAGAATGCGGCGTCGAACTCAGAAATGTCTTGGTCGAGAAAATGTGCTGCGCGGATGTTGAACTACACCACGCACACCGAGAATTGATCGTCAAAAACAGTCTCGCGCACTGGGGTCGATCGTGACAAGGATTAGCTTACCGATCCACCCCTGTCCGGGTCGGGGTGGTAAAACGCATCGACGTTCATCCGACTTTTCGGGATCTCGGAGCGGCCCGAACGTTTGTTGGCGATCATTTCCCAGAATTTACTGGGGGTTGAGGCCCCGCCCGGGAATCTGCAGGCCATTCCCACGACGGCGATCGGCGGGAGGGCATCATCGTCATGGGTGCCATTGGCGGTCTCTGGCGGCCGCGAAATCATAGTTGTGGTGGGTTTGTGTGGTTGAGATTAGGTGTGAGAAGCGAAAAAGGGCTTCATCTGTGTACTCCCTCGCTACCATTAGAAACAGCAGGCGAGAGGGAATTAAGTAGTCGACAGCATCCCGGACTGCAAGTCAACATCGAAAGTACCAACACGACCAACCGGTGGTTCGGCCGATCCCCTGCCCTCCGAGGACAACGAGCCATGACGAAAATGGACGGAAAGTGGGGGGAGGAAAGAGGGGGAGGCGAAAGGAAGAATCGCCGACGCAGAGGCAGATGCAATCACCAGTTTGGATGAGAGGATTGGGCAATTCGAACTCGGTCTGGAGATGCTAATTCTGGACATCCTTCCAGAAATCAAAGGCCTCAATTCCCCAATCCCATCCGCCTAATGCCGGGTCCGGCGGGCCGGGCTGCAGCACACCTCGCGTGCATAGAGAAACATGTGCGTGGCGAGATTCTGTAGGTCTGCGTGGGTTAGGTTACATCCAACTTCCGCCGGCGCACTGAGGTGGGTGTCCGCTCCTCCTACACGCTACCTTCGAACTTCAATAGTGCGGGCAACGTCGTATGCGTATGCGAGTTACGTGGCACAACTTGAGTAGAAGATATCGTACCATATATCTGGGTCATGACGCAGGAATTCGATTTGGTGTTGTGGTCAACCGGGTTTGACCAAGCACTTCGCTTGCTTTGTGATCCTGTCCTCTCTGCGGCGACCAGTTCCAGATTTCGGCTCGACCGGAAATGCAGGCGGGAACGGCGCCGACCAACGGCATTCGAGATGGTAGGCTGCGCTCTTGTGCTCGGGGATAGAGGCTCCAATCCGGACACTCTCCGAGTGGGAGGAATCCCCGGAATTCCAAATTTGGCCTCTCCGATGGAGATGGGGCGCAGGCTTTTTGATGCGGACCGAACTTCGTACATGCAGGGACCTTGTTTTGTTAATGGACATGGCAGGTAAATGAGCTGTTTTTCCACTCTCACCGTCACACTCCACACTCGTGTCCGAGTGAGGATCACAGAGGTGATTTCCGCGTGCGTGGTAATATGGACTGGACTTCTAGCCATTTCGGTTGAGCTGTCAAGTGTGCCCCGACCGGGGAATAGAACCCACACTGAGCTGCGGAACGGGCCAATGCAAATTCATGTAACCTAACCTCTTTGGGCTCCTCATTGGCATTTTCGTATTCCAAGTCTGCAAGTTATTCCAAATCCAGGGAGAGACTTACTATTCGTGCCTACAACACAAATGTGCAAATGTCTAAAACTTGGTGCATCAAGCCCGTGGTCAGAATATTGGATACGTAGGACGATTCCGCAACGTGGGAACATGCTAGCCTGTGACCCACACCTCGTCACGAAGCACAGAAATATCCCCGTATATTCATGGAAAACGTCGATACCTACTAGATAACGCTGGATGTCCTTCGTGACCCACCCCCCGGCCGGGAACCCTTGAGAGACGTCAGCCTGCGACTGGCAGGACCAGATTGCGGTGAAATCGACATGGCATTAAGGCATCGAAGGATGGGTCTGTGCATCAATTATCTACGCCAAGCGTCACGCAAGTTATTATTTATGATGATGGAGGTCGCAAAATATCTTGGCAAGTCTTTCGTTGCTAGAACCCGAATGACGACCCTAACCCCCACGATCCGATAGCCCGGATCCGTGTCAGATCGGATCACTGCCGGCTTACATAAGGCACTAAGTAAAGGATGTGGCAAAGGTGGTTCAAAGTTATAGGCATAATCTAATTAAGTATCAGCTGCCGTTGATAATAGCCGGTAGGGATTGTGTTGTGCATGCCAGACGCGGCGGATGAAGTTGGCTTGGCATTCAATGAAGACGTGGCATTTGGACTTGGTCACAACGAGCCCTTTCTCTCATGTCTCGTCCGTACCGCTATTATGGAGAAGAAGACGAGAGTTCTTTGCCTTCACGGGCAGGGGACTTCTTCTGAGGTATGTATAGCGCTCCTCCCTGTACATTTCGATCCTTCCCGCTTAGCACTGAGATTCGGACAGATCTTGAGGATTCAGTTGGCCCCATATCTTTTCCGACTACAAAGGGAGCTTGGCCTCGAATTCCACTTTACCAACGGGCGTCTTCGGTGTGATCCTCACCCGTCCCTTGTGGGAATTTATAACGGAGAGACTTACCAGAACTACTCGTGGAACGATGACCACGGCCTGCCTACTGAAGAAAACAAGGTGGCCGTGAAGGAAGCCTTCTCTGAGCTGGGCAAGGTTCTCGAACGAGATGGGCCTTTTGACGGGGTCCTCGGGTTCTCCCAAGGCGCGTCTTGCACATGTGGGTTTTTGCTGAACAACGAGCGTATCAAGGCGGGGACCCAGACCGATTTTTTTCGCTTTGTCATTCTCTTTTCGACATCGGGCATACCCGAATGGGAGACCGAAGATCAGGAAACGTGCAAGATTCAAGTCCCTTCACTACATGTCTGTGGGGAGGCCGACACTGAATGGTTCCAGGACTCCAAGGCGGTTGTGGATAGATGCGAGGACGGTTCGGCCGAGCTCATTGTGCACAGGGGAGACCATTCGATCCCAAGGGATAGACCAACGGTTGATAAGGTCGTTGAAGGTATACGAAGGCTACTGGAAAGATCACGAGAGGTCAATGAGCCCTAGGGATGACGTTACGAGTTGCAGATATATCAAATGGTTCTCGCTCTTGTGAAGCACTCGTATTTAACATGCACGAAAATGTCTCGATCTCTACTTCGAATTTCGTTTCTAGACAAAGGTGTAGATTTGTCTCTCAATGCAATGGCCTATTGACATGACACGGTTTAAAGGCATTAATATGAATTCGCTTCCTGCTTCCCAACTAGATGCTCCCCAAACGGAAGGCAACTCTGAATTCCAACCAGGTATATCGCCTAACAAGAGATACTAGCAAATGAAAATTTTCACGAAATAATTCCCATAAACTCCTCGAGATCAGCTCTTAAAGCACCCACAACTAGGTACAATCATCGCAACAACCTGAGCAATGAAGAGCCACACCGAGATGAAGTCCGTATCTGACTCGATGTGGTTCTTACCAACGATCAGCTCCACCCATAAAATCAGCGGCCAAGCAATCACCAAGGCAAGGACCGCCCCAACAGGAATCGCCGGGTACCGATACCACCATTTCAACTTTTCACCTTCGAGCGATGGTGCCGCCAAAGCTCCGTAAATCGTGAGACCGATAAAGACCACCACGGTCAACGAATCCGTAATCTGCCACAACAGCATGAACTTGTACCAGCCCGAGTTGAGCGTCCTCCACCCGAAGAAAAAGAACTTGTAGACGCCGAAGCCCTCCTTCAAGTTTGTGGCCCAGGCGAACCACGCCGATACGGTGTTCAGTATCATGACGCCCACCGTGCCGAGACCGAGGAGGACTCCCATGAAATAATTGCCCGAACTAACTCCTCCGACGTACGTCAAGGCGTAGACCATGTTGAAATGAATAGGCACCAAGGAGAGGGCGTGTAATTCTCTGGCCTTGACAGCTCGAAACCATACAATCTGGTTATACCAATTGTACGCGAGGAAGCCGATGTTACTGGGGCAGTTATTTCCGAGACCGGAGACAAACTGCGCCGGAGTTAACATGAGACTGGTATAGAGGAGCCATCGATTCGTGAGGCTAAAGCCGTCAACCACTTTGATAGTTTCCATGGCTCGCGATGAAGCCGTTTACTACAAAGTCTGTTCAAGTCGAATGAAATTGATCGAAGCTGAAAGACGGATAAATACGGAGAAAATAATGCAGGTAGCGAGGGTATTCCTGTTTAGGGATGAACAAGCCAAGCCTGCGAGAGTCTGCAGGACACTGGAAAAAAGTAGACAGGGGAAAAGAAAGTGTGGGAGAGGGCAATCCGGGCGAGGGGAAGAATAGATTTAAGGCACCATAGCGAAAATGAGGCGAACCTCTCCTCCAGGCTGCATTACCGGCGGAGAAGAGAGGAGGAAGATCGGCCAGAGCTGAAAAAGGCCTTGCAGGGGTGCAGATGCACTGCCACGATAACCCTATCACACGAAATATTGTTGTTTTGCTGGCAGCCTTGCGCTATTTCCCGACGCAAATGGTCTCATTGTTCCTTCGATTTGCAAGGGAAAAATGAGAACGAGAGTCAAGGCGGTTTGATGTTATTTAACTTCCCATAATTCGCCGAGAGTGTGGGCTGCTCCTCTCTGCCTCCCATGTCTAAATCAGTGAATGGAGATGAGTGACACTGGCTGCTGCTTGCTTGCGAACTGGACGAGTTGGCCGCAGCATGATGCCTGAATGTTCCTGCACTGCCACCACCGCCACTCCACCACCTTTCAGTTGCTTCTGGGTCGTGTCCGGGTGCCCCAATTCGGCATTAATATGCCAGGAAATATTGATGGATGAGCTGACGTTGATAATAGAATAATAACATTTTCATGGGAGACGCTATTCCTTACGAGCCGACTGAGTATTCCCCTCCGCTTGTCATACCCCCGAACCAGTGCGTCTCTATGCCCGCATCGCTGCCCGACATTTTATTCCTTGACCCTCGCCGGAACAATAATGCATGCGGCCTGACCCGTTTCACCACCCGGTTCCGCGCTGGGTGGTTGTGCTCCTGCTGTTGGCCCATCCATCCCCTCCCCTGCAGGCAAACCCAGCCACATACACAGCCACCCGTTTCAGTCTATCGAATTCGTTTTTCAGCCATGAGACGACCCTCCTCGTGCCGTTGATGAAAAAGGTGTTGATTTCTCTGGTGATTCCTACTCCGTAACCACTCTCCAAATGTGTATCCTCCGTACGGGATATGGCGAGGGAGAAGGTCGCGTTCATTATTACGTTTAGAAATTATTGCTTTCTCTTTTAACTCTTGGGCATCTTGAGTGTTTCCGTACTTTACCCCGCTTTACCGTCCAATGCATGTTGCGCGACGGGATTTGTACTCTCGCACTTAGGCTCTCATCGCAAGGGATTTCCCATGTCGCGGAGTGAAGTTGTCGGCATCGGGCCGTTGAAACCAGAGAGCGTTAGCTCTACTGGCCTAACTGTCTTATTCGAGCCCGTGGCGCCGAAGCTAGAGTACGTCCCAAGAACATGTCATCACAATTTGGCAATAGGCTAACCACGGATGATAGCGTCGTGTTTGTGCATGGATTTACGGGCCATCCCGAGAAGACTTGGTCCACCTCCGGTAGCGTGCCGGCCACCGCACTGGCATCGAGCTCTGTTGAAGGAGAACGCCCCTCCAAGTTTCGCAAAGTTTTCACTTCCGCGTCAGATTCTGGTATCGCCAAGGGTGGCACCGCCAAAGGCACAGTCTACTGGCCTCGAGACCTTCTTCCTGGGGTCTTACCTCAAGCTCGGGCGTTGACGTACGGCTACGACACCCATATTCGCCATGTCGTCGGTAGTCCCGTTAGCACGAGCACACTTTATGCCCACGCCGGAGACTTTCTCGCTGCATTGGAATCGAATCGTCGCAAAGACCCCTCAAGGCCGCTTGTGTTCGTCGCACACAGTCTTGGCGGGCTGATTGTAAAGGAGGCCTTGCGCCAGTCTCGGGGATACAAGAGCCAACCTCACCTTCGTTCGGTGTTCGACTCAACGAGCGGACTCGTCTTCTTTGGCACGCCGCATGAAGGAGCCGATCCACTGGGCCTAGTCCATCATGTGGTTGCGCTGCTGACCAAAGGCGTCGGCTTCAGAGTCAACGATAAGATTGTTGAGGCTCTGAGCCCCTCTGCTGAATATCAACTCCAGCTCAGAGACGAGTTTAACCGCATGATAGACGAAAGGGGATGGATTATTCATTCCTTTCAGGAGCAATACGCACTCCCTGGATTGTTTGGGAAAAAGGTACAGTATCTCCCCCCTCCCCCTCCCCTCTCCCCCAACCGAAGTGAGCAAGAACTCGTATGGTTAACTCTCTCCCTTCTAGGTGGTCGAAGATGCGTCTTCATGTATAAGACACCCAGGCGCCGAAGTCGTCGAGCATATAGGCAGCAACCACCGCAATATGTGCCGCTTCTCAGGCCCAGCCGACAAGGAGTTCAAAAAGGTAGCTTCTGCTCTTCAGCGCATCGCCGCCGCCTCGTCGGGTGGGAATTCCCGTGGGAACCGCATAACGCGGCAAACCCGTAGGACCACCCTTGTTGCGAGCTCAACTGCAGAGGAAGCCGCATCAGAAGCCGCATCAGAAGAACACCTCGAGAAATTGGTGGCATCTTTAAAATTCTCGCAAATACACAATCGTTACTCAACCATTGACCATGCCCATGCCAAGACCTGCCAGTGGCTGCTTAACATGAGGGAGTATGTTGACTGGGATAACGCTAAAATCGGGAACGACAGCAACTTTCTTTGGATTAAAGGGAAGCCTGGCACAGGTAAATCCACTCTCATGAAATTTGCACTCTCTGTGGCCAAGCAATCGAGAAAGGACGCCTTGATAATCCACTTCTTCTTCAACGCCAGAGGAGCGGAGCTAGAAAGATCAACCCTCGGCCTCTACCGTTCCATACTCTTCCAGCTTTTCCAGGAGGCCCCCGACCTTCGCTCTGTGCTGAAAGAGACCCATGGTCGTGACCCGGGCGAAGCTCTCGAGTGGCATATTGCCACCCTTAAGCAACTCTTTTCTGCCGCTGTGAAGAAGTTGGGTGGCCGCCCTCTCGTGTGTTATATCGATGCGCTTGATGAATGTGATGAAGACGAAGTGCGAGACATGGTTTCGTATTTCTTAGATGTTGTCGACGAAACCGCTTCCTTCGGTGTCCATTTACGAACCTGTCTCTCGAGTCGACATTACCCACACATTACCATCAACCGGGGCCTTACATTTGACCTCGAAAGCCAGGAGGACCACGACGACGATATTGCGAATTACATTGCTTCCAAACTATACATTGGCGATGGCGATTACGCGTCCGAAGTCAGGCAGCAGATCCAGGATAAGGCCTCTGGCATTTTTCTGTGGGTTGTTCTTGTCGTGAAGATACTCAACAAGGAATACGACAGAGGCAACATGACGGCCCTGAGGAAGCGTCTGAGGGAAATCCCGAGCGGCCTTTATGGTCTGTTCGAGGACATCCTGACGAGGGACTGTGATAACCTGGAGCAACTTTGGATGTGCATCCAATGGGTTGCGTTTTCAAATCGGCCTCTCACAAGGGAGGAGCTCTACTTTGCCATCGTCGCAGGCACGGACGAGTCGAGCCTTGAACCCTGGGATCGCAAGGAGATCTCCGTCCCAGATATGGGACGGTACATCCTAAGCTGCTCCAAGGGCCTAACGGAAGTAATACAGAAGACGCATACGATTCAATTCATCCATGAGTCGGTCCGAGATTTTCTGCTAAAGGAGAATGGCCTTGGCAAACTCTGGCCACAATTCGAAGAAAATTTCCCAGGAAATAGCCAAAATAAACTTAAGCAATGCTGCGAAGCTCAGTTGCGCGCGGTTCCCGGAATTGACGGTGAAACGTCGCAGCCGGTGCTTCGTGATGGCTCATCTCGACTCGCGAAGGCATACCCTTTTTTGAAGTATGCGGTCCACAACGTATTCCACCATGCAGACCGCGCACAGGAACTTGGAGTATCTCAGACCAATTTTCTTACCTCGTTTGACCGCCGTAGATGGATCATTTTAAGTAATACCTTGGAGCAGTACCCCGTGCGCCATCACACCCTCACGGCCAATCTCCTCTATCTCTTGGCGGAGGAAGATGCTCCCCATCTTCTCAAAATTCACCCGGATTTTGCGTCCCATTACGATATATCATCGGACGAGAGGTATCAGTTTCCTCTGTATGCTGCTCTTGCCTGTGGTCGCTCCCGGGTCGCTAGGGTTCTTCTGTCTCAAATGATACCTGAGCACTGCGAATGCGGTATCACCACGCCATCGCTTGATACATATACGGCGCAATATAAACGGGCCGACTTTCAGCCCGAATCTAATGATACGAAGGATGAATACGCTCTCCGATGCATCGGGTTTCACACCGACCTCGTATTTCTCCATGCCCTCGTGCATCATGGAAACTCTTGCGACAGGTTCCGGCCCATGATACTACGAAACGTGTGGAAAAACTTTACAGCGGCGCGGGATCCCCGAGTCTTTCTGATCCTTCTCCTCCATCGATGCCCCATCGAAGATCGACGGGCCCTAAATAACTATATTCTTGACTATGCCACGCAGAGAGACGTAGTGGACCTCTTCAAAATGATACTCTTGCCATCTGCAGATACCGCACTCAGAGCCTCAAACACTTACGCGTTCTCGGAATGTGACATTCTCAGGAGGTATCTAACACTGTCCGCGGGCTGGGATTGGGAAGTACCACTCACAGCGGCCGCTGCAGCCGGCAATATCACCATAGCCGAGATGCTACTTCAGTCCGGCGGCGTGGATCCCAACGGAGACCCCGAGAAGGCCTACGGAAGGAGACCTTTATGCGAGGCAGTCAAGCAAGGACAAGTCTGCATGGTAGAGATGCTGCTCACTTGCCGTGGGATAGATCCGGACGCGACCGATTCCGAGGGATGCACAGCCTTACAACGAGCCATTTTACTTGGGCGCGAAACTCCCGACGTCCTCAAAATGGTGAAACTTCTGCTTGACAGCGGCTGCACACCTGACAAGACGTCCACCCTGAATCAACCTACGCCTCTATATAGAGCCGTCTCCTGGAGGATGTTGAACATTGTGAGGCTTCTTTTGGATTCTGGGAGGGCTGACCCTCTGTGCCCATCACGGATAGGCGGTGTCGGCGAAACACCATGGAATCTCGCCCTCAAGATTAACAGGGCCGACGTCGTCGCGGCGTTTCTCGACTCTAGCCTGCTTGGCGCCGGTGGTGCTCTTGGAAAACAGTGGAAATCGCCTTTACACGTGGTGCTCCTGTATCACTCACCATCCTCTAATAACCTTGAGACAATTAAACTGCTCGTTAATTCCAACAAAGTCGATCCTAACCAGGTGTTTGATGGGAAGACACCACTCCAGTATGCTATCTCTTTTGGTCAGTGGTCCGCCGTTCGCCCGCTCCTAGAGTCAGGCCGTGTCGACCCTTTCTTGGAAGTCGGGTCAGGTAAGGCCCCGCTATGTGGCCTTGCGGAAGAAGGAAAGCTGGATCTCGTCCAACTGGTTCTGGAGACTTACCCAAACCACCCTCGGTTGAAGCATTGTGCGTTAAAGGCGGCGCAGTTGGCCAGGGAAATGTCTCGGAAGATTAGGCTTGAGGGGCATGCTGGTACTGCTAGCGTCTGCGATACCATTCGCAGGATTCTCGAAAGTCACGTAGCTTCTATGGGAGGTTAGTGGGCGAGGAAGGTAAATAGAGGTAGAGGTAGGTGGCAGCTCGTTAATTGGTATAATTTGAAATATCGGACTGTTCCGTCTTCTGTCTGGAATGTCTGGAACAGGCAAAGTGGCCATCTGCGCCTAAACTTCCCCGCCCACTCTAGTAATTCTATTGCACATTCAAAGGATAAGAATCATGTGAAATGAGGCAAACTGGTATACGAAAGCTCCAAGATGAAGCCGTGTGGAGTATCACAGGTCCAAGGCATTCCATGGTGTAAGAATGGATGGAGAGAACCGGAACAAAGCAATCCAACGGTTCCCGAATTCTATTTCGGCATGATTGGAAGACCCGACTTCAAAGCCACGCTTGGGCACCACACGTCCGTTCCTTCCTGCCAACAGGATGCAGTTTCTTCCTTCTGCATCATGCTTCTCAACGAACTTAGGTAGACACGACACCTTTCCAAGTGGAAGGCGTCTGTGCCTTGAGCAAAGTCACTGGATCCGCACCAACGCCTTGGAGAGCGTTGAACCGCCCGGGCGTTGCCCCATTTCTAGTAAGACTTGGTAGTCTGTGCCCTTCATTCCCACACATTGATATTGACATCACATGGCGGCCTTTGTGTTTTTTGTAAGGCGGAGCGTGCAAAGTCCCTGTGCCATGGACAGGGCAACCTAAACCCCTCAAGGCAGAGGTTAGAAAATAAAGTGGACAAGGGGGGTCGACTGCTGCCCGGAGGCCGATCAAATCACACATGTTGTTGGAGCATTGGAAGTAATGCAGGTGATGTAAACAGGCAATGGCGTAAACAAGTACAACCTTTGTTTGCTGTTGCCTGGCCCCTTCCAGCCAATGCTTCTGCACGTTAATTAGCACACACGAAAAGACGCACGTTTATCTCGTGAAATCTTTCACACCATCTTGCCAGCATGTCCGACGGAAGGTTTGTCAACAGAAAACAAGTAAGGAAAGTGAAAGTAGAGTTTCGCGACACGAACTTGCTAGAGGGGGACCCCGGCTGCTCTGTGGACGACTTCCATTGCTCGCGACTTCGGCGATGCCCCTTCGATCCAGCCACTATTGACTAGGAGCGCTCCTCTCGCCTCGGCGGTGGTCTTGATGGATTTATTTGGAAGGTGTGGTTTGGCGAGGGTGGCCCATACGCTCTCAAGGTGGTAAGTCTAGATGTCACCCTCTTTCTTTGAAATTCTCTCAGTAACCCATCGCGCTCTGCCCCTAGTTCTGGGAAGCTACGTCGAGCGACTGAGACAACTACTTTGCCCTTCAGCGTGAATGCCAGAATGTTGCTATTCTTCAGATGATAGAGGCACGGGTGAAGCGAGATCCCACTCCAATCCTCATCAACGGCAACCCAAAAACTAAAGTTGATCCCCTCGATAACATCTACGCCTTCTCCGGTGATGCCCAGGGTCAGCCACCAGCCCCCGATGAAGAAATGATCCACGCCCCATCATTTCCACGAATGACGAAATGTTACGGCTGGCTTGAATTTGACCGCCAGCAAATCCAACGGATCCCTCGAGGGAAAAAGGCGCCTGCGGTCCTTAGGGGCCGCATCCGGTGCTTCATGCAACGAGATAACGTTACATTGCTGTCGTATATGAGTACATCGAGGAGTGTTCCAATGATCCTGGTGTTGTGGAAGAGGTGGGCAGATTCCTGTGGCTTGTTGGCTTCCGCCATACTGGTAACCTTGCTCGACACCGGAGAAGAGGAATCCTGGTGGATCACTCGGATATCGTCTATTCCCGTTCGTGCGGGTGGTTTGAAGCTTGCTATAGGCCACGGAAGGCATCCGTTCTCCTTTGCAAATGGGAGCACTCCCCCTTTCCCTCATAGCCGTTCAAGGCGGTGGCCTCAAAGAAAGCGAGGAGGTGACTAGATGAACACTTCTGTATACAGGGTATTAACACGGTCGTATCACTCACATATGAGGAGTTTATCACAGTGACTCACGTGTGTCTCCTGCTCGTGTAGCGAAGGGTCACAAACTCAGCCAACACGAAGGGTGTCCGGCAGCAGGGAAAGGAAGTACGAATAACAGAGGCACATGACAGGCACCAGACTTTGAGATGGCAAACCTTGACAATTCTCTTCCTGTGAGCCCAATGCGTTAAGGTTGGGGAAAATCCTGTTCTGATAACTGCTGTGGCATGCAGCGGGCTCAACCGACGAGCTGGGTCCAATCTCCCTCCCTTCCGCTGGCTTCCGGTATGATGGTAGCTCCCGGGTCTGTTCGATTCGCAGAATGGAATCGCAGCCATTGCATCCGGGCATCGACCAAGGTAGGGAAACTCTGCCGGACAAACACCCCTTTTCTTCGTATTCTGGGTGAGCTTGGCCTAGATTATAGCTGGAGCTGCCTGCTGCCTAAAGCGGGAGTTTGTGTCATGAGGGCCCCATAGCCGAGCTTTTGAGCAGAATTTGTGGGCTATATTGCCTCTGTTTTGATTGTGTTTGTAGATTGCAATCCTATTCATGAAGGGAAGAAGAAAAGCGTCAAAAATTCTACTGAACTCCAGCTATAAAAAGGTGTGTTGTCTGTTCATAGGTGTTAGAGAGGACTGTTCCTTCTCCATCGTTCCCGCTCCATTGTTCCCGCTCCATCGTTCCCTCTCCATCGTTCCTTCTTCGTCACAGGTCCTTCTCTCTCACCGTCCCTTCTCTCCCGTTGTTCCTTCCCCATCCATCACCAATTATAAAGTCACATGACGTTTACCTTACCTCGCCCATCAGCTCCAACTCACAACTCACCATCGTCATGACAATACAACACCGTTGCATGTGCTGCAAGAAAAACGGCTTCCGTCAAAAACACCAAATCAGACACCGAATGCACTCCAAAGTCATCTGCTACCAGGCTGATAGCACTGGAAGCCCTCAAAAATGTGAACGGTGCTATCACGCAGAGGCTGCGGACAGCCATCACAGGGGAGAAGACGGAAATCGTGGAGAAGGTGGAAAGCGTGGAGAAGAGGGTGATCTTCAATGATGTGGAAGGGGTGCAAGATGCCACATGGCTTGCTCAGGGTGCATACAACTCTGTCTGGCTCGCGAGGCTGCGCGATGGTTTCCAGGTAAGCGGTCGGCCCAGTACACTAAACTAAAATCTTTGTTCATGTCGAACTGACGACGACGACGCCAGATTGCAAAATCAACAAAAACGGATAAAGATACCTCCAGTGCCGAGTTCTTGTATTTCGACCGATACGTTCTTCGTCTTCCATGCGATGATGCCCTACTGCCATACCAGGTGACCAATGAGGTCGCCTTCAGGAAATTCGTCTCTACGAAGCTACCCCATATCCCAGTTCCACGGGTCTTCTGCTATAAGGCCACAGCTCAGGCTGCTGATTCCTTTATCACTGAGGAGTACATCGACGGGACATCCCTAAGCTGAAATTGGATGGCCTTTACCCCTTCTCAGAAACTGAGCATCACCAATAAGCTGGCCACTATGATTGTCGATCTCGCCGAGGTTCCTTTCGACATGATCGGGGGTCTAGAGCCTGAAACCTTCACTCTAGGTCCCACCGTCGAGGGCTCTAAACTCTTCAAGGGCCGCGGCAAATTTCACAGCCACGGCTGCTACCCTATCGGACCATATCGATCTACGAAAGAATACATCCTGGCCTGCTACGACAGGGAAATCTACTACTACTCCAATGCCCCCGAAGACGCTATCGACCAGGACTCTTTCACAGACGTCTCCGTTCAAGATTTCGTTTTGACGCTGGAAAGGAAGAAGGATGACCTTAAAGCAACCTACGACATCCCCGACGAGCCATTTGTTCTCGTCCATGGAGACCTCCACGGGCGCAACATCCTGGTGAGAGGTGATCGCATTCTGGCCATCATCGACTGGGAGTTCGCGGGCTCATACCCACTGAGCGAAACGCTGACAGGGGGGGACGTTGATGTCGTGGATGTCAACAGCGAGGAACTCGAGGATGAAAATACTGTCTGGGCTTGGAAGATTCGTGAGGCGATTCGTCAAGAGGTGTCGCGGAGGGGTTGGGAGCCGAACAGAATTGCGTTGCTTATGGGAGATGGGAATTTCGAACTTGGGAGGGCAAGAGGAGAGATGTTTCCATAAAGGGTCACAGGGCCAAGTCAAGCTTAGATGGTACGAGGACACAGGTAGCTAGGAACAAGCTGATATCAGTCGATATTACTTTCCGCTCCCGATGGTCACCAGTAAATGTCTAGGTGTCTCTGCAAATAATCGGCCGAGAAGGCGATGGCTCCTTGCCGACAAAAGTAGCATCCGCAGAACATAGTGTCATTATTACTAGCTGTTAGATGCGAACAGAATCAAAGACGAAGAGTGCGTAGACTAAAATCCATTTTTCCAAATTCGAAGGCCCCGGCCGGCGCTTTCGGGTCCAGTGTCCATGGCCGACTCTTCGATCGACCAACAGCGCCGGAACGTCATGCACAGCTTTGCCGCCACCGATTCAGACGAAGCTCCAGTCTGGAAGGTGGAGTCGCAGTCCTCGTCTATCAACTGCGGTATCCAGGATTTCGTGTTGTGCAGAACGACGTGTTGGTGGACTCGGGAGCCCCTCATATATACTTGGGGCAATTGTTTGAAGAATTGTAGGCTTTAAGACTACGGGTCAAATACCTAGACCACTGATATTTGTTACAATCCCAACGCTGGCTTTTGAGATATCAGGTGGGTACAGCTGGCGTCAAGATCGTAGGTTTCTGTTGTGAAGTAAATGAGGGAGTCAAGCAGTGATTCACAAGATAGGGTATGAGATGTGCGTATTCAAGTGTAGGGGTGCAGTGGTACTCGAATTGGCTACTGAAGAGTCCGGAAGAGCTATCTAGGTGTACAGGAAATATCACAGTTTATATAGACACATCCCCCATCCCCTTCCGTAGTCCGGCCGCTTCCCAAGTCGATCGATTAATTGCTTGTTGGCAAAGGCGGCTACGTGACTTTTTATTCTGCCGTGTCTTACCGGACTTGGTGGCCCAAAGCGCGGCCGGGTTGTGACAAATCCTGGGATTGCTCCGGATGAACACTCATCAAAGGTGACTAGTAGCCTGTTGTACTACGGTATATATATATATATATATATACCATCAGCGGAAACATTCTGATGCCAAGGACCACCGCCCCTCAGAAGCTGTACTTCATACCCGGCTGCGCCAAGCTCACAATCTTCCGCTCGGTGAACTCTTCCACCCCAGCTACCCCCCCAAAGCGGCCATAACCACTGCTACCGCCGACACCCCCGTTGGGGAGTGTCGGCTCGATATAAATTGTCGGGCCGTTAATATGGCAACTGCCGGCCCTGACCTGCTTGGCCAGCTCCATGGCCCGCATGACATCCCGGGAGAACACGCTCGCGCAGAGCGAAAAATCACTGTCGTTGGCCAGGTCAACACCCTCCTCATCAGTCTCGAATTCAAGGAGTATCATAACAGGGCCAAACGACTCCTGGTGATAGAGGTCCATCTCCCTCGTCACACCCTCAAGGATATGCGGCCGCATAATCGTCTTGTTCGGGCCATCGAGTTTCATGTCCCCCATCAGCAGGGTTGCCCCAGTGTCCACCGCCGACTTAACAAGACCCAAGACCCTGGATGCTGAAGCTGGCGTGAAGAGCCCGGAAATGGAGACGTCCTTCTCGACATGGTGGTTTCCGCATTTCAGGGCTCCGGCGCGGGCGAGCAGCCTACTCTTGAAGTCGCCGGAGATGGACTTGTGAACGATGACTCTCTCCGTCGACATACAGACCTGGCCATTATTCGCAAGGCCCCCGAAGATAATAGACTCCACAGCATCGTCGAGGTCGGCATCCTCACGAACAATGACAGGCGCTTTTCCACCCAACTCAAACACACACTTTTTGACGCACGATGCTGCCCAGCCAGCGATGATTTTGCCCACACGCTCGCTGCCAGTGAAGTTGATATGCCGTACTGTAGGGTGCTTTACAGCAAACTCAGTGTTGGCAGCTGCTCTATCGGGGCTGCAGGGCACGAAGTTGATACACCCAGCAGGCAGGCCGGCTTCGGTCAATGCCTTAATAACAAGGTGCTGTGATTTCGGGCTATATTCTGAGGGCTTGAGGACGACGGTGTTGCCGCAGATTAGGGGGCAGGCAATGGCCCTAGCTGTCAGATTCACCTAGTTTCGCCAAGTAAGACTCTAACGACCTTCATTTTTTTGCTTTTTTTTTAAAAAAAAAAGGAAGGGCGTAGGACGAAAAAAAACTTACGGGCGCGTTCCACGGGCTTATGGCGTACATCACGCCAAGAGGTTCTCTCGTTATGAGGACTGTAGTCCCGGGTCTGTCTGCGGGAACAATCTCTCCCTTAATATGGGTCACAAGCCCCGCTGCCTCGCGAAGAACGTTGGCCGTGGAGAAGATGTTCACTTTGACCCAGGTCGCCGTGGCTGAGACCTCGGAGGCCAGAATCTCCGGCGCGTCTCCGTGGATATAGCCTTCGAGGATATCGGCAGCCTTGAGGAAGATGGAGCGCCTTGCCGAGGGACCCATCCGGGACCAAGATTTGAATGCGGTGTGGGCGCTCTCTATAGCCTCAGAAACATCATCGACTGTTGCAGAGGCGCAAGAGTATATATTAGCTCCCGTCATCGGGTTAATGACTTGGAATTCTACGTTGTCCGAGCTTGGCTTGTGCTTTCCGCCGATGAAGAGTTCCTGAACTTGGCTCAGGGTGGTCGCTTTCGGACCGACGCCGCCGTTTGTGGCCATCCCGGCGGACAACTGCCTTGGGAAAACTGTCTTTGTCGTGAGGATAAAACTTTGCGGGCGGCTTCTACGACAACTTAGCTGTCGCTTCACATACGTATGTCCGCCTCGGTGTAATAGCAGCTTTGACATTTCCTCAACAACGTAGAAATTTAAAGGGACCTTTGGAGAGAATTAATACCCCAGGTGGACCGCCCTACTGGTGATCCTACGTTGACCGGTTAAGGAGGTGCCGGATGCAGCATCGGTTCTCTTTGTGGGGTAGTCGCCGAAGCCATGGCTCCGATGCGGAGTACCTGGAGCGGGGGGATCTTGGGGAAGTCGATGACGGATGCATGCTTCCGTCAGGAGTCGTGGAGGGGTTCGCTAGTCACGGATTGGACGAGAGGCATATTCGCTAAGTAAGGTGGCAAAAGCTAAAGCTAACCGGGAATTCGGGCTAAGCTAAGGAAGCCTAGCGACGCCTCATTGCCAGCATCGAGCCGGTCACGGAATAAAGGGAGTGGAGGATATTAGCTTCCATATAAAATCCTGCGACGAGAATCGTCGCCGCTGATCGTGGCTCCCAGTTCTAGTATCTCCTGGTTGACAACCTATAATTGCCCAAGATACCTCTCTAAGACGCTTCGAGAGCACGATCCTGATTAGCTAGGGTAAATGATGGAGCGAAACACAGGAGCTTCCGCGCCTGTTACGAGGCGAGTGACCGGTGCTGCAGCCATCCTGTACGCGCTCGAGAGCGCCGGAATCACTCATCTGTTCGTGAATCTAGGCTCAGATCACCCAGCTTTTCTATTAGCATTCGCGAGCAAGCAGTTTTCAAAGATCCAAGTATTCACCTCGCCGAACGAGATGAACGCTCTATCTGCCGCCTCGGGGTTTGCCCAGGTTACGGGGAAGCCTGCCGCCGTGCTTGTGCACGTCGAGTGCGGCACGCAGGGGCTCGCGGGCGCGATTCATAACGTTAGCAAGGGGAGAATTCCCGTGATGATCCTGGCCGGTACGGTTCCTATCACGATGGAGGGGGAGCTGATGGGAAGCCGAAACGAGTAAGTGTGATGATACATAGTCGTCTCGCTTAGGACAAGGAGACTATTCCCGAGACTAAAACCAACATTTTAGATATATACATTGGATCCAGGACGTCCCGGATCAACGAGCAATCGTCCGCCAGTACATGCGGTACGAGCATGAGATCCGGAGGCCGCACAATGCCGTTCAGATAGTGCTCAGGGCTCTTCAATTTATAAGCTCAGAGCCCAAGGGTCCGGGGTACCTGATCGCAAGTCGAGAAGCTTTGGAAGAGGAAGTCGACCTCGTCGTCGAGCCTGCGTTAAAATCGCAAGACCCATTGAAGAACACGGTTCTGGAGCCTCTAGGGCTCACTCCCGCAGCGTTAGACTTCCTGAGCGTCAAGCTATTAAAGGCGAAGAGCCCTTTGATAGTAACGAGCTATTGTGGGCGGTCAAAAGAAGGATTCGAGGCGCTCAAGACCTTGGCCGAACTTCTCTCCATTCCGGTCCACGAAAACGCCCCCATCTATAACAACTTCCCGACGACTTCGTTTCTTCACCAAGGACACCAGTGGAACGGTGGAGGCCAGCTCCCGGCCCTGGCAGAAGCAGACGTGGTTCTCGTCATCGATTCAGACGTTCCTTGGATACCGGCGCAGTCACGGCCAAGCCCCGACAGCAGTGTCTATCACTTAGACTGCGACCCCTTGAAGGAAAGCACCACGCTCTGGTCGTTGCCCTGCGAAAAGAGGTGGAAGTGCGACTCGGCCGTCGCCCTCGAGCAGCTCGTCACTTTTATCCGCGGAACGTCGCTCTTCGAGTCGGGCGAGACGCGGGCCATCATCGATGCGCGCCAGGAAAATCTTAAAGCACGCTTCGCAGCCAGGCAAGCCAGGCTCCTCAAGGCAGAACAGCTGCCTGCCGCCGGCAACGTGACGACACCTTACTTCATGGCCCGCCTCAGGGAGGCCTGCCGCGGCGTACGCGTCGTGGGATTAAACGAGTCTACGACTAATCTTGGAAACGTCGCCGATCACCTCCGCCACGATGAGCCGCACGCACTGATCGGGAGCGGCGGCGGAGCTTTGGGGTGGTACTCCGGCGGCGCCGTCGGGGCGTCTTTGGCCCTCCAGTCCACCGGGAGGAGCGACGACCTCGTGATCGCGTTTACGGGCGACGGTACTTGGCTGTTCGGCGTGCCGAGCTGCGCGTACTGGATGGCGAAGAAGTACAACACGCCGTTTCTCACGGTCATCTGGAACAACGGCGGTTGGGGCTCGCCGAAGAACGCCTGCCTGAGAATCCACCCTGAAGTAGCCGACATGACCAAATCGGGAGGTCGCAACCTCAACGAGGAGTTGATGGTATCTATTACGCCGTCCCCGGCGTTTGGCAAAATTGCCGAGGGAGCCGGAGATGCGTGGTGGGTTCGTGTCTCGAACGCGCAGGATGTGGACGAGGCGTGTCGGAAGGCGATTGAGGTTGTGCGGGAGGAGAAGCGTAGCGCCGTAATTGAAGTTGTACTTGATCAAATTTGATTAAAAAGGGAAAAAAAAACACTATTTTTGGTTGTAATTAATACATGGACATGTTGAAGCTATCAGCTAAAGAGAATCCGTTCTGCCTCGAGACATCACGAGTAGATCAAACATCGCACGCCCCTCTAATTCCAGATCGTGGGTCTACATAACTCCTCTTCTCTAAACTGTAATGCAGTAGAACAATAACAGCAGACCCGAGTCAAATTACCTCAAACATCTCTTGCAACATACAGGGGCCCACAGGCCAGTAGGGCTTTCGGAAACATGGATCCGGCTCTCCGCAGCTCAAAGCCTGGGGCCTTACCGTCCATGCAAGCATAGGCGAAGCGAAACTTCTACCTATGCACCGGCTCCAAGAGTAGCTTGGCTAATATAGGAATGCAGCATGCCATTTGACAAGCACTAAAATAGTTCTAACGTCTTGCCCGTGACACCCAAAACTAGACTGTTACTCTACGTCTCTACCTTTTCTTTGCCAAGCATATCTGGAACTCCAATTTACTAGTACTCACAATGGCGTCCAAACCAGAACTTTACTCGATCGATGATTTCGAGGCCTACGCCGCAGAACACCTGCCCAAGATGACCCGCGACTACTTCAATGGCGGCGCCATGGACGGTGTCACACTTCGCGCCAACCAAGATGCCTACCATCGGTTTTACATCCAGCCTCGGGTTTTGCGCGACGTGTCGAAATTGGACACCACGGCTCGCGTCTTCCCCTCCGGAAACGTCATTCCTTTCCCTTGCTGCGTGGCGCCGGCGGCGATGCAACGGATGGCGCACCCCGATGGCGAGCTCGCCACGGCGAGGGCGTGCGGCGCGTACGGGACCGTCATGGGCCTGAGCAGCTTTAGCACGACCAGCCTCGAGGATGTGAAGCGGGAAGCGGACCGGTTACGCCGCGCTTCGGGAAAGTCTGGAGATAGCGAGTGCGTGCTGCAGATGTACTTGTTTGAAAATAGGGCTACGAGCGAAGACTTGATTAGGAGGGCCGAAAGTAAGCTTCACTCTACTTGCTCGGGAAGACGGAGGGTACCACCGCCGAGGCCTTTTTTTTTTTTTTTTTTTTTTTTTTGGACGTACTGACAATAAGTTCAATTGTTACCCAGAGGAGGGATATAAGGCGATTGTGTTTACAGTCGATGCGCCTTACTTCGGAAGAAGATTGACGGAGATTAGGAACAAGTTCAAGGTGCCTCCCCACTTGAAAATGGCCAACTTTCCAGATGATCTTGGTGTCAAGACAGGTTCGGAGCATCGGACGAACGAGCTACAAGCAGCTGCCCAATTGACATCTACGAAGGCAGCTCCAACTTCGACATCTCCCCCGCCAAATAAAAATGGTGAAACTTTGTGAAGAACAGAATCAGATATAAGACTTGAAGTGACTAACTAGCTGCCATAGATCCGACCCTTACCTGGGACTCTATCAAATATCTCAAGAGCATCACAAAACTACCGATCTGGCTCAAGGGCATCATGACGGTAGAGGATGCCCTTCTTGCCGTCGAGCACGGTGCAGACGCAATCTTCGTCTCCAACCATGGCGGAAGGCAGTTGGATCATGCGCCTGCAACGTTGCGCGTATTACGAGATATCGTCCAGGCTGTGGCTGGTAGAGTACCTGTCGTGAGTTTTTTTCCCTCCTTTTTTTCCCTCCTTTTTTTCCCTCTTTTTTTTTTTTTTTTTTTTTTTTTTTTTTTTTTTGGAACTCTGGGGCACTACAAGGTTACATATGTCCTACCCTCAAGCGCGAATGACGATCTTCTGACTGTCACGATAAAGCATTTTGACGGCGGTATTCGACGGGGCTCGGACATCTTCAAAGCCCTTTGCCTAGGGGCGGATATGGTTTGGATAGGGCGACCGGCGCTCTGGGCGATATCGTATGATGGAGAGAACGGCCTTCGGAATGCCCTGAAAATCCTGGAAGATGAATTCAGAGCGTGCATGGCCCTTGCCGGGTGCACGAGTCTCGACCAACTTGGCGAAGAGTGCTTGATGCTAGTTGACACTCCTTCGAAACTCTAGAATATGGAACCTGAATGATGAATACGTTTGCGCGAAGTTGTAGTTTTTCTTTTTATTGCCAAAGGTAGAGTCTAATAATTAAGCCAAAAGGTGATAAATATATATAGCTCTTGCAATCTAGCTTCTATGATTATTCAATGCAAAGTTATTCACGGCCTCTCACTTCTGAAGGAAAGGAAGCACAGCGCTGCAGAAATCATCGAGCCCGTCGATAAAGCATACATGCCCGGCGTCCTTTATCACCTTGAGATCTACCGCCCTTGCCTTCCCGGCATCGGAAAAGCTCAACTCTATCTTGGCTCTCATATCCTGCATCTTTACGGGCAGGTCTGCGTCCTTCTCTCCCACGATCAGGAGCGCATCTTCGCACCCACGGCCAACCTTGCTTAGAAGCGGACCCAGGTCAAAAGTCGTGCTGCTTAGCGCGGCACAGCACGTCTCGAACCCATCGAGCGTCATTGTCTTCATCAGCTCCCGCATGCGAGCTGCCTCCTGCGTATTTGCAGCCAGCCAATCCTTGCCGAACCACCGCTCAAGTGTTTGTTCCCGGATCGCGTCCAAATTGCCTGCTTTACGAGCAGCAGCGACCCTATCCCTGAAAACGTCAGGTGCACCGAGGTTCGCGGGGGATGCAGAGATAGTATCGCATATAATGAGCTTGTCCACGATACCTGGATGCTGAGCCACAAAGTAGACGGACATGGCGGCTCCCATAGACACGCCAATCCACGCGTGGATTTTTGCGAAACCAAGATGCTTGACAAGGGCGAAAACATCATCAGCCATAGAGGCGAAAGTGGTTGATGAGAGATCACCCGGAACGCTGGATTGGCCGTGGCCAGGCTGGTCGAAGCGCAACAGGCGGAACCCGGCGGCGACTAAGCGCTCGACCACATGATCCCAGGAAGTGTGGTCTGCAGAGAGTGAATTCGCCAATATGACGACAGGGCTATCACTGGGCCCGGGCGAGACGTTGTAGGACAGCGTCCTCTCATCGGGAAGGGTGAGGGTGCTGACTTGACTGGGGGCCATCTTCTAGCCGGCTTATGAGACGGGAAGGGGATGGGTTTTTCGTTTGGATATGGGGTTATGTTGGAAATGATGGAGGTTCAGAGTAGGAGTAAACCGCCAGTCCGTCTTTAGGATAATCCGTCAAGGTCGCCTTAGGAGGGGTTGATGCCGCAGACTGCTTGGAACAACAGTAATCCAACGTAATAATCAATTCCCCTTCGTACACTGGATCTATTATTATTCGCCATCCTGCTTTGGAGGGTCTAGATGGTCTGGGCAGGCCCAAGCCATGCCATGGCACAGGACAGACCTTTCAGGCTCCCCGCATTCTTTCCCCACATTCGAATCCTCATGGGGATTGCCGAGGTCCGCTATGACGTTTGTTCGAAGAGACTCGGGGAGCGGAAGCACGCATCCGGACCATTTCCCGGTCTAGGACCCTAGTGGAATCTGCTTTCGTAATCCGGGGATCTCGAGCGATTTTTTCGGTTTTGGTTGGAGCCATCGCCAGCGAATGCATGCTTCCGAGTTCTCGCGGTCCTGTTCCCCATTTCGAATGAATGCTCCATTCCAGTCTTGCACCCGGATGCCCTCCCGTCATAACTGGAAGAAAGCAGAAAGAAGAGATCAAGATTGGCACTTTTGAGGCATCATTCAGGAAAACGTAATTCCGTCACCCTCTCGGAATGGCAGATTCCCCTCCCGACGCCGCAGCCAGAAGACGACTCCGCCGCGTGCCGGAGCAACTCCGAAAACGATCAGCCCACAGTTGTGATCTTTGTCGCAAGGTACGTGTCTCTCGAATCAAGAATAAGAGTAGTTCAGCCATTGGCTAGGATTCATCCACGGATCCGTGCCATCTTAAAGAGGAAAAAGAAAAAGACAAAGGAAAAAAAGAAAGGAAAAGGAAAAAAAAAAAATAGAGGGCCAATTACCTGTTCCATTTCGAATGGCCCGTCATCTCGCAGACTGACACTCAAGACTAACATTCCTGCAGCGCCGGTGTAAATGTGTGCCGGGTCCGGCAGGCCGTGGCTGCGCAACATGTGAGAAGCACAACGTGGAGTGCTCGTATGCGCTCCCAAGAAAGTCCCGGTTTTACGGGAGCGTCGATGACCTTGGCGATCGGTTCGTTTGTATCTTGTTTACGGTGCTACCCGCCGTCCGGGGGACGACGCTGACACCGAGGACTGACATAACGACGTTCTGTTCAGGCACAAATGTTTAGAGGCTATTGTTCGGGGCGCGTTTCCGGGAGAGCCCACCGCGACAGTAGCCGACTTGAGGAAATTGGGAGAGCGCATGGGATATAGCATGCCAGAACCCACCATTCCATCAACTCGGCCTTTAGAAAGCTCGGAACCGACCATATCTTACCCAAGCTCTGAAGCTCCCATTCGCCGGCCCCTGGTTCCATCCCACGAGGCCGTGTCACGCCGCAACAGTTGCCCGGATGTCTTCGGGGCAAGGGTGCCCGAGGGAGTGGATGGAGACTCATCGCCCGATGATGCCGAATCACTTGGCCTCATCCGGGACCCCACGGGGAGACAGCACTATATAGGGCCATCCGGCAGCCTGCAGTTTCTCAGCCAGCTACGGCGGCTCTTGATATCTCGGAACCAACGATTACCCGTCAACAACGACAATTCGCCCACCGCCTCCAAGTTCACAGAGGATGACACGGCCCGGGCTCTCGAAGCGGACAGCATCACCGTAGACACCACAGATCCGGTCGTCGCCGCCGCCGATCACGGTGGTGTTGCCGGTGACGTTGTTGCCGCGCAAGATGAGCTCTCACCGGGGTCCATCTCGTCCTCCATCGCCAGGGACTTTACGATGCAGCCTTGGGATGCCGCCGGCGACCTATTTCGAAAGCTCCCCTCGCGCCTCGTCACCGATTCGCTGCTGCAGTCCTACTTCAAAAATGCCCACGAAGATTTCCCCCTCTTTCACCGCGGCACTTTCGAGGAAGAGTATGAGTCGTACTGGGCCTTGCTCAAGCAGCGCATTACCGCGCCCGAGCCCTGTCTCCAGGCGTCTCAGATGGAATGGGGCTGGGTCGCCACGTTGCAGATGCTGATTGTTTTCGGGTCCATGTGTGACCCTTCCATTCCCGGCATCGACCACACGACGCTTCGAAGGCAATGCGTCTCCGTGACGAGAAGTTTGCTGCCGCAGCTCGTTTCGAAATGCACGCTGTCCAACGTCAGGGCTCTCTTACTCCTTTCGCTGTTCTTGCACAACAACAACGAACGAAACGCGGCCTGGAATTTGGTGGGGACGGCCACGCGTATCTCCTTCGCCCTAGGCCTCCACCGCCGCGACGTGGCGGCTTATTTCAGACCAATCGAGCGGGAAGTCCGAAAGCGCGTCTTTTGCACCCTGTATTCATTCGAGCAGTTTCTCGCGTCGAGCCTCGGACGGCCGAGCGGCCTGAACGATTTCGACGTCGAGATTGCCCTCCCACGGGAGGGCCTCCTCGGTACCGGAACGGACAGGGTAGTCGCTCTCTCTCTGAAACTGCAAAACATCCTAGGACGAGCACGAATCTCCCAGGCCGTGAGGTCCCTGGCGAGCGGAAATACGGACACGCAGAGACACGAAGAATCAGCCAAAGAAACGATATCGGCGCTTAAGGCTTGGAGAGACGAAGTGGCAGCATCTCAGAGCTTAAACATCCCATCTATCTCGGAGCCAGACGACGCCTTCAAAGAAGATGACGCGCCGGTAACGATGTCCTTTACCGAAATCAAGCTTCTGCTCTCCTGGCAAGACCGTACACGCCTCAGAGCGGCGCTGGTATTGAATATGCAGTACCGGTACATTGCCATCATGGTGGCGCGGCCGTTCCTACTGCGCGATACCGCCATGGCAAGAGTCGTCGCCAGAACAGATAATAAAAACACGACGAACGATACACCCCGCTCCGATGCTCACTCACACCTCGCCTCCGTCTGCGTGCAGAACGCGTGCCAGTTGGCCAAGATTGTCCTTCTGCTCGCCGAGTTCGAGCTGTTGAACGGTGTTTGTGGAATGGATGTCTTTTACGCCTATTCCGCTTCCATGGTGCTTATTCTTCGGTCCATAAAAGAAGGAACTCCGAGTCCCGGAATAGCCGAAACGAAGGCTCAATCTGAACTTTGACAGCTTATCCAATCCATACGGCTCGTGGTGTCCAAAGTCCCCAAGAGCGGCACGATGAAGAGATTTGCCAGGGTGATGGCGACGTTCGAGGACAGCGTATTCAACCACGACGCTCTCCCACATGCCGCCACGCCCAGGAAGGACAGCGGAACCCAACTTCATGCCACCGGTCAGGACATCCCGGCCATTCACCATCTAGGGTCTACTGACCCTTTGCTACTAGCGCCTCAACCTGCGACCGCGAGCGCTTTTCTTGACCCGTCTTTCCCCATGATGGCAGGGTGGCCACAGGGCGACTGGAGCACGTTCGGGGCTGACGACGGCCGAGAATTTGGTGGTTGGATTGCATCTCTGCTACAGCCGGCCATGGATACTCCCATGGTAACCGAGTTTGGTGACATGGATTCAATTTTGAGAAATGCTCCAATGTGAGGTTTCACATGTACGACACTTGTTACTTTATGTTACCATGTTATGATAAGGACACAATTTCGAACCCTGTGGGGTGCCATTGTTTAATTCAAGTAATCGACATAGCGACGTTACGCTCTCTAGGACACCTTAACATCCATACGTAGCTGCCCGACTCTGGGTGTAGGGCGATGATGCCGACACCGGAACATCTACTCGTCAAGTTGCCGCGGTTGGAGAGTCCAACGGAGTGAGCATAGCCCTGCCATCGTCATTTCGCCTTCCACGTCCCCTTGGGTAAATCGAGCTCGTGGTCTTCCACCAGGAATTTCATGAATGTCCCATGGGTGACAAAGCCACATTTCTCCTCTCTGAGCCCGCGAGAGACTCCACAAGCTGAAGAGTTAAGTTAACACGCACAGTTTAGGCGCGCGTAATCACGGCGACATCCGACGGTGCATACAGGCCGCGAAGGTCTAGGGCGTTTAACGAGTCGTTACGTGTTATGCTTCGTTAGATTGCTAGAATTGTCTTCCTTGAGCCCAGGTAGCTACGCTTTCCGTACGAGATATAAGTAAAATGCACGACCAGGGAATCACCCGCAAGATTCCCATAGGCCATTCTACAGCTTCATATAAGCAGGGCAAAGTCGAGATGAGCTCTGTGCATAAAGCTTTGCGATAGCAGAACCGAACTTTCATATTGAAGACGTCCAGGGCTCGGTGTTTCATTTCCCTTGCTAATAAAAAAAACATTACCATAACGCAAGCCTATTACAATCTTAACCATACGGCTGGGGGCAGCGTACTCAGAAAAACACATTACAAAGTATAGCGGAAATCCGGATGCTTCTCGCCGAGCTTTTGCACCTCCTCCTCGGGGAGTTCCCTTAGATGATCCCTCTTTCCCATATCCCGCTGCTTGTTCTCGTGTCTGGCCCAGAACCACATGTTGCTAGCGGCAAGGATACCGACTACCTGGAACGCAATGCAAGTGGATATGCCGGGGACGTACTGGGGGCTGTCTTTCGAAGGGTAAACGACTGCCGAGATGATCCCGCCGAGCTGTCCGCAGCTGACTGCGAAGGCTGTGAGGGTCCCTCTCTTGACGGAGCCGACAACTTGATTGGAGCTAGTTAGGGAAGGGTTGTTAGCGGTACGTCAAAGGGAATATAGATTTGCTTTCTTTTCTTCAGGAAAGAGACGCCGCCTTCTATTTACTTACCACCAGGCGATAACCAGAGGCTGGCAGATGTAGATTCCAATCGACGCGAAATAGAATCCCATGTAGCGCAAATTTCCATTTTTCAGCAGCATGACGAGCAAGTTGCCGACGATGCTAATGGTGTATCCTGACACGCAGAATATGCCGCGCCTCTTGACCTTATCGGACCAGATACCAACGAGGACAGAGACAATACCGGAGGCAATCCGGGGCGGGGTGGATAAAAGATTTGATTTGAGGCTCGACCAACCAAAGGTTTTGAGCACGGTGGGCTGGAAGACTGAGAGCGAATACGCCGTGACGCATACGGCCAGATAGAGGACGCCGGCAGTAAGAATCTTCCAGTCCTTGAGACTACGCAGGGCCCCCTTCACGTTCATCTTTTCGTCCTTCCCGGTCTGGTTGTTGTCAGCCTTGAGTCTCCTGAGAAGCCATTCCTTCTCTTCCGGCTTCAGGAACGTCGAGTCCTCGGGGAACGGGGGCAGGAAGAAGAAGGCGAGAATGGCGGCAAAGCACGTAACGCCGCCCTCGATGAAGAAGATCCAGCTCCAGCCGGAGTAGCCGCGGGTGCCGTCCATGGAGCCCAAGCCGGCACCGAGCAAGCCCGAAATGCTGCCGGCAATGTCATTAGAGACCATGAACCAGGCCATGCGGGCCAGCAGCTCATGACGTTTGTACCAGGAGCCGATTAGGAAGAGGCAGCCGGGGAACATGCCGGCTTCGAAAACTCCGATGAAGATTCGGGCCGTTAGAAGCCCGCCGAAGCTTTTAGCAAAGCCGGCAAAAGTGACCGAAACTATCGGTTGGGAATTTTTTAGTATATCCTCCCATATAGTCCGAAAGAGAGGGGTCTTGGCTATGATTAACTTACGTCCCCATCCCAGGGTAAGGATGGCAATCCAGAATCTTGGCTTAACGCGGGTTAGGATAATATTAGACGGAATTTCGAATAAAATGTACGGAATGTAGAAAACTATAGCGCAGAAGTGATTAGTCCATTTAGAACTAACATAATTGTTGAAAAGAAAGAAAGACAAGTGTGCTTGAGATAACATACCGAGAACCACAATGTTGTAGTCGTATCCTGTCATCTTCAAATCCCTTTCCATGTTCCAGAGCCTGGCGTTCCCAATGTTCACCCGGTCAAGAAAGGTGAGAGTGTACAAGAACATGAGCAAAGGAATGAGCCGCATGTCAATCTTCCTGAGGACTCTCTTCGCCTCAATGGGGTCCTCAGCCTCGCCGACTGCGTTGTTGTCCTCAATGTGGCCGACATCTTGCTTCTCGAGGACTGAAGGCTCACTCGAGGGGCGGCCTGGCGTCTGCTCGGTAACTTGTGCAGCCATGGTTTCAAAGAGTACTTCTTACTGAACGGAGTAATAGAAACTGAATGGGGGTTCCAGAAAAAGAGAAAAACAAGGGCCCAAGTTCCTCAGATAAGAACTCGGGGATGGTGGACAAAACGGCAAAAAGGGAGTTTCTTGAGAAAAAAAATGGCAGAAGTTCTCCCGACCTATATACCCTTCAGATAAAAATGCGACCGGCTGAGCAACATAGTTTCCCAAAGAGCTACAAGATGACGGATGAGCTTCGTTACATCACCTTGCTGCCCATGCAGATAAACTCTTCCCCATGGGGTAAATCTGGGGTATAATTTCCTGTGGGCTACGTGCGCTTTCCCCGCGCGGCGCGAGCAGGAGGCTTCTATCCTATTTTGCGGACTGCAGTGGAGGAAATGAGCGACCATGTTTACGGCTATTCCAAGAACGTCTTAGTGCCGCTGGCAGGAAGCATGCATCCGAACACTAAATGTTAATCCCCGGATAGGAGCTTTCACGTCCACCGCCAAAGTCAGGAAACTTGACTCCGACGTCGCATCTCCAACCCCGGAATTAACAAACTGACTGTGATGGAATGTAGGGGCCATTCGGGTATCTGGCAGTTAGGTGGCAGGACTCGGCCTCCTGGCGCTGCTATCCGGTGGCCACCCACCCACCCCGACCACTCCTCAATTACGAGTCGATGGCGGACGGTGGGGCAGAGAGTGTCTAATTAGACTCTCGGAAGAGGGACTCATTCCTCCTTCGCATCATCTAACTTTTCTATCCTCATCGTAAGATCCCTAGATATAAATCCAATAGTGATTTCTTCGAATTCAATCATCTGAAAGAGCACCAAAGCACGTTCAGATATCACCTTCATCTACACTCACATCTTCTAACAATCCTCTAATCTCTCTTTTTTCTGTTCGCAATATATCAGGCTTTACCAAAGTTTCTCGGAGTCTTCGTTGCTAAGTCCAAGATGCCTCACGCTTCCAGGTCTCTCAACATTGTCATCGTTGGAGCCGGCCTTGGCGGCCTCGCTGCAGGACTCGCCCTGCAGACCGACGGCCACAAAGTCACTATTCTCGATTCGGCTCCCGAATTCGGCGAGGTGCGTTTCTATTCATTTTACGTACAATTTCGATAGCCTTTGGCTTCCCGTACTGTTACTTACGCAGGTGTGTTTTTGCCATTCCTTAGGTCGGGGCGGGCATTAGGGTCCCACCCAACTCGTCGCGTCTTCTTGCACGCTGGGGCGTAGACTTGGAGGGCATGAAAAAGTCCATCTCCAAGCGCTACCATTTCATCCGATGGCAGGACGGCAACACCATCGTCAAGCTTCCATTTGATAAGATTGTCGAGACCCACGGTGCGCCGTACTATCTCGTCCACCGAGCCGACCTCCACAAAGCGCTCCTAGACGCCGCCGAGAGGGCAGCGGTCAAAGTTCTTACCAATAAGCGAATAACCTCGTTTGACTTCGATGCCCCGAGCGCCACCACGGACGATGGCGAGGTCTTCAAAGCCGACCTCGTCGTTGCAGCGGATGGCATCAAGTCCATCTGCCGTCCGCTCCTGACGGGCAAGCCTGATGTCCCCAGAGACACGGGCGACGTCGCTTATAGAATCTTGATTCCCGGCGAAAAGCTCCTAGCGGACCCCGAGCTAGCCGACCTCATCACTGAGCCGTGCACGACGTCTTGGTGCGGTCCCGACGCCCACCTCGTCGGATACCCCATCCGGAATGGCGAGATGTACAACATCGTCGTGTGCGCGACCTCGTACAACGAGACCACGGACGAGGTATGGGTCGTGAAAGGCGACAACTCCGAACTGTGCAAGCGCTTCTCCAAGTGGGAACCCCGCGTCCAGAAGCTGTGTGCCCTGACGGGCGATTTCCTCAAATGGCGGCTGTGCGACCTGCCCGATCTCACTCGCTGGGTCCACCCCGCCGGCAAAGTCGTCCTGCTCGGCGATTCCTGCCACCCCATGCTTCCCTACCTGGCCCAGGGCGCAGCTCAGGCGTTCGAGGATGCTGCCACCCTCCGCCAGGTGTTAGCCCAGGGCGAAGATCTCTCGGCGGCCCTCAAGAAGTACGAGCAGATCAGGATGCCTCGAGCTAGCCTCGTGCAGGCCAAGACCAGAGAGCACCAGTACATCCTGCATATCGATGACGGGGAGGAGCAGGCAATCCGCGACGAGAAGATGAAGCTCAACGCCGCGGAGAATCCCGTCTTCTGGGGCTACGACGATCGCCGGCAGTGGCTGTTTAGTCACGACGCCGAGAACCTCGCGAAGGAGGGCGCAAACTGGAAGGATGGACTGAACGGAAGCGCGATCCGCTCACACTAAATAGAGATAAAGCAAAGATAAGTCATAAAGTAATCTAGTTTTCAAATATATATGTGAATATACCGTCCTCAATTACTACTCTTCAGTTTTGATCCCATGTGCATTAGTTTCATGAGGCAATATAACTGGACTTATACCTCTCAGGCAGGCAGGGAGGGAAGATGCCATATTCGAGTGAATAACGACCCAACCAGGAGGAGATTAAACAGTCCCTCGATCGTAGTATATCCCCACGTCAAGAAGTTAAAAATCCCCCACGAAATCTCAAGGACAACTGAAAGCATTGAAAAAATTAGTCGAATCTTCTCCTACGAGAGCTCGGGGAAGCAGGCTACTGGCTATTACGCGAGCCGTACAGGAGGTGGCAACACCCCTTCCGGGATTCCGGTCCCTCTCCGTCATTTCCCCTATTAACATTAAACATCAAGCCGGTTTCAGGGAGTATTTGATAGAAGATGAAAGGGAAAACCATCGTGGTAAATTGCACGGACCAGACGTCTCCGGCTCCAGTTCATTGTCACCCATGGGCGCTTCCTCTCTAAAACCCAGTTGCCAGCGCTCACCATCCGTATCCACGAAGGAAAGCATTCTATACGTCCGGTATAGGGATTGCAGACAATCTCTTTAAACCCTGAATAGGCTTGTGCCCCAGTTTAGCCCTTTCTTCTCATTGGTGTTCGTTGCAGTCACAACCGCCTTTTCCACCGCAAGAGGCTGCCAGGCCACTTAGTGTTCTATTTAACATCATGGGTGTCACGACTTTTCCACTTACTTGGAAGAAGGAAAGTTGGCTGGCTCCCCAAGCGCAAAGATACCAAATGAAAAGTCTATCCTCTTTTAATAAAAGTCCAACATCTATAACACCTCTACCTTCTCGATGGCCAGCGTCAAGTTAAGTGGTACAAGACCTGAGTGGAAGAGCGGGCGGCTGGTTGATGAATAACTAGAAAAGCGTGCAGAAAAGGCCATAAGGGATTTGCATAAGACTGCTATCGTCTCATGGGAATCCCATGCGATTAAGAAAAAGCAAAAAAGCAATACAATGCTAAAGATGGGCCTAGAGTCGTAATCAACTCCACGTATCCCGACAGGGTCTACCCTATGTATTTAGAGGCTTCCGTTCCCAGACTACCTTCTGGCGGTAGTATGAGTGAACCTGCGGCGACTGGATTGCCTTCCGTACATGAACTGTAAAGACGGAAACTTCTTGGGCCGTCCAGCCTATAGTGGTCGCCGGGTATAGGAGGTATCCTTCGGTGTCGTTCTCGAGGACGAGCTGGGCGTATTGGCCGATTTCCTTGAGTTTCTCGTCCTTAGGCCAGGCTCCAACGGGGGTCTAGAAACAGGGAGACAAATCTAGATTAGCAGACCTGACAGGAAAGGGCAGTGGGGAGATAAGAAACGAAAAGACCTCTTTGGAGTTCGCACCTTATAGTTGGCCTCATCAATTTCTACAAAGCCCGCTGCCTGCATCGCCTTCTTCTGCACCTCGTCGGGAACTATGGTGAAGGGTCTGCCGATGCTCTCGCCGAAATTGATAAAGATTTTGCCCCACTGGCCTAGCGCAGAGGTCTCTGATACGGTGTTGTCGTCGCTTTCGACGATGGCGGCGCCCTCGAAGCTTTCCAGGTAGCCCCCGGGCTTTAGGGCCTTGTATGCTTCGGTGAAGACATCCTCCCAGTCACTGACGCTGCCTATTAACCATCGGATATGGATGTAGTCGAAGGTTTCAGGCTCGAAGGACCAGTCTCGAGTGCAGTCCTCGATCTCACTGTTCAAATATCGAGAGGGTCAGCTTAACATGCACGCACATATTCTCTGCTAATTTTCCCACAACCGGGTTTCAAGAGGGGCTTTAATTTGGAAGGGGGACGAGAAAACACACAACTTCAAATTCGGTGGTACCCAAGCAGGTTGAATGGGAGAAATGTCGGTTCCAATGACTTCAACATTGGGATGTTCATCGGCGAAGTCGCTAACGCAAGTCAGCTGACGGCGGCGAGTTATGAGAAGAGAAGAATAGAATTGTCATACATGGCCCAGGTTCCTAGATTGAGGGTAGAATCGCTGGTTAGTCGAGTCGACAGAGTGAGCAATGCTGAAAATGGGAGAGGGGATGTTCCATACCCGCTCCAGTGCCGACATCAAGGACTTTCTGTCTTCCGAGTCAGAGATTAGGATAATCAACAAGGGGCTGTTAGTGGGGGGGCAGAAGGCAAGGCCCTTGTACATACCTGAATCTTGCTGGTGTCCAGTGGAGCTTTGAACAGCTTACCGCCGATCAAGAGCGTGAGAACATGGTGGCTACGTGAAGAAGGAAGGTATGGTCAGCCATCCAGATGTTGATGAACGTGCGGAAGAACGGTGGAAGGTGCTTCTCACTTGATGTCCATCGACTCGTTCTGCTGTGAGTCGTTCGACGCCCTATGTTACCTCGGAAACACTTCCCATCAGCGCTCCATTGATCATCAGTTCGGCACCTCCCGAAAAAGCACGTGGCTTTGCGCCACGGTTCGGCAGTGCAATGCCGTTCGGTCCGGTGCAGTGACATTCCTACCAGTAGCTTGCATTGCCGACCTCGCTATGATAGGTCCTGCCGTGGATCTTACGGTACTTGAGGATGCTGGAGGTCAGAGAGTCGGTCGAGGTGCCGACGCTCCCGATTGACGCGGCGTCGCTGTTGTCCACCTCGTGTTCCTAGGGCCAAGCATGTCAGTTCGCACCGCGGTCTCAGCTTCCCATGGGTTCTGTGAATCGGTAGTATTCCCATACTCACCTCTGCCGTATCGACCCAGTGCTGGGCGGGAAGGATCCCCGCAATCGTTGCGGGCTGCGGGGAGGCGTCCTTGGGCGATCCTGGTTTCGACCCCTTTGGGGAAGTGGAGGGGGATTTGCCAGCCTTCGCGGGCGCCGCATCGGCAGAAGGGGATGCCTCGGAAGTCATTCTGAGAAAATTATCTAGAATATGTCTACTATTTACTTTCACAGCTGTTAGACGGATGGATAGACGTCAAAAGCTGGATGCTTTCGAAAGCGACACCTGGGGGTTGAGTTCAGGGATCAGTATTGCGGAACGAGGATGGGCGGGAAGAGCCGTAATTAGCGTGAGGGCTAAAAGTGGCAAAAACCTGGAGGGAAAACGAAATGTCTGCGCACGTTTGGCCAACGATTTGCGCTATGCTGTTTCGAGGTGTGTATGCAGGGAAGTTTGTTCCACCTGCGATCCCAGAGGCAACACCCGCATCCGCGATCTGCGCCCTGGCTCGAGTCGTCTGGGGGTGCAAATTGGACCAGGGTCGAGGACGGACGATTGCCAAGGGCCAAGTGGCTTCGATGTATACCAATGAGGTATTTTTATTCCTCCCTTAGTTATTCTCCTGCGATCACGTCGCCGAATCCATCTTTCTTGCCCTCCCTTCGCACGTATTGGTTTAGACTCGAAGTAACCCACTCTTTTAAAGATCTCCTTACATACACTCTCAAGGACAAGTCCATAATAGTATCAATCTCCATCTTCAATCACTCTGGGGCAATAGAAAACTCCTTCATACCTGTGTCTCTCCTGTACATCCCATTTCACGGCGGTAGATGCGACACTGGCTAAGATGCCAGGAGTGGTCATAATCAACTGAATCCCGTCGTAGCGCACCTCCTCTAGTAATCCCTTTACAACTAAATGACCTTTGGCTGCCCGACCGTACTTGACCGATGTTGCCAGTGTCTCTCTCGCAACGTTGGAGTTCTCCTTCGGAGCAGAATACAGTAGACTTCATAGCGAGCTGCTCCGGCGAGTCGCTCCTGTCATTTTCTGCCATTCCTGACCGCCTGGCGGCCTCCAATGTGACCTCGGTCAGGTTTAATTAGAAAATGGACGAGGGCCATGTTGGCACACGCAGGGTCGATTGCGCCAGCCGGGCTCTGTTGGGCTTATGCAGCTTTTCGTATAAACTAATATGAAGGTGACTCTCGCCCAACATGTACCGATATGGGCATTGATCCAGATCCGTTAAATTATGGCACAGCTCCAAGTGGATGAAGCCTGGATTGGCTGTACGTGGGGGCGACACTGAGGTGACCAACAGTCACCCGGGCGCTTACTGAAACATGAAATTAGGCAACCGAGGGGGAAAGGAGTCGGAAAGGGGCCATCGATTCTCGAGTAGAGATGTCGTCCTACCTCACCGACTACCGCGATCTAACCCGGGGCAAACCTTGAGAAGCTCTGCAACATGACATTTGCAAAGGAAAGGAGCGAGATTGTAGAGGGTACGGTATAGCACATATCCCACCTGTCTTCCGAACCCCGAGAAACTAACCCGTGCTAGGCTTTCCATCCAACCCTCTGGTGCATTCGTGTGACGTTTGTTTCGGATTAGTATCGAAGACCTAGCCAGTATCATTCTTTATTTCTCGAGCTCTCACTAATGGTAACTAGCTGTTGGTGGAGGCAACATGCGCTATTAGGCCTTGGGATCCTGCCCCTGGAGTTGGTCCGTTGCAGGTATCCTTTGTCGATAACGCGTTAACGTTGCGAGAGAAAGACAGTGACCGCAGCGCCGGGATCCTGATCTCCCCAGCACTGTCACAGCTCGTCAAGATATGCCCGGTGACCTTAGTCGCACGTCTGGATACCGCAACGGAACAGCGATCTAAGAAGGTACCGAGGACAGAATCCATTCAAAAGCGTCCGATAAGGATCCTAGTCCATGGACGTATTACGGACAAGGACGTCGTTGCACGGGTGTTGGATGAGGGCGGACTGTTCCTCCAGCGGCCAGAGGAATATGAGCTTGATAGGGGCGTCCGCTATTTTAATCCCATGTACCTCCTCCCCCCCGGTGAAGATCTTCTAGGCCGCGGAGAAGGCCCTTCAGTTACCAACCCGAAAGAGCCGGCCACGACGACACGCGAAAAGCGGCTCGGAGAGAATGAGAAGACCAAAATTCTGTCGATTTTCGATAACGCTAACGGACGAGAGACAGGCTCTGCATTAGGCCTGAAGCAGAGCGTGAGGATCACGTCGAAGTTGAAGGAGTAAGTATCACCGAGTTTAGCTTTTTTTTTTTCTTTTTTTTTTAAAAAAAAAGAAAAGGACGATCTAAGACAAGGCTACAGGCATCAACTTGAGGCGCTTGCGTTTATGGTGGAAAAAGAACAAGATGATGCGGGACATGATCTCAAATTTCCATCTCTATGGATGAAGTCCGATCATGCCAATGAGTGGCAAGAAACGTAAGTGCACTTCCAGAAACGTTCCGCGTGTTTAGTTGGGAAAACTAAGCATTACACAGGGGAAGATATCAGCACGTCGTTACGGGATCGTATCAAGGATTGCCTTTGCCAAGCTTACGAGGTGGTATACTGGCCGATGTACGTCAGAAACTCCAACAGTCACACTCGACCAGGCGTATTTTCGCCATGTGTTATTCTGACTTGGGGATAGGACATGGGGTTGGGGAAAACGTTGACAACCTTGTCCCTCATCTGTCATCATCTCGACCAAGCATCACCCGACTGTGGCTCCTTGGAGGAGATGGCGATATCCGCAGCCACGTTAATCGTGACTCCCAAGTCGAGTATGGTCATCCTACTTCCTATGCCTGCTCTGGCTCCCTAGCTGCGATACGGGCAGAGCCACGCTAATATGATACAGCGATATACGGATGGCAGGCGCAAATAGAACGGTAGGATTAGTGTTATTGATTTCCTTACATGCGTTATCGTTCGCGCCCCTCACTGACGCGATATAGGCATATTCGGCAAGGCGGGATTCGTTCATTCGTGTATCACGGCTCTGAACGACACACCACTGCGGACGAACTCCACAACTTTGACGTGGTTGTCACGACGTACGACACTCTTCGTTCCGATTGGACGCGACGCGGCCCGTTGTATACTCAAAAAACATGGGCAAGGGTAGTTCTAGATGAAGGTAAGTATTGGAGTTCGTATCCTTTTTGATAGACATTTCCGGCTTCGTATCCATCAATTATCACGAACTGACCCGCAGCTCTGTGTAGCCCACAAGATTCGAAATAGGGCCTCGCAGCTTTTCCGCGCAACGTGTGAAATTCCCGCGTCTTTCCGTTGGTGCTTGACCGGCACGCCGATCCAGAACACACTGGATGACTTTGGATCCCTGCTCGCTTTTCTTCGCGTGCCGCCATTCACGAAAAGTCAGGAATTCCGGTTTTGGATATCATCGCCCGTCGAATCTAAGCGACTTGATTCGCTGCAAGTGCTCCGCAAACTCGTACGCGCGACCTGCCTACGTCGGACCAAGGCAGCCCCCGATATGTCGCAGAAGCTGAAGCTCCCTAGGAAGGTGGAACGGGTGGAGTTTGTAGATCTGAGTGCCGACGAGATGGCTATCTATAACTTCTTTAAACGGAGATCATACTCTCTTGCCACAGAGGCGTCCAAGGCGAAACCTGCCGCTTCGGCATCGAGAAAACGGCGCAGAGTTTCTGCTGCAAACAAATCCGCTGTGGCTCCGACGCCTTCGCGAAAAGGCTCCTCGAATATTATTGTACTAATCTCCGTACTCCGTATGGTCTGCAACCACGGCGAGGCGCTACTCCCCCAAGCTGCCTTGGATGCATGGCGCAATCGCAATATTGATGCTATTAACTGGAGTCTTCTAGAAAGTCTATCTCAACAGAATAGGGCATGCTATTTCTGCGGTTGCCGGGTTGATGGGAGCCAAGCGGAGCTGGAACAGGTTGGAGTATTGGAGCTGTCTTGTGAGAAGCACGCCATTTGCAACGGATGCAAATCGCGGGTAGGAGATGAGCCGTCCGAGTGTGAATTATGTTGTAGCAGCAGAGGCACAGCATCGGCCCTACAGACACTGCGCTCTAGTAACTCAGGCTACCGCGCTTCCACAAAGGTCTCTGCCTTGCTATCGAATGTCCTCGATACACTAACAGACAGGAGTAAGAGTTCCCCTGTCGGGGGTAATAAGCCTGTCAAAATGTACGTCATCGCCACCGCTCTTCCCTCCCGCTTTCCATTGCTTTTCACTTCCTTTCTCCGGTTTGCCTTGCTGATCATGGTCCGCCTGCGCTGACGAATAAACGCTTGCCAATACCTAGCGTCGTCTTCTCTCAATGGACCCGAATGCTCGATATGATTGTCTGCGCTCTAAGCCCAGCCCTCGCCTCTACTGGCAGCTCTTATGTACGCATCGACGGTAGCTCCACGCTACGACACCGGCGTCATGCCCTGAACCAGTATAACGTCGACAATAGCTGCCGAATCATGTTAGCGACTATCGGAGCAGTGGGTGAAGGGTTAGTATTACCTAGCGTCATTTGCTAGTGCTTTCGTCAATTCGCGTCAATTTCCAACCGTCATATGCGTGAGAGGTAGATGTTTGACACTTGTGAAACTGAATAGGGTTGATCTGAGTGCCGCATCTGAAGTACATATCGTTGAGCCTCACTGGAATCCTATGGCCGAGTCGCAGGCTGTGGATCGTGTACACCGAATCGGCCAGACGCGGGAGGTTACCGTCACGAGGTATTGTGTTCGGGAAAGCATTGAAGAAGTATGAAGTCCTTATCTCGATGCGCGCATACGTGGGTGTCGAGCATGCGTGTGGCAATCTTTGGACTAACCTGTTTCCACGTAGTACATTCGTTGGATCCAAGCAGACAAGTTAAAGCTTATCCAAGAATCTCTACCGAGTGCGGGGAACAACCAGAGCGACATGGAGAATGAAACACATATCACCAACGCACGGTGGAAGGTATGTACTTGTTCTGCCAAAACATATTTCACAACGGAAAGTATAGGCGCTGACATCTGCGCGGCTAAGGAACTCTTGAAATTCCTTCATTAGGTTGGAGTCTGTCTCGTTTGAGGACATCACTTTCATCATCGCTCCAAGCTGGCCCTTGAGGAGCTGTATATTATTTTTTTCTTTTTGTTCTGCAAACTGACTTTAATCGATGAGGCATCGGGAACCCAGTCGGATTATGGTTCTCTCGGGTGCCGTAGTATCCTGCTTATCCTGATGTCAATCTCGGCATGCATGCCTCGTTTAATACCATGGACGGTTAAACGCCTTCATGCTGCCTTGAAATCATGACCTATCTTCCTTCGCTTCCTGGTCTTACGTTTTGTACCTTTTGATGCGTTATCCTCACTATGTTCATCATCACCTTGGTGGGCGTCCTCATCCCCATTGCTACTATCCTCCCTCTCGTTGGAACTGTCAAGTCCCCTCTCTATATGTCCCCTTTTCGATTTTGTCCTCATGACCACTTCGTCCCACGTCTCATCAAAAAACTGCTGCATACATTCCGCCCCTTTCTCTTGAGCAGGCTTCGACTCATTAAACCCATATTCCGGTTCCGCTCCTTGTTCGAGAAGGAACCGGGCCAACCGCACGGACCCTTCAGAGGTTTTTCTTGCTGCAATGTGCAGCGATGTCATTCCGCTGTAGCGCTTCCTGCGTCGTCTCTTTATTTCGTCGTCATAGGAAGGATGTCTTTCGGGATGCGGGCATGGCCTGTGTTTCCGGCCTGCCTCAGCATTTCTAGGATAAATACAGCCACGGGGAAAGTTGATGGGCGCCCCTAGCGACAGCAGTTCACTAGCTAGCGTGATGGACGGATTCGACGACCGCGCTAGACATGTCAGAGACCAACCCAATAGCCGTGGGTCCAAGCGGTCGCAGCCGAGAGCGTCTATCATTCTGTGCCATGTGCGGATGAGACGGGTCTCGAGAAACGCGCTTTTCGTAGCATTAAAAGCTATTTGGGAGAATAGCACCAAGCGCTTACGGTGTCCCGGTATCAGTTCCTTCGCTGGACGAAAGGGATCATCCGAGACTTGCTTCCTCCGGTCGTCAGAATGACCATCCGGTTTGAATAGGAAATCCTCCCATTCTGCATACACCCCTTCTGAGTTCGTAGATAAAACCGCGCTAACAAAGATGTTATAGGCCGCAGTTATATCTTTCCAAGCGCGGTCGTACACCTTGTTTAGGAACCACCGAACCAACAATTTCTTCTCGCTCTTTACCAGAGCATTTATAAGTTGAGCTTTGGATTCACTGAACGGGGTAAGCCACCTGGAATTGCTCGGCATTAAGACCTCCATCATTTCCACTGATCCCATGGTTACCGCAAGCATTCTTGCGTGGAGCGCTAAGTAGTCAATGTATGTATAACATGATACAAGTCGCTGGAGGCCATCCAGGTCTCCTGCCTTGACTAGTTCGAACAACAAAACTTCCACCTCGTCAGATGAGAGGCTTTCCGAGGGCGGTTTAGACATTGTCCACTGTGGAGTTTCCGTGTGGAATTTCTGGATGTGGGCGGCCGCGGCCCCGGCTGTTTTGAAGCCAATAGTTGCAAATTGACACGACGAGACCGGGCATTTCACTGGCCGTGAGTTATGCTCGATGTGATGGGCACGGCGGGCCTTGAGCGTGTCCAATCCCTGCCGGCTGAGATGACAGTCAAGGAAGGTACATTTGAAGAGGTTAGGGCCGTAATGCTTCCGCAATTCATTGCAGTGACAGGGCTCCCCATGTCTTCTTTCTTCGCATCGAGATATGAGGTCTTCGGTCAGTTTATAAATGCGGACAGATGTAGCTGAGAGAATTGAGGGGTCAAAGTTGACCCATGTAGAAGCTGTGGAGGTCGGTAGCTGTTAGCGGTCGTCAAAAGACTCATCGTGGGAAGACGACTTAACCTACCATTGGTGTGATTCCACTCACACCTCCTCTCGTCCTCGAGAAACCTTAGCCCTCCGCAGATAATACGGAAAATCTCGGGATAGTCTGACTGAAGCTTCCGCACCACGGTAGCGTTGGGAGCCTCTGTTTGACTCTCAAATCTGGGGTTCCCCAGCTCCACTGCTAGTCGCACGAGCAGCATAAGCAGATCTGGATAGGCTGAGGAGTCGCCAGGCTCTTCGAGACAGCGCATGGCCAGGAAAATCCAGTACCGTGCGGCATAGGTATGAAATCGGTATCTCCCTGTGAGGAGACCCTTCCGTAGTTGTTCGTCTGAAAGGCTTGCGTCAAAGATGCCGGAACAGAGGTACGCCAAGGAGGAGGTCGCGAGATTGTAGTTTGCTTCGGACCGATCAATAAAACTATCGACTTGGTGGCTGAAGATATACCTGTTCCCCATGTCAGAACTCTTGTCTATTACCGTGTACAGGACTCCGCCTCATCAGCGATGAGTGTCTTTGTTAGCATACTCTTTGACTGTAAAATGAACAAACTGAGGATGCCCATCGATAACTTCAATAACCGGACCGCAGATGCGGATAAAATTCACCTTGGTTGAGACTGACGGCGCCGACGGGCTGCCGGAATCAACCAGCAATATTTGCTCCAATTCCCACCACGTCATTGGCGCGGGTGCACAACCGATCCAACCAAGGATTCTCCTCGCTTTCTTACGTTGCGCTCCGCCTAATCTGTCGATTCTAGCGAGCACGCGATGGTACCTAGAGAGGTGAGCTTCTGATTTGAGCTACGAAGGGCGAAGCCGAACCGTGTGGACTTACGCATCGTTTAAGTCTGCTGGAAGGACTTTCAGTTCTCGTTTAATCTCATCCAATTCGGTCAGGAGCATAACGTTGTCCAAAATAATTCGGGCGTACAAGAACATGCCTTCGCGCATTGGGTTAACTCTTGTTTACATTGATCCGCCAACGACAATAATGCACAAGGTTGGGGTGAATATTGACCTACCAGCAGCCTTTTCAGCCAGGGGGGACAGCAGATATTGAAGCTGCACTTGTGTGTCCTTGTCGAAGTTTTCGGTACGGTTCCACTCACGAAGTCTCGTATTGATATAGCCCTTGATACTATCGGAATTTCTCTTGTCGACACGGAGACTAGTAGCCTTGGTCTCAAGAACCCTGGAGATGTCGTCCTCAGGCCTGCAGCTGACCAGCATCCTGGTCTCTGGACAGTCATCGAGATGTGCCAGTTCTCGGAGTAAAATGCTCCGCTCATCCGCCTCCATCTCGTCGACCCCATCAAGTACAATGTAGGTTGGGCCGGCGGTCTTGAGTAACATCTTTAGTAGGTCTGACACGTAGGCGGTCTTGCCGACCAGGCTTCGCTCGTCGGCCCCGGTCAAAATGGATTGAATATCCGTGGAGTCAATAGCCAATTGAAATACCAAGGACTGGAGAATGACCAGGGCTGTAGTTGAACTCTGATAGACGTGGCTCACGAAGGCGAAAAGGGTCCGATGATGAGTTCTGGCAGCCTCAATGGCAGCTGCAGCAAGAAAGGTTTTCCCTATACGGTAACTGGGTTAGTAACGTAAACTGATTCTCGGCAAGCTTGGCAACACAATGGCGAGTGCTGGTAACCTACCGGCGCCGGGTATCCCCTGCAGCCATAGAAGAGGCGTAGCGCGATTCGAGATGTCAATCCACGCTAAAAAGCGATCATCTTGCAGGAGCCACTCTGCCGAATTGTCACAACTGCGGTTCAGTAGCCAGTCCAATCGCCTATCGTATGTTACGGGAGACACCTGTGTCCTCAAAGCCTTGAACTTCTCGCGGTCCTGAAACTCGGTTTCTTGGTCAAAATGCGCCAATAGTCGAGTGCGGGCTTCGTGCTCTTCCTGTATGTGACGCAGAGTGACTTCATTCCTGAACAGGCTGCTATGCCTTTCAATATTGCTAACGACAGCCTCCACCTTGGCCCGTCGCGCAGGCCAGACCGATTCGAAGAAGATTTCCGCCCCTGCACGGCGGTTCAGTAAAGCGTGTCAGTTTTTATGTGGCTGGAGACTTACGCGACAAGCGAAAGAACGCCAGCATTATGGCGTAAAAGTCCAGAATGTCCCCGTAAAAGAGTGCCAGTACCTGCTTCAACTTCTCATTATCGCTGAATATCTTTGCCGCGTCAATGAATTGCGGGAGCGCATCTCCAATCTTCTCCATCGCCTCGAAGATGGCATCCGCAAGCTTAGCAATGTTCTCTGTCCACACCAATAGTATTCGGATAGGGCCCCAAATGAGGGCCATTATCTCAGGTTTTACCTGGACAAACGTATCCACTGTTGATGCGTACGCTGCGATTTTGTCAAGGAAGCGCCGGATTTTGCCCATGTTTCGGATACGATTCTTAGCCTCTTGCCTCGCCTGTATATTCTTTGCTTCTGTCCAGACTCCTTCAATGGTGGTCGTACGTAGGATATCTTGGTGCAACTTGTTGTCATTTATGGTCTTCTTGAATGCCGCCATCGCGGACTTAAACGCCTGCTGAGAAGGATCCATCTTCAAGAGGTAAGATGGACCAGGGGATCGACTAGAAAAGTGGTCGCTATTCGGGGAGGGGCTGATGGCCCATTCCACACCTTGAATAAAGAAAAAAAAATCGACAGAAGGTTTGCGGTGGGGGAAAGAGAGGGTTAATTATGATATTGTCTCCCCGGTCTCTGGTGGCTGTGCAAATTTCCAGTTGCGCCCGTGCTGAATAGATCGCGGGATTTCATCTCCGTACGGAGACCTACAAGGGATGCCTATAGCCAATGAAACAGACGCCGTCTGGCAGCGCCGCGACAGCTCGGTCTGTTTGTAGGTCGCCTGAAGTGCAGGCCCTCAAACTGCAGAGTGAAGTCGGTTTCGCTCTCAGCTCAGGTAATGCAGGAGCAAGGATGGGCCTTCAGTCCTTTGCTCTCTCAATAAATGTTCTACTTCTTTCATAATGTAGTAGTAATTAACACGTACCATTCCGGGGGGGAGGCCTTAAATTTACGAAGTTGGGAACGCCTAAAGGTCTCTCATCCCCTGTTGGCAGGCTCGCGAAGTGCTTTATAACTACTAAACTGGTTGCCGTATCTATAAGGCGGCATTGACTCCTGATCAGCCCCGTTTTAGATGGAAGAACCAGGGCATCTTCCTTTGCACAGTGTGAAAGACAAGCCCCTCGATAACGAATTAATAACACCATCATCCCCACGGGTTCTTGTTGGCGGCCTGGCTGGCTGACTACCAGCTGGCTGGGAGCGGCTGCCGAACCTCAAACCAAGTGAGCGTCGTCGTGCATTTCCTTCCCGCGGGCACCGGAGTCAATGACTATGATATGGACCCTAGCCAACGGACTTCTCCGCATGGTAAGACGAAGACGCTACGTAGTCGTCAATAAGGAACACGGAAGTCGCCGAAGATGAAGTCCACCTTCTGCCACCTTGGGCACACAGTCGGGTTGAAATAAGCTGAGATTGTTATCATTGTCCTGCGCTAGGCCGCCATATTTCAAAGAGACGAGTGGCTACTCTTGATCCTTTGTATAACCTTCATTTTCTGCATGACAGTATCCCGATAATAGTGATAGGTTTAGGGAATTGCCGTTAGTTCATTAAAGAGAGACTTGGCGAGAATTCAAGTACAATAGAGGTTTGCTTGGTAAGGCGCATAGATAATGGATTCCCCCCCGCCGGTTCAATAACGCAGGGGAATTCAAAGACATCAAAGGCATTTATGGATGCGATTGTGTAGTTCCAACATGGCCCTTGTGCCACACCTGGTTTTTTGTAACTGACCGCGGCTATGGTCGACCAGACAATGGACAGCTGTGCAGCGAACAACGAAAGATGTTGGACTTTCATGGTCTTTGTAACGCGTAAGACGAAGGACAAAGAAGCCCGCGTTCCAAAAGAAATATAAACCCCCCGGTTTCTCCAGCCCCGAGACGAACTTGGAGAACATAACGCCATCTTCTATTCCCCATCCTACATTCTCCATCCGTCACCACCTTTCACATCTCTTCATCATACATTCCACTACAACCATGAGTGGAAAGACTTATTTAGACTCGGACAAAGAGCGCTTGCCTGATGGCATGACGCGCATCGGCTACGATGCCGATACTCAAGTTTATTCGTATTATGATGCTACGGATAATACGTATTGGAGAGGAGCTCCGGGGAGGCAGTACGGGACCCTCGTTCCGGCGCCGGATCTCGCTCCCACTCCCACTTACAGGTCAAGCTTCGAGGAATTCATGGCGGAACGGGGTTACCGGGAAGTGAGTGAAGGTGAATGGGTGCCCATCGATGAGGAGGGCATTGATCCTCCTAGCAAGCAGGCTGACCCACCGCGAAGGGCTAGTTTAATGCACCGGGCAATTGCCAAATTGAAACCGATGAAGCGGCTGGCACGGTCAATTTCAGTAACTTCGACGCCGGCCCCTGGTGCCAAAGGCTTTCAAAAGCTGAGGGGTTGGAAGTTCGAGCTGGGCAGCAAACAAGGGAAGGCGCCAGAGAAGGCACCCAGTCGGCTCCGGGATTCGATAGTTGACCAGAGTCCCCTATTTGACAAAGATGAGGGTGAGGAACTCTTCAAGCCATCAACCTGGGGCGACTCATCGAAGAAGGATCCAGAAAAAGGGAAAACACATGAGGCGAATAGAAATTGATACCCGACAGCCTGTGGAAACTATGGATTGGAGGATGGATATACGCATAACGCAAGGAGAATGGAGGGGAGACGTTGGCGGGTTGTGTACTGGTTACTGCTTCGAATTTTGCTCGTTGTTCTAGTCAAGTCGTTCATTCAAATAACTACATAGTGAAAGAAAAATATTTAGACAATGCATCCTTTCTTGTGATATGGTTTAAGGACTCCTTTATTTTTTCAAGTTGACACTCTCCACACAAGCCTCTCCCCGCTTGGATTGCGCTTGCGAAGCAGATCCAAGGCATTTTGAGCGCGCTCTAGTAGTGTGTCCCCCTCGACAATCTTCTGTCTCAGAGGACGCACGATTCCTTGTTCGAGAAGCGCAGGTACAATTTCAGGTTGCAGATACTCCTTGAGAAATTCGTTCTGCACGATCATTTAAAGGGTTAGTCCATACTCCTTGTGCATTGGTGCTTCCAAAGGGGGGTATTCGTACCTGCGCATAAAAGTGCGTGCGAACTCTCCGTAAGACGACTCCCTCGGCCCACTTTCCTTCATGGCACTTTGTTACGTCGCCTTCATAAATGGGAGCGACCGTATCGGTCGCATCCCGAACAATTACAGGCAACAAGATGGCTACGCGGGTGCCAGATTCAGCAACCCTACGGATAGGCTCGATCGAATTCCACAAGGACCCAATGCAATCATAGATGTAAGGAACGCGAGGCCTGCTTGCTTGGTGACCGACACTGGCCAGAATCTTGTCTGTAACATCACTGTCCCTATAGTCGAAAGTGGCCGCCGCCCCGAGATCTTTCAGCCATGCATGGTGCCTTGAGCTTGCGACGGCTAGAATGTTCCGGTAGCCCCAGTGCTTCAGCACTTGCACGGCAAAAGTACCCACGCTGCTCGCCGCACCCCACACGAGGATGGGAGTGTCGGCATGCTCAGGCTTCCAACCCTCGGGGATGGGCCACGGAAGCGGAAACCCCAAATCATGAGTGACGGAGTGGAAGACGGTGACCAGTGAACTAGGCACCGTCGCAGCTTCCTGGAGGGAGATGTTCGGGGGCAGCTTGGACACGCGATATGTCGGCAATGTGACGTATTCCTGCTGTCCTTTGTGTTTTGGTTCTTCGTGGGAGAAGCTGGCTACGCGGTCGCCGACCTTGAGCTGCGTGACTCCAGGCCCAATGTCAAGTACGACGCCGGCGACGGTATCACCGGGGATTTGGTTGGGAACGGTGCCGAGACCTCCATCGGCTTGGTGGAGGTCGAGCGGGGTTGAGCCGACCCAATCGACGCGGACGAGAACCTCGCCGGCGGAGGGGCGCACAGTGGGGACGTCGATAATGGTTAGAGGTTCCCGGGGGCCGGGCATGGCGACGGCCTTGTGGGTGGATGGGATTGTAGCCATCTTGTTTGTATCTGACGTCTTCAAGGTGTTGGAGAGAAGGGTGAGATTTGGCGTGAGCTCTCTCGAGGCAGGGTTTGACACGGGCAGTCTGACACAGTTCAAGACGATGTTTCAATTTCCTTTCCCACGAAAGACAGTCTTATATCTGATGATCGGAGTTAAGAACCATCATAACACCGGTCTCACTCGATCCTGTTCATTTCAAATGTTCTGTTCATGCTGGATTAGTAAAATGCCTTCGGATTTGTAATGCACTTCATTGTCCGTTGCGCATCATTCTTCAAGACAAAGACAAAGACAATAAAGGTGCGTCATTGTGGCTCAACTTACGTCCCATTGGGCGATTGCAAACACCTAATTTCGAACGATGCATCCGGGCCTCTCCTCCTTCGACGACGCATACTCTGACCACATATCTCCGTGGACCAATCATTGCTATAGTGAGGAAAGAAAAGTTGTTTGTTCCACCATTCTCTATTTCCTGGATAATGCGTGTGATGATCCTATGCATAGTATTTGTTGACTCGAATAGAAACCCAGGTCGTCTGTCAAACTAGAATTAAAGCCGCCCATCGGTCATTCGGGAGGGAACGTTGCGGGCCCCGTCGAGGGATCGTCAGCAGCATAAGAAATGCCTACGGGCTACGTTACTCGGCTCTGATCAGGTTTACGGTTCAAGACTTTATCTGAGTAAGTTCCAGTCGCTTCACGCATGGGAATAGCTTGTGTGTTTTTCGTGGAAAAAAAAATGATTACACAGTAAAATCCAGGGTCGTGATCTCCTCCAGGGACGTCAAAAACGTTACAAATTGGACTTTGATCCCGGAGCCTTCCAGTCTGGTAATTTCAGAACCCGCCTAGCATTGCCCCCCATGAAATCATCCAACACCTCTGCCCGCATGGTTCCCGGCCTTCCACTCCCATGTGTTTTGTACATATTATCGACACAAGCCTTCCACGTCAACTGTGGAAAGTTAGTTCCAAACATGACCTTCTTACGGCCTGTTGTATTGGCGAATTGAATAAAGGCAGGGTCGTAATATTTGGGCGACCATGCGCTCGTGTCAATATAAACGTTGGCATGTTTCCACGCAACGGCTACTGTCTCCGCGGCCCAGGGGTAGCCGAGATGACCGCAGATAATCTTCAAGTCGGGAAACTTGAGCGCAATCTCGTCGATGTATGGGATTGGTCTCCCAACCTCGCTCGGGCAGAGGGGTCCTGTGTGGCCGACCTGCGTACAAAAAGGAACATCCAGCTCGATGCACTTGACGTACAAAGGCCAGTAATGGGCATCCGTTGGTGGGAGGTTCCAGAGCCACGGCACGACCCTTAGGCCCTTGAAGCCTTCGTTTCTAACATAGTGGTCCAATTCCTTAACAGCCGCGACCGGATTGTGGAGGTTCACTGACACCAGACCGAAGATTCGATTAGGGAAAGCTCGGGTGTACTCTGCAACGTCTTCGTTGGAAACGATTGTAGATCCGGGTCTGTTCCATGCCGCAAGGCATATCTGGGAGACTCCGGCTTCATCCATCAGGGCAATTATCTCCTCAGGCGACAACTTCCTGGCTAGCTTGGGGTCTGAGTGGCTTTGTTCGAATAAGCGTCGAACCTCTGGAATTATTGCCTAGTTAAAAAAGACGTCAATATCGTCCCGGCTATTTGAAGGGGCGAAGGATGGCCTACGTGTGAAGGGTTGGCCCAGACATCGACGATCAGCGGGAAAGGTTTGTTGGTCATTGTAGAAGGATAGAGGGAATTGCCTCTACACGAATTAACTGATGAATATAATCGTATATGGGGTTGAATAGTTCTCGTTGCTTTCAGTGTCGTTAGGATTACAACAGTGGAAGTTGAAGTTTGTCTATATACGCGGTGCACAACAGAAACGGCTTCGGGCGGCGATCATGTGTGGATGAGTTCATGTCAAGATTGTTAAGTCCGTTGCCTCGGCACGACTCCTCTCGAGATGGCTTGCTTACTCCAGCTCAGGCCACAATCGGGAGAACCTTCCCCAGACTACCCCGCGTTTCATCGGTGAGCAGCGTGGGACCGCCGATGTTGCTTATTTCCGCTACCGTAGATTAAAGTTTTCTGCTTTAGAAACTGCTCTTTTCCGTGACGATGCTAGATCGGAAATTAGTCAACTTCATCTTTCATCCTTTCACGACTTTGGGGAAATTTTCTTTGATTACTAATGCTATTCATCAAGTTACATAGCTAAATTTAAGGTATTATCTACTATCGAGGCCAACCAGTGCAGCCCGACCGCAGTCTCAGTCTCACTATCACCCCAACCTAGAACATCGTATTCCCAGTTCTTATAGAAAGGGGTGCCTTTTTCCTGAAGAAGTCTCCGGGCACCTCTTATCACCGATATCACTTCTAATGCCATCTTAATGTAGCTCCAAATATATTCCAGGGTAGGAATTAGAAGTGTAGAGGAGTCCTCCCATATATCCTTCAGATTTATCTCGGCCGCCTTATGATAATGAAGACTCTTCTCACTGACTAGGAGGGACCAGAAGCGGGAAGTTTAGAGAGACCCAAAAAGGAAGACGCAAGCAAAAAAAAAAAAAAAAAAAAAAAAAAAAAAAAAGAAAGAACGAAAAAAAAAGAAAGAACGAAAAAAAGAAACATACAACACCAGGGATTCGCTGGTCGTCACCGACCCAACTACTAGTCTGGCGCTTCGCAGCTTGTGTACAGGGGAGCGGACGGGACCCTCAATATTCTGCGAGCTATGGTCGTATGTACGGTCTAGCTGCTTTGACTCACTTATAAGTGGAAGCGAAAACCCGGTGGTGATCTTGCCGAGAGCCTCTAGACTTGCACCAACGACACAACTATTCATAACGATGTTCAAAGTTTGAATGGGACCCAGTTGCTAAGGTTGAAAATGAGAGCGGGGACGACGAGGGATATATAGGCGCAAGAGAAGTTACGAGCTCCGTCCACCCTAACCTCTGGAGCTATCACGATCCATAGCTGCATTGACTGATATGGAGGAGCCGCACCGCGAAGGCGACTGTGGATGCGCTCCGCAAAATCCTGCGAGTTTGGTTCTCCAATCCGAATAAAATGGGTTTAACCCCATTGCTGCCGACCCCGGTAGAGTCAATGATAACAATTCATTGTCTTCATTACTTGGTTCCTCGTAATCTTCTCCCCGTCGTGTTCTGTTAACGTCATTGACTCTCCACCTCATGCGAACCTTTCACAAAGCGATGACACCCTACCCGTCCTTGTACTGCTCCAAAAGAGCCCCGTGGAACTTTGCCATGGCCCCCACCCAATCCTCCTCGTCATCCAAAAATGAAATTCGGAACCAAATCCTATCATCTTGCAGCCCATTTCTCATGCCGAATCCCCCTCCAGGGACGACGCACACGCCGGTAGATTTGAGCAACTTCTTGCAGTACCACACATCTGGGGCCTCATTCACATCCTGCGCCGCCTTGACAGCACCTGCTGGTAGCTCGACCCGCGGAAAGTGGTAGATTGCGCCTTGGGCCTTAGCGCAGTAGACCCCAGGCATTTTACCAAAGGCCTTGTCTAGTAGGTTCGCCTGGCGTTGAAAGCGAGAAAATATGCCATCGCGCTCGGTCCTGTACTATTCATAGGACACCTGGCCCGGCCGGGGCGTATCGACCATGAGATCGACGAGAATCTGGCCAGCCGTAGCCGGCTGTAGAGTGTAGGTGATGAGCTTGCGAATCTGCTCGTGGATCTCCAGGGGAAAGCCTACGGCCTCAAGGTAGCCGCCTCGTTGACCCCCCTCACCCGCCATGCCCTTAGATACGGAGTGGAGGGAGATGAGCTGCAGGGTTGTGTAGCACAGCTCATGTGCAGCCCGCTGTTCCTGAAGCCGGCGGATGATCTTGTAGCTGACGAATTCGTTGCCGGGAAAGATGTTCTCCTGGTACACTTCATCCGCGAGGAGCAAGAGCTTCTCTTCAGCTGCGAGCTCAACAAGGGCCTCGAGGTCATCCCGGCTGCTCACCGCGCCGGTGGGATTGCTCGGATTGATGATGACGATGCACCTCGCCTCGACGTCGCGATCGCGCGCCTCTCTGATGATGTGGGAGATCTCTCCCTTTTCTGGGACTCTCCACTGGTCGTCTTCCTTCAAGTGGTAATAGAGCGGTTCGATGTCGAGGGTTACCAGGAGGGCGCGGTAGACAGAGTAGAATGGCACAGGGAGCAAAACGCCAACTTTCTTTCCGTTCTGGCGCATGTGATTTCCGCTGAGCAGCGTCATGGAGACGAGCATTCCCTCAAACGCGCCGCAGACGAGGAAAATATCCTCGGGCGAAGACGGAAAGCCATCTCTTTTGCCGATGTAGTTTGCAACCGACTCGCGGACATGCTGAAACCCGTAGTTACTACTGTAGGCCCCAACCGAGCCCGTCTCCTTCAAGAGTGCCCTCGCCCTCTCGACGGCATCGCTTGGAAACACGCCATCAAGATTTGCAGCGTCGGCGCGTTCGAGTAGCTCGGGGTACTGCATCAACGCGAGCACCTGGCGAAAGAAAGTGAGGGGCTTCTGGCCGCAGCCCTGGGGGTTGCCCAAGTTGAGCGATACGATGCGCTTGAATGGCCAGTGGTGGTCATCCCCGCCGGCGAGGTCAGCAGAAATACGCCCGGCTAACGCGGCGAGTTGGCCCCTAATGGCGTAATCGACGTGGAGAACGCCTGGGTTGATGGTGTCGAGGTTCAGTGGGCCGAGTCCGGCGTCTCCGCTTTGGAATGTGTCGTCTGAACAAGCGTGATTTCTCCTGGTTTCTTGGTTTGAGACGAATGCCCGAGAGTTAATGGAATTATGGAGAGAAAGATGTGAATGGGTCCTTTCTCCCCCTCTCTCGGTTCTTTCCGAAATTATATTAGCCATACCTATCTTCCAGGTCTCCACATGCGCTGATACAAACAGACACAGGGGAAGAAAAAACTAGAAAAAGGTTCCCCTCTCCTCATCGACGACCAACATCTCTATAGAATCAACTTAAATTTAATATTAGCTAGTAAGTCTTATTTAATATAATATAATATCTAGGTCCCAATCCCTTTCTTTTAAAATATAAATAATTTTTATAAGATCTTTTTATTTAATAATATTTACTAAATACTATCCTCTACTAAAAAATTAAATAAAAATAAAAATATTTAATAAAAATTAATATCTTAGCTACTCCATTTATCTAAGGCCTCTAAAGAGGAAAGTGTATCTGGATGCTTTAGGCCAAGTATTTGCTGTCGACCATGGACACAGCTCCTCATCAAAGCTAGCGCATCTGTAAGTCGGCCCTGATCTTTCCAAGTAAGAGCAAGGTTAGCCATGCTAGTAAGTGTGTCAGGGTGATCATTCCCAAGCTTCACCTTGCGCATCTCCATCACCTGCACCTCCAGCTTCTCAGCCTCCTCCCATCGGCCCTGCTTCCAAAGCGTCAACGCCAAGTTGGCCATGCTAGTAAGTGTGTTAGGGTGATCATCCCCAAGCTTCACCTTGCTCATCTCCATCACCTGCACCTCCAGCTTCTCAGCCTCCTCCCATCGGCCCTGGTTCCAAAGTATCGATGCTAAGTTGCTCATGCTAATGAGTGTGTCAGGATGATCAGCCCCAAGCTTTACCTTACGAGTCTCCATCACCTGCACATTCAGCTTCTCAGCCTCCTCCCATCGGCCCTGGTTCCTGTATATTAATGCCAAGTTAGCCATGCTAGTGAGCCTGTCGGGGTGATCAGCCCCAAGCTTCACCTTGCAAGTCTCCACCACCTGCACCTGCAGCTTCTCAGCCTCCTCCCATCGGCCCTGGTTCCTGTACGTCAACGCCAAGTTGCTCATGCTAATGAGCGTGTCGGGGTGATCATCTCCTAAAATCTCCTTTCTCGCTATTGTAGCCTTCTGTGCAAGCTCTTCTGCTTGACTATATTCGCCTAGCATCAGCCGATACCATGATACATTCGTGAGGAGCTCACTCCATGCTTGCCGGTCGCTATCATCTGATGGCTCTTTTTCAAATAATCGGTTGATGTGTGGTAATAACTCCTGACATTGCTCCCAAGTTTCAAAGTCGCCCGACGGGAAATGTGTGGAGGTTAGCTGAATAAATAGTGCGTCCCACCGCCTTCGATCGCCAAATCGCGAGATCCAGATTTGTGTGCATAATTGGACGAGGGAATGCATCTCTAAGAACCCTTGCACCGCTGTTAGAATAACGAGAGAGTAACCCCTAAGAACGTCTAGGTCACTCTCGAAACTCCCTTCATACTGGCACCCTTTGTCATCCGAAGAATCGCCGTCATAGCTGTGCAACATATACTCAGGGATATTCTGAGCGTGGAAGAAGCTCATAAGTGAAAGGAGGTCAGCCGCACGCGGTCTCTCGCGCCTGACTTGATCAAAAGTCATCTGCCACGTCTTGATGACTGAGTTAGATACCCCTTGGTGCCGTCGAAGGTCGCCTCGATCGCTCTCAAGTAGACTGGTTTTTTTTCGGTCGCTCTCCCGAAACTCCTCTAGGTACGAGCGGATGGTCGTTCGAGGAGCCCGATAGCTGATGAACGCGGCTGCTTGATTCACCGCTAGTGGGATGTAATCGAGCGTGTGAATGAGGTCTATAGCTGCGGCTATGTCGAGATCTTCGCCTAGCTTGTTTTGAAAAAGCTGTAGAGCTTGTGATTGCTCCATTGGGGGGATCCTGAGGATTGTTTGGTGAGATCCGGTGAGCTTCTCCGCGGCATCTAAGCTCCGCGATGTGATTAAAACCCTGCCGTTATTCGACTGCGGCAGGTACTCCGCAATGGTGTCGTGCGCATTTTCTTTTCCCTTATCCTTCTGAAACAGCATCTCCGCATCATCCGCATTATCGACAATCATCAACCATGGGCCCACGTCCTCTCTCCGCAGCCAGTCGCGGACTAGTGCTAGAACATTGACGCCAGGATCATGGCGATGAGGCAAGGCAAGAACGTCTGCGATAGATCTATAAGACTCTTCAAATGTCTCCCTCTTACTTCCATACACCCAGAAGATGCTTGTTTTAGGTGAGTCGGTATGTATTTGGTATGCGAATTGAATAGCAAGCTGTGACTTTCTGTAGCTTAATAGTCAGCTCATATTCTCGAAGTGCAGAACACAAGTTATACCCAATGCCTCCCAATCCTACAAGTGCCATTCGTCTAACAGGGTCAACATATAATCTTTCCATTTTTGTCCAAATTGCAGGTCGATTAACAAAATGGGGGTCGCGGGGAAACGGTACGACAAAATGAGGCTTTCGAGCGATGGATAGGTCCTCGTTTTTATGGTGCCTTAAATCGTTAATGCCCTCCTGAATATTTTGAAGACGATTCCTGGTAGGGCTGTTAGTAGGTGACCGCGATAGCAGGTAGGATGCTGGCCGTACGTCTGGTCGTAATGCATAGTCCCGACTGCTATCCACATTTTATTCCCCGTATCCTGTAAATGCAGCACATTTTGTTGAACTATTTAAAGTTAGATAATATTAGGTTATCTGGATTTGCAACACTAACTAGAGTGGAGAAGTTCACCAATAGGTCTCTCAGTCTCGACCTTATTAGGCGGAATTTGACGCAGAAGATCCTTCGCATATGCCGCTGCCATCATCGAAGCAAAGCCTTGCCACTCCTTATTCTTATGAGAGTCAGAGTAGTCGCATATCCCGCGGATTACCAGGCACGGGAAGTGGTTCATTAGGCCCGCCGCCTCCATTTCGAAGCAGAGGACACCCTTTTCTGCCGCTAGCTTGTCCCGAATACAAGCGTTCATCATCAGTTGGTTTCCACTAGCAATCAATCCGTAATGGATAGCGGGATCGTCCTCCTCTTCGCCTCGCTCTGCTCGGTCTACCAGGGATTCCGGATTGTTGTTGCAGACCTCATTGCAACTACTTGATGAGTCCGAGGGATGTACAACGTCGGACCGGTATAGCCTGTCGCTCGTCGCAGGTGGCCGAGAGTACTTCTTTCGGAGTCGCGGTTTCTTTTCCAAAATCTGAGCCACTTGCGCTCCAAGCTGGTGGCCGTTAGCTTCGTACTGCGTCTCCAGTCCGCTTACTGCCGCTCGAAGCAGTGTTGGTGGCCGATTTAGGTATCCTGTGTAGTGGAAAGCCTGATCTTGGATGGTCTTTCCGTAGTCATACTGGAGGACCCCGCCTGAATTCCCTTCGTGACTACTAATCACAATGTCGCCGAGGCGTATATCGTGCTTCGAACTTGGCGCACCACCACCAATGCCAACCATTAGCCCGATTCGTACGTTGGGAAAGCTATGCAACATGTCCTTCGCCACAGTGGCCGCGGTTGTCGTTCCGTACTCCCCCTTAGGCAGGACAGCCATCACAACGTTGTGCCGTCCGATCCTACCCAGGGTGTACACGTTATTGTCATTCTGGGCAACGCTTTCAGGGCCGTCATGTCGCTCATCGAGGAACTGCTGCGCAGCGACAGACTCGGTCGGGATAGCCGAGATCCAGCCGACTGTATACTGCTGGGGGGCTGACATGGGTGGCACTCGATATGGGCAGCGGGAAATCGACGATACCTGGTCTATGAAATGAAAACTGGCGAGAGAAGGTAAATAATATGAGCATCAACTCTATCCTTGTGCCCTGCGTGAGACGCCAACAGCCGTGCAACCCGTCGATGTCTCCTCTGAAAATGAACTCCCCACTTGGTCGGCACGGTCCGTTCTTAGTGTTGCGGTCTCTGGACGATAATAGTAGTAAGGGGACGGAAAGAAGCGGGGTAAATGATGACTCTGGCCAATCTTTTGGCCTTTCCGCCTTATTTTGAATCCTGGTTTCGGGCTGCAGACTTCGGGGAATCAAATATCCGGTCCAAGGTGAAGTGTTCTCAAGGTACGAAGTACTTCGTACCATGTTGACGTTAAATATTCGGCGTACAAAGGTCTGTGCGTCCCGAACATTCTTTTTCAGTTTCACACACTGGAAACTAATTTCACTCCTAGCTGTATGTATTGCGAGCTCCCAAGGAGAATAAGAGCGAGTCCGAGAGCCACTGGGCCTCTCAGTTCAGCATCAACGTCTGCTGTGTACTTCCTAGTTGGAGCTTTCCCGTCGCTCATGAAACCGAGCAACGACCACTGGAAGAACCTCGACGGAGGCAAGGACCCGCTCACCGCCCGCACGGCCTAGGTCATCACCGTCACTGGCATCGCTGCGTTGTCTAGGAAAATGGGCGGCTGCATGGGTTACGTGGCCTCGAAGGCCGGTGTCTTACAGCTCATGAAAACGCTTGCGACCGTCCTGGCGCCCACAGGCATCAGATTTGTATGTCTCGGGCGTCTCATCAAATTCTGCTCTCCTTTGCTAATAGTAGAAATGAAATCAGAACTCTATTGCTCCTGGCAGTGAGTGTGCTCAAGTCTCTCCCTTCCTATCCCCCATATTTCCCCATTCCCGCTCTAGGTTGTTACCTCTTCGCAAGCAATACAGGAACCATTTCCACTGACGAATCGTTGCGTTTGCAGTCTTCCCGTTCGAAATGACAGCTGGGAAAGGCCACCTTGATGGCGAAACAGAAACCACCTGGCACCACTTCCTACAACAGACGTGCCCCAGGGCAGGGCTGGGGATGTGCGGGACATGGCAGGGGCCACGCTGTTTCTCTGCGGTCGGGGCGGCTTCTACTGCAACGGCGCTGTTGTCGTCATGGATGGAGGTTGGCTTAAGCATCGCCCCCAGCTCCTTTTAAATAAGATTACGAAGAAGAGTTTTGATAAGAGCGCAAACCCGTATGTCGTGGATATGTTCGTCATGCGTTTATCTCCCTGACTTTCAGAGGTCTACTAATACTTGTCATCATGAACATGCGCAGATGGGGAACGAGCCAACGAAGTTCAGTAATAAATCAAGTGCGAGCAAACAGAGTGACAGACCCCAAAAATACGACGGGAAGATCATCCCAGTCGGTGGCCCTTGCCACAATACAGGACTGTTTGTGCTGCTGATGATCCTGTAACTATGCGAAGTAAAAAAACGGTCACGACACTTGTGCCTGGTCCCGGGAAATGAAACAAACGTGGTTGGTGATGGTCAACGCCGATTCTCGGCGCCTCCCATCTTTGCGAGTGAGTGAACCGGGCAAACGAATGTGAAAGTTGGCCCAAGGTCAGAAGAATCTTCGGGTTATGGGGTTAGATAAAGCCCTATTTGGCCCTCACCCTGCTGCAATGTCCTTGGCAGAAGTTCTCCATCCCTCTCCGTATGCAGTTTTGGGCTTTTTATCATACTTCGTTGATGTTTTGTTCATAAAACGTGGTCTTGGCAATGCACTTGAGCGAAGAAAAAACAGTAGATAAACCCGAGAAGGCCGTTGACCGTCCACCATCGGACGCTGAGATCGTCCCCGCAACCGCCGAGTCGTCCATACCGACAATGACGACGACCATGGTCCCGTCCCAACAAGACCGTCACAATTCCCTCAAACAAGCTCATCGCCGAGAACGAGCCCGTTTTCCAAGAAGCCCTTAACATCTTCAAGCAGGAAACTGACGCCCGCGAGAGATCATGGCTGTCAAAGAAATACAAGAGGAATCAGGTGAAGCCGCCCGAGTCGCTCAGTGCATTCATCGAGTTCTTATACGATGCCGATAAGAGGGTATCCAACAGCCCCTTCCGTAAGCTTTACATGAAAGTTCACGGATCTGAGAGCTCTATCCGACATTTGGGCATTGTCGTCGACTCCATCGTCACCCTTGTTCCCGATCCAGCATCCACGCCGACTGGACTTGTCTGGAAGTAGAACAACAACAAACCTGGCATTTTTTGATATGCCTATAATTCCAACTGAATTTCCTTAGTCGGAATTATGAAGTTTGTTCTCAAAGTAAGTAACCGTCACAGGCTTAATCGGGGTCGCCTTGTCTCGAGAAGAAGCTAACTTCATTATTAGGCTATCGCCAATCACAACGACCTGATCGAAAAAGTCGCCAATGATCTCATCATAATCGTCAACGAGATCGAGTCTGCCAACTAGTGGCTCTCTTCCTTTAACAGCGAGCCTGAGATCCAACGCCGTAGTTGGACTCTACGTCGCTGTCCTTAAGTATTGGTGTCGAGCGTGGAGCCAAGTACAAATGCATCGTGACTATAAGTAGAGAGGGACATCCACGGGTATTAGCTATTTGCGCCTACATGATTTCTGACGACCTCGCTATACTTGACCGACTTATCCATTTCCCCTCAATCTATTCTGTTGACTTCGAGGCGTTGAAGGGGGGCCATCGCGAATGCGGGAAAGCATATCCAGGATGCAATGCTCGCAGTCGGATTCAACAAGATGCAACAGGGTAAGTTGGGCGATTTCTTGTCGAGTGAATATCTAATATATCGTATAGCCATAGTATTAGTGTGTTGCTGACTTGACTCGGACAGAACTCCAAGTTGTGCTGGACAACCAAGACGAATCCAAGGTCCGGGCAATCCTCTCTCCAATCGACGCTTTGAGTTTCGGGAGACAGATTCAGAAATTCAAGGAGAAGCTGGATGAGGGATACCCCGGAACCTGCTCTTGGTCTCTCAGCAACAAGGACATCACGCAGTGGTTTGACAGGCCAGGCGAGGTTCTCCTCTGGATATATGCCCTTCACGGCGTCGGAAAGTCAGTAACATGTGCCTATGTCATCGAAAATCTCGTGCCCATAGGATCTGGTGCGATCGGGAGGGCATGAGTCTCTTCTTCTTTTGTGAGCATACCAACATTGGCCAGGCCAACACTGGGGAGGTCATGAAGGCGCTGGCACTCCAGATACTCGACACTATCACGGATCCTTGCTTTGATGCAGACCTGCGACTCAACATATTCGATAAGCTGAAGCTACTCGAAGCGAATGATTTTTCCAAATTCGGAGACAGGGTTGATGAGTCTGTCCGCAAAAAGTTCGCATCTTTACTGGGCACTACGAGTAAAGCCGGGACTATCTGGCTTGTGCTTGACGGCTTGGACGAGTATGACGGCCAAACAAACCCGGAGGCTTCTCCAGTTTCTTTCCATATTATCCGAATTATTCGAGCGACAACAGCTCCCTCCGGATCTTTTACTGCTTGGTGACGGTCCTGGATATCTCTCCGACACCCTATTTGATCTCCCTCCAGCTTTGACTTCCGGGAACAACTGCTCTATGTTATCACACCCAAGAACACCGCTATCAGGATGGCAAACAAAAACAGTCAACGACGCGACCGTGAAGAGAGCCCTCCGCCGTATTCTGCAGGCAAAGACAAAGAAGCGGCGCCAGAATAATCCGCCGAGGATCTTTCTGGAAGCAGTGAGGTCACCAAATCCATCTACCGCCCCTTTCCGGCATTCATTCAAGCGACCAGCAAATGGGCGATTAACCGAGAGGCTTTCAGAACATTCAAGCTATGCGGCCAAGACGACAATGACTTATCGTAGATGGTTGGGGCCAATTTGGGCTTCAAATCAGGCGGGCTCATTGATGATCGGCCAGGCATAATCTTGCACAACGGGACCAGTGCGCAGTCTCCCGTGGTCGCGGCGGTCTGCTACGAATCCGTAGAGTCTCTTAGCTTCGTCGACTTTGATATCCAGAGTATCATTCTGCCGCCAAAGCTGCCCAACCAGTCTGGCGGCCCGATACGCAAGGACCTGGCCGAATCCCGGATGCTCCGGCGCATGACTCCCGATAAGAATATTGCATTGAGATTCTCTGTTGAAGTAACGGAGAAGGCCCGTAGGGAGGAATTCGAATGGAGAAAATGCAGGCAAAACGGTCTTACTGGACCCAGTGGGTTCAAACTATACCGCGCGCGTCTTCGAAGTCCGCAACCCAGTCGATTGCGGGAGGATCCTCGAAACAAAAAGACGATCCCAACGTCTTAGCGGTAGTGACCTGGGCTCGGGTCTTCTCTACTAAGCTTTATTCAAAATGGAGTTCAAGGGCGAAGGTTTGACAGATGTGCTAGGAGATCGTTGGAGTCTGGCGGTAGTTATCACTGCTCTGAAGATCTGGTTTCTGCGCTTGAATGGGAAATTGACCAAAACAGCTGTTAAGCTCGCAGACCAGATTCATAAGGTTACTGAGGAGGAGGAGCCTGGGCGGCGGCATTAGACAATCTGCGCTGTATTTATAACTCTTGGGCACCTTCAGCGTGTAAGAGTATGGTGGGGTTGCGAGGATGCGTTTCAGACCTCGTTTTGAGACCATTTGCATTGCCGCCTAGCCGCCTTTCGTCAGCCACATAGCCAAGGGAACTCTCAGATATGCGCCTCGACTAACCTTTCGAAATTTCTGATGTCATTCGGGATATCCTCCTGTATGTAGGACCTCTCTTGTAACTGTCTCTGAGATATGTTCACGGGATCCTCGCGTAGAGTAGTCAGACTTCTTCGCCTTAGCAGCCCGTCGCAGCTCCTTGCTCAACAGAAAGATACAAACTGAATTGGAAGAGTGAGCACGACAGATACTGCCAAGAACGGTCCAATAGAGGCTTAGATTAATCCCAGCACCGTTTTAATCCTTGAATAAGAAAAAGTCACTGGTGTGCAACGCTCACGGATATGACAGGATACGATAAAATGCTGATCCATTTTCTAAGAAGTAGTTGGCCTTGCTTTCCCTCCCCTCTCTTAGCTGCGACTTTAGATATCGACAAAGACCAATATACTGGGACATCACTGATATTCTCTAATCAACGTCCGGCCATACGTATCGCATCCCCTTTTATTCCATTTCGCCCCGGGTGTCGAACACATTTTCGATGCCACACAGAAAATCAATATACTCTCTCGTCCGGCCCCAGCACAACGACAAGCCCGTCAAAATTCTACGTCCCTCGCGCAGGATTTTTTGAGGGCCCTTAGGCCCGCAAATATCCCCAACTCCACTAATGTACGCCCGCATAACGGCCGGACGTCCGGAACGGACAAAGAGTTGGACCATTTCGTCGTCGTTGGGTCGATCTAGTCGTATAAACGCAGGATTGGGAAGGTCGTCCGGGGATGTTGGCAGGTCCGGGGGCTCTGGATGGCTCATCGTGGTACTACTGCCTACGCCGCCTTGCGAGTCAAGGAATATTGATGGAGAGTGCTCCGCGGATAGGCTTTCGCTACGGCCTCTCCCATATTCCGCGTCCTGCGGGGAGCGACTCCGGGGTAGCGCCCGGGCAGTGTATGAACTATAGGCCCAAAGTGTTAGAGTCGCCATGAAGACGGATAGCGGTTCGTAGAAGGCATTTCGTTTATAGCGACGGATGTGCCAGAACAAGCATCCGCAGTGGAGCACTGCGAGCCGTGCTTTGTGCTATCAAAACTATCAATATCGACATCCACCCTTCAGGATCATGACTAGTAGGGGCAGAGAGAGAACCACTCACCTCGTCTCTTTGCGCCCAATGGATGACTTCTTTTCCAGCCTCGACATAATCCATTTGAAGTGCAGCCGCAGAAGTGGCATCTGGGCTTTGCGCAATCCTTACCAACAATTGAGACAGCGTACGAATACTCTCATGCGGCGTCAGCAACACCACCCGAGAAAAGTGCAAATGCAGCACGGCTGGATGCTCCGCGCCAGCGAGCTTTGCGATGGTGGCATTAGCGTCCCAGTGCAGAACGTCGACGCAATCCAGGGCCGCGTTTCGCCAGCTCGAGAGGGTACCTTTCTGCTCGGCTTCGCGGTTGCAACTTTGGATTACTTCTTCGTCTTTTCGGCGCCCACCAGCACACGGAACCCAAGAGCTTAGAGGCCGATTTGAAAAAGAATTGATACGGGAAATTTCCTGGTAGATTCCGTGAAGAAGGATAATGTGTGAAAACTCGCCAAGATTGGATTGAACATGCTTATGCACGAACAATTGCCTGATTGCATCAGGAAGTGCAGGATTGCCTGATAAAGCACCAATCAGCTTAGAATTATCGCCAGGTGAGGTTTGAGATACACCATACGTCTCGAAACTATCGCCTTCGCATGCCACGTTTCGAAATCTCGCGCTTCCCATAAGTCGTCGAGAGGGAGGTCGCACTTCGCAGAGTCCAGAGATATAAGAGATTCCTGCCCAAAATGGTACGATCGCATGCTGTCCAGAAGCTATTCTCCTCGCGATATTTGATGTTAGCCGACGATCGAGTTTAACTAACCTTATTCTTATCCTGTTGTTGTGGTTTATCATACCCAGATCGAATACCCTAGCCGGCGCCTCGCCTCTTCATCGAGCCAGTCTCTCCAGCGCTGCTTGGACGGCGTATCGGTAATAGCGGGTAGCTCGCCACGGCCCGACCGGCTTAGAAGAGATAAGTCCAAGGCCTTTTCCACTAGGTCCCCGTGCCGGACCCTCGCGATTTCGTGAAGCTCTCTGGAACCGTAATACAGCATACCGATTTGGCTAATAACCATGGTTTGAGCCAACAGTAGACTTACAGCGGGATCGCAATTACGGCAGAATTCTGTCTCTAAGATAAGCCCACGGCGAACGAATTCGTGTAGCGGAACGATGCAGCTGGAAAGCTCTGTTGTCTCCGTATACTGCGAACCGACGGCGCAGACAGCTAGAGCGAGGAGCCAATAGTCGTTTATATCGACATGATCCCTGTGAATGATTGGGATAATTGGGTTGAAGTACTGGAAAAACAGCTGAGCGAAAAGATTGAGGAATTCCATACTGGGGAAACTCGTCGCGCGATACGGCGGAAAGACGCCGTGAAAGACGCCTCTGTCATCCAAACAGAGCTGATCGAAACGAGATCGAGCTGTTTCATACGTCTCAACACTTAGTTCACTTGAGTGCGGGGGAAGGAAAAGCTGAGTATATGTAATATGGGAAAGATCTGTGAATCCAACATCGAGGGCTATCTCATCAACTGCCGACTGTGTATCGCTTATTTTGGAGAGGGGAGTTGCGCCGATGATGTTAACCGTTTCGATCCTCGGCCGAGCAGTACAAGGAACCCGGGCGCCGTCGGAGCTGGACGTATACAGACAAGAAGTTTCGCTAACAGAACCAAGTGACACACCAGAAGAAGGGGATATGGTGATTGCCGTTGAGGGGGAGGTTGATTCCTCGCTTGCCGTCCGTAAGCTGCTGGCATTGTGATCGTAGTTGGCCGCTGGGCGGTCAGGCCGAGCGTCGGGCTTACCGCTAATCGATAGAAAGGTTCCCAGTTGATGGGATTCAAGCTGATAAGGAGAATCATGTGGCCTACTTGTACAGTCGAATCCTATATGATCGGAAAACCATCCGGAGAACTCCGTATTGAAAGCCGGTATCGAGGTGAAGTCCAATTCCAAGGATTCATCTGATAATAGCCAGTTGATCGAGGCTTCCGGTGACGGCGCGCTTCCGAAATTGTTAGGGCCGAGATACAGGGAGACAGTGTTGGGGGGGCCACCTTCGGGACTAGTGGGCAGCTCGGTTGGGGTAGGTGTGACTTGGGTAGCCTGGAAACCAGCGGGAAACGCCTGCATGTGGCTCGAAAATGGAGCCTCGGGTGTTGTAGGGGATTGAGCAGCATCTCCAGTAGTTTCTCCGCTACGAGTCAAGTGTAATGTCCCATCTTGGCCTAAGAACTGACTAGTGGAGGAAGCCTGCGAGTTTCGCCGGCGACTTCGTTGACCGATGCTGGGGTAAAGGCATTGAAGGCGGCGCTGGGAGCATCTAATGCAAGGCTCTGTTTTCGAGCATCTCTCTCGGGCCTGAGCACATGCAATACAAGCTCGTGCAGCCCGACGGCCCGTGGCTGCGTGTGTAGCTAAGTGACGGGTGAGGACGTCGCTACGATAGGTAGCAGCGGGGTGAACTGGTCAGGACATGTTCGTTTCCTAGATAACAGAATCTCTGCATTACTCAGGCGGCGCTTACCTTCGAGAGAACCCTTTGGAACATGTCGGACAAGTAAAGCGTGTCAGACCTTCATGCCCTTGCTGATGCCTCTTGAGGTGCCCTAGATGCTTAAAGCTGCGTGAACACCTCGAGCAACGATGGTCATCGGTACTCATTGCGGGAGAAAAGAGTTAGTACTCCGCCACATGCTGTAAGAAATCAGCCTACATATATATCACTAGATTCCAGATTTCAGATTCCTCTTTTTGCCCCGCTGGGAAGCCGAAAGACGGAGCAGGAGATGAGGTTCGAAGATGTAATCTCCAGGCAGCATCACTGGGAGACGAGTAATTGTTTTTGTTGCTGTCACGGTCCTCGGTCACGCACCCTCCCTACGGACTCAGCCCAAGCGACCCAATGAGACGCGTTGTCCATTTCTCTTTTTCTTCTCCATCTTGCTGTAAGGGGGTGCGGGGGAGACAAAGTCAGATGATGTATTACTCCTCATTACTACTCTAGAAGTCTGGGGTATAATTAGAGCAGCTAGAGCCCTTTCCCGATTGGAATTAGCGCTCCTCTCCTGATCTAGACCATATTTGGAACAGGTTTCCCTCGGTTGGAGGAGCATCTATGAGTGGGGCTCCATTCGGAGAGTTGAGACAAGTTCAGTATTGCGAATACAGGATGCCGCATGCCAGGCTTGATAGGATCTCAGGATTCTAATTCCATCGCGATTTCAAACCCCTTCCACAGGGCTTTTAATGATGCCCTGTTGTACGTACGTACGTATTAAGCAATACAGACTATTTCCTCAACAGACCCACTCTCATCTGGCCCTTTCCGCCTCGGTTAGCCCTCAGATAGTAGGGCACAAACACCAGCTTCCTCTCCCTGCCCAGCTGCTCAGAGTTGAAGCATGCACAACCGGGGCCCACGGAAGGACTTGGTTCCTCGATTCCTTCACGCCGCCAGCCCACAGTGGTCAATTTGACGTACGACTCCTGATGTCCCTCCAAGACTGTCTGCTCCTCCTCGATGGCGGAGTCTGCCGAGATAACGACATCCTTAAAGTGGTTTGTTTCATATGGATTGTCGAAATCCTCCACGCAGTAAACGATGGGTCCTTTTGCCAGGGCCAGCGTACGTTGGCCGGTGTAAGGATGGGGCGTGATGTACCTAGGCGAAAAACCACCGATAGTAATCGAGAAATTCGGATGCGAGGATGTGTACGAAGGCGGCAGTACGAGGTAGCCATTCTCCACCTTGTGCCCGGAAAAAGATGGCGTCAGCTGTGAGATGTTAGCCCATCGTCCCTTAATACCTACTCAGAGAACAAGACTTACGGTAAAATTTCCCTCAGCCCACCCTGGAATCCTTAACCGGACCGTAGTAGATACGGACAATGGCGCCTGAAGTTGAAAGAGAATGTTACCCTCCCAGGGCCAGTTACTCTTTTGCTCCAAGGTAATGCTGTTGCCACCCTCCCCAGCGTCAAAAGTGCACTTTGCCCAAGTATATAGGTGGACATTGATGAAAGCATCGCCCTCGCCACAACCAAAGTCCCAAACATACCCACCGAGGCTGCCGAAAAGCCTCAGCAGGTTCGGGGGACAACAGGCACACCAAAACCAGTCACAGCGCTGGCTAGGATGGCGATCTGAGCTAGCCAGTTGGTTGACATATGTGAAGGCCTTACCTTGAAGGTCCATGGCCGTCATCACTCCGTTGTATAGGCAGAGTTCCATGACATCGGCGTACTTGGAGTTGAGGTCTCGCTGCAAAAGTCGCTCGGCGAGCATCATGACCCCTATGGAAGCACAGGTTTCCGCGTAGCAACCCCCTTCGTCCGTTCCTTGCGGAAGGAAATAGTCAACTCCGAACCCCTCCCACTGCTCGATGGCGCCGATCCCTCCGGTCAGATACATTTTCTTCTGAACCATGTTATCCCACAATCTACCGACAGCCTCTGCCCACTTCTCAGGCTCGCTAAACTCGCCTCCGGGCTTGTGAATACAAAGGAGGTCCGCAACGGCCGTTAATAAGTACATGGCTCTAACAGCATGACCCTCGACAGACTTTTGCTGTAGAATGGGTTCGTGGGCTTGGTTGTACCAGTGGCTCCCGGCTTTGGTGTAATGGTTCGGTCTCAGCCAAGGAGAGTCGCCTCGTTGCTTTTCCTCCCAATCGAAATAGTTCATGCCGTCCTGCCCACGAGGGTTACCCCTCTCCTCAATAAAGTAGCGAGCGAGTTCATAGGCGTCGTCATGTCCCGTAACGCTGTATAGGCGTAAGAGGGCAAGCTCGATTTCCGGATGCCCTGGATATCCGTGCTTCTGGTCCTTGCTAGGTCCGAAAGTCGACCGTATCAAGTTGACGTACTTGTTGATGGGCTCAAGGAGTAAATCATTCTTGTAGTATTGATGATGCGCCAGGGCCGCTTCAATCAAATGTCCCGCGTTGTACCTTCAATGAGCACGGCATGGATGGTTCAGCAGCGGTGTCCAGACGATTCAAGTCTCCCACAAAAGGGGAGTATGACATGGTACACTTACAACTCATGCATGTCCCTGAGATTGGTCCATCTGTCATTGGGCGCGACGACGGTGAAATGAACGTTAAGATATCCGTCCTCCTGCTGGGCGCTTCTAATATCGTTGACGAGCTCCTGAACTGCGGAGTCGATTTCAGCATCGTATTCCTCGAACAAGAAATAGCATGCGCCTTCGATCCATTTGGCGACGTCGCTATCCCAAAACAGGTTTGTGGGTACCGGCCATGTCAAGGGGAAGTCCTCGTCGTACGCAGGGTGCCACTTGAGCTTAAAGCAATGGTAGCGGCCGGTAGTGCGTAATTGCTCAAGTTGCGTCCTCAGAGTATTGCCACGTATCGTTGATCTCTTGTTCCTGAGCAGTGACGGCCCATGGAATGTCGTGTGGCGGAACAAGATCTGCGGGTTGGACATGGTTGACAAGCTGAGTACCAGTGCTACTGAGCGGTAGGCATTGACCCGGATAGTACAAGGATCACCAAGGCACAAAACGCGTGGAAATGAGAGGACGAGGAAAAGATAATAAGAACGCAATTGGGATGACGCTAGTCTGTGTCCGTAAGAATATGGGGTGATGTGGGATGCCCGGAGCCGAACGAGAATATTGACGTGAGTTTGTCGTTAGGGGTTCTGGTGTTAATTGGATCAATATTATGTGAGATAGCCTTGGTGTTTCGACGAGAGGTAATGCTGACGGTTACTGACAGGCGCGGCTATTAAGCCCTTGTAAATATTGGCAACCCTTGCCGGAGTGCCGGAGCTGAAGTGGGATAGGATGGGTCTGTCCCACCGGAGCTGGAATTGGTGTCAGCACACCTTCGCAATTTCGAAGAGCAACCCCATGGGGAAGGTTGGCGCTAGACTGGGCGTCCCCACGTTAGGCATGCTGCAGATTCCCCAATCCCATCGATTGGCTATCCCACCGGAACCGGAAACTGCCATTCCACTCTACTGTTTCCCCGGCTTCGAGTGGTGTCAGTCCAGGGTGTCAGTCAGAGTATCTTGTTGCCATCAAAGTGAACCAGAACCTGTTTATATATCCTGAGACTACTCCACGTACAGAAATGACTGCTCCTCCGTAATCTTTTCTCGCACAAAGTATTCGTCAATCACCGATTGCCAACATGGGTCTCCTACAGGTGAGACGTACCCCCTTCGTGTTCCGTTGCGAACTCCACTTCCCTCCCTTCTTTTCTCCATCAAAAACTGATCAATTCGGGACCATCTGGCTTTTCTAGACGTTTCTTCCGGAGCAAGACCGCTTCGCAGCTCTGCTACTATATGGGATGATCTTTGCAACCTGCTTTAACGGATATGATGCGGGAATTATGACCGTTATCCTAGCGGATGAGCAGTTCAACGAATACTACAACGTCGACGATGTGAAGACTGGAGTGATCGCCACGGTTCCCTGGGCTACAACAGGCGAGTTATTGAGTTGATAGCCACCTGTGCATTACTCCGTGATGGCCTTATGCTAACCGACTTCAACCTCAAAGGTTTGGCCCAACTGTTCGTCGGAGGCACTCTGGCGAATTATCTGGGTAGGCTTTGGGCGCTACGTGTGTCTATCCTAGTCATGGTTATCGGCGTTGTCGTCCAGACCGTCCCAAACACGTATGGTGTACTTATCCTCGGACGCCTCTTGACGGGATTGGGCTTCGGGTGCATATATATAGCCGCAAGTCTGTATCGTGAGTGACGTCGGCTCCCGTCTGTCAAGGCGTGTAATACTACTCGGGTGTCCGTGTGTCACTAATGGTTTGGCGACTTTCAGTTGCCGAATGCTCCCCTCGGACTCTACGAGGTAGCTTCGTCGGCACCGTCAACCAGTTTGGATACCAGCTCGGTACTTTGATTGCTTTCTGGACCGGATATGGCATGTCCTTCCACAAGTCACCATATAACATTGCGTGGCGGGTATCGAACGTGATACAGATTCCGATCGGCCTGACCTTTTTCGTACTGTCGTTTTGGTATCCCGAATCGCCCCGGTGGCTGTACGACAAATACCCTGATGTCCCCGAACGGAGCCTCTCGTCACTCTGTAAGCTTCGATCCGGTTCCGCGACGTCTGAACATGTCCAGCAGGAATTCCACGAACTGGTGGCCTCCCACGAATACCGTAAGAGGTTCAAGACTGGCTACCGTGCCATTTTCTCGTCCAAAGGCATGAGGAAACGGCTCGCATACGGTCTTTTTGCTACAGCACTCCAGTAGGTCACTCACCCATGAGTCGTAATAGTCAATTTCTTCGGCGATTGAAGCGCCGGACCTAACGACATATTCCAGACAAGCCGGCGGTATAGCTGCTCTTACGATGTACGCTGCTATTGTAAGTCCCTTGGTGCTGTTGTTTAAAAAAAATTCCTTTCTATAAACGAAGTTGACCGATTTATCTTTCTTTCTGCAATCCAGATATATAAAAGTCTCGGTTGGGATCAGGGATCTGAAGCTCTTGTCATAAATGGCGTCCAGGCGGTTATTCAGCTCTTCATTGTTCTAATCAACACCTTCACCGTCGACCGGTACGGACGAAAGAAACTCTTGATGGCCGGGTTCTCTATCCAAGCTCTCGCACTTCTCGTCATGTCATGTCTCACAACCGCCTTTCCCAACAACGACAACAAGGCGGCGGCCGTCGCTGAAGTAGTGTGTCTCTTCATCGTCGGGATGACGTATTGTTGGTCTAACGGACCCATCGCCCCGGCTGTGGCTTCGGAGATTTTCCCCCAAGAAGTCCGAGACAAGGCATTTGGAGTGTCGCTGCTCGGTCAAACGGTGTGCCTGCTCGCTCTGACACAACCCTGGCCGAGATTCAACAATCAGGTTGGGGGCAAGAGCTACTGGCTGCTCTTCAGTTTGAATGTACTTTGTCTGGTACGGAATGATAGAAGCGTCCTTTTTCTCTTGGGCCGGTATCAACTTCGACTAACGGTAGATAAACAGGTTGCTGTCTTTTTCATCCTCCCAGAGACCAAGGGCATTTCCCTTGAGCGAATGGATAAGATATTTGGCGAGGTGGACGCTGTAGCGGCCGGAGAGGACGAGGAAAAGAGCGGCAAAATTGAGGCACCGACGTTCTCACACAATGAACAGGCACATGGGGATGTGGGAAATCTGGAGACTAAGGAGTAAAACGCCTGATTCATTGAAATATTCGAATAATGTTGTATATATCTGTAGCTACGACACGAAGTAGAAAGCGCGACTTAGGGTCGATGATAAGCGAAAGATATGACACCTATGCACACCCCTAGTTACGGCTATATGACTGAAGCTAAGACAAACGCGATAATATATACCAACTCTGGCTTGTAGCTCCATCCCAGCTCAGCGGGTCAGCCATGAGGTCGGTGATAAGTGGTAGCGCGGCCAAATTTTATGGCGACTCGATCAGGCGTTAAGTAGGCCCACCCAAATGTGTTTTATCCCCATATACCCGAAAGGTTGTGCTACACTAAGACTGAAATTAGGACCAGGACGAGAGGTCGGTTTTACCTGTCTGGAAGAGCCTTCCAGGCTATTTCCCCAATCGGGAAGCTGGTGTGTGATGAGAGGGACTGTTGCGGAGCTCTAATCAGAAACAGCTTGCCACATCTGAGAACCCACCACCATTATACAGTCAATGCCATAGACGTTTGTACAGGCCATCGTGTCTGACGTTTCGGTCTTATTCGTTAGCTCATCAACAGTGTCACGGGAACTGCCGTCGGTTAAAGGACTCTAAGACATCCTCTACAGCTGCAAATCTCGTTTTCCGCTTGCTGTCACATCCCTACTTGAGGGACTCTCCGTGCGTACTAGGTAGACACTGCATCAAATTTGGTCCTATTACTCCGAACTTATGCACGCCGAAACCGCATGTATTGCTCAGGCCAAATCACCCAGAGGCTTATACTACAGCAGAGTAAGCGATGCAGCAGGGAACTCATATCTATGGCTTGAGGGCTACGTGATCCTGTCCTTCGAAATCCCTGTATCCCTTTCCAATACGCTCTTGCCCGTAACCTTGCGCACCTCGACTTTTGCACTGGCTAGAATCCCCTTCAGCTGCACCTCAATCCCCCTATCCTCTGTGATATTTACAATGGCTAATGAATGATTTTATTATCTCCTAGTGCAGTACTAATATCTAGCTAAGGAGTCTCCATAGTGCCCTAATTCTAGGCTGGGTTTGTCTAGAAACCTATTTGGCCGGGCAATGAGGTGTAAAGCCTTACTTCGCAAGCGCCATCGCGTATAGACCCCGACATCCAATAGCTTGGTTGGAAGACGGGACATTTCCCGCCTCTTGCAACCTTTGTGGTGTTCCGAGCAGCTTTTGAGCCATTTTTCGATAGTGCCAATGCAAGATTCTAAGCGCATATCGAGTTCCATTGGACGGTGGCTGATGTATTGAGACGCTATATCATCTAAAAGAGAGTCGAATGTTCAATTTTTTTTTGGTCGAAAGTTAGAGATCAAAACACCTGCCAAACAGTGTGACTGGGATAGCTCCCATATTTCCGGACTATCATACCTGCTTCGGTGTAGACAGTGAACTGGTTCAGGAGGGCATAACCCCTGTAATACGGTTCACTAGGGGTCGTCAACGACAGTTCCCTAATGTCATGCAGCGTCGCCGATGTCGCATAGAGATAGACTACGGGATCTTCGGAAACTACTCTTTCCGAGACTCTCTCGTTGAATGCATCGATGCTTGCCCAGACGATGAGTCGTAATTTGCACATTATCTCTCCGCGCTTGCCAAGGCAAAGGCGAACAGGGCGCGCCCCGAGGCTAGAGCCTGTATAGACTGGATGGAGGATGCGATGCTACTGCAACCCTTGCAGAGAGATGCCCGTGTAATGAGATCGAAGGTATCCATACTGCTTCGTACTTTGCTACACGTTGCAGTTGACGGAGGCATTCTGGCATTTTCATACGAGGTAGTCCTCACGACCAAACGAGGCGCCAAATATTTTCTAACTCGGTTGGATAAATGCGGGGTGGTACGCCATCGGCTTGGCCAACTAGGATTACTGGGTTGGAAGAGAGCAAATGAAGACGAGTGTCTGGTCTTGTTTATATATTCGGCTAAGTGTAAAATTTCAGTCTTTCTATGAGGCCATCCTTCAACAATTCAAAGTATTCTGAAGGTCAGTCATGATATTGGTAATGGTGACGGAGTGGCTGGCTGATACCAACACCCGGCTCTTGATGAGTCTGCGACCATAGTCGGCGTGAAAGACACTCTCCTGAGTCGCAGTTTTATCCAGGCCAATGTCGAAAATGCAAATATCGCACATGGAATATGGGGAGTGCTTTTCAAGGTCCAACGGTCACCTCCTCAACGGGACAGCGGCGATGGCTGCAATGCAGCTACCGAGTCATTTAGCAAAAGTCCCTCCCCATCACACTGCGCTAGCCGACGCCGATACGCGAGTAAGCTGACGCCATGCAGTAGGACTAGGACCTAATATCGGCGGTCTTGCATAGATTTATATTATTCGCCCTCGTGAACTGGAGCTCTTTTCTTTTTCTGCTGGATTTTTGACCTGCTTCCGGCACGCCAGATAAGTGACTCCAGCCTCTTCCGACCGGACATTCCAAATTTATTCAGAGGTGCATCTATCTGTATATTCTCTCTCATTGCCAGCTAGCACCAGAAAGGACTCGACGTCTCTCAATTTGGCGAAGATGAAGCTGCTCGCTATTGTTGAGGGACTCGTACTCTTACGCGGCGTCATTGCAGGTTCCGTTCCTCGAGTCCGAGATACCACGAACGATGTGACGTACGAAGGCCTCTTGCGGCATGGAATCGAAGTCTTCCTGAATATTCCCTACGGCGAAGATACTGGCGGCCGAAATAGATTCAAACCGCCCCAACGACATGTCCCCGCTCGGGGAAGCACGGTTAAAGCCCAAGCTTACGGACCGTCTTGTCCACAGCCGCTAGGCCCGGGCTTCGTGCCAGTCGTGCTTGGAGAAATCACCAAAGTCTCTGAGAATTGCCTGAATCTCAACGTCGCCCGGCCCAAAGGGACGCGGGCAAAAGATCGGCTGCCCGTCATGGTCTGGATCCACGGTGGTGGCTTCTGGACTGGAGGGAATAACGAGCCCACTACCGCCCCGGATGGGCTGGTGCTGGAATCTGTCGAGAATGGGCTGCCCGTTATCCATGTCGCGATTAATTATCGCCTAGGCTGTAAGAAGCCCCCCCGTTATGCTCCCATATCGACATGTCATATTAACTTGCTTGCAGTCTTTGGTTTCGCGCAGTCAGATGCTCTGGAGGCGGAGGGCTCAGAGAATGCAGGCCTGAGAGACCAACGACTTGCATTTGAATGGGTGAGAGACAATATCCGTCACTTTGGAGGAGACCCAGAAAGGATAACCATTTTCGGTCAATCATCTGGAGGTACGTGCTCAGTGTCCCGACAGCATCACGTCTGGGATTTCCTGACGATCAATTTTTATTAGGCCTAGCCGTTGGGTTACACCTTCTCGCATATGGTGCAAGAAAAGCCAGTTCCCTTCCAGCGAGCCATTTGCGAAAGCCAAGCGCTTGAACCTGGAATCACCGGTACCTTTACGATCGATGCCATGCAAGCCCTCGTCGACTACGTCGGATGTAACCGCTCAGCTCTGAATAGCGTAGAGACCGTCGAGTGCCTCCGGACTTTCGACACGGAACCTCTGCTCAACGCATCTATCGCTACCAAGTTTGACGATCTCGCCCACAACATCGGAGATATCTGGCTCCCCGTGGTTGATGGTGACTTCCTCCCCGCCGCGCCCTCGAAACTCATCAGAGGCGGCCGCTTCGCCAAGGTACCGACGATGATCGGGTGGACTGACGGCGATATCAACCTCTTCGTGGACTTTAACCTAAAGACCGCGAAGGAAATGCACGATTTGATTGCGTCGTACATTCCGGACGTCGCCAGCGAAAACATTGACGCGCTTCTGTCACTTTATCCCGCCTCAGATTTCGCGGCCCAAGAGACCAAATCGCTTTCTGCTGAATTCTTCCGTTCGTCAAGAATAATCAGGGACATCATCATGGTCTGCTGGTACGCTGAACATCTTGTAAAATACGGGAACGACGAGGTATATCTCTACGACTGGAACCAGACCATTTTGGAACCACTCCTAGAGGCCGTCGTGGGAGCTCCGGGACTTGGACCAGTCCACACGGCCGAATTTGCCTACATATTTGGAAACTTATCCGCCTATGACGTGCCGGGTCTTCCATTCGAACCGACCCAAGAGGATTACGCCTTGGCCAAGCGTGCCTCGAGGTCATGGTCGACGTTTGCGAATCTAGGCAGACCTATTCTTAAAAAGCCCGACACGCTCAAAGGTTTCGGACCCGCATTGCCGAACAAGCGTGACGTGTACGTATTTGTCGCTGGGGGACCGAACGAGGGCCTCTCAGCGATTGATGGGCGACATTCTTCTCCTGCTCTACGAGCGCAGAAGTTGAGGGAGAGATGTGAGTTTATAAACTCGCTGGAAATGATTGAGCAGCTGGAGTTCTAGTTAAACAGGATCAAGTTAAAACTAATCAAGGCATTGGGGGTTTGGGGGGACGGAGTAGTTGAACTTCCGTTATTTCTAGAAGTTCGCTGAAGTCGCCAGAGGAAGAGGGCCGGGGATTGGATGATGTATTTCTAACTCTGCAGGTGCTGGGGTCAATGACCCGACGATCGTCATCGATGCATCACGGAACCGCAGAATACAGTATCGCCATCAACGTGTGCAATGCGTGGTGATTGTCTTTACGGTATTGTCTAGATAAAAGGAGTGACGCGGGTGGGTTCCTTTGCGAATTGATTATGAGGAGGCGGATGTCAGGATCTGCTGGCCACTCTGTCGCTTCTCGCTACCGTGAGCGACGCCACGGTCCGCCGCCAGATACCCTAATACCGAGGTATATATGTTAGACTTCAGGCGATCAACTCAATCGCATTGTAGGATCTCATCAGGGCACAGCGACATTGGGTTGGTTTCATCACCTGCCTAAATAAGTAAGTGGGGCGAATGCTCTCATTTGCAGGACGCACGCAACAGGTCATGTTCCTCGGAAATCTCTCCGACAATCCTGTCACCGCCTCTTCTCGCCCTTTCATCTTTCAGGCATCTCGTAGCCGACAGCTGCATTGCAACCCACGGCATCGATGACCGAGTTTGTAAACTGGGATAATATCGGCGCCACCGCCGATCCGGAGACGCACCCGGACATAGACCTAGAGAACATTGACCTCAGTGGTCTCGATCATAACTCCGTTTTGGGCTATGACAATGAGAATTACGACGAATTCTGCGCCTTGCACCCTGCAAGCAAAGTGAATGGTCCTCTTCATCATGAGGGTGATCGTGTCGAATTTGACAGTGGCCTCGTCGACCCCGAATTGGGTACGAAAACCGATGACCAGCACATCCCCGGCAATCGCAATCGGGCCATCCAGCGCAAAGTGCCCGCTCTTTCTGAAGATTCAACCTCTTCAGCGAAGCCCGACTCGACGACAAACGTCCGCGCTAGGTTCTCCAGGGAAGCGGTGGGGATTTTGAAGAGCTGGTTTTCGTCCCACAGCAAACACCCCTACCCAAATGACGACGAGAAGGAGATGCTCCAGCGCCAGACAGGCCTGAGCAATACCCAGATTGCCAATTGGCTGGCGAACGCTCGGCGCCGTGGCAGGTTACGTGCCACCAAACTTGCGTCCCCGCGTCCGGAGCTTTCGTCTACGAATCCGATCGACATTCCGAGTAGGCGAGGGACGGCGCCAGCTGCTGCGGAGATGAGCATGATGGGCCCACTCGAGCGTTGGGTCGACTCTCCTCCCGAAAATGAACCTGTCTCGGTAGCTGCTATAGCCCGAGCGATCACAGCCTCAAGGTCTAGCAGGTCATCTAGTCTCGAGAATTCATTTAGCCACGACTATACGGACGATAGCGATGGGAGGTCGGCCTACAATCAGTCATCAGCCAGTTCTATCGGAACATCCCGGTCGAGCAGCAGGTCTCTTTCTTCGGTCAATTCCCACACATCTCGGGGGTCCTTCGGGTCGTTTAGGTTGTCTAGTAGCAGGCGTAGGCGTCGCTCGAGGCGCTCGGTTCCTAAGCGTACAGCAACTTCAAATTTCCTCACCGCCCCTCTAAAGACATACCAATGTACCTTTTGTACGGAGACGTTCCGCACGAAGTACGATTGGCAAAGACACGAGAAATCTCTGCATCTATCTCTCGAACGCTGGGTATGTTCCCCACACGGACCGAGGGTCTTGAATCCCGACACAGGCCGAACCTGCTGCACCTTCTGCGGCGAAGATGATCCGGACGATGCTCACCTCGAGTCCCACAACCATTTCCCATGTCGGGAAAAGATCCCCGAAGAGCGGTCTTTCTACCGTAAAGACCATCTTAGACAGCATCTAAAGTTAGTGCACGACGTCAAGTTTCTCGATTGGGCGATGAAGCGCTGGAAGGTTGCTATCACCGAGATTCGGTCAAGGTGTGGCTTCTGCGGTAAGGTGATGGACACTTGGACAACTCGTGCGGACCATCTTGCCGAGCACTTCAAAGCTGGTAGAACAATGGCGGACTGGAAGGGCGACTGGGGCTTCGAAGCTCCCGTGCTTAGCATGGTTGAGAATTCTATCCCGCCTTGTATGTACTCTCTTCGCCATGCGGTGGGCTGGACGCAAGACTAATTTTCCACTCCAGATCTAATCCACGACGAACGAAACTCTCCGTTGCCTTATATGGCCAGCCAGGCACCACCCGAGTCACCGAGAAATGCGTACGAGCTCATCAAAATGGAGCTTCTTTACTACGCCACTGGAATGTGGGAGGCGGAGGCAAGGATGCCCTCTGATGAAGAGCTACAGCTTGAAGCGTGCCGAGTCATATTCGCCTCCGAGGGGCTGTCATCGCGGGAAGTGTCGACCCAGTCATGGTTGCGAGATCTGATCATGGCATCGGACCAGATTGCAGCGCAAGCAAAGTTCGGCAAGTTAAGAAGCCACGCGGAGAACCTACTCTCGACCCTGAGGATTAACGGGAAAGACAACCTTTTTGAAGCGTGTCCCCTGGAGAGTCAACTTCAGGAGTTTGTCCGTGCGAGGCGCGTCTTGGGCCTGACGATCATGGACTATGAGCTCCAGGAAGAAGCTTGCAAGATTGTTGGGCTTATGGAGGAGACGACAACTTGCCCATTGAATAGTGTAGCCGACTGGACCGTCCGACTTATCAACTCCTCGACGAGCTGGCTCTCCAGTTTCCGCCAGCGGACCGACCCATCTCTTGGTGGAAACCCGCAATATGGGGTCATGGACTCGATCGACAGCGGCCGGTGGGAGCGAGATCTAGGCGGTTACAGGAACCGATCGGTCGATTATTACCAGGGACAGAGGCACGGATATGATGGCGCGGTTTTAGCGGGGCCCCAAACGACTGTAGACCCGAGGCCACTGACTCTCGCGGCACCCTCCACCTCAAGTCATTTCGTTCCGCACTATCGAGTCTCCCACAGTGGCGAAGAGCCGTCTGGATTACTCAACGACGCAGATCCCTTTAGAGCCAGCGCGTACTTCCTAAATGGCACGAACTGCTATCGGGAGCTTTCACGACAGCTCAGTCGATATGTATTTCAAACCATGTCTCCCAACAACCCGAATCAACATGTGCCGACTGATGAAGAGCTCCAGAATCAAGCACGATGGATCTTATACGATGAGTAAGTTTATCTGCCTACCTCTCGGGCCGATCGTGGAGTTGGGTTCTGACACTGGCTTAGTGATGATCCGTGGACCCGGACGGCGGCCGACAATGCGGAGTGGCTTTTACGGTTCAAACAGGAGGTGGGCTTGATAAAGGACGGAGAAATAGGTCTTGGATTAAACGGTTCGAGCTCGTGAATTAGTTAGGCGTTGTGGATGGATATATGGCAGCCAAGTGTTGGCTCCGGCGAAGTTTGTTTCACGATATCTTCATATTTTAGCATACATCATTCCTGTCAACACTCTGATTCCAATCCCAATATGTCTATCATGTACAAAGGTATGAAGGTAACTCGATTTCCTATGAAATAGTACTTATTTTGATGGATCTGAGTACGAGCACTCTGGAATAGCGTGGGCAGGGGGTCACGACGGCGTTCGAGCTCTGCAAGGATGGTCCGTTCTCCTTCATTATTACAGGGCAGGACAGTATCATGCCCCACTAGAAAACGGACCAACGGTGGGACGCTGCCCTTAACGAGCATATTTCCCTAGAGAGTACTTTTTAGTCCTTCCCGTTTCCTCTGTTGTTGGTTTTTCTTTTTGTTCATCCTTGGCGCATGATCCTTCGGACACATGGATTATTTGTTTTTTTTTTAACAACCTAGCCTAAAAACCCTAGATTCCCTCCTCTTCATCCGTCAATCCTATCTAATCGTAGCCGATCTCCCTCCCTCCCACCGCCCGACCATATCGTCTAACACCGCGCCATCTGTCCTTGCAACAGCCACATCACTGCTTGCCCTCACCACCCCATTCGTGCAGCCGCCAGGCTGCGACATCCACTAGACGACCACAGGTTTTCAGTCACCGATAGTACTCAGTTAACCTTTCCCCTCGCAGTATCCAAGCCAGTCACATCATGCTACCCCTCCGGCTAGGAGGCCATCATGCTGGAAAGCCGGCTCCATTTCACCCCAGCCGTGTACCCCAGTAGCTGGACATCCTTTAATATAAGAGAGGATTGGCGCTCGGGGCATACGACGGCTTTTTACTACAATAGGTAGGACCACACTTATTACTCTGTTCTTTCCTCTTTTTAAGATTCTTTTCTTTTCTCTCCCCCCCCCCCCCCCCCCCCCCCCCTCTTTTTTTTTAAGTCTAGTTATTTCATCACTGCGAAATGAGATATACTAACAGATTCTCCTTATCTAGTGGCTACGCCTTTCAAGGCTGGAGCGTCAACGAGATTGCGATGTCGATGGAATCGAACCTCTACAGACGCTGGGTTCCGAGCACTGATATGGTAGCAAACTCTGGAGAAGAATCCAATACACCATTCTCGGGCCAAACTCTGATAGTGCACGAACCTTGGGCTGTGACCTGGGCTGCATCCGACACACCAACAATGATGCCGCAGCTGCCCACAATCACCAACTCCATGCTCGTGCCCACATGGACCCCCAGCCAGGTTATTCCTGACGGCCTATACGACACCGACGACAGCACCCGAGACCATCCACATTCGCTAAGCAAGGGTGCGCTCTGGTTCCTCATGGTTGGGATGCCCATTATCGGGGTGATACTCATCGGTCTGTGTGTCTGGGGTTGTGTGTGGAAATGCAAGAAGACTAGGCAGGAGAAGGCGCTGAGGAGTACAGCTGGGGGCCTATCTGAAGGGAAGCTTGTTGGCTGAGGATTTCTAGAAGAGGTATATGAAAGGGATAAAAGAAGCCAGAAATGGATTTAGCTGAAGTATAATAATCCTTTACGTCAATTTTTGCAGGTTCGTGTACGTTAGATGACTGTATACTAATGATTCATTAAATATAAGCTATAACTATTTAAACTTTGTACTACTATTACGTTTACTTCAGTGACTGCTAGTTTAATCAGAAGGGCACCTGGCACCAGGTAGCTATTAACCTAACTGCTTTATATATACATCTCTCAAAATTTGGTCTCATCGAAAACGAAAGCAATCGTATCTCGTCGATTTGTTTGTGACCTAGGAGTAGAATTCGACTGCGACGGCAACTACATGTTCCAATGAACATTGGCTCGTTGCGAGCATGAGGTAGGGGTCTAATAGGTCTTGCCTGACTATGGTTCTGCTACGAGATGTGTCGATTTTTCCGTTACCTGGTGCATGTACAGGTGGCAGCGTTAGCCTCCGTCGCTCGTGGCGTGGACCAGAAACAGATCTACACTAAAAAAAGGTCAAAATATGCCCTCCTTCCGCGACAAGGATCCAACATCCACTACACGCGCAACGGTACCATCCAGAGAGTGGCATTTTTTGGCAGCCAGTTGGCAATTATATGGGGATGCTCTCAGCATAACCTGTCCACGAGGTGGAAGGGGGTTATAGACAGGGTACACAAAGGGTCTTGCTAAAAGTCGTGATTTTCTCTCAAGTGGACGAGGGTCATACATCTAATGCACCAGATTGGTGTAAGTTTTGAACTTATGAAAACTTATGAACCTGAATGCACCAAGGTTTATTGGATGGTTTTCCGGCAACCACTAATATGTCGCTATATAGGAAATACAGAAAACGCCGTCGCCGGACCTATCGTGTCTCATGGAGCAGGCCTTGCTTGAACAAATATGCTCAATCACTTCTTCAGAACCAGAGGTCCAACGGTCGAGAGCCCCGAGCTGCCCCCATGAATCTCAACAGCCTTTTCCATCAAAGACATAAAAACCGCTGCAGGGCTGAAGTCGACCCCAGCCTCCTCACAGGTCCGCTTAATGTTATGCAGGCTTACCACCATCATGTCCATAGGATGTCCGTCGTTCTCAAGCCAGTCTTCGTCATCCCACCTCTTCGCAATCATGCTTAGTAGCGGGACAAGCGCCTGAAGCAACGGAACGATGGCTTCGCCGGAGGACCCAATCTTGCCGTCCTTGCTCCCTTGCTTGAGGATGCCGAGACCCACGAAAATGCCGGAAAACATGCTATACATGCCTACAAGCAATGCGTTGTCGAATCGCGATGCCTGCGCGACATCCTGGCCATGATAGCTGCCCTCGCCGATGGCGGACAAAAGCGGTAAGAGGGAGGAGTAAACGTCCTCTGTCTCGCCACTGAGGATGAACATGCTGCCGGGCTTTCCGACAACGTACGGAGGAACCATGATGGCGCCGTCGAGGTACCGAGCGGCCCCCTTCGCGCGCACCGCGGTGTCCATGTTGACGGCTTCTCCAGGCGACCCGTTGCAGAAGTTAACGATGGTCTTGCCCTGGAGAGCGTCCTCTGGGAGGGTGTCCCAGGTCTTTTGGAGGGTCTCATTGTTCAGGAGGCAGACAACGATGATGTCGTTCTTGGCAACGGCGTCGGCGACGTTTGGCTCGTAAATTGCACCCGCTTCAACGGCGGCGATGACTCCGGGACGGTCTTTGGTGCGGTTCCATGCAGTGACGCTGACTCCAGCCTTGGCGAGAGTTTGGACGAGGGCGCTGCCCATGTTTCCGAGTCCGATGAATGTGAGGCTGGGCATTTTGACTAGGTCTAGTGGTCGTTTATGTGTAAAAGAGTTTCGGGGAGTGGTTATGGAAAGATGGTTCTGTGTGATAGCTGAGGAGATGATTATGAAGGCGATTTACAAAACCAGGAAGAGGAGTAAGGGAGTCTTATATCCTTTCTCCCCTTAGACACACGGGGCCTTCAACCTCTTCCATCTCTCCCCCATTTCAAATCTCATAACACATGAGTTCACACTCGTTGCAGCATTTTACTGCAAATTTTGTGAATCCGGGAACATGAAGTCGAAGCCATCGTCAGACGGAAGAACTCGAAGTCCATACGACACGATGAATACGGCATGAGAAAGGGCAGGCAAGCCCAGGCAGACGTCGCAAGAAGCGTCAAGTTGGATTTCTAATCTGGCTGGGATGTTGTATAGGTTTGTAATTCATCTGCGTAGAGTGCCAAGAGCAGAACCATGGCGATGTCTTCCAATTGTAGCTAGACTCGGGGACCCGACATAGATGAAGACATACGGGGGAGCCGCGTTTGCTGTTTAAGCTACTCATACGAAGGAGGGCCTTGAAAGAGCAAGAGGTCAAGCTAATTGGACTAAGAAAGGCACCATGACGGGTTGCCATACCTATGTTACAACGAATGTGGAGCCATGTCAGCCATGTGCATATGAACTAGACCCAGAGAAGAAATTTCTTAGTGATCAATGTAACCTTCAGCAGAGGAGGACCTTGGCATACTCCCGTAAACCTCGCGGCATGATGTGTAGCAGAAGGTAGAAGTCGGAAAGGAGAAAAATAAAAGAAAAGGTCAAGGAAAGACGGGGAAAACGGTGGAGAGTAATGAAGAGAAAAAAAAAAAAAAAAAAAAAAAAAAAAAAAACGAGGAAATCAAGAGAGAGAGAGAGAGACAGCGGTGACACGGCACTAGCCTCGTCATCAATAGCTCTCAAGCCGCTGCTACTAATAAACTTAAAATCTACACATCGGTCTTACCTGTCCTCCCTTCTGCGTCCCGCCTCCTTCCTGGAGCCGGACGCATCAGGAGAACCCGGCGGAATTTGGTACTCCGAGGCGCTGAAGCAATGCATCTGCCGTGGGGCGACCACCAAGAAATTCTCTAAGATGCACTCGACACTTTGCTCAGGTGAAAGACTCGAAATTAGCCAAGGATAAGTTGTCGAAGGCATCATGGCGACTCACTCACAGCTGGGAAAGAATGCCGATGATGCGGCTTTTAGAGCGCTCACGAAGGCGAGCATCTGTCAACTCATCCGGGGTCGCCTCCTTCTAGGCCTCCATGTAACGGGGTCGATTCTTGTGTAATGGAAACTCATAGCCTTCAACTCGTCCTTTATCCAACACTAATTCTCCAACATTATTCCAATTGCTTCCCCGAATTCGAGACATATTTCGTGGGCGTGGAATGCAGCTTACTTGGTCCTGGCAACTAAGTCATGGATAGCGTGTCCAATCACTTTGGGGTGCGCCAATATAAGTAAACGATAAGTTGTCCAATTAACAGCTATGTTAGGGAGATACAGAACTTGCCGTGGAACAGTGTTGTGACACTTCCGTGTCCGAGCCTGGCGCATGTCGTCGGCTCCGGACGAGGAAAGCAACACGTCAGAATCGTTAATACCGGATAGACTCTGCTCTCACCATAATTAATGTACCTCTAGAGTTCGGGAGATTAAATAAAACCTGTTGTCGCACGTAACCAAGACCAGCCGGTCAAGAATATGCGTACCTACTGCAAGTTGACACACTGATTGCCTTTATACTTGTTAGGGCGTGAAAGGAGATCGGTACATAGGTAGCCGACCCATGCCGGAACACCCTCGCCCCAAGATGATGCATCTAATGAATCGGGGGATATCGGCTCAAGTCTAAGCTTCAGACAGTCCGAGAAGAGACGCAGCCTAGCATCAACAGAATGCTGTAAAGGGAAATACTCTGCAATTTCGTTATAGCCTGGTTCACTTTCATCACCAGTAAGGCGTCGATAATAATAAACATCCCACGGGAAAACATTAGAAGTTAATTATAAACTTAACTTTCAATCTCTTCCTAGCCTATCTAACATTCCACACGCAAGATGTTGTCGCGAATGACCCGATGGATGAATTTCTGATCAGGGTTCTCCGTTAACCTTTCATCTGTCTGCGGAAAACATTCCCCTCTCGGGAGCTCAATGACGACTGCTGAGAGCAATCGAGGAGATCGGGTTGATAATTTCACCTCTTTCCTGCCAGTTGTTAGCGATCAAATAATGGTTTCCCGGATATCGATCCTCGTTTCAGCTGCCATTCAGAGCAAGTCTGTCATTGATTATTCGGCCGACGTCGTTATTGCTCTTAAACTCGCCTTAAGAGATCCCGCCGAGCGGGTGTTGCTCTTTACTCTCTGTTGATTTACCCCACTTCGAGGGTTTGAATGGCTTCAACGTCCTCTATAAACGATCTGACATTTTAAGAGGTACTACCTTTTAAATACCCATTGGACCAGACCCCATGAGTCGACTAAGGCGACCTAGAAGCCCGACCCCGAAAGTGTCATCAGATACATTACATCAATGTGATATCCCAATTTATCTACAGGAAAATCGCTCCCATGTCCTTCCGCATGAGGGGAAATGAAGTATGTCTCTCGGCATCCGCGGCCATCACGGTTGCGAGGCCGATCCTCCGTCTTCGGAACACCACAGTTGAAAACCGGCAACACGACCATGGTCGGTAGGTTCAGTCACCTATACATAAGACAGACGATAATACATGTGGGTTTTGATGAAGGAATGACTAAAGGCGTGACCGATAAAAAGTAAAAGAGAATGATTCTTTATCAGTTCTTCGTTGAGCCGATGCAGAGGTTGCTCGGCAGTTACTTGGCGAAAAAGAAGGAAACTCCAGCCAGCATGCTGGAATAACGCTCCAGTCTGGGAACCCAAAGGCAAGAATAGACCTACCTGCTTATCGTTACCCATTTCCAATCCCGACCCGAACCTCCGTAAGTTGGTGTGCGGGGGAACGGATCCTTATCTCGAGCTGCAGAGAGGTGCGTGGGTGTTCGAACTGTCCAATAGGTCAATGTCCTTATCAATTCACTCGGCGTTAGTTTAGTCTTCGAAATTCCCGAATTGATCGGAAACACCCGGTCAGACACTCAGTCCCCGTAGGCCAATCTGGATGGCTTCCAAGTTCTACCCGCCTTATCGGTAGTAAACTAATATGTCTCCTGTTGTAATATTGTGCACATCCTTATCTTGATCCAGTCAGTCGGATATGGTCTCGTCGGATATAGTCCCGTCCGCCCTTCCGGTCCCAGTGGCCCAATCCTGATGGTTTCCGAGTTCCAACCACTCGCTGCTCTCATCTGATCTTAAATTAGCGCTGCGAGAAGCGTATGCACTTGGCCTCGGAATCTGGTTCTGATCCCGAGATAGTACCATATATCGAGATACATCGCGGTGATCATTATGCACTAGATTTATAAATAAAATCGCCTATGGAGGATGCCGCATAGAATATATTACTCTAAATGTCCTGCATCGTCCGTGTCCTAACGGCCCTCTCCGTATCCAGCGGCTTATAGATAATATCGATACCACTGCAACAACACCAGTGCTCGCTCTGGTCTAGCATCAAACCATATTGTGATTTTCAGAATACCCTCCTTGGATCTGAAAGGCATCCCAAGACAGTTGAGTTAGAATCATCATGCCCGCTGACGTCCGTCTGCCGCACCCCTTCGATCCCCTCTCGAAAGAGGAGATTGAGGCCGCCATCGCCATCATCAAGAAGGCCCATGGCGATAACCTTCTTTTCAATGTCATATCTCTCCAAGAGCCTCGTAAAGCTCAAATGACCGCATGGCTCGAAAATCCCGCATCTGCCCTTAGGCCTGTCCGAGTTGCCGATGTAGTAGTCATTTGTCCTGATGGTAAAGTTTGCGATGGCCTTGTCGACCTCCAAAAGGGCACCATTACTAGTTGGGAGGAGCTAGACGGATTGCAGCCGATTGTAGGTGATGTGACTTTGATGATGTTTGGATGGGCCATTTTTAGCGTCACTTGGCGATGCTAACACTCGTGGATTAGATCACCGTCGAGGAGCTCCAGATGGCGGAGCACGTCGTGCGCAAAGACCCCCGAGTTATCGAGCAGTGCAAGATCAGCGGCATCGCCGAAGAGGACATGGACAAGGTCTACTGCGACCCCTGGACGATCGGCTACGATGAGCGCTGGGGAAACAAGACCCGCCTTCAGCAGGCGCTTATGTACTACCGCCCCGACGTCGACGACTGCCAGTACCAGTACCCCCTTGACTTTTGCCCCATCTTCGATCCGATCAGGAAGGAAATCATCCACATTGATATTCCCAAGGTCAGAAGGCCGCTTAGCAAGGTCCCCGCCATTAATTACCACCCAGCTGGCGTTCAGAAGCAGGGCGGTTTCCGCTCGGACCTGAAGCCCATCAATATCACCCAGCCTGAAGGCGTCTCATTCAAAATGACGGGAAGGGAAATCGAGTGGCAAAACTGGAAATTCCACATCGGCTTCAATTACCGCGAGGGAATTGTCTTCAATAACATCACTTTTAACGACAAGGGCACAGAGAGGCCCATTTTTTACCGCTTATCTCTCGTCGAGATGGTGGTTCCCTAGTAAGCTCACCCCCCATCACCTTTTCTAGACGCATCACCGATACTCATATCGACCACAGCGGAAACCCCGAGCACCCGCATCAGCGTAAGCACGCACTGGATATAGGAGAGTATGGGGCGGGGTATATGACGAACAGCTTATCGCTCGGGTGTGATTGCAAGGGTGCCATCTTCTACCTTGATGCCGAGTTCCCCACACGGGCGGGCGGAATTCGAACCATCAAGAACGCCATCTGCATCCACGAGGAAGACAATGGAATTCTTTTCAAGCACTCGGACTTCAGGGACGACTCCGTCATTGTCACTAGAGCTCGTAAGCTTATCATCCAGCAGATCTTTACCGCTGCCAATTATGAATATGCAATTCAGGTGAGGCTCCCGATGTTATTAACAGGCGTTTGAAGTGAACATGAGCTGATTCCCTTCGATTTTAATAGTGGATATTCCATGTAAGCAGAAACTGAGTTAAAGGAATGCTCCCTCTCTAGGAGGTAGTGCTAACACCTTAGCAACAGCAAGACGGCACTATTCAGCCCGATATCAAGCTAACGGGCATCCTCAACACCTACTCCATGAACCCAGATGAGGACACCAATGGCTGGGGAACGCAGGTCTATCCAGGTAATCATCTCAAAACATACTATATCTGTAACACCTGCTAATGCCATTACGCACAAGGCGTCAATGCCCATAACCACCAACATCTATTCTGCTTACGCATAGACGCCAACGTCGACGGCCCCAAGAACACCATCTTTGCCATCGATGCCGTGCAAGCGGAGGCACCCGTCGGAAGCCCAGGAAACTACTACGGAAACGCTTTCTATGCCCAACGAACCAAGCTCGCGACAGTTGGCCAGGCGAAGACTGAATACAGCAGCGCGACCATGAGGACGTGGGACATTTGCAACACCAACAAGCTGCACCCATACAGCGGCAAGCCCTCCAGTTACAAGCTAGTGAGCCGAGAGATCCCCGGTCTGATGCCCAAGCCTGGTTCCTTGGTATGGAAGCGAGCTGGCTTTGCCCGCCATGCTGTCCATGTTACGAAATGTGAGTTGCCATTAAAAAATGAAAAGAAAAAAATAGAAAAAAAAATAAAAGCGAAAAACACTGCTCTCCTCACCCATTTTACCCCTGTTTTCTCTAACTAAATCATCAGATCGCGACGACGAACTTTGGCCGGCTGGAAGACATGTCCCGCAAACTTCAGGGGAACAAGAGGTCGGTCTCCTCAAGTGGTCCGCCGACGAGAGCGAGAGCATCGATAATGAGGATGTCGTTCTGTGGCACACGTTTGGGCTCACGCATTTCCCCGCCCCGGAGGACTTCCCGGTCATGCCTGCCGAGCCCATCACGCTACTCCTCAGGCCACGCCACTTCTTCTCTAACAACCCCGTCATGGACGTGCCGCCTAGCTACTGCATCACTCCCAGCCAAGTTGCGGCAAAGGCACAGGGAGTTGGGCCCGCGTTTGATAAGAACTCGGCGTATGCGAAGCCGGAGAAGACCTGTGGTAGCTGCCATGGTGAAAACGGCACGAATGGAACTACTGATGGCGCGCATTAAACATCCCGGAGCAGCAACTATAAGCGAATTTATGTGAAATTGTGTTATTATGGGTTATGGGGTTGGAAACGAATGAATAGCATTCAGTGGCTTAGATTAAATGATGCCAGTGCGAGCGAATCAAGGAGATCCAAATTTCCTCCTCCTGATTATATTTTGCGGTTGATGAGGAGAGCCTGTATAGGAATATTATGAGCACCCATATAACCACAGCCATCCGAACGACGATGGACATATACGGAACGCGATTGATAATATACCTATATTATCCTGCCCAAGTCCTAAACCATCAATCGGTTCTAAAAGCTTAGTGGGAATTCCCTTCATTAAGGAATAAGTGTAATAATTCTTAAGCGAGGGAAGTACTATGTATCAACCAGTGCAAGAAAGAGGGAGCCCGAGTCCAAGCATAGTTGTAATGGCCGCGATGGTTTATACGCCAAAGATAGATATATAATATTGGCTCGATTATTATCCAGTCTACCCACTACTTTTGCTGCCATTCATCTCATCATCATCCGTAGCAGAAGTCTTCGTCGTCATACCCATCATCATCATTTCATTTTCGGCTAGACAGCTAAGTCTAAGCCTGGACAATCTTACCAATGCCATCAACAGGCTCGCTAAGCTCAACCTTGCACTGGGGCAGGGCGACACCGTAAGTTTCGAAGCTCATCTCGCCCGTATCGGAATCAGTGGTGAGCCAGCGGCGGTTGAGGAGATCTCCGTCCTGAGCGCGGTCGAAGAAGTTTTGAGGGGCAAAAACAATGCTGCTTACAGCCTCCGTGTAGAGAGTGACGGGAATATCCTCGGCGCGAGTGTAATGAACCATACCGAGGTTAAACCACACCACAATGTCCTCGTCCTCTACGCTCTCGCCGTCGAAGAACTTCAAAAAGTCCTGCTGGGGCGAATCGGGCATGTTGATATTCTGGACGCTGTTGGCGTAGGGCTCGTTGTCGTGTTGGACCGTCACGGCAAGGTGAGACTTCGCAAAGGACGTCTGATGGCGGGAGAAGGGCGAATTCATCGGAGTGAGGTGAACCATGGACTTGCCTGGAACGAGCCGATAACCACGCTTCTCGCCCCACTTGTTCTTATCCTGGCTAACAACGCAGTACATGGCCTCACCGTTGGGCGCCCAGTTGAACTGCTGCTCCTCGGTCATGGTGGAGATGTCAAGTTCCATCTGCTCGAACTCGCCCAACTCGGGGAACCAGGGCTGGGTCTGGTTGACCACGACGAGCTTGCTCACTTCGAGGCTGTTTTCAGTGCCTGCGACGTCGAAATCGGCCTTGTAGGTGAGGACGTGTTCGTGAAGACTGCCCATGGTTGCTTGCTGGATTCTAGGGCCCCATTTCTGCTGGTCGGGGTAATAGAATGACGACTGCAGATAGCCGGAGGCGCGGACCGAGACCTCCAAGGAACCCTCTAGCAAGAAGGAATAACTGAACATATAATCGTAGTTCCCAATCGTGGCAATAGATCGGACTGTGAGCCCGGAACCTTTTACCGTGCCTAGATTTGTATACCCCCAATTGTTGGAACCACCGGATCGGTGACGGGAAATTGGGTAACCTAGGTCAGCCTCAAAGATGCAAATGGCGTTGGGTTGGGTGACGGAGGTGTTGCCTGAGAAGTACGTAATGGGCAAGAATGTCGATCCGAAGGGGCAGTCAAACCCTTCGACGAGAGCACCAACATCAGTCCCCAAGCTGTAGTACGTGTCATGGTAGACGGTAGAGGCCGCCTTTGGAGTGCGGCCAGCATATTGGGCAGCAGCCTCCTGGAGCGAAAGCTCGTAGATGACCCTTTCACCCTTGAACTTGATGTCGTACAGCATCACGCCCAGCGAGCGCGTGAAGGACAAGTAGAAGGACCAGCCCATGTACTCAACATAGCGCTGCTCCTCGTCCAGCTTGTAACGTTTACCACCAATCTCGAGGGTTTGGGGGGCCATGAGGTTTTCGAGGTCTCGGACGCCCAGTTCGGGCTTGTAATCAACTAGGCCCCAATCATAATCTCGCGTCTGAGGGAATTCCTCCTTGAGCTCACCAGCATCCCAAGCAGCACGGAGATCCGCAACGGTGGGGAAAAACCTCGAATTGGTCACGATGCCCTTGAGCTTGTAGTCATCGGGGTTGAGGCCAGGGCAATCGAGCAGCACGAAGAAGTCCAAGGGCAGGAGGTAGGTGGCTGAGCCGGGATACCGGAACATGACGGTGCGGTAGGTGGTCGTGCCGTTCAATGACATTGGGGTTCCCGCAGTGCTTGTGAGTGTGGTACGGTTGTCTCTGCTACCATAATACACGCCCCCAATGAGTTTCTCCGTAATGTCCGCAATCTCGGCCATTATGGAGAGTAGGAGCGGTTCCGTAGCAGCGGAGCGGACAGAGTCGAAGTAGCGGCCATTGAAAGGGACACTGCCCCCACGGCCGCCATTATAGATGTAGTCAAGCTTCTCGATCCTTGTGGCTGGCCCAACAGGAAGAGGACCGATCATGAACTCTTGCGAGTCCGGTTCTTCAATGGCACCACGAAAGATGATGGCTCGTGCATACTTAGCTGGGGGCGGCTTCCCGCAGCTCTCAAGGTAGGGCAAGACATCCGACTTGTTGGTATGGAGTGTATCGATCCAGAAGACGTAGTTGTCAGTCAGCTTTGCAATGCTGGGGTCGGTAAGGTTGAGGCCAGACTCTGGAGCATGCAGAAGGTTCCACACGGCCAAATTGTCCTCAGGGGTGATTGGAGACCACACATTCTCCTTCGGGGCAGTGACTTTCGGTGCAGCGCCTGAAATATCACATGTCCCGTCCTTGACGCGTTTGTGTATCGTCTCGAAGTCAACCAAGGGATCAAAGCCAGAGGACGGAGCTGCGGTCACGGTCAAGGCAGTGACTGCGGCCCAAAGCGCCACAACGAGGCGGCGGTTGACAGGCATGGCTCAAGAGTTGGGACACAGGGCACAATAGAGATGTGATATATGAGGCGTGTTCGTGATGTCTAAACTCCAACATCTAATGGTTCGCTGCGGAATTGCTCGTGGTCTTTATACTTGCGACATGCGGCCATAACGACGCCATTATTAATGCCTATGTTGAATTTAGCCATAATAGAAGACCTCGACCTCTCGTTCCTGGTGATCTTATCTCTTGCCAGCGAACTCCTCCGCGATAGCGACCCTACTGATACGACATGAAATACCTAGGATATCTTGAAACTATTGATGTCCGTCAGTCTTGGCTCTGAGTAAACTTGATAATAATTGATAACAATACGAGTAGAAAACACAAAAGGACCCTTTCGTGAGATGCAGTGCCTCTTTCTCATTGGTTAAGGCCGTGCCCGGAGGTTGGGGGTCGATGGCGGAGCTGTTGGGAGGCGTCCGCCGAACCCGCCGAACCCCGACTGCATTTCGTACTATAGGAGAAGCTATACTTCTCCAGGATGCAGACGGCATGTAAGTTATCAATCGCGTCTGGGCGGTGGGAGGTTCCCCACGCTCGGAACTAGGACACGGGTACCGTGCACATGGCACAGATACGGTATGCGCATCCTATCGGAGTGAAGGACAGAAATTCGGTTGCGATTTAGTTTCCATTCTGGGAATGCCAAGGATTCCTTTACATATTGGACCTTTCGCGTGGGTCCTCCAGGGATCTCGGGACTTTGCTTGAGGTGTTCCGATCTACATACTCCCACATGCTTCACACGCTCAATGCTAGGCTTCCATACCACTCAAAGGAGATCATGGAGTTGAGTGGATTTCCTCCCAGTTGAGGACCCGACGAGTCCGCCAACTTCGACCTTTACGGTATCATTACACGTCCCAGTGTCGGTGGTAAGCTTCAATGTCCGTGAGATTCTCTTTAAAGTTACGAGTGCTCTGAGGGAGAAAGGAGACTCCTTGTTGAACCCAAATCCAACCGACCCAGATTTGTGTACTCGAACGCTGTGTGTAAACAGCAGAAAGGATCGGAAATAGACACGTTCTAGTATTCCGCCAATATCTCTCTGCCGAATGACTACGACAAGAGAGCAATGACCGAATTTGCCGAAGTCGGGACACCGCCTCTCGTCGAGACTCGCCCAATGTGATAAGCCGCATCCCGCCCAGCGCCGGCAGCTGCTGCTAACCCTATTCGGGAAACCAGAGTGCCATTGCCTTATCGCAACAACGAATCTCTTTTTTAGTTTTTTTTTTTTTTTTTTTTCCCTCTGGAGTCAAGGTCCAATAGGTTCACGAACCGCTCTCGCGTGGCAAGATTTGCCGATTGCACCATGCTTCGCAGGCGAGATAGACTGGAAACGGACATTTCCATTCCCATTGTCCCACACACTCCCGCTAATCATGGTAGACTGGATAGGGAGCTGCGGAAGGAAAAGCGGGGGCAAGCACGTCCCATAGTTAGTAGTAGTTTAGCGTAGTATTGCCAACCTCCAAGTTCTCACGTTGCCGGTTCTTCACAGCTTGATAGAGAAAGACGCGATCTGAGGGAAGGGGGTTGACTTTCCTTTGCCCAACGTAAGGATAATCCCCGTCATTGAGGTCACTCCAAAGGCGCACTGCAGAAGAACACCCACAAATAGGCACTGCCCAAACTAGATCGCCAAGACCTCAATGCTCATGTTTTCGGGAGTAACGGAAGTAGATAAGAGGATGGAAGAGTGATCGCATCTTCTTGGAAAAGGATTATATCCATTCTTCAACTTGTTGATTTCCCCGCTTCTTTTCCAAGTTGGCATGGCCCCAAGAATTTAGGGGCAATAATGGTGGAGCGAAAATGCCGCTCATTATATCTCGTCTCTACACGTTTACAATATTATTACAAGGTCAGCTTGCGTTTGTTGGTAATGGATACTGCAGTATAGTGTATATCTAGGACTAGTTCCAAACTACAGGACGCTGATCGTCCAAGTTTATTAGGTCCTCGGCGCGCTCTTGTTAAAAGTGTTCCCGACCCAACGGAGAGTCAAGACTTTGCGTTGCTTGCAGAGTCTAGGCTTGTGTGCTGAGTTAACAATAGGCTCTTACCAGCGCATAAGCCTTGGCCGTGGAGAGGAGAACAATGAGACTATTACTCGTTAGTATAGTTGGTAACACGGTAACAGTAGTGGTTCAGTACCAAAGCTCTAATCGAGTCATCGTCTTGAGTCTACTAGAAGACATAAAGCCTCGTTGCTATCGCAGTGCAAGTGTCAATCATTTGTGTCCTCATTGGTGTCCTTTATAATAGAACGGGGATGCAAACTGGCTCCTCGTCGGAAGTCTACTCGAAATGTCTGGAGTAGAAAGCCCTGCGCGAGGGAGGTTGGCCTTGTTGTTCCGCTGATCTCGGTAGAATACGTAGACGCTATCTTGTGAGAGATCAATGGCCGAGTTGACAAAATCCTATATTACTGGCTATTGCTGCAGTCACTGGATTTGGCCAAGTTTTAGTTGGAACCGCGACTCTACCAGTTGGATACGTTTAGATGCCAAGGCCCTTTCCATCAAAGCATACCGACAGCTCGAGTACAGATTTAGTTCCGGTCAGGAATGCTTAAATGACTAGGAGAGTATTTGACTCATCTTGAATCCATGCCGTAGAGTCTGTGCCTCTTAAATCCTGCTGACAGAACGCGATTGATCCTCTCCGCATCCAACGTGGACTTCAGATATATATGGCCTCCTCTCACCCACCATCTAGATCATCTCTGCAACCCAGGCCCACTTCGAGACTCCGATCCGGCCATTCCTCTACTTTCAACAGTTATCCCTCTAGATTTTTTCCAGGTCAGCCATCACGCCGATCTACGGTCAGATCCACAAAAGCCCCCGGCATTCTCAAGTGAATTAAGTCTGAGATCTCTCATCCTCTTTGAGTTAGGCATATTGACACTACTATCCTCGGGTGCAACTAGCGAGAGAGCTTATCATAAGTGAATCGCCTTACACCACAGGTTAGATAGACTTGACTAGGTCAGTCACACCCGTGGTGCCAGGTGTGCTTCATGTACAACTTCTTCGTGATTCTTTCTAGGTGCAGAACGAGGCACCATCTTCCAACATTAGAGGGCGGGCAATTGCTCAGAGCCGGAATAATGTTGCTTATCGAAGATAGCACATCAAAGTCCCAGTAACATAACGCGGCCTTCATTCTATGTTACAATGAATCAGGTTTCGGGTAGCCGCAGCACCCGATGCTTTGGGTCGTAGCCTCACGGGGCCCCAAGCTGTCACGAGCCGCTACTTTAGAGAAGATCTGCGTGTTCTACTTCATACTTCCCACCCCCAACCCGCGATATATCGGGATTTACCACTCACGCTCATGATGATATCGCAAGCTCGTGTCTGAAAACTTGACATTCGTGTGTCTCTTTTGTGGGAATACTAGAGAGCCGGAAACCAGAGCTTGCGATATGCCATTGTGCCTGCTTCAAAGAGCAAGCGCAAGTGCGACCAATCAAGCGAGCGCCAATAGTCCGATCCAGTGGTGGGAGGTGGAGGGAAAAGCCTGTTGTTTGTGAGTAGAGCTGTTCTCTCTTGAATAGAAATCCTACAAGTTCGAAAAGAAAACACGACGATTGGGTGAGGAGTGAAAATCAGAGCGAGATACACCAGTTTGTTGCTGACCAGGCGTGGTCACATGCACAATCTGATTCAGAGGACGGATGCTGAATGTAGGAAGCAAGTGCGGAGTGGAGTAGATGAATGATTCATAAATGAGAGGGAAGTTGTGCTTGTGAGGATAAATTTGTGTGTCAGTGAACCATCGAAGGGGGGCTTGCATTTAAATTGCAAGTGTCTCTAGTCCTCTCCTGTCCATAACAGCCTTGCTGCTCTGGGTTTGCAGCCAATCACTTTACAAAAGCTGCATCATCTAACCCTCATTTGTCCCTAGTTTACGAAGTACATTTCCTTTAATTGCTACAGTGGCACGCTATTATATAAAAGACCTAAATGAAACATTTTATTCCACAAGGGAAAGTCAATACTACTTCCAAGTGTCTTGCTCTTCTTGCCAGCAAAGCCATTATCCAAGAGAAGAAGGCCCCATCAAAATTAAACTGTGCAAAAGGACAAGGGAAGGGGCAAATGTAAGTGTAGGGAAAGACGGTCGTTCCCGCGAAAAAGGGGGTCAAAAACGTCGCAAACTAGATCGCTGATCTTCTTCGTCTTGGTGGCGGTGCCACGTACAGCTCACATCCGTTACGCTTCTCCTTGCTAGACAATCTCCTCGGACTTGTCAATGGACCTCGAGCAGGGATTAGATTTTGATTTGTTTTTCTTTTCCTTCATGCAGGCAAGCCGTTGGCAGACAAGGCTGCGCTAGAGCGTTTTTGAAATGCCAAGATCTAATCCCCCAGAAAAGTTGATGAGCTGATTGATTCAGCTTTTCCACTTTCAGCATTATTTTCAATAGTGCAACCATCAGTATCTTGGCATGACATCTTGGCATGCATACGGGATGAGAGCCCTCTCCCGCTCTCTGGGATCACTTAAAACACATAACCGGACTGTCTTGTCGATGCTCTGGATACCACCGATTCCAAAACTTTAGAACTCCGCCCATCATCAACCTGCGCGAGAGTTCCATCTGTTACATAAAGGAACGACCGAATAATGCTCACCAATTCCACTACAATCGTTATGCTCCCCTCCCTACTTCTCACGTTGCTTTTTTCTGACATCGCCCTGGCCGCCTTTGCGAACGTCTTTGGATTTCCCAGCTCGGGCTGCCGAGGTTGCCTCTCAAGCATCTATGGGGTCTGCGAGTCGTCGCATGGCTACAACGAAGGCCAATCTAGCGACTTCTCCAACTGCATCTGCAGTCTGTCCAGCATAACAGAAGTCACCACCTGCGTGAGCGGCGCGTGCCTCGTCCTCGATCCCCTCCAGAGCCCCGACCACATCCTGGTGTCGTCCCAGTATTTATCATGGTGCCTCACTTTCAACGCCGCCGCCCGCAGCGATGCCTGCAAAGTAACCGGGCAAGAGCGGCAGTTCATAGAGCAATCTCTCGGGCTCGACTTGGACGATTTCTGCAACGCAGCTCAAGACGACCCAAGTGACGGGAGTTCTACAAGCGGAGGCACCACTACGCCTACTGCCAGTACCGGAGCGGGCCAATCAACTCCCGTGCGCGACTCAAATACCGACTCCGACAACGCTGATGGGTCTCGCGATAGTGACGCCGGGTCAGATAACCGCAGTTCGGATGGAACAAGGCTACATGGCTTCGGAAATACGGGTTTTGCCTTGTTGGTAGGGATGGCCGGCGTTCTGGTGCTAGCATAAGGGCTCGTTCACACATCGAAAAGAGGGGTTCGGACCAGGATAGGATGCTTCAGTCAAGACTCCGGAGGACTACCCGCAAAGGGGTCTAAACATTAGGTCAGGTCGTGAACTGAGGGAGGGGACAGTAAAATAGAATCGAGTTTCTTCTATGCGTCAATCCTGATGCGGCCTAAAATACATGTCAGATAGCAGCAAGCCTGTAGAAGGCCAGGGGGTATACACCCTATAGACGATCAACCACCTATGAACTCTATGCAAACCTCGGGAGGCATACGAGACGAGTAATCTGTTCTTTGCCACTGAGAGAGCGGTTCGCTACGGATCGTCGAGTAATTCCGGAGAGTTAACAGTAGCAGTGACACTAAGCTGTAGAACGCGAGACCTCTAAATGCAGCTCTCTAAACGACCGACCGCTGACGAGAAATACAAACTGAAGTGATTGTGGCCAGTTAAATAGCTAAGGTGAATCATCATATAGCCTTCGATTGGTTGGTCCTCTTCCATCCCCGCCCCCAAGATATCCCCGGGCCTATGCAATCGCCATTATGGGGCGCTTCGGCTCATCCAGGCTTTTCGATCTTCCCCAGGTATTTCAGCAGGCTTCTTTCCTGGATTTCATTCTTTCTCGGCTCCTTCGGCCACTCCTCGATCCCCTTAATCACATATTGGCGCAGATCATTCTTGTTTACCAGGACGACAAGCCTCAAGAGTTCCAACAAGCCATTGGTAGGGAGGCCGGATTTCATCAACTCCTTCATCACTGCCTCGACTGAAACACGCATGTGCTTCGCCTTAGCGTCGGCGAATTCAAGGCCCTCATCATCGGCGACGCGAGCGATTAACTCGTCGGATCGAGAGCGAAGAACAGCGAAGGGCGTGCGTTGACGGATACACGCCTTGATGATTTCAATCTCGATCTATTTATGTCCATCCTCACGTGTCAGCCGATGTAGTGATGACTATTAGAAGGCCCGCTTGAGTCGATGAGCATTTTGTATACATACCTCGCCAAACCGTTCTCCCTGAACGATCAGCACGCTATCGAACAAGTATAGCTTTTGCGTATAGAAGTACTCGGCTGCAGGGATACTCTGCGTTCCGGCACCAGGGATATCATGGATAACGAGGGAATCGATACTGGAGTGGGCGGTATAGCTAGAACGAGACAGTGTTGTCTCAACAACCCCTGTTTTCGCGGCCTCCGGCTGGCCGTTTCGTAGACCTCTCAGAGCATTGACAAGAGATGTCTTGCCACTTCCAGCAACTCCGCAGACAGCGATGTGTCGAAATTTAGGACTGAGACCCTCTGCTTGCCTTTCATGCAAGATCAGGTCCTCGAAAATCGGCTTGGTACGCGAAGATTTCTGTCCCATCCTGGCCCAGTCATGTACTTGTTGAGAAATGTGGAGGGACGCCCAAACCACGCCAGCGCCGAAGGCGCCAACTACAGCAACCCCGGCCCCGCCAATAGTAGCGGCGGCGGCGGCGGCAACTGGAATGGTGGCCAAAGTAACCGTAGCTATAGTTTTGCCAATAGATGAAAGCAGATCCATTGTTTCAAATATTGATAAGGCAGTCAGAGGTGAGAAGCCGGTGGGGAAGCAGAAACCATGATATGAAAGCAAATTCGAGGGGAGAAAGCCCTCCTAACATCATTTTATCATTCAGTGGCGATCCAAAATGTTAAGGAAATCCAACTCTTGCTGCCTTGTACATTGCGCCCAAGATTGTGACCCAAACTAAAAGGAAAAGACTTGGGCGTGGCAATAATCACATCACAGTCTCTCCTGGCACGTTCAATGGTATCAGGATATACTTCAGACAGAAATGAACTGCAGTCGTTGCAGCTGCACATTTGTTGATGCCCGATTGCAGGAGCCGTGGACTTGATGGCAGAGGCTATGGGAATTGCCACGAATTAAACGTCGAGCCATTATAGCACGGCAGGCTGGGAGGAAGAATAAAGTGGGAAGATCTGGATTCATTTAGAACACCGGCTATCAAATTTCAGAAAAGTGACTCACTTCAAACAGGATCTAGACCGCGCATTCTATATAGCCATTGGTCTTGTTGATCTATTGGGACGGGTGACCTTGATTCCGCGCCTGGACTGCTGCATTTTTGTGTCCTTGAGATGAAATGCACCTCGCCAACACCTTCATGATTGGTGTGATAGATCTCATTTGACAGCAAGACTTGCACCTCTCTGCCCTTCCGTAGACCATTTTCCTGAATTACAACTGGATGTACCCTTGAAAGGAGGGCTGGTCAAGGATGTCGTTGGCACATGAAAAACCCCAAATCAGTTGCAGTGCCCTAAGATATGCCCATCGGGCCCCTAATCGTCCATGATATGATCGGTATGTTTGCAGGACTGGCCCGCGAGAAGTTTGCAGGGCTCTAGAGCGAATAGTTGCAACAGCCGAAATAGTAAGTTCGGGCTCTCCGAGTCATGGGCTGGAGCATGGGGGGTGTCGAAACGCCCTTTGCATGTCTTTGAATCGTTGGAGGGACGTATTCTTTTTTTCCCCGGATAGTTATTCATGTGTTGGGACTGGCCAGTAGAAGATCCCCATCAATTGATGTCTCCTTGTGGTAGCAAACACTAAATATATCGGGGCAGATGGAACGTGGCAACATCTCATTCACACGGATCATCAATGACTGTATTCCCGCAATGGGTTGGGCATTTGTCCCGGTCTCATGAGAACTTGGTATTGAACAGAAAGGACCCATAAGAGAAATCAACGATGGTAGTAGAGCGATCCGACTCCCCTTACAATCATGGGAAGACTCCGTTGAGCTTCAGAGCCCAGCTTTATATACGTTCCGAGGGGTAGCAAACTAGCTTGCACGCGGAGGCTTTATGGCCTTTACTGGTATGGTTTTCTTAGTAGTTTGAAATTGGGACGGTAGATGGCTAAGCCGCCCAGAGGGCCTCTTATACTCACAAGGCTGTTCGGCTTTGGAACAGGAGGCACAGAGGTTCACACCATTCCACTTGATCCTCAGCTCCCAACGCCAGTTACAAGCGATATAGCACCGTTTCCAGGTTTTACTATAGGCCGCACCAGACGCAGAAGACGGCGTATTAGAGCCGGCTTCGGATTCGGTGAGTCTGCGGTCGTGTAATGTTGGATGACGAGAAGGAAGATCGCGTCTATAGAAGACAACGCCGTAGGTGTCACAGAGTTGCTGCTTCTTTTTGATGGTTGAGAGTGTGCCGCGCCAGAGAAGTTCTGCCCGCCATAGGCATTGCATTTGTATATGAGGAAGATTTGTTGAATGGGCTGGAAGGATGGTGATAGTAGGTGGTAAGGGTAGGGATCGGCTGACGTCGGCGGATTGGACGTGCTGTCTAACCGTGGAGTGACGTGAGCGTTACATGAAGAGAAGTGTGAGTATGCTGGTCAATTGGGGATTGAAAAAAAAAGGTGGAAGAAACTGTGATTTGTGCGTTTGGAAAGAAGCTTGGGCATGGACGAGGCACGCACAGCACAGATGGGCAGAGTTCATGGAGTACTGGGCTTGGGGGCAAAACGACGAGCCGCTATTAGAGGGTGTTTCGATACAACATAACCAGTTCCCCAATGGGAGCTAACACCAAAAAGAACGTCTTGATTCAACAATCCCCGAATCTCGTTCCAGTTGGTGCAGTTTAATGCACAAATCTCGACATCCTCAAACCCCCAAATTTCAGGGACCTTTCATCTATCAATAGAGCACCGTCCATTTGTTCCTCTCGAGGGCAGTAATGGAGTGTGAATGGAGACTGGAGAGCCACCTAGTCGCCCAGGGTTCTACCAACTTCATAGCTATGTATCATGCCAACTTGATGCATCGTTACATATATCGATCAGTAAGTCCAAGTGTCTTCCACTTCCATTCAAGGAGCCCATACCTATGCGATAGGTTAGAGCTGTGAAAACGTAATAATTTTTTTAGGTCTACCGTTCCAAGACCCGAAACCTGCCTTCCCCACTGCATCAACGGGTATGGGATGGAGCAAAGGGACTCGAGTCCCCGCCATTACAAGTTTTTGACGAAGGTGAGTGGCAGGATAAGGTGGTGCCGCTAAATTAGTGACCCAACTCAAAGAGTCTAAGCCAAACGCCGGCAGTAGGCAAACAACCCATTGAGATTGTTAGGTAAGAGTACGAAGTGGTATCCTGCATTACAACTCGATTAGCTCTATGTCTGTGTTCCTGCACAGCTTGACGAGGCCAAGGGGCGAAAGAAACAATAAAGAGCGACTAACCAGGAAGTTTACTGGAAACATCGTACGTCACGCGTATGATGCCATCCACCTCGTTAACTATACGCGTCGAGATTCTTTTCAGCAAGCCGAAATCGAATACATAAGGCTGTGATAGTGTTAATGCTAGGAACTTTAAACCAAATAGATAGGCGGTTCGTGCCGCTGCCGACATAAAGTCAAGGATCTTAACAGCACGAAGACTAAGAATTGAATGAGTAATTATCTTCATTGCAATGCTAGGAGACCAGGATGCGAGATAATTGTGATGATCTCATTTGACCAGTAGGTCACATCGTCCTTTGCGAAGGGGGGGAAATTTTTGGGAAAAAATCTGCTACAAAGCGAACTCTGAGACTTACATAGCGATATGTCCGGCACCAGGAAAGTTCAGGATAAAGCGAATTTGGAATCTGGCCCTATCCCTCCTGGCAATATGGGTGACACGACATAGACCAGGCGTTATATTCTGTGGGAGGATGAACTTTACAAAGGTATTATGTATGGCGTTTGTACACGCAGACGATTCCATACCCATTTTCCCTTCTCTATTACATACGCACAACTGGCGCTGCCAGTTCTCACCTGTGTTTGGTCGGTTCTGCCAGCTGTTTTTCAGCTGGCAGTTCTTTTCACGTAACATTTCGCGTCTGACTAGAGAATCTCCTATTTGTTCACTTCTTAATTCAAACCATTCTGCCACTTCATTCTGGCGAATTAGTATTGATTTTAAAGAATGGTCTTCAAGTCGAAGCAAGTAGAAGTAGTTAGAAATTAGTATAGAAGGGGAGATAATAATTTTAATAAAATATCTAAAACTCTCGAGGGAAGAGAGACAGACACCCTCCTCAACAAGTTCTAATATGTAAGAGAATTAAAAATTAATGGGGTGATATCCTCTTGTCAAGGCCCCTAACACTTAGAAGAAAATACACTGTTAGATAACAGCACTGAGAGAAGCAAAAGAGACCATAGCAATGGCCAAGATAGCAGAGAATTTAACAGTTCCTGCCGCAGCTGTAACCACGGGAGGTTCACTTCCTGTAGGAGAAGATCCAGGAGGGGGGGTTGTAGGCTCAGGAACTCCAGGGGGGCAATGCCAATGATCACCATGAGGAGAGCAAGTTTCGGTCGGCTCAGGACCATCAGTGGTCTCCTGAGGAGGAGGGGTCGTCGGTTCAGGGACACCAGGAGGGCAATGCCAATGATCACCGTGGGGAGAGCAAGTTTCGGTCGGCTCAGGACCATCAGTGGTCTCCTGAGGAGGAGGGGTTGTCGGTTCAGGGACACCAGGAGGGCAATGCCAATGATCACCATGAGGAGAGCAAGTTTCGGTCGGCTCAGGACCATCAGTGGTCTCCTGAGGAGGAGGGGTCGTCGGTTCAGGGACACCAGGAGGGCAATGCCAATGATCACCGTGGGGAGAGCATGTCCCAGTCGGCTCAGGATCTGACGTGGGCTCGGATGTAGGCTCACATGTGACCGTATGCACGGTGGATGTGATGCTGTACCCTGCATGCTCGAGAATGTCTCTGTCCCAAGATACAACCGCCGTGTAGAGACCGCCGGTCCATGTGACAACCGTTGTGTACAATGGAACATAGGAACCAGTTGCGGTCAGAGAGTGGGATGAGGCATAACTCCCCAAAGAACTGGTCCAAGAGAGATAGACACTGACGTCCGTGACCGTCGTGGCAACACCGTACTCGGTGCTCACGGTCGGAACACAAGCAGAACTAGGAGTAAGCGTAGGCGTGGTCTCCTGAGGAGGAGGGGTTGTAGGCTCAGGGACACCAGGAGGGCAATGCCAGTGATCATCGTGGGGGGTGCAGGTAGCCGTTGGACTTCAATACTGGTCAGTCTCCACACAACGCGGGGTCATAGAGGTGGCGGGTTTCTTCATCTACTCACTTTCCCTGCGGCAACGCAGACACTAGCAATGCCTGCTGCAAGGCTAGAGCAGCTAGGGCACAGATACCGAGAGAAGCCATCGTTAGAATGGTGTGTTGTCGGCTTTCAATTGGAGAAAAGCTCTTGTCTAGATCCGGGATCGCGTTGAGAGACGAAGGGGTGGCGTGGGCGAGACGGGAAGCTGGACGGCGAAATATATAATCCTTCGGCAGCCCAAGGCGCAACTCCGTGATTCAACCTTGCAGAGCTTACGCGGGATGCTGTTATTTCAATTGCAGACTCCACGTGGGATGCCATATCTCGTGGTAATGGTTGTCCCAAATTGGGAAGGCCTGTTGTGATTGTCACCTCGTATAGCAGGATGATGTGAGGCACACCTGTCTTGGCGTCGTGATTTGTGAACCTTGATGGGCGAGACCGAGTTATCGATTGGTAGCCGCTGATAACCATGGGGAGAGAATGCCCTTGGCAGAAAATTCCATTTCCGTGTTTACAAGTCTATCCGAGACAGCTTTACTTTTTAATTTAAACATAAAGCCCCTTTGGGAAAGAGGTAGGGTGGACATCAAGGTCCTCGAGAAAGCAGGGTTTGGGCTTCGGACGATCCCCGGCCAGAAACATCACTTTTCTGTCCCACGGAAGGATCCCAATCCCACCTAGTTCTATCAAGGTAACTCTTCAAGCCAGAAACGCGACAAAAGTGCATGTGTTCGTGGGATTTTTCCTCTATCGAGTTATCGTTACAGGAAGGATTCGGCGTCGAGAGTCGGCTTCAATTTTCGTCATGGGAGGAGGGTAGATCGAGAGGAAGGTAGATGGAGAGGAGGGTCGATGGAGAGGGAGAGGAGTATAAAAGCAGAGTGAACTCCCATCTGAAGTCGAGAGGGGAAGCGTGAAGAGAAATGTAAATAATCAAGAAGCACCGAATCTTATCCTTCGCAATCTGAAGTCAAAAACCCCAAACTTCAGAAAGCTTTCCAAGTCCCTGCTACTCTTGTACATCATGATTGCCCTTAATATCCTCGTGGTCGCTAGCGCCTTAGTCTCTCAGGCCCTCGGTGGCGTCCTCCATCGACGAGCTGACTGCAATGCGGCCATCGCTGAACTTCCCGCGCATGGTTGCCAAATCCATAACCCCAGCGGCTGCGAGTTCTGCTGCCCCACGTCGCTTGAGGGTACCGATGTTTTCAACCGGCACTTCTGCCACGGCTCCCATACCACCGATGATTGCAACGGCGGCAACGCCGAGTACCACTGCTTGGAGCATTGATGAAAGAGCCGCAGCACATACCAAAACAGGGGTGGGCGAGATTGTTATCTACAATATAATACTAAAACGAAGGCTAACTCGAAACCTAGTCCTTCTTTATTCTCCCCCCTTGATTTACCATGGTTGGGCGAGTTCAACACACCGTCCTAAATATCATAGCTAGCATTCACACGATAAATATACGAAGGAGTCCAAATTGACTTTCCCTTAATACTCTAGTGAAGTCTATATCTAGCAACTATAATTACTTAGTTCGTATGATATATCTTACGCAAGTAGTATTTCATTGATATGCAAATCTATGTCCACGGTACTACTACTAAATAAATGTAGAAGGACTTCTTTACAACTTTATAATTTGTAAAGAGCAATATAGAAGTGGCTCATTGTTACTATATCATCACCTTGTGATCAGCTCCAATCAGAGCCAACCGGTTTACGCTCCGGTGTCAGCAAGTCCGGTAGATTCGGAGAAGCCCAGCCTTTAAGAACGTAGGCCAACTTCTAGGTGAGGTTAAAAGTGTCACGGGCCGACCTTTATGCAGGTCCAGGAAGCAGAAAGACACGGCAGAAAAAGTAATGGGAGGCCGGCCGTAGGCAGCCACCCGGCGGATAGCGGAGAAGCGATCGTCAGGGGCTACGTGCGGAATAAACTTCTTCCACAACCGTCCGCCGTGGTCACGACTGCAACACTACCTATCACCCGCTTACCTTTTTCCCCCGTCACAGTAATAGCTGCATTATTCTTGCATCCACTGTCTAATTATACGAGGTTCTCACTCGATGATAACTATATCTAATTTCCGAGCTGCATTCTAGGCTAGGACTTATTGAGATAGCGGAGGGAGTTTGCTTTCATACCTTGATGGCAAATCCTACCATCATGCTTGGACATTACCTAAGATAGATATGGGGTATCCTGGCATCTACAACAGCATAATCTAAAAAATGCACCTTAAAGGTATGACATAGTACTACTAGTCCGCTCCCTTTTTCCTATAAGCAACCTTGTCGGTTGTCTAGTAAGAATCACGAAGGTAACTATTGATTTAAGAAATTTTAAAGGTTCTCCACAAACATAGCAAAACATGCTTGATTAGCCATAGCGCTATGGCCACTTCGAAATGATAGTCAGGGTTCACAGCGGGGAGGAGCAGAAGGGCATATCTAGACTGGGAGGAAGCTTTACGTATAAATACGAGGGATCGTCACCATATCCAGACAAGACGTGATCTTGCTAACTACCATCATTCCATCACGTTCATTACCATCACGTTCATTACCATCACGTTCATTACCATTTCGTTCATTACCATTTCGTTCATTACTATTTCATTTTTCAATGGCTCGAGTGAGAACCGCCCTTACGGCGCTAGTCGCGGTCGCTGCTGCTGTGTCCGGTGCAGCGGCACAGGCCGCAGGTGGCAATGCTGTAGCGGTCATGGAGAACAAACACGTCCAGGGTGCATACATTGTCGAGCTCGAGGAGAACGAGGTAAGCCTGCTATTGCATGGACCATCTGCTCCGGTGTCTCGTACTGACCATTGTCTGAAAAGAATGACAAGATATTCTTGAACAAGGTTGCCTCAAATGATCGTTGTCAGAGTGTCCAGCACCGCAGGACTTTCAAGTCTAGCATCTTCCGCGGTGTGTCAATCGATCTTAACGCTTCTGATGGAGACATCGAAGGTCTTGCCAGGAACATCACCAAGCTGCCGGGAGTCAAGCAGTTGTGGCCTGTATCGCTAATTCCTGCACCTAACGCCGAGATATCTTGGACTGCCGAAGGCATGCCTCTGTCGGAGGTCAGACGACGTGCAGAGGAAGACACATTTACTCCGCACGTAATGACTCAGGTCGACAAGCTGCGTGCCGAAGGCTATACCGGCGCTGGATACCGCATCGGCATCGTTGATACAGGTGTTGACTATAAGCACCCTGCTCTCGGCGGTTGTTTTGGCGAGGGCTGCCTCATAGAATATGGCGCAGACCTCGCTGGAGATGACTTCAACGGTTATAACACGCCAATCCCTGATTCTGACCCCTGGGAGGAATGTAGCGGTCATGGCTCGCATGTTTCGGGTATTATTGCAGCTATGGAAAACCCGCTGGGATTTACTGGTGCTGCTCCCGACGTTAAGCTCGGCATGTATCGGGTATTCGGCTGCCACGATTATAGCAGTGAGGACCTCTTTGTGGCTGGTATTCTCCAGGCATTTGAAGATGGGAGTGACATTATCACTGGCTCTATCGGCATCGTGAATGGCTGGAGCGACCAGGCCCTGGCTGTCATCGTCTCGCGCATCGTGGCAGCCGGCGTGCCATGCATCTTTGCCGCCGGTAACGATGGGGCCCCTACAGCGTTTTCAGTCGCTTCGCCTTCTTCGGGGCGGGGTGTCTTCTCTATCTCATCTTTCGACAGTCTTACTATCCCCTCCTACGACAATGACACCGGGGTGGTAACCTATACAAATAACACCTCAGGGGGCGGTGCAAGTTACTTCACCTCGTGGGGACCCAGCTATGAACTTGAGATGAAGCCACAATTCGGCACACCTGGAGGCAATATTCTTTCAACCCTGCCGCTATCTCAAGGTGGATATGGTGTTATGTCTGGTACATCCATGGCAACTCCACTTGCAGCTGCTATAGTTGCGCTGGTGTCACAGGTAAACTGACTTTTTATCTAACCCCTCTCTATCGGTCCCCTTGTCTTTGGATTTTCTCCCTTTTTTTCCTTCCCGACGATTTTAACATCGATTTATCCATACCATATCTTTCCAGCCTATTTAGAAACGGGTGTTAAACCATCTGTCGTGTTTACCGCAACTTGCTAACGGCCTCACCTCCTTAATAGGCTCGAGGTACCAAAGACCCGGAAACCCTTGGCAAGCTGTTGTCTGCAACAGCAAAACGCACACTCGATTACAGTTTTAATGATGGCTACCACTATTCGCCTATACCCCAGGTTGGAGCTGGAATGTTGCAAGCGTATGACGCAGTGCATGCCGAGGTGCTTTTCAGCGTACAGAGTCTATCACTCAACGACACAGAGCACTTCGTGCCCCAGGCAACATTCTTTGTTGAAAACACCGGGAAGTCGACGGCGACATATAATTTGTCTCACACACCAGCTCTATCGGTTGATACAACATGGCCTATATACCGCATGTCAAACCCTGATAGACATCAGATCTTTGCGAGCTTGAGTTTTGAACCTTCGTCATTTTCCCTCAAGCCTGGCTCTAGGGCCATCGTCACTGTTACTGTCGGTTTACCAGATGGCCTTGATCCAACCTTACTGCCTTTGTATTCCGGTTGGATCGACCTAAACACTGTCACGGGCGGGAGCGAGCCGGCTAGAACTGCTTCTATTCCCTATATTGGTGCCGCAGGTGCGATGAGGGCAGCCGTGGTCTTCCCTACAGAGCGTAATGATACCATCTATGTCTCTCGCAGCGACTGGCAAGAAGCCGCCTGGCCGGTCGCCAATCGTACTACGTTCCAATTATATGTGCCCGATGAGCACCCTGAATGGGCCCGGCCCGTCCGCAATACTACTGATACGATGACCCCTCCCGGAGTTGGCCCCATGCTGTCGATGTGGCTTACCTTCGGCAGCCCGGAGACGCGTTTGGAGATTACGCCACTGAATGTCTGTGTAGATCCAGGGTTCCAAGCTATTAAAGATAATGGGTTGGGCTTACAGACACTAGGAAATATCCTTGGCTACCCAATTTACGAAAATGCGGCAACTGGTTGGTACGAGAGCTGGTTTGGTCAGTTAGCCAACGGACAGTGGGTGCCACCTGGACGGTACCGCCTAAGTGTTTTCGCCTTAAGGGTTTATGGTGACAGGGACAATCTCTCAGATTATGACCGCTATGAAAGTATCGAGTTCCGTATTCGATATGTTAATCGAGAGTAGAACGGAGATAAGTACTTATTAAATAAAGTTTGTGATGGAGAAAAAGGTGGCACCAGTGGAATGGAGCGAGGGGACGGAAAAGAGTTAGCAGTTGTCTATACAGTAAGTAAGTAAGATTTGAGGCAAGGTAGGCGGTAAAGCTATTAACTTATCATTTGGGAGGCGTGAGATTCTATGTACATAATATTAGAGCACTTCCAGTTCCGACTAATGACGCCGACCCGCCCGCATTTACATCTTCATTTGAGGTCTAAATCTGGACAATCCCTAGGGTCGCTATAGAATTTGCCACCTAGCTTCTGCACCACCTCACACCGCTCATCCATACTTGTAGCATTCCGGATCATACCGAAGCCCTTCTCAGCACCATCAAGGGCAGTCCTAGCCACCAGCACCCACACGCCGGTTCCGCCCTGCGGCCATGCCGCCACTATCATCTTCCTCCGATCTAAATCATCCCTATACCCGAATGACGCGTAATCGTAATCCGTAGCGCTTCTAAAGTACCATGCGCCGAGCTGTCGCATGAGCGCGCAGTGGCGGTCCTCCTCATCGGGGTCATCAGAGCGCAACGCGGTCTTAAATCGCGCAAGGCCTAAGAACGAGAGGTCGACCGAATTACAGCGCTCCAGCACAAGGATGCCCCCGGTTGATGGGTGGCCATACACAGTGGTGGAGTGGGCGCCGAAGGTAACGCGTTGTGTTTCCGTTTTTGAGTCTACGAAGGGATTGAAGTCGCAGTAGTGCTCGGTACCGGAACCGTAGTCAGTTGAACGGCCTGAGCCTGGACTCGGGCTTTGTTCTTGGCTCTGGCGGGAGAAAGGCCAAGGAAGACGCAGCATTGTGACAACAAGTGCCGAGGCTTGGTAGGTAGGGCACGAAGGAAACGAGGGTTGTGTGTAACTGGTTTTGTTGGGCAATGTCTGCCTCTGTAGACAGTCTGCCGCGTTAATAATTTATTTGATTGTTTTAAAGAGAGAGCGGGCCATGTTGAGGTGGTCTTTAGAGCTAAGATGAAGGGGATGGAGCGAAACTGTGAACTCGTCGATAATTGGTTTAAATGCTGGTGCCTAGACCGAAGGAAATCATCAAAGCGTCGGACGATTATTGCCCCGAAAGCGAGATATCATCCTTTCATCTTTCGAGCTTCGCCTTACTCTGCCTCGGACACCAAGCTAGCCCTGGACTGTGACGGTACAACATGTCGACGAGTGATGAAACCAAGTCGGAAACAAGGATAACGAAGAAGCTTGTGCTTGTTGGCGCTGACGGGATCGGCAAGACGTCTCTGCTCCAAGCTGCTCTGCAGGGAAAATATCCTCCAGAAGTGAGATTCAATGGGAACGACTAGAACACAGGCGACGAGATTCTAAGAATTGGCAGGAACATCCATACGAGCAGCCGGCAGGCGTGTACGAGTGTACTACACTGGGTGAGGACGCTAGGGAAATCCAAGTATCATTCCGGTTGTGGGATACGCCTGGGCCCTTCGAGTGGAATAGGCTGGAGGTCTTGAAATATCCGCACGCCAGTGTTATTGTGGTTGCCTACGCCGTAGACTGGCCGGCTTCTTTTGACCTCGTCGAGGAGAAGGTACGCAGGTCCCCATCAAGTCATTTGACGTTGGACAGGTGTCCTATCGCTAACCGGAGAGATGGTGAATCCAGTGGATACCGGAGCTTGATTATTGTGCTCCTGGCGTGCCGATAGTTCTAGTTGGACTTCGCAAGGACAAACGCGACGGGGATCAATTGAGCGAGCCCACTCCTGCCAAACAGGTGGCTCTAGCTACGTCAGACGGATCAGCCCTGGCACGGAAAATAAGAGCGCTGTCATTTCTCGAGTGCTCCAGCTTTACAGGAGAGGGCGTGGGCGAGGTCTTTGTGCTCGCGGCGAGAGCTGCGCTTTGGGGGCCGAAGAGAGCGATTGTGAGGGAGAAGAAGCGGCGAGCACGGACACAGCGAGAAAGGTGTGTTCTTCTCTAAGTGCGACGTCTTACCTGGCGATGGATGGATGTATTGCGGTCACTCCGTAGTCTTTTGAGATGATGGCTCGCAAGGGAAAAAAAAAAAAAAAAAAAAAAAAAAAAGAGTCAATTATGTGTGTCTTTTGGAGAGGTGGAATTTGAATCGAGAGAACAGCGTTGATACACCTTAACAGCCCGAAGCAAGGAACATGCAAGAAAAAACTGGAAAAAAAAAACAGTGGGGGCTGACCGGGGATTGAACCCGGGACCTCTCGCAACCCAGCGCTTAGCGCACCCAAAGCGAGAATCATACCTCTAGACCATCAGCCCTTGTTTTCGTTCTGACAGCGGAGATGCTCAAGATATTTCATTAGGTCCCTGCGCCGTTTGCACAAACATAATATCAAACACACACTTCAGTAAAGCTGGTACGAATTATTAGGCCGCCTTGATAAACATATATCAAGACACGGTCGGGTTCCGCCATTACGAGATTCTTAGGGCCTCACGCGCTTTCCCTCGCTGCTCTAGCCAGCATTGAAATTTGCATAAAGGGCGGGATTCGAATATGGCCTTCGACTGCAGAGGGGTGAGTTTGCTTGGCAGCTTTGGCAGAGGGTGCTCATGCCTCTTCGAGTCTTTGATACACATGCAGAGCAAACAGGAAGGCTCCCTAGTGTGAAGCTGCATTCCCTCTCCTTGTCCATCAGTTGTTCACAGCAGGAATTTGGAAAGTTTGCCAACTACGATCTCGTCGTGCATAGGCACAAACACTAAGGAGGGGGCCGTGATCGCTATTTTTAGAGCTTCGTCGGAACAGTGCCAGAGGTTAAAGTATGGAGGTCTGTTTACCCATCAGCGTCAGCATGCAGGTTAGGATTGCCGGCTAAGTACGATAGTTAATTTGTTAATCGTAATTGGACACCCAACATTAAGCTGCAGGCTCGCTTGGGCTCGTTTGAAGAGCGCATGCACTCAGATGGAGATGGCCTAGAAAGACCTCCCTCTCCCTGTGCGGAGTGTATTATATGTACGGGCAACCTCCCCAGAAAACGTCTCGGCAGACGTGACCAGATCCAGCTTGGCCGATGTCTTTCTCCTGAAATGGCCCTCTTCCATTCACAGACCGTGGCCTTGGCGGCTATTCTCATGATTTTTCCAATGGCGATAGCGGCGAAACTATCTTGTCAGAATCGATCAGTGGGCCCCCTTCTGTGGATGCCAGCCATGAACACCTTTAGACGATTCATAGGCGATTCCGAGCCCATGTACAATTTCTATACACAAGTCTTGGGATTTGACCCCCTTGATACCTATGACGTCGGCAACGATACCGAAGTGTGGAGGATGCAAGCTGGTGCGTCGCAGCTCAAACTGTCGAGGCGTGCCGAAGATAGAGTCTACGTTGATGGCGGCGTGGAAGATGCTACCGGCTTACGGCTCTGGACATTCTTCTTCCGCGACGAAGGCGCTCTTTCTAAGAATTTTACCGAGGCAGGGCTGCCTGCGCCTGTATTCGAGGAGTTTTGCTCGCTTCCGGCGATGGGCTGCAAAAAGAGTGCCGTGGTCAACGATCCATCGGGCCAGGCTGTGGAACTCGTCATAACAGGAGACGAGGAGGGGACGACGTACAAGGAAATGGAAGTCGGGATGGTGGTTTCAAGTTTGAATGTTAGCTTGCCTTTCTATCGCGACTTCTTGGGCCTCAAGGAAGTCGGGACAGAGTACGACTCGCGGTTCAAGACGACGAAGCACATCTTCCGAAATGGAGCGACATACGTCAGTTTGAGGAGTTTTGGAGAGAGTTTGCCAGCTGACACCGGGAGTGCTGGGATTCAGTATGTTGTCACGGATGTGACGAAAGTCCAGGATCTTGCGAGGCGTCAGGGTGTCACCATCGACCAGGAGGTCGGGACCATTCCTGGGTTCACCGTCAGATTTGTTTGGCTTGAGGATCCTGACGGAATTACAAATTACTTTGCAGATACGGAGGAGTCGCGCGGTGAGATGGAATCTTGAAGTCTTCTCTACTCGCGCCTCCGTGGACAATAATAACGTAAATTGACTACTTCCATTTTCCGGGCAGTGCGTCAGGCTCGTCAAACCGGTTCCTACGCCAACCCCCTGTCAGATTTTCTTAGTTCCTTTGCAGTTTTTGCGGCCTCCTCGAGGCTCTTCGACAGGTTGCTCGACCGGTTCCTCAACAGGTTTCCCAACAGGTCCTCCATCCTCCTCGCCTGGTGCCCCTGACTCCTCCGGCTCTGCTGGGGCTACGCCCCTCAGTGCCCTCCCCACCTCAATCTCATTCCAATCCGGCAAATCAACCGTGACATTCTGAATCAGGCATCCCTTCTCCGGAATCTCAATCTCGCCAACTCCAAACGACACCTTGCTAATAAAATCCAGAGCCCTCAGCCTCCCAGCCCATAGCTCCTTGTTATGGTCCCCAAGTGAGTTCCGATGGTACAAGATGTTCGCACCATTCTCGCAAAAGTAATCTACCATCACGTCGGTCTCTTCGATGCCGCTCATCTCGTCCACCTCGGCCTTGTAAATGAAAGTCGGCATGTTGGGGATTCCGTGGATGCCCATTGCGCCTTCGGTGTCAAAAAGCTGGCGAATGGGACCCTGGAGGATATCTTCCTCGCCGTTTTCGAAATAGTTGTAAACGTCTTGTCCAGCGTATCCGTACAGCACGTAGAAGGAGGCAAATCCAGTAGCGCGGAAGAATCCTGTGGCATTGTAAGGCCCTTCCTTCTTGAGCCTGTCCATCATGAACGCTCGCTCTTCCTCCCACTGCGCCGTGATGCCAATGAGACCATTGATTACTAGTCCGGCGGTGTCTTGCCCGTTCATCTTGAGGAACGCACTCGTGATATTGGGCGCGGTGCCTCCGACAATGGCACCAGCAATTTCCAGCTCGGGAGCATATTCTTCAGCCATCTCCGCCGTCAACCCAGCGGCAAAGGCTCCTCCACTGTATCCCCAGATGGTGTATTTTGCCGTGTCGGTTTTGATGCCAACTTCGTGCCCGATGTTCTTGATGCCTCGGATCGCATCGAGGGTAGCACGTCCCGCCTGTGGTCCGGAGCAATACGCCGCTTTCGGTCCTTCGTAGTCGGGCAACATGACGAAGTACGCGCGCTTGAGAAGATCTACCATTTCTCCGTACGGATCGCCCCATTGCATGAGGTAACTCGGGCTTCCGTCGAGACTCGAGCTGTCGTAGGCGACGTCGTAGGTCACGACCGCCTGGACACAGTCATCCATGTTTTCTGGGTCGTCGCACCCTGGGGCAGTGATGTTGGAGTAGAATATCGTCGCGACAGCCCACGAATCGTTATTGTGAGTGTCGGCACTCTTGTAAAGGAATTGGTATGTTCCGGCGCAGTAAGCAATTGGGCAGTCCGCGAGTCCCTCGGGTCTTGTCTTCAAGACTGTGCCTGGCTCGGCGTCTTCCCAGCCTTCCGGTGCGTCGTACCATGGGTCTTCGGTTGGTGGGGGATTGTATTCTATCTCTGGCTCTGCTTCTCCGACTGGTTCGGCCGGATCCTCGCCATCGCTTGGTACTCCAACATCACCCGGTTCCTCGATTGGGATATCCCCAGTACCATCATCCTGTCTCGCCGCGATGGATCGTATCGCCAGTCCATTGAATGTGGGAGTGTGGACGTCAATTCTGAGGCCAGTTATCGTCGCGGCGAGAACGACCCAGCCAAGGATAATACCTAACAGCGCCCTTGATGGACGACGCGTCGAAACACCCATGATTGCAGGAAGCGCGAGGCACTGAGAATGAATGAGACTGGGCACTTGGATGAGCATCCATGATCTCCCCAAGCTATGGGTATCTTATAGCCTATTTCCGAGAGGGAGGAACGTTTTGGGATCGTGGCATTAATTTCTTGCCGTGCTTGGCCCGGTTGTCTAATTTTCGTTTCTAATCGGGGGAATATTTGCCGTTGATATTGCCGGAGTTTCCATTCCCTGAAGGCACACGTAGACCCCCTACTCGATCTCTCCGAGGTGCCTGCGAGCGGGATGTGTTCCGACAGACAGATATTGGTCCCCTTTTTGCCACGGATTGAGAGCTGTCAAGCCGGCAAATCTCCTCATCCTTTCCAGCGGATCATCATCTGGGCTAATAAGCTTATCTTCTGGCAGTTACATGTAAACCAATGCCTCGGCGTCTTCCCCCGATTGTGGTGCGCAAGTATGTCCAAAACGAGGCGTCGACTAGAATCACGAGTTGATTATTCTCTTGATATAACCAAACTTTACATGGTAGACACAATAACTCCCAATGCTATACAGTGAAATCAAAATTAACGTCCCTCTTTGTTACTTGCAAGCCCCGTCATCTTCAGCCAATCCAAAGGCTGGCGACAACATACCCACTCCGCTCTGGCTCGTCATCAACGAGACCGTAGAACACGCTCCATGCCTCCAAGTTCCTCACAAAGCTGCTCGCCATGGATATCCACTGGCGTCGCGTCGAGCAACACGTATAACATGCGAGACCAGGAATTCTCCAGGTTAATCCACTGGTGCATTGTGCCTCTCTGTATCAACGTATCTCCCGGATGGAGAGTGCGACGCTCGCCCGAGTCCAGTAAACATTCCATCTTGCCGAAAAGCACAACGGCGTAGTCGCAACTGACTGTGCGATGCATAGGCGACGAGGCCCGCGGCGGATAGTCAACGTAGCGCAAGACGGAGCCCCCACGGTTGACAAGGCCGCTCTGCTTCCGCCGCCGGTGGCCGTGGTAGAAGTCGGTCAGGTCTTGGTTGCGCGTGAGACGAACCGGCATCGCATCCGTCACGTATCCCAATCCAAAAGCTGCGGGTTCGTTTTTGGGACCAACATGCCAGAAGGATACTGGCTCCGGGACTGTGTCTGAGTAGATGGCTTTGCCGGACTGGTCATCGTGAGTAGTGATGTATCGATTCGGCCGTGGAAGTGTGCATGTTTGGAAATGATCCGTTTCTTTGACGGCCGCTGGACCCTCTGGACTAGGTATGGCAGACTGAATTTCGATCCCGGAAGATTTCATGATGAAATTTGGAATAAAGCCAAAGGCTTCGAATATGAATGCAAAGGAAAATTCCATGTGGCGTTTGTACGGTGATTTCACAATAGGGACGTTTCTTCGCCGCCACGGGGTTTGCAAAGTGAAACGATTTGGATAATACATCATTTATCGATTTCGGGGAATAAATTTTGGCCCCTTTCCTTTCATCTTTCTTAGACCTGCCTGGACTCGAGGAGGTCTCGTGGTTGGGGGTGGTTCGGCCCGAACCTTGAAGCGACCCTCTCGGACCCTCAGTGCTATTCCGCCTCCCCCTTAAGAATGATCTTTCATAGCCGGCTTGTTCCGCATCCCCATAGGTGTCGGGCCGAACTTGGTACGATTGTGTCAATGGAGGGAGGTTAGGTCAAACGCCGTAGATCTTTGGAACGAGAGCTCTGGAGGCAAATCCCTGGGAAGCCTAGACTCCGGCAAATGGTTTCGGCTCCTCCGCTCCCTATCTAATGAAGGTCTTCCAGTGTAGTTGGTGAATTTTCAACACGTTCGGACGCTTGGTCTACTCTCAGATAGAAAAGCGGAATGTCGGCGAACTAGCAATGATTAGCGATGAATTAAAGAAAGAGGAGTCTCAGTGGCAAAACATCCATCAGAGACAGACCTAGGTAGAGCCACTGAGGTCCCAATATTTTAAGCATACAGCATACAGCACGCATAAAGGCTGTGACACCAAAGGCAGATCCTTTGGTTATAGCTTTTGCAAAGATGGTGTCTTGGCCTATTTCTGTGCCTTCCGGCAGCCCCTTTACTTTTGCCAATATCCCTTTCGGAGTATTCAGTACAGTATCTCACGTGAGTGTGCCTGGAGCTCCTTGCTGATGAAGAGGAAGCAGTCGTGAGGAAAAGAAGCCACTAAATTATTTGTCGATAGCCTGAGAGACGTGTTGGAACGGCCATCGGCGATCTCATCGTCGATTTATCGGTCTTGGAGCCTATTCTGGTCTCCCGGAACACGTGGCTGTGTGATTCAAAGCCCGGAGGCGAGTCTTTATTTGGTCATAGAGACCTAAGCAAGATTGCAAACTTGTCTTCGGTAATAAGGAGGCAGCTTCGAAACACTCTTATCAACTGGCTTAGTGACCGGGATTCGGTGCTGTTTTCGAGTGTCCCACTCAACCAGGCCGTGTTTATTCCCATGACTGAAGCTACTATGCATCTTCCTTTTGATATTGGAGCATTTACCGATTTCATGTGTGCAGACGTTCATGTCGATAATGTAAGTCTTTTTCACTTATGAGATGACCGTGGTGGAAGAGCTTGCTCCTCTGACAGAGAGTAATAGTGCAGCAGACTGGTTGGAGCCTCGACACCTCCAAGTCACTACTGGATGCCCCTTGGTTACAATGGCCGGGCGTCCTCGGTTGTTTGTGGGACCGAGAGAATCCACCGGCCCTCGGGAATCATCAGGAGCCCTAAGGACTTAACTACTTCTTTCGGTCCCAGCAAAGAAATGGATTATGAGGCCGAACTGGGCTTTTTCGTCTCCCAGTCACTGCCTATGGGCAAGACCATCGCAGCCGACGAGGCTAAAGACTACATTTTCGGATTCGTCGTGCTTAATGATTGGTCGGCTCGCGACGTCCAGTTTACCGAGATGATCCCTCTCGGTCCCTTTAACGGCAAGGGGTTTGCCACCAGCATCTCCCCTTGGGTCACGACTCTGGACGCCCTGGAGGGAGCTCGGTGCGCTCCGTCGGGGTTGGACCTGCGTGGCGGCGGCTCGACATTAGCACCGCATCTGCGTCATGGGGATGAAAATCCCACGTGGAACCTCGAATTTGAGGTGTCCGTATTCAGTGAGTTTTCATGCCGCACGCACTGAATGTGTGAATCAGGCGATGCAGACAGCTAATGAAGATAGGACCGAGATACAATGCCACCCAAGCTCTGTTGTCTACCCGTTCCAATCTGCGTGACATCCGATGGTCCCCGGGTCAGATGCTTGCACATCTTGCCTCCTCGGGATGCGGATTGCGGACCGGCGACCTAGTTGGTACCGGCACCGTCTCATCTCCGGTACGCCCCCATTTCCTCTTGATACTTCCTTTTTTTTTTTTTTTTTTTTTTTCGGTTTCCGCATATCCGTAAGGATTTGACAATGACATTAACCATTGTGAATAGAATGACTCCCCGTCTTCTCGAACTCTGGGATGTCTTTTCGAGCTGTCAGAGGCCGGAAGACATCCCGCAGCTACTAGGGGCGAGGAAACGCTAACGTTCCTTGAAGATGGAGACGAGGTTGTGATAAGCGTCTGGGCTCCCGATCGTGAGCTAGGTCTTGGGACGTTGCGAGGGCAGCTGCTTGGAGTCCCAGAGGAGTGAGGACTAGGATAACTATATCTAGCAAAGTAGTCATACCTTGACTCTGTGTTCAAACTAGGTGCATTACTATACTATTGTCAATAATTTAGCTCATATAATTTGTGTGCGGAGAAAAAAGAATAAAATCCGTGAAGACTATATATAGCATTACATTGATGGGAGATGTAGAAATGAGTTCATGAGACAATCTCGCTATTTACTAACTACTTGTAAAATATTCATATTCCCAAGTCCTCGTTACTTATTCCAACCATATCATATGCGCTCTCAGTAGGCCATCAGGAAGGGGATGGAGTGAGACAGCTTTCGAATGTGTCCATTTACAAAATACAGAGGAATAGACAAAAGTCCCAGCGCCAAAAGGATGCCGGCAAACAAGATGTGCGTGTCTCGGAAGCCCATCTCGGCAATCCATGAGGTAAAGGAGCTGCTATAACCAAACGAAATAGCATTACGTCCACCGCAGACAAGCACAATAGCCGGACCAGAGGTGTGCGGAAGAAGCTCGCTGAGCCAGATGCCCGTCACGGCCGAAATAGCGCAGAAGCCAAAGTAGAAAAGGGCGAAGCTGGCGTGGATGCCCACCCAGCTGTACTTTTCCGGTTCCATGCCCACGACACCGTAGATGATGAGACCCACACCGGCAACGACGGAAGGGAAGACGAAGTTGGGGAGGACGTGCTCAGGCTCGCGGATCCCACGGTTCCGACGTGTCAAGAAGCGGCTAACGGGCTCCGTTACCTGTCCGTATGCTAGGCCAAACAGAGCTCCGATGGCGGCTCCGACCTGAACGGTCCCAACGACCGACGGGGGGAAGAGCCAGGGTGGCATCTCGAGACGTTGAGCGTATGTGATGCTCAGGATGACGAGGCCGCCGAAAAAGACGCTGTTGAGAAGAAGGGCCCAGAAGGTGCCGGGAACCAAGAGACAGGTGAAAATATCCCGATAAGCACCGAGGAAGCGCTTGATGGCCGAGGGCTGAATCGTAACGGGGCTAAATTGGCGCCTATAGGAGAACGTCTTGGGCGCTTCTGATGCAGTTGAGTCTCTGTCGTCAATCTTGAAACCGGCAGCCCTAGCCTCCTCCGCGGTATCAAACATCCGATGGGTTCCGTAGGTGTCAGTGGTATGGACCCTGCCCTCGTGGTGAGCGACGCCGCGGTTAAAAAGAGTCTCGGGCACCAAGAGAAGGACGGCGATGAGAGAGAAGGCCGCAAAGGCCGCCCAGAACCAATAATTGATCCGCCAGTTGCCATCCGAGGCATCGATGATGAAGGGTACGGCCACCAAGAGTAGCGACGAGCCTGCTGCGGTGCATGTCCAATAGGTCACGAGGCGTGCACCGCGTCGGTCGAGGAAAGAAATGTCCAATATGATTATGGGGAGCTACATGTAAGTAAATAATGCGTAAGCGAGGTGATGATACTTTAGGGGCAATTGGAAGAACGGCATACCAGGCAGTCAGAGACACCCGCTGTGAGACCCTGGAGACAACGAGCCCCCAGGTGAGACTCGAAAGTCTCGGACTTGGCGGCCCAGATAATGGCCGACAATAGTATCGCGTTGCTGAGAATGAAGGCGGCACGGCGACCCAGCGCCATAGAGAGGGGAACGAAGAAAAAGTTGCCCAATCCCATGCAAAGAGATGGATAGCTGGCAAGATCCGAGATGCGTTCAGGGTTAAACGTCTGTTATTTGGGCATCATCAGCTACCAGTTACTACCAACTATAGACCTCTATTTCTATTTGCAGTGTTGCCTCTTGGGGACTGATGCATGTGAGAGAACTTACGCCTCGCGTCTGCTTCATGTATTCGGGGACAAGCTCGCCAAAGAAGAGGGGAGTGGACTGGACCACACCGAACCCGGCGATGCCATAGACGCAGATAGCGATCATTATGAGGCGCTGGCGCCACGGTCCAAAATTAAGGGGATCATTTGGATCGTTGGAGGGAATGGGAAGCTTTCGAACCGTGCCGTCCTCTGCGTAGAGGAGGTTCTCGGCATATTCGACGGTGGCGGCCTTGTCACGGGCGGCTTTGCTTCCGGCCTTTGTTTCCATTTTTGGATGCTTCCTGACTAGATGGGGTCTCCTAATTAGGGTAGAATATTAGAGGAGATAGACAAAAATAGAGGATCCGAAAGGATGCGTAACGTTATTTAATGTAATTCAAGCTTTGTGGGGAGAGCATCCGAGACGACGGGATGAATCCGGGGCCCCGGATTTTGTCTTTAGCTTCCCCAGATTTTTGATTCTCATGAGATGCTCTGGTCAAGTTCGAGCCAACAGGAAGAAAGTGTCTACGAAGGTACTGTTGTCCAGACCTGTTTGGCCCGAATGGCTGAGCATGGATTAGTGTTCGCGTAGATTTAGTCTAGCTTGTGCCACAACTCTCTCTCGGTCTCGTCTGGGCGTCAGCCATGGTGTCAATTGTTAGGCATCCCTGGGCCCAAGACTTCCATGTTCGGCCCGACCATTTCAAAACATGGCTCCGCATTTCGATTCCCGTCTCGCTTCCCCCGAAGCTTTATCTTTTCTGACATCGGTGGAATTGTAGCATTCTCGCGAGCACCGAACACCCCACGCAGGAATCTCGCGCGAACCTCAAGCAGTGGATGCGCAACCATGAATCGCCAGCAACAAGACTCCACCGGCGTGGCCTGTCTGCGCTGCCGAAAACAAAAGGTTGAGGAACCAATAACGCACGCATGCATGGGCAGCAAATGGCAACCGTCTCCGAGCCTCCGGCCGAGTGGACCGAAGGAACCCACGGATTTTATCTTCCTCTTCTTTCGGTCGGAGATTTTCTGAGCAACGTCCACCTGCTAACATCGCACTACGCAAAGCTGAAATGCAACCGCGAGAGACCCGAGTGTCGTCGTTGCCAACGAATCAATATCAAGTGTGTCTATCCGCGCCCTCCCGATCGCAAGCGACTCGCCCTCGAGCGTTCAAAGGTGAAGGAGCAACAGCAGCAAAGCGCGGAGAGCACGGCCTCTTCCCACGCGACGACGCCCCTCTCTCAACCTAACAAACAGTCGTCGCCTCAACAAAATGGCGGCTCACGACGGTCGATTGCTGGTCCTGCTGCCGCCCTAGGGGCCCAGTTCAGACCTACGACGCAGGAAGGTCTTGCCGCTCAACCGCACTATAGACCGCCACCGTCGTGTGGCCAACTGCAACCAAACCGAAATGTGTCGGCCTCGGTTCAGGTGTCGAAAGAAGTAGCTTTGTTCCTGATAGAAATATACTTCGAACGACACTACCAGGCCCATTTGCTTTTTCGTAAGAGGCAACTTATTGACGAGTACACAACTGGCACGGCTTGCCCTCGTGCGGTCCTCGCCATATTTGCCTTTGCATCCTTGTATGTGAGACATCTCTCCCTGATCAAACAAATAGAACGAAGAAAAAAGTCCTCGTAACACTCAGTTGGACTCACTCATATCTTTTGAATCAGATTTCTTCCCGCGGTTCCAGGTGGAATCTTTCAAGGCCAGATTTCCATCGCAGAAATCTCTCTGACGGACTGGTCGTCAGTTGGTCGGCAATGGGCAGAACTAGCTAGCCAGCAAGTTCTGATAAACGCAGACAAGCCGTGCCTCGAGCTCATTCAGACTTGTCAGGTACTCGCTCTGTTCTGGTTTGCCAAAGCCGAGACGACGAGGACAGGCATGCACACAGGTAACGCACCGTCAAGACAGCAACACTCTCTGTTCCTGATATTTTCGACTTTATTAATACAGGACTGATTTCTAACTTGCAATCTTTCCATCGAAGCTATTGCGTACTCAGCCTCCCGGCTGCTCCATTTTCATCGCGCCAACACCAAAACCTCGCCTGCCAACTTAGCTGGAGAACGCCACATACTACAAGACCAGGGGATGAGATCCTTCTGGGCCTGTTGGCTCACCAAGTGCGTCAGTCAGGAGAAGTCGCGGTTCCCTGTTGACTGCTGGACAGACATTGCGGGACTGCCCCTACCTGTTGATGATGAGGACCGTGACTCGGCCGAAATCTCTACGTGTTCTTTAGACAAGACAGGTGGAATTCAATTGGCAGGAGTGGTAAAAATTGGATTTCACTCTCTGTTAATCATTGTCAAAGGACTTTGGTAAGTCTGACATGTCTGATTGCCCAACGTACAAACTTTCGTCTGACAAGATTGGCCTCTAGGTGCGAGGTGCAGCAATTCATCCAGTCATTCCATAGCCAACCTGAAAACTCCTCTAAATGGGCTGGTGAGTATTGCTCTTTGGAGAAACGATTGGAGGACCTCCCATGTCGCATGGCCATCGCTGGACAGTATATCCTCGTCAACGGCACCTCGACATCCACCCCGGCCGAGGAGCCGAGTAGAACCTTCTCTCTCAGATATCTCTACGAGCTCTGCCTTATATACTTGCACTCCTCGGTAGTGCCCATTTTAGCCTGCAGGGCCGAGACGCCTATCCTCTCGCAATCAGCGCAGCGGCTCGCCGCTGAACAGGCCTGGGAGGGCTCGACCAAGCTCACAGCTATGACGGAGCGGTACCTGTCCGGCGGGGGCTGCGTGTCAAAGCTATGGCCTATTGTCGGGTACGGGGCCTACGTATGCGCGGCTGTTCAGATACGTCGGTGTCTCTCCTTCGATATGCTTGAAGAGCAGTGGTTGGAGAGAGCAAAGGTCCATCTGAAGGTCACGGAGGAACTTGGTAAATACTGGATGACTTTAAGGCCACTTGTACGTTTCTACCCATCCATCTCTGCTCTTTTTTTTTCGACGAGTGTGGTCTAATGAGCAACGCAGCATGAGGATATGGAACTCCAATTTGCGCAGGCGCTAGCGACTACCACATGTCCCCAAACTGACAGGGTCTCAACTTCATCACTCGCTATCTCACGCGGTATCCGCACCTACATCGCCGACGAAGAAGATGAGGTGAAGCCGAACTCGCGGCCGAGACAACCCCCATTTGTTGCTGGATCCCCCGGCCAATCCGTAGACACATCTCCTAGTTCTAATGTTGGCGAAGTCTCCTCTTGCGTAGCAGTCACCCAGACACCCGGGCTTCCGATAGTTCCCGAGCAGGAGACTGCTACGGGAGCTTCAGGTGCGCTAGCCGATACCACGGAACCCTTGCCGCTCGACAATCCCTGGAGCATGCAGCAGGAATCGGCTTGGTGGAATCAGGATCCCGATTCCCTCGGGGAGGTTTTTAGGGGGAGCTTCTTTCCCGGGGATGATTTTAGTTTCCCTCCCGGCATATGTTGAAGACAGATGTGATATAACATCCTGTGATGTAGTGGAATTACTTTCTTGCCGCCTTTGGCCGTGCTGTCTAATTTTTGATCCTAACGAGCATTTGCCATATATAGCTCGAGGAAGGATCAGTGTTACGAAGAAGTGTGTTTTTAACCAAAACTCAATTGATGCCCAAAACCTCAACTTGCTCGAAGACTGACTTGTGTGCTGCCAGAAGTTGAAGCCAAGAGCCCCAATCCAAATTGGGTAGGCCTCTTTACACCGTAAAAACTTCACCCGAATCGAGCAGGGCTGTGTTCCCCGCTTTTCCAATGCTTCATGGAACAACTTGACAATGACGCCCTGCCTTTCCCACAAACTTCTAGAAAACCGATATTCTAAAGTCACCAAGAGTGAGATCAGTACTTCGACTCCTCGAAGGATGTCGAAGGTGGCAAATAAAAGAGTCAATCGTTTCTTCTCGAAACCGCATCCTTTATTTTGTTCTCTCTGTCGACTTCTAGGTCGTGACAAAGGTCAATCATGGCACGAACTCGCAGACTACCGTGCGTCTGCCGAGGTGGTTGGGTGTGTAGGGTGCCAGTTGGTTCTGAAGATGTTAAGCGCTCACCCACGGTTCATTGGAGAAGAAGGCTTGTGTTTGATTCCCGATAATTCGAGCATCACCATCTTCAACCAGAATATATGCAACGTCACCTGCTACTTCCCTCGTTCTGATGCCGACCCGCCACAGGAACCAATTACCATCAGCATTTACCAGCTCCGAGGTGTGTGTTATAATGTTAAATTAACTTCCTGAGGGTCTGGGGGTTGCGAAACAAGGCTAATAGCCAATACAGAAAATATGATATTCCGCCCTCATCCTACAGGGCCATTCCCTTCCTCTTCGCTAGTAATCACTGACACGAGGTCTGCGGAGTGCATATACTGGATATCACGCCTATTGAAAGACTGTATGACACACCACAAATGTTGTTCAACGCCAGATCCAGCCTTTCGACCGCATCGGTTAATCGACCTTGAGCCACTGAAGTTTAGAGCTTCAGTAAGGAATCCACAGGATACCGTACGGCTTGTTCTCGGGCAGGATATCCACAGAAATGCGTTCTATGCCGCATTGAGCTACTGCTGGGGGGAGAATTTGGCTGAATTTGTCCGGACCGTAGCGGGGAATCTCAGTGCGCATTACGACAATATATCCATAACCTCCTTACCCAGGACAGTCCAGGACGCCATTTCTGTCTGTCGGGAGCTGAAAGTGAGGTATCTCTGGATAGACGCTCTCTGCATTGTGCAGGACGACGAGAGGGAATGGCGTCATGAGGCCGCTCTAATGAGCAAGATCTACGAGAATTCCCACCTAACCCTAGCAGCACAGCGGGCGTCGTCCAGTCAAGATGGGTTCCTCGGGCCGCAGCGATTTGGCGGGCCTTTGTGGCAGCAACCTCTGGATCGAAAATTCCGGGTCAGCCGATACAGCCGGGGGAAAACCGTATTCCTACGGCCTTCTCTTGCAGAGGGTCGTGGTGTACCGCCGTTGTCTAGCCGAGGCTGGACCTTCCAGGAATGTCTTCTCTCTCGTCGCATCGTCCACTTCACAGAGGATCAGATGCTTTGGTGCTGTAATAAGCGACTCTGCTCCGAACGCGACGCGACGCGCGATCCGATGTCGACTGGTCCATCTCCTATTGGTCGGCAATTACTTAATATCTCGCAGACCTCGGCTGAGTATTCACCAGGGATGATGTGGATGAACTTAGTTGAGATGTATTCGGCCCGTCGGCTTACAAAGAGCTCCGATAAGCTCATCGCGATTTCGGCCGTGGCTCAGGTGATATCGCAGCTGCCTTCTCCAGTTGCAGTCGGCGGGGCTACCCGACCGCCACTTCGATACCTCGCTGGTCTTTTCCAGGAATATCTCCCTGGGCAGCTTGCTTGGTTTATGAAGCACCCCGACGACCAGAGAGGGCAAGACCCTGTAGCCCATGAACCGCAGAAGCTCTCGCCGTACCGGGCACCTACGTGGTCCTGGGCCTCTCGAGATGGCCAGATTATATTTGACGATTGGTATGACGATCCTACGACGCAAATGCTTGCCGAGGTCGAGGATGACCGCACTTTCGTGATTCCCATCGTCGAGGGCGATGCTACGGGCGGCGTGAAGTGGGCGGAGCTAACGGTCACCAGCAAGGTAATTCCTGTTGTGCTTAGGACGGTAGGCCAAAACTCGGGGGGCGCAAGCCAAGTTAAGACCCAGGTATCCGCTGGGACTGGCTGTAATCTTACTGTCAAAACCGATCTCATACGGACAGACGTCATCACTGGGCACGACGAGGATAGCTGCTGGCCGGGAGACTGTCCGGGCTGCGGCTCTTGCACAGTGGGCTCAAGATCGCTCGACGACGCCACGTACTGCTGTCTCCTCCTCTTTAAACGCCACGCAGGTGGGAGTGCGGTTTTGTTAGTATTGGAGAGGTCAAATACAAGCGACCAAGCATGGAAGCGGGTTGGAATTGTCTTAATGTTCTTAAACAAGGATTCGGAACGTGGATTTCTAGATACAGGGTGTGAGACAACTATAACGATAGTTTAAGTCGCCTTAGAGTTTCCCTCCCGGGATGTATTGAAGACTGCCGTGGTATAACAGCCTGCTACTAGGTGGAATAATTTCTTGCCGTCCTTGACCATGCTGCCGTTGATTTTGCCAGAGTCGCCATTTCTTGAAGATATGGGCCCGCCAGCTGGCACACGTCGCGAGCCTGTCAAGATCGGCATCTGTGGTAATGAAGTTATTTTTTGTAGCAAATTATTCATTGAGGAAACCTTTTCAGACCACACTTTCATGAGGACAAACTCGTTAAAAAGTGCATCCAAGTTCAGACAGGTACAAATGGACCGATCTCCCTCCAATACTCGCATCTTCTCCCTCGCCCACCTTCCCAATTGTATGCATCTACGACAGAAAAATCGTTCCTCAACCCCGGTTCCCTAAACTGGGTAATTTGGGCCCCGTTGGGTGCATAGGCCGAGTAGGGAACCCCGCCGGTCTGGTTGAGGTTCAGCATCGTGGGCTTTTCGTCGTCCCATGCAGGCCAGTCGCTTGCTGGATGTTCCATTTGTTCTTTTGCTCCCGAGGAAATGCCATTCGCGGTTTCGCTGGAGATGGAAGGGTTGCCAGTAGTGATGAAATTGCCGTATATTCCTTTCCAACTGTTAGCCTCCGCTCCGTTAATGAACGATTTCGGGATGATGTACTTCTAAAAGCAGTAACTAAATCAGGCCCTTGATTTTCAGTGGGCGGGCCGTAGTACGCTGCCAAGTCTGTGGCGTGGAGGGCGAATGGAACGGAGTATTGATAATACCAGGCCGTCTTGTTGTTTCCAGTAAAGGCGGAGGCCAGCCAGTAGCCGAGGCAGTTTACCGCGCCCTCCGCGCCCATGTTCTGTTTTGATGAAAAGCAAACGTTAGCTGGCCCGTCTGAGCTTTTCTAGGTTTTAAGAGGCCCTCATCCACTCACATATGCTCGTTGCTGCTGGCCAGTGGCCGCTTGACTGACATTCACGGCCGTCGCGGGTCCCAGCCCACTGGTCTCAAACCGGGGAGCGGCGGAGTCAACGGGCTCGCTAGTGCTTGAGTACGTTTCGAGAAGACCTGAGATGTTTCGACTTGAGAGGTTCACGAAGTTTCCTTTGATCCACGCAATAAGATCATCCTCGGTTCGGATCGTCGGGGGAATGAGAAGCGGGCCTTCGTTTGCGTTGTTCTACAGCAGGGTCAGAGATACTCCCGAGCCTCACAGCCGTCACTTCGCATGCGAAGCTTGCTTACACCGATCAAAATCCGATCACCGTTGACATTGCCTTTTAGACCAGCGAGTAGAATGCTTGGGGGTCCAGTGATGTAGGTATCGTCTGTGACGGGAATGAATGCCCTATGTCAAAGTTAGCACCACATAAATTCCGGCAAACTACCGGATGTCCGAAATGTGTACCAGTTTCCGTAAAATGTTGGCGCCGAAGAGGATACGAGATTGGCGGCGCGCTGAAGCTCAAGTGAGTCGGCCTCCACCAAGCAATCGAAAGCGTCAGCAGCGTCGCAGCCCAAGGCCTCGGCCAAATCCCGATAATGCTGGGCTCGACTCTCGTCATCGTATCGCGGTTGAGTAGGGACCCAAGGCGAGGCCGCAATGATCTGTATAGCTGGTTAGTCACTTCAGAACAAGCCCTGGGAGCCTCCACCTTCGCATCTCTCACGTTTTTGAACAAGCTATCACCTAAACCACCATCCTCAGCAATTGAGTGGAGGAGTACAGATCCACCACCCGCTGATTCACCCGCTATCGTCACTCTATCCGGATCACCGCCAAATTTGGATACGTGCTCTTTGACCCACTCGAAGGCAAACCTCTGGTCGAGAAGTCCTGCGTTGAGGATGCCGCGATCCTTGACTTCTGCTGATGCCAGGAATCCAAATGCGCCGAGCTGACGGCCAGGTTAGCGTATGCTTGTAACTTATCAGTAGAAAATCGCCTCCTTCAGCATAGCTTACTCTATATTGGATAGTGATGGCAATAAAGGAGTTGTCATTGGCAGCCATAAAGTCCGTCATATCCTGGTTTCCATTTCCAAGGCCATACCCACCCCCGTGAATCGAGATGAAGACTGGAAGAGGATTATCCTCCGACACGACATCGGGTGAGTATACATTCAGGAACAAACAATCCTCGTCACCAGGTACGAATGTGACGGTTGGACGTGACATTGATGGGAAAGCTTGCGGACAGGACGGACCGAACTCATCGGCGGTGATAACCTCGCCCGTCGGCTCTGGCGTCCTTGGAGCCTGCCATCGGAGGGAACCCACGGGCGGTGCGGCGTACCGGATACCTTTCCAGATATTTAGGCTCGTCGAGTCGTTGTGAAAGCCCCGATAAATTCCATAACCGAGATCGACATCTAAGTTTACAGGCTGGGATGAAGCCCGGGGTGTGGTCACGAGGAGTACGCCAACTGCGATGAAATAGAGTGGACTCATCGTGATATCGTGATCACTCCGAAAAATGGCAACTACCACACATTCAACCCGTTAACGGTGATAAAGCGGGGATGTCGCGCGGCCAAGTGTCTGGATCGTGAGGATATCTACTGCGGGAAGAGGGCAAAGTAGTCCCCTGCCGTAATTAGCCGGGACGGAAAGATCCTGGCGAGCACTATGGGCTTCTCGATCCTGTTATAGATGCATACAATGCCACGTCTTATTACGAATATTAGCTTTATCTAACGAAGTTAACACATGCTCTGAAGCTGTGGCAAGATCCTCCTCTAGTAGCCACCGTCCGTAAATATGCGAGCCAATCTTAAACTGGTAATAGTTTGACTCGTACATGTGTTGTCGCGCCTAAAAAGTGTCTATCCAAATTCTTATCTTTACGAGCAGCTGCAGATCGCCAAGCTACGACGCGACATCGTCTCTATCGCGGACATAACAACTAGCTAACTTAGATGACGGCCAAGGTGTCGATGATCTACTAAGCCAAACCGGGGGTGGACGGACTAAACGCGAGCAAGCCTGCGTATTTATCATATTTAGATAGACTATCACTTCAATTCGAACATTAACGTACACTCAAACGCGAAATACATATGAATACCGAAACGCATGTTATCTTTCAACAGCTCACTCGGTGGTCAACTCATCCAAAGCTTTCGTAACCTCGTTAATCATCTTGTCTTCCATCAACTCTACGAGGACAATGGCCTGAACGTGCTTCGGCTCGAGTAATTCGCCACTTGACCGAGCATGAAGCGCGGCCGTCCGAAGGATATTCTTGATAACGCGACCCTATACATTTATTAGCAAGTTTCATCCAAGATAAAGGGCTGTTTGGGAGTCATACGTTGACTGAAAGTTTCCCCAGCGCCTCGAAAGCCGTGTCAGACCATGATTCACTATTCACCGCTGCCTTGTTATGTTCGACCATGGCCCTCCAGATATGTGTCCGCGCCTCCTGATCTAGATCGGGAAGTCGGATCTTGACATTGATTCGGCTCATGAAGGCGTCGTCGAATTGGTCTTTCCGATTCGTCGTGAGGAATAGGATTCCCTCGAAGTATTCGAGCATCCTCAGCCAGACTAAAACGGGCAAGTGTTAATGACCATAGACACAAGAGAAAGTTCTGAGCCTCCTTACCTGCAACAATCGCATTTCTTTCCAGTTCGTTGGAGCTTCGCTTTGACATGACCACATCGGCCTCGTCTAGGAGAATGACTGCGCCCCATCGAGTGCTGAGTTCGAATACCTCCTTAAGCCTCTCTTCAATACGAGACACCGACACACTTAGCTCGCCACCGGAAAGATTGTACAGCGGCAGGCCTTGAAGCTTTGCTATGCTCTCTATAGAATGACCTTTGGGTTAGCCTGGGCACTGCTACGAAAGACATTGTTGAACGTTATCATCTTACCCGCAGTCAAAGTTTTTCCAATCCCAGGGTTGCTGCAGGAATCCATGTCAGCTTGAGCTTTCACACTTTGAAGACAGAGACCTTACCCGTGCAGTAGCAAGACAAGACCTTTGCCCTTTCCGTCAATGATGTCGTCGAATACGTCGGCCTCGCTATTTCCGTGACCCGTAATAAGAGAGCGGACGAGACTTTTAGTATTCCTATCGATCTTGAGAGAGTTGAATGCCTTGTCGCTCTTCTCGACAGGCTGCAACCTATCGACAACCACCCAGGCCCATGCCTTGAGCTTGAGGCAGTATGCAGGTATGCGCGGTGGACAGAGAAGAAGAACGTCCTCCATATTGGCGATGCCGTATTTCTTTTGATGAGAAGTCGTCAGTTTCTCAAACGCTTGCTTGGGCTGACTTCCATCTGACCCAATTTCGGCTTCACCATTGTCCAAGATTTCGACACCCTCCGGATCAGATTGGACGTCGGAACCAGAGTCAGAGTCGGCATGGGAGTCGGAATCCGAACCTTTAGAAGGCCGAGTTCCATCGTCTAGCAATTGAATGGCATCGGGTTCTTTGGTTCTCAGGTACATTGGATAATCGACAACGACAGGTTGGGCGATCTAAACGCAGAGTGATTAGCAAAAGAAAGGAAAACTACTCGGGAAGTCCAAGTCGAGAAGTCCCTTCGGATGACATACCTTCGAGTCAAGACGAATATTCTTGCCAACAATAGGACCCTCGTAATACTGGTAGGCATGGCTATCGAGCTCCGGTCCAAGTAGTTCGCGAAACTTCTCACCCCTGGCGATGAGCGCGCTTCTCTTACTTGCCCATTCCCCCTTTGGCAAGTATTTGACGGGGATGAGTGGCAGTTGCGAGATGTTCATTGCCCCATCTACGCGTTGAGCGAAAGAAACCACGCAACTCTTTTTCGTCATGCCTAGGCGGTTGCCGTCGAAATCGACGCGGACTCCGTGTACCACCCAGGTTAAAGGAAGTTGTGCGGATTTCGCAATATCTCGGCACAGCCAACACTCTAGTTCATCCCCATCGACATATAGGAGCAGCTCGTTGGGGGGAAAGATTGTCCATGCTGCTTCGAAGGAGACTTTTCCCTGGCTCAAAAGGGAGGAGTGTTTGTCGAGTTGGCTGAGCGTTAGTCTGTCGTTCCGGATGTAATCGCGCACCAGCTTCATTTCGTCGCGGAGAGGCTTGGCCTTGTTTTCGTCCTGGCAAAATTGTTCAATCTCATCTTTCTTGAAGAACAGCTCGTAGAACGGCGCCGGTAGAACCATTGGATGGGTCGAGATGTCGATGCTGTCGTAGGTATAAGGAATAAGTTCCCTCAGCGAATTGCACAGGCTCTTGGACTGGACACAGAGCTCTGTTCGCAAATAGTAGTCGCGATCCTGTCGCCTCTGCACGACTCGCCGGAGGAGCAAAGCCCATCGGCTGTGCTTGCGCTTCTGGGCTTCTTCATTGCGTTTCTTTGGTTGTGTGGCGTACTGAGCTGTCGGGATTATCTCTTCGTTCTCGCCAAACATTGTCTGGGATGATATGACGGTTACATCCTTAAATCCTTTCTGGCGAATTGGAGGTGGAGATGGCGTGGTAGCTTCTTGGGTTATTATGTTCTCGGGGACGACAGGACCCTCGACGAGTTCCGTGACGTCGCCATCGGACACTGAGGGTGCCATATTTGCCTTCGCCCACCCAAGCTTTTCCTGATAGATTTCAAATGACATTGCGCAAATGTTGTGTGAATTTTGGTAGGAGAGGAGAGGGAGGTTAGGGTCAACAAGGGAGATTGAGCATGAAGCCGTCAGTGAGGCAAAGGATTCCTTGCGTGACTTACAAGAACGTCGGCAGATATTTAACAATTCCAGGGAGGGAAACAGCAAAAAATCCGCATCGCGGAACGGACCGAATTCTATAATGGCAAGATCCGACTCATCCTCAGATTTTCACATCGGGTATCCATCACACCCTCAGCGATGTTTTTCGGTGACAAGCCATGGCCAATGATAGATGATGCTGCTTGTCCAGCGGAATGTGCAAGTGTAAAAAGACTGCTCAGCACTGCCTCTGAAGAATCCGCCTGCAGTTGCACTCGGAAACAATTGGCCAGACTTTCTCACTCTTGAGCGCAGTCGAGCCAGCCCAGCGAATAACTGGATAAAACCTGTCCATAGATGTGAGCTGGTCGCCCAAGGCGAACTCTTGGGATGCCTCAATTGCGCAAACCAGCTCGAATTCGCGAAAAATCTCTTTCATTCCCTTGTCGCGAGACTAATATTTTACTGCCTTGGTCCGTCCTTTCCTCCCGACCATTGCGGGCTTACAACCATATCGACGTTTTCTTCTTTCAAACTCTTGTTCACCGTCAAATGCTCAAATATGGCTACAGCAGAGCCCAAACCGCGCGTTTCTCGATCCTGGTCCAGACACCAGAGCTTTCCGCTCGAGTCGGGTAATGCACCCACCATCGACACCCCAATTTCGGTTTCCCAGGCGGGTGTTATGAAGAGGGTACTCTACTTCACGGGATACTCTGAACCGGAATCAATTCCCGACGTGATTGTTCGCGAAGGATTGCGCAACATCGAAGACAGCATTCCATATGGAGTCTCTGCCACCGTCCAAGAGGAGCTGTGGAGAGCCGAGGTTTCCCGGCTCGCTGATGTTGTTGAGAAACCCGAGGAACCCATCTGCTTTCGGGGATCTGATGCGCTGGCACACGATACAAAGCCGGCGTACGATATGCTGGCGAGCCTGGCCAACTCGGCTTTGGTCGCTACGTATCTCATCGTGCAGGATGCGCAGGGAATCATTGCCAACCGCCATCCCAACCTCATGTCGCAGCACCTGTATAACGAGTCGAGGCAGGCTCTGGAGCGATTCGTCCGCACTCGTGAAGACGACCAAGAAGAAGAAGACGAACATCACGAAGATAACGAGGGCCAGCAAAATAGTGGGGAAGATGTCATTCCCGAGCCCGCCAGAGAGCCGGAATGTCGCCCGGAAGATTACGTCGAGTTCGTCAACTGTATCACTGCGGTGCTTGCCAGGAGCCTATGTCGGGCTGCATCCGGAGTTGACTGGCACGAGGGCGTCCTGGCATGCATCGCAAAGATTTCCACCAAGCTCAAAATTGTTTCTCATTCGCTAAAGGACGCCGTACACCAATGCCTAGAGAACAACCCCAGCTCGATCGATAGGTCCCAGGTGACGGCAGCCATGGTCGGTGGTCATGATCGTGGGCAGCACGGGGGAAAGGGAGCGCCCGACCCCTTGCGAGACATGATGATGGCCGTCGAGTCATTGAGTTCGGGGAATGCAACGAACTCGGACCAGACGACGCAGTCTACAGCAAATCATCTTCGCGCACGATATTGGCTTGACGCTTCTATGCAGCTGTTCTTTGTGACTCAAATCCTGGAATATATTCTCGTGTCGTTGAGAGGAACGAATCGTCTCGCAGTCAAGTCGACAACTTCTTATGAATTGTGCTCCGTCTTGTATCGGTCGACTTTCGATAACTTCACCACACTGTTGTACCAGGACGTCGACGGTGAATACGTGGGCACGTCGAAGATGGAACAGATCAAGGTGGCGCATGCTGCATACAGTACTCTCAAAGCCAACATTGAAGCAATAGAGAGGCATAGAAAGACGGCACGGCAGGGCTCTCTATCCACTGATCAGAAGCCCGAATCTTCCGGCGCGAGCCAGACTGCTACTCTTGAGGGACTCCCAGCAGAGGAAGGTTCTTCGGTCACAAACGCCGATAATAATGACGACGCGAAGGATGGTACGACCAAGGTCAGGCCTATACCTCCAGCTGATATGCCGCAGCTAGTGGGCACCACTCTATCATGGCACCATGCCCCAGCCTCCGCCTCGACCGACTCCCAGAAGCAATGCGAGGCCTTTCCTCATGACGCTTCCGCTAAGCCAGGCCAATTTGCAACCAAGGAACTGAAATTGAAGTCCATGGAAGATGTAATAACAGCATTGGTCTCCATCATATCCACCAGTCCCAAAATCATCCTGATCATCACCGAATGGATCGGAGCGGAAGCCCTCAGAGGGCCCAGAAAAGTGAGGCTAACCGAGTCTCCAACCTGCCAAGCGTTCTACAGTCTATCGACAACAAAATACAGAGAGATTTGGAGCCAGCCATCTGAACTACCCTTATCGCCACTTTCAGAGACATTCATGGTGAGGAATATTTCACAGTCCAAGCCGGGTGGAGCCTTTTCAACAGGAGGATCTGGGCGTGACAACGATGCAAAGTATAAAGACTCCTCAAAGCACAATCGCCTGTCACTGCTCTTAGGCGAAAAAGAACAGGCCATGAAAATCAGGGCCAAGATCTCGGAAGCAGATGTGAGAATGAACAAGTGGATCATCGAGGAGAATGGTGTCCGAGTATACTGTGTCCCCTACGTCTCGTTTATCCTCGGACTTGCTGCTGTTTTTTCTGGGGGAGGTATTATAGCCGCCTTCACCATCGGCAATAGGCTCGATCCAATAGATCCCATGAACATTCCAATGTTCTGCTGGGTGTTGGCGGGTTTCTTCATTCTCGTTTCAAAGAGCATTCGGGTGGCGGAGTGGCCGTGGCGAGACTTTCTCCGCGGTCAAGTTCTCTGCAGGAGCGTTTCCGAGTTGCACTCTGTATCTGGCATCGACGAGCAGCTCATCTTGGCAAAGCTGTTGCAGGAGGAGACATCGAATCGGCTGATAACAAGAGGACCATTCAACAGCATCTTCTCCCGCAGATCGGAGAATGGCTTTTCGATCGACGCTCCCGTCAACATGAAGACCATGGCCGCTAGCGGGCTCATCATGGTCGTCGTTCAGTCGCAGTATTACGGCAAGTTCCTCGTGTGTCTCGACGTCCGGAAGGGAACACGCTACCAGGCGATCTTCCGAACAAGTATTCCCATGGGAGACAGAGAGCTCATCTTCAGCGACCCCTTAAACCTTAAAAACGGCAGAGCGGAGGATGATGTTAAGATCCCATTGCAAATCGGCGAAGACTCGCAATGGAGCAGGATCGTTGGTTTATATGCGAACGAAAATGGCTCTTTTGCATAGGAATAGTCTTTCCTCCTTTTGTACGTTGATGTATCTTGGGTTTGAAAACTTTATTTTCTATAAAATATTTGCGTGTCAGTGACAGCTGCAAACCTGCTTGGGTTCTTCACGTCGTGATACTAGAGTCTAGCTGGGGTGAAATTTTGATGGCGCAAGCTGTACTTGCCTCGGAATATGCGAGTCTGCTTCCGCTTAAGTGTCATACAAATGGTTATTACATGAGCCTCCCAAATGTCTTGACGGCTCTGTTATACGAACTGTAGAACCGTCGCGTATTATCGCACGAGATCATCGTCGACTAACCTTTCAATAACTAGCCCCTGTGTAACCATACTAACTTGTACTAAGTTTCCAAGCCCGGTTGCCGTACAGCACATCGGAATGTGTAAGAGCCCCATCTATCTTCACCACCAGGAACGGGGATGTTGTCCGCATACTCGTCAAGATCCACGGTCAGGCTGTCTTCCATCTGCCACCCAAGTTTATCGAACACGGTCCACCCGGCCTCAGAAAGATGAACCCAACAAATGACCTCATGCTCATCGGCTTTTCTAGTGCCCCATCGGATCAGGGTTTTGCCGATACCGCGACCCTGAAATTCGGGGTGCACGGCAATCTGACAGATGAACATGCACCTTGCCCCCTTGGGCATGATTCTCTGTACGAAGGAATTCATATGATTGCTGGTGAGCTTCTCCAGCTCTGCCACCCCTGGTTTAGCAGTTGATTGAGGAGGTGTCTCGTTTGAACGGCCTGTCGTCGTTTCATCCTTCGGGGTATCTCTCTTCCCTGTCTCTCTCACTGAGATTCCCGTTTCCCTCGTTCCCAGGGCCTCCCGCGAAACTTCCTCCAGCCCTTGCTCACCCCATGTGACGTGTCCAATAATTCGCCCGCTACTTTCGTCGACTGCCTTGAGCACGGTGAGCCTTACGCGGCCGGGTGTCGGGTCTTCCATGTTGCTGATGTAGTCGCGGGTTACGCCCATCATGCAGTCTCTAAACCACCCAGACCCGTAAGCGTTTTCCTTGAACTGGGTGTTCTTGTCCTCTTTGAAGCTCCGAACCGATATGTCGACTAGCAACTCGATGTCGCCTGGAGTGGCGCGAGCAATAGGCACTGGGAATTGAGACATGGCAGCGGAGAGGCGGTCGTATACAACTCAGTGTTTCCGTTTTTTTCCTGTTTGGTGGCGAGATGGGCTCAATGCTGTGAACCTCAACTGATGGAAGGGGATAAAAGCAACATAAAAGCGACGATATTATCCGAAATGAGTCATGCGGTGACCGAAGGCATGCCGGAGCGGCTTACTCGATTGAATCTATCAAGATAAAAATGGAACATTGGGTTGGCCTTGAAGTAAACAGAAAAAAGTACCCCGTGGCCGAAAAAGACGAGGAAGCTCGCCTCGGAAAAGAACTGGAGTAGCGTGAAATGAGAATATCGTTCCCCTGAAGATGATCCTCCGCTTTATATATTGACAACTATTTTGCTCTCTAATAGACTGTGCCCTTCAAGAAAGCCCAGGTAATAATATGGAATCCTCACTAAACTTGAACTTGATCCGGAACAGATGAGGTGCCAAACGCCAAAAAAAAAAAAAAAAAAAAAAAAGAGTTAGGTAGACAAGATGAATATGATCCAGTTTGTTGTTGTCAAATGACGATCTCCCCATAATTGGATGGAGCTTATCAATAAATGCGTAGTCGTATTCTCCTCGATTGGTATCCTTCCCATATTCTGTTCTCTGATTTAAAATTTCCTTTCCATGTCGGGAGTCCCTGCTCAGTTCTCCAATGAAACGATTTCGAGGATTTCGTTATAGTATATGTCGTCACGGTCGAATGGGTAAAGACATGTGCTTTTGCCCTTGACATCACGTACCGTTTCCTGTTTTCCTACCACCCTTGCTTTCAAGCACACATTGACCTCCGAATCCCTTCGACTTTCAAACTATTTTCGGTGATAAGCTTCTAAGATCGTAGTTCTACCCTTTCGGCGAATCTATGATTCGTCCTAACCATCTAATATGGCGTTTCGCCGTTCCTTCGGGCGGCTCGGCGGCCGATTGTCTCTTATTGCCGGCGTTCTCAGGGGACTTTTCGTCTTCAGGCTTCGAGCGCTCAAAACTCATCCACCAGCAGGTGCCCAGTAAACAAGCTAGTAACAAGAATGTCAAAATACCCGCGCCAGCACGGTCCGCCGTCGTAATGTCCTTGTGCACTGTTATATCGCCGCCCCCCCGACCACCCCCCGCGGACGGGTCACCCGGAGAAATCCCACCGGTAGCGTCGGTAACAGGCGCATTCGGCGGATTCGGCTCGTTGACCATTAGGCTAGACACCGCGGCCAAGACATTCATCTGTTCACCCGCGCCAGTCGTTTTGTCGACAGACGGGTCGACAAACTCCCCCGAGCTCCAGTAGAACCCGCAGCGGCGACCAGTTTCGCCACCTGTGCATTGGTTGACGGCTGCCTGAGCGGACTTGCGAAGCACCGGGAGGATCTTGTCGGCGGTGAAGGGGGCGATTTGGGCGACGACAGTAAGCCAGCGATGAACGTATCCTTTGAACGACAGCATGTCGGTGGTGCAACCCCTTCCGCCCTCGCAAGGGACTTCATAGGCAATACCATCGGGAAAGAAGCTCTTTAGTAGGTTATCGAGGAGCTTCTCGACGCGTTCGCGCCACATATCGGCCTCGGTCTTAAGGAACACGTTAGAACGGAATAAACCAAATCTGGCGTCTCGGTGCCTTACATAATTGTACATAAAAGCGGCTCCTTGGGTCAGGATAGCAGCATTGTACGAGAAGGTTGCCTTATTAATATCTGTACAGTTGGCTTCGATGGTGCCACCGTCGTAAACCTGCCACGTTTCGTGATCGATATAATTGACCCCATATATCCAGTTCCAGGTGTCTTCAGCATAACGAGCGTAGGTCGCGTTGTTCGTGTATCTGGCCAGGCGAGCACCGAGGTTGAAGAAGCACCCGTTCGCAATAGCTGCGATTTATCAGCGTTTCCGTTTCCAGAGTCCACTTCTACGAGACCAGAGGCAAACGTACTATTCTTATAGTTATATCCACCGTTCGCTAATGGGATCTGCCAGCGCATGCCTCCATTGCAATAGTGGTCATGCCGGCCGGGATCGGCCTGTGTGTTAAATACGGCTTGAGCCAAGGCGAGCCATTGGGGTTTGTCAGAAGGTGGATTCGGGAATTTCGTCTCGGCTGCAAGCATGGCAGACATGCCCCAAAACCCCTGATCATCGTTTCCTAGCGACGCGGTGTGATTTGGTGGCATATAATCGGCATTGGGCCCGGTCTGGTGTATCATCCCCTCCATGATGTCTTGGTTGTAGGTATCATCACCCGTAAAGTGCCAATAGTCGATATAAGTGCCCATCATTGCACCTCCTTCCCACCAGAAATAGTCGCCCTTGCCCTCGGTCGGCGGGCCTGGCAAGATGCCTGGAATCTCGCCCGGCTGATTGCCCTTATAGAAGGTCATTAGGTCGAATGCGAGGGTCCGTGCTGACTTGAGGATATTTTCTAAGGATGGGACTCGGAGTTAGTGGGCGTCGGCTTTAGGAATGAAAAAGTCGGTCGGATTGGGTACGGTACCTCGCGTGTCGATTTTGTAGTATTGTGCGCACACCCCTGGGAGGGCCCCTAGGAGGAGCGCAGTATTGATGGCTATAAAGAACATGGCGGGGACGTCATTGGAAAGGTCTAGGCGTGGGAGAAGAGATGTGAGGTGAGGTCAAGGCGAAGAATTTAGGGTATTGCAAGCGGCCATCCTAGGCATTAAGAAAGGAAACGAGGACGTCGATGAGGATGGGAATACGAACGTGACCGCTGTTTAGATGCCCAAAGTGGCGGATTTGGTTCCAGTACGAAAGAACACGAGGTACGAAGTACACCAGGTGAGAAGAGCTGTCATGAGAGGTCTAGGCGACGGACCCGGCTTGGCATTGTGGCTATGTGTGTGCAGAGGAGCCTCTTCCAGTTAGCTCTGGTAGCAAAGCGGAGGTTTTCTTTGCTAATACGAGGTTTTGCCCATGGTTCGGTCGCTGCCTACGTACGAAGTAGGATCGTCCCATTCGAGGGATGTGTTGTCATAATGCAGATTTGAAGGGTCTGGATACAACATGACCACTTTTTTGCCAACCAGGATCATGGCCACTAAACCTTTTTGAGCAACAATACCACCCTCTCGTGGTTTACGTCCACGTGAACAAAAATTGTGTTCCCCTTCGAATCCAGAGGGAAGAATGCAGGCTCTACGGAGTAAGTTGACTATGGAGTGCATCGCACATTGATGAAGGAATTGAAGAATTCACGCACACATTCATATTAGTGTGGTGAGGCTTTTATCTGGTGTTGGCGGCCTGGCTGGCTGGCTGCCAGCTGCCCTGGAGCTGTGGCAGAATCCTGAGAGCCAGTCTAGCACTGTCCGTTCGATCAAGGTATAAATAGAGTTGACATACCTTTGTACAGTGACATAATCTTTAGAAGCTACTGCGTGCTCTCTTCTAGAATGTGAGGGGCCCAGGGCAAGTAAAAACACCTCAACTCTTAAGAAACTCTAGTCTCAGCTCAGGCGCCTCCAGCCATTTATAAAGGATCTGGATAAACCTTTTCAAGCAACAGTAGAGCACCCCATGCATCCTACAACATTGAGACACTTTTACACCTCTAGTACCTGTGTACAGCACTCTTAAATTTACCTCCTCACATTCATTCCTCATTCCTCAAATTCCATATTACACCCTCCGTAGGGACAAACCTTGTTGACCAGGGAAGGAATTTCCTGGGAAGAAAAGACTGTATTGCTAACCTTCATGTATTCGACAAAAGCATTGTTATCCCTACCCTCCTCTCCTCCGAATTGACGGTGGCGAAAACTTCCCTTACACGATCGATGAGCTTCGGGTACTTTCCCGACTTGATTCCAGCTGCACCTCCTCACGACCAACGAGACGAGGAAATTCACGCAGTTGCAAGCGGCTGTCAGCTCAGCGGACGTGATGCTGTTGTTGGGAATCGGACGGATGCATCCTCTGCCTGCGATCTCGGAACGGCTTAATAGAAAGGATGATCGCCGGAATCCCCTGTATCTATATATCGCCCTGTCTAATCACCCACCAGCGGACTTTATGGATTCAAAACCAGGCGCCCAACAGCCAACAGTTAATAACCACACGGATCCTTCCGTTTTGTGATTTGCTGGAAATCGGATGACGCGTCCTGGGAAATTGGGTGTGCGATTTTCGACCCCGCTCATCCTTTCGTTTCACTGCATCGAACTTCTCATCCCGCATGTTCGCATCATGTCTTTATCTGATCAAGCATTCCCTTATCAGATATTCAGATTTCTCTCTCTCTCCATCCCGACGAGTCCTTCAGGAGTTGACGGCTATGCCTGCGGACCATGGTGTTAAAGCGTGCTGTTAGTCTTCTGCTCCTGCTCTCACCTCCGATCATCGGCGCCTCTGCCATCGCATCCACGCATCAAGCAGTCGAGCCAGACATCGCGAGCGCCCGCGAAAATGGAGTCCTCATATTCAACGCCGTGCACTCGGCCATGCGACAGTGGGGTTCATCGCTCAATCACAATGGCCTCAGCTTAATCCCTGCCACCGTACCTAAGGGGACGCTCCTATACCACGGCACCATTGCGAATAAGACGCCCGAATCTTTTGAATGGCTCGCTTTTGAGATAGAGCATGCGGAGAACTTTGCTGGGAGCAGGCCTAGACCTCCTGGAGACGGGCATGGTCCGCCAGGGGGCCCTCGCCGGCCAGGGCCGCCGCCGCCATTTGACAATGGCCCTCACGCCGATGGACGAGATCGCATTCAGATGTTCCCGGGCCAGATACCGTTGGGCGCAACGACTGACGATCCCGACGAGACACCCAATATACGCGGCTACCTCCACACGTACCACGCGAGCCGAGATCTAAAATTACTCTACATCGACGGCATGTCTGCTGGCAAAACGAACAAAGGCACCCTCGATACGCAGGACCTGCTCTTGCGTGGTCTCACAAACGACACTAGCTTCAACGAGAGGGCCCGCGCCGACGATATCTGTAGAATCATGAAGTCGTGGGGTTTAGATGGAGTCATTCGAATGGAAGCCGGGTTCGAGATTCTCTACTGCGACTTTCGGCAAGGGTTGGAGCTGGTCGAGATGCTCCGCCGTCCGCGTGCGCTTACCTTCGAGGCGGGCCATCGCATGGATTCCTTTGAGTGGTTGCGGGCTGCAGCGGAACGCTACGATGGCATTGGCGGCGGGAGGGTTCAGTTGGACTTTTCGAGGATGGTCAGCGCGTTGTGGTATCCCGTAAACGTGACAAACTCTGAAGGAGGGCTTCCGCGACTTAACGGGACGACACCCAGCGAAAGAAAGGATATTTTGGAGCGGGTTGAAGAGGCTGTTAGATCTTGGGATGGACCGAGTCTTGATTGGCAAGGCTTGGTGGACATGGTTGTTGCTCGCCACGAGGGTCGGATCGCCTATTTGGCCGAGGCTGACGTGGAGGAACAAGATTTTGTCGAACAGGTTCTCGGCCTCACGAACACCTTTGTCGACTACCCTCCCTCCGAGTTCGATATCGTCAGCGATGAGATCCTAGATGACGTGGAGCAGCGAGCTCGAGCGAGATGTATAGAACATTATCTGCGCCCTGCACGTGAGTCGAGGTCCACGTGGAGTAAGGAGGATGGGATGATAGACGCCGCCATTGAAGCTGTGACTGGGCGTATCTGCAGCGATTTCTTCACAGTCAAGGGGTTGCTAGCGAAGGGCAACGACGATCGGGAGTCAACCTCTCTCGCAGAAGCTGTCAGGAAGGGCCGTGAGATCGTCCGTACCTTGAAGAAGGATCTAGACTGGACGGCATGGAAAAAGTGCTCGGCTTGCAAGGTCAACGAGATTTGTTTCGTCGCCATATGGCCGTTTGGACTGATTGAGGATCATTATACTCCCAGTTGTATGAACCGTACGACACTAGCGGGAAGGGCTGGATTTAGGATGCCGGGGGAGAGCTACTGGTCAGATTAACAACGTTTGTGATATTTCATGATACATGTACAATTACAGCGCTCTGTTGATACCTATTGCGATATTGTTTTTGGCGAATTGGTTGATGACTTGGAATGGTCGAGACCGGTTGGGTTTAGGCGTGACAATCGGCATCAAGACAGGCGTAGAATCTACGTCGGTCTCAATTTTCATCTCTAGGATTCAGTTTATCGAGGCTTAGGGTCAGATCCGCCAATTCCAGAGAAAGGAGGGCTAATCAGTGAGGCATGTCTAGTCCTAGTTTCAGGGACCGGAGTTATCGAGCACAGTCTTTCCTACCATGGCCTGTTAGCCGGCTGTGAGGAGCTGAGGCTGCTAGGCCCAGAGCGAGGAGCGAGGCACCGACCTCCCCATCAAGAAGAAACACAAGCCCAAACATGGTAGGTCTTGCTCCAGGAGAGAACTGCTTCTAGCTCGGTGTTTTTTCCTTCTTTCTTCGCTGTCTCCACCTTAATTTCTCCATCCCCAACCTCTCCATTCGTCAACTTCTTCTTCTCCGTATCCATCCTGTCCATCTCAACCTCTCCATCCCCAACTTCTCCACCCTCGACTCCTCATTTCCCATCCCAATTTCTCCACCTGAACTCCTCCCCGCCCGTTAAGAACGATGTCCATCACAAACATCACCCTAAATTGCTTCCATTACAACAAGGAGGCTGCAGAGATCTATCTCCAGGCGTCCGATTCCATCGGTCGTTCTCTCCTCTTCCGCTTCCGCCCGAAAGGCCATAATCCCGGTAGCCTCTCAGACCGTCTCCTCCCATTCATTCCCGCCACCAAGTCCCAAGACACAGCCAATGACTTGAAACTCGCCATTTCAGAAGTGTGGGGTCATTGCATATTGACCGCGCGGATGCCATTCGTGATAATCGATCTAGACACGGGGGATGATGGACACGCAAAGTGGGCTGTAAAATACGAAACAACCATGTATCAGAGCTACCTCAGCTCCTTACCCGTCGCTGACTTGAAATTTTCCGACGACGTGTTCGACCGGTATGAATGTCAGTTTGTCGATCGAAGCCAACTCATGGGACACAGTTACCCCCGAAGTACTTCGTCTTCGGCCGTTGTGAGCCGGCGTGACGAGATGTTTGTTCGGAAATAGTTTTTCAGGGACTACAGCTTCGCCTGCTTCCTCACGAACCAGACCGAGTGCGAACACCATTTCCAGTCCCTCACAGATACCCTCCGAATGTTGACGCACAGGAGCCGTCACCCTAATATTTGCGGACCCCCAGAGGCCATAGTAACCATCGATGATGCCACTAGCCGCGGTCTACGGCGGATCGTGGGGACGTTGTACCCGTTCATGGAGAACGGTTCAGTTGAGCAATACATTGCCGTATGCCAACAGAAGAAGCGACACATCAAATTGTCGTATAAAGCCAAATGGTGTTGGCAAATGTGTTCGGCCGTTAAACATATCCACCGGGAACGAGGGCGGTTTCACGGTGACCTGAGGCCGTCTCACTTTTTTATCGACGACGAGAGGAACCTTATCTTGACGGACTTTTAGAGCAGCAGCACCTCTAAAATAACGCTGGCGCCAGAAATTCTCTACAATTGGGAAATAGAGATCAAACATTCCGACAGTGGCCGCGCGTATCCTTGTTACGGAGAGCCCCGGCGTGGGTCAAACTCAACCCCAACCACGTACCACACCCCGAAACGACAGGACATGTTTACCGGTACGGTAGCGAATTACCCTCAGCCATTTGAGTACGCCGAAGTGTACAGCCTCGGTCGGACCATGTCGTTCCTTGTGGAAGAGCGCACCGAACAGGATATCAAGGATGATCTCTTTGGCAAAGGGAATGGGTCCGCTCCGGATTATCGGTGGACTATTGTGGACAGTTGCACCGTGGAATATCCGACGGAAAGAATAAGTCTGGACAGCCTCGTGGATTTTTGGGAACACGAGGTGAAGGCGTACCCGTGTGAAGACAGCGATGAAGAGATGTACGAAGAAAGCGGAGACGAGGATAGCAGCGAGCAGGAAAGCAGCGAGGACGCGGAAAGGGAAGAGGCAGATGGGTAGTTCCTGGAAGACTAGCCGGAACGCTCCACGAGGTGATCCAAGCAGTGACGGATTTGACATAAGAGCGGGGAGGAGATCCGCATTGAGACGTTGGGTGACCCCATTCCTGTCTGATTCTTCTTTCGGAATTTATTCTGCAAACACCCATACGACCCAAACAACAGATGACTTCCTGGGCTTTGACACAGATGAGGATGTAGAACGACCTCCAGCTGGGACAAAGTACATCCCAGGGGCGTTTCTAAGGGCGGCACATAACTGTATGGATAGCATGGCAGAGGAATCTTTATGTTTGACCCCCAAGTTCTAGACAGAGGGCAAAAGGATGTATGAGAATGAGAGACAGTGAAAAGTTTACTGCATTAGATTCCTCCCTTTATCAACCCAATGGATTGTGAATTGCTGCATTAGGATCCATGCAATACACCCCGTCGTCGTGGACTTTAAACTTTAAACGGGCCTCCTAGAGATACAGATAGAACCGGAACCTTTAAGTCTTAATAGCACACAGGTACGGTCACTCACCAAAGCCAGCATTCAAAGGGGTGTGTGCCATTGCGGCGTTGCGACGTAGCAAACTGACTATCAAGGTCCTACCAACAACGGGAGACGGCGGCCTTCTCAATCTAACCTGAGACCATAAGATGCAAGCAGATCATTAAATACAATATCACCTACGCCAAACTACCCATAGGGTCCCAAAGAGGCAGCACCAAGGGCTCCTGCTGCAGCACATCCCTAACCTCCTTGCTCACAAATCTCGGGTCTATAACGGCTTGGTAGACAAACTCATCCATCCATCGGTCGCTCATGACAAACCATCCCTTCTCTCCGGCATCCTCGCCCCAGCTATTCTGCACCCTCCACCTCACCGTTTTGCCCGTTTCCTTGTCCACATGCACTCCGGTCAGGACCATGGCGTGCGTCATCTGGGACTCGCCCGTTCGCAGCCTAGAGGCTTTGTCCATGCCGAGCAGCGGCACGTTGAAGCCCGTCTCGTAATCGATGATGTCGAGGTCCATGACGCCGGAAGCCGTGTCGGAGAATTGTCCGACGTCAGAGCCGAAGAAGATGGGGAGACCGGCGCGAAGCATGGAGACGCAGGCGGATTTGAGGGTTGCGAGCGGGACATTGACATAGGTTACGGGACGGCCGCCAACGATGTTGCCGAGTCGCGAGACAGTCATGAGAGTGAGCGGCTCGTTTCGCGGATCGTGCACGAGGGAGATCAAGGACGAGATTGTTTCCGAGGTTATTCGCAGAGAGGGTGAGGAGATATTGGCAGCGAATTCCTTGGGTGTGGTTTTAACTTCGTGGGCGGCACCGTCTTTATCAAGGAAGCTCCAGGTGAATGTATCTTCTGGACCGGGTGGTTTGCCGAGGCAAAGGGTGAGGATTAGGAGAATCTCCTTCAATGTCTTTTGCTTTTCCGAGATGAGATCCTGCGTCGTTACGCCTCGGCTTCGGGAAATCTGTCGGAGATTGAGCGCGGCTTCGCGCAGCTTCGTCTTGATGATGGAGTTGAGGGTCCGCGAATTCTTAGCGTTCCAGCTATCCGGGTACAAACTCTGAGGCACGAGGCCGTATTTCTTCACAAGGTTATACACCATATCCCACTGTCCGCCGTCGGACACGATATCGGAGAGCAGCGTCTGCACGAGGCGCGAGTCGAGGTCCTCGTCGGCGGTATCGATGATCTGCTCGAGGAACCAGTTCGACTTCTCGAGCTTGTCCCAGAAGAAGAGGTAGGACTGGGAGAGCTCGAAGGAGTCGAGGTTGTGGCGGCGCATGATGGCGACGCGGAAGATGTTGGTGGAGGCGAAGAGCCAGCAGCGGCCGGAGGAGCGCTGGTTGGTGATGGGCCCGCCCTCGAAGGGGATTTTGACGTTGAAGATTTGGGGGTTGGAGAGGGTCGTTTCGGTCGATGTGAGGATTGTTTTGGGATTGGCGTTGCTGAAGGCCGAGAGCGCGAGCCTGGGCGAATGATTGTCATCAGCATCATGGGTTGGAGATATTATGGGGTGATAATATCGCTCACCTATTCTTCGGGTCCTTGAGAATGCTGCTCTGCCACGATAGCATCTCCTCAGTGGCCAGGCCCTGCGGGTTCCATCGTACCCGCTCGATTGCTGTATCCTCGCCGTGCTTCTCGCTCTCCAGGGTCAGGTAGTCCATGGACCTCGTGAGGTCGTCGGGTTTAGCAGGCCCCTTCTCAGCATGGGCGGTCTTGGAAACCTGAGCACCCATTTTGTCGAGTTTTATCTGGAGTAAAGATGAGAACAGTAGCTGAGGAACCCAAAGACACAAGTCGCGCAAGCTGAACAGGCGGGATCGTTATGGTTATGGGTGGGAGTTGGAGGAGGACATAACGACGTAAAGACTGGAGATAACGAGCTTCCGGATGTGGAAGGCACGAGACTTGTGAGTGATAAGCTCCAAAGTCCCCAACCTGCAGATGTCTGTGGGGTACAAATAAATGTATCTAGTACCTCGTATTATCAAATTATCAGGCACGCATTAATGTATTCTATACTTCGTACACAATCAAAGGTCTCAGCTCTCAAGGTCCTCCACCTTGATGGCTACATTGGGCCAGTCACAGCGGAGAAGTGGAGTCGCCATTTGAGCGTGACATCACGACTTCGTAACTTTTGTTACATTTTTGACCCCAACCCCCGATTGGTGCATATCTCAATATTCCATGTCAAGAAAATAGTGTTGTTTTCTAAGATTACGATGTTCCTCGACCTCGCATGTTGGGTAAGAAATGTCGATCGAAAGGTGAATTTATAAAAGGGGGGGAGGGGGAATAATGAAGGTTGAGAATAAACACAAGAGCCTTATATTTCGTGACTATGGTTGAGGTGGCTCAGGGGCTGGCCTGGAGCTGACCAAAGGAGAAGAGGATAAGTTTCGGAAAGGCTATTTATTCTTGTCCATTGTATGAATGTTGCGTGCAAGCTCGGGACGACCGCCGCGACCGTCGACGCTGTGTCTGCATCTATGCCATCTATTTATAACAGGCAGCCACGACCCCAACACCAGCTGGCTGCACCCACCTGATATACCGAGAGCCAGTGTCAGGATCGTCACAAAGCTTACGACAACTATACTAGCATTACTGGAGTTGATATTGATTATACTACTACCTTCGCCCAGCCGGCCAAATACTAAATTCCCTTCTAGTTCCAGAACGTCAGATTCAGCAACCCCTTCTGCCAATGTCTCCGCCGACGACTTAGCAGTCAACGCCAGCCGTATTAGGTCTCTAAGGTCAAGTCTCGCATGTGATGATAGGTTATTGTCTTGTTCCCAGTCCCAAGTAAGAGGTGCGCAAATTAAAAATGAAATAAATCAACAGAAAGACGGGTAGAAGTCAGCCTTATCGAATACCCTGATTTCAAACCTGCCGCAAGCTGGGCATAAGTCGCTAGTGATGCTCGCCATTTTCTGTCGCCTCTTCATCAGCTGGCATCCGATCATATAGGTCCCTCGCCCACTCTGTGATCGAGTGCCCCTTGGTATCCACCACATCCTTAGGAAACCCTATCCACTCGAAGCTGGGCAAATGTATATATGTATGCGACGATGAACACCAAGGGACCTCCTCTTTAAGGCTTTTCCAACCTTCTGACGCGCTTTCCCCGAGCTCCTCTTTCAGTATCGTCAATATTATCTCGGACTTCTCTTCTGCCGACGCCTCATCCGCCAGCTCTAGAGGCTTATACCGCAACTCTCGACACACATTGAGATCCACGAACCACGTCCATCGCTCGTCTTTGCCCCGGCTCGCGAAGACATCCTCGGCCGAGAACAGGCTTAAAATCAACCTTGCAAAGTCTGCATGCTGGCTGAAACACGCCATGCAGAGCTCTGTTCCCAGACATGTCGTACAAACGAATCTCGAACCCGTTATCTGCTTCGACTCGCAGCATCTGCATTTTGTGTTGTGAAAGGTAATATTCCCTCTCTTGAATGTGGCCCTCTGCAGTGATACGATGGCATCATCCACAAGCCCCAGCAATGCAAGACCGTGCCCCAGGATGGCATATGCAGTGTAGTAATCCACCGTGATCGAGTATTGTACGAGTGATCGCACATTGGTCCATAGCTTCCGACGGATGGTCGCTTCCGGCGTAGGGATCCAGCCTGGCGCGCGATAAGCCTGCAGTTCCGAATCCTCGAAGCCATACATAGCCGCGCAGTCGAGCGAATTACGCCCAGTGAACCCGCATATCAAGGGATCGCCTCCGCGTGTTAGCAATTCCTTTCGGCAATTCCGCATATTCTGCACCGCAATCGTTGTGGGTGTTCCAAAGACAGGGCTCATCGCGTTGGGGTCGGCGCCATCATTAAGCAGGTACGACAGAATCAATCCCTGATCTCGCTGAGCTGCCTCGTGAAGCGCCGTCCACCCGAAGTCGTCCGCAGCAGCCAGATTCGCCCCTGCTCTAAGCAGTACCTGTATTATGCCCAAATTCGACTGACCTGCCGCCATCATAAGTGGTGTTCGTTTCCTATGATCCTCCGCGTCAACGATGCTCCCGTTTTCGAGAAGGACCTCTACCGTTTCCAAATTTCCCGAGCTGGCGGCAGCGTGTAGGGGGGTCCGGCGATACCTGTCACAGGCCATCACATCTGCCCCCTTGCCGAGGAGGAACTTCACCATACTATCGCTTCCACGTTGCGCGGCTTCGTGCAACACCGTCCATCCGTCGTTGGTGATGGACGTCGCACTAGCTCCGGCTTCAGCGAGGAGCTTTGCACTTTCGAGATTCTCCGTCAGCGCAGCGTAGTGCATCGCAGTCCACCCATCCTCATCGGCGGCGTGGATATTGGCTCCGGCCTCCAGTAGATCCCGAACATACTCCAGATTCTCGCCATGTACGGCAATGAGGAGTGGAGTCCGTCCTTCGCCGTCTATTGCCTCGATATCGAATCCTTGCTGGATCGTTTTCTGTACGAGACCCGATACGTATATCCGGGTCGCCATGAGAGCGTGGAGCAGCGTCATGCCTTCCTCGTCCGTCACCTTTCGATACGCGCCGCCGAACCACTGGGAGAAGTAGTCCAGATGAGAGCCGACAAGCGACTCCTTGTTGAGCCAGGGCCAAAGCCAGGATAGGAAGGCGTCCCGTGGGTTCCTCCGTCCCCTCTCCCAGAAATCCTCGGCGATTACCTTGACGAGTTTTGGGAAGCGTTCCAGCTCTTGCGTGGTCATAATGTCTTCATCTTCCGTGAGGGTGTTCAGCATATTCTCGAGGGATCGATACGGCTGATCGAGGAATCGCGGGCAGAGGTCGTCGCGCTTTAGGAGGAACTCGATTATATCAATCCGCAGTTCCCCTATAGCCAGATAAAGCGGCGCACCGAGCTTAAAGTAGTCTTTTGAGATTACGTTGACGTCCGAGTCCGGTCTGCGGAGTAACTCCTGCATGATGGGGATGTTGTTGACTTCGACGGCACGCGCAAGCGCCGTGCACATGTTGACGTCGATTCTCTGATCGGCCACCAGGATCCTGACAGTCGACTCTTTTATCGCCAGGATAGCTCGACAGAGAGCTGTGTGGCCGTCCACGTCCACGATATTGGGGCGAAGGTCTTCCTGTTCCAGCAGAAGCCGCACGAAATCGTCCTGACCCCTCTCGGCAGCTACCATAAGTGGTGTGTCACCGAACATCCCCTGCCTGTTCAGATTTCCCGCAAGCATCGCCGGGTCTGCGCTGACCATGTCTCTGATGCCGAAGCGAGCTGCTACATGAAGTGCAGATGGTTTCGGTAAAGGCGGTAATAATGGGCTACGTCGAGATTCGTATCTGTCGGGAAGGCGGTTGGTGAAGCTTTCATCTCGACGATACCAGGACAAAAGAGTTTCGTCCGTACCTAAAAACAAGTTGACGGTCCTTCCAACCTTGGTGGTAAATTCTTTCGCCGCATGATCGCCCCAGTGCTGGACTGCGTATTTCAAAAACGGACGCGGATCCTTGGAAGTTCCTGTCTCCTCACTATCCTTTGATGGTTCGTCGTCCTGAACCGCACCTGGGGCCATTAGGTAGGAGATGCAACTAACTGTGATGATCTCGTTCGCGTGATCCAGGAACGCATGCTTCTTCTCCTGCCTAAAGTACTCATCAATCGAGTAGTGGGCCAGACGGACCGTATTCGTCTTGGTATCAACCATAACAAAGCCGCAGCAGTACTCCTCAAACTGGGCCGGGGGTGGAAGATTGCCTTCGTCAAACTCGGTGCATCCGTCGGAAGCCGTGATGGCATGGCAAAGCTCGTCGACGCTCAGATGGCGGACCGAATGGACCACCCATAAAATTGTCTGTTCTGCAAAACGGGTCTGATCTGGGTCGGGGAGGTCGCGTATCCGTCCCATCGTCAGGTCGAAGTTGTCAAATAACCCTGTCGGCAAGACAAGGAGCGCGGCTTTGATATTTTTTGCCGATGTCTTCCCCAGCACGTAGCGGATTTGGAAGTCGGCGAGGAGGAACCTGCATAGACCTGATATTTAGCAAAAGAAGAGAAGATGACGAATATGATTTGTAGGGGATAGAGTTGTAGGGAAACTTCCTCGGTCTTACGTACATTCCCTGGGTCTTCGGGACGATGGTGGAGATGATGCGCTCCTGAAGATCTCGCGTCATGATGCTCGAAAGCGTCGTGGCCTCGCGGATCTTAAGCTTTAGAAACTCTTTCAAGTCTGCTCCGCTCGCCTCCACATCGACTATCGAGGCCCCCCGAAAGGCATTTCGGACATCTTCCGGGTACGGACGGCTAGTCGCGAACAGCCTGACGTTTTTCCGCCTCATAGTGCCAATGAAGTTGATGATCTTCCGTCGGCATTCTACCTCGCATTCATCCAGCGCGTCTAGAACGACATATGCGCCGCTTTCGCAGCAAAGATCTGTAAATGTCTCTATGAGCTCTTGCCACGACGGCCGTCCTTGCTTGCGTCCGAAGCGGCTGTAGAGCTGGTTGAGCGAGTTTGGGACGGTTTGATGTTGGGTTAACAGTTGCCTGAGGAGACATGAGACAACAAAATATGGGGTTTGGGTGTCTTGCGACTTGTAATCGAAGTAGAAGTAGGCGAGGTGAGTTGTTCTGATGATTGGAAAGCCGAGCAAGTGATCGATCACGATGGACCTGTTTGTTCTGTTAAATTCTGAGATGTTTCAGCAAAGTCAATTTGATCTCAGCACCTACGTCAAAAAGGATTTGCCAACACCGGGCCCTCCCTGGCAAAAAAGTGAGCTTGAGCCGCGCTTGGACTGCCAGTCTTGGAACTCAGTCGACTCAAGCAGCCATCTTCCGGATCCATCCAAACGATGCACTTTGATATCCATATACTTTGATTCATATTCCAAGGACGGCAGCCAAAGCACGAACTCTTCGAGCTCGCGACCTGTGATATTGCTGGTTTAAGTCTTGTCAGGAGATATAGATGAGGGAAAGGGTGTCACATACTCATTTTGATCTTGTCTACGCCTTCTCTCAGGCGGCGCAACTCGTCGGGAAGCATGCTCAAGGAGGTCAAGAGGCCCTTGACAGCCTCGACGTTGACACTTATTTTCGAGCCTGAGGCAGCTTTATCAGCACGCATCACCTTCGTGACCAACAACAGGGGTAAAACTCTTACCACTAGCTTGGATACCGTCAAGCTTCTTCATCGTTTCGGAGAATCCATTGGATAGCAGAGCTCTGCAATGCCAGAGGTTAGGTTTTCACTCAAGTGACCTTTTTTTCAACTCCGAGAGAAAATTCAATAACTTACAGTTCTGATACGGAGAGAGACATTTGAAACGTGTTTACATATTGGTGGAGTCGGTTGACCTCCTTCGTCGTATCGTCCTCGTCCAGCGGCCACTTGAGCCTATGGAACAGCCCGCAGCAGAAAGAATCTTCGCGCATTCCACCAAGTTGCTGCAGAAGCGATTCGAGTTCATCTCGACAGCCGCGCAGGGTCATGAACAGCACCGACGAAGCTTCAAAAACGGTCGTATGTCGTGGGCCCTCTTTCTCGAGCAGCGCCCTCATCTGCTCCAGCACATGGCTGAGGCTTCGCACCTCCTTTTCCAACGCGAAAGCAGACTCCGGCGCATGTTTCACACCCAAGATGTAGTGGGAGAGCTTTAGCCCGATGTCGATGGAGAACCCGATTATACCTGTGATTGCCGATGCGCCATCCATTGAGGCTGATTTTGAGGTTTTGGCAACAGTTTCAGGTTAGAAGGAGAATGGGCGATTTCAAAAAAAGATGGAGGTGGTGCGCGAGAGTTGCGAGCCTGCTGCGGGCTTAAATATCGGCTTGTGCCGACATCATGAGCTTTTTCAGCTCGTCCCATTTAGGGGAATGGCGCTGGCAGTATGGGTGGCATAGCCAATAGTGCCCGTCTTGGGATGTCAGTCTGTGCTTGCCATTTGAGAGCCTGGTCGACCTGTGGTAGAGAGTATCAGACCATCTCTCTGAGAAAGGGGGCGAATATTGGCTGGGTTGCATGACACGATAGAGCTAACCCGAAAATAAACTCATAAACTAGATTGGGCTGGCAGGGGAAATCTTTCTTTCCCTCTGATGTCATGTTCCTGGCGGTTAGGATGATCCCGCACCTTGAGCCCAATCATGCTCTGGGACGATCACTCTTTTTCCTCAGTAGTAAGATTAATTAGTTTAGAAGCTTAGCCTACCTACGAAGTAATCTTAAACTAGTTTGAGCTTTGCGGGTGGTGCTGGGTAACGCTCAGGTCCCTTTGCCTGTCCCAGATCTAGATTCGGAAGCAGTAAACTTTATAAAGCCAATTGGAGGAATTACTAATGGTAAAGTCTGTTCTAAATATTATTATTTATTATTTTATAGTAATTCCATTAATAAAAATTCCTGTCTGTTGTCTCCGCCAGTCTCCAATTTCTTTCCCAGCTCTATAGAACGGAAAATATTAGGGGTCTTGATTAGTGAGAGCCTGGGTTATGCCGTGGTAATTTCGTTCTCTTTATAAACAACTTAAACACTCTAGTTCTCGCGTATCTTGACCTTTGGGCTTCATAGCCGCTCCGGGAAAAGTCAATCAAGCTTTACCGGACCAGCCGAGTACTCAATACGCCTGTATACCAACTGAAGAAGAAGCTCATGCGTCGGATTCGATTAGAAAATGAAATGAAAGATCTATATATGGCGGCTGTTTTTATCGCCCTCGCCCTAAAACAGCAGCTAAGGCAAGGCACGGTTGAAGCAAAGACGGGGACAGCGGTTAAAGTAGGTATAACCTTCTTTAAAGTCGAGGCTCTTCGACTAACGGAAATCTTAGCCCGTTTACATGAGGACAGCCAGACCCCCAATGACCCCAGCAGGAACAACGGCGACTGGGATGATCAAGCCGTCAGCGACAGATCCTAACCCTGATGCGCCGTTATTCGATGAAGACGCCCCGGTACTTTCCGGCGTGGCCTCCGCACCAAAGTCTTCTGTGTTAATGCCGCGGGTGGCGCAACCAACGCCGATGTAAGAGGTCGTCACATCAGGAGGGCAAAGAATTGTCACACCGGTCCTAGGGGCATCCGAGTTAACAACTTCAATATTTTGTGAATAGGGCTTAAGGACCGAAAGAATATGTAGATTTAACTGAAATGATCGAATCGCTGTGGGCCTGGCAAAAGTTCAAAAGGAAGGGTGGGTGGGACATACGCAACCATGCTTGTCCCAAACAAGCAGGCGCAGTCGCTAAAGTTGGTCATAGGGTCGCAGGTCTTCTTCACGCTGGTATGCATAGCGTCCGAGCAAGCCTCATAGCTCCTGTTCTTTCTGTCAGGTATGAAACGCTCACAAATCTCACACTCGTGTATTAGAATAACGGGAAGAACATACGAGAGTAGCTCAGCCTCAGTATTGCATTTTGAGAAGAAATTAGCCAACCTAGCGTCTGCGAAGTTCGCCGAGAGCCCGGCGAGGGCAAGGCAGAGCTGGAGTTTCATCGTTGAGAAATTAGGGGTGCTGTCGAAGACAGCATTTCAAGAATAACAACGGACAGCCGTGGAAACGGAGGGGCCTTTATATAGCAGGCACAGGATGGCTGGAAATATTGAACCTTTACCCCTGGGTACAAACCCCTAGAACCAGATTGCCTGCCGCAGCTGAGATCTCTTGTCTTTGGAAAAAAATGAGTGACATTCCGAAATCTCACTATTGACATCGATTATCTCCGTGATTTTTTCGCTATATTCGCCAGTGACAGATCTGGCTGCCGCGATTAGATGCCACCTCTCATCCATCGCCCGCTAGTCAGCTTGAGATTCTAATCCCGAATTTGGCCAGCTTCTAAAGCGAACTCGAATCGACCACTTCGTCGAGAGGTCGGCTCGGGGTCGTAACTTTATTCAGACGGACAGGCCTGCAGGGGCTGAGAAACTTGACCAAAGTCAAATCCGCGTTTGCCAATCGTGAAGCCAGGAGTCGAAACAAGGTACGATGCATCTATCTTCAACCGAAGTCCAGCGCGGTATCTAAGGCCATGATTGGTCCACTTGTCGATAAGGGAGATCTTGCGCATGAGACATGCCCTTGCCTCCGCATCAAAGGGGGTCTAGAATGCTCAGCCAGCGGCCCAATTGCCCATTGATGGTTGGACGCCAATCAGGGGAGAATCTTCCCATCCGCGCCACCCCTGCCCGTGGGAGAGGCCGGCCTCCGGAGAGGCACTGAGTGTGGGATTCACTGATGATGACTGCATCTGTTCAGCTATGTTGGGATTCGCTTTCCCCAGCTTGGGCTAATCAAGTGCCGCGCCACAGCTTTCGCCCGGGGGCGAGGGGTCGGTCTAAAACGTAGGGCTGAATGACAGAATGCAGCCGATGGGAATTCTATCCAATACATCAATTGATGCCCCATAAACATCGTTAATCGATCAATCATCATCGTCAGCAGGATCATTGTCCCCGGTCAATTTCGAACAAGATCTTCAATAACACTCGTTAGATATCGAACCGATACTCCACCATTGTCATGGATTGCCCAGATGAAATCTTGTCTCAACGACTGTCGAGCCGCGCGATGTCATCAGGACGAGACGATAACAATCCGGAATCAGTAAAGAAAGTGGGGACTTACAGGAGGAGTAGTGAGCAAGTTCTACATCTCTTATCTAAGAACGAGCTACGAACGGTAGGCTATGAAACACTATAGGGCAAGCGAAGTTACTAACAGTCTCATAGATTAATTGTGCTAGTTCTATTAAGGAGGTCCAAAATTCATTCAAAGACGCGATGTATAAAATCATCCGCAAACATAAGAACGCAGCGGTCTAGCAATTCCAGGCGCCTCATTGTCAACGGAAGTCGGCATTTTTGACAACCGGAAGATCGTAACTGCTACCGACTAACGCCAATCGGGTCAATGAACCGTCAAGGCTACTGTCGTCTTCTTCGCGATATGATGAAGTAGTATTTCTAGCTTTACTGAGCCTTGTTAGAAATGTTTTTAAAATGCCTATGTCGCGCTCACTTTGTAGCGCAACGGTGCGAAAACTCTCCGGCACTTCTGCTGCACAGTGTTGGAACGTAAGTGCGTCAGGAGAAGATTCACGTAGAACACCCCCCTGTCTATTGGCAGGTGCCCTGACTCGGAGTGTCGCCACTTATATGCCTCCAAGGAGTAAGTCAGCTAGATCCGTCCAAGTTCTCGACTTACATCTTCTTTATACCGTATCCAATACATAAGTCTCTAGATGTATCTTTCCATGACTGCCAGCCAATAGGACAAGAATAGCGGAGTAGATTACAATCTATTTAAATGTCTGTTTTCGCTATGGCTGTCTAAATCTAGCTAAGAAGCCAGCAAGTTTTCAAAAGCTCGAGATCCAGCTCGTTCCCTAAAACTCTCGAGGCAGGTTTCTCATTAAAACATGTGCTCTCAGGATCTGTAATCGATGTTGCTTCAGCAACTTCCCACCCTTTCATAAAGAGGCGAGTTGTTGTCCAAAGTTTAAGTGCATCGCTTAGCAGACCTGAGTCAGTACTATTCCCACGTACTGCCTTGAAGAGTGCATTCTGACGAATCTCTTCTTCGAGGCATTTTAGCACACTCTTAAACACATATTTGCCAATCGTGTCGTTCGACAAGACTGAATCCAAACCTATCGCCCATGTTTTTATCGCTTTCCAGCCCGTGCTGTTTTTACCCCATGCAGCACCTACTGCTTCTTTCAAGCTGTAAACGTACTTGAGTCAAGATGGTTTGCCTGGCCAGACCATCCCAGCAAGGGTGGTTGTAGAAACCGCGGGTTTTAATGCCAATGGGCCTGAATCTTACATATGTGACGTATCATGTACTCTACAGTATTACATACACGGAAAAGAATTTTAGGCAGCGTTTCCGCCGATGACGTTGAAGACCACAGAAGAAGGATATTTGGGAGGACTAGAGTTAGCTGCTGGCACGGTTTGGAGGCCTTAGAAGACGTAACATTGTCATTCTTCGTAGGCACTGGCAAGATATTACAGACGATGACAAGAGTTCTCATTGCCAGGAATTGACTTGGTGTTGTGAGAGAAAAACCACTATCATTTACTTTCTTGTCTTTATCTAAGAAGGAGGTAATGGATGTTTGTCATTGAGCCAAGCTGAAGAAACTAGCACTATTATGGAAATGTCCACGATCATACAGCGCTAATGATAAGGTAGGTGGAATTCGGGCAAACCAGTGCATAAGAACCCCAAAATTCTGAAGAATTACATTGGCCTTCGACGTTCTTAGATTCCCACATGCCTGTCCCATACGCGGAGATCTCCACAAGGCCCTCCCGTCCCGCTATTTGGCATTGCAAAACCCCTGATGGCATGCATGTGGGTAATCTTAATTATGCTGCACTACTGAACCGAACCGAACGCGGGGGGTTACTGGAGTTGGGTTATCCAGACATATCGCAACCCGGATGGGGCGGGCCTTACCTTAAACGGTGCAAATAATGGTCTAGATGCAAGGGATGAAAGCAAAAGATCCACGGTTACCCGAAGTATACGATATCCCGAACATTAAATATCTTGACACGCCCGCAATGGGCGAGTATGGTGACATTCGTTTCGCCGTTTATCTGCATCGCTCAGGAGTTGCCAAGAAGCTATTTTCGGATCCGAGCAAACGGAGATGGTTTTGGATAGTCGCATTACCAAATATAGGCTATCAAGTTGATGGTTTTGGGGCCGTGTTGCGCCCTTTTCTCCCGTCTCTCGGTATGCGATTAGTTCAAGCGCCAAACCGTTGACACACTCCATGAAATATCGGGCACCTGTGGTCGAAGGAGGGATACCTGAATGATACTTGATTACAGCTTCTATGGCTTCAGTCACTGGGTTTTTGAAAGTGGCTTACAATACCTAATGCGGGGTATGAAGGTCTCCAAGGCTTCTCTCAAGACTGCGGGGGAAAGTAGGGCCCGTTGCCAGATTCAACTTATTTTCTCCATACGCCGAGACCCCTGCCAGCATTAATTCTTCACTTGGAAGGGACTAGTAGCCGACTGCAACATGATAAGGCGACTATTCTAAATGGAGCCTGATACGAAGTACTTCGTATTGGACCCATTTCGGAAACTCGATTAATTAGCGCGAAGGGAACGAGGATACGCCCTGGAACTTGTGTCAATACGAATTGAGCAGGCATGGGAAAAGATCAGACAACATCTTCTTCAGATAATTTAGCATGTAAAGCGCAGATGTGACGTGAATCCACACTGCAATGCAGCAGAGTCGAATCAACCAACACACGTGGTTACAATCATTGAAATTAATCCGGACTTTCACTGTCTCGCGTGCTCTTTTTCCCTGCGATTGAATGATAACCATTCTTTAAGTTGGATCTTTTGTTCTGGCCATGCCGTTGGCAGAAATGGGCTAGACGATGCGATTGGTTCAGGGAGGCAGTAGCGATCTGTAGGCTTCTGTGGTAATAATATCAAGTTGTTTAAATTCTGGTGTATGGGACATGTCTTTGGGGCTAGGAATGTTCAATGTTGCTCACTGCTCAGTCTGTTTATGCAGCAACACAAGTGTTCGTCACTCATTTCGACACTTGACGACATTCGTTCTTTGAAGAAATAATACCTTTCTTCGTTCACTCCTTCTCCTTATGGTTTCCTCCAAGGCATGGAGCGCCTTCGCCACGGCGCTCCTGGCCGGCTTTCTTCCCTCGGCGCATGCGATGCCGAATCTTCGAATCATGCCCCTCGGTGATTCCATCACGAAAGGAAGTCTTTCATCCGGAACCGTCGGATACCGAGGTCCCCTACGTCAAAAGCTCTTGAACTTGGGACTGAACGAGGACATCTCGGTCGACATGATTGGTTCGATGCGTGATGGCAACATGGCTGATGACGATCACGAGGGTCATAGTGGCAAGATGTTGGCCGACATCAACGAGTATTGGAAGTTGTCTATTGCAGCGAGGCCTAATGTCATTCTTGTGCACGCCGGAACGAACAACATGGATAAGAATATCGATCTCGACATTGCTCCCAACATTATGGCCAGTATCATTGATGGCCTCTTTGAGCACGCGCCTGATGCCACCGTCTTGGTTGCTCCGGTTATATGGGCCAACAATCCCAGGATGCAAGTCAACACCGATCGCTTCAACCCCCAGGTCGAGGCCCTCATTGAATCAAGGCAAAAGCAAGGCAAGCATATCCTCGCCGTGCACATTGACATTAATGTCAGTGATCTAAAGGACGACAAACACCCCAACGATAAGGGCTACAATAAAATGGCCGATGCTTGGCTGCAGTCCATTCTTGAGGCCGACCTTCGGGGATGGTTGAAGGAGCCCGTGAAGCGCAGCTGGAAAGACGTTCCTGGTGCGGGACTCGGCATCCACTCGGAGCGGGAGGAGTCAGGCATGTCCGATTCTCCAGGTCCCAAGGGCAGAGTCTGGGAAAAGGCAGGGCGAATTTTCGAAGGATTCCGGACATGGGAAGATCTCGGAACCATCCGAGGTGCAGTTGAAAACGGATCTCGCGACAAGGTGAGACTTGCTGACCTGAACGGCGATGGCAAGACTGATTACATCATTGCCGACGATGACGGAACTGTCCGCGCCTGGCTTAACAACGGTGGAGGCGCGTGGACTAGTATCGGCAAGATTAACCCGGATTGGAAATCGCTGAAAATCAAGGGTGACATGGTCCGCTTCGCTGATGTCGACAATGACGGAAAAGCAGACCTTATTGCTCTTTACGAAGACGATGGTGCCGCCCGCGTCTGGAAGAATGTGGACAATGGCAAGAAATTCGAAAAGCTAGACGAGAAGTGGGCCACGGGTTTGGCTCCCGGCCACAAGGTGAGCTTTGAGGATATTGATGGTGATGGGTATGCCGATTACTGTGTTGTGTGGGACGGTGGTGCCGTTCTCTGGGCACGCAATAACCACAACAATGGAAAAGATGGCACCATGAACAATTGGGACAGGGGTAAGACGATTGCGACGGGTCCTAGAGGTGTGCCAGACAAGCGGGCGAGAATAGTTGATCTCGATGGCGACGGCAAAGCAGGTACGTTAAAACTGCCCTTGGCCTTGAAAAAAAAAAAAATAACTACTAATATGGGGGAAAAAATGCAACTAGATTACCTGGTTGTGTATGAAGGTGGCGCTGTAGCCATGTGGCGAAACGTTTTCGGCGAGGGCCGCAGCAACGACTGGGAAGACCTCGGCATCGTTGCAGCCGGTGTCCGCGGAGTCACCGGACCCATGATCCGATTCGGCGACATGGATGGCGACGGCATGACCGATTTCCTTGCCGTCAACGACGATGGAAGTATCCGCATGTTTAGAAACTTGGGAATTGTCGGCAGCGAAGACAACAAGGGCGTAAGCATGCGCTTCGCTGATCTTACAGGCGATGGAAAAGCAGATATCATCTCCGTCGACGGTAACGGTCGCGCACGTGCTTGGATCAACCAAGGTCTAGGGTTCTGGGATTCTATTGGCGAGATTGCAACTGGCTTTCCGGATCAGGATCTCTCGGCCTCACGTATCGAGTTTGCTGATGTCAATGGCGATGGTAAGGCCGACTACCTTATCATTTATGGTGGTGGTGCTGTCAAGGCGTACCTCAACAACGGTAATCTCCCGAGCATGCCTGAGGGTAAGCGAATCTGGCAAGAAGGCTTCGAAATCTCACCTGGTGTCGGCGAGCCCGGCCGAAAGGTGCATTTTGCTGATCTCAACGGCGACGGATATGACGATTTCCTCATCATCTACGATGGTGGTGCTGTCAAGTGCTGGCTCAATAACAAAAACATTCCGCCCAAGAACGGTGAACGCATCTGGAGCGAAGGCGAAGAGATTGCCACTGGTGTGGGCGAGCCGGGCAGCAAGGTCCGATTTGCAGATCTTACTGGTGACGGCAAAGCAGAGTACATTGTGCAATACTTGGGCGGCGCAGCCAGGGCCTATCGAAATCTGGGTAGAATCCCCGGTCCCCAGAAGCAGAAATGGGCCGACATGGGTCTTGTTGCTCTCGGCGTCAATCCCCAAGGACCTGTCCGCTACGCAGACATCAACGGTGACGGAAAAGCCGACTACCTTGTCCGGTTCGGCGACGGCACCGTAAATGCCTACATCAACTCCAACAAGTGGGAATTTGTCGAGGCACCCGAGCCAGGCGGCGACACCAACTTCCCTACGCCGGGTGACGACAGGTCCTGGCGCGATATCCCATGCACTGACGACGCCGCAAACGATGCTCTCACAGATGCCGCTGGAAAGTGGAAGGGCGTCAAGGCCGACAAAGCGTGGCAGGATGCCATCGCCGGTTGGAAGAAAAACATCACCGACAAGAACTATAAATACGGCTTCCCCGAATCCATCGCCAACTTCTTCAACGAGCCTCCAAACATGGAATGCGATGAACTCGCAGAGAATAACGGTTGCCACGGAGGCACCTATTTGAAATGTGAGGATGACAAGGGAGAAGCCGGCCCAGCCTCCTCGTTTATTCTAAATTCTTTCATGAGACTTGAATCCGTAAGTTGCCCAGATTACCCCGGTACCCAACCCCAACCACTAAGTCGACATCACAGTTACTCTGGAACCAATTTACGTCAGCCGAAAGGGCCAGAAACAACGCCAAGGCCAACATGGGCGTCTTTGCTTCAACCTTTGCGCCAGTGAAAAAGTCCGACCTACCAATCAACGTTCTCCTCGACATTGTAACCATCGGCTACGCGTCCTTTGCTGCGCCGACTTGGGGAAAAGTAGTCAAGCAAATGGACTGGGCGCGAAACAACGGCGGCAACTTTGACACGCTCAAGGACTTTACCAACGGCATGGTGACACAGGGAATCACGCTGACAAAGGACATTCTTTCGTCGAGACAAAGCGATTTTGACACGACCAAATCTCTCGACTTCCGCGTCAACGCCATGGTCGAGGTATACCTCGATTCCATTAGTGATTTTGCCGCCCACGTCTTTAGCGGGAAGGACGAGGGCATCACGCTCCTAAGCGACATTATCGCCGATGGCAAGATGATTTCTGCCGAGTTGGACACTATTTCCGTCGATGAGAACGTTGATGACATTGAAAAGTCGCTGTACGCTCAGTTGATTCCGATGGCGTGGAGGCACTCGAACAGGGACTTGAACCCCTTGTACGTACCTTATCCCCGTCCAAGAGAATGAAGAGTGCTGTTGGAAGAGAATATTAACGAAAAGTCACAGCATTATCGATACTCAACTCAGCTGCAAGGATGCCCCCAACGACGAAATCGTCAAGATGCGCATGAGCGAGAGTGCGCAGAAAACCGAGATGGTCTGCGACAAGGCGAACGACCGGGCGTACTATCTAGTTGCATCCGAGGACCCCAATAACAACTGCTGGGATAGAACCAGCGGTTTCAATCCCGGAAGAGGGTGCAAAGCGTTCCCGAAATTGCCAGGCACCGAGGCATTCGGCAGCATTTGGGGAAACGTCAAGAGAGAGGACATTGTTTTCGGGTACGTATCGAGATGTCCCTAGATGAAGCTGACTATCACCAATACTAAACAACCAACAAAACAGGTCTTTGGCGACGTACAAGGCAAATGGTGGCAAGAATGTGGACAGGGACACCCATTGGTACTCGATGAGTGACGATGACTGGGATGGGATCTTTGAGAGCATCTTGGACAACGATATTCAGGCCCCCTGGGTCTTTAATCTTCCTATTTGTACCATGACGGATGCTGTCACGATTTCTCTTGCCTATCGAAGCAGTGGAAGGAAGTATCACTTCCCCTGTCCTTTGAGGATTGGCGACGAAACACCATGAGTAATGGGAAGATCGTCTACGATGTATCTATAGTTACCAACACTTGCAAATATATTTGCTAACCTGAGGGCACGCGAACTTGGACCTATATCACAACAGTTTATGGGTATTTGAGCCTGTCGAGCATCGGGGATCGAGTCTGCAAGAGGCTCTTCGAATTGGAGGAAGGGATCTTCGCCAATCCGCTACAAATACTGCAGATTGATGTGTCGGGGAAGGATGTTGTCGCCTTCACGACGGAGATGCTCGGTCCTAACCAAGCAGGGACCGGCTTGCAGCAACCATACCAAACTCCGAGTTATCATTTCTTGAGAATAGTCATCCGTCCTCTTGGCGCAGTGGTGAGAAGGGGGGGTATGGTATGGAAGCAGACGAGTCGTCAACTGTGAGGCAGGCCCGAGAAAATCAGTTCGGTCCGTCTCTGTGTGTGTGTGCTGTGTGGCATACAGGGCGTGTTCAAGCCAAACACGAGGCCGTATGTACTGCTTGATGTGTCAACTATCGATTTAGCCAGCAATAATCGCCTCAGAAATATGGTTGGTCGGATTTGACCCTTGGATGTTATCTTACTAAGTGGCAAAGTATGTGTCTATGTATCCTTTAGTAGAACTCTAACCCTTGATCCTGGTGGGCGGCCGATCGAATCGTCACCTAGATGGGCCTCGTTTGGAGACTTCAGGCTTTAACTGGCCTCCGCGTGCCGTATGTCTGAGCGCCAACAGCGGGAGGACTAGGTGATTGCTGCATGAAGTTAATTACACGAGCGAATTTTAGCGGAGCACCGGCAGCAGGCGCCTGTGGGGGGCGCACCTAAAACGGAGTGAAATCCGGGGAGAAACGCCTCTAGAAAGCCAGGAAAGGGGAAGCTAGAGGCCCGGATGGCTTGGTAGAGCCATCGGCCATATCATAACTATAATAAACCCCTGTTTCCGGGTGCACTCGTCGAGAACACTTGAACTACCAGGGAAATTGCGAAATCCTTCTGTTACCGACAGCCATTTTAGGGTGCATGTACGTTCGCCACCATGCCATCCAACACTTCAAGTCCGCTTACACGAGATAGGGGCAAGCTCCGTTCCTGATACCACTTACTGCAAGGGGACGCACCGGGCATGCGGGAGTATAATGAGCTAGTGCACCACAATCGAGCCACCCGCGTCATCCTAAATCCTATTCACAATTTCCGAAAACGTCTGAGGGCTCGCTCCTTGGCAATGTTAATGTTGAACATATTTTCCCGGTTCAACAGGTGGAGAATTACTGATCTTCGCATTGCTCCACCCAGACGGTCGTCTTTGATAAATAGATCGATGTGGTAGTGGCAAAAGTTCCACCCTTGCCCAGGGCAATGCGAAGACATGAAGAGTACAACAGTCCAAAAACTACCACGCATGCCCCTAAACAGGTCGACCACTGTCACATCGAGCGTCTGCCAAGCCTGGCGAGGCAGTTTACTTGATCCATCCTTGGAAAAGTGGGGGGTAGCCAACCTAACCAACCCCTCCATGTCGATAAAGGCACAAGGTTAAGCCGGCGCGCGGGGAGAGCCATTTTCGTCTACGACGAGCAGGTATCAACAGGGAGTAGGTAGCATGTAAATACATACACTCCGCGTATTTCGGCAACAAAGATCCACGACATAGACCTTAGTGTCAACTTTGAGGCGAGGTAACATGTCAAGAGACAAAGGCTGTGCTGCACTCTTTTCATCATTCCCCCTCGGTCTACGTCTCTATTTATATCTCTTGTAACATGAAGAACGCCGTAGTCAGAGAGAGCCTAAACCCACCTGGGAGGCTAGCTAATTTGCCCATCCTCCAGGAACCGCCCGCACGTAGGCCTGTTGCGGCCGTAGAATGTTTACGTGCCGACACGCCTTACACCCCTTTCCAGTTAAGACGCCGAGCTGATATGCACATTGCTCAGACTAGCGTTCCTACTGGAGGTCCTATGGGGTATACTCGATACTCGCTCGGAGTTCCTCCGATCAAATTAGCTATCAATCAGCTGTAGGTTTTCAACACCCTGGTGCTCCGTGATGAGATAACATTAAAAGGACCACAACTCCCCCCGCCCCAGAAGTTAACCCCTGTCGTTCCTCAGACAGCTGATAGTTGTTTAGCCCTGCTCTACGCAACCCTAAGTCTGCCCAGCCAAGTTTTGATACGGCAGATTGAAGCAAGTCTGGACAGCGAAAATGGCGTCAACAGCGCCTCGTCCACGGCACTCCGTCGGCCTACGGTGGAATGCGCTGACGGCTTTGACACTTGTGCTAGTGTCTTTCGCCCTTTGGATCCCAGTTTCAAACGCCACCACGATGGTGCGCCGAGGCCCTATTGGTAACGGAGTCGAATTGAGGGTGCTTCCTATTGGAGAGTACGTACCGCCTCGTTGCTCAAGCGGAGCAGTACATGTTGTGTCCTTCCCTGCCTATTCTGTTCACGGTCGCACCAACTAGATATGTTGGAGCTTTGCTAACGGGTACATGCATATCAGTTCTATTACCTGGGGTGCCCAGAGTTCAGATGAGAATGGTTACCGAAGTACCCTTTTTAAGCTCCTCGAGGATCGAGGGAACAAGGTCGACTTTGTCGGAAAAGTGAAGAGCGGAACCATGGCCGACAATCAACACGAGGGACACCGAGGTTTCCTGATCAGTGAGATTGAGAGCTCAAGTTCGACTGGCATCAGTGCTGCCGGAAACATTGCGCTGGTTCATGCGGGAACCAACGACATGAACAAAGATATCAACGTTGCAAATGCTCCTGCACGCCTCAAGTCCTTGATCAATACCATTTTCAAAGTCAATCCCGACGCGTGTGTATTTGTGTGCCAGATCGTTCCGGCAAGGTCCAGCAGCACGCAGGCACGCATTGACGCGTTTAACGCTCAAATACCCGCTCTCGTGGACAGCTTTGTCGACGCAGGGAAAAAAGTGATGATGGTTTCGATGAACCATGCTCTGACCCTTGCTTCCGACATCAGAGACGATCTTCACCCCAACGACGCAGGCTACGTGAAGATGGCCAATGCCTACTATGACGCAATAGAAAAGGCGGATGCCAAGGGCTGGATCACCAAGCCAGGTAAAGCAGTGACTCCTGCGGATGCCACCTCTCCGGAGAAGTGTGGACCATCGCCGTCCTGGTATAGGGTGACTGAGCCGATCGCCTCCGGCGCCAAAGTGTATATGAACCCCCTGCCACTCCAGAACATAGAAGGGCTAGATTGGGTGCTCAATCAAAGGAAGATGCTAATACTCTTAATTTTTTTTTTTCTCAATGTAGAGCATACGGCGATGGCGATTTCAAGCAGGCCTGGAATAAAATGGGTGTCGTAGCGGAAGGCGCATGCCCACGTGCCCGACTGCACTTCATGGATCTTAATGGCGATGGCCTGAAGGATTATGCTTGTGTAGATCCAGACACGGGAGAAACCGAGGTTCATATCAATATCCCTGACTCGCAGGGTAGGACATCGGGATCTTGGGGCAAGGGCCGTATCATAGCGACGGGCAAGGAGGGTCGAAGCGGCAAAGGCGTCAAGTTCGCTGAGTCAGTGATTGTCCCGTCTTATTTTTTCTCCTCTTTCTCTCCGCTTGGTCTCGTATAAGTATTCGCTGACAATTACTAGTTTGAATGGAGATGGTAGGGACGACTATATCTATGTTGACCCCGATGATGGTGAAGTTTATGCTTGGATCAACCGACTAGAGAAAGATGGCGTATGGCAATGGGAGTCTATTGGCAGGATTGCTGGTGGAGTAGGAGCAACAAAGGACAACCTTCAAATGGTTGACCTTGATGGTAAGCTTCGCTGTTCCCTTTTCTGTTCTTTTACGTTTAACGACAACCACTCTCTCGCCCTGCCCAGCTTCATGTTGGCTAACTGCATGCCGCTACGCATCTAGGTGATGGTAGGGCTGATTTCTGCATAGTTGGCAAGGACTCTGGTGTGGTCACAGCTTGGTTGAACACCGGTGTTGCCGACATGCCCGATTACCACAAACTCGGAGTCATCGCTACCGGAGCCTCCGCCCAGAAAGGAGATACGGTTATCCTGGGCGACTTTACTGGTGAAGGCAGAGCCGATTACATGTATGTCAGCGAAGGCGGCAAGGTCCACGGGTTCGTCAACCGCCTACAGGAAGAGTCCATCGCGCCTCGGTGGCTGGGACCTGTTGTTTTCGCTGATGGACCCGACGGTGCTAAGCAGGACCAAGTGCGCCTGGTGGACTTCACTGGTGATGGTAAGGTGGACTATCTCCTTGTTGATGAAAAGACTGGTAAGGTCACACTGTGGGAAAACCAGGGCACCGGAGGGAGATACCAGCCAGGAGAAGGTGTGATCCTATGTGACTGTAAGTCCCTCACCCTTCCGCACTCTTTCCCCTTTCCCTCGACGTCTTTAAAAAAAAAAAAAAAAAAAAGGCATCCTTCTGTCCTTAGATGACGGGCTATTGGCCTCATACATGCCGTTACGATTCTAACCCGTCGAAAATTTAGTGGACGGGGATGGCGTTAAAGACTACTTCTGGGTTGATCACGATGGCAAAGGTTGGGGTTACTTGAACGTAGGCAAAGGCAAAAACGAATGGGAGCCTTTGGGAAACATTGCCCTCGGAACAGGCCACAAGAGAGAGCAGGTTCGCATGGCAGTTCTGACAACCAGCGGCCGTGCAGACTATATTGTTGTGGACGATGAAACCGGACGAGCCGAATGGTGGCAAAACATGGGTCGAAAAGGAAACTGGAATTGGCAAGCCCGTGGAGTTTTTGCTACAGGTCCTAAGAATACCATTGCCAGCCAGTTTGGGTGGGGCTTCAACGGAAGGAATGTGCGCTTTGCAGAGTAAGTTTTTCTTCTTCTTCTTCTATTTCTTCTCCATCCACTCGTGGTCCTCTCTCAAACATACTCGGATCCACTGACGAAACGTCTTGACAGCTTGGACGGCGATGGCCTTGACGACTACATCTATATCAACGAAAAAGGTGCCACGGTCTGGTGGAAACACCTTGGGACAGATCCGCCATCCTGGGGTCTCCCCCATTTGGTCGCCAACCCCCGCGAGCCCGTTTCGCCGCGGGACATTCAATTTGCTGATACCAACGGGGACGGTCGTCTGGACTTCAACGTGATCGGTCGGGTTACTGGTAAGACGAGAACTTGGCACCATCTTGGCTTCCAAGACGACATGTCCATCCGATGGAATACACCGCTGCCTTTTGCGGATCGATCGGCTCCCGGGTTTACCGTCCGACTCGCCGAGGCAAGTCAACGTCATTATACTATACCTAGTGCCAATTCTTTTGCTCTAACCTTGCGTGGAATTTTGTAGATGACTGGCGATATGCGTGCCGATTACGTATCCGTCAACCCAGATAACGGCCGACTCGATCTCTGGATCAATCGCTGTGATCCGATTAGCGATGGCGGTAATAACGACCCCGGCGATCCGCAGCCTGTTGAGGAAGAGTCCTGGAGGGATGTGCCTTGCACTGACTCGGGCGCTACCGATGCTCTCGATGACGCGGATGAAAAATGGAAGAAAGTGCACGCCGACCAAGCCTGGAAAGACGCTCTCGCAGGATGGAAGAAAAACATCAGCGATCCCGATTATAAAGACGGTTTCTCTGAATCGATCGCCAATTTCTTCAATGAGAATCCAGGCATGGAGTGCGAAAAGCTTGCCGAAAATAATGGTTGCCATGGCGGCGCCTATTTGAAATGCGAGGATCAAAGAGGAGAAGCGGCCCCGGCGTCTTCGTTCATTTTGAACTCTTTCATGAAACTTGAATCGGTAAGCGCCCCCTCCCAAGCCTGAATTCGAGCCGGCCCTCTAACTTGATACTTTTTACACGCGCGTTAGCTGCTCTGGAACCAATACACCTCGACAGAGAGCGTGAAAAACAATATTGAAGACAAGATGGGCACATTTACAGATACTTTTGCCCCTCTGAAGAAGGAGGACGTAGCCCTCTCTGTTATCCTTGATATCGTCACTATTGGCTACGTCTCTTTCGCAGCCCCAACGTGGGGGAAAGTAGTAAAGCAGATGGACTTCGCTAGGAGAAACGGCGGAAACTTCGATACGCTCAAGGACTTCACCAACGGCATGGTAACTCAAGGCATGACTCTCACCAAGGACATTCTTGCGTCAAAAAAAACAGCGCTTGACGTACAGAATTCGCTAGCCTTTCGCACCTCCATCATTGTCGAGACGTATCTGAATTCTATCGTTGCTTTTGCCGCTACTGTATTCAGTGGCAAGGGTGACGGTCTCGACCTCCTTAGCGACATCATCGCGGACGGCAAGATGATTGACTCGGGCCTAGACACTCTCGCCGTCAACGAAACTTCTGCCGCCATTAACAAGGCTTTGTACGCTCAACTAATTCCTATGGCCTGGAGACAAACAGACAGGGATTTGAACCCTTTGTAAGTGTCTAACAGGAAAGGGGCCAGGAGAAGGCTAAGGGCACCTCCGGCACTGACTGTAATAGTGGGGAGAAAGCTAACAATGTCCGTATTAGTGTTCTTGACACCGAGCTCAGCTGCGAGGATGCACCCAAGGATGACCAGATCCAGAGACGTCTTACCGACAATGCTTTGAAAAGTGAAATGGTCTGCGACAAAAAGAACAATAGGGCGTACTACTTGGTTGCATCCGAGGATCCCCATGCTAATTGTTGGGACAAGGACGGCCGTTTCGCGTCCATCGGTTGCTACCCATTCGCGAAATTACCAGGTACGGAGGCCTTGAGCGAACTTTGGGGGAATGTCTATAGGGAGGATTTCGTTCACGGGTAAGTTTCTTGGGCTAAATGATGCTGTATCGCACCAAAGATACGGGAAGGAATTGGGCTAACCGACATTTATTCCACAATAACAGGTCTCTAGCAACGTACAAGGCAAATGGCGGCAAGAATATGGAAGGGATTTCGGGCTGGTACATTAAGAAGGATGGATGGAGGAGCGTCTTGGACGATCTCATTGACTACGATATCCGAGCGCCTTTCATCTTTGATCTTCCTGTCTGCACCTGGGGAGACGCCGTTAAAACCTCCGTTAAGTATCGAGATGGTGATAGGCCACACCATTTCCCCTGCCCTTTGAGGATTGGCGAGGGCGAGCTTTAGCGAGATAGTTTTACAGCCATCATCGATGGGTTTTAAACAGATTAGCATGCTTGTAATCCCAAATACACTTTCTCTTCTTTGTTTATTGGAGTTGGCATGGCGGCTCCAGACGCTTAAACTCGGCGAGGGTCAACTGGGAGATTCTCATCTTCTCAAGATTGATCTAACCCGATCCAGGGTTCAGCTCTTTTCTCCACGACGATTCGTCCAAGACGACACCATCGGACCCCGCGTGCCCATCTCCATCACAACCCAAACTTCACCTCCTCCTTATCAGCAATCATGGCAGCGGCTCAAGAATACGAGATTACGGGATTGACCCCCTCCGACTTTGACGAATGGTCTGCGCTTTTCCACGCGTATATTGATTTCTACAAAAGTGTGCTACCTGATGATCAATATAAAAAGACATTCGAGCGCATCCTCGAGACACGTGAAGGTCTCGATGCCGTGGTTATGAGGGAAACCGAGGGCGATAAGAAAATGGTCGGCCTCGCCCACTTTTTCCCGCAGCAGTCGCCATGGAGTGAGAAGAAGTTTCTCTTCCTAAATGGTAGGTACTACCAGGAGTGTTTTTCCAAGCCGCGCTCGAATATCCACGTTTTTTTCTCTGCTCTCATGTCCATTGCCATCGGCTTTTCAAACCGCTGTTCCAGTCCATCCAACTCCGTCTAACCACGTATATTAGACCTATTCGTTGACCCTTCCGTTCGTGGGAAGGGTCTCGGACGCCGGCTGATTGAAGCTGTGGGGGATAAGGGGAGGAGTGGTGGCTACAGTCGTGTGCAATGGGTTACGGCTCATGACAATTTCACGGCGCAACGATTGTATGATAAGGTGGCTGAAAGCATCTTCAAAGAGTATCGTATGAAGCTGGACTAAGACTCCATGGTTGAAACAACCTCGGCCCGCTTGAGGAGCCGGTAGATGTACTGTAACGGCCTCCCAAACGCTTACAATGAACTCTCAAGGCTTTATAAACTGCTATCGCCCCTGCCAGAATGGCAAGATGTACCAGTCCCATTCTAACAGTGTCATCTCTGTTCCAGCGCAGTACCCAAGCCCTTTTCTATTTACCTCTCGGGCTTTTCCGAGGACTTGACACGATCATTCTCGGCAAGCAATTTGTATTGATGGGGAAGACGAGAAACTGGGCGTGTGGAACTACCAAGCTAAAGAACGCGGCGGCTGCTGTATGGCGCCGAGGAATTGGCATTTCGGCTTTATACGCCTTCTTGACTAGAAGACTGAAAGATGGGCGAATGACGGCCCGAACAACTTGTCTATATAGAATATTCTAGCTGGAGCTTAGGAATCTCAGATTCCGAACCCTAATAACCAGCGTTTTGGAGACATATCGATGACTTCTAAAGTCTGACGAAAACGACACACCAGTGGTTGACGGCGCTCAATAACCTCCTAGGTCCTGCGAACAGGGACATGCAACTGCTGTAGAACGGGACACTATAGGGAAGCCCTGAAACTGATGGCAGGGAAGACGATTCGAGAATGGGTAGACCGATCATTACAAGATTCCGCCAGTGCAGGAGAGCCAGGATTGGCTGATAGATCTGGTAAAAGCCATATCCCCTTACGATCGCCCTAAGATGCCCCTCGCGGCTACTCTTACCTTTACCCTTTCAGATGCCTCCACGGTCCCCCGTACCGCTGCATTACAAACCGACTAAACGTGGACTCGATGGACCCAACCAAACGATCTATTATGTGGGCTAATGAGGCCGCAAAGTGTGTCCGGGACCTCTTTGGAAGAAACGAAGATGGCTACCGGAGCACGCAACAATCGGCGGGAAGGGGAAGACTACGGGGCCAGCGCAAGGAGAGGCGGCAGAGGGGCGAGACGCCGCAAGAATGGCTCATCGGGAGGAAATCGGCCTAGGGGAGGCAATAGGCCCGAACGAGCGAGACCCGGCCCGAGTTACATTCCGAAGCGTTGGCAGCGTTCTCGTTGCGGAAGGAAAACAAACGCCGGAAGGAGGGGGGGTTAAAAGAGTTTTTGGCACTAGTCCGTGAAATTCAGGCAAATGCGATAGTCTGGGCCTATTGTCAAAAGGCTTCGGTGCCATGCAACTTCAGATCATTCCACGAATGTTCAATCTTTCATGACCGATAGAGATGAACTCTGTTCTAGGCCGTCGGTACGAAGTACAAGAGGAGGATTTAAAGTCTATGGGACAGTGCTAAGAAAGGCATTACAAGTCCATCCAGGGTCTAACAAAGCATATGTATAGAGTATAATACTGATACCCGCGACCAGCTACCTGTATGATAAAATATGGCTCCATATGAGGCAGTTTGTTCTTATCAATAGTGAATAGTACGAAAGCTAGCGGACGCGCAGTGTGCAACTTCCTTCGTCTTGACAGCCTCGTATGAGGATCGCACTCCAGCACCAATTGCGAAGAAGCCGAGGAAGCCGACAACTCTGCCCGCGATCTCTGCAATGTTAAAGCTCAGTATCACTCTTGCTGGTCCCGTCGCCCTTCCCACCTCCGATGCCAACGTTCGAGCCACCTTAATCAATTCTCTTTCTAACTACACAGCGGCCAAAATGTAGCGGCAAGTAGAGCCAGGATGGTCACGAACTGGGGTGGAGAGACGAGAGGCGGACGAGACGAGACATTAATTATCGTGCAACTCTACTCCCTACTCCAACCTCCCTCCACCTCCCTCAACCTCCTCCGAAATGTCCTCAGCCGTCGCCGACACCATCTAGTTCCCAAAACCACCCGAAACAATCCAACGTGAATCAATCGTTCAACCCTTCCGGGCCTTCAAACCGCTTTGAACCTCTTTTCGTGGAGCTTCCGGACCTCAGCGGCTAGCTCAGGATCTGGACCATCTACCTCTAAGTCGGGAACCACCTCCTTGATGGGGATGCTCCTCACACGACGCGACCCGACGCCCAACTCGCCCAACCACTGCATGTATTGAGCTGTGGACGACGCAAATACGATCCGACCCAGACCGGCATATCCATGAGCAGTCGAACACATCTGGCAGTGTTCTCCGGAGGTGTACACCGTGGACGTCGCCCGCTCCTCCTCCGTCATGTGCGTTTGAGCCCACAGCACAATGGTGAACTCGGGGTGCCAAGTGACATCTGCCTTGGTCTTGACCTTGTTGCGATCTGTGTATCGGATCCGGCCGGCGCTGTCAACGAGAACGGAACCGAAGGGAGCATCGCCGGCGTCGAGAGCTTCGCGGGCAAGCTCGATGCACTGTCGTAGGTAGCCTCGGTCTTGTTCTGTGATGCCCATTTTCTTGCTGGTTTTTGGTAGAGAGCTTCCTGGTGTTTGGCCGGGTTTTCCGCCTCAATATGTTGTCTGTAAGAAAGTCGAAGGTGTTTGGAACTTAGGATGCGCTTTGCCATTTAATAACATCTTCCTGCGTCTTCGCGCTCATCCAAACTAAGTTATAACCCCGCTCCTACATCAGGAAGGTGCATATGGGTTCATGATTCTGATTTCAAATTTGATTTCAAATCCGTCCTACCGGGGCAGGCGGTGAATCTACTTGCAATACAATTGTCGGTTTTGTGCCCCTTCAAAGCCACCCTCAAACTGCTCGCGGTTCACAGTAGGTCATCTCCAAGCATGCATCAAAGTAAGCTCAGGCTTGGCGTGTTGCTGTATATCGGTATGTCAGGGGAATAATCGCCTCTGGTAGATGCTGGAACAAATCACCATTGAATGAGCGACTCGCTTTCAGTTCTTGCAATCATTAACCTCTTTTACGCCTGATTTATCGGAGGATACGGATGATATATGGAACTCCCTTGGGACAAGCTACCCGGTATAATAGTGGATCATCAGTTCGACAAGACTGATGAAGGTCCGTCTCTGGGATCGCCGCAAAGGGGCCAGCCAATTGCCCTCGGCAACAGCGAAGAGGAGTTCAACATGCGGTGCAATACTGGAAGAAATGCAAAGTCTAGTTATAAACACCCACCTCGACTATCAATGGCAATCAATCGCAGGCCATGTGCAGAAGTCGCGGGCATCGTAATAAGTCATTCGCCTGTCCTCACCAGAGATTCACCTTCACTATTTTTATTTCTCATTCTTGCCCAATGGCTTTTTATACTGAGAGTAACCGTTTTATTTTCTCTCCGGCAGGCTGCCTGATAGTGCTGCCGCCTCCCCGTAATCCTACTTGGCGATAGTCTTCATCATACTCTAAACCAGGGTACATACATGCCAGACTACAGAACATAAGACGGCTTGGCTTATATGTAGATAATCTTACTAATTTATGTGTCCTATTCTTCGGCGGAAAAAAGAAACTCGATGTTAACAAGCATTAGTCAATGAAGTTTGGGCTAATATTCTTCTGATAATGTTTCGCCGTCTTTCTTTGAGTGTAGTGCTGGGGACTGACCGCGTCTGTTCTGGGGACCGCATCTTCGTCCCCAAGTTCTGACATACCGACTGCTGGATTAGAAGAGTTCACTGTCAGCCTATTATCTCAGTTTCGAGGTTCTGGCAGGCCGACCGCCGGATTAGAAAAGTTGACCGTCAGCCTCCTCGTCCATGTGTCCATACAACTCGGAGGGCTTCCGTTCTCATCCTCATCAGTCCAACATTTAACGGAATCAAAGGACCAGTAGGGTTCCGGATGAGGTTTCTCTAGGCGTTCCTTGAGGAAATCGTAGACGCCTTTACTGCTCGCCCGGGAGTCGTTGTTAGGATCCAGCCTCCTTTCTTTAATGAAGCGAAGAAAACCGCTGAGAAAGTTGTCACCTTTGTCTTCGTTTACATCACGGATCAGCATGTCAATCCACTAGGAGAAGTGCTTAGCATTAGATACCATCGACACACTATGTTCGTGCAGCACGTCACCTAATACCTTTGAGACACTTTCTTTGAGCCTCAATGTCCTCGTCTCATTGTGACGAAGATTTTAAGAGACCCGAGCTCACGAGGGCCCTTTTCTGGGCCAAAATAAAGGATATTTCCCGGCTTGATATCACCATGAATTCCGTACCTGTCGTCCTCCTCTCTCTCCGACTCATGGATAGTACACAGACCTCCCACAAGCCCGTAACATTGCTGGGCTATCCATAGAATAAATTTGTCCATGCGATTGTCGGTGGATGGGAGTCGTTCAATGAGATGCTCTGGAGGTTTCGCAAACAACGTCCTTAAGGTTTCCACCGTCGGCCCAAGGGAATAGAAGCACATATTCATTCCCTATTTCGAATCTGGCGAGGAGCTCGACGAGGTGGTTCCCAACTCTTGTTTTTTGGTGGGCGCTGATCTCCCCATTGAAAACTGTGCCGTTGTCCCTGTTATCTGGGCGTAAAGGCTTAAGAGCGAAAAACGTAATATCGCCCTACTCAACAGACTCGGTCAGAAGGCCGATATAAAGCCCGGGAATTGTATGTAAATCAAGCAACCTACAAATTCGTGGTGGTCCGGATGGATGCATATGTTTTGTACATTTCCAAAACCACCTTCGGTTATCTTATGGCCTACCCAGCTCCAGGGCATAATGGTCCCCTCCTGGAGTTTGAATCTCGGGGCTTTCGGGGTGCCTATGTCCTTCGAAATGTAAGGTACGTGTACCCACCACTGCTTGTGGGCAAATTTCCACATTGTTTCTTGACGTCGGACAAAATCCAGTGGCTTCGAGTCGCGCTTCTTAGATTTCTCCTCATGAGGACTTGGGGGTCGTGTCCATAACTTTCCATCCGTTTTTACAGAAAGGAAGATCAGTACCTCGAATTCCGGCCCTGTTAAACTCGAAAATGAGGTTAACCTCCTCGGTCAAGACCAGGATAATGAATTTTTTTTGACTAGAAGGTGACGGAATGGTGCATAATAAGCCGTCATGTATTTCTTTATATCTGCCATTTCGGGCCAGATCGTCAATGACCCGTTAGCGACGGCGGCAGAGTGGGAAACAGACTGGCAATGCGGATATTGACCTGAACTTACCGGTGCCAGCACCCTTTTCACTTCCTAGTTGTCGCCTTCTATCACCAGGACGTTAAAGTTGCCTCCGCCGAGAATTGTGAGAAGCTTCTTCTCTAGCGTCTGCTTTGTGCCATAAACAAACGGAAGGAAATACACGTTCAACATTTTTTCCAATACGGAGAATTGCGAATTCGAAGTCGGGTAGACCTGTGGAAACTAACCATCATGCGATCTTGCTAGCTTGTCTCCGGTCAACCCCTAGGGAAAGGCTAGGAATACACCTGAGATGTTCTGGCTGCACGCGAATAGGTGGTGGGCAGTGCAAGCTTCACATCTCGCTTCGTCTGACGTCGGCCACTCTCTAGTTTTTATATTTCCATTTCATTTCTCATGCCAGTCTCTCTGTGTAGTCTTACCCATCTCCCGACAGGCGCATCGCACTCACTTGCCGTGGATGGAGTCGTTCAGACAGCTAATTCCCATTCTAGACCAGTGGAGCCTTTCTGTGTGAAGGGATTAAATAACATCGAGATTACTCTAAAGAGACCAATTAACAGAGGGCCCGCAAGTCCTCAGATTTTCTACCAAGGTATTTGTTGTTGGCATGGCTTCCCTCTATATCCAGAAGCAGAATTTGGATATCCTCGGCCATTGATTGTGGAGATATATTGTGGACCGCGAGAACGCCAAACGACACGAGGCCTATATTTTGAAGCATCATACTGCAGGTGGCCGGTCTACGCGTAGCCCTATGATCTACACGGTAAGTTGGCACACAAGACTTTTTTTGTTTTCGCGAAAGAGGCTGCTGACCGGCAACGGACACTCAATATAGAAGGAGGACCGCTCGTTGCAGGCCAAGACTGGAAAGACACATGCCATCTGCTAGTCTGCTCGCCATGAGCTTTTCGAACTGAGCACTCAATAGGAGTTATCTTAAACCGATCCCAAAAGTACACAGATAGACAGGCTCTTTGGTATTACTGGCTGCATTTCGTAGCAGAACTCCTTCAAGACTTTACGAGTTCTAAAATGGTGATCTTTCTTTCCTTTCCTAGCATAGCGGAATCGTCCCGTGAGTCTTGTGCGTGTTCTCTCCAGGTTTGTGTCCCCGATAAGTTGTGATGGGCATTCTAGCCATGAGTGAAATGGAAAACATGTTCTCGCCACGCAAAAAAAAAAAAAGAAAAAAACTCGCTCAGATCCCGCTAATTTTTTACCCGAATTTTATTCTTATTGAGCAGTGAGTAACGGGGCCAGCAAAACGGAAGTTCTGGAAGCTCGTGGATCGGGGCAAGAAGGCTTTAAGCTTGGGGGGAGGTCAGCCAGCCTCCTTGTCTAATAAGTAGCGCAGGCTGACGCATCTATCTGTCCACTACCTTGACCTGTACAAGAGGCCACATCCACCGCAACGATTGCAGATTGGTCCCCGCTTCCTCTACATTCAGTACAAGTTCTTTGCTGTATTTCCTTACCCCCGCTGCAATTGGATATCGGACAGAAGCCCGAACCTTTACATAGTGGGCATACGGTGGTGTCATTGCACATCTAGCACTTATACTCGGGAACGTTCTCCGGGTCGCAATACCGGCAAATCGTTGAACATCGCTCCCGCGGCATCCACTGCAATCCCCTGCGATATATGACGTCCAACCCGACCCGGAGCAGGTTCCACAGAGAGGCTTTCTTCCCCAGCCCTTGCAGTCGGGATATTTCGAGCCTTCAGTCGAAGACATCGCCGTGGAGGAACAATAGCTTTTGGCAATGTCGCCTGGTTTGGATTAGCGCTGAACTCTCGACCCCGACCCCAAGGAACTGGGTAAACGTGTAAAAGTAGGGTATCTTAGCAACTACAGTTTTGAAGTTGGAACGACGTCGAATTCCAGTCTTTTCCGATTGGTGTCGGAGAAGTATTGGTACGGGGAGCAATATGACCGTCGAGTGGAATAATTTGCCAAAAATGTCCGGCTAACATAAGTCACAGAATTGGGTTATTTCGGGATGGAGGTCGATATTGATGTTATTGAAGAAGTAAGGAATTTCTGTACCTGTGATGGGCCAAGCAAACCGGCATCTCGCAACTTTGTAATTCTCCAGCCACGACAGAAACCAATCAAGTCACGCTACGTTGCGTTGTTTCGTGTATGAAAGCCCGGTGCTCTCTCCCGCTGTGTTACACGGGTGCTCTCCAATCAAAAGAAATATCGATTAATGCTGGAGTCTAGGCGTTCGTCAGCCTCTCCATTCCATCCTCCTCGTCTCGGGCTCTTTTTACGTTACGTAGAAATCCTTTATCCCACCTGTCGTATAAGCTATCTCTTAGCCTTAGCTCGTAGCGTCCTGACTTGCCCTGTTCTTGGTCAGCTTGTCAATCCTATCCATGATTCCAACGTATTGTATTGAATCTTAACCTATCGACTGAACGCGGGTATCCTCGAGCACCCAAATCCAATGTTACAGTGGGTTATGGGTTAGTTGGGTAGCCAAGCCTGCTACGGGTTGGTGGGCTCCCGGCCTACCGCGGCCTACGCTGAATTGGGTAGTGCGCGGATATTCCGAACCCTAGCTGCAACGCTGTCCTTGGTCATTTTGAACCTAGAAATCCGGTTTCAAGCAAGTAGGGATTATATTCCGGTCACCTATGCCGTCTCTTATCTAGCGATGTAGTTTCTTCGGAGATACTTTATCCGCCACCCGGAGTAGGTAGCATATCGTATCCGAAGCAGCAAATATGAGTGAGACTAATATCTATTCTAAGCCCCGAGCCCTCTCCACTCTCTAGTGAGATGTCGAGGTTCGCTCTAACCCATACACCCACCCTCACAGGCTTTTGGAAGGTATCCTTCCACGTTTCCAGTACTTCCACGGGAACCGTAGACGCGCCGAGTCAGTGTATGAGTCTTCGAGGTCTTTTCCATCGAGCTGAATGCGCTCGTATTTCATCCTCTTCTGCCGTCTCTCGAACCAATACCAACCTATGGCAATACCAAATGTAATCGCCATCAATGGAATTGACACTGCAAAGAACATTTTCAGGGCTCGACTGGAATACTGCTGTGGCGGACTTCCAGACTTTACCTCATCGTCAGGCTGAAATTTGATGACATCTGTGCTGAAAAAGGTCTAAAAAGAACAAACACACTTAGCTCCACTGCTTCCGCTCAATGGTAACTTCTGAGGACTTACTGAAACAAACGTGGCCGGAAGGAAGACCAAGGTTATCACCGCTATGACTCGGACGGCAATGGCTTCAAGTCCCATGGCATGTGCCACCCTCTCCTGCTGCACTACTGTTTGGATTTGGAGATGTTGAATCAGCTGTAAACGAGAAGTGTCAGTTCGAGACCCGGGTCAGTTCAATAAAGTATTATGCCACCTCAACTTACCATGTTTTTCCGGTCAGTAACCAATTTCGATAGTATTTGAGCCCTTGAGATTTGGGACTCCAAGTCGTAAGTAAGCTCTTCAAGACGGGAAGTGAAGTCGAAAACGCTTTGCTCGCTCGCCTCCTTCTCTGGGAATCCGGGATTCTTTACGAGAGAGCGGAAGAATTTCACCAGTCGAGTAATAATCCCCAGGTTTGATTTCAACGCCATGATTGTTGCGTTAACTCGTTCCTCTTCCTGTTGTAAGATTCTCACGCCTTCAGGATCCCAGATAATAGGGTTCTCCCCATTAGTTCGAGGCGGAAGAAGACAATGGATAGTCTATGAATTCTTAGTATCAAGAATCCCAATACAACGTGTTCAGTTTTTCGTCGTTTGACTCACCAGATCCTGAATTTTGTCTTCCATTGAGCAGATGAACCAGCGCCAGTCTTGACATGCGGACCGGCAGTAAAGGAGATGTGTATCCAAGCTTGTCTCGAACGCCTGTTGAAAGGTACCGAATCTTTCCGGGTATCTTTGTCCCTTTGCCAACTGCGTTCCTAACAACGTGTGCAGCTTCACCTTCTGATCCCCCAGAACCCATAATTGGGTGTGGGCCTCCACGTCGAATTGATGGTGAAACGCAGCATTGCGTATCTTCCACTGCCCGTGCCCGTGCGCCTTTTCATCGAGGTCTTTATTTATACTGACGCTCTTGAGTGAATAGCACATCTGATACCTCCTCCCGCTTCGGTTGAGAGACTTGATGATGTGTGCCGGATTCGGCTCAGATAGTGCCACGTCTGTTCGGAATCCACTGGATCTAAGCTCGGAGTCAAGCCCATCGCGCCGACCGAAGATGTAGAGGAATTCGAGAAATTCGGGCATGACTTGGAAATAGGCCAGGATCCTCTTGAGTGACTCCCGAGTCGTTTCCAGGGGCTGAGTGGAGCCAGCGGTTATTAGGGAGCTAATTCATTGAAATTAGTAGGTTGCCTATCGATGGAAATACCCGCACGAGGCGTGAAACTACTGAGAAGCTGAAGTGTATCAACTTACATGGTGCGGAATACCGGATCTCCAGATGAGCCAGGCACGGATCTGAGGTCACTTGGGTCCGTCAAATAGCTCGACACGTCGGCGTCGCTCCATAGAATTTCTTCGATAACTCGATGATCCTTCCCGATTTCTCGATACGGTATGTAGACGTCATGTTCCACAAACAGATTGAGGGCTTCAGACCTCTCTAGAAGACGCCCGTCGTACTCCTCTAGAAGTGCGCCTCCATACTTCGCTCTATCGATGATGCATTTTGGATAACTCTGGTAGTCCTTGTATGATGCTATGAAATCATTCGGCACCCCTAGATCAGACATAGCTTCGTTAGTCTCGGAGACTGCAGGTTCCGCTATTTAGAGCGGTATTATGGTAGGTCCAGTTGTAGCGAGAGCGTGCCGAAAAGCGTTTCTTGGTTTTAAAAGGAGAGACGTCAAGACAAGTTCTTTATAAACCCTCCGTGATAGTAGCATAGATCGTTCGACCGTACGATATCGGGCAGTGCGGCTCGGGTGAAGATTGCCGAGGCGCTCTTCAACTTCACTTCCGTGGACGAGGTGGTTCGAGCTCGCAGATTCTAAGTCTCATTCGTGTAAGATACACGTGGGCGAACCGGAAATTGCCTCTTTCGGAAACGGCTGGACACATGCCATACCTGGCGCCTCACTTTTGCATGTCTGGATGCCAAACCTGGTCAGTAGTGATGTCATGCCGAAATGTGATTAAGAATTGGTGGATTTTGTGGATCTTCCATCCCAATGAACATCGCTGTCCCTGCGCCGTCAAGACCGGGATTATAATTTTGTTCAATTTTTATTGGTGTTGTGTTCTACGCTGGGCAGCAATGCGAGAGCCTGCCTGAATATGCTCATTCACTGGTGTCAACGCCAAGCCAATCACTCTGATTGCCAAACTGCTCCTTTACAATCGTAACAAGACATGTATTGGTACTTTGATACTGCATGATGAACAGAAACTGTCCAGTCCAGGACGGGTGGTAGTCTTTTGAGGAGGGTTCAGGCCTTCAGGCTCTCCACCAGCAAACCGGGAGGCGGTTCGCTTCACCCTCCCAACCCAAGATTTCTTTCCCGCAGTTGAAAGCGTCGTTCTCGTTCTAGCTTCCGAATCATTTGGGTTTTGTCGATTTTTTGAAGGCTATAGATGTGGTTTTTCTCCCTCTAGGAGACGGCCAAGTCAGTCACAGACTCACAGTCCAAAATTACATTGCAAGATGCGAGCCAAACTCAAGATTGGAAAAGGAAATAGAAACGGGTGTTGTCTCACCGGCGTTAATTTTCGTGGGAGAGTCATGGAGAAGTAGTCTGCCTCTGGTACCTGCGTCACATCCATCATCAGTGATCAGTTGTGCCCATGGGCGGGGTAAACAACTGCTCATACCAAGACCTGCGGCACTCTCCAAAAGGGATCCTCGGTTTTAAATACCCCGCTCAAGTAGTCTCGGACATCACTCCAGTCGAGTCCGTATGATGAAATCTTCTCTTCGACCATTTCGCCTTGATTAGGACGGTAAACGGACTGGGGCCGCTGTATGCTGCTCGGTGCCCAGGATTCACTCGAGCTGTGAGTGTAAGCCGTTTGGCTGCGTGCCGGCGTCGACGTGCCACTCTTAGTGGACTTCCTAGATCTGAAGAACATGTTTGCGCCGAATCACTCCCGTCGTGTTAGGTTACAAGGGAACGCGCACCCACGTCGAAGGACTGAGTTTTGTGGCAGAGAAGTAGGCTTTGCAAGTGTAAGTGGAAAGTGAAATAGAACGAGCTGCACGAGACGATAGGCCGGTGAGAAGTGCGAGGAGCTGGGACTCGGTTGAAGGCAGAAAAATACAAATCGACATCACCATCGACACAAGACCTGAGATTTATAATTACAAGTGCCAACATGGTGTAGATGGTGCTCGCCCGTGGCTACATGTGCAATGCGGACAGGCATCAACTATCCCAGCAGGCTGCCGTCGCCTTCAGACCCTCCCTTAGCATCATTCGTCTTATCCCCAGGGAGTTGAGCCGCATTCACTTCTCGCCCAGGCTGGTCGCGGCCCAACTCGGGGCTGATTTTTCATCACACAGGCTTCGATATGTTATCAGTTATGATAGATTACAGAGCCAGCCGGCTCTCCCAAACTTTTGCGAGGTATAGGTACAACCTAAGCCCTTACCGGTTTAGGAGGCGTCTGTCCAATGTGCAGACGTAGTGATTCTGCAGACCACCCTTGTGGTGTCGATGAAGTGTTCAAGCCGTTGACTGCAAGCCGGTTTGCAGACTGCCTCTGGATGACGTCTTCGAAATTCTAACGTGCCGGCACCTTTAATGTTGCGCTAAGAGGTTACACGAATATAAAATCCACATTCATTGCCTCACCAAACGGCTCGCCGCGTATTCCCTGTTGAAGGAGACACATTTGGGCGGATGTATCCCTGTTCACCCTCTTTTTCCAAGGTCCCCGAGAATACACCTCGCAATACCCCAAAGATCCCCTGGCATATCACATTTCACCATGAATCGCAGTCCACTCAAACGCGTGGGCACTGGCTCCACGACCATCCACCTCGACGAGATGGCAAAGCAATACAGCCAGGCGCGGGACCATTTCATCCAACTGATACTTCCTCGATTCGAGCGGCGGAATGCAGATCAGAGGAAGTTCTACTTGGTGAAGTCCATAATCAAATATCTCCGCGAGACGGGGCCGCAACAGGATCCTATACTCAGAGGATGGACGTCGGCCTTTGACCGTCTTTGGAAGTCCTCGTTCTACATGATAGACGTCAGCCCGCCACAGCTGACGGCAACCGAGCTTGCTCCTCGCATCACATTGTTCCTCATACTAGTCTATCTAAACTGTCCGGAGGAAATAGTCCGCTTTCGAGATGGTGCCATCGACGATAGGGCCTTGCCGTTCACCAAGGAAATTCTCGAGAACGCCGTTTCCGCACACCACTCATATTCCAGGCTACGTGGCGATATCGAACGTGACCTCTTCATACGGGCATTCCTCAGAGAACAAAACCCCTGGTGTGCCATACAGCTCACGATGGGCATGGAGAAAATCCACAATGGCTCCCGCATCTTTCCTTTCTATGCCACGGATCTCCATGAAAAGTCCTCACTGAGGGTAAGCCCACACAACGCTACAATATGGCTTGTGGATATCCCAGAGGATTTTGTCGATGAGAACTTGAAAAAAGCGATTCCCCATGCGCGTAGGAAAGTGCCGTGGAAAGGGCCAGCATTTGATAAACAAACGTCACAAGACGATCCTACAGAAGACGTACGTTAACTCACCAGTATTTCCTTCCTGATGCTTCGAAGAATGGCAAATACTAAACGGCTCACTAACGCCGTACCTACCATCAGATCTTCCGGGTCGTAGTCAAGAAGTTCCCGAAGGATAGAGTCGACGCCTTCAGGAAAGAACGAGATGCCCAGAGAGCCTTCGCTGGGATTGAAGGAGTTATCAGATACCTCGGGTCGATCAAATATACTCACTCGACCCAATATTTTAACCGCAATCCCCGCTCACCGTCGCTCTTCGACGCAGAGTGTTCCTGTCTCCTACTCGAGCTAGGAAATAGTGACCTTAACAGAGTCTTCATGGAAGAACTGCCACCCAATCTACCCAAGGAGATAAGCACCTGGTGGGAGAGGTTGGGGAATCTACTTCAAGCCTTGGCACGGATTCACGAATTCCAGATTGACGGAGTGCAGTATCACGGGTGAGTTTGATATTTCGAATCTACTCCCCAACAAGAATGAGCTAACAATTGCGCCCTGGCCTTAGATGGCATGGTGATATAAAGCCAGAGAATATCCTTTTCGTTCAAGGTGTTTACAAGCTGTGCGATCAGGGAGAAGCTTTGATACGCCGAGCTACGAGCACGGAAGAAAGGATACAGCCGCCGCGGGCACCAGCACACGGTGGTACGCGAGCCTATGGTAGGTCGTATGCGCCACAGTAGTAGCCTTTTAGTAGTCTTCTGCATCATGCGCCTACTTCGGGTGACACCTTTGCTAACTCGAGATAATCTAATCAGGGGCACCCGAAAAATCCGCGTACCTGAACGCCAACGGTCAGGCCATGGAGAACAAAGTGCTCCAGACTAGCGACGTTTGGTCTTTGGGTTGTGTTTTTTCCGTGGCTGCTTCTTTTGTCGTTTTGGGAGAGCAGGGCGTGGTCCTCTACAAAAAAGTGAGAAAAGCTGCTCTTGAAAAATACAAGGGCAATGCAGCGGACAGTTACGCCTTTCATAACGGTTCTACGGTCTTGCCCGAAGTCTTGGAATGGCACAAGTATCTTCGCTGCATCCATCGGCAGAGTGACGGCGTCACAGGTAAGATCCTCGACGTGGTCGAGAGTAAGATGCTCCAGCCTGAGGGAAATAGAGCCACCGCAAAAGAGGTCCTTGCATGCTTTCAGGAGATACTGAGCAACTACACACACACGCCGGGATCGGGAGAATTCCCCGAAATCGTCAGGTATCTGCAGAAATTTGACATCAAGGCCGAGCTAGAAACGCAGCAAGAGCCCACACAGAACGATAGTGGAAAGGACGGCGGTGCAGGGATATGCCTCAACGGAAGTGGTGGGGAGCGAGGGTTCGGGAGCTCGGAAGATCTTCTCAACATGCGAGAGCTTCACCCGACTTCGCAGCGAAACACCGTCAGGCCCATGTCGGTCGTATACGAAAGCGACGGCATTAGCAATATCAGAAGGGTCTACAGTGGTCCCCGTAGTGGAAGAGCGAACACTCACGGGGCAAACATACAAAGGCTGAAAACCATGCAGAATAGACGTTCGGTGCTGGCAGCGATCGAGATACAAGCTGAGACTATTGATGGCCAGCCAGCTTTGACGTCAGACGTGCGAAATTGGTGTGAGGTTGAGGATGAGCTGAAAAGGAACTTCAAGGAAAGAGATCTAAAGACCATATATAAGGGAGTTTCCGAAGCGAAGACTCTGAAACAGACTGGCCGAGCACTTCTAAGGAGGGGGGAGGCCCCAGTGAAAGGTAAAGCCTCTGGGGATGATGCACTGGCAGGCCATTTTGATAACCGTGATCTGGTAAGTTTCGCTGGCAAAGAGACAACAGCCCGCACAACTCCAAACCCATTTACTAACACTTCCCAACCTCTAGGTTTTCCTTGTGGACAACGGATCTTCCATGAGGAGACACTGGAATGAAGCCACCTACGTCTTAAGGGTGCTTGTGTGGCGCGCCCTTGGGTATGACGAGGACGGCCTGGAGCTATACTTCACCAATCCCGGGCCGAAAGTCGTCCAAAGCAAAACGCAGGTCGTGGCTCAATTTGAGAACGCAATGGAGAAAGCCAGGGCTAAAGATGATCGGCGCAAAACAGACATTGTCCAAGCACTGAAATCTATTCTAGACAATGGGCCCACTGAAGCGAAACACCGGCAAGGGCCAGGGACAAAAATTCGCAAGAAGACGATCATTACCCTGACGGATGGCATCTGGGAAAACTCGACGGAGGAGAGGGTAAAGTATTTCTTCAAAGATCAATTCCGCCGTCTTCAGATGTCCTACGGCCAGTTAGATTCTAGGCCAGATGACCGATCTCTCCGGCAACTAGACGAGGAGAGGCCGATTAGCTTTCAATTTGTCCGCTTCGGACATAACCCGGAAGCGGTCGCAAGGCTGAACCGTCTCGACGATGAATTGAAGGATGAAACTGGGGTGTAAGTCATTGCCTTTTTTTTGGCCGCTATCAACTAGCTCTGGCCGCTAACATTCTGCTTAGCGACTTAATTGATACCGAACCATCCTCCGGGGATGTTCACAAGATGCTGCTTGGCAGCCTTGACAGCCGTTTGGATTCTATCGTGAATGGGGCAAATCGGAGTTATCTTCCGAGTCCCACAACTGATGACGGAGAATCTCCTCGTTGGCCGTTAGGAAAACAAAGTACGACAGCTATGGCGAGCCACTCTCAGCATTCCTCAGGTTTGTACGAGCTAGGCGTTTCATCTTCAAACCATAATGGGTGACCACGCGTGTTGGATATGGACATACTAAGAAAAATTGAGAGGTGATTAGAGTAAGATATAAGGACGGAATCGTAGACTTAGGTGTTTATAATGACAGAAGAGGAGTTTTAGCAATTGATGCTTCCGATCTAACTGCGACGTACAAAGTCGTCTGTAGTGGCTCACATATGTCGACGAGTCCTGATCTTAGAATGGCGGAATTCGTCGAGTTTATAGATTCTTAAGACACCATGCCTGACACATGCTCGAAGTATCACGGGCATATTATCGATTATAACAGCGGAAATCAAATTCATGAAAAATCTTGCTTCTATTTTTGGCTCGGCATGAACACTTCTCTTGAAACCGGAAGAAAGTGCCGCTGTCAACAGTTCTCCGATTGGCAACTGCGGTCTTGACTCCTTCACATCACATGCAGCACGTTGGATAGACATGTCGCATGTACAAAGCAACTAATTTGTCGACTCACTAATTAAGAAAGTAGTCTGGACTTAATCACAAGCAATATAGTCAACGTAACCTCATTGTGTTAGCTCCTTGGGCAAGGTAATCTATTACTACTTAATATTCCATCATCAACTCCATCAACTCCGTTCTTTCATCTATTCCATTACCAATTCCACTATCACCAAATCTTTTTTACCTACTTTTTTTTTTTCTTTTCTCATTTCTCTCTCTATATTCCAAGTCTAAAGGATTCCCCGAGATTCTTACAACAGCGAAAACATTAAGCTTACCTGCCATGCTTACTGCTCGACGTCTCATTAGGCTGGCCAACTTCGGCCAGCTGCCAAGCGCTCGGTACGGGCGGTATCACCTTCCCTTGATGATGACGCACCAAGCGCGAAACTATGCAGTAGCTGCGATCACGATCAAGGTCCCGCAGATGGCTGAGTCCATCTCCGAAGGGACATTAAAACAGTTCACCAGGCTGGTAGGGGATTTCGTGGAGCAGGATGAGGAGATTGCAACAATTGAGACTGATAAGGTGTGTATATTTCCTAGTAATGTTGGCGGCCTGGCTGGCTGGTGCTAGCTGTTCTGAGCTGTCGACATCATGGTTTCTTTCCCCTTCCCACATGAGGATTTCCCTTTCTGGAATAGAACATGGTTCTATTTCTAATAAATAAGGTTAATTAGATCGATGTGGTAGTTAATACCCCCGAAGCTGGAGTAATCAAAGAGCTCCTTGTGAATGAGGAGGATATAGTAATCGTTGGCCAAGATCTTGCTCGTCTCGAGTTGGGATGCAGCAGCGATGGCTCCAGGGCCACCCCGCCAAAGCAACCAGAGAGTGATTCTTGCGGACGGCAAGGTGGCAAGGAAGCAAAAGAGCCCACTCCTCCCAGCTCCCCAACATCCCCACTCAGCAATCCATCCAAAGCCATGGCAAGTGGTACCCCTGGGTCTTGCGAGGATCGCCATGTATGTACCCTACCCTGTAACTCCTGTAATATTCTCTGATCTGCATTTAGGTGAAAATGAACTGTATGAGATTACGAATTGCTGAGCGCCTCAAGCAGTCCTAGAACACTACTACAGCTCTTACTACCTTTAACAAAGTTGATATGAGTTCACTTCTAGATTTCCGAAGCCTCTACAGGGAGGATGTCTTGAAGAGAACAGGTGTTAAACTTGGGTTCATGGGCGCCTTCTCTCGCGCATGTGCCTTAGCGATGAGAGATATCCCTGCAATTAACGCCTCAATTAAAGGAGGTAACACCATTGTATATCGCGATTATGTTGATATCAGTGGGGCAGTTGCAACGGAGAAGGGCCTAGTCACGCCAGTTGTGCGGAATGTGGAGGCTAAGGATATAGTTACAATCGACTAGTTAATTGTAGAACTGGGAAAGAAGGTCTGTTGACATATCCCCACTATCATAAGATGATTTTGTTTCTAACCCTTTCTTTTAGGCCCGAGATGGGAAGCTTACAATTGAGGATATGGCTGGTGGTACCTTCACGATCAGTAATGGTGGGACCTTTGGCTCTTTGATGAGTACACCAATCATTAATCTCCCACAGACGGCTGTCCTTGGCCTGCACGCTATCAAAGAACGGGCTGTTGCTATTAACGGAAAGGTCGAAGTGAGGCCAATGATGTACTTGGCCTTAACATATGACCACCGTCTCCTAGATGGCAGGGAGGCTGTTTAATTCCTTATCAAGGTTAAGGAATATATTGAGGACCCACGACGAATGCTTCTCTACTAAATTTTCCAGCTTGATTACTTTTTTAATATATGCTCCCTGAACTCTTATCTTTCCTTGATAGATCCGTGACTGTGATAAGCCATCGTGGAAAAGAAGTATGCCTAAATCGTTCTTTTCAACGAGAGACCGCTCGCCGCTGTGGGTAGCGAAGTCTGTGAGAGTGACTCAACAGCCTCGAAATCTAACTCTAGAGATAGTTTATAACTGTAGGATGGTCGCGACTTGGAAAGACGATATGGCGCTGTCCATCACTTTCTTTCCCCAGACCCCCACTGCTAATGCGGTATGGTTCGGGTGCAATCTAAGCAAGCACGAAATTCACGGATACTACCTCACGGACGCTGAGCTACTCGCAAGTAGGCTGGCAAATTTTAAAGGGGGAGTGCTTCATCCCATGCTGCTGCCAACCAAACTTTAATCTCGGTGATTTGGGGGCTAGAGGGATAGGTAGATTGAGCTTGTGCTGTAAAAACTGACCCAGCTTCGCCAGAGACCGAACGACCTCACAACCCCGACCTCTACTGCTCCTATAAGAGAGAGACTAGGGAAGACCACCAACGCTGGAAGCTCCATGAAGATATCTGACTCTAACACCAGTCTGTGGACGATGCGTCGCTTTCGAGATCTGCGCGAAAAGATTTGGAAATACCAACAGTCCCCATCCGGATGGACAAGGACGAAGTCTCCAATCTCCTCGTCTACTTCTGACGGACTAGATATGCAAGAAACTGAGAAACCCTCAGCTTCGGAGCCACTTGATTCAGATGCCCAGGACGTAGCCGAGAGCAGGTCCACTGCGTTTCTGTCGTCTGATGTTAGCTACCTGAAGCATGACCTGCAAAACTAGCAGGCCCACTTAGTCAGGATGATTGAGCACGTCGTTGAGCTGGGGAACACGGATTTTTGGCCCCCAACGACGGCTGATACATGCACTGCTGAATACCAATCCAAACTAGAGGCCGTGAGAAAACCCGGTATCCGCATCAGAGCACGGCTGAGAGACCTAGTTGACGAGTACGACGAGGTTATAAGGAAGTGCAGGCATATGATGGAGATGACGACCTTGTCAACGCAGAGAGTAGTGCAGCTCAAGCAACCACCCACTCCTTTCTCTCCCCTCGTTCAATTACTCCCATCCAGCTGACATTCATTGGTCGAACAGGAGCTCAATAGCATTGGAAGGAAGGATGCCAAAACAAATTAACAAATATCTGAAATAAACTTGGAAGTCGCGCGGATGACTCTCCTCGATGGCAGTCGCATGAAGTCCATTGCGCTGTTGGGCATGATATTCCTCCCCGCCACTTTGATTACCGCGAGTTACATGCATATTATTACTTTTCGCCCCTTCGGTCTCCGTAGGAGGTTGACGATGGCATGGATAGGTTTTTTTTTTTTTTTCTCCATGGGGTTCTTCGATTGGAAGACGGAGGGCGACGGCCGCATTGTATCGCCGTATATTTGGATTTATTTCGTTGTCGCGATATTCCTCACCCTGATCACATTCGCTGCTTTTTATCTCTTCGGGGGGGAGGAGGAGGGAAGATGTAGACTTCGACCTGAAAATTGGGCAAGTTTGAATGTGGACAGACCATATAAATAAACCCAACTGGAACGTAGTGGCTAGCCATGTAATAGGCTTCTTACGGCCAACTGATGCTAGTCGCGACTCTTGGTGCATTTTTTTGTTGTCAATTGGTCCAACTGTAGAGGGATCACACCTAGCGGACAAGAATATAAATAGAAAGCAATGACGAGCTAAAGAATCTGTTATCCCCTGTCCTCTGAAGATATGAGCTCCTCGGGCCGGATATCTTAATAGTAATCCCATATCAAGGATGGGTACCTCGAGCGCGAGGATTTTGGTCTTGAGTCACGCGTTTGTATGTTGTTCGCTTGGAGACGAGAAACGAGAGTGAGGACGATAACAGCATAAGTCTGGCATGTCAAGTCCACGAGCCCTACAATAGCGATATCCTCTCAACGCGGGCACCACGACTTGTAGGATACGAGTCTTGGTGCCATAGGGCATGCTTTTGTCGTGCCATAGCGGAAAGGCGTAAACTGTGAGCGACAATCCGTCGCCTCAAACTCTGAAGCATTAAGGGGTTGGCTGCATCGAGCAAGAACATGGCTTTCAAAGCTCCAGAGACGTCCCTAACCGCCATTGCCATAGTTGTATTGGCTCATGCGAACAAGACTAGATTTTATGTATCTGCTTCGGGAGTATCATGCCGGTCTAAGATGCCGCTTTCTCTCTATCCGATGGCTGTATCCTAAGTTGCGATGGCTAGAGGAAACTGGCTAGTAAAGTAATGGGCGACTGATAACGATGACGATGCTAGCAAATAGCAATGCCTACTTAAACGAGGTCTGCGATTTATAGTGAATTCAACTCCGAACTGACAGGCCCTGGCAAACGACCCAGACCATCCACTCATACCCGTTTTAAGGACAAGTACGGCAAGGATGATGATAGTCTTGACGACGACAACAATAATTTCTGTGACCTTGTCCTAGCATATCTACAGACCTACGCAGTGGGTTTTATGTCGATATCAATCTCAACTTCGCACCTGCGCCTTCCGCAAAATTCAACTCTCCGAAGTATCGCAGTGACACTAACCAGTTGCCCAGTCGAATTTACCCATGACCGCCTGGTCTCTCCATGTAATACATCGTGGGAGGGTTGAATGTCGGCACTGCCATCGGATGAGTCATCTTCCGCATCGCCGAGTTTCAAAATCTGGCGGAGCCAGCCGGAGTCGGAGCCGGCTAGATCTCCGAGAGAGTCTTGAGACGGTCTTAGAGTAGTTCTGCGGTGCACCCTGCAAACCGGGGGGAAACGACTGCTTGCCCACCAGCCTCTATCGTAAACTGGCGCGTTAATCAGTTTATCTAAGTCAGAAAATCCCCAAATGACGAAAAACCCATCTCCAGATGGATCCAAGAAACCGACGCCGCCGCAGTAATACGCCTTATGCAGATGGTGCATTCCGCGGACCGGAAAATCCAATTCAATCTGGAACATTGCTGTCGCTGGCCTCGGAACAGTGCGGGTGACCTCGAGGGTACCCAGTCCCTGCGGATATATATACACAACGGAGGGGATGTAATATGCCATGCCTGGGAGAGGCTTTGATTCCTCATGAAGCAGAATGTTACGTCTCTTTAATGTTGATGGGTCAAACGTGGCTTGCAACGGGACTGGGCCTTAACTACAAGTTAGCATGGCCGCTAGAGATGTAACAGTGGTATTGACCGGTGATACTCTTACCTTCAAAGATGTCTACTTTCTTTACTCCCGAGCAAATTCTGAGAGGACTAATAATGCTTCCATGTATCTCCCGAATTACAATGTACGAATCATCTTGGGTGTCAGCCCTTTCCAGGAGCAGACCAACACACGAAAACTCGTCCGCTCCGTCTCCGCAACTAAGCACCCCGGCGCGAACTGGCCCCGTATCCGTCGCTTAGGCTCGGTTGAACAGTGGAGGGTGCATGGCGCCAGAGGTACATCCAACTCGAGACCCCGGCCGGTCAGTGTCATCAGTGAAACCTCTGAAACATACTGTGCGGGCCGGAATTGCCCAGATTTATGGAAGCATGATGGACTTGGTGCAAAGATGTTGCTACGGTCTCCCACATACCATGTACTTGGATTGTGCCAGGCGAGAAGAGTCTGATCGTGGAAGTTGCGCGCGATCTGCTCCTGAAGTCGGATGAAAGCTCGGTCTCCCTCTCCGTAAAGTAGCGGCATATTCAGGTCGAATATACCGAGGAGGCAGTAGGCCAAGTCTTCGACGCGCGTTGTTCGACGTTGAGATGCCCAGGACATTTTCCGAGAGGTGCTACACGCGCGGAGAATCTCCCAGGCGGATATTACCGTCCATGTACCGAATTTCCGCGTACCGAATTCCCGCGCTAGTACTGTGACTTCAATCGTGGTGATTTGCGCAATCTCGACGGCCAGGTCGCGACGGTCTCCGACGAATCTCCAATTGGGGTCAAAGAACCGGACGACACCCGGAGCAATAAGCTCCTGAAGCGTCCAGCCCCGGGTGAACCACCTACTCCCAGCGAACTGACTGCCTAGGCCCAAGTCTGGCTTATGCACAGATGGGTCAGGGTGGCCGTAGTCGGCCAGGAACACGTAACAAATCGCAGAATCCTGGTACCACCGAAACATGGAGTTGATGGCCTCAGAGAGCTCGGCGCTGCTTGATTTGTCGATGCAGCATGTGTCGATCCATATGTAATCGTACCCGTCCACCTGCGCACGCTTCGCGCTCTGGACAACCTTGCTGAGGCCCTCCTTGCTGTTTAGGAGGTTTTCTGGCCCCAATTTAACATCGTTGTATATGATCTCGTCAGATCCCCATGTATGAGACAGAATCGCGTATTTTGGTCTTCCATCCTCCGACGGGAATATTTCGAGAGCGAGGGTTCTCGTGTTGAGGAGTCGCATTTCTGTATAGTTGACCTATCTCAGCGGGTTGGGAATATTCGAACCTTCGAGAGGCTTCTCCTCACGGGTTTGGGACCTCGTAATAGAACGACTAAGTGGACGTGGGAAGAGATGCATTCGCACCTCCTCCCGCCCCTGATGGGTCTGTTGACTAGACTGCCTGCGCCATGCGTCACCGGGTCAAGTGGGAAAACAAAAACAGGGAGCCAGGACTACGAGCAGGTTCGATCTTCTTTTGTCGCTCAAACATTCACAGCGTCAGTCGGTGTGACACGACACGTCTGATGCGGGGTCTGTGTAAAGGATGTTGAATGTTTATAGAATAATTCAACCTGATCCCGTCGTCGTCAAGAGCGCCACCATCCGACTGGAAACGGAGGGATTCTTCAACTATGTTATTATTACCGAAGCGGTCCAGCACAGGCAGTTCTACTTGTTCTCACGGTCATAATGCAACGCCTGCTGGCACCAACGAGGTGCGACTGCGAGACGAAACGTGAGACGAGGATGATGATAGAGTGCCGATTCTGATTCTGACGTCTTATTCTTGATTAAAAAGGAACACAAACCGTCTGCCAGCCCCGAAGGGAACACCGCCGATAAAAATCGTATAAGTTAGATACCTGGCCATAGTCCGCACGTGTTCTTCAATCGTTTTCATCTCAATCTTGTAAATTGTTCGAACGCTATAGAGGTTGAAGCCAGAGATAGCAAACCTATTATTTATTCTTGGTTTCAGCATGTGTGTAGTTCATGAGGAAGGAATGATTCAATGTAGCCCTCTGGAGTTGACAGGCCTCTAATGGATTCAGATGCTGAACTGCCACGATCCCAGTCAAAAGAAAAGGTCGTAAAGGCGCAGCTTGTGTTGCGTTTGGTTTCTCGTACAATGGAGACATGGATCATGAGGCCGGTCTTCATCCGCGAAAGTGTTGGTTGTGTGAAGGGCACTTCGGAGAGTGATGAGCCCTTTTGGCCCAATATCAAATTTATTCTTGACCGAGCCCCAGGTTCCGGCTCCAAATGGTCCTTGCTCCATGTTATCATCAAAGCAGCCGACTGGCCCGCATGTCAAGGTCCACTTACTTCATCCAGCCACGTACACCGGCCCTTATCATGACCTAAACTCCACCGGTGCGGCTCCGATGCCTTGTCTACTCTCATATTGGCGACCCTGCGCAGAGATCCGCGTCGGAGACATTGACTCACTGCGCCACCACACTTCGAAATAATGACAAGTTCACTCGCAGCAGGCTCATACCGAAGAAGGCCCCAGTCGCTCTGGGCGAGTTCTGGATCGCTTATTAATCCAAGACCAAGACATAGCGGCCAGAGAAAGTCACCCGAAGTCGTGAGTTCCCGTTTATTGCGCTCTTTAGCCAAGGGCGAGACTGACTTGAGACCCATGGTCATCCGCGATGGAGTGGAATCCAATATATCACCCCTGTATGCATTGATGTGTGTGTATGTCGGCACTACCAACCGAACCACGTCGGCAAGGCTCGTCTAATGGAACGGGGCACATAGGGCGGAAGAGGGAGGAATAGGGATGACGCCCTGCAACGCGGTCTGCAGTAAACAGTGAGCTGGACAAGCCGGTGCAATGCATTCGCTTATTTCTACTTTTATCATTGCGTGATCATGTCGGACTTCGGGGCCGAATTTGAGTGGGGGAGGGTTTGACCAGAATCTTGAATAAACAAGAGAGGGGATTGGTGAAGGGAGTATGTGTTGGAATATTTGCAGGGATATGGAAACAAAACTTAGCTCGGACCTGATCGGACAGTCCAATACCGTCGGATGTCACAGAATTCCCAAAATACCACTGTAAAACAAGCCTTTTTGGAAGGCAGAGCGTCTTCCAGAGTCGCACCAAGGTCGCACTATAGAAAGGAAAACGTTTTGGGAATGGAGACTGGTTTCGGCTAAGGTTTGTGACGTAGAAACTGTTTCGGGCAAGGAAGAAATTACTGGGATAATTTCCATGGAATTGGCCCACTCTTTCCAACATATAATGGAAGGCAGTGACGGGCCAATTCCTTCCTAATTACTTAATATAACAATGGCTCCTTCCACATTTATTTAATAGTATGTAACCTGATGTTGGGCGCCGATTAAGTATCGGGAAGCTGCATCAAGCACCACGCGGACTAATAATTTACTAAATTCTCCTGCAGACTTGTACATCGGCATGTTGCCCACCATGGCACGATCGATCGTTCGTTAAGTCGAAGAAGGCTCGGCACTGCTTCTCAAATGTCCCGTTCCAAAGTGCACAGATGCCCTCCAAAGGAAACCAGCAATCGGTCCTGTCACTTGAAAATATCGAGACGGAATAATAAGTAGTGGAAAGTATTTTCAGTTTGGGTGAAGAGTTGCCCTGCCACGACTTCTACGTCGTGTTATTGTTACCGCAAGATTGCGCTAGCGAGGCCAGCAGGCCAAACATGTTTATACGGCTCGGTTTCACCGGTTTCCCTCTGTTGCTGCTCCCAAAACTTGTAATCCACGTAGCCGTCAAGCCGCCCAACCTCGTAGAACAAATCCCGACGATATCTAGAAACCGGGAGCAGATGCTGTATCCGCGGCGGTAGATCTGGGTTGCTCACAAAAGTCCTCCCAAAAGCGACAAGGGCCTGCCGCCCTTTCCGCTGCTCATCTTCCACCCTCTGTCTTGACGTAAAGGCATCGTAACCCCCGGCGAAAATTACGGGCGATGTTGTCCCCCAAATGTCCGCCAGGAAGTCTACTGTCTCCGACGAGGCGGCCACAACATCCATTGGACCCTGTACTCGGCTCTCAATGACGTGCAAATAGCTCAACTTCAACTCCTTTAGTCTCTTTACGAGGTCTTCGAATTGCGGTCTCGGGTCGGCCATCCGCATGCCGTGGTGCCGGCTCCAAGGACTGACTCTATAACCAACCCTATCAGGCCCGATTGCATTGGCGACGGCAGAGGCCACCTCGACCGGGAATCGTGATCTATTCTCAATGCGTCCTCCCCATCTATCACTCCTGTTATTGCATACGTCCTGAGTGAACTGGTCGAGAAGATAGCCGTTGGCTCCGTGAAGCTCAACACCATCGAAGCCTGCTTCGATCGCCGCCCGCGCAGCCCCCGCGAACTCCTTGATACACGCTTGAATTTCGTCTTCCGACATGGGTCGCGGGGTTGGCGCACCTGGCCCGGAAGAGATATTGCCGCTGGATAGTACCTCGGCACCGCCTTCAACGGAGGCGGCATGTGCAGCGCGCCCGCACATCCAAAGCTGTGCATAGATGAAGCTCTCTTTAGCGTGGACTGCTGATGTGATTGGCTTCCACGCGTCAACCTGTTGCTTTGTCCAGAGGCCCGGGGTATTCGGTGGCGCGGCAGCACGGGGCGAGACTGCCGTGGCTTCGGATATCAAAAGACTGCCGCGTGTAGAGGCTCGCTGGGAATAGTACTCGATCATGGTTGTGGATGGGACAAAGCCGACCTCTGCTCGACGGCGCGTCATTGGCGCCATGACAACTCGGTGGGAGGTAGTGACATGACCGACTTTGACGGGTGAGAAGAGCGGCGAGTCTGACGACATGGCGGCGGTTACTGAGGTCAACCTTTTTTCTTCTCTTTGTTTCGTGTGACTTGTGAGGGAAAACCCGAGCAGGATGTCATTGAATTCGGCGTGCCAGAGAACTGGGCAAATGGGGGTCCATTGGACACTAATAAATCCTGCAAACTCGTAGAAAACCAGAACAGGAAAGGTCAATAGTGCATAAGCAGCAGCGGTCTTTACCTCACCCCCACCCCCTCCCCCCGGGCTTTCCCTTTCCCTTCCCGGCGACCCCAGAGGCGGGCAACTGGACTTTTGCGAAGACGGTCATGCGCTTCGGGGATCTAGTCAAAGTGAAAACCCTTGATGTCAAGCCGTGGCCAGCGTAAGGGTTTGATCGTTCCCAACCACCTCGATTAGCCCATCAACTCCTTTATTACTGGGGACGTGTTTGATTTTTGCGGCGACCTCGGAATCAGAGAGTACCACTTGCATCGGCTCCTATGTTGGTCACAGGTTTGGGCATTGCAATTGAAAGAATACGAGCAAGTGATACTAGATAGATGATCTGAATGGTATTTACAACAACCTTTATTTTTTTTCCTACTCTATTTTCATTGATCAATGCAGCCTGGGTCTTGGTAAGCCGGGCTATCTTGAACTTCAATAACATTTGTAGGGTACTAGAGTTAGTTATATATATTACCCTCAAACCGGGTGACTTAGGTGTTTCCAACCTGGTGTTCAGCTCAACGCTTGGCCGAAGGAAATAAACAACGCAAGGTCCCTCTCACCAACCCCGCGACCTCGGCGATTCCATTCCATTTTAGGTCAAGTGTCAACTCCCTTAAACCGACCCCTCTAGTTCGGCTCCTGCAGGCGGCTACTGTCTACAAAGTCCAAGGACCAAACAACTAATACATATTGCCGTTTGACCATGCGAAATATTATGGCCCCTAATTCGTTCGCTTCTCCTTAAGCAAAAGGAGTGATCTTTCGTGATGGTTGACCAAGACTCTTATCTCCACCGAGGCGACGGAGTTAGACTCGATGTTGTCGTCGTAGGCGCAGGTCTAGGTGGTCTCCTGGCCGCCATCGGTCTCGCCCTCGATAATCATAGGGTCACAATTCTTGAGCAGGCCACTAGCTTTGGTGAAGTTGGTGCAGGCATGCGCATCCCACCCAACTGCTTCAAGATCCTTCGCCGATGGGGTGTTGACATTACGTATCTCAAAAAGACGTACTCGAACGGCAATCGATTCCTCCGATACGATGATGGGAGTACATTGGCCGACATGCCCCATGGTGTCCCTGAACTGGACTTTGGGGGTAGCTATTTGATGGTTCATCGAGCGGACTACCACTCCGTGTTGCTAGACAGAGCGCGAGCTCTCGGAGTTGTGATCCGGGGTGGACACCGAGTGGAGGAGTACGACTGGAACACACCCGCTGCAATTGTGCAGGGAGGGCTGAGGGTCCCAGCCGACCTTATTGTGATCGCGGATGGTACGCCGTCGACACGCCTGCCTCCTACTGCACGGCGAATTTACATGACTGGGCCTAGTTTTTATCGACTGATGACTCCGTAGGTGTTCAAAGCAGTGCAAGGGCAGCTTTTCAAGGCCACGAATTGCCACCCACCGATACAGGCGATATTGTGTACCGCATTCTTATCCCGGGCCAAGACCTCCTCTCCGACCCCGATATGCGTGATCTCATCTCGCAGCCTTGGGTAACATCGTGGTGTGGCCCCGACGCGCATGTCATCGGGTATCCCGTGAGAGGCGGAGAGGTCTACAACGTTGTCTTTTGCTGCTCCGAGAAATCGATGCAAGACCGCCCTTTTCAACCAGGCGAGAACAAGCTGGTCATCTCTGACAACTCAGAGTTAAGACGGCGCTTTTCCGACTGGGAGCCCAGAGTGAAGAAGCTCATTGAGCACTCCGGAAAGGTTAAAATTTACCCTTTGCCATTCTGCAGCTGAACCTAGTGGATGTGGACTGACTCTCTTTTCTTTGAAGGAGTTTCTCAAATGGCGTCTCTACGATTTAGATCTTGTAGACAACTGGGTATATCCCACTGGCAAGGCAGTGCTACTCGGTGATGCCGTACACCCCATGCTACCATATATGTCCTCTGGGGCTGCCATGGCCTGCGAGGATGCGGCAGTTCTCCGTAAGGTACTATCTACGGCTACTAAAGATTCTCTCCAGACCGCCCTCCAGAAATACCAGTCACTGCGACAACCTAGGGCATCTAAGGTTCAGAAGGCGGGGAGAGTACTCCAAGAGGCATACCATTTGCCAGATGGCGAGGCGCAGCGTGATAGGGATATTTGGATATTAAAGGATGATGAAAGGAACCCAATTTACTGGGGCCATAAAGCTAGAAGACAATGGCTGTTTGGTCATGACGCAGAGGACTTTTGAGAGAACTTGTACATAAGCAACGCTTTAAAGAAACGAACAGTATTTCAACGAACGCAGAGTACATTAGGACTTTTGGTAGATTGCGCACTTCTTCTAACGGGAGTATGGGGATATTTTAGGAGTCAGAGGTAAGGGACCTTTCCTAAGCTCTAGGGAGAGCATTCCCATTATGGGTAATGGGGTGAGAATTTTCCCCGATTAAATTGTATTATACATGGACTTCCCACGTACCCACCAGTCAACTGAGACTATTAGATCTACTTCCTAGTATAATCAAGAGGCTGTGCGCTCTTCCGCACTACGCGCACCACTCTCTCTTTTGTGTTTGAATGACTGCTTCTTCTCCTAACGTACCGAATGCCGAGGTAAAGTCGTCCGCCTAGATCGATGGGAGGAATCTCGCAAGTTTCGGGGTCACATCGAGTATTTGCAATGGTCGCAAACCCGGCAGCGAGGTCCCTATGATATGACGTGTTTCATACCATTCCCAGCAACCTCCTTCTAACTAGATATCAACTAAGCACATGGACGCGTATGTCAGGCCCATCGCCGCGCAGAAGCACTTGCTAGCTTTCATTCTTATTTCGCATTGCTCTTGTCGCACAATCTCTAGCTATGAAACTTACCTCCCAAGACTGAGCAGCGTGCCTTACACAGAAGACACCGCCCGTCCGACCGCCGCATCGCCCAGTCCTCTGTCCTCATCAACTTCACTTGCATCAGGTAGGGCAAACTGTGAGCCTCATTTTGGCAGCTTTAATGATGCCGGATGCCTCTTATATGTCCAGCATACCGCCCGGGATGTCATGCGGACTGGCGACTCTTGTCACTTCATACCCGATCCTCACGTCGCTCTCCTCACGGCCCACAGCCAAAGACATCTATCACCTAGCGCTGACGAACCGAGAGCACTTTTCAGGTATTCTCGGCTCCAAGGAATCGTTCAAGAAACTTTGATCCGGGTGTATCTGTGATGAACATGGTCGGGAGTGTTTGCTAGCCTGCTCCACGAAATATATCTGCCCGTGCTGGGCTATACGAGAGTCGGAATTCGAAGTCTACGCTGCTAAGGCTAAGGCTCGTATGAGGAAAATAAAGTGCGGCGAGCGGGAGACTCTTCCCTATGCTTCAAGTGTGGAATTTACATTTGCGAGGAATGTCGATCTCGTCTAATGGAGCAATTATATCTAAATACTACTACAGTAAGTTATTTAAATTATCACTACTATTTTATATAATTTACTCTTTCCTATCATACAAGTTATAAAATAAATATGACTAACAAAAGATGTCACAGGTGTTGCGACCGCACAACACCCGCTGTAAGTCGCCTGAAATATACTTATTACTGTAGGCGTGTTCTGGGGTGCCAGAAATGGACGACTCTGGGTACTGTACTAAAAAGAAGAAGCCAAGGCAGTGACACGTGAACCAAAACAAATTCAGGGCGGAATTCGAAAATGTCTACACGTGTAATCTGCCGCTCCTCACCGCCTTAGCCTTGGTTCAGCTCCCCGATCCCCGCCTGGGCTTGTCTGACCCTTGATGCCTCACGCCCAAACATCCAGGACTCCAACCCATCGCATGAACCAAGCGCCCAGATTCACCTGGCACATGAAAAACACGAAACATATCAGATGCCTCCAAAACGTGACGCCGCTGCTGCCCCTACTTCGACGTGGGTCGTCCCCACTCCCGCCACAGCAGACGGCTTTGCGTACGCACACGGAGAGTTCTTCGCGGAAGCTTCCGGCCAGAACCGACATCGCCGCGCGACAGTCCACGAATTGAAGGAGCATTTCGCGTCGGGAAGTGACAAGGACCATCCTGCGCATTGGTTCGAGGCGCAGCTTATCCACTATGGCCTCAAGCCGTCCAAGACCAAGTCCGTGGCGCGTATGCGACTCTTCGATGCCGTCAACGCCGGGCAATTGAAGGTGCCCCCTGCTATCTCGAGCCTGGAGAGTACACTGAAGAAGGAATGGGCCAAGAGGGAGAGGGAGGCGAAACAGAAATCTAAAGATAATTCTGGACCAGGCGATCAAGCGGGGACGACGAAAGGGAGGGCGGCAAAAGTAGTCCCAGCGAAGACAACGTCAGCGAAGACAACGGTAGTGAAGAAGACCGTAGTGGAGACGACGGTAGTGAAGACGACGGTAGCGAAGACGGCGACAACGAAGACGAAGACGGCGGCAACGAAGACGGCGAGAGCGAAGTCAACCCCAGCAAAAACGCAAAATACGTCCGGAACCAAGAGAAAAGCCAACACCGCCGCCTCCCAAGCTACACCAAGTGCCTCTAAGAAGGTCAAGACAGCAACACCCAAGGTGGCCGCATCGTCGAAAGCATCGTCTAGCGCCAAGAAATCCACAAGCGCCAAGCCCAAGAGAGCGACCTCAGCCTCAAGAAGCACCCGAGGCGGTATCTCGCAAGGAACCGGGCGTGGGGCATCGAAAAGCGCTTCCTCCCAATCACAAAGCACGGCAGCCCATCCGAATCGAAGTCACGGTACAGAGTCGAACGCACCCTCATCGCCGACGAGGCCCTGGCCTAAACAAATGGCACGGCGAAGTGCCCCCTTCGCCATCCGCGGCAGAATCTCGCCCCCTGAAACGACGTCTCATCCTCGTCATGACGACTCGTATGGATACGATGACATGTATGGCGACGAAGATGACGATGAAGATGGCTATTCCTCGTCTTACCCCAGATATAATCTTGACGAGGGTAACTACGATGAAGATGACGGTTATGACGACTACCCCCCGCGTTATCCTGGAAACAATCATGATGAAGATGACTACGACGAAGATTACGGTGAAGACGACTACGGCGGAGATGATTATGACGAGGAGTTTGGCGGCCTGGAACCTCTCGAGCACATTAATGGCCGCTATAAGATTCGCTGCCCCGACGTGTCTGACAATTGGTCCAATTACGGGGAAGACTTCCGCTTCGTTTTCACCATGTCCGGCTCCGGCCTCTGGGTTGCATTTGACCTTGGAATTATAGAAGGCGTACTGTACTTGGAAGACCTGCCGAGTGATTCCTCCTACGACAAGGTGCCGTTTACATGGCGCGGCCAAGAAGCAAACGGCCCCGTCATATACGGCGACGAGAATGAAGGATGGATACAATTCTTAGGCGGTGGACGGATCGAGGGATGGATTGATTTTCAGAATCTCGAGTTCAAAGGCCATCGACTGCCCGGCCCAGCGACTGCGACCCCCATTACCGCGCACACCATGCAGGGCAGATGGGATGGCTATTCGGAGGAAGAATATGACCGCCAGAACCGAGCCCGATGGCGTTAGGGAGTTGACCGACCCAAGGTACCTCTCGTTGATCCAGTTGAGAAAAGCGAATTCGGGTCCTGTCATGAAGTCGACTTGCTTCGCATCTCTTTGAATTTCTTTGACACGGACGCCTGGTAGACGGCAAATCTCCCAACAGAGAAAAATAAGCTGGGGGTTGTCCTTTAGGTCGAGAGATACTGTACTCGAGAGAAGTACGTTGAGGCGGGGAGGCATGTAGAGCTGCAGATCATGGGGTCCAGGCACGAAGAGGGAATGTCGTGTAAGCAAGCGCAAGGATTCGGTGTACCAGGATCCCAATCTGATCGCCTCCTTGGCCTCAATCTCACATAACACAATTCAGTCTTTCCTCTAGGTATATCAGGCTCAGCTCAGTGTCAGCTAATGTTTAATAACCCACGGTTATTAGGAAGGGAGACAGGTCGGAGATCGGGTTCCAATTAGCTAGTAATAAGTGTTTGCCCGACCAGTTCTCACAACCGAACAAATGTACATGTCCCGAGAAAGACGGCGATATGATAATTGAGTTCGAGGATAGAGCAATGGCTTCTGCATTAAAAGGGAGAGTTGGGCTTGGCTAAGGTCCTAATAGCGCTTTTGCATGCCTTTTCCATTGCTGCTCTCGACAGTTGGTTTAAAACTGGGCATCCATTAATAGAGCTATATTAAGATGATCTCGTCAAGCTGATCTGCCTGTCTGGCAGCCAAACCAAAAGCTTCTCCCTGCATGATTCCATAGATATATGCATCGCCAATAACCCGATGTCGCGGCTCACCTTCGCCCGACAATGTTGGAGCCAACACGAACGGCGCGTGGCCTCCTCCAAGGATGGACACGACATGACCGGGACGACAGTGCTGATCAGCATAGCCAATGTATCCCTTCTGCGTAACGACGAAACTCCTGCCCGCGCTGATGGTGAAGACGGCTTGCTCAACGCTGATCACGTCTTTGTCTCGGGTCGCATTATTTTCCCCAGACAAGATCCACTTCCACCACTTTTCCAGCCGACCTTCAACGTCGCCCTCGCCATCTCTAACCGGCTCGAAAATCTGTCTCTCTACAGAAAATGTCAATTCGCCACATAAGGCCCTCAAGAATGTCCTGGTCTCCACCTGTCCTGCCAACGCCCTTATGTCCTTGGCCCATTGCCGGCGCCTCTCCTGCGATTGACGCCAGCATTCCGGGCTCACGTCACGGATCTCATCGAATACAAAACCATTCGCGGCAATCGCTCCGGGGCCTATTCGTCGCCACGTAGCTTTAGATACGCCCGAGGCGCAGTGGAATTGTTGGACGGCTATACGGTTGGCTACTTGAACCATCATGGTCTCGTCGTTACTCGCGTCGTTCCCGGGGCGGATAGTCCAGTCGGGACAGAAGGAAGGAAGATTGGGAAGCCGGCGTTGACCGCCGAGACTACTGAGGAGACCTAGGTTCTTGTAGTATTGGACATACTCGACCGTGAAGGTTTCAAAGACGCGCTCGACATCAGCGGCGTAATCCAGGGAAATGAGCCCATCGAGCTCCTCCGGGGCTAGTCCGAGAAGGCCGTATACTTTGTCCCGGGGGTCCGTGGCGAGACGCATACGAAATACGCAAAGGACCCAGTGAAACAATCGGCTGTCCGGGGATGCCCCGCTCCACGCCGTGAGACCAAGGAAGTTGTTGATTCCATGCCACACGTCGTGGGAGATGTCATCGTCTTCGTCGACGGAGAATTTGCGCGAGAAGGAACCCGCCTCGGGATCGCAGCATAGACGACCGTGATTTATCAGGTTGCTTGCTCCACGGGCAAGAATACTGGCTGGTATGACGTGCTGGCCGCCGTAGAAGATGACCTCCCGCGCGAGGAGAAATCTGAGTGGTCAGCGAAAATGGTCAACTGATGGGAAGAAAACACCACCCTTGCGCCTTACTCCTGGACAGTCCACACGCGCTTCCACCACGGGAGATAAAACAACTTGATCAGCGCTATGGCCAGCTCATCGCTGTGCGCATCCAAATCCCCGACCGATAGGTGGGAGCCAAGGCCGCGCTGCATATGGCGCGAGTCGTCTTCTGCCGAGAGAGTCAGATACCGGAGGGCTATCTCAATGCCGCCGTACGGATCGCCTAGAAACGCGACAACTGACTTTGCGCTCTGGTAGATATGTCTCATCTCGCCGACCTGCTGTGATCGCTCCTCGAAGTCGGCCTGATTGATGCAAATCGCGTCAACCCATAGGACGCGCACCTGATCTTTGAATACAAGCCGCTTTAGAGCTTGATACAGGTTTCGCGTGGCAGGGAAGTCAAACCCGTTCACGGTAATGTCGACGCAATTCCCCGGATCCCCCCACACATAAGATAGGGCCTCGTAGTCGGGAGGATCGTCTAGAGATTCCACGCTCAGTTCACCCACGATATTATCGGCGGAATCATCCTGGTTGAAGGCATTCGTGGGCTGGAGATGTAGAAGCCGAAATTGCCTTTGGCTCTTATTGAGCTTTTGATAGACTCCCGCCGCAGATTCCTCCATTTTTATTTCTTATTAGAGGTTAGATTAACCTTTTTTAACACTATTTATAGCTTAAAGGCGGCCTCTTAATTCTTTTGTTTTTATTATTATTATTTACTTTCCCCCCCTCTGCCTCTCTCTTATTTTTAGATATTATCATTGTCATGGGCCGACCTTTACGCAGACCCGAGAGCGGTAAGACACGGCAGAAATAGAATGGCGGGACGGCTGCGGGCAGCCGCCCGACAGACGCCAGGGAAATGTGATCGGAGGAAGGGTTGATCGGTGGCGATCACCCCTGTGATCGCACTGAGTGCCCAGCGATCGGTTCCGATCGTTCAAGAGTGAGCGCTGATCACCCTGGAGAACTTGGAAGTGAAACGTCTATATAAACTATAGGTTCTACTATATATCTAGTGTATCCTTCAAGACTCTCCGGCGTCACTTTTGTGAAATTACTCTTCTCCAACGCCCCTGACCTCGCGACAATAGAGCTTCAACCTCTTGCCAGATCGTGAGGGCGGAACCGTGCGTATATGCTCTCATCCAACAGCATATCCTTTTTCTTGCCCCCTTACGTTGGTTCGCCTAGCGATTCCGACAAGTGCGACAGACAACTCACCCAGGACAATACAACAGTAATCAGTCGGCGATTCTTCAGATTCGATATCGATCCAGCTACTTATAATCCGAGAGTGACGGTGTTATCGAATAACAGCATCCGTATCTACGATGGTGATAAAATGTTGACTTGCCACCCCGGGGATTTGTAGTCTCGCCAAGTGAAGGCGAACATTTCATTACAACTACGCCCTGTCTCTTGCTTCACCAGTCTATAGCGGTCTTGTAGTCAAGTGGCCTTAGAAACGACCTTAGTCTTATTTCACCCGTCCTACTGAGAGACTCCGATTCTTCCTGCCGACTTTCCGGAATCGCGAACCCGTGTTTTGAGGGTGTCCCATTTGAGAATGTCAAGTGACTGCGTATTAACTTCGCATACCCTTCCGACCCCCTTAACACACTGAACCTGCTAAACACATATCCTGGGTATACTCGAATCTTGCAGTGCCGCTCACGCGTTGTTCCCTTTTCGCTAACCGAGCCCAGGGGCGTTCTCGCAGCCTAACTCCACAAACATAAAAACTATTAGTGATTATGGTCAATTCATCTAAGAGGTTGGTTCCAGGGATCTTGCACTGTTTGCTAAGGGAAGTTGGATCTGTTTCTCCAGGTCGGGCTAAGAATTGCCGGCCGAAGAATGCGGGGTTCCCTAATCCTGGGTCGTCATAGCGCTGTTTTAAGCAAATGCCGCCTCCCATACATCAACGCAGCTATCGCCAGCCATTCTATAAATAATATTCGCTGAATGTTGCCTAAGTTTCACAACATCGGGGTTGTCGAAATGGAAGGCGAAGTCTCGAAAATCAACAAGAGGTCTGGCTCGAGCCGAGCAACGGTGAGCTGCGATCGCTGTAGAAGTCGAAAGACAAAGGTGGGTCAAGTTACGAGCGTAGGTACACGAGATCTTCGAAGAAGTGCTAATGGAGCCAGCAGTGCCGTAAACCAAGTAAGCAGGTGTTTCATGTGGGAGCCTACTTCCTCGTCAAATAGCTAATAGATTCACAGACGCCGACAGCCCATGCGATTATTGCCGATCAGCCAACAAGCCGTGTTCTTTCAGTAACAGCAAGCGCCAACATAGGCCCTTCTACTTTGTTTCGGAAGAGGAATACCGCCTTTTGCATCAACTGTGCACGAAATCATTCCCCGGCCAGGATCTGTCAATCCCGAACCTACGACGGTTAGCCTCCCAAACTCAGAACGCAACCGTCGGCACACCGGATTTTGCGCCAACCCCCAGCACTGTAGATGCCGAAGACGGTTCCGGAGAAGCCAGCTCAGAGGATGCGATTAGCCTTAGAGCAGGGCGGAGTGATATACCGCTGCCTGAGATAGTCAATATCCACCAGGACCTTGGTTGTCTGATTGTCGATGGACAAGGCGAACACAGTGAGCTTTCACAATATCCGTTTCACAACGTTGCCCTCTAATGCTAACAACTCGTAGGATACGTTGGGCCTGACTCCGGACATAGTTTCAATACTGCCGTGAGGTCATGGACCCTAAATATCTCCAACCTAACAGATAAGGAGATACTGTCTCCGATGGTCAGAGTAACGGCGCCCGCGGCATCGCCTCCGTCGGAATCCCGAGCCCTAGCACAAAACCCGAATAGCCTGCCTACAGAAGATATTGTTCAGTCTTGCGCATCTCGATACTTTGAAGAAGTACACTCTATGTACTGGCTCTACTCTACCGAGGAGTTTTACACACGTCTAGAAGCTACATATTCCAGATCTCGAACTCAACAGTCCGGTTCCTGGCTCTGTTCGCTGCACAGCATTGTTGCCCTTGGAGCATCATCAATACAGCTCCCTGAAAGCCCACACAATGAAGAGCTGGGACGCAAATCCCTCGAGGCGGCCAAGCTACTTGTCTCGACTGTATGTGATCAGAGCGATCTTGACGGTGTGAGAGCTTATATTCTATTGGTAAGTACACACATCAGCGGCGTATCATATGAAATATCGCAGTGTCAGCTAACTGCTATCAGTCTCTTGCTCTTCAATTCCATGGATACCTACATCAGGCATATATGTACGTTGGCATCGCTACTCGAATCGCATTTTCCCTCGGCCTGCACCTAGACAAGTATGCCACGAAACACAACGTCGTGTCCAAAACACATGGCCGCCGTCTGTGGTGGAGCCTATTTCTCTTTGACCACGACATCTCGCTCCAATTGGGCAAGCCTTCCATGTCTGGGCCTACCTATGCTTCCTGGAACCCGCCTCTACCGTCTGAAGAGGTATTAATATATTCGACCTAGAAGTTCTTTAGTGGACTAAACTGTGCTAACCAACGCTATAGATAGTCGGCCCTGGATCCTTTACACCAAATGAGCATCTCGAGCATTGCGTCGGTCTAGCCCAGCTCGCCAAGGAAGTCCGACATAATCTATACACGAGACCAATCCACGAAGGCGTCCAACTTAGCCAGTCAAACTTTGAAGTCTCTTTGAAGTCCTTGAAGCAATGGCTAGATATGCTCCCACAACATTTACATATTGCGCCGTCGGTACCGCCGTTTCATCGCAGATTAGTCGCCATGCTCCATTTACGGTACTGGAGTACTGTCATGCTCGTTACCCGGCCTTTCCTCCTCTGTAGCCTTTTGCGAGTGAACAGATTGTCCGACGTGAAAAAGAGACAATACATTGACGAACTAGCGAGGAAGTGTGTTTCAGCAGCCCAGGCTTCGATCGAGATTTTTGAGGACATGGTTCGCGAAAGCGTAGTTTCCAGTCTAGTTATGATGGATTTTTTCTTCGCTTTACAGGTCGTCCAAGTCATCCTCGCTGCTGCGGCTGTCTACTGTCCGGAGACGTACAAGGGCCAGGCGAAGAGATGTATCGCCATCTTACGCGCAATCGCCACATCTGGTTATCCGAAACATCTTCTCCCGGAAACGATTTTCCAATTGCAGAGAGCGGGCGTATTTGACGATGCCCTGTTCTCTAGAGAGTTGCGCGACGGACTTCATACGAGCATCGATGGTAGCTTGCAGAGATACACAAGGTGCTTAACCTCTCCGGATACATCTTTCCGATCACCACGTGGAAATACTGACACTTAGTTGCATAGGGCTGTGGAGACTCCGGATGTAGAGTCTGATTGGCGCCTGCTGACCGACTTTGATTTCTTCGATGTTACAGTAGAGGAGGATTTCATGGACCAGCTCATGCGAATATCGGACTGATTTATGTTACTCGTTCATACAAGGAGGTTTGAATAGTACTTAACCCAGGATTTGAGAATTCTACTTGGCATGCGGCCTGGCGTGCTACACGCCATCTAGGTATCTGGTCCATGGACTTTACAGTAGAAGTCCATTGGCTTCACGAACCAAACAATCTCAGTGTTCCACTCTGGCTCCCAAGAAGCAGTATCCGGTATAAAATCAAACTGGCGAAGGATGATCTTTGCCGCCGCGGTATCATCGATGCTGCATTCCTTGGTCGCGATACCATAGTTCTAATGGAGTTAAATGTTTGTTTGCGGGAAGGTTCCAAAAAGTATGTCTCTTTGAAGAGCCATAGCGCGTACTATCTCGCCGGAAATGGCCCAGGAATACGCCCAAGTCTTGAATCCAGGGGCGATAATTGTAGAATGGGAAGAATCAAGACTGTCACGATGTCGAAGGTTGGCCTAGAAAGGGACTGGGGCGCTTCCATCCCGGTCGCTCAGGAAATGAGTTCTCCAAGAAGAATATGTGGTAGATGTTCTAATTCGCTCCTTCATTCATACCTATTCGCCTGCATTCCATCATCCTTGACTATTGGGAGGGTCATCGGTTGAGTGAGGCCGATGCATGGATCCGATCACAGGACGTCGTAACCTTACCTCGCCGCCTGGATGACCCTCACAGCAAGCCTCAGATCCAATGCCGAAAGATCTGGATCTGCAATCTACACGTAGAAAGCAACAGTCAGTTTGCATCTTCCCAATTTCGTCCATCCTCCTCTTTCCCCACTCGCACATGTATAATGCTTCCCCATGGGGTAGCGTAGCCCAAAGCTTGATGCTACTTTCTCGTGGGGCCGACGCGAGCTAAGATCGGAACTCGCCTTCCCCATCGGGTAAGTGCGTTACTGCGGCAGCCTCCATGTCACATCGGCAACTTAAGCCATGGACAAGTATAAAGACATAGGGGAAGAGATGGCGGAAGAGGCAAGATATCCACTGGCTTGACCTTGATTACAGAATTTTTCGCCTGTCGCCAACCTTGAAAAGATCATACAGCTTCACCAGAAAAAAAAAAAAAATTCTGCCATGGCGGAACACGCGGACGTCACAATCCGTGCCCACTGGAGGTCTTTCATCGCCTGTGGCGTCGCAGCATTGACTCCCTTCCAGTATGGTCTCGACTTCGGCCTCATTGGCGGCTTGCAGGCCATGCCGGGCTTCCTTCAGGTAATTTGCCTTCCCGTCGATTCAGCGACTTGTCATGCTTATTGGAGTCTCCTAATTTCAGATTTACGGTCATCGGGCCCCAGAAACAGCGATTGGCTGGAATATCTCCACGACGCGACAACAGCTCATTTCCTCCTTGATGACCCTAGGAGCATTCACCATCACTGGCTTTGCCGGACTCATCGCAATCAAGTTCGGACGTAAGATGTGTCTCTGGGCCGCGTGCTTATTATGTATAGTCGCCAACATTATCATGATGACGACTACGCATATCGGAGCTCTCTATGTCGGCCGCTTGCTCATCGGATTCGCAAACGGTAGCTTCGTTATCTTCTCTCAGCTTTATATCCAAGAGATAAGCCCAGCAAAATATCGTGCCCTGTTCTTTAATGCATTCCAGTTCTGTGTATCCTTGGTGAGAAGCCCCAAAGCTGCATCCAGACCGTCTTTTTTGTCATTGAATTTGGAATGCTTACGATCCCGGCTTCGTCGCTTAGGGCATGCTGATCGGTACTGTCGTCGATTGGGCAACTGCCAAGAGGCCAGATAGGTCTTCCTATCTAATCCCCCTTGCCGTCATATACGTTATACCTGCATTCCTCGCCGTCTGCCTGTTCTTTATCCCCGAATCACCACGGTGGCTCATCGAAAGAGGCCAATTCGACGAGGGGTGTAAGTCCCTGTACTGGCTTAGGCCCGTTAAGGAGGATGCCGAACACGAAGCCGCTGAAATCCAACGCGCCATTGAGCTTGAGCGAGAGTCGAAGAGTGATGCTCGCTTCTGGGACATGATTATGAACCCCATTGACCGACGACGGACTCTTCTTTCAATTGGCGCCGTGTCCTTGCAAAACGTCCCAGGATCCATGTTTATCATTCGCAAGTCTTGCCCTTTCACATTAGCATGAAGAATACCTCGACTAACCTATGCCCTGTGTAGCATATAAAGCATATTTTCTCACTATCGCCCGAGTTAAAGAACCATTCGCCATGACCAATGTTCTTAGTGCAATCGGTCTGGTAGGGTTGCTTGCTAGTGCATCCATCGTTGTTCGGTACGGCCGCCGTCGCATACTCCTGACTGGCAGCCTCTTCATCTGCGGATGCTTGCAGCTTATGATGGCCGTCACGTACGATAAGCACCCCGGGACTCCGGCTGCGGGTAAAGCTATTGTAGCTCTGTGCAGCGTCTTCATGTTTGTCTATGTGGTAAGTCGTAAAATTTATGATTCTGTAACGCTTACACGATATTTACCATCAACATTACTAGGGCGGGGTTGGCCCGTATTCTTACCTAGTTGGCGGCGAGCTTCCTTCCCAACGTCTACGGAGCTACACATTTGGCGTCTCTTCGGCTATAGGCTTCCTCCTCACTTGGATTATTACCTTTACTGCGCCGTACTTTATCAACCCCGATGCTCTGAATTGGGGCCCTAGATACGGATATATTTGGTTCCCCTCTTCTGTAATTGGAGCGCTGTGGACCTTCTTCTTCCTGCCCGAGCTCAAGGGCCGGACGTTGGAAGAGATTGACGAGATGGTAAGGCCTCCTAAGTTACTTCCTCCCTCACAGAAATTCGAAGACTGACCACGCCTCTCATTATCAGTTTAACGCAAAGCTGCCGGCTAGAAAGTTCAGGACTTACCAATGTTCGGTTCTGGTAGATAGCCGCGAAAAAAAGGTTTCGATTGATGAGCCAGTTGTTGAGGTTGAGGACTGTAGGCACAAGTAGGAGCTGAATGACATTAATCTGTCACAAAAGTTATACCAAGCTCTATGAGGCGCTGAGACTATACAACCAGGCGGACAGTGGTGCCGACCCCTTGATCTATGTCCAAAGCTATCAATCAGAAAGAGAGGTCTCTACGCAATCACATCATAATTAGGCCAAGAAAGCATCTATTCGAGGCTGGCTGACGTTCAAGTTATTCTTCTTCGTAAAAACTTAACCTTTCGTTCGTTTGATTAGTTTGATGCACCTTCGTCTGATTTCCTGACTAGTCTTCTCCTGTAGGATTCTGCTAGTGCTGACGTGCAATGTCCTGGCTACGGGCTGCCCTGGAACAAGTAGTGTTCTGAGATACGCTGGACATAGAACGTATATGCACTGGTTATGTCATGTACCGTGATATCATATGCCATTTCAAATCCTAGTCCTTGATATGTATCAGTATGAAAGTCCAGACTGGTGGAGACGGCACAAATGAATCTGGACCTATAGACTGTCTCGCACCTTCAGGACAGGGCATGCGGGACACTCTGGGGGCTTGCAGCTGAGGATCGAGGCAGATTGGTTGCAGGGGCTTAGCAAAGAACCGGATTGATATAAATCGCCAGTAGGACGATAAAAGAGAACCGGGCATTATTTTTTGGTATTCTAAGAAGATTGATAGGCGAGGGAACGGACACAAGATCTTAAAGCACCCAGCACAGACGGCAAACCTACACTAGAGAAAATACAGTCAGCTTTCAATCTAAGTTCGATATTCGCAAACCAGGTGAAGCCCAAGCTGGTTTTTATATCGAAATTAAAAGAGGTCGGCAGAGTATATACAAAAAGCGAGTTGGCAGCTGTCGCGCGGTATACAAACCTCGCTGCGGATGAGATGTCTTCCTCTCTCGTGGATTATGAACGCACTCCAACTGATGTGAGGGTATTGGGCGAGCCCGCAACGGGAAGCGGGGTTACGATCTATGTCTTTTCGCCTATGAGGATCTCATACTCTTGAACGTGATCGAGGGAATGCATATACGGTGCCTTGCAGCCCGGACGGGTTGACATTGGTAACCAGCAATTCGAATGGGACGGTCTAGCTCCTAGAATTCGACACTTGCGACTGCTCTACCGAGTAAATGCTGTGGACTATGGGGTTCGTGGTATCTCGTTTAGCGGATAATCTCCGATGCTTAGATGGTCAGAGAATCCAGTGCAACATGTGGGAGCCAGCCGTGTTATTGACTCTGATAAGCTAAGATGGCTCTGCAACAGAGACAGCCGAATACGACCGCATCACCAAAAACATCGAATTAAAGTCACAAGTATAAGCCTGCAAGATTCTGGTTAATTCTTCCTCGTCGGTAGATGGGACGACTCTATCTCTCAAAACAACACCGCTTCTGGCAAACAGCGAAAGCTACTCTACCACTAGGGCCATGAAATATCTATCACTTTAGGGATCGCAGAAGAATTTTATTGCAACCAGCGACACCTCACGCCATTTTGTCATTTACTTATATAAAATAAAATATACTAAAGATTATAATATTTAAATATTTCTTTATTTAAATATACTAAAGAAATATGTTTATATATAGATCTATATCTTTATAATAAATATATTTACTATAATATAGAAGAACTAAGTATTAGCATTTTTTTTTATTTCTATTTTTGACGGTGCCTATTTTAGTAGCCGATTTAAAGTCGAGTACAGTTTTCGAGAGTTACCCGGATTGCCCCGCACCTGCCGCCCCCATTACAGTAATTGTCATGAACCAATCTTAAGGGGCACGTGACATAAAGTATGGGTGACCGAACTTAAAGATTGAAACTGTACATTTCACCGTTTCCGTCTTCCTCAAAAGACACCGTCCTGTTAACGGAGAGTCCCGGGCCAACGGAACAACGGATCAATCCAGGAATTCGGTTCGCCTCCAAAGAGGGAGAACTGCTGATGTTTGTAGATGTGCGCTGATGTGTTGACCAAATCGATACCTCCGCATGCAGGTGATGCACCGTGGTCTGATAAATCATGTTCATGTTCCTCCCTTTGCCGATGACCTCGACCGAGGGAGAGAAAGGCTAAAAGATCAATTCGAAGTTATAAGCTACAGTTAATGCTTGATCACTGAGACCAGCAGGGAGACCTTGTTTATGTTTCTCTCAGTCTTGCGATGGAGACACTTTCCCAGTCCTAGTTGGATTCGAGGAAAGACACATCTTGATATTGTTCACCTGTCAAGTGGAAGAAGTTCAAATTGTTAGGAAAGGACCAAATCGCTTTTATATCTCACACTTTTGGCTTGAATTAAGGTTTATCTCATGTGATTGAGGAGGCATCTCCGCGGCGTCCAATCTCAAAGACCCAAATTGACATCACATTTGCCCACTTGTTATCACATCACGGCTTCACCCCTCTCAAGTTCAACATCATGAGGAACATCATTAGCACCCCGCTTTCAATCTCGAGAATGATATTCTGCCGCGTTCAACCCCCCCGAGTGGGAAGACAGGTGTTATCCCTAGGCCGTTCTCTCGTTTGGCATCAAGCACGACGCATGAGCACCGTGCCCAACGAACGCCTCAATTTATTGCTCAAGATTTACGAGCCATTCTCTAAGCTAGACAAGGACAGCATCGAATACCGAGAGCTGTCAGAGTCTGGCAAAGTCTGGGAGGATTACTTCCAGCCGGGAGACAGTGAGAGATATGGATATCTCAAAGCACAAAAGGTAAGACATGTTGCCCAGCAGCCTTTGCGATTGTCTGGTGACGCTGTTAAATCACGGTATTTATTTACTTTCAAATTTCATAGGAGGGCAAGCCGTTACTGGATGCGATCGATTGCTTCCGGGATGCCATGAAAACTCCGGTTACGGGCCTTGCGAAAGACATGGTCCATAGCTTCGCGCTGCAATCCGTGCAGATCGAGAACAACCAAATGTCGGTCACCCAGGCTGGAAAACTGGACGAGTACCTACGCCAAAATGTCCTTTCACGTTACCCGTTGAGCGAGATGTCTGCCGCAGAAATTTCGAAGATCTCGCTTCCAGATGTCAAGTTTCTGTTCCCGAAGACACATGTGAATCAGATTAATGAGTTGCGCAACCACCTCGTGGCGTCGCACTGGATCGCGGAGACGTCCCCCGCCAAGGCTGGTACCGGTTTCGACGAGGATGAGATCCAGAACCTCGCCGCTCTGACGATGAGAGATCTCGGCTACGGTGATTATTATCTGGCGCCATTCGGCCCCAGGGTGAAATTTGGCGAGTATCGATCAACCCCAATTGGCGTCAGCAGCAACCCCATGAGAGTCTTCCCGTACCACGACGAAGTTCCCGGCTGCATGGAAAGGTTCTTCAAGTGGCGTCAAACAGCACAAAACGAGGGCAAGCTGCACCCGATTATCCTTGCGTGCCAGATAGTCGCCTACTTTTTGCACATACACCCGTTCCCCGACGGCAACGGTAGGGTATCTAGGATGATTATGCAGGATTACATGCTTCGACGCGGCTATCTCCCTGTTTACTTGCAAGCGCTGCAGCCCGGGGAGTATCGGAAGATGATTTCGGATGCGCAGGATGGACACCCCGAGCAATTCGTGAATCGGGTTCTTACGTCTCAGCTCGAACAACTGACCACGTTGAAAACGGAGGAGTTGATGTAGCGGGGAAGATGTTATGTACTCACTCAGGATGGAAATCCTGGCCAAGACTTGGTTTTTTTTGCTAATGTGGAATGACTGGAGGGTGAATAAGACGTTCCCAACGTCGTTTAGGAAACCACATCTGCAGTGGGAAGACATTCTCACCTGGGTTGTCTTGAACCAGAAGAGGTCCGCATGAAGGGCCGGGCAGAGTAAGCATTTCGTCTATAAAGACTCTGTTCAGAAGGCTATTTCTCTAGCTCGAGCAGGAGGGAGATACGAAACCGACAGTCTTTGAACGAGAAATTCGTTCAATTTGTTTCGTGACAGGAGGATCAAGTTCATGTTTTATTTTACCCTGTGCATCAAGGGGGGGGCCGCTGACAGGGCCTAACTAGGTTTGATAAAACACTAGTTTCTACTTTCTCCGGACTTCAGATCATGGTATCACATGAAGGATATTGATGTTGGGGAGCCATGGAATAAAGTAGTCTGGACTCACTTACAGGCATTACAAAGTGGCATCAGAGGAAAAGGAAGGAGCGATAAAATAGAGTTTTTTTTTTTTTTTTTTTTTTTTTTTTTTGGCCTCTCCTCTTTCTATATTCCCAAAGGTTGCAACAACATCTTGCTTACTACGTTTTCTAGACTCTTATTTAGGCTCGCCAACCTTGGTCAGCTACCGCGAGCTCGGTACCACCGTTCCTTTATCGTACATCACAGGCGCTATCACCGTCAGGGTCTTGAAGTTGGCTGAGTCCATCCGCGAAGGGATATTAAAACAATTCACCAACCAGGTAGGAGATTTCGGGGAGCAGGATGAGGAGATGGCAAGAATTCACACAGATAAGGTATGTTTGGACTTGGTTTAATATTCAAATCCTACTCTAATCTGGTAATGTTACCGGCCTAATTGGCCTGAACCGCGCCGTTTGTTTCCTGTTTTCTTGGGAATTTCTGCTTCGTTTTCCTATACTAGAAACATAGTTCTATTTGGAATGAATAACGTTAACCACTCCTAGCAATTTCGTAGGATGAGTTGTGGCAAGTGCACTTGGCCAACATGGATTGTAATGGAGAGTAATGACGGCGCCAGCGAAGACCTGTGATGGAGGGCAGTTGATTAATAGGAGGCGGTGAGAATGTATAATTGTAGGTGGCTGAGTGCGGAGAAATAGATGAATCTTGAGATCTGCCTTGTTAACACTTTTATGCCGTAGTTGACGTGACCTCTAGTTCCTGACAATAACGCTACTCCTATTATTTTCCTAGAGATTTCGGTACCAAACCCACTCAACCCAAGTGTCCCTCACCGCTGTTAAGCCCTGCGCTATCGAGATGCTTGTTCTATCAAGTTCCGTTGGCGGTACGCTCTCCATACAGAACCGGGATATGTGACATTGTTCCTACAAGCATCCCTCGACAGCTTAGAATCTTATTGGCGAACCCTGCAGCTGTGGCGCAATGTTCAGAGTGAGAACCCAAATTCGTAGTGCATGCCAAGTCATAAACTGCAACCCCAACCTCCCACACAACTCCCTCCGTTCGTGGTATGGTCTGTACAATAATAAGGCGAGCAATATGTTGCTCAGCCCCCGAGCCTGGTCGACTTTGTGGATGGGGGAGAATTCTTGGCGGGCAGGATGGAGTCTCTCCACTTTGCGCCCATTTTCGTCTCTCCACACCGACACCCAATATGATCTACATGGTGCTTTGATAGCTCCGGGAGATTTGATTTGCGTTTTTCTGGTAAAATTTACCGACAATAAAAATGTCGTGTCAATGCGGAATTAGAAAGATCGTCGTCATGTCGGGAATTTGGGTGATGGCTCTGTTGAGCTTCATCGCCGAAGCCCACCCATACACCGATGCTGCTGTGCCGTCGACAGTCGCCCGGATTGCCGCGGCAGTCATCCCGCCTCTCCCAACGGTGATGCCCGAGGTCCAAGAACTCCTCCGCCGTCAAGCTGTCACATCGTCAACGTCATACGAAGTATGGGACGCCAAGGGGCCAACTTGTGGATACCTCTCAGGCACCCCAGGGGCGGCGCTGAGTTGCGGCGGCCTCTCGACGTGCATGTTCCTTCCTCATCTCCGGGCACAATGGTGCTGTGGCCTTACCGACTGCGAGGCGTATTTGTCCTGCCTGGACGCTGTCAGCGTCGCGGACCCGCAGATTTGCGACGACGTCTGTCATCAAGACGAGTTTATGCTTAAATGGTGAGAGTTCATGAAAAGGGAAAAAAAGAGAGAAAAAAAAAGTGCTAATATTATGTTCGTAACAACATCAGCCAGTCGAATGCGCCATTCTGCAAAACGTTGCTGTACCCCTCTGGTATCAAGGGCATGACCTGCGTGACGACAAGCGGTGTACGCACCGCTTCAGTAGACTTTACGTATACCGGATGGGCTAGGGAACCGCCTCTCGTCACTGCAACGATGATAGTGGAACCGACGCGGACGACTTTGATATACCCATCCTCTTCAACCATTAGGTCGAGCTCTTCAACTTCCAGTTCTGCGGTGTCGAGCCCGGTAACCTCGACTGCGCCGCCGGCACCGGAGCCAGAAAAATCAAACGATGTTGGGGCCATAGTAGGGGGCACCGTCGGCGGCGTGGCAGTTGTGGGCATCATCATCCTGGCAGCGATATATTTCTGGCGTCGAGAGAAGCGGAATAAGGAGCCCGTAGAGCGCACCTCTATGGTTTCACCTGGCGGGACTTACCCGCCATACACTCCGTCTCACCCAGGCTCGGCATTTCCTCAGAGTCCTTCGTCCCCGGCTGACAGTAGCCAGCGCTGGTCCCAGGCTCAGCCGTTTACATTCGTCGGGGGTCCAGAGGGGCAGGATATGACGCAAGTAAACCAACCGGCTGGTCAGATGTATCCTACCAATCCGTTGCCCGTATATCAGACTCAGTTCGCCCAACCTCAGACTACCCCATCTCCGCCTATTCAACCGCAGCCTGTTCAACCACAGCCCGTCCAATCCCACCCTTCTCAGCCTCAACCTGCTCAACAGCCGATATATACTGAACAAAACCAATCACCTCCCCTCGGCCATCCCTACGAGGTAAGGCATTAAGGATAGATGGGGCGTGAACATTAGATAGGTGATGGCAATTTGGGAATGCGAGTGGTTAAAATACGTCTTAAGAGATGGCTAGACAAACGAGATGAGTTGGTAATTTCTCAACAGGCTAGGAACTGTCATGTCGAAGATCTAAGGCGGACCCTTTGCTTTTTTCTTGCTTTTTCCATTTCTAGGTGAGGCGTGGAGCTAGTCGACCAGAAGATATATTCATACCCTTTTAAATCAAAGACGAAACGTGCGTCTCGTAAAACTCATTTCCGGACCCGAAACCGAGTTCTGGAATCAGCTCGGCCGAGCTCGGCTGACAAGGTGACGAGGAGGTTGAGCAACGCAAAACAAGCAGCCGATGGCCGCACTGACGGGCTCCATGGAGGGTCATGGCGAAAGCGTAGACGGCGATAAATGAGGTAGTCGCCGATGTAGTTCTCGCCGCGATGAGAACTCACCACCACCACTACTCCCTGCCCCGTCGATAGGACAAATGACAACGCTTCCAGCACAATAGTACTTTCCTCACCACGGGTATCCGCCGAAACAGCGCGCGTAGAACACGCGAGAGTCTCAAGTCTCTAAAACCACGCACGAGAACGATTCGGGAAAGGACTGCGAAATTTTGTACGTTAGCCGCCTAGGAGCGGACCCACCCGCAGGCGAAGGTCTCTGTCATAGGAGGTCTCCCCTAGATCTGAAAAAAAAAAGGAAAAGGATCCAGAAATAGCCATTACCAACCAGGGACATCGGCTTCGGGATATTACTACTAATTGGCCTGTTCACGCCGTGCTATAAATAGAAGAGAGGTAGGCGAATCTGTCGGCCGCAGATGTAGTGTAAACTAGTGCTCTGTTGTGATATCACACCGTCGTGTCCCGTCGTGGTCCCAGGGGCGAGTTCGGCAGTTTGAGAAATACCGCGACTCAGTCGCCAGCGAGGCAAGACTGCGACTGAAAATGAGGAACAGACCGCACGTTGGCGATTATCCCTGGCAATGTGCTGTGTGGGCTGTCAATAGCCTGTTATTACGCAACGCAACTGCATCTCCCAATTCTCAGTGAAAATGTAGCCACTTTGGTGCTCTGCATTGGCCAGGCTTTCCGTCCCAGACTCCCAGGCCCAAGCATCGGCGGCGGCATTAGGCTATGCAGTGAAGGGATGGCCTGTACCTCTGTACTTCGTGCACTACAAGTATTGAATTGACTAGCTGAATTTGGACAATGTGCATGTGTGTGGTTGGGAGGATCCGAAGAAATCCTTGCGAAAGGCAAAAATATTGGCGCATATTGGCGCATGCCGAAACACTTACTTGTCCATCCAAAGGAAAGGAAGCCCTAGTGTCCAACATCGGATGGTGCCCCGTATTAGTGGGCAAATCCTGTGTTGCCTCGTGTTGAAAACCGCAGTTCTGGTTGGTGAGCCAAGGAATTAAAGAGGGCGCCAACCCATCTGGGACGCGGAATCCTTTCCACGGCCTCAAAATCCCAACAGCACTGCCGCAATCGGTATTCGAGATCATACATACTAATTCCCCGCGGCGGTTGTACTGATAAAAAGTCTGGTTTTGCTTTTTTTTTTTTTTTTTTTTTTTTTTTTTTGCTCTCAACACCGCTTGACCAGTCGTCACTGAGGTGCGAGATTTATCGATTTATCTCACGCACTCGAAGTCTCACCCCGAACGCAATGCGGCTCTTAGCAATCGATCAGAATGGCGAGCTCAGCTTTACCAAGGATCTCGGCGGCAACATCCCCTCATACGCGATTCTCTCGCATACATGGAGCACTAACGCTCAAGATGAGGTCACCTTCAAAGATATAGAAAATGGCACTTGGAAACGCAAGCTGGCCCATGGCAAGATCGAGTTCTGCATAGAGCAGGCAAGGCGCGATGGCCTGCAATACCTTTGGGTCGACACGTGCTGCATTGACAGATCGGACCCGGAGGAGCTCCGCGGATCAATCAACTCCATGTTTCAATGGTACTCCGACTCTGCTCAATGCTACGTTTACTTGTCCGATGTTTCGAAGCCCGCCGGTCAAGCGGGCGACGACCAACCCTGGAAAGCAGCCTTTCAGAGAAGCAGATGGTTTACTCGGGGCTGGACACTCCAAGAACTTCTCGCCCCAGGATCAATCCAGTTCTTCTCGCGGGAAGGCCAGCATCTCGGCGACATGGAATCTCTTGAGCAGGAAATTCACAACGTTACAAAGATTCCCATCTCGGCTCTTCGGCAAACAACCTCCCTTGGTCGGTTTGATGTTGAGGAACGATTTGGCTGGGCGGAGAAGCGCCAGACTCTGCATCCCGAAGATTGGGCGTACAGCCTCCTCGGACTTTTTGGTGTTTTTATACAGCCCATGTACGGCGAGGGGAGGGATAGCGCAGTAAAACGTCTGAGAGAGGCAATCGAAAGTGCCCCAGAACGTCGAGGTTTGTCTTCATTATTTCCTCTACACTGGGAATCATACCTTGCTAATAAGGGAATAGAATATCTCCGGAAATTCCAAACCTGTCCCTACCAAGACCGTAAGGACCGAAATCCATTGGCAGCGGATGGGACATTGGAGTGGTTCACGAACCATTCGCTCTTCCAGCAATGGAATCAGAGCCCGTCAGAACACATTCTCTTGGTTTCTGGTGAACCTGGCAGCGGAAAGTCAGTTCTGGCCAGGCACTTGGTGGATGAAGTATTGCCAAGTACGACGATGCGGACAACATGCTATTTTTTCTTCAAGGAAGATTACGAAGACCAGCGGTCTCCAGCAGCTGCACTCTGCTCCATATTGCACCAACTCTTTGACCAATATCCGGCCTCTCTTTCACCAAAAATCCTCAAAGATCTCCGACTCAAACGAGACTTGAACTCCTTTTTCGCATCCTTCTCCGATCTCTGGGCCAAGCTTGTTGAGGTTACGAATACCGCCAGGACTAAGAGAGAGGTTGTTTGTGTCCTTGATGGTCTCGATGAATGTGAGGTGGATGGGAGGAATCAGCTGCTCGATGCCATCTCCGAGTTCCCACATGCACCGCTTGTCACCCCAAGCCTGAAATTCCTTCTAATCAGTCGGCCCGATGCCGAGATCAAGAGGCGCTTAGAGCATCCAGAGCGCGACCTCCCCATGATCCACTTGGGAGGAGAAAACGAGGAGACAGGGGTTGACACCTTTATCAAGACCGAAGTCAAGGATATCAGTCAAGCATTTGAACTTGGCAAAGAGGAGCAGAACGCTCTTATTGAAGAGATTACTTCGGTGCCTAAGCGTACCTATCTCTGGGCACACCTCGTCCTCAGCGAGATACGGAATCTCACGCGAAGCACGATCCCATCTTACAAGGCTCCACGTACGGTTTCCGAAGCGTACGATAGGATCTTGCTAGAAAGTAAAAACATTTCGCTCGCCAAAAAGCTTCTCCATATCGTCGTCGCAGCGGCAAGGCCGCTCACGCTACAGGAGATCACTCTCGCGTTGGTCATTGGTCCCAAGCATAAAAAAATCGGTGAGATACCTCAAATGTCGGCAGAAAAAGCCCATCAGCAGATTGAGTCTATCGGTGGAGCGTTTGTAGTCATTTCCGACCACGAAGTCTACTTGCTTCATCACACGGCTCGCGAGTTCCTGATCGCCTCACTTTCGGGGGCTTCATCACCAGCTGGTTCTTCCAGCACGATGCCGGGCTCCGCGCCTTCCCTTGCTCCAGAGGTGTCACATCGCGTCCTTGCCGAGATCTGCGTCCAGCGGCTGTCGCTCTCGGATAATTTTGATCTCGATGATTTTAAGGCTAGTACACATCCGGTTCAGTATATGGCTAGGCATACATTTCTGCAGTATGCCGCGGGGCACTGGGCTGATCACTTCCGCCAAGTAACGTGGACCGACCAAGATTGGGAGCTTGGCAGGGCAGTAATCTATTGCCATCCGCATCTTCAAACTTCTGTATGGTTTGAGATATACCGAAGATTCACGAGAAAAGAGGTCCCGGGCGATTTTACACCATTGTTGGTCGCGTCATACTTTGGCCTGGACCAGGTGATGAAACATCTTACTCAAAACCCCATACTCGACGTCAATTTCCAGGATAGCAAGTATGGACGATCGGCTCTCTCCTGGGCTGCCATGGGAGGATATGATAAAGTGCTGCAGTATCTTCTCCGTGGCGGTATGATCCGGCGACTTCTTGGCGCCGTCGCAGCCGTCGACGTGAAGGATGACAGCGGATGTATGCCGCTCCATCTAGCTTCTGAGCGAGGCCACAGCGCAGTCGTACGTCAGCTTCTCGACGCAGGCGCCGACGCCAAAGCAAAGGATAACATCGACCGGACGCCGCTTCACTACGCCTGCGAGCAAGGGAACGAGACCGTCGTACAGCTGCTTCTCGAGGCGGACGCCGATCCCAACGCGAAGGATGGGTTAAAATCAGCGCCACTTGAGAACGCTTGCAAGCAGGGCCATGTTGTGGTCGTGCGGCTGCTTCTCGAGGCGGGGGCCGATCCCAACGCGAAAGCTGGCTTGGGCATGACGGCACTTCACTGGTCTGCCGGACGGCACTCTTCCCAACACGTGGCAATAGTAGAGCTGCTCCTCGAGGCCGGCGCCGATGTGAACGCCGAGGACGGTCTGTTACGCTTCACTCCACTTATGGTGGCCTCCAGAGAAGGTCTCAAGTCGGTAGCTGAGCGGCTTCGCTTAGCTTCTCGGGTTCGCCCGCAAAGAAGTGAATGAGTTTCAACGCCTCAATCGGTTATTCGTCAGTGTTCTCTTGGTAAAGGGGGGTTTGACTTGGGAGGTATTTCATCTACATAGCTTCAACGTGGCGGATATTTGCACAGAAGATGGACGATGTTGGACGTTGTATCTAGTACGATGAAGTTTTTGACATTTCATATCACTATCATGGAGGTAAAATTCACTGGCTGTGTTGCGCAAGTGAGTAAGGGCCTTCCTGTCAAGGGTGATCCATAGTCAAGTATATGCGAATCCTCTTTTTCTCTGCCAATGACATTTTATCGACGTGGAAGCTCACATCATCGAAGCCTGATGACGGCAATGACGAGGGAGGTCCTGTCGAGAACGAATCGCCGAACTTCTGGCAGGAGCAGCGATGCTAAGTCTAACTTGACGTCTTTCCGTAGGGCTTCGTCGAAGTTGGGGTAAATATGCTAGCCGAAAAGAGAAGGTGGAGTGGGAAGTAAAACAAATTTCCCTTCATCCAAGGCAGCATCTGCCAAGCTCACATCGGGAACGCGTTCCGTGATCACGGTTCACCCATCCCCTTGCGCACCCGCAGGAAATCCCCTTACATAGTAGCACGTGTATCCAACGGTTCGATAGGTAAATAGCCCGACGAATGGATACGGAGACGCGTCTCTGGGGCAATGAAATGCTACTCAAGGTTGGGGGCTGTCCTGTCAAGGACTCAAGGGACTCAAGGGTGGTGCTGTAGCGTTACATAGGCCCCATAATCCTTCGAGTCCTCTTCCGCCACGTTTTCGAGTGATTGGCGAATTTGAGCATTGGGGGCTGCGCCTTGACATGACACTTGAGAAAAGATCGGATGAAACCCCCAAAAAGGGGACCGACCGGAGATATCGACGTAATGCAGGTACCAAGAGGCCGGAACAAATTCCCGTCTCGGGCACGAAGGTGGTGATCTTTTTGTTAGTGGCCATGAGAAGTACATATTCGACCGAGTTTCCATCGTCGCCGCGCCGAATTCTCGATTCTGCGCTTGTCATCCCTCACGGCCGATACTCTCGTCAAAAAGTCAGGAGAAAGATCAATTAACGTGAGAACAGCCGAAGAAATGAAGCCGTCGTACATTGTCTCTGCCGCCGTCGTATTGCTCAGCCGTCCTGCAGCTGCAGCGTGGCGCGCAGCGGGCGACAAGACAATCCAGTACAGCTCAGTCCCTGGCTTCTTCTTGCAAGACGACAACTCGACAGACCCAAGCACGTTCGACTATGTAAATAATGCCCCTCTATAGATCACATCACGTTAGATACTCTTGTTCCTTTGCTAACTCGTCACCATCCAGGCGTCCGTCAACTTTGGTCTGATTAACCGCACATATCCCACCGACAAGCGATTCGACCCCGAAGGAACTGCCACTCTGTGGGAGCGATTCGAGTACTATGTCGCCTCGTTGAACTCGGGATGCCGACCCAAGGACAACGTCCGCTACAAGGTGCTTTTCATGGGCCGTCACGGCGAGGGTTGGCATAACGCAGCCGAGACGTTCTATGGCACCCCTGCTTGGAACTGTTACTGGGCCGAGCAGAACGGAAATGGCACCGCCGTCTGGGCAGACCCCCTCCTCACCCCGGCAGGCGAGGTCGAAGCCTACAAGGCCAACGCCTACTTCAAGGACCGATACGAGACCCAAAACATGCCCTACTTCGAGTCGTACTACTCCAGCCCCCTCAGCCGCTGCACCATCACGGCCAACCTCACCTTTGGCGATATAGACGTTCCCGAGGACAGGCCCTTCGCCCCCATCGTCAAGGAGGGCTTCCGCGAGGGCATGACGGTGCACACGTGCAACTGGCGCTCTAACAAGACGTACATTGAGGAAATGTTCCCCTGGTACAAATTCGAGGACGGCTTCACTGAAGAGGACGAGCTCTGGAAGTCCGACAAGAGCGAGACTAGCGAAGCCCAGGATGCCCGCTCCAAGGCCGTCTTGGACGATGTTTTCCGCACCGACGACAAGACTTGGATTAGCATCACCAGCCACTCGGGCCAGATTGCTCGCCTCCTCACTGCACTCAATCACCGAGCCTTCCGTCTGTCGACCGGCCAGATTATTCCTGTTCTCGTTAAGGCCAAGCTCGTTGAGCGTAAGCCCGACGCGACCTTTGACGCGTACGAGCCGTACTCGACTTGCGATGCACCGCCTGTGACGAGCATTTCGGGTCAGGGATGTGTCTGCTCGGCTACTAGCTCGGGGCTCCCGACGGCGACGGCGACGGCGATTTAATTAAGAAGAGGTTTCGGTTTCAGACGAGAGTACGGTGCAGTGGTGGATGGGTAATTAACAAACTAACCTTTTTTGTACATACTTGACCTTTTTTATATCCCAGTTAAAATGATAATGTTTATTATATTACCTCCCAATCGAGTCTATCTCTGTCCTTGTCCCTGGGGCGAAGAATTTAGCGTTCATGAATGGACAGTGACTCTCCTCCACTCTCCTGCTGGGCAAAACGTCGATGCATCGCCACCCCCAAGCTCGGCATCCGTCATTCCCGCCAACTCCCCAGGCAGAAGCGGGATATTTTGGACAAACATGGTCTAGCGCCCTCGACGATTGACATGCCGAGGCTCCACAAAAATGGCCTCTCAAGGCGTTTCGGGGAAAGTCAAGGGAAGCTCTGGAAGACTGGAAGACTGCAAGGGAGAGATCCACCGCTCGGAATGGCATAGCCGGGTTTATGCCAGCATTAGAAATGGACCAAAGACCAGGATAGCTCCGAGGCCGGGCTCCACAGAAGAGCCTAAGTTTGGCCAGAGATTACGTCGAGGGGTTGCAGATCTTAATAGCGATAGGCTACGGGCGGGGATCGGAGAGTTTTATTTTTTTTTTTTTTTCTGTAATTTTTGGCAGGACTTTTTTTGGGGTGTCAGTCTGTTTCTTTCTCTTGCTTTTCTCTTTCTTCTTGTTCTCACTATTTCTCTTTTGTAGACTCGCACCTTAGCTTCGGTGGATCGCGGAACTAGGACCTCGGACCTGATCATCAGGTTAGGCTCTTTGTGTTTTGTGCTTCGATTGAGGGAAGTGAGGCAGCGAGGCACTCATGCTTTGTTGCCTCGGTCGGTCTTGTCGTATTGCGTCAGGTCAAAGTTTAATTTTCGAACCCCGTTCGCCAATCGCCACGACGACATTTCCAAGACACACCCCGGACCCCAGTCGTTTAGCTTGAGCAAACGGGGGCGCACCAAACCCAGACACACACCCAGGCACACGCCCAGGCAACCCTCAACCCGCCTACCTTCATCCAAGCGAACAAAGACCGAACAAGACACGAAGGATTGTCCCAAATTTCACGGACTCACGGACTATGGACTCGTCGACGCCGCTCACAAACGGTCCGCAGTCGCCCACGTCCTCGTCTTCCTCCCGCATCGCCACGGACGGCACCCACGGCTACGATACAGCTGCCGTCGTCCAGCTTCTCAAGACAAAACGGAAACCGCGGACCACAAAGTCTTGCTTTCCTTGCCGATACCGAAAAGTGCGATGCGACGGCCGAGTGCCTTGTTCGAGCTGCATCCGCCGCGATCATGCCGCGTTGTGTCGGACGGCGAACCCTTCTACGGGACAGAGGTCTTCGGCGCAGATACCAGAGAAGCGGACGAGTAGCCCTGCGTCGTCGATAGAAGAGACGATAGCGCAGTTTGGGTAAGATATGCCCTACCCCATCCCCTGCGATTGAATCATTCTCCAGGACTTGGTCTGACACATTGGAATCTGTAGTGATAATCTCGGTCGCGAAGCTGTTCTGAGAAACGGACAGACCGGCCAAGTCCCCGACGTCAACAACGTCATCTCCCGCCTCGAACAAATCGAAGAACGAATATCCGCCCTCAAATCCGACCTCCTCCAGCACGGCACCACATCCTCCGACGTCGCGCACACCTTCCTCGAGCGCCTCGACCCGCTGAACCAACGCGAGCCCGCAGCGGCGCCTACCGCCGACCAGTTCGGCAGCACGTACCGGTTCCCGCCCCTCTCGGCCGCCATGTCGGGGAACCACTTCGTCGAGGCGGCGACGGGAGCGACGATTTTCATCGGCGATCGTTCGGATCCGCCGCTGGCGCTCGGGTGCCAGAAGTTGCCCGCGAGCGGACCGTTGGACGGTCTCCAGGGCCCTGGGCAGGATCAGTTGACGCCGAAGACGTATGCTTTTGCGAATCTTTGGGCGCCGGAGACTTCGTTGGAGGATATTGGGAGAGCCTTGCCGGACGACTCGGATATAATACGGTACGTCAATGAGTCAAGGATAATAATAGTGAAAAAAAAAAACCATGTCCTCTTGTCCACGGAAACTGACGGACATGAGTAGATACTGGCAGATATACCAGACATACGTCCACCCCTTCTACCCAGCCCTCATAGACCCTGAACACTTCGGTACCCTCCTGTTCTCGTTTCTCGATCACCGGTTATCGGGTAGAGCGGAGAGAGTGCTGCCCGAGGGTACAAGCCCGTCATGGCTCGGACTCCTCTTCAGTGTGCTGGGTTGCGGCGCGCAGTTTTCTACGGATCCGATAAAGGAGCGAGATCTCCGCTCTAAAGTATTCGGTATGGTGATCTCCACTGGCGTTTCGCACCACCACCAACCCAATCTGATATGCAGTTCGTTTTGGCTGTCGCTGACATTTTCTGGGTGAACGCAGTCTGTTCGTCATTTCAGTGCTTGAGGATATCCAACTTCTTCACGAGCACCAACTTAGAGCAAATACAGACAATGGCCCTTCTGGGTCACTGCCTCCGAAATAACCTAGACATGAATAGCTCGTGGATACTCATGGGCATGACCATCCGGCTTGCCCAGTCTATCGGACTCCACGTGGAACCTCCGTCCCCGTCGACACCTGGTCGCACGAGCTTAGAGAGCCTTCAAAGGCGGCGTTTGTGGTAAGTTTAGGGACCTTTTGTTCAAAAATTACCCCGCCCTTTTTTTTTTTTTTTTTTTTTTTTTTTTTTTTTCAATCTACCGTCTGACCGCACTCATTCTGACTGGGAATGGAAACCAGGTGGATGCTCATTTGGCAAGATACCTTCATCTCACTAACTTACGACCGACCGCCGGCGAACACCTACTCGCACGCGACGATACCAGAGGACTACTCCCCAGGAGGCGGGCAGACTTTCGCCAATTGCGTCCTTAGACTCTGCCAAATAGCCCTCGACCGCGCCAGCGAGGAAATGTCCACCACGCCGAGCGAAGTCAACACGATACGCAACCTCCTCCGGTACAAGCAACGGTTCAACGTGGTCATGGAGGAGGCCCAGCTCTTCCTCGTCGACAAGGCCCAGTGTAAAACGCTACAGGACCACCTAGAACGATTGGCTCTCCACATACACGTCGGATACTTGACTTGTCGCATCCATCGGCTCTGTCTGGAGAGCAACGACCCTGCGGCGGACCAGGTGACGCGCGATTCGTTGGCGTCGGAGTATCTCTCCCACGCGATCCAGGTGGTGCAGAGCTTTCTTGACATGTACAGGCTGTCATCCATTGTCTGCCGGTCGTGGGCTTTCGTCCACAATGTTGCGAGTTCGTGTATTCCTCTGAGGAACCTAACGTCGGTGTCGCCGCAGGTGCTTGAGGAGCTGTCGCAGCAGTTTAGACCGCTGGTCCAGAGGTTGGTTGCTGTGCTTGAGGATGAGGCGAAGCAGTCGGAGTGGTACGACTCTGATACGAATGTGCGGCAGTACGGGCCGTATTCGCGGGTGGTGAAGGCGCTGAAGCAGACGTATGAAGATATTTGAGGAATTTACAGGGAGTTACAGGCTGGCATAAACAAGATTAATGTTTTAGAGGAAAAAAAAAGCATAGGAATATTTTATCTAAAGGGAGTTACAGGATGGTTACGCTGGTATAAACAGGATGATTGTTTTAGGGGGGGGAAATCATAGGCATATTTTATCTATTTTATCTTATTTTCTATCATTTTGGCAAGGCCGGGAGGACTCATGAACTGACGATCGTCATGAAGGGATTGCATTTGGAAATATTTATATTCTTGTATACTATAAACAAAAACATTCTATGTCTAGATGTAACTTCTATAAGAGAAACGCTCAGCGCAATTTAATGATATATACAACAATTTTTAGAACTCTTCTACCCTTCTACCCTTCTGTCCACGTCTCTCGTCGTCACTCACGCCGACTTGGACGGCCACTGCGTCCGCCTCTTAGCAGTCACATAAAAGTTGAGAGGGCGAATAAGCTGGAACTCGGGGTCATACTCGATGGCCTCGAGACCCTCCCTCGCGAACTCGTACCGGTAAACAAGCTCCGACATCAAAATCTTAACCTCGAGCAGGGCAAAGTTGAAGCCGATGCAGCCACGAGAACCCGTGGCGAAGGGCACGTACGCGCATCGGTGCCTGTTCTTCACCTCCTCGGTATCCCACCTGTCCGGGTCGAAGCGGAAGGGGTCACGCCAGATGTCCGGGTTGGTGTGGATGGCGTAGAGGGCAGGGACGATAACGGCGTCGGCGGGTAGACGGTAGCCTCCTGGCACGATGACCTCAGACTTGGTGGTTCGACCGGGCTGGAAGGAGGCGTTGTGGAGACGTTGGGTTTCCTTGACGAACTTCTCCAGGTAGGGGAGGCCGTGCGCAAGCTCGGGAGACCACTCAGTTCCCGGGCCGATTCCGTAGTCGATGAGCTCTTGGAGGAGCTTATCCTGGATGCCGGGGTACGTGACGATAGAGTAGATGAGCCACGACATGAGGGCCGATGTGGTGGTGTAGCCGGCGCCGGTGACGATGAGCATATTCCCGAGCACGAGTCCCTTGGGGAAGTGCTCTCCTTTTTCGTCCACGGCGTTGACGAGGTAGTCGGCGACGCAGGCGGCTTTGACGGCGGCGTCATTGAGGGGGAGGTTCTCGATGCCAGCCTTGGGAGCTCCTTCCATTGCCTCTTCGAGCTGGTGGTAGGTTGCCTTTTGTACCTGCTTCAGGCGCGCCGAGTCGCCAAAGGGGAGGTTGCGATACCACTCCCCACGAGTCGTAACCTTCTTGTTCAGGGCCAAAAGAGTCACGATGTTTGTAACGAGGGGATGGATTGGAGCATCGACGCTGTTAAAGTGACCAAAGTCCATACCGAGAGCGAAGCGACCGATGGCCTGCGACGCCAACTTGACCATGAACTGATACACATTCCACGACTCGCCCTTATTGCTGAGCTCATCGAACACGGCGAAAGACTTGCGCCCACACTCCTGCATCAGTGGCGTATAATGCTTAACAGCCTTGGGACCCATGGCGGGGGGCAAGAACTTGTGTGCCTGGCGCCAGTTGTCCGTCTCCGTGTCGCCGATGAAAATTGCGGTATTGTCTTTAATTCCCCAAAGTGGGTGATTTGGGGTGATCTTCTTGGTGAAGTAGGTAGATTCGATGAGGGATACTTGGGCGACGTCCGGGTCGTCGGTGAGGTAGGTGGTCTTGCCCATGTTGGTGGTCTTGATGACGGGGCCGTACTTGCGGAACAGGCGGTAGTGGTTTCCGAGGTGGTCGGGGAAGATTTCGTAGAAGCTGCCTACTACGGGAAGGCCTTGGGGGCCTTGGGGATCTTGCACAGGACGATTGTCGATTTTGATGGAGACGGGGCTTGGGGCGGATAGGACATCCTTGATAGTTTCCAGTTGGACGTCTCCGGAGTGGAAGCTGATGCCTAATGAAGGAGTGTTGTTAATGAAAACGGTACTTAAAAATAACAATATTCAACGGCCAAGTTAAGGCCAGGTGGAGACATACCAGATGGTTGCGCGACATGGAACTCCAGAGCAACCGCCCTTTTGAGGTCCTCAAACTTCCAGTTGCTGTCGATGGCAACTGGACGAGATGTTGTGATAGCATCTCCGAGGAGGTAAAAGTTCTGCGACGACATGTTGGCGAATTAGATATAAAGTAACCAAGTCTTTATAAAGGATGGAAAGAGGAAAGAAGACTGTTGCAGAGATGACTTGGGAACAAGATCTTCTTCATCTCGAAAGATTGCAAGAAGGCTTGCATTTATATCCAGTTGATGTGACAACTGAACCTCCGAATTTGGCGCGAAGAATGATGAATGCAGTATTGATAATGACAATCACTGTTTCTTCCTTGCGGCTCTGCCGGGTTCCGGGCTCTTTCGGCGGAGCCGTTTCAGCGCATCTTCGAAGATAAACCTTCTTTTTTTCGCTGTGTCGAATTGGGGCCCCGGTCGAATTGATGTGTGCCGTATGCCGGTATCCCGAGTGAAACGTTGGAAATCTCGCTGATCCACCCGAGCTCCGAATCTCGGCCGTGATTCGGGCGAGACACGAAAAGAGGTTGGGGCGGGGAACGGGATGAAGCTTGATCGGCGCCAACTGCGGATCTGTCAAGAGGTTAATTAGGGCCGCGTTAGCTCCGCCGCGTGTGCTTAATTGAACGGATGGAGCGGCGCGGAGGTCGTTCGGGACCGAAGAGCTCGGGCTTTTTTTGCCTTTTTTTTTTCTTTTTTCTTCGAGATGGAACTTTGAAGATCATGTCTGGACCAGGCGATAAGCTGGATATATAAGGTGCGGCGCTGTTCAGTGTCGGCGATGGAAGGTCTGGGTTTACCTGTCAACCATCTTTACAAGTTTTCTTCTTCCTCAGCCTCCCGTTGTCCAAATACCCTTCCTGTTATTTAGTCGTCACTTGTTGATATTTTACTTTGTGCACAACTCCAACTTCCACTCCACCTCACCATGGCCACCAAAATCCACACTCTCGCCGACGTGCAAAAGCACGACAAGCCCACCGACGCATGGGTCGTCATCCACAACAAAGTCTACAACATCACCAACTACCTCGAGGACCATCCCGGCGGCGGCGCTGTCCTGCTAGAAGTCGCCGGCAAGGATGCCACGGCGGAGTTTGAGGAGATTGGCCACTCTGCCGAGGCGAATGATGCTCTCGTCGAATTGTGTGTCGGATCTCTGCCCCAGGAGGTATGCGATATATTTCTATTTACCGTCTTGCCCCTTTTGATTTTCGATTGACCCTAGAAGCTAACCATCACTCTCCAACATAGGAACACGCCGAAGAGGTCGAAACTTACCGTCCCCAATTCCAAGAAATCGGCTACCAAGCCGCCGTCGTCTCAAAGAAGGGAAACAACACCTCCGGCTCTCTCCGCCGCGTAGCAGGCGCCGTTGTCAAGATCGGTCTCGTCGGCGGCATCGGCGCGGGAATATGGGCCGCCAACACGGGAAAGGTCGATACGCAAATTCTTCGCCAAGTCTGCCAACAAATCACGATCCCGCGCTCGGTACCCACGGGACGGTTCTGGTGGGGATTCGGCCTCGCGACCGTGGCTGAGACGTCGGCCAGTCTTGGCTTGTTCGTCTGGTTGTGGTCTAAGCTTGATGTCCAGAGTGAATTTACCAAGAAACCTCCCTACCGCACTGCCCGTAGGGACAAGATTATTCCCCTCCCGAAGGGCAGGATACAGACCTCTAGCAAGGCCGGATCGACTTCTTCTACTGCGTCTTCCCCTTCGCGCGTTCTTGAGCCTCAGGCCTGGAAGCCCTTCAAGCTCGTGCGAAAGACGCTCGTTTCGGCCGGCGTCTACAGACTCGTCTTTGCCCTGCCGCACTTCGAGGATGTCCTCGGCCTCCCCACGGGCCAACACATTGCCCTCCGCGCCACCATCAACGGACAAAACGTCGCTCGTTCCTACACGCCCATCTCCAACAACAGCGACCTCGGTCGAATCGAGCTCCTCATCAGGGTCTATGACAAGGGCCTCATGACCAAGCACCTCGAGGGCATGCAGATCGGCGAGACCATCGACATCCGCGGGCCCAAGGGCTCGATGCAGTACAGCGACAAGTACGCCAAACACATTGGCATGATCGCGGGAGGCACGGGTATCACGCCCATGTACCAGCTTATCCGGACCATCTGCGCCGACGAGTCGGACGACACCAAGATTACCCTGCTCTACGCGAACAATACCGAGGATAGCATCCTCATGAGGGACGAGCTTGATGGCTTCGCGCTTCAGTGTCCCGAGAAGTTCCAGGTGCATTATGTCCTTGCCAAGGCGCCTGAGGGCTGGAAGGGAGCTACGGGGTTCGTTACGGCGGATTTGATTAAGAAGCATCTTCACAAGGCGGATAACGATACCAGGGTTCTTCTTTGTGGACCGCCGCCGATGATTGAGGCGACGAAGAAGAACTTGGCTTCGCTTGGGTTCAAGCTACCTGGAGCGATGTCCAAGATGACGGATCAAATTTTCTTGTTCTAAGGGAGGGGACGTCGTCTTGATACATGCAAAACGAAAAGAAAGCGGGGAGTGGAGTCTGTCGAGAGAGGGAAGGTGGATCTGGGAGCCAGCCTCCATGTACATATTTGGTATAATAAATGTAGCTAAAATAGATCAAGATTTATTATTTTAAGGACTACACTAGCACTAGCCATCGCGGTGAAGATTGACACGATACGCACTAGACTAGCGACCCAGAGATAGCCAGATTCTAGAACATTGAGTCTTCGGTAATGTTAAAGCATAAACTATGGACCCCTTGTCCTCTTGGACGCGTCACTCAAATCCCTCTTATCTCTATTCGTTATTCTTATACGCCTTAGCTAGTGGGACCTGGGGTCCATCCGTGATATCGGTTCCTTGTCTGCCGAAAGTAGAGCGAACTTTGTTAATTGCACATCGTGGCTGTGATGCGCGTATTTCTTCCTCACTTTTCATGCATCGTGAATCTAGGCCCTATCCGAAGTTTCCGCGAGTGCGAGGCTTTACTCGAGCCATGCGCGTCTAGGATACAGGTCGCAGCAAAGAACTTTTAAACTGCCGAATTATCCGTTCTATCCTGTTTCAAGGAGTTTGGAGCTACCGAGGCAGATAACACACCGGCGATCTCTCCCGTCTCAACAATAATACGCACCGCGGTTCAAAGGCAGACGAACGCCAGTAGGCTTCGATTCCGCAAACTCCACCAAAACGTCCTCCCTCACCTTCTGCGCCTCGGCAGGATCGGTTGTCAGACCGAGACGCAGAAACAAATCCACCTGGTCTCGGGTCCACATCCTGCAGCCCCGTCCAGTCTCGTCAAACTCGTATTTATGCCGTCCCGCGTTCGTAATAGCGTCTATGAACTGGCCAACGACTAACCCTGGTGCCACTGAAAGGGTGTCGACATGCTGGGCGTCGCTCGGTCGGTCCTCGTGCAGCTCGGAGATGACAACGTTGGCTTTTGAGCCTCCGAGAATGGTGGGTCCTGGAATTCCGCTGGGGTTCGGGTCGATGCGAACGGTTCGCATGGGTCCAGCGGATAGGTAGAGACACCAGTGGTTGCCTCCCGGACCCTCGGCAATCGGTGGGTGAGCCACGGCGAGGATCCTGTGGACGGGGAAGCTGCGGATGTTCTCCTCGCTTTTGGAGGGGACAAACACAATGGGTTTGAAAGGTGGTGCGGAGGGCATTGTCCAACCTTGTGGCTGGCAGCTTGTCATTTTTTCCTTGTTGCCCACAAAAATGTTCGAGTATTGAGAGAGTGAGTGCGAGGGAGTTTCGGAGTAGAGACCCAACCTCTCAATGGGGGCCATAGAGGACTCTGGCCCCGACTGCGGATCCCGTTTCTACCGGGGCTCGAAAAACATCGTGATCCTCGATTTGTTGATGGACACAACCGATTACAAACAAATCCTTGATGTAAATGGAATGGACGGATTTCGACGGAGACAAAAGTCAATTGATGCTTTGACTCTTGTTCTTGGGGGGTGTTGTTGCTGGCTGCCTAAGGCGGGAATAAGTCGCTGTTATCTTGTTTCCTTACGAAGGGCAAAGTATTTTCATAACTTGATGAGTAATCAGGAAGATCTCTTGTTGACATCCTTTGCCCTTTGACATCTCAGAGAACCCCACAACTGGAATAAGAAAAGACAAGGAAGGATTCACTGATCACAGCTAGATTAAACCTCAAGGAAGGGGCGATAAAGCCAGTCTTACTGATTGTATTCCCATTTCCTAGAAATCTAAGTTAAGTTTCATACTCCAGTGATTTCCAGCCGATTAGGGCATACATAATTTGCCGAACAATACGATTTCCTTCTACTGACCAAGCTCGAACTCTTTCCATTCACCATCTCTCATTCTCATCAGTCTTTATCACAAAACATCCTCCAATCAACCCTCAATTTTCCAGGATTTCTTTCTGCTTCTTTCCAACGGCTACTAGTCCTACAATTATTCAATTGCCTGAAAGACAAGGCCATCAACATTTCTCAACGAAATCATTTATCAATTAATCACCAGGCAAGCCTGTGTCAAGTTACTGAATGGTCTAGAGTAGCCTGTTTGTTGGACTGTCCTTCGTCTTTTGGCTCATCGGATCACGGTAACCCTGACTCCGGCCTCCGGCCCGGCCCCGCCACTTCATACAATCGGGTCTGGTGCGTCATCGTCACTGAGCATGTCCCCGGATGACACGTTGTCTCGGACGGGTCCAAAAAGAGACCGTCCTTCAAACGTTCGTATCTTCGCCCCGAGGGCTGGGTACGAACTCGGGTTCCCGCCCTCGGTAAGGCTGCTACATTTGCATTTTCTCAACTCGGGAATGGGCCGGCTATTCTCAACCAAAATCGCCACCCGCTCCAATTTCCAGTCCCTATAGCGATTTTCTCGTGCTTCCCAGTAGTGGAAGACCTGGTATAGCCTACAAGGAGGTGATAGGCACACGCGCCGACAGGATTAACCGCCCTGGCAAGGACTCGGGTCCTTACCATATATAGATCTCTATCTATGTTGGTTTACCTGATCTTGGTGGGTTGTGTCCACCGGGCGACTCCTCGTCAAGACCTGGAAGGGTTCCAGATATGAACTCGCATTCGTACGCTGGTAGCGCCTCCGGAGGAGAGCCTAGTTGATCAAGCAATTATTCAGAGGACGGACAGGGAGTGCGGATTCATTGACCCTCCGAAGAGCCTGGTTGATCGGACAATTATTCCGAGGACCGGCGTGTACAATCAAGACCCGGTCGAAAGGCAGTGCGGATTCCTTAACCGTCCGAAGAGCCTGGACCGCGGGTCTAGCTTTCGGTGCCAAGGACGGCCGGTGCTGGGTGTTACGTTTGACTCACTTACAGCTGAGCTATATGACAACAAAAAGATGCTCCAAGTGTCGCGACCAGCGTCACTTGACTGTAAGTAGTCTTATATAGCCACTGCACCAGCTGTCCTTACACTGGGTAGTAGCCCTTCCACCCATCGGTAAGCATTGCCTTTTCTTTTCTCCCTCTCCTCCTGTTTCTTTGATTCTAATCTTTCCAGCAGTGGAGGATTCTAGGAGATCAGCATACTTTCGATTTTTCCAGTGACCCATAAACCAAGAGACAAGCGACAGGAGATCACAGGGCGGCAACTAGTGAAAGCTCGGCCATCGCTTCGCTTTGCCACCTTTGTCGAAAACATGCGGGGCAGGAAGAGCATGAAGAGCACGAAGAGTACAAGGACACGGGAGCAATTTACCGAGTCATCGAAGCTCCCCTCCCAGGCTTTGCCACTAAGTACGGCAAAGATCAATTCTGCTTGATCGTCATGCAGAAGATAAAGGGACGTCGTCTCGATCAGGCCTGGATCGACCTGTGCCTGGAGGAGTGCGAAGAGATCGCTCAGGAAGTCGTACACGTTATTCTAAAGCTCCAAGCTGCCTCGATGAACCACCGGCCGGTGGGCCCGGTTGGCGCTGGCCCGTACGAGATGCATTACGGCCTGTTCTTTCCCATGGAAGGCGGCGGTCCTTTCGTCAACGAACAGCCTGTCGCGGACGACTTCAACGAGCGACTCGTTATGTGCATCGAGCGTAAGGTATTGCTCGAGGACACTCCCTTTCTCAGAGCATATGATTTGGTCCTGACGCATCGCAATCTCGCAACTTGGACCATTTTCTTGGAAAATGGCACCCACCAGGTCTATTTCACGGGTTGGGAGAACGCCGGTTTTTATCCCGCCGGTCTGGATCTCGCGGTGCTCAGCCGCCAACCCATTGGAGCGTGGGACGTGCAGTTCGCCGAGATGGTGCTAGGAAAGTTTCCCGAGGACAAACGCGAGGCATACGACCAGTTGGAGATGTTTGACAAAGCTGAGTTCGAGATGGGACTTCTCCCCGAACGATCCATGCACGGGAGGTGGGTTGAGGACCCGTGCGAACAGGAATTTTAATCACCACGAATGGGATCATCGCGTCATCCCTGACCGACGAGACGCCGCAATCGAATGAATAATCCTGGCGCAAGACAGCCAACGAAGCGTTTTATGTTCACGGGGAAAGAAAATCATCAAAAATGAAAGAAAAAAAGATGAAAACTACAAATATCCGGGAAAAAAAAAAAGACGAGATACTTATTCCACTTAAGCACAACGACTTCGATCTCCTTTAAGCGGCCCGCGCAACAGAGCTCGGAACGATATGCCCCATAGCCCATCAACGCCTAACGATAGAGGAATTGGGGAAAGAACCTGGGTAAAGTTGTCATAGCATTAGGACGGTAACGACCGATATGAAAGCCAAAACACGCAGTGTCGATACCAGGCAAATTGATTTTTCCCAAAATTCTGTAAAGCGGTTCGTTTGCAGGTCGTGATGTGTTGTGAAATGCGCACCTTCCAAGTTTCCAAGACGTGCCGTCGTTCTGATCATGTCAGCCTCAGTAGGCATCGCGACCCAGAAAGAGCGAGACGTGTTGGCGGTGATGGGCGTTGCCATAGGCCAGGCACAGGCAACATGGGCAACACGGGCAACATGGGCAACACGGGCAACATGGGCAACACGGGCAACACGGGAATGGCGATGGACGGCGACCACGCTCTGGCCGCGTGGCATAAGTTCCAGTGTGCCTTATCCTTCGTATCTTGGCTTACCATGTGCCATGGACTCCATCTCTCGATAGAGAACTAGTGTGAAGATAGGCACATCTCGGAATTGCTCACTATGCTCCAAGTCTACCCCCACCGAAGACGCCTTCTCCTACGTCGATGACGTCCTGCATGGGGACCTCAGACTCCAATCCTAGTTAACTTTGTGCCAATGAATCCACTGAGATCTACCACGGCCGAAAATTCTGCAGCCGTTGCCGAGACCAAACCAATCCCGGCATAACCGGCAGATTAGGAATTCAAGGTTACAGAGATAAGGCCCTCTTGCGGGAAATATTCTACACTAAAAAGTTCCAAAAAGCTTAATTCGATGAGTGAAACCAAGGTTAATGCCGGCCCGAAGCGCGTTGTAACCCCCTGACGAGGCAGTTGTTGTCTAGTCCGGCTGGTCCGCGAGGAGGCGCCGAAAAAAGACCCCGGCCGAAGTTCGGGCGGGATATCTCCGATCGAGGATTTCCAATTCAAGCTTTTCCCTGCAGCAACCGCAGCCCCACGTCACCGTCTTCAACCCCGGCCCGGAGTTGTCACGGCGTCTTGGTATTTTCGGGGGTTGTAAATTGGCTCAATTCTTGCTAGATATGGCCTACTTAAGTAGGGGAAGCCTCCGGACAGGCTGAGAAATTTGATATCAGAGAATGTTCGAAAAGTAATTCCTATCCATCAATCTCTCTGACCTTGCTCCCTCTCATTAGAAACGCTCTGTTCATTCTTCCTCATTACATCCCTTTTCCCATAACTTGTATATTATTCCACAAATTCAGACATGAGTTGGCAACGCCCTGAAATTGGCTCCAGGCCCATCCTGGTCCTCGGCGCCGGCGTTCTCGGCCGTCGCATCGCATGCAGCTTCGCAGCAGCTGGCTACAACGTCCACATATATGACCTGTCCCCCGAATGTCGACAGGCCGGCCTCGACTACGTCGAGGGCCATAAAGAAGAATTCAACGACGTGCTGCTGAAGACGCGTCGCTCCCATGGCTCCTGCACGGCGTTCGACTCCCTCAATGAGGCTGTCAAGAACGCCTGGCTCGTCATCGAGGCCATCCCCGAAAAGCTGCCGCTCAAGATTGATATATACGGCCAGTTGGATGGCATTGCGCCCGCTGATTGCATTTTCGGATCGAATAGTTCTTCGTTCAAGTCATCGCTGATGGTGGAAAAAGTTTCTGACGACCGTCGGGCGCTCGTCTGCAATGTCCATTACACTATGCCACCGGAGGTTGCTACCGTTGAGCTCATGACTGATGGATATACTCATCCTGAAGTCTTTCCGTTCTTGACGGAAGTGCTGAAGTCGTGCGGTATGCTTCCCGTCACTGCTAAGAAGGAATCTACCGGGTAAGCCTTCCCTTCTTCTTCTAACTAATTTTTTTCTCTTCTTATCAATTTATTTCGATGATAATTCGAGACTAACCCGGTACAGCTTCATCTTCAACCGTTTGTGGGCAGCAATCAAGCGAGAAATTCTTACAATCCTCGCCGAAGGCGTGAGCGACCCCAGCCAAATCGATCTCCTATGGAAGTACATGTTCAAGGCCCAAATCCTCCCCTGCCAGCTCATGGACCAAATCGGTCTAGACACCGTCGCCTTCATCGAGGACAACTACATCCAAGAGCGCAAGCTCGACGGAACCCTCACCGTCGACTGGCTCAGGGAAAATTACCTTTCGCAGGGACGAACGGGCGACAAGAGCGGCAAGGGCGGCCTCTACCCACCACCCTCTACGGCGAATGGCTGCAATGGATCATCCGCGAAGGGGTCCCTTTACGTCCTTGACGTTGGTCTTGGCGCTAACCTCAAAAATATCGACGAGGTAGCCACGAATGGCAAGATCCTTCGCGTAGATCCCCGGACTGGCAAAGCATCCCCCATTCTCACCGGCCTGCCCATGCCCGACGGCATCGATGTGTCCGAGTCCGAGGGACGAATCTTCTGGACAAACATGGGCCCCTCTACATCCGGCCGCGACGGCTCCGTCATGTCGAGCAAACTTGATGGCAGCGACGTAAAGACCCTCGTCCCATCGGGAGATATCTACACCCCCAAGCAGCTCGTGGTTGCAGAGAAGAGCCGCAAGGTCTATTTCTGTGATCGCGAGGGCATGACTGTCAACCGCTGCGACTTCAATGGTCAAAACCACGAGATTCTCGTACGGCGCTCGGCAAAAACTGGAGATGTCGATATGACGCAATGGTGCGTGGGTATTTCCGTCGACGAGGACGCCGGCAAGATTTACTGGACGCAAAAGGGACCGAGCAAGGCCTCCAAGGGTCGCATCTTCCGCGCCAACATCGAGATTCCCAAGGGTGAGACTGCGGACTCGCGATCTGATATCGAGACGCTGTTCGAGAACCTGCCCGAGCCGATTGACTTGGAAATTGACCCGGCTACCAAGGTGCTCTACTGGACGGATCGTGGAGAGCATCCTAGGGGAAGTTCGCTGAACCGGGCGTCTGTCGGTGGAGAGGGTGTTAAGAGGGCGGCGCCTGAGATTCTAGCTAGGCACTTCCATGAACCCATTGGTCTCAGGCTCGACCGCGATAATGGCCGGGTGTTTGTGACGGACTTGGGCGGTCGCGTGTACGCGGTTGACGAGGATACCAAGGAGAAGAAGGTTGTCTACAAGGATCATGGCAGTTATACAGGAATCACGGTGGTGTAAGATACATCGCATATAGACAGACCTATAGAGTTCTTTTGGGGTTTAGATTGGGCACATCTTTAGAGGTAGGGCGTTGATGATTACTTCGTAGAATATGAATAGACAAATTCATGCAAGAAATATGGTATTTCAGGGGCTGGTAATGTTGTTCCGTCTTACTCTGCGCTTTATGGGTGCAGTAATTCTTATTGGACGATGGCATCTGATAGAACTGTGGCTAAGCTTCCAACGGCTGCCATTTATAGTAAGGTTAAACTTGGTCTGTGATCCAGCGTCGCATTGCGCGATTCAAGGAAGCACGAGCACGAGCCGGATAAGGATTTCGCCCGGCACAACACCAGTATTTAACGTATTTGACCCTACCAGCCCCCCCGACGAAATTTCACGATGCCAAAACGCATTATCTCGCCCAGGACCAAGATGCAGGCGCCAACTCTGCGCGCTGTTCTCGTAGCAGCCGCTTTCTTCTTTTCTATACAGACCGTCGGAGCGAGACGAGGAGGCGGCAGCAGCGGTGGGAGCGACAGTGGGGGTGATAGCGGCGACGATAATGATTCCGGTTCCGGCTCCAGCGGTGGAGGCAGCAGCACGCCCTGCGTCAACAGCGGTATCCCATTACTGACCAATCTCGATATCACACGATTCGACAACTACACGTCCGACCCCGCATTCGGCGGCGCGTATTTCCTCGGCGAAGCATCCGTTAATTATACCGTCCAGAAAGAGGATGACGATGACTGCACGCCCGTCGTGGGAGCCAAGTTTCCCAACAGACTTCTCGCCGCGGCTTTCATCGCGCCGCAGTCGCCGTGGCCCCAGGGCGCGAGTAATCCTATCGTGCTCGGATTCAAAGGATGGCCGACGGACGCGGCGGTGGAGGACATCATGACGTCGTATGATCGGTGCGACGCGAGTCCCGATATGGTTTTCTTTCGGACTACCTCTTGGTTTTCCTATACCTACCCGAATAACGAGCTGAGGGGGGTTCGCGATTCGGTGCCGTTGGCGTTGTCGGCCAGCGGCGATTCGTCGAAGGTGGATTTTACTGGGACGTACGTCGGCGGACCGCAGAATAGATGGAATAATATCTCGCTGGCGCAGTGGACGCAGGATAGGTTCTCGCCTCCCGAGGGGCTCTGCAGGGGTTACACGATTCTCGATGAGTCGATTCCGGTTGGGACTGTTGTGAACGGGTCGATTAGCGCTGGCGAGGTCACTCTCACTGCCAAGGGGGTTATGGAGGGTGCAATCTTTGGGGTTAATGTCAGTTTTGTGGTGGACTTTAGGGGCACGTTTGCCCCTGCGAATTCGACGCAGGCGGTCCGGGTCTCTCAGGGCGGGGATTCGATTGTTTCGTTTGAGGTGATTAACGGGAAGGAGAATGGTAATGGTCAGGGGAGGCTTACTGCTTTGGGGCCAACGGCGATGATTCCTCTTTTGGTGGCGGCGGTCCTTACGCCTGGGTATGTATGATAAAACGGATTGATAGTTTACAAAATGGTGATACCCTTGGTTGAACCTTGGGCTTTCGTCAGCCTCAACGCCTTCACCAGTTTGCGCCATGTTTTTGACTCACCACGGGACGCCTTTTCCATACAGATTCGACTCGAAGCGGGAGACACGAGTGTAGGAAACTGCCTCCTAAAGATGAGCCTCCGCGATAGCTTGGACTCGTCGTCTTCTGGGCTACTTCTTGAGAAAGAAAGAAATCTCATCCGTGGCGAGACCATGGCTTTGACATCTGCCACTGGGCTCGACCACTTCCTCCGGTCCTAGCTCCAGTAATTCTGGCGAGCAACTCTTACCGAGGACGCCCAGAATACGGCACAGGAAACCCCAATGGCACGGAAATGGGAAAGCTGCGTGATCCGTGGGCTAAGGACGAGTTCATCAGTGTTACAGCTCAAAGTCACAGTCCGACCACTGCGACAAAAGGACATGCCTGGCTGGAAGGTTCCTGGCCAGACTGTTTCGGACCCTATAAAGACAGGTAAACCGTAACAGCAGTTTTCTCTTTACTATACTCCGGTAGAGACAGCCGTTAACAGAAAGCGGTGTAAAAAAAAAAAAAAAAAAAATATAGAGAGTATATAAAAGGGCAGTAGTAGAAGGGAATAAAGGAAGAAAGAAAGTCCTCCGATGACCGAAGCAGATAGAAGGTTTAAGGGGGGAGTGGTAGAATGACCGAGTCTATAAAGTTACTCCCTTGCACCTTTTTCTTTAGCTAGCATAGCTAAGAACCCGCCTTAGCTAAAAAAGTCGGATTTTTTAGTTTCTTAGAATTGTTTTATTATAGGCTTGACTTGGAGACGTAGCGATGTCGGCGCTCTCTGTGATCGAGTCCCTCTGACTCTACTTCGGAATATCCCGAGCCGAGTTGTCTCACCAGGAGCAAGAGCAGAGAGCATAAAACAAGTAGCTAATGATTTCACTGGTGACAGATGGACATCTATGGCAAGAAGTGGACTCCTGAGAATGTAGCGGGAAAGATTTCTATACTTGTCAAAAGACGTCTAAGGCACTGGTTTCTATGATGTAGCTAAACGCCCTTGTACTCTATGTGAAATTGTAGGCGATTTAATGGACTCCTGATACTTCTCCGTTACTTGCCACTGCCTCGGCTTTATATGTTTCAGCTCCAGCTCTTAGAATCATCTGGAACAATTCGATATCCTTCCTCGCGTCTGTCGCGCTCGTCTTCGGCGTCCTGTTGTTGATAATGCAACTGTACAATTCGAGGAATTGTAGAGTGTAGGCATCCTCGTACGTCTTTCTGATCGTCCTCTCTTGCCACACTGCCTCGCCTACCCTCTCCCGGACAGTCATGGTAATAGGCAAACCCTTGATATATGGAGTATCGTAGTTCACCCGAATTATCTTATCCTGAGAATACACTTCGATGTGGGCGTCGAACTCCGGAACCGAATGGAGGCCAGACTCGTACGCCACCGGGAACCCGCCGTATTGGAAGAGGACGCTAAAGATCCCGGGGAAGGTGAGGACAGCGCCAGCAACCGATTGAGGCATTCCAACAATCTCACGCATCGCCGATAAATCGTGGGTACCGAGGCTATAACCCCCACCATTAGCAACCGCCCAAATCATCAGTCTCCCCGCGAGCACACCACTTACCCGCCAAGTAATCTTAACATCCAGCGTGACTTAGGAGTCACGGGTACCCCAAACTCGGTCCCGAGAGCCTGCTCCTCTATATCCGTATCCCGCCTTAGAAGCTCCCGTATATCCTCGTCGGTGAAATCGCTAAACCTTACAGGATACGTGGCGGACTGAGAGACGGAATTGGCATTTGGTCCGACGATGTCTCGGATACGGGCGTATAGGATTTTCTCGAAGCCACCGACCTCCTCGAGAGCATCGAGAAAAGCAGCCGCGTAGCGACGCATTGTCCCGACGAACACATTCCCCTCGGAGGCCTTCTCCGCCTCGATGATGCGGTCCACGTCCCGGAAGTTGAGGGCGAGAGGCTTCTCTATGAAGCAGTGCCTGTCATGCTTGAGGGCGAGGAGTCCATGCTCGACGTGATACGCGTTTGCGTTGCAAACGAGGACAACGTCGACATCAGGCGAAGAGCAGAGTTCTTCCGGGTCGGTGGTGGTGGACGGGGCTGCTCCGGGGATCTTTTTGGCGCAGTGCTCGAGGGCCTGGAGGGAGATATCGCAGAGGAAGGTGATCCTGTAGCAGTGAGAGAGGAAGTTAAGGGTGGGGATATGAATCACTTGCGCGACTTCTCCACAGCCTATGATGCCGACTCGAAGGATGCGAGGCTTCGAGCTAGCACTCACACCGTTAGACGGAATTCTCGGCATGGTGAATTCTTAGCTGAAGCCTCGAGCGGTTCGACTAGCACCGAGCAGATACAGATTATCATTCACGGGCAAAGTCCGGCACACCGAAGCCCCCTTTATATAAGGACTCGATCGGATAAGCTGTGTTCTGTACGAAGCAAGTATTAAGGCTATGGGATTCTCCACTACCAAAGGATGCTCGCATTAGGGGGGAGAGGGGATGCTCATGGGACATGGAACTTGGCGGGGAGTATCGGAGTGGAGCTGCGAGCCAATAAATGCCCCAGCTCCCACGGAACTAGTGTCTTGGGCCAGGAAGACAAGCTGAACTCTGTGTCGTGGGATTGGGGTAACAATTGGACATTACGCCTCGCCACACGGACGAAGAGCCGAAATCTGCGCCCATTGTAAAGGGGCATTGCCATCGCTGGCATGGGATGGATGCCGGATATCTCGCTGGAGTCCCCGGCGTAGCGTGGCGCCGTGCTGCGAGGGCATCAACCGGATCACTGGACGTAATACTTGTAACCTTAAGCAAACCAGTTGAAGTGCAGCGAGCTCATTACCGAGACCGTGGAATTGGTTGGTACTTTCTGGCTAAATTGGCAAACTTACGTCGGGGAGTATCGGGTCGTTTCTAAGGGGGGGATGGTGATGAAAGTTTAACCAGGTCAGCATGAGGCGGCATTATTTGATTGATCCGACCCACTAACCTTTGCCCTGGCTTGGTCTGGCCACCGGGGATGCGCAATAAACACAATAATTTGATGGACCTTCGAAGAAGACAATCTCCTCCCACGACAGGAGCCACGACTCTGCCAGAAATATAGGATCCACTCACGGGGCTTTGTAGGGACAGTTTGCTGTCTGGTCTTTTCTTCTTCCATTTTTTGTTATAATTTCCTATATAACTATAAATTTTACGAGCCCCATAGTCCATTTTGTCTCATAGCAGTTAGTTACAGCCAACACTTTGGCAAAGCGCTATCTTCTGTCTATCACCTCAACTGCTTCACCAGACACATTATTACAACCACCATCACCATCACCAAAACCATGTCTGAGAAGCCCACAATTCGCTGGGGTATCATCGGAACGGGCTTGATATCCTCCTGGTTTGCCGCAGATCTTTCCATCCCCCGACCCGATGCCGAGGCAAACCACATAATCCAAGCAATCGGCTCCTCATCCCACGAGAAGGGGAAGAAATTCGTCGAGACACATATTCCCGGCACGTCCCCCGCTATTGGCACCTACGAGCAAGTCTACGCCGACCCCAATGTCGACATCGTGTATATCGGCACACCGCACGCCTTTCACCATCAGAATTGCTTGGACGCGATTAGGCACGGAAAGCATATTCTCTGCGAGAAAGCCTTTACGTTGAATGTCGCCGAGGCTAGTGAGGTTTTCGAAGCAGCTGTTAAGAAGGGTGTGTTTGTGATGGAAGCGATGTGGACCCGATTCTTCCCTCTTACCAAGAGCCTTCAGAAACTACTCCGCAAGGATAAGGTCATCGGGGACGTAAACGAGTCTTTTGCGACTTCGGGATGAAGCAGGATACCTCCGCGCTCCCGGCTGACTCGAGATTGAAGAATCCAGCTCTCGGGGCCGGAAGCCTCCTCGACATCGGCATCTACAGCGTAACGTGGGGTCTTATCGGCCTTGGTCAGCAGACCGAGAAGCCCAAAATTGCTGCGTGGCAACATCTTATTGACGGGGTCGACATCGCCTCATCTATGATTCTGTCATTTCCCCAAGGCCAGCAGGGGATTCTCACCTCCACGACCTTCACGAAGACGCCCAGTTCCTTCTGCAGAATCGAAGGGACGAGGGGCGCGGTCGTCGTCGAAGGTTTCGTAACTTCCCTGCCCCAGTCTTTCACCGTCTACTTGGATGGCGATGAGGAGCCGAAGAAGCATGAGTTCAAGCAGCCCGGGAAGGGATTCTACTGGGAAGCGGATGCTGTGGCGGTGGATATCGCCGCGGGCCGGAATCAGAACGAGGTGATGCCTTGCGCGGAGACGATTAGGGTCCTGGAGATATTAGATGAGGTGAGGAGACAGGGAGGGGCGAGGATTCCTCAAGAAGCGTGAGGCCATGCGTAGGAATACGTGACGAGCAAGGGAGCATGTTTAAGAGTAGTGAGCCGGGCGCTAGCACTCCTGGTATTCGTGTAAAGCCCATTTTCGGTGTCCCCGGTCAAAAGTCTGAACGAAGGCAGGAATAGGCAACGAATAGCCATGTAGATTAAAGCACATTGGGCTTCCCCCTCCATTCGGAATTCCCGTATTGTGTCTCTTTGACAGCTCTTGAAGAGAGGCACCGTCCTTGTGTTTCTAACTATCGAGGCTCTCTCACCAAAGCGCGAGCTCAACAGGGCACGATAGCTCGTCGAGAAGTCAAGCAGGTTGCAGAGGTGTTCATGCCTTGGGGAGACAGTGTGAGTCCATCCCTACGATGCCCAGCCACCATTTATGGGAGATGGGACTATCGTCCTTGCTAAACATATTTCTAGACAACTTGTCGGGGTTGAAAGCATGGCACCGATTCTTGCAGCACAGGCAGGACCTCTAGTATAGGAGGCTAAAGAAACTTTGAAGGAACACATTTCTGGGTTATTTGCTCGCAATCTTGGTACCAGGATCAGCGCGATGGATCAGATCATTTGCCGACCGGGCTGGCGAGGTGAGTATCTGAAGTCTAGTCTGCCCTTGCTCGAGCTCCGTGATGAAATGCCGGTGATGTGACCTACCAGTGCACTTCTGACTATTGGATCGAGGATGGCGGGGGAAGACTGGTTTAGATGAGGATGGCGGCACCAGAATGCGAGATTGGATTCCTTCCTGCTCATTGTTCATTGCTCGGTTTAACGAGCTCGGGGCTCTCGGGCCTGGCCAATAACGCCAGCTCCCGCCACTCCCCGATCAACTATGTAACCCTAATTGGGCCGAATGGAGAGCCATGCATTTCGCCTCCCGCCAGGACCTTGCGTGCACTAAACCACTATTACTCCACAGGATCGTGTCTACATGCGTCACCAAAATCCCCCTTCCCCATAGAGTAGATTCCCCATGGGGTAGACAAACCCGGGGCTGGCTGAGCGACAGATTCGGCCATTAAATATCCAAGATTCCCTTTCGATCCGCTCCGAAATCACCATAACTGCTTCCGCGCCTCATCTTATTGACGAACGTTTCCAGCGGTTTCTAGGACACGGCAGTACTTCCATTGAATCACGAAGCGATGGGTCTATTCGGGAAGAAGGAGGCTGAGTTGGCCGTCGGCCAAGGACTCGTAACAGTACGTCTGACCTACGTCCTAGTTTCATTCGAGCTTCCACAGGGAGGTGACACTGGCTGACAAGACACTCAGGTCCTCCCACCCAACCCGAAATCATGGTATCGCACGCCGCACCTCATCAAGCTGAACCTGGTGCTACTGGTCCCTCTATTCTCTTCCGCGTCGGTGGGCTACGACGGTACGCATTCTAAGGCCTTCAAATTTACTTATCTCGTGACTCTAACGAAAAGGCCACCCAGGTTCGATGATGAACGGCCTCCAAACTCCCCCAATGGCGAAATTACTTCGACAAACCTGAGGGGGCCATCCTTGGCCTAATGAATGCTGTGTACCCTCTCGGCAAGGTTGTTGCCCTCTTTATAGTCACCTATCTCTGTGATAGATATGGGCGCAAGTTTCCCTTGTACATCGGCTTTGCCGGCGCCATCGGGTTCGCCATACTCCAGGGATTGTCCAACAACGTGGCTATGTTTGTCAGTGCGAGGGCTTTTCTAGGATTTTTTGCAAGCCTTATAAGCCAACCATGCCCCATCATCATCACGGAGCTTGCGTATCCTACCCACAGAGGCAAATTCACGGCCTTGTACCAGACATGCTACGTACGCAGTTCCATTCCCAAACCGTCAGACGGTGAAACCCTCGATTGGACACTTACACTGGCCTTATAGTATTTCGGCGCCATATTCGCCGCTTGGTGCACCTACGGCACGTTTAGGCTCGACTCGACATGGAGCTGGAGGATTCCATCTATATTGCAGTGTGGCATCCCCGTGATTCAAGCCTGCGGTCTTTACTTCCTCCCGGAATCCCCCAGGTATGTGCATCCCACGCCTTTGCAGTAGCCCGCTCATCGCACTGGTAGTCTCTGACGTAGTGTTTCAGGTGGCTCGCTTCCCGGGGCCGTAGGGAAGAGGCTCGACAGATCCTCGCAGACTGGCACGCAGGCGGCGACCTCGACTCGCCGCTCGTCGCGTTCGAGCTCAATGAGATTGAAGCTGCCATCCAGGAAGAATGCGAAGTCCTTTCGCAAGTCTCCTGGCTCGAGCTCTTCCGCACGCCCGCCAACCGCAAGCGCACCCTCATCGCCGTCCTCGTCGGCTGGTTCGCACAGTGGAACGGCGTCGGGGTCATCAGCTATTACCTCACGCTCGTGCTCAACACCGTCGGCATCACTGAGGTGAAGGACCAGACACTTATCAACGGCCTGCTCCAAATCTTCAACTGGCTCGCCTCGGTGTTTGCGGGCGCCATGATGGTTGACCGGCTCGGCCGTCGGACGCTCTTCCTCGCGTCTTCGGTGGGCATGCTAGCCGGCTACATCGTCTGGACGGGCCTCACTTCCAGTTTCGTGAGCACGAAGAGCGAGTCCACGGGTCGCGCTGTTGTCGCCCTCATCTTCATATACTACTTCTTCTACGACATTGCCTTTTCGCCATTGCTGCAGGCATATACCGTCGAGATCTTCCCTTACACCCTCCGTTCGCGCGGCCTCTCCGCGATGTACATTACTACCTTCATCGGCCTCATTGTCGGAAACCAGGTGAATCCCATCGCTATGAAAGCCATTGGGTGGAAGTACTACATTGTCTTCTGCTGCCTTTTGGCCGTCCTGGTAGTTATTGTTTGGTTCCTATTCCCTGAGACTAAGGGCCACACACTCGAGGAGATTCGGGAAGTGTTTGAGGGGAAATTGAATGCCTCACAGGACAAGCTAGGTAGTGCTGAGACGGGGGAGGCGAATGAGAAGGGGCATGAGGAGGCGGATGAGAAGGAGGCTAGAATTGAGAAGATTGAGTGATAGGAGCACCTCTTTTCCGACAGATCCCTGTCAGAGTATGACCCACAGGAGAGGAGGCAATCAGATCGGCACGCTTATGTATGCTCCAGTGGTGTTTTAATATTTATTGGTGTTGTAATATGCCCCTAATCTGGTCATCTTCTTGGCCTGGCCTGGTCTCGAGCTCATATCACATCTTTCAGTGTCTGCTTAGCCTGGGCTAGGCTTGGCTTAGCTTCAGCTAGCTCCAGAATCTCGTTAAATCTTACTAATTTGACCGAGAACCAAAAATGCGATCCTTATTCAATGGGAAAGAAGCCCAGAAATTGGGCACCACGGCTGCACAGTTATGCTGGATATCCCAAATCGAATACGAGGGCATGGGTCCCTGGAGATCGAACAGCCACAGGGCGCTTCGCCCCTATTTCGGCTTAGGGACCTCTTTTGTTAGGGGGAGGTATGATTGGGCAGTGAAATAATGCAAGTCAACCCCATGCAAGCCATTTTACGCTTTATTTACAGAAGTTTATGATACCTTTCTCAAGGCAGAGTGTAGGTAGAGAGTGCTCTATCCTCCATATCCACGTCGTCATCTAAAGCTACTAGTGGATACTATACTAGCATCCGTGACTCGATTCTTGATTCACTCCTTTGTATTATAGAAAGTGGACGAATTGAATGTAGCCAAGTACGAAGTCCGCTTCTGACATTGCTTCCAGATTTGGGGAGGAAGTGGCAGCACCAGACCCGGCGTTTTGCTCAAGTTACAGAAAATTTACAGAAAAGATAGGAGCTGCCACACGGCACTACTTTTTACTACTGCATAGGCACTCACGAGTCACGAAACAGACCAACGCTGCCGCGTCTCGGCATCAAATATTCACTTCTATTTCCCTCCAATAGTGAAACCAGCTTTCCGACGACACTTACGGGGCATATACAATCTCCCTTTCCACCTGGACAGACACTACCTGTGCAATATCCGCCGCAGACTTTCCAAGCGAGATATCGTACTTACCGGCCTCCACAACCCAAGCATGTCGCGCCTCATCAAAGTAAGCAAAATCCTTGGCCTTAAACACCATTAGACCCATTTGGTCGGCACCCGCTGGCAGCCGTACTTTTTGAAAGGCAACGAGAGACTTGATGGGATGCTCTGGGCTCTGCTGGGTTTTTCCAGCATACACCTGGACCGCGACGCCACCGGCGGTATTCCCGGTGTTAGACACTTTATATGTGACTGTGAATGTGTCCTCGTAGCCCCTGGAAACCTTCATCTCCCCGAGACAAAATGACGTGTACGAAAGACCGAACCCGAACGGGAAATTAACCTTGTCCTTCGACAGGCGATCATAGTGGCGGTACCCGATAAACACCCCCTCAGCGTATGTAACCTTCCGTTGCTTGTTGCCATCATATGTCCCAGGGAAGTTCCCGTACGCGGGCGCATCTTCGATCCGGCGGGGAAAAGTGGTCGGTAGGTGACCCTCGGGATTCACAGAACCCGTCAGGACGTCTACGATGGAGTTCCCGCACTCCTGGCCTGGGAACCACGTCTGGAGCAGACCGGCGACCTGATCCAGCCATGGCATCGCGACCGCCACGCCCGTAGAGTTAACCACGATAGTGTTAGAGTTAACCGCCGCGACGGCCGATACGAGGGCATCTTGGCTTCCCTGGCGGGGGAGATGAAAGGAATCCTGGTCGCGACCCTCTGTCTCCCACTGGGGATCGTGGCCTGTGAAAACGATGGCGTAGTCCGCTTCCTGTGCAACCTTGACAGCCTCTCCCTGGAGATCTGCATCATGCTCAGAGGCAAGAGATAAGCCGAGGCGGAAACCTGTGCGCCCCTCCAGAATCTTCAGGCCGACGTTGCTTGGTGGATAACTCCTGATTCGCAGTCGATACGTCTTCCCGGCAGTGAAAGTATGCCGGATCTCCGCTTCGGTCTGTGCGTTGAAGAGCACGCCCATGGGGTCGGAGAAATTTCCTTCTTGCTTGATGACGAGTTCGTCATCGATGAAGACCTCCGTCTCGCCAAGACCAGAGCCCGCAAGACAGTGGTTCCCGGTCTCGGCAGGGCTGAAGTCCCCAACGAGCTCGAGGATCTTCTGCAGGGACTCCTGGGTTCCCAGGGGAGAATATCCCGACTTCTCGTGGCCGTGCTTGGTGGCGAGCGGCGACGTCGGGTTCGAGGGATCGTAGAACGAGAGTGTGAATCCTGGCTGGTCGTCAAGGCCGATAACGGTTCCCCGCCGATCATTCTTGCCAAGAGGCGCTAGGAGACGCTCCCTATGCGCGCCCTTCGCGTAGGTGAACTCCACGTCGTTGCCGAACGAATTCTGGAAGGCATCCCAAGGCGTTATCTTGTAGTGAGCGTTCACGGCAGCGCTGCCCCCGCCGTGGGCGAGTGCGTCCTTGGCAAATCCAATAAGTGCAACCTTTTTGGCTTTGAGCTTCGAGAGAGAGAGCGGCAGGATGTCGTTGTCGTTCTTGAGCAGCACGATACCCCTAGCTCCTGCGTCGCGAATAAGTTTCCGATGTTCTGGGCGGTCGATAGCCTTTTCTCGCATTGGGCTACCCGAGTTCTCGAATGCGTTTAGGTTCACCAAGAACCTGAGGAGCGTCCGCACTCGCTTGTCGATGTCCTCCTCTTGAACCTCTCCCCGCTTGACGGCCGCAACAACCACGTCTAGTTTCCGAACAACGGCGGGACCAGGCATCTCGAGTTCGAGGCCGGCTTTGATGCCGGCAAGCGAGTTCGTCCCGCCCCAGTCGCTCATTACCATTCCTTCCCACCCCCACTCCTCCCGAAGAACTTTCGAAAGCAACCACTCGTTCCCATCGCAATGCTCTCCATTGACCTTGTTATACGCCGACATCAGCGCCCAAGGCCCGGCTTCCTTAACCGCAATCTCAAAGGGCCTTAAATAAATCTCCCGCAGGGCCCGCTCCCCGATCGTTTCATCCACAGTCATCCTATCTGTCTCCTGCTCGTTCGCGACAAAGTGCTTAATGGTCGCGGCGACTCCAAGACTTTGCACGCCCCGGATCATGCTCGACGCGAGCTTCCCCGTGAGGAGCGGGTCCTCGCTATAGCTCTCGAAGTTTCGCCCGCCCAGAGGGTGGCGGTGGATGCATACCGTGGGAGCTAGAAGACAGCTCGCGCCCTTGCTGCGGGCCTCCTGCGCGAGGGCGAAGCCTACAGCGCGGGCGATTTCCGGGTCGAAGGAGGCGGCGATGCTGGAGGCTGCGGGGAAGCATGCTGCACTGGTGTTTCCGTCAAAATCTTCGCCACGTGTGCCATTAGGTCCATCGGTAGTCTGGGAAGGGACATGTGTAAGTTTCTCGGTGGTGCTTTTGTTGAATAGATTTGGTTGGTAAGTTATCGTACCTTGATAGATGGGATGCCCTTCTCGGGGATCGCCACGGTCTCCCAGAAGCTCCCGCCGGCGAGGAGAGAAATCTAATGACGCCTGTTAATCTTTTGATCCTTCTGGGGGGTTAAAGTGAGCTTCAACCTTTTCCTCTAGCGTTAAAGACCGCAGGATGGCCTCGGTATCTACTGTAGCTCTCATCTCGAATTCTTGATAGAAGTGTGCGTTAATATCACCCAGGAGCTCAGTGTAGGTGAACGCGATTTGTTAAGGAACCTCTGCCGAGCAGTGAAATATGAGATGATGGGAGCAATACTTGATTGACTTGACAGAGCTGGGCTACCATCACTCGGCATTCCCGTATCGGATCTCGGAAGTCGGATGCAGCGAGATCCGTCATAACCCAAGCCATGCTTCCCTGCTTCTATAAGCGGTAGTGCATAGGTCCCGGCGGAGATGGTACGATGAGTTCTAAGTACTTCCCGCCGACATCCGGCGCGGCAATAATGTTCTCACTTCCGTGCATGCCTAAGGATCTGCCGAGAGCTCAGAAAGACACCGCTAGCACACTTCAAGTTTAGGCGAGTTTTTGCGACTCCAGTAAGACGCTAATCTCCGCATTCCCCGCACCTATCCATGGAACACGGCTAGTTTCTCATCGCAAAATGAAAATTAGATCGCATCGTCGCATGGTTCGAATCGTATTTTGGACTCTTACTTGTCCAGGGGTTGGATGGCGAGTGGTACTCTTGGTCACTAGGCTAATTTATTGTTGATCGAGTCGTGGCCCGCTACTCCCCGATATAAAGATCCGCTACTCCCCGGGCATGCCGACCTTTCGTGGCGTTTTCCCTTTTCATGCAGCACCAGCCTAACGGAAGTTCGGCCGAATCAGCTGCAGGCGCCACATCATTTGAGTGCTAGGCCTAAATCTTTCACCCACATCCGTCACAGCAACCTCCGACACTCCCCGTCCTACTATTGTGGACGTTCTTCTCGTGTGTACTTCATCCGATCCTCGGTTCAAACCCTTCAATTGCTTGGTGGAAGCTCCCATCATGGACGGGCAGGGCCGGAACCCGCAGGACACGCGCAGAACGGCCCGGATGTATCAGCGCCGAAGAGCAGTCGCGGCCTGCCAACCATGCAGGGCGCGGAAGACAAAATGCGATAATGTCCGTCCGGTATGCGGGTTTTGTAGCCGGACAGCGGCGGATTGCACATACGCCGAAGGATCCAAAGATTATTCATCGTGGGTGTTTTCTCCCCCGAGTGATCCACTCTTCAATGCCTGCCAGCTCACGTTACGTAGGTTCGACCCTGCCAGTTTGGCGATCCTCGATCGCATCAACCACGCCATCAACCTCTTAGAATCGCAACAACAAGTTAGCGCCGTGATTCCCCATCGACCGGGGCCAGGATTGACAGATGCATCACCGGCGTCGAGCACTCAACTTGGCCAGAGTGTGGTGTCAAACGCTACACCATTGCCGCAATCAGAACTAGATGAGGACTCCCTCGATGTTCCAGGCGATCCAGCTACATTAATCAACTGCGAGGCCATACTCCGCTGGCCCATATTCCGGAGTTGCGTCCCGCCCGACCTCCAATCCTTTATCCTCGACTCTGACGATGCCTATTCGGACACCCTCGGTCCTTCTCCCGCCCCGCAAAGAGGTGGTGTTCGAGAAGAGGACTTTGTCAAACTCTCGGGGAGGTTTCTCGCATACGTCCACGTTAAGAACCCAATACTGGATTGCTCAGAATTCAGATCTAGCGTCAAAGAGGCAGCCGATAATGGTATAGGCTGGGATGGCCCGTCGTGTCTAGTTGTGAGTCCCTCCCAAAATACCATGTCTAAATCTTCAACTAACTGACTAACTGACACTAGCTAATTGCTTGCGCCCTCGGATGCTTCGAGTTCGGAGACTATACCATCGATGAAAGATCTGCCAACCCACGGCATCGACCCGAGGTAGGCGCAGCGATGGCATACTACTCGGCCGCAAAAAAGCGTCTGGCCTTAATAGAGCCTTCTTTGCTGTCTGTTCAATGCCAATTCTTCTGCGGGGTGCTGGAAATGTTTCTTTTACGACCGGTCAAGGCCTGGTTTTACTTCCACCAAGCCTGCGTGCAGTTACGCAACCACCTGTGGATAAGAGCACATGGACGCCCCGAACATGCGGAATCTCGGCCGCAAAAGGTTCGACGTCTTGAACAAAGGCTTTACTGGTCATGCATGAAATCTGAATAGTAGGCATAAAATAGGGAAGACTGCTGGTCCTTTATTAAAGCTAACAGCTACATAGTGAACTTCGGTGTGAAATACCCCTTCCTGCCAGCGGCATAACTCGACTCGGGTTTCCAGACATGCTGCCTTCGCCACCAAACGGCCTATCGTCCCCATCTTTCGCCCATGGTTCACCTGCAGATGGACCATCTAGAGCGCAGGATATAGAACCGGAAGAAGAAAGGAGTTGGTTCTACTACCTTGCCGAGATATCTTTTCGGAAAATGATGAACCGGGCAATTGCAATCATGGGTGGAGATGGCGAACGCGGCTGGATCACAAATATTTATGAAAAGATGAAACATTGCGAGGTTTTGGGCGAGGAAATCAACATCTGGTAAGAAGACAATTCTCTCCATCCCAGCTCCGCTGGTCACTTGGTCACTCTATTTACCGTTCTTTAGGTGCTCTCATATCCCACCTCCAATAAGCAGTAACGTAATCGAACATCCTCCCAATGAATTCGCACATTTCATCCGCAATCGTGCTCTCGCCTGTCGCGAATGGATTCACCGTCCTTTCCTCTACTACGCCATCCACCAGCCTCCCGACGACCCGTACATCCCGCATATACTCCCCTTGGTGGAGAAGTGCCTAGAAGTATGTATCCAAGGCCAGTTTGAGGCGTATGCTTTCCGCAGGCATCACGGCACCTGGTATGTCGCGCGGACCATGATGTCAAGAGCGCTTCTTCTCTTGGCAGCTGTGAGGAGCCAAAGGTTGAGGGTCCCCGACGAATGGAGAGAGGCGGTGCGGTTATCGGTGGAAACACTCAAATTCTGGGGGGAGGAAGCATCCGATTTGAGATGGGCGTCCACAGCTTTAGAAAGAATAGCGGATGAAACCGCAGCAAGTTCACTCTGATGGCATCGCGGGTATGCTGGAACAATCATCACGTGATAAAAGCAGTATTGAGCCATCACGTGACTTTTCCCTGTTGCGTCCAAAACATCTGCTCTCATGAAAGAAATCCTGCCCTCGGGAGTCGGGAGGCGGGAAAGAAAGGACATATATCGAAGATATGAGATTGGTGCTTCTGCTCCAGTGGCACGCCTCTCTGACCTTTTAGGTAGTTTGCATATGAGCGGAAGCTCTAAGAGCTGTGAGGAGATGGAAAATGGCTCCGTACTGACTTATGCTGAGGTGTGTGTTAGCTGCTGGTCGGGTCAAAGATTTTGCATGCCGGGCGTAGCGCTGATGCTTCGAAGCTGCAGTCTCGGTCATTCCTAGATAGGGCAGCACTCAATTTCCTGTTTGCCCCGGCGCTCTCGGAGCTAGAGACTTTGAGATGTAACTGGCCGAGCTTCCCCCCAAGAATTGGGTGGAAGATATCTGAGACTGCTCGAGGGTCGTTTGAGCTCAAACCCCCATTCCCAAAGTACCAAAATTCAAAAGTAATTCATTGTGCTGCCTCCATGGCCAGTCCCTTTGTTCCTGGGGATTCGGAACACATGCATTTGATGCTGGCTCAATCCCCGTGGAGCCTAGCAGAACCCAACCGTCTAAGTTTAACGCCTGCCGCCTAGCACTTCCAACTATTTTCCAGGCAATGATTAGAGTGACGCAATGGAAACAGCGCTGAGAAAGGAAAGACAACGGTAGGAATACAACATCATATGCATCATCCCATGTGGGACAAGGAGAGGGGATAGTGGAACACATGCTTCATTATTCTCCTTCAACGAACATGTGAGCTCGATGTAAGCAAGCTTTTAGTTGGGAAATTCAATGTTCTTTTGTCTTGCCAAGGTAGGTACTGGTTTTCCTTTGGTTTTCCTTTCATTTTGGTGCCGCCATCTTTGAAATATTTCCACCTCCATCGTACCTTCCTGCTGTAAGCGGGGACAACTAGGGAGGCAGAGATTAAGACGTGACAAGGGAAGGAGCGAGGGAACAAACGAAGGAGGCAGCAAAGGGGTGAGTTCGAGACTCTAGAAAAGCACATGCTTCCTCCAATTCCAGATCCCTCTGTTGCTGGCTCAACCTACTTTTCCCGCCTCTGCCTCTACTTCTACCTCTCCTTCTGCCATCTTCCCAAGCTTTCCATCCTTATCACCAACTTTCCATTTGAAATCATCAACCAGATCGATCCTCATCGACCCTGCACTGATGCAACTCATCCACAATGTTTCGCCGCAATCCCACCAAGCCCACTGCTGATGAGATCCAGGAGCTGTTCGAGTCGTCTCCGCCGGACGCCGGTTTTCTCAACGCTTCTCCTTCTTCTCCCCCCTCGCCCGCGCGACAAGTCCAATTCAGTTCCGAGCCCGCCAAGAGCGGCGAAAATGGCATCCTGCGATCCCAATCCACCACCAACATCGACACCGATGCCCGTCTGAACCGCGAGCTCAAACGCATGCTCTCCATCCACAGTGTCGTGTCGACAGCTTCGACCGCCGCCCGCGCCCACGATGAAGCCCAGAGTCGCGGTGCCCAGACCTACAAGAAGATCGGCGCTGGAGCCTGCGGAGCCATTTTTGCCCAAGACGGCAAGTCTGTCGTCGTCAAAGTCGCGAAGGGCAACGAGCTCGAGCTCTGGAACGACTACCTGATGCACGCCAAGATCGCCGACGCCTTTCAGGAATTCGACATCGCGAGCATTCGAGTTCCCAAATACTATTACTACTCGCCTAGAGTGAACGAGTCATTTTTCGATCAAAATCCGGGCCTAAAGGCCGCCGCCGCGCCCTTTTGCAACTTCCCCACCGCCGCCCTCCTCACGGAGAGGATCCTTCCGCTGCCCAAGAACACACGAGGCTGTCTGATCGACAAATTCTGCGATCCCAATCCTGCCATGAGGGCTTCGGCCAGGGCCGACCCGGCTAACCATGACTGCCTTGTGCGCGTCTACCTCGGATTGCCTCGCGGATGGGGCACGGGTAGATTCTTCTCGCTCCGCAATTTCAAGCTTCATCTTAACCAGATGGTTGAGCTCGATCTTAATGTCCACGACTTCGCCCGTAGAATGGGCGATGCCATGGCCATCATGCATTGGGCCGCCGAGACCGACGCCCGAGACGTCGAGTTCGCCCTCGGCAGTGCCTCCATGGCCGTCCCCCTCTCGGCGACATCTCGCGAGATTGAGCGCATGGCTCCGTGCACCTACACCGGCCCCGAATCGCGCGTCACGGAAGACTTTTTCCACCGCGCCACGGAGCTCTGGGTTCTCGATTTCAACCAGGTAAAACACATCACCATGGACGAGGAGGGCGTCGCCGCTGCCGTCAACGCGGCGATGATCAACGACCCGTACATTCCCAAGCCGAACGCCGAGACCGAAGTTGGCCAGGAGATTTGGGAAGCGTTTTGCGCAGCGTACCTCCGGACGGCGGAAAAGATCCTCCAGAAGAAGGACCCTGAGTCTGCCTTAGCATACATGATGGGATTGGATACATACCTCTTTGATCTTCCTCAGAAGTTCCTTGATGGGCTCATCGAGGCGCATAAGGCCAAGTCTTCTTCGCAGGGAAGTCAGACTTCGATGGATTGCAACGTTTCGGGTTCGCAGGGCTCACGGGCGAGTACAACCTCACCGACATAAATGGGCAGTCAGTCAGAAACCCCTTGTAAATTAGATGAGCCGTTTATTCACCCTCATTCTTTCGGTTTCAGTTACAGAATAGTGGTCGATAGAATACACAAATGATTTCACGAATATCTCGTTACTCGACGTTATGGTAGCTGTAGATACAAAGTGTAATCCATTCCGGGCTCCCTCACAAAGAGACCAACATTGTTTGTCTTTCATGAGGAAGGTTAGACGTCTGTAGCATCTAAACCAAACCGGCCACGACGAGAACAATGAGCAGCCACTTGGACTCTCGATATATGCCTTTACCTCCAGGCATATGTGAAGCAAAAGGAGACAGGCTACTTCCTTCCCACCAGCCCCGTCCCTCGTCATTTCTTCCTCCCTCCTCCACTAGATCACATCACTCCTTCCCAGTCGAAATCCCACAGAAACCACCTGAAACCACCTTCAGAAGAAACAATTATGCCCCGCCCTTTCACCAGGAAACAACGAAGCAGTAGCCTAGTTGTTCTTCGAGGCAGCCGACACTCCCCGACCGGGGGGGCTTAGGTTCGAATCCTACCTTACCCGAGTTTTTCGGCTGCGAACCGGTGCCCAGGGATCGAGTAAAGCAAGACTCTGACGAGGAAACATCCCGCCGCAATGGAGATCCCCATCTGGCCTAGCCAGTGGTCCAAGCGGGAGGCGCGACCCCTAGAGTAGGAGGGGGGAGGGCCTGGAGGTAGGGCGAGGGAGGGAGAGGAGGAGTAGATAGGAAATATAGAGTAATTTTTTTATAATACATTTTTTCTTCCTTTTTTTTTTTTCTTTTTCTGTAATTGACTTCTCTCATTTGCGCCGCTATGAAAGGAGTAACACCGAATTGGCACTGCCGCTGCAACCTAAAATCTAAGATTGCTGGTGTCTATTGGCTGAAGGAATACGTGCTGGTCTCTGGGCTTTTTGGGGATTAATGTAACGTCGGCAGACGACGGCTGGAGAGTCGTCATTGGACAAGATTCCCGAGATGCGTCAGTAGTGCTGATGGGTGAGAATCGCGATGTCCGAATGGGTTTGGACTCTGACGTCAAATAAACGACTCGATAATAAATTGTTGCTTTCGGCCCGCGTCTATATATTCTGGATCTCTGGCCCAAGATGCCCAAGATCCAACCCTAGATATTTCCTATCACGACCCCTTTCCACCGCTTTAGTGAAAAGGACCGCTCCTCAGCAGACTACTAATACGACATGGAATCCCCAAAGAGGATCCTGTTCTTTACGAACAGCGACTACGGCCAGGCCAATGTCGTGCTTGCCACAGCCCATGCCCTCCTTCATCTCGCCCAAGACATTGAGATTCACATTGCGGCTTTCCATGCCCTCAAGGATGCCGTCGACGCCACATCAAACCTGGCCCTCCAAGACCTGCCCGAACCGCGAGTGGCAAAGCCCATCGTTTTCCACGGCATCGAAGGCATCAGCTGGGGCCCGGCTTCCTTTCGCCCCGAGACAGGCGTGGCTGCAGCCTACGATTTGAAGCCCGGGTTGATCAACTCGGCGACTTGCATCTCGCGCATTCCTGCCATCATGCTTCCCTGGCGGCCTGACGAGTTCATGGGGATCTACTGGGAGGCGAAGCGTGTGATGGAGGAGGTGAAGCCTGGTTTAATCGTTGTCGAACCGTTGTTTACTCCGGGCTTGACTTTGTGTCACCAGTTAAAAGTGAACTGGACAGTCCTGGCGCCCAACACCATCAAGGACTTTGCCATCCCCAAGCAACCAAAGTTGGCGATGTTATGGAAGTACCCTCTGTAAGTATTCTCCCACCTCCTAGGAACACGGGGGAGGACCGGCTGCGTAGAAAAACGTCTAATACGTCCACGACTGCTTCCCAGAGTCTGCTCCGCCATGCCTTTCCCGCTTCCCCTGAGCTTAATCCCCCGCAACATCGCCCTAAACCTAGTCGCAGGCTACGCCCTCCTAACCGACACCCGCATCAAAGACATCACCCACGCCCTCCACCGCGACGTCGACCCCTCCATCACGCTCATAACCGCCAACGAGCTAGGCGTCTTCAAAGCCCCACCGCCGGGACTGCGCATCCTCGTCGCCAACAGCCCCGATATCGACTACCCCTTCGACGTGCTCCCCGAGTACACCATCCCATGCGGGCCCATCGTACGCGCTGCTCCGCCCGTTGCCTCTGTGGATCCGGCGCTGGCTGAGTGGCTTGGTCGCGGTCCGACTGTTTTCGTGAGTCTTGGGACGCATCTTAAGGCTAGCCCGGCGGAGGCTCTGGAGATGGCGCTTGCTTTTAGGGCTGTGTTGGACCGCGCTGAAGGGGAGGGGCGGAAACCGTTGCAGATACTCTGGAAACTGGGTCGTAAGCCTGAGATCGAGGGTGAGAAATTGGAGAGAGATGTGTATGATGGACCCTGGAAGCTAGTCGTCGATGTGCTCAAGCCTGAGCTCGATGCTGGTAGGATACACATCACGGAGTGGGTGACTGCCGAGCCCAAGTCGGTGTTGGAATCTGGGCATATTGTGTGCTCCGTCAACCACGGAGGAGCAAGTTCGTTTTACGAGGCCCTTTGGTAAGGCATCATACCTCCTCCGTCCATCATCCACCTTCTTCTTCTAACGTTTTGTCTTAGTGCCGGCGTCCCGCAAGTCCTCCTCCCACCATGGTCGGACTGCTACGACTTTGCAAATCGTGTCGAGCTGCTCGGCGTTGGCCGGTGGGCGAACAAGAAAGCCAAGCCGAGGTGGGAAAAGACGGAGTTGGCGGCGTATCTCGAGGAAGTTTTATTTGGTCCGGAGTCTGCGAATATTCTTGCTCGAGCGAGGGAGCTTGCTGCCCGACATCCTGAGGGCGAGGGAAGAGAGAAGGCTGCTAGGGAGATACTGGCGCTTGTTTGAAGAGGGAGGTTTATTTTCTTTTTTTTTTCTTTCCTGTGTCCCCTAATACTAGAAGTTGTTGTTCCTTGCTATTACCTGGTGTTCCCGCTATTCATTCGCATTTTTCTTCTCGATACCGAGGTGGAGAGCGGTGACTGGCGAGGGTCAAGTTCGTTTTGCCCGAGGCCGATCAGCGCTTGTCAAAGAAGCGCTTTTGGAGGCTATGAAAAATATCAGGAAACACGATGAAATATGAATGAAGCATATGAGATAGGGCAAAACAAGTACGAGTTATGCTGTTATTAAATGCTTTCTCACGAATGTCCTGGGTGTATTGATGGAGGCAACACTACGGCTCGCACAACAGTAAAGTGTCTAGTCATAATATCATTGGCTTCTCCGAAAATAACCAACTACCACTTGTATGATCTCGACAGGGCCGAAAGTCACGCGATCAATACATCCATCCATTTCTCGTTCCGTGGGTAGTGCAGAGAGACTCTTCAGGTCCGAGAATCCTTCAAGGACCCTCTCCCTTGGTAACTGCCAACTCTATAACAATCCAGCTACCAACAGCCCTAATGTCGTACAATTCCGCGACGATCCTCCCAATGTCCTGATATAAATCTCGGCTGAGTAACGGGGGATCTTCAGTGTGCGACTGGCCAAGGACGGCCCAACCGATCAGGCAGGTAGTACAAACCTTTCGGGAATACAAAGGCCCATGCCGAAGCGGTTGGAGGACGGACTGAGCCTAAATAGCCGGGAGCCTCAAAAAGGGATAATATATATAGAACGGCAACGGCATCGATGGTGAGAGACCCTGATCGTTTCAATTCCCCTCAACCTGGTTCATCTTCTTCGGATGTTGGATCTATCGGGCCATCGTCCACATATATAATGTTCATTTACATCTGCGACAATAAGTAAGTCGATGCCAGCACTTTGCAAGTTCCAACCAACTCACAGATCAGACATTTCTTGTTCGTGATGGACAGGCACACAACCCCCCGACTCTTCACCCGTTACCCAGTCTCCGTATGGGGCCTGTGGTTCGCCGTACCCCTTCTCGCCGTCGCCTGCATCTCCGAAATAGCCCTCAAACTCGCCGCTCCTAGGGAAAGCATGTTAGATGATTACATCTCTGAAAGCTGGGTACGGTTCGGCCCGCAAGAGGAGATAGAGCCAAAGATGGAACTGTGGCCCTCGTCAATAACGCAGCAGGAGCTCGTGTTTCAGGTCGTTGCCGCGGGCATCGCGCTGTTTGAGGCTGTCATGTTAGCGTTTTTCGTTGCGCGTGTTGTGTGGAGGAAGCCGTTCAACGTAAGACTAAATCTTTCCCCGCCTCAAAACGGTGCCTGGCGAGGAAAACAGAAATCAAGACTAACAAAAGTAATCAATCAGATGCCGTTCAAAGGAAGAATCGCCCTCCTCATCGCCATGGCCCTCAGCGAACTCCTCGCCCTCACCTCCATGATCTTCATCTTCGTCCTCAACCACAAATCCGCACGATTCGACGAAGCCTACGCATTCCAAGAGGCGAGCAGAGCCGACAAAACCTTCGTCTACGACAAGGGCACCTTCACGACGGAGATGTGGGCGTGCTCGGTGAAGAGGATGCACACGTTCGACGCCAGGTTCAGGGGCTTGCCGTCGCAGGCGTGTCGGTACGAGATGGCGGCCAAGTGGTTGACGGTGGCGATTGCGGCGTTGCTTCTTTTGGTGTTTGAGCTTGTTTTTAGGGATCGGGTGGATGGACGGGGGCTTTTTGCTGTTCCTCGGTTTGGGTAGGTGTTTCGAAGGGGAGCTTGAGGACTTTTGCAGATTGGATCCATCCATTTCACGAACTCAAACCCCAGGAGAGAGAAAGACGGGCCATGTTAATACCACGGTCATGTTAAGTTGTAAATAATCATCATTATAATAAATAGCACAGCATATATCCACATGGCAACTGCAGATTTGCAGTCATGCAAAGACGGACTCCAAGTATGCAAGAAAAATTATGGGAAATCAAGGGGGTTGCCGCCGTCGCAAAGGCAGTAACCTAAACGTGGAAGGAGAAGACTCTTGGTTCGCTCCAGAAACAAAATGCTCATCATCAGGGCCAGCGCTAGGCCCGGCGGTGCTGCTCCCGATGGTCTCAACGCTGCGCCTGCCACTGCCATCCGTTCTACGGAAGACGACGTAGTGAGGCTCGAGCCTCTTTCCGACACTCTCCTCGACTCCAACTAGACAGCAAGAGTTAGTAATTAACCTAGCTAGAGTCGTGTGCACGACCGGATGAACACGGGGGCGTTGAATACTCACATATCGAAGAATACATCCACTTCGCAAAAACGGGGGCCCAAACTAAAATAGCAATGATCTGGCCGTAATCCCATACGCCAGGAGCAATAAAAGTTAAGCCGATAGAATAATCTATCGAGATGATGTATCTCAGCAGAAATACCACCATGATAAGGTCAAGGACGGCCCATCGCAAGTGTAGAATAACGGTGACGATGGGATATCTCTCGAGGTCCATCTTCTGGCGGAGCTTGCCGAAGAGCGAGCTGTGAATGAGCTGATCGATGGCCAGGATGGAGATGAAGAGGTGTGATACCGCGATGCACTGGCGAGCCAGGCGCCGACCGTAAATACTCGGGATGGTCGTGTCATCGCCGTCCGGGGGCGACAGGCGAAGCGGGTGCATGTTGAGGTTCCCTCCGCATTCGGGAAGCGGGTCGACGGCGTATTTCGCCAAGTGGCTCTGGTCGATGATGACCCCGAGGACGTATACCGCTAGGGAGAGGAGGAAGGTGTACCACCATCGTACGCCGAGACGCTGAAGGGAGGACTGGATCATGAGAACGAGGAGGACGTGGGTCGCGGCGAAGAAGGCGGAGGATCGTGCGCTGGTAAATTCTTTGGGAGCCCAGGACGGTCCGTATATTATGATTGTGGCGAGTTGGATGGCGATCATGAAGAAGGACTGCACCTCTTGGAAGTCGGCCATGGTCGTGAACAGGGCGGTGGCGACGCGGGAGTTTCGGATGTAGTCGAGCACGGTGCCGATGGGACGTCGAGATTGGACTTGGGCAAGACCGCCGAGGGTCTCCTCCTTCGGCTTCTTGGAGAGGGTCGAGATGAGGAAATCGGGGAGCTTGGTCCAGTAGATGAGGACGTTGGCGAACATGAAGAAGAGGATGGCGATGCTGATCTGGATAAAGTATCCTATGAGCACCTACGCTACGTGGTTAGTCCAACAGCCACCCACGGCTTAACCAGGTTCGGGAAAAAAAAAAAAAAAAAAAAAAAAGGGGGGCACGATGCTCACACCCGGCCCGCCAATATCTACATCAGAATCATCACTCCCCTCGGTCCGCGGCGTGCACAGCCAGTCAAACTCGCGGAGAAGTAGCCCCATCGCCCTCAGCCCGTCCTTGACCGAAATGTCCGACCACGACGTCTCCAGCAAAGCGTCGTAGTAATCGTCGTATCGGCACTCGCCGTAATCTCCCGTCTCGCAGGTGGCGGCGGTGCACCGGGCCATGTTCTCCAGCACGTCGGCCCAGGCGAACGTCTCCAGCGATCCGAAGTGCAGCTCGGAATCGTACCGCTTCAGGGCCTTGTCATCGGCGTCGAGGGACCCGTTCTGCACGAGCATGGCGGAGGTGGCCAGCACGGCGCAGTTGTACAGGCTGAAGGAAGAGAAGAGGTGCGTGGCGTTGTGGCAGGCGACGGAGCAGTCTCGACGCTTCTGGGGGTCGAAGTGGTAGTCTTCGGGGATCGGATCGATAGGGCAGCCGGCGAAATCGAGCTTGATGTTGACGACGTCCTCGACCTCGACCTGGACGCCATCGTTTCGGGCGGTGTCATCTTGCGGGGAGTAACTTTCGGCGGCGGTTGCGTTGAGGACGACGAAGGACTGGAGGAGGGTGCTGGCGATCTGGTCGCCGCGGGATATGAACTTGTCCCAGGTGAAGTTGAGGGCGGGAGTAGTGGGCGGCACCATCCTGGGCGAGCGGCGGGGAAGGGAGGCCTCCTCCTCTGTTGGCAGCTCTAGGTGAGGCGATGAGGCTCTAGATGAATCGGCATGGTATGTCGATGTCGAAGCAAGGTTAGATTCTTGCGGTACTCTCGATCTCGATCTCTTTCTGTCTTTCTTTCTCTCTCTCCCCCAGTCGCAATCAGGTGGTGGTTGAAAGGGATATTGAAGAAAGGGCTTGCGCGACCCTTTTTTTTTGGCCTTTCAGGTGGAAAGTTCAGAGTTCAGGCGGGTAAAAAAAATCCGAAACGGGGGGTTCGGCAAAAGAACAGGGGTTCGTGGACGATCATAATTGGACGTGGCTTCATAGCATCTCACTGTGGCTGTGCTCTCTTGGCAATCACACCTTTGCCAAGCGCTGATCGCCTTAGGTATGGAGACGGAGGAGAAGATGATTCGTTCGTGGCGAGGGAATCTAGGTGGTCGCATTGGATCCCCGGAACCGGATTGGCGGTGTCTGAACCAGTGGAAATAAGGTTTGTTTATCTTTGAGGGATTTCCCAAGGAGAGGCGCAAAGCGGTGAGACGAAGAAGCGGGAATACTCGTGCCAAGATGAGATGAGCATGTCTTCAATATTGTTGAAAGAGGAAGAGAAACAGCGGAGAATTGACGGGGTCTGAAATTTGTATCAGCCATCTTGATCTCGTCCGCGAAACACCAGATCCCATTCTTGCTGGAAGAAGGGCGGATAGTGAAGCTTTGCGGCTGTTCCTCGCTCGTCGCATTCCTCTATAGTTCGGTGCTTAACTACATTGGGAAAGGTAGGAAAGAAGAACCGAACCTAAGTTGGACTCTCGGAGGATAAGATCACCGCATTACGGCGTGCAGGGGGGACCAACCGAACCAGGCCCTTGATAATTGGCGGAAGGCTGTATACCACGGAAAGATGAGCCAAGATCTGGGAGTCGATATCCTAAGTAAATTTGCTCTTAGTTCGCTTCCCAAATGGGAAACACACATTCAGCTCTCCTCAAGGGCAGGCTGGGACGGGAAGACCCGCCGATGGGAATCCTCCGGCTGGAAGATGTCAATGAAATACGCCTATTGATCCTCCGCATCCCGTCGAGGAGCGAGCCAATGTCCCAATATTTCGGGCCGCAGGAAAGAAGACCCAGCTGAACAGTCATAGCTTTCTTAATGAAGCTTGATCGAGTGTGAAACAGTGCCTTTGGCCAATGGGAAAGAGGATTTATCACGCCCGTCGATGTGCAGCATCCACAGGCATCACCAGGCTCGAGCTTACGACCGCCAAGCAACGGAATATCGGGTGCACAAGCAGTAAAGACCCCTTGCATTAATTTCCCCGGGGCTGAGAGAGGATTGGAACATCGTCAGTCTTGCACATTGACGGCCTCCCGCAATGATCCGCGCCCCAGGAGTCCAGGGCCAAAGGACTCGGGGCTTCGCCGTACTACCGCAAGGGAGCTTAAATTAGAAGCCACTCAGCCTGACCATTACACGATGTTTTTGTTCCACCCTTTCTATCGCATCTCTCTCCCCCAAGTTTTCTGCACTCACCATGAAAACCCTCAATATCGCACTCCTCTTCTCCCTAGGCCTCTTCTTTCCCATCATATCGGTAGCAGCCGATGATAAAAACTCGGTGGCTGTGAATATAGCCGCCGCCTACTACTCCGGGGCCAATGATGGCTAGGCCCGTTATGTTTTTTTGGCATCTTCCGGACGGAAACATAGCGTATCAACACCGTCCGCATCTTGAAAGCGGGAATATCTCTAGAGCTGTCATCCCCAAGAAAAACTCTCCGCTTGCGGCGATCTATCGCCCTAACAGCAAAATTGAAGGGGTTGATGATGTAGGTTCTTCCCTTTCTTCCATTCCTTACCTCTTCCCACCCCCTTCCTACCCTTAGTCCTAACATCCGGCTCCTAGATCCTCCTCTCATACCTCGACAATGACAGCAAAATTATCGACGTCCTCTTCCGCTACCAGGACGCAAGTTTCGTTGATTGGAGAACTGACCCGACTCCCCACAAGTCCGCGTCTGGCCTCGCGATAGCGTCGCTTGGCGATGGTGCTCCGCGGTTTTACATCCACGATGAAGGCTCCGTCGTCGAAGCCAGAGACAACAAACAAGTTCGCCTTGAGCCTGGGACGAAAGCTGCAAAGGGATCACTTGTATCGGCCGCGGTTCCAGCTGGCTCTACCGATATTCATGTCTTCTTCATCTCCAAGGACCTCTCTCTTTCTTCGATAACTTTTAACGGTACCGGGTGGTCAGAAGGTATGAATTGGGCATCTCTCTTATTAGTCTATCCCCAGCGATTCCGGCGTAAACTAAGCTGACATCATATGACCGTATCTAGTTCTGCCTCCTATTCCAAACTTTACTTCGAAAGTAGGTACGGGCTTCTCGGCTGTGACTTGGTCGAATCCCTTGATAATTCGCGTATCCTCAATCAGCCAACGCAAGCTCGCCAACGAGTGGACTTTTGAGAGCGGATCCTGGTCCAACACAACAGATACCCTTCTGGAAACAAAAGCTGCTGTCGCGGGTGAGCCCGTCGCTGCTTCGCGGAGTTCGAATGGAACAAAGAGGTACATAGAGTACTTTTATACGGCACCTGAGGGGCGAGTCAATTACCTAGCAAGGAACTCTATCGAGGGAGCCTTCTTTTACGAGCCCTTTGCAGAGTTCGACCTACCTCGACGCAAGCCACCTCTCAGCACGGGCGACATAATTGGCATAGTCACCGGTGTGATTGCATTTATAGGCGTTATTATTTCAGCATGGAATCTCAGGTCGGCCGAGAAACGTACGGCGGCGAAGCAATCGCTGAAAGACTTCGGACATAGGTGTAAGAAGTTGCTTGGCTTTTCAAATCCCAGTCCTCGCGGCAGAGAGAACAAAGGCAGTGATGGGAGTGAAGGAAACTCTGATCCTGAGTCGCTGCCGCTCCCGGCTAGGAACGCCAGCACATTGTGAAGATACTGCCGTGTATCGATGGCGAATATCAAGGCATGTTGCTGTTGGATAACAGTAGAAACCAAAGAAATATGCTTTCCCTTATGATGGACAGAACAATCTCATGTGGCGCCTGTGGCAAGCATTGCCCCATTAACGATTAGAATACCCAAAGAGAGTCTCCCGGTTTTCATCGCGCACCTTTTCCATCGTCCTATATATTAGATGGTGAATTATTCAGATACATAATTAAACCCTTGATATTCTGTACGGAGGTATATCTGACGTAAAATAACCCGAAGCTGGCCAAGCTTCTGACATTTTCTCCATGAACAAAACCTTAAACCTTCATGTTGGCCGCCTCACCTGCAATACCCTCAGAGCAGCTCTTTCTACTGGAATTTAATCTCTGCCTCTTGAGCGCCAAGTCTCTTCCCATTCACATAAACACTAAACTCGACCGAGGCACCAGACGGGATCGCCTCAATTTCAAAGTCCAACTTCTTGCACACCCTCCCGCTACTCGACTTCAGATTGGGCAGTGACGAAAACGGCGTGTCTAGAGCACAATCAATCGTACAAAGATGCTTCACAGTCTTCGTTGCGCGGTCCGGGGCCAGTTCATCCTCGCACTGGTGAACATCGACGGAGAAGATTCCGCCAAAGTCCTCCTGGTAGGTGCGGTAGTACGAGTGGCGCACTGGTTCCTGCTCGTCGATAGAAGATCCCTAACAAATACACATCCTGGGTTAGGGACGGAAAGAGCGGTTTTGAAGCAACTGACGACCACACGGCATGAGAAACAAACTTACTCGGACAATGTACCATTCCATCCGATTCTTGGCAAAGTAGCGCTCCTCCAGTGGGCACCACACCTTGTCTTCGTTGGGGAACATGCCATCAATCCACGGCGTCCGGAAGATATCGCCAAAGCTGGCACGAGATATTTTGGACCCGGCGACAATGGAAGCGGAACCGTTGACCTTGATGGAGCTGCCTGTCCCGCCGCTGAGGATTCCCTTTAGGATGGCTCCACGGCAGATCGCCGTACGTCTGTTATATACGTTAGTTGAAGGTTTCTCCAGTTCTCAGAGCTGGAGATATTCATGGGAGCTTACGGCTTGATGCCTCCGGACTGCAAAACGCTAATTCCTTTTTTCGCGTATCGCTGCTCGACAAACTGGTACAAGAATGGACTCGCGCCCAAACCACCGACGAGGATAACGGACTGAGACCGGCGTCAGTGATCAGTCGTAAGTATGAAGTAGGAAAGAGTTTTATATTGGAAGGGGAGAGCTTACCTTGACCTTCTTTCCCTTCGCGGTGGACTTATCGATCTGCTCGTCGATGAGCCTCCCGATCTCGCCCAGGACTTCAACAAACGCTTGTTCGAGGTGGTCCCTGTCGGAAACGGAGGATTAATATGCGGATCACGGTTATTGAAAAGATTGCACCTACCCCTTGAAGTGAATGCGACCGTTCTTGATGAATGGTTCTCGGCTAGTATCATCAAGTTCCGCGTCGACAAAGGCCTCTGCGGGAATGCTGATGATGTATTCTTTCGTGGCGTTGGCTGGGTCCGCCTTGAGTTGCGGTTTGACAAAGTGTTCCCACTCTCCCGTCATTACCTCCTTGATACCCGCCTTGCTGAGACGGTCCCACCGCCTGCCGAGGCGAGCCTTGCAAATGCGTTCGAAGGCCTCGTCGATAAAGATGCCACCGCAGAGGCCACCTGTGCCCTCGACAGCTTCGTCGAGGCGTATCGGATCAAGGCTAGCGACTTGGTAGCTGATCAAGTCCTGAGAGTCAAGTTAGCAAAATAGCGTCTCTGAGCTGTTTGCCGGCATTTCTGAGTCTTGAACAAGGAGCTGGGAAAAACCTACGACGGTGCCGCCACCAGCATCACAGACCACATATACCTCGTCCTTGTTCAGTTTCCGGCCTTTTTCACAAAGGGTGGCGAGGGCAGCCGCTTCGGGCTCCGGCGCGAAGACCAGTTCCGTCTCGCCTCCCGCTCGGTAGTCGAGGATGCCGGCCTGTCTGGCGGCATCCTTCATACCTTGCCTGGCATAGCCTTTCCAGATGGCAGGCACAGTGATGACAACGCGGAATTGATAGGCATCCACGACGGATTTTCCACGGGCCTTCTCAATGGACGCCATGGCGTGGGCCCAGATACACCGCAGGTAATCGGCGATGAGATCTACGGCGGTCTTGCCGTTTTCTCGAAGCATCTTTCGAGCCCGGATAAGGAACTCGGATTCAACCAGATCCGAGGGGATGTCTTCGCTCTTGAGGAGAAGGAGCTTGAACCAGCGGACGGGGTCACCATCTCGTGGTACCTCAAACCCCCACATTGTTTTGCCATCCTCGTAGAACAGTTCAGTGGGGACTTTTCCCTCTTCGCGGCCGGTACCGGGCCAAGTGGTGATCAAGTGGATTTCGTCGCTCTCCAAGTCGTCCACAGTTGCCCATGCGACACCAGAGAAGCTGGAAGAAATGGGAAGGTTAATACGAGAGCATGTCGCGATAAGACTAATTACAGGCAGCTTGAAAAAACGTTAAAAGACTCACGTTGTCCCAAAATCAATCCCGATGATGAGGATCTCATCCTCATCCTCCGACTGGCCGAGCCTGGCCCTGCTAAGAAGGTTCACCAACGCATCCGAGGCCATACTCACGCGGTGCTACTCAGTAGAATTTGCAGTAGAAAAGAGAAAGGGAAAGAAATAATATTGACGGTGTAATAATATTACTGGGAGATTTGGTCTCGGGGGTGAGATTGCTCGTTACAAATGTTTCACGGGCGTCCTTGATTCTTGCTCCGTTAATATATCGATGCCCGGGGACTCATCGGAGCCTGTCGTGGAATCGTCACATCAATGTATAACATTGACTGCGGATGCCTGCAGCCCAGAATCAGGCCTGAACTGGCCAATCCACACCAGCCCCCAATGAACTACCATGTTTTTCCACTTCACGCAAGACATCAGGCTCTGACGACACCCGACAGGGATCGACAAAGTAACCCCGCTTCAGCCCTAGCCTGGTCCCTAGAAAATGCAATTTGTCGGGTGGCTATGGTGATGAAGTGAACGCGCCCAGGGGAGTATCCGGCGCCTAATGTAACCACAGGAACTGGAAAAGGGAAGCCACCGGACAATAGACCCATTTATTGGACGTTTTTCTGTCTCTAGGACGCCCAATATTGCTAATGTGGATGCGTAGGACTTGGCTGTGTCCATATTGACTCTTGATGTCAAGCCACTTCGAACCAAGCCTGAGAGACCTAGCACCAGTTATTCTGAAAGCCCTGCGTCGGACGTGGCACCACAGGAGACTGGAGTGACATACTGATACGATCTTTACCCAACTATTGCCCCCATAAAGCCTAACACGGAACGGTGTGAGACATTAGAGGAAAAAAAAAAACAAATCACTCTCTATCCCTGTTGCACTCAACGACGGCGAAAGCATGGCGGCGCTGTGTCCCCTTGTCACAAAAGTGGTCCGCGTTCCCTTCATCCTTTCCGCACTCATTTTATATTACCTGTACATTTGGTCAAAGTATTTCCGAGATTGTATTGCCATGAGCTCTTTCCTAAGTTCATTTTTGCCGCCGGGACTATCTCTGTCACAATCGTCAAATCGCGGACCAAAGCCAGGTCAGCGACAAAGCGATCACCCGAAAGAGCGTCAAGGGGAGCGTCGCAGTGAACGTCGTGGTGAACGCCATCGGCCCAAAATCCCAGACGCGAGACCAGATACAGACATGGAACCACGGGCGGAGACCGGGTCACACCTCCCAGAAAGGACCGATCCCTTGACTCCCGGTCAAGAAGGATTTCTGGCCGGGTCTAATGTCGATACCGATATCAAGATGGAGGATGTAAGCGATGCCGGAGCCATGCGTCCACCAGGTCCTGAAGCAGAACGTCCACCCGTACCTCCTAGGGGGTACGGGTGCGAAGGGGCTCGACTTGACGGGAACTGCAAACATCTTGAAGATCTGAAGAGGCACATCGAGAACGGACAGGTGCTTCAGCTCCAACTCGATCGGATGCGTGAGGAATGCAACGTACTTAGGAGAGAAAACAATCGACTCGGAGAGCTGGTGGAGGATAAGAGGGCGACCATCAGTTCGATTTCGTCGAATGCGAGCCGGGAACGGGTGGCCAAGGAGAGCCTAGCTCGTCAGCTGGAGGTTACAAAGACCAACATGAGCCGCCAACTGGAAGCGGCGCAAACCTCTTTGGCGACATCGCGGTCGCAGCTCGAGCACGCCGAAGCCGAGAAAAACGAATTTCGTCGAAAATGGAAGCAGTCGGCAAAGGAACTCGGACAGCTCACTAGGACGCCGCAATCGGCGTCGCAGGTAACCGACAGCGACCTCGACAAATGGGCCAGTCAACTCCGCACGGCCATCCGTGATTTTGCCATCCGCTACTTCGAGAGCGATGGCCCCTTTCTAAACTTCCAGGAGAGGTTCGAGATGGCACAGGGAGCGGCGGGCTTTAAGCTGATGAGGGAAACCACGGCGGGTACGGTTGACTTTATAAAATTCCTCTCATCTCCGACCAGACGCAGTGCCGTGATTCAGGCGTATATCTGGGCCTTTCTTCGCCTCGCGGTATTTTCGGGATTTCGTTGGGCCGGAAAGTTATCCGATGATGTTTTCCATGTACACGAAAAGCTCCGAAACGGTAAGGGACCTGTGGGATCTGTTTCCCCCCCCCCCCCTTTTTTTTTTTTTTTTTTTTTTTTTAACTAGGAATAACGGGCTTGGTGGAATTCTTAAGCTGACATCCCCATATAGCCGCGAAAGACGTTGAGGGCTACAGGAAATTCAAGGCATGGGTCGTTTCAACGACAAAACTCTTCGTCGAGCTCGATGAAATCGAGGGTGAAAAAGAGGCAATGGAGAAGGCAAGCAAAGCGGCCATGCAACGTCTGGCTAAGGAGATCCTCGGGATTATTGGCCCCTTCGCCAAAGTTGATTCCGGGGCGGAGAACTATGGGGATTTCCTCCGGGAGATGGAAGGCGTCTTGGAAAGAGCAATCGCCATGGACCGCGATATTTGCCGTCAGGCCGCTGATGTTACCTGGAGGTTTGGCCCCGACGTCCCTTGTCAGTTCGATGCCGCGACCATGGCGGTGGAGAGAGGCGAGATGGCGCCTTCGGCGGACTCTGCCGTTATTATGGTTATCGCACCGGCCATGTACAAGAAAGGAAGATCGAACGGGGATGATTTGGAAAAGCCTCGACAGTTGATTCTGCCGATGGAGGTTACCTGCAGACCCGTAGAGAATGCATAGTACTTGAGCAATCCACCTCTCCGCTCCCCAATAACTTGGGGTCGTGTATAACCCATTTATAAAATGAACTGTTTGTCGACGCTAAAACCAGTGCACGCCGGCCGCTATCCCCGTCTTCCCATCTGCCCGGTAAACTGCTTCAAGTTCTTCTTCGTCATGGTCGGAGGGATCAAAGGGGCTCAGATGGGGTCTAGGGTGGAATTTCTTAACGGTAAGTTAAAAGATGCTGTAAAACGGCTGAGATGAGTCGGAAAAGATGGCCGGCTTTCAGGGTGAGAAACATGCACTCGGAGGGTTAGTGCAGAACTCTAATAAAGGCGAGGGTCAAGACCTTAAGACCATTTTGTACTCGCCGAGGCCCCTAATCACGTCAACCTCGGACGCAGTCATTGTCGAAGAGGAATGTTGCTGCCCCTTAGACTGTTTACCGTCGCATCGGCAACCCTCTTACAATTCCTGTGATAATAAGGATCGGCAGATACAAGATAACTCTTCTCCCTTGCCTCTTTTCGCCGCAAACTCACAGCGCCTTCGTTTGCTCCCCCCGGAAAGGGTATGTATGTAGGTGTCATCTCGGGCGGAAAGACCAGCTGCCCCCCGACCACTTCCGGCATCTCCATCAAAGGTGAGCGACTTAGGGCTTCCCTGCTGTTTCGTAGGTCTTATCCGTCATCCGCGGTCCTGATACTGAAGGCTCTGGACACGTCAACTCGGGAACGCTCGAGATTGCCAACAGGGGACGTTGTAACTTATGTTATAATACTACCGATGGTAAATCTACGACAGGACGTATTCAAAGGGGTGATGACAGAGAATATAGCAACCTGCGATAGAACGGGTTCCAGCCTGCCGTATCGGCGTAGGTTACTAACCAGACCAAGCCAGATCACAGACGATGAGAGCTATAGACCAAGATCAATGTTACTCTACCACTAAAAGGGCGCATCGACCCTATGTGAGTGTCCTGTGCTCCACTTTGGGGCTGCTCGTACCTCGGAGCTGGGGTCCGTAGCATTAGGGCAAACTTAACTCGTGTCCGATCAGCTGCTCCAGCTTCCTTGCACAGGAGCTGATCGACAGATTGACATTGCTTGTTGCTGCCCATCAGGGTTGCAGCATTCCAGAGGAGGGGGCGGGAACGTCGGGACCTGCATAGATTGTCCTGGTGGCTCTTCTGGTGGTGGTGGTGATCTATCAAGGTTGCAGGACTTGAGATTATATAGTCTTGATCACGTCCCCTTGACCCTCGCGTGCCGTTAGTGCAGAGTGCAGTAGCCTTCACCACGCTCTCACTCCCGACCCGAACATACGCATACATACACTTTGCCTCCCGTCAGGGTTCGACATGAGTTCGACGCTGATTCTCCTCTTGGGAAAGCATGATGGAGACAGATTCTTTAATAGTCCGACGAACTAATCGTCGCCGAAGCGAAAAAAAAAAAAAAAAAACTCAAATTCAACTCAGTAGCCAACAATCAAATGCATTCGACCGATCGATCTCTTCCTCGGCTTGATCTCTTCTTGCACGGCACTCGAGGCTCGTGCTAATGAGGGCCGAATACTCGATTAGGAAAGTCGAAAGAAAATGCGAGGAATTCTCACCGCGCCCAGTCTTGCATGCACGAATTCAACACCGAGATCTATCCACTCTACTTTAATATTAATTTACTCCTGCATACGCGGACGCATCGACGATTGAAGTCAGCGGTTTTACCTCCACCTTATCCCAGGACTTCGGCCGAACCACTTGCTCTGAACGCGCATCTGTCCCGGACGGTCCTATCTGGATCCCGAGTCTTGGCCAAACCGTCCCAAGCTGCCGAATTCCGGGAGTCTATGCGTCGGCCTCTCCTCTCCTCAATGCGCACCAATAAACCCTCGATAAGAGTTCAAGCCAGTGGAGGGGACTGTGCCCTTTTCACGCCATCACCGAGACGCCAAGAATCTAACGAAAGACGAGGAATTCACAAACCCAATTCACGGACCCACGTGCTATTTAAGAATGGAAAGATAAGTGATAAACTACCTCAATCGAAACTTGTCTAGCTTTTTCGCTTCTGAGCAGCCTGGAATATCCCAGGGTTCGGCTCCACTGAGTCGACTCCTCCGTCACACAGGAAGAGGACGAGATGCCAAAACGGGAAATTAGCTCTCCGGGCCAAGACACACCAAAGCGGATCTTTTGTCCGTGGCTGCGAGCAGGGGCGCACGACCAATCAGGACCTTGACGCCAGGCACGGGATGTCGAGATTCGCCTAGCGTAGCCGGCGCCACATGCACGGAGAATCCGCTGGTCGTGGGGGAAAGAGCCTGAGAGGAGAGGGGAGATGGGGATTACTTTTCTCTCGTTGGTCTCTTTCTCTCTCTCTTTGGCCTTTGGGGCTGTGGGATCAGAAATTCAATACTCGACTACTGTTTGGTGACCGAGACCTTCTGTGTTCCCGCCCACGTCACGAATTAAACTCCACGGATCACAAGAGGACAGCGACTGAACCAGTCAGAGCAGCAGAAAATCAGAACAGCTCTGGGCCTCAAGCCGAAGAGCTGCCGTGTCGCGTCGCGCCGACTTTGGTGCTTCCCATGAGCCATGAGGCCCGCCCTCGTCCGGTTCCGGGTCCACAGCTTCGACAAAAGATCATTTTCTCTTCTCTTAGCTGGGCTTCCATCTCGGTGTGTTCTAATGCTATTCCAATGGCACGGAACCCTTCGTTCTAGTACAGCTAGTAGCTCCAATCCTGTTGCCTCTTGGCCAAACCCCCCGCCCAACGCTCCAACGCGTTACCCCATCTCCTTCTCCCAACACGTGTATCCGCTTCTTCTGATGAGCCGCTAAGCCCACGGATCCAAGATGGAGTTCCGCATTCTGCACGTGTAGCTGACCCATGTTCGCGCCCTCAAAGACCCGTTCGATCTTTCCAGGGTTCAGCATTGTCCAATCCCTCTTCCCAGGTTCCCCAAGCCACTTGTCAATGATCAGCACAGCACTAATTCGTACGATTGCTACTCTGACCCGGCCCCCCGTCCCCCGCTTTCCCGTGGTGGAGTATGATGATGCCTTGGAACGGAATGCTCTATTACTGCTACTGCTACTGCACCATTTCCATTCTTTGGGGCGGCTGCATCGGATATTGACGCCTTCCTAATAGGCAAACATGTGCCACACTTGTACGAATATGATCACCGAGACGCCCTTTCGAGATGCATGTACGGTCCAGCTGCTGCTTGCCATGCGCTTTCGCTTCTCTGACTCGGCTCACCTTGAGGTGACATGTACCCATCCAAACCCAGGAAACCCTGCAGCATTGTTTAATCTCCCGAGAAAGCAAAGATGAGGGCAGAAAAAAAGCAGCAGCGGTAATTGATGCTTTGAGAGAGGCATGCGAAGAGGGATTCGATACTTTTTCCCACGAGAACGAGGCAGACGATCATAACGATCGGCAAATATTAAAATAATCCCAATCCTGCATCCCTCATTCTTTTTTCCTTCCTTTTGTTCCTCGCCCTTTCTTGTCTCCCCCAAAGGCACAGTGTTGTCCTGCACTGCTACCGTACCCGTCCATTCGTTTGCCTCGGCCAGGTTCTTCTTCTTTTTTTTTGCCCCCCTTTAGTTCCTTTTCCTGTATTAATTCCAAGCACGATGGTCTCCCGCCTCAGCGCCGCCACCGCCCTCCTGGGCGCGTACCTCTCCGTCGTCTCGGCCCAGACCTTCCAGCGTCTCGGTGCCTGCCCCGACCTCGGCTGCGTCTTCCCCCCCGACCAGGCCGACTTCCTCCCCGGCCAATTCTTCGACCTCCGCGTCGAGGTCCACGCCCCCGTCAACGGCTCCGAGGCCTTCAACGACGGCGTCCCGGACAAGGACTTCTCCGTCACCGTCACCAAGAAGGGCGCCGCTAGCCAAAAGGTCACCGACTTCTTCGGCGTCGAGGAGCCCGAGCTTGAGACCTGGAAGTTTAGCTGGTATGAGGACCTCTTCGCTGAGGATGCCAAGCAGAAGAGCTTGGTCAATGTTGCTAGCAAGATCTACCGCCGCATCGTGCTGAAGGAGCCCGGCGAGTACGAGGTTACGCTCTCGTACTATGGTAACAAGAAGACTGTTGCCAATTGGGTCGTCAGGCCCATTTCTCATAAGAAGAAGGCGAAGAACATCATCTTCTTCATTGGTGCGTTTGTTCTTACTTCTCGGGAGTCCTTATCGTATCAATGTAGCTAACAATGGTCGATAGGTGATGGCATGACCACCAACATGGTCACGGCCGCCCGTCTCCTCGGACACAAGAGCATCAACGGCAAGTACCAGTCGCTCTTGCAGCTTGACAAGTTCCCCGTCCTCGGCCACCAGATGACGCACTCTATCGACTCGTACATTACCGACTCTGCCAACTCTGCTGCCTCCCTCTACAGCGGTCACAAGGGTACTGTCAACGCCATGGGGTGAGTCTCATTTCCTTTGTTTCCTTCGTTTCCTTCGTGTATTTTCTTTTTTTCATTTAGTCGATCGTTTTCTTCCCCCCCTCATTCCCGCAAACTAACTCCAGGCAGTGTCTATGTCGACTCGTCTCCCGACGCGTTCGATGACCCCAAGGTTGAGACCATCACTGAGCTCATCAGCCGTATCTGGGTAAGTCAATTGATATTCCCTTGTCTTCCATTCCAATGCGTCTCATACTCATCAATTCGCGCAGGGATCTGCCTGGGGTGCCGTCTCCACTGCCGCCCTCGCTGATGCTACCCCCGCCGCCCTTACTGCTCACACCCGCCAGCGCGCCCTCTACGGTCCCATCATCGACCAGGCTCTCAACGGTATCACCAACTACACCTGGACTCCCATGAACGGCCCCGATGTCTACTTCGGCGGTGGTGCCGAGCAGTTCTACCCCGGCAAGGGCTCCTACCAGGGCAAGGACTACTACCAGGAGTTCGCCAACAAGGGCTACACCGTCTCCCTCAACAAGACTTCGCTCCTCGCCGCTGACCCCAAGGAGAAGGCCCTCGGCATCTTCTGCCAGAGCCACTTCCCCGTCTGGCTCGACCGCAACGTCTACACTGAGAACCTCAAGGCTTTCAAGAACGATCCCCTCGGCGGAGACGCACCCGCTCTTGACCTTCCCGGCCTCAAGGAGATGACTGTCAAGGCTGTCGAGATTCTTCACAACCGTGGTGGTGACAAGGGTTTCTTCCTCATGAGCGAGGCTGCTTCCATCGATAAGCAGATGCACGCTCTCGACTACGACAGGGCTCTTGGTGATCTTCTTGAGCTTGACGACACCGTTAAGGCTACCATCGACAAGCTCGAGGAGCTTGGTGTCCTCGACGAGACTCTCATCGTTGTCTCTGCTGATCACGGTCACGGATTCGAGTAAGTACATTCACTATTGAGATGAATAAAAAGAACATGATAACTAACTGGCCTATGCCTATAGCGTCTTCGGTAGCGCCGATACCAAGTACCTCGCCTCCCAGACCGAAGACCGCAAGAAGCGCCGCGCCATCGGCACCTACGCCAACTCCGGTCTCTCCAAGTACACCGAGGAGACTCCCGGCATCAGCTACAACACCGGTGCCAACTTCCCCCTCAACTGGACCCCCCGCTACGCCATCGCCGCCGGCGTCGCCGCCAACCCCGACCACCGCGAGGACTTCCACCTCCACGAGGAGGGCCCCCGCAACCCCGCCAAGAGCATCGCCGGCGAGTACTTCGTCGACCCCAAGGATTCCCCCCATGGTTTCGTCGTCAACGGTACCCTCTCGCCCGTCGAGAGCGTCGGCGTCCACTCGCTTACTGACGTCCCCGTGTTTGCTATGGGTCCTTGCCAGAACCTGTTCGGTGGTGTTTATAACAACGTGGATATTTTCTACAAGTTCGCCGAGTGCTTCGGTCTTGGTCTGGGAAAGGGAAACGGCACTGATAACTGTACTCCTAAGCCGCCCAAGGGCAAGGGTAAGAAGACTCACTAAGGGATTTTGCTCGAAAAGAATGGAGTTTTGATGTGTAAATAGAGCAGCGGGGTAGTTGGGACTGCCGCTGTCTTCTAACTGTTAACTATCCTTGACTACTTAACTTTTAATGTTATTTTGTTAATTACTCGATACCAGGCGGTTGAAGTCTCATTATTTGAACATCCAATGTAAATCTTAGGGCTGATATATTCATAAATCTGTTCCATCACTCACACCACAAGACAAGAGATATATGCAGCTTATCTGTCCACGTTAAGCTAAACGTGTCACGGTAACATCCACCCTCCTATTACCCCTCCTACACGTTCCATTCTTAGTTGTCTAGAGATTTATACTCTCTCTCCAGCTTCACCATCTTTTATTTAGTCAACTTTAGAGCAGATGGTTCTAATGTCGGCATATTTGTAGCAAAGTATATGTGGCGACGGCAACTTGAATAACGAGAGACTTGAAATGATAAAGGAAGTTCTGCATGTCGATGGAGGCTAACTGCCTTTTATTGAGACACTGTAAGAAGACCGCCCTCCCTAATCTAGAGGCAAGTCGCCTTTCGCTAGACAGCATCGCTTTCGAGTCGGACATCTTCCTCTTCACCCTCGCTTAGGCTAAAACATTGGTGCATCCTCCAGGTCTGCGATGCCTGATTTCCCATCTATCAACTTCAATAGGACATCCTTATCCAACAGTCGGGAGCGATCGATCCAATCTCTTATACGAAGGGGTGAACTCGGCCATGTCCTTCCTTTATGAATCCCTTTCCACACTTGTCCGTACGGATAGCCATCGTGACAAGCATCAGCGGGGTCGATGTCTATCACCACGTACAGCTCCATCGCTTCCCCATCATCTGGGACCATCTTCAAGGGATATGCTAAGACATCGCTGTAATTGGACTGGGCCTTACAGCTGCTCGGATCTCCGATTTTGAGGGTAAGTTGCAGATCTGCACCGTTCCTTATAAAGGTGTCCAGCACGGAACTTGCTCCCCATTGCTCATCGGGGTAGTTAGAGGACTCATAGTTAGAGGACTCATACTCAGAACTAATATCTCCCTCTGATGCAAAATCACCGGAGACTGCAGCCATAGTCACCCAAAAACATAAAAAATGCTGCCAGATGGATAGACGCTGGTGTCCGGCGGTAATGCGGAAGCAACCGACCCCACCACCACCAAACGCCAAGTGCGTTGGTAAGTTTGGAGAGACAATTTGCTGTTCGAAAAGATGTCGAAGAAAGACGACACTGGGATGCCTTAAATAGTCAGGATAATCATTGTTGTCGCTCCCGTCATCACTCTCGTCGTCATCACCGTCGCCACCAGAATTACTAGTAGATCCACTTCCCCAGAGAATTGGGAGAATTCCAGCTATGGCACAGTACACGAGCACGGCGAGAGTATCCGGTTCCAGAGGCCTGTCGTGGACACGCTTGATTCTCCAATATGGATACTCTAATCGCCCTGAAATTAACTCGGTGAACAGAGGTGAGGTTACCGGTAATATGGATGGTATTTTGCATAACTCTTAACGAGCTTATAAAAAGGCTCATCAACTTTCACCGGTAGCCGCGGCTTCTCAGAGTTGTCGGTATCAATGCCTCCATAGCCTGCCGCCAATATATTTGCCCAGGGTCAGAACGTGGGAGGATGTTCCGTGAGAAGTGCTCGATTTCAAGGTAAATAAATGGGTGATTTCTCGGGATTAGGTTTCCTGTATGCCCATAGCGGCTTGTCCAAGCGATGTTGCTATGAAATGCAGGTACTGCGCTGTCCAAGGCAGAGCCGACCGTTTTCGTCGCGGATAGCTGGGGAATGGTGTCGAGACATTCAAAGAAAGTGAAAGGGGGTATGTCAAGCTGCCGTCGTCGCCGCTGTTCAATTAAGAATTCTACCAGTCGCCAGTGATCGTAGATGTTGTAGTTCGTCCTTCGAAGCCGGCCGTCCTCGTTGCTATTCCGTTGCTCCACATCCAACCAATACTGCTTCATACTCGCGAGTTTTAGTTGAGACAACGCCTCCATGCTGTTGAAGTACTCGTCGTGCATTTCTATCCGAACCCTCCGCAGATTAAAAAAAATCACGTACAGAGCGATGTGTGAAGTTGAGGTCGCCATCCTCGTCCGCCTCCACAAGACCTCTGCAGACACCCCTCAGTCGCCGCCTAGCGCGAATTTCACGCTCCTCCACTGTCTCGGATCCCGAGTTTAGGAATTCTGCTTCCCCAGCAAACCGCGCATCGGCCTCATAATCCTCAAGAAAGGAGAAATCACTCAAAGTAAGAAATGCGCCCTTCACGTTGGCAATCTGTCCCACTAAATGGAGAAGGCAGATAATACAGTTTATTAGTCTCAGATCTCCTGCTCCGAGAGTATCTAGGATTTTCTGGAACAGTTCGTCCAGCTCTGTCGGGAGTGACTCAACCACATCGAGCAGCCCGGAAAACCGTACCCCATTATCTGATTGTGCTCGGATGTTCTGAACAACTAGGACAACCCAGAGAAATACGCCTTCTGCCTTCTACGTGATAGCAGAAGCGAGCTGCCGACGTCTTTCCTGGGTTCCGATATGTTTCAGATTCCCCTGGACATATTTCTTCATGTCTCGCCTTGTCAACTTGTGGAGATAGAGCCTGGCATCCTCGGAGAACATGTCCATGAACGGATTCTCTATACGACTCGAGATACATAATTTGAACATGTCTGATGCGCTGTTGGCTAAATCTTTGAGGCAGTGCACCATCTTGCGATGGTCAACCGAGGTTGTTGCCTGATACTCATCCAGGCCGTCAATAAAGAAGCCGAAACAGTACTCGCCGAGGAAGTCATCGTCGCCCTGTTTTGACAGCGGTGTATAAGCTAGCTTTATATCATCATCGAGGATCTCGTATGCTGACTGAATCTTTGGCTGCGAAAGGACCGCAGTCCATTGGCCCGGGAGAAGATTCTTTGTGAGGTCGGGGACTTTTATCAGGATCTGGTAGAGTAGACTTCTGTAGAGGCCCATTAAAGATTTGTGTTGGGGATCTGAGCCAAGTGCGTAGAAAAAGAAGTTGGCCATAACTAACTTTCGCCCTCCCTTAGCATCTAACTAGATATCAGCGAAAGAGAGAAGAAAAGAGATAAAAGATTCTCGACTAGGTATAACTTACTCGCTCAATTCTCTAGCTCAATTCTAGTCCGTTCATGCTTATAAAACTTCTTCACTAGTATACATCAGTATCATAATTATATCAGGGCCCAAGCATTTCGTGACTTACTTAGTGTAGACTTTCCGGAGCCAAGCTTACCACAGATGTGGAAGATGCCATCCCCTGACGATAGCCACTGCGTAAATTGAGAAGCCTCTGGGGATTCCCCGTCGAGGTCAAAAATCCATTCGAACGTCCCCTTGAAAGGATCATCGACGACCTGGTAACGATAGGACATGTCCTGGAACCCTGCCTTGATCCCTCTCAGAATCCGGTCTTGGGCGACATCATTTAGGGTGTCTTGCCCGACATGTAGAAGGGTTTTCAACTGATTCAAGGCTTGGTCACTGATGAAGTCGACCCTCGCTGTCGTCATATCTTGCAAGGTCTTCGTTAGCTGTGTAACCGAGAACAAGTCGCGTTAACTTCGCTCCGTCCTCTTTGTATGCGGTCAACAGTGCGCTGATGTTCTCACTGCAACCTTTCCAGTTAGCCACTCTGTTTATTAATTTTCTAAATTTAGATGATAATGTTGCAATCCGTAAGTTATCGTAAGAACAGCCGGGCACAGAGGCCATATCATAATACCTCCAGTCAATTGCTTCTAGCCGCGACATTTGAAGCATCTTTTGCTGTCACGTAGCTCAAGTCATAAGGGGGCCCATCAAGACAGTTCTACTCTTACCTTGACAACGAGGCCAAATAGAAATGAAGCTGGTCACGGCAGCGCTGCAGCTGACCCTCCAAGCTTTTAAGCTTCGGTTCAGCTCTTAATGCCTTTAGAGCTGCAAGGCAGCTTTTCCTCTTAGATTTGCGCTTTATGGGCCTGATAGTCTGCAAAGCCTTTCCGATGTCGTTCGTCAGTCGATTGCACTCCTGGACGAGATTGACAAGAGGTTTGTCCTCATCGGTCTGGGTAGGCTGATCTGGAAGGAATAGTCGTTTCTCTATTATATCAGCCATGGCATCATTCAATTTCAACCGCAGCCCTATCTCCTATGAGGATCCCTCGACCGAATTGTAGATGGTCCATGATAGCTTTAGGATCTTCTCCGCGGTGCCGATGAACGTGAGAATCCCGGATACAATGATAGTAGCTGGGTCCATTATCGCTGGTGGAAGAGGGAAGATAGATGCTCAAACGGAGCATACGCCCGTGTCGAGGCCAGGCTCTGGGCATGCCTGTTGTCGAATGGTCATACTTGCCTAGGAAATAAGGCATACTTCTCTTCGACGCAGAATGAGACATTTCTCTTTCAATTCTACCTGTTGTTGGAATAAAGAAACAACAGATTTGGCTCCAATTTCGGGCATCCACAGCAGAGTGGCATGTCGCTCGCTCATTTTTGGCGTAGTGGGCTAAATCCAACAACTGTGGTAGTCACGGCGGCCTTTTGAAGTCGTGGAGGTAAACCTTTACATGCCTCTCCCTCCTCATGTTCTGAGATTGCTCATTCATTTCCCTCACGTTCCATAATGACTAAGAACTTTCACCAGCTTCTGAGAAAAACTGGAAGCTCATCTAGATGCCCGATGAGGATTAAGCTCCGCTGTGAAGGCCTTAGATAGAGGAGGTATAAGAGTCAACAGTTGCTGATTTTAAATGTGCTGGAAAGCAACTTGGAAAGCCCCTTGGCGAGTAATAGTTTGTTGTGATAATTGACCGGACATTTTGGTCGGTGACGACATTTCACGAATCTAGGACGCAACGTCGCCAAACGGCAAATATTTTCTCAGATCTTGTATTCCAGCCAAACATGACGCAGCAGCGCCTCATGAAGGCAGTGAACTGGTGAATGCGCCAAGAAAATAAGGCACTAGTGGTTTAGTGGTAAAATTGGTCGTTGCCATGTCATACGCAGGTTTCGACTAGCCCCCGGTTCGATTCCGGGCTAGTGCATACATTATCTTTTTGCCTCTTCTTTCTTTTCTTTTCTCTTTCTCTTCTTTTCTGGGGATTAGGTTTCACTACTCCCACAGTTTCTACCCTGCTAATTGTCGAATGCCAACCCGGTGGGAATAGGGACAAACGCTTGGCAAGTGGCTTCTTTCTAACTTCCAAGGCAAGGAAAATCGTGCCACTGCCGGCGGCGCGCTCACAAGGGCGAGCTTCATGAGCTACGTCTGGCCAATCAATGCGCGGGGGGATGATCCGTTTCGTCCGTCTTATCCAATATTGCGTCTCGATTCTCAGCACCAAGGTGGCCTGCTGCTCAGGTTGTGTTAGTCGGTCGAGATGGTCTCAGACATGGTCATTGTGCCAAGGAGCTATACATCATAAAAGGACATGAAACCGATCATGAAGAAATGTGTCAACGTTACTCGTAAATCGTATATCTGATACAAGGTTGAGGCTCTATCGCCGTTTTGAACAAAGGTAGAATCTATATACAAGAAAGCAAGTTTCATGCCTCGGACACCTTCCGTCCTTGGGCAAATGATTTTTGTCTTCCGCAAATGCATTCAAAAGCACACTCCTAATTCCACTGAATCATGTTGGTGGTATAAACGCCAGCGCTGGCGCTGTCCTCACAGTACTGCACCCACCCGTCCAGCTCACCCGAAGTCCTCTTAATGATGGTGCTGAACCCGGCATTGCCAACGACGGCGGGATCCCTGTTGCAATAATGATCCCAATCACTCTGAGCAATCGAGGCATCGCCATCGACGCCGGAATCGGGATACTCGATATCGAAGACGGGAAGCTTCGCGCCGTCGGAGCGAGCCGCGCCGGTGATGAAACCCTGGAACTCGCCGCACCAGTCGCCGGAGCCCTGGCAATCCTCGAGGACGGCGAAGTCGACGTAGTCGGCGACGTCGGGGATGAGCTGCTGGGAGTTCTTCTGGCCGAAGAGGAGGGGGAGGCCGCGCTGGGTCTTGAGGCTGTGGGCGTAGGTGGCGAGGGTGCGGATGTAGTTGATGGATTCGGCTTTGGTGAGGGCGAAGCCGGTCTTGTCGCCTGCACTGCCGGAGTCCTGTGAAACAAAAGAGTTAGTTTGGATTTTATTCCCTGCTCATTTCTTGAGATGTGCTTACCCATCCGTCAATGTTGTCGCCGTCGATACCGTCGCAGCCAACTTCGGCGGCCTTGGCCAAGCGCTTCTTCATGAAGTCGATGACGTCGGATCGGCTGGTGTCGATCCACCACTCCGGATAGCCGTCGTAGTCGTTGCCTATGGCATCCTTGGGGAAGCTGGGGTAGTCGGATTCGGACTCCTGAATGGCGCCGAGATTGATATAGCAGATGACCGTGTTGTCAACGCCAGCCGAAGGGGATTTCTTCAGAAAGACTGAGTTAGTACATAATTTCTGCAATATGGAGAGGGAGGGTAGCAGGTTCACTCACCAACTTGGGGATAATGTCAGGGTTCTCGACAGAGTGGAAGTAGTCGACAACCCAGACTTGCGCATCAGGAGGGTTAAGCGGCTTCGTGATGTCAACGGGGTCATCGATGACGATCTGCCACTTAGCACCAGGCTTCCAGGACGAGGGCAGGCCAGAGACGGAGCTAGTGCCTCCCGAGGCAGGGGCTTCGACGGGTGCCGCAGGAGCGGACTCCTCAGAGGTGGATTCCTCGGGGACAGTCGCAACGGGAGCGGAGGGTGCCGGAGCGCTGACATCAGACTCGGGCTCATCGTTCGTGGCGGGAGTCTGCGACGGAGATGTCTTTGGGATGGACACCTCGGGAGATGTTTGGGGACGGGCCCCTTTGGAGACCGACGGGCGGGCGCGAGTGACCTCTACCTCCGGGACGTCGACCTCACCACGGTGCGCGGAAAATGCCGAGAGGTTTTGTCCCTGTCCGGGCCGCTTGCAAGGTCGGCGGGGGAGGGCAGTGGCGCCAGCCGCCAAAAAGAGAGAAATGATCGAAGGACGCATTTTGAATTCTGGATACAAGAACAAGCTTAAGACTCTAGAATGCGGTGGGATGGTCTGAAAGGAAAAAAAAGCTATTGTGTCGGGAGAGAAAGGAATGTGTGGGATCTGTCCGGTGCAGCCCAAAAAATCCAGTTGTTTGAATGAATGAAGAAAAAAAAAGGAATGACAATGATCAAAGTGATCAGGACTGACCAGTGCAGTCTCGAGTTGGAGTGTTTTGAAGAAAGGAATGAATGAAGGTGACCGAGTCCCTGTGGTGGAAGGAAACGGAAGGAGGGTCGGAAGTGAAGGTGGGAAACATGTCACGATAAATACAAAAATCACCATAGATCTCAGCCCTCACCGCAAAGCGCTAGCCCCAGCGACTAAGGATTGAGTGAGATGTGGAATTCAGGGGCGCCAAGATCCGTGGGTTGACACCTCGACAAGATGCCATAGGGCCAAGCATGGTCAGCCCCACGAGCCGCCTTGTCCTTCCATCCGTCATCACAGCAATATTATGCCCTTGACCCTGGTCGTCACGAAAAATTGTGAGCTGAAATGGGGTGGATTAAGCGCCTTTCTAGCTCCTGGGCGGGAGTGTATGCATGGTCAATGATGGTAAGTGGCACTGAGAGAGAGTACGGTGAGACACCGGGAGAAAGATTGGACGATGCTAGGACTGATGGCAAGGATCACGGAGGCAAAGAGGGGAGGATGCGGAGGGGCACTGGCGCGTGCGTCTCCTTTCCGGAGCTTATTTCCAAATGTTTCTCCCTCGAGCGTGCGTCGATATCCTTGCGATGTTTCAAACATTGGGGCCTAAGATTGGATGGATTTTGCCAAGGGATTCCTTCATCCGTGGGCGGTCTTGTTGGTGCCGACCATGGTCAGAGAGGGACAGCGAGACAAACAGTCAAGCAGAAGCCAACTGGAATGAGACGACGAGGGCCCGCTGAGACTTGGCATATGGCGAGATGACATCAAACGGAAGCCTGCGCCTTGAGTCGATTTTTTTCCCTTGAATCAATTGTGTTCCTGAATTCAAGAGAATGTGTGGCGAGGAAAAAAGAAAAATAAAGACGACTGACAGGTCATCTCTCGCCTCCTCGCAACACTGCCGATGTTGCCTTGCTTATTCCCCTGCATATGCGCCCCTGGCGCCCGATCCGGACACCACGGAACTCCCAAAGCAAAACCCGAAAACTGGACAATAAAGCCAACCAAAATCTGACAAAAAAAAAGGGAAAAAAAACTAGTCCCGGAATTCTGCATCCTCCCCTGCAGTTAGTCGTCAATCGCATCGATCCTCAGTGGTGGAAGCCATCCCAGTCGGAGCGGAACCGAAAATAATGTCCCATTTTGTACCATTTGTGGGAATTAAAGGGGCTCTGGTGGCGCCGGACCCATGTGGGCTGTAGCCTGTTGGCACTCAGAAACCCCTCGAAGTGAATCACGCTATTGAGCAATTAAGCAGGGATGGCGAAATAGACTCTGTTGCAAGTCTGTCGATCTGTTTATAGGGCTGAGGGGGAGAGAGGAATTTCTTCCAGCTTCTTGGGAGATTTGGCTATCCGCTCGCACTCCTCACCCGAATTCGGTTAATATTGTCGGTGCTCACTCAAACGAACGGGAGATGGAGATGCAGTAACGTGGCTGGAGGACGATGAAGCCTTGAATGTACGATGCAGAGCTGAGAGAGGAGATGCGATGGCGAACGTCACACAGCAGCAGGCTGGAGGAATAACCCGCTTCGGCCCGTCACATACTTGGAGTTTACTTTCGCACATTCTCTGTCGACGCTTCCGAAGCTCAATTCAGAATTCCCTGTTAATTTTCCAACGAAATTTCGATTCATGCTGGAAATGAAGCCAGGGGCTGAGGATGACGATGGCGGAGATGGAGGGAGGCGGGACCAGCGGTAAGAATTTGACAGCTGCCAAAAAGGGTAAAGTTCAGGGACGCTGGTTCAAACGGGTGCAAAGTACTTTACAAGTGCCAACAGGATCTTGACAGCTGTATACAGTTTTCTTACCACGTGATCTATTTCGTCCTGTAACAAGTGTATTCGGCTGTGATCAAGTGTCCATACTTTGGGAAGTGAATCAGAGGTCCGTGCACAGTCCAGCTGCGGGCAGCTGTGGCGAGCTTCCATTGTCGGGCCGGGTCCAGGTGACCATGTCGGGAATTTAGGAAATGAATCTCTGGAAGCGAAGGATTGACCCGAAGATTGGGAGTGCATTGCAGATCTCCAAATCCGACCTGCCTTCAATCTTCATCTCACGTCAGGTTTGAATAGCCTGATTAACTTCACTCCATCCTCTTGATAATAATAGTTTGTCCATTGTGGAAGGCAGCCGCGAATATCGATACCCCGTCCAGAGCAGCCCTCGGGCCCCTTCTTCTTCTCTCTTGCTCTCATCACGAAGCCGACTGTTCTCAATGGACGAAAATCAGCATCTCATTCTCCGTGTTGTTTGCTCGTCGTCGGGAAGTCGGTGGCGATCTGCCGAGGGCAGGGTAATTCCTGGCGGGAATCTTTGGATCTTGGTCTTCGCTCTGTTGCGGACGTAAACATGCGGAAAGTGTCGAAAGACTTGAAGACCCCGGGCGCGGAATCCTTTGAATTTAATCCCAAGCGAGAGGACCTGCCCTTTTGGCTTCTGCCACCTTCGGATTGCGACAGGAAAAGAGAAAGAGGAAGCACGCATTCCCGGGAGAAATTGATGTTATCACAGTTCCCCCTCTCCCAAAGGTTCCCCTAGAACGGATCTGGGAATCCACGGACCCATGGCACGTGCAATACTACCGCGAACCTATATTGCCAATGCTACTGTGACACTGTCTTATCAACTTATCACCTCTCGCGAAAGGTCCCCAAGTGGACCGACATCTGCTAGTCTTCCTGACATAAAGACTCCTCCTCTTTGGACACGCCTCAAAACATTCTTAAGACTCGCCCGGCTTGGCATTCCCACGTGAGTCCGTCGATCTCTACCTCTGCCAGGTCGACCTGCCATTTACGAGCCGGTAACCTTCCCCTTTTAGCCTGGTCCGTCCTGCGTAAGTCTGCTGTCAGGCGGAGGACGTGCTTCCAAATTAATTAAAGCGCTATCAAAATAAGGCAGGCGATCCGTGGGGTAATGCTGGAGAATCCCGGCCCTCCTCCCGCAAAAAGTACCACTAACTAGCCACTGAGTAGCCACCGATTACCATTGACGTCGGTGCCTAGACCCCGGCTATAGTAGCAACCGCTGTGAAGATTGGAAGAGAAAAAAGTTCCTGTGGTTTATTACCCGTTGATCGATAATCGCGTTCGTGAGATGAGTTTCTCTTGGCATGCGGTTGCGTCTTCCATTGAGGAAAGTGTGCGCGAGGGTTCGCGTAGATTATAGCTACATGACTCGGGCAGCTTCCGTCTACGTCTCGGCCGTGTATATATATTGGGTGTCTTATGCTCCGCAGAAAATAGGAACAAAAGCTCATCTTGTCCTCCACGAGCCTTCTTCATTCTTTTTACTCCCCCTTCAACCTCCCGCCCTCGCTTGCCCCCCCCGTTAATCAGAGGTCTTTCCAACCTCCACTCATTTTAAGAGCCGCTTAATCTATCCTTGCATCCAAACATGAGGTTCACCACCGGTTTACTCGCTACTGCCGCCCTAGGACTTCCAGCCCTCGGCCTCGCTGGCGGAAAGGGCGGAAAGGGCGGCCACGGCGGCCAGTGCAGCAAGCCTCTCGTCAGCTCCAAGAAGCTCCAGCAGCACATCAAGCTCAAGGACCTCCTTGCCGGCTCGCAGAAGCTCCAGGATTTCGCCGACGCCAACGGAGGCAACCGTGTCTTCGGCAGCGGCGGTCACAATGCCACCGTCGACTATATCTACGACACCCTCAACTCCCTCAACTACTACAATGTCGTCAAGCAGCCCTTTAACGAGATTTTCTTCGACGGAGATGCAACCATCTCCGTCGATGGTAAGGAGCTTAACAGCACCATCATGACCTACAGTCCCGCTGGAACCGTTAGCGCGAAGCTCGTCCTTGCCACGGGTCTCGGATGTGAGGCTAGCGAGTTCCCTGCTGAGGTCGAGGGCAACATCGCTCTCGTCTCTCGAGGAACTTGTACTTTTGGCGCGAAGGCCACCAACGCCAAGACAGCTGGCGCGGCGGGTCTTATTGTGTACAATAATGTCGAGGGCACGCTCAGCGGCACGCTTGGTGACGCCTTTGGCGAGTATGCGCCCGTCGTGGGCGTTAGCCAGGCTGACGGCGAAGCGCTCGTTGCTGCGGTCGGAGCTGGTGAGGTGACGGTTGACTTTAAGGTCGAGGCGACTGTTGAGGACCGCGTCAACTTCAATGTTATTGCTGAGACCAAGGGAGGTGACCACAACAACGTGCTCGTCCTCGGAGGTCACTCCGACTCTGTTGCCGCGGGTCCTGGTGTCAAGTGAGTTTTTGGCTCGAAAAGAGGAAATTGGTTCGTGGACGCTAACAATGACCGCAGTGATGACGGATCCGGCTCCATTGGCATTTTGAACGTCGCTATTGCTCTCTCCAAGTTTAGCGTCAAGAATGCCATCCGATTCGCCTGGTGGGGAGCCGAGGAATACGGCAAGCTCGGATCGTACTACTACATCAAGCAGCTTAACACCTCCTCAACCGAGCTCGCCAAGATCAGGGCCTATCTCAACTTTGACATGGTGCGTCATACCTACTTCTTCTTTTCGTCCCCCACAGTCTTCAAATGAACCCAAGCTAAACTTCATCAACAGATCGCCAGCCCCAACTACATCTACGGCATCTACGACGGCAACGGCGACGCCTTCAATCTCACCGGCCCCGCCGGCTCCGACGTCATCGAGAAGGACTTCGAGGACTTCTACGACCACAACCGCGTCGGCCACGTTCCCACCGAGTTCAGCGGCCGATCCGACTACGCCGCTTTCATCGAGAACGGCATCCCCTCCGGCGGTCTCTTCACCGGTGCCGAGGGTCTCAAGACCGAGGCCGAGGCTAAGCTCTTCGGTGGCGAGGTGGGCGTCGCGTACGATGTCAACTACCACCAGAAGGGCGACGACATCAACAACTTGGCCCACGACGCGTATCTGCTCAACACGAAGAGCATCGCTAACTCCGTTGCCAAGTACGCGCTTAGCTTCGACTCGCTTCCGGCTGTGAACAAGGCGAAGAGGGGCTGGAGCGAGGAGAGGACGAAGTTTGTGAAGAGGGAGGATGGTGCTGGTCATGGACATTATGCGCATGATCACGTTGGACCTTGCGGCGGTGGTGCTGCCATTTAAGCTGGCGTTGTTTGTTAGGTGAACCCATGATATTTTTGCATTTAGGAAGGGGGCAAAAACGGAGTTGTTAATATTCTGGAGCAGCCGGACGAGGGGATTCGGCTTTTAGAGACTTGGTTGTCTTGTATGAAGTATCTAATGCATAATGTAGCCTTGATGAAGATTTCGGATGTGGAATAAAAGCCTAGCTGAGAAGAACAGTGATCTTAAAGTGGTTTGTTGACAAGTCTTTGCAGACTCCAGTAGGTCCAGAAGGAAATCCCCAGCCTAATGCTCAACGACGCCGGCACTAACTATGTTTGCGTGCCTCCCCTCCTCGTGCTTGCTATCCGTGACGGCTCGCATTTGAGTATCAGCAGCATCAGACTAGCCGCCACCCTCTATTTTGGCAGTGCCCAGTCGGTTTACTATCTTCGAAAGAGATCCGAGCGGTTGTGTCAACAATGATCGATTCATCTAGATAGAACCTCGCCGTGTAATCTTCCGTCCTTTTACCAATTGCAAGCCAAGAAGTTGGTCTCGCGTTTATGGGATCCCTTTCGGAAGGTTACTTCGCGGTTCTTTACACTTGATTCGCATGCTCTGGCTCTGGTGCCCGCGGGCGTTGCCGATGTCCTTGTGGCGGAACTTAAACCAATTCTATATCGAGTCGTAGAGGTGTTGTTAGCCACCCAGAAAGACCTAGCTGGAGCTCCACTCTGGAAGGAAAAGCTGCGACTTAAAGACCATTGTTCGAAAGCCTGGGCCCCAACACCCCGAGCCGAGGGTGCTGTCATATTATCTGCTCCATCATCGGTGGCGCTGATTCCCATACAGTCCCAGTTGGCCGGGAAAAAACCGCGAGGGGGATCTTGCTAATGTCCCTACCTTCTTGGTCAAATAGGATTGCAGAGAATGAGGGAGGTATTTTCCGATTTGAAAAAGGGTTGTCCTGGTCTAAGACAAAAGCAATCGAGGCCAATCAAGGCCCAAGTTAGAACTGTGGTGGGTGGGACAACATGTCAGCCTCTAACCGGTACGGTTATAACAGCTGATGGACCTCAACTCATCCATGCTGATGACCGCTTTGAGTGGCTTAAAACGGAAATTTGTGTTCCTGTACATTCACATTGTGATTAGCCCTCGTCCTGATAGAATAGAGCGCTTCTTTGGTCCCAAGTTCTCAGAGTTAGAGTTTCTGGTTCTGGACAGGATGATGTGGTTCCACGTCGGACATGGCCATGACCACGATCTCCCGGAATAGTGATTCTTCGGCCGGACACGGGGCAACCAGGGGGACGAGCCTAGGTTAATCTCCTGCCTTCTTCATTGGGCGACGCGAATTTGCCGAAAAGAAGAAGCGCAAATAAGAGACAGCAGAAAGAATGAGGCAGGGCTCGGACAGGCCAGATGGGACAGAGGCTGACCTAACAACCTACTTCAGAAGAAGTGGTTCGGAAAGAGGTTCTCTGGTAGACTTGAATTAGTGGAATGGGAACGAGAGTTGGGGAATCTCGCGGTGAGCACCAAGGAAGATGGGATATGCAAGACGAGGTTGAGCCCGCCACCTGCTTATGACAACGCTCTCTTACTGGCACATGAGAACGTGCTGGCCCGGCACTTTGTCATTAAGTAAGCCAGGTCGTGCCCGAACACACGTGTAGGCCGTGGGCGGCCCTGACCCAGAGAGTCGTACGATAGTAGCTGTTTACGAATCTTTCAGCATCGACACAACATGAATCCTGTGTGTTGTTCTTGAGAAGGAAGGCAAGAGGGACGGAGGCCCGTGCCGCCGGTGCCACGAGAAAGCCTTGCTCCAGTACAGAATCACCGCCCGCTTACACTTGTCTCTCACGATCCGTGATCACTCGAAGCAATTTTGGAGTCCCTGGTACCCCCCATTTTGTTCTGGTTTCTTCCTTTCCTTTTCACCAACATCGCACAACACCTACCTTAACACAAGTTCTCCTATGTTAACAAACAGCTTCTGAAAATATAAGTTCCATCCTTTGCAATGACGTGTGGCCTGTCATCACACGAATCCATCGTAGGTGGTTCTAGGATTAACTTCAATGAAGCCGTGTTCAACCCACCTTTCATGTTCAACAAGAAACGTATGAGACGGCTAAAATATATAATCGCCGTCGCGACATATCAATTTCGGCCTTGGATGACCCATCGAACAGTAATCGTGTAAGCCCACAGTCCAACGAAGATTCTGATTTACGGAGATGATTCTAACGAACGTAGAAACGGTCCTCACACCACTATTTTCGATCGAATGCACCACATAACAGTGGACTACTATGATGAATTCTACAGATATTTAGGCAGATATCATGTGCCATGTCTACCGTGACCGTGACGTAAGGCTATCCCTTCAAGAAAACAGAGCGGTTGGAGGCGAGGAGCTGGGGCCGGTTAAGCAGTTTAGTTGTCGTTCTGTAGGGATCGAAGTTTGTAGAGGTGTGTTGTTTTGGGGGTTACGGTGACAGAATCCGAAATGCCAAGTAGAGGCCGGACACTTGAAGTACAGTAGTTTTTTGACAAATAAAGAATGGCATCCTGACGCCCTTATCACGACAAACCACCTTTCCCTGAGAAAATAATCTTGGTCACGAGGGAATCATCTTCCCCGGCCCGGGAGATGAGATATTGTAGCTCGCCCTAACTCTTCCCATCACTTACAAGGCGTTTCAATGCTCATCACTTAAGCTAAGGCGAGCACAGTATCCTACATGTAAACAAAACTGGTTCCCACCGAGCTTCTGGCTGCGAGGACGCGGCTGAAGCGAGGCCAATGGTCGACACAAAGGATCGCGAACTGGCTCTCGTCAGACTTTTTGTGTTCCTTCCTCTTGAATTCGGAGTCGTGGATGCCTCCCTGGCTTTTGTTCTCATCTCACGTCCTTATTTATTTCCTCCCACAGTCACCTCCTGAAGAATCTCTCTTCTACCATCATCACATCTTCTCACCAACCATCTTTTTTAGTCCCATCTCAAGGTGTCCTTCCTCGTCCCCACTCCATCACTTTCCTTTCCCCGTCCCTGTTTATCAAAATCGTCATCTCCCATACTAATTGGCACTCCCCAGGAACGATGGATAATAAAACACCCTTATCAACAAAGTAAGACATCCTAATATCCCTGCATCCACCACCTGAAGACATGCTGACAATGACAGACCACCAAACCGTCCGCCGCAATGGCATCAGGGCCGAACAAACCCCGTGTTGCCTAGTGGATGGATTAAAAACCGAAGCCCCGAAACGAGTTGGATCATGCATAACAACAGGCGGAAACGGATGCAGAACTCCTGGAGAAAAAGCCAGGACTCACGAGACAGTGGAGCAAGCCCCTCTTCAGCGGCTCGTGATGACCAACCGATCATGGCATTAGACAGTATTGTATTCGAGCCTCTTGACACATGTTCATCGGACCCATCCCGACGAAGTCGATACCAACAAGCTGTTGCTGAGTTTTGTGGCCGACCAGCAATGGCTGGAGGGGCGTGTATTGTGTAAGTCAAGATATAACCAGACCACCCATAGAGAGAGAGAGAGAGAGAGAGAGAGAGAAGGTGTGAGGCTAACTTGATCTTAGATCACCTCCTCACAAAAGTGATGCCGACCTGCGAGAGCATATTACCGCAGATTATTTTGACCGCTGGGGACAGCTGATCGGGCGGTACCACATTCCGTGTCGCCGCTGATCGGCCATCCCCAGTGAGAACGTGAGTCGCCAGACTATCAGCTGATGAGATTTTCTTTCCAATGGCGACTCTATTTGGAGAGATTGGATATGGCTTCTTTTCGGGTTGTGGTGCAACGGAACATGCGATTTGTACGAATCTGATCGACAAAAGCGTTCCTAAAATCGACTGCTAAGTCTACACAGAGCAGAGTTGGAGTAACAATTTGACATGGGCTTACCCTCAACTTGGAGGCTTTACCTGTGGCACTATGAACTGAGACACAATGGTAGGTTTCCGTTCGTCCCGCAAATATTCAAACAATGATCCTCCTCTTTCCACTTTCCAGAACTAACTCACCGATGATCCGCAGCCTTCAATCTCTTCTGATCGCGTTGACCTTTCATTAAACGATGCCTTCTCGAAAGAAAAAGCAATACGCAAGTAACTCATACTCGAAAAGGAATAAATCCCACGGTTCCGACCCAACCGCGAAGCTTTCACTTTCCTATGCCTTAATCTTTGGATGGCCATGGGCCAAACATGTACGACAATCGGCATCCCGGCACACCCCATCGCTCGGCGCTGAATCTAGAGCCGATCATTCAGTTGTTATTCTAGGATGTCATAGACCGAGGGTGTCGGGGTGACTGGGACAGGGCAAATTGCGTGGCCGATCTGGCGCGACTCCTTTTCAGTTTATGATTCGATGGAATATTCTTCGTATCCCTACGAACCTGATGGACTAAAGAGTTGCCAAACTAGATTTCCAAGTCTACCAAGAACAAGGTTGTTGACTTATAAGATAGAAATATTTGTGTATTGGTGCTTGGAGGCTCGGGCAAAAGCATGCGAATTGCTAAAGTAGAGGCTGGACACTTAGAGGAGCCGTGGGTTTGACGAATAAAGAATAACATCCTGACAGGCTCATCGCGGCAGAAGTACTACGTATTCTTATTCCCGAGTGAGGCACCAAGACCTTTTGAGTCTTGTTAGTAATGAAGATATACTAGCTCGTCTGTTACAGTGTCGTAGCTCATCACTTATCCCCAGGCAACACTACATCCTACGTGTAAACAAAACAACCAAAAGTGGTTCCCACCGCGTTTCGTTTCCTGCTGCGAAGCCGAGCCTGTTTTTGACAGAACGAGGCAAAAGTGGACGCAATAGAGCGCAAAGTACCCGCTCCAGTCGGACTTTCTATCTTCCTTCCTCTCGGGTCTGGCTGTGGATGCCTCCCCGACTTGTGCTCTCCCCACGAGTCTCCACATCCTCCTGTACTCTGGACAGCCTATATTTTATCTTCTCCTCAATCCACTTGTCCCAAAATCCTCTCAAGTGTCCTTTTTTCGTCCCCAATCTACCCTCCCTCATTCCCCCAAATTATCCTCTCCTTTTATCATAATTACCCCACACTCCCTAGGGCAAGATATATCCAAACATTCCCAAGGTCAAGAGGTGTCCAGACACCTACCAACAGAGTAAGGCATCCCATGCCTGAATTCACCACCTGGTTAGATTATCCATACAACTGCCCTAGCCAAGAAGAAATATCATAGACATGCTGACGATAACAGATCACTGAACCCATCGAAAACAGAAAACTGACAACCAAAACCCAATATCCCCAGCCGCAGGGGATGAAGCCTAAAGCCCTGCTCGTTACTAGTCGGGTAGCCAACAGCAACGCGCTGAGAGGGAACCCAGGGCTCACGTCATAATGAGACACGCGATCGACGAGGACCCAATATACGAAAAAAAAAAAAAAAAAAAAAAAAAAAAAAACGAAACAAGAAATAGTTGTTCCAGGACTGAGCGATGTTCGTCGCAGACTCACAATTGGGAGACCTCGCGCTGGAAATCATCGTATTGGAAGAAGGAGCGCGGATTGTGTAAGTCTAAATATAGCTGGACTGTCCATGGAACCGAGACATACAGCGAGAGAGAGAGAGCAGCTGTATACTGACTTGGCCTCAGTTTCTTCGCTGCGACCAACTGTGGATTATACTGGCCACAATGCGGTAGGAGCTGAGGCGGCATCTGTCGCCGCTGATGACGTTTCGTATGTGTCGGGCAGTTTCCCGGGGTTGGTAAGACTGGTCTGAAAGAAATGCTACGTGCACATCCCGGAGACTGACAGCGAAATAGAGCCTTACAGCGCGGATTTAAACTATAACTCGGCTGGGGTGATAAGACTAGGAGCAAGTGAGGTTTGCATCTACCGTTGTCGAATGCGCAGGACCATCAGCCGGTGCGATTGTCTTCCCGATGGTGACCCTACTGGGATAGATCTGACGGCTCCTTTTCAGTTTGCGATGTACCTCAGTATAGATCTCTATATACATTTGAGCGAACATTGCTTCGTATGTCTACGAATCCGATTGACAAAATTGTCCCCAAAAATAGACAGCTGAGTCCACCGAGAGCAAAGTCGGAGTAGCAAGTTGGCTTGGTCTGACGCTTGATCTGAAGGGGAGCTTTAATGGTAAGTTTCCGTTTGTCCCGCAGATATTTAAACATTGGTCTCTCTCACCCTTCTCTTTTCCGTTTCACAAAGCTTATCGATCCGCAGTCGCCAGCCTTCCTAAATCGTCATCGAACCACGTTTTCCCAAGAAGAAAAACAAAAGGCGAAGCGAAAAATTCTCAAAAGGGACGAAGATGTACACCCCAACTGGGAAGCTCCTGGCTTTTATGTGTCTCAACCTTCCGGTGGTCATGGCACAAACATCTACGGTTATCGTCATACCGACACCCATGGAGTGGCAGGAAGCCCGCTCTTATTGCGGACAGATCGGTCACCCCGACGGACCCGGCCTATCGTGTTCTCGAAGCACAGCCGAATGATAAGTACTGGATTCAACGTCGGGCGGGAGGGTCCTGTACTTGTTTGAATAGAAATTTGGGTGGGGATCAGTTGGAGGAGGCACCTTGCGGCGACTTGCTGCCATTCTTCTGCAAGGCGTAAAGATCAATTGATGGTGGTTTGTGTAGGAATACGGAGTGGTTTGAGGGAGTTAATGACAATTGTCAGGTGTCCTGTCACGTTTGGCTCACGTACAGCTGAGCTGCATGGCAACAGAGAGGTGCCTCAAGTGTCACGACCAGGGTCACTTGACTGTAAGTAGTCTTATATAGCTACTGCGTTGGCTGTCCTTACATGGCTCTCCTACCCGACTGACTAGAGCCCGTTATATGGTTTCCGAACCCCGAGCTTGATGTCACTGTCGTCTATCTTGATATCCTAATGCTATTAGAGTGGAGGCGCACTTTGATAACGAACTCTGGTACATCAATATCACTGTCCCTATTGTTTCCCTGCAGGCTCATCAACTGGTCACTGCTACGCATCCCGGTCTGGTAAACCTTCGGCTAGGTACCCGGAGTAACGAATGGACTTTATCTCCCCTAAGCCTAAAAATCAATACTCATAACAAGCGAACGATGATGCGAAAGTCGTCTAAGCACGATTACGTGGCTCGAACCAAGGAACCTGGAACCAAACAGCTATCATTGAGCGGTTTTCATAGTCGACCAAACGGACTGGTTTTAAGCGAGTTGTGATAAGCTGCTGACACTATCGGGGCAATTGATGGCGCGATAGGCAGACGCGTGGTCCAGGTTCGCTGCCAGCCGACTGGGTTGACTTCCGGGTTCCTACTCAACTAGCGACTATGCGTTAGAACATCGACAAGAACCACCCCACCCCCAACCCTACTGGGGTTCCGAGGGAGGTTGGGCAATATAGCATGATAAGATAGTAGGGATCGCAGAATCAGACCTGGCCATGGCGTCTTCACATGGCTGCGAGAGTGATATGTGGCATCCGCCATCTAAACGTGTCTTGGAGACATCGGCTTAGGTATTGCGCGGCCTTTTGGGGATCTTCAAGTGCGGGAGCTGCCGCAGCGAGGGTTGAGATCAATTGAGGGAATCAATTGTGAGATTTCTTGGCCAAGAATCCGGGCTTCTCGTGTTTGGGAATGGGCGCTGAGGAGGAGCAGGAAACAAGTACTACTGTGTGCCATTCAAATCGGATGCCAAAATTTACTTTCCACTTGCCTAGAAATAACTAACAGGGAATGGATACTTGGCCTCCTTGTCATGACTTGGATCAACAAGTTCCATCTCATGACTCTCTTGGCCATAGATTTCGGCCCTTTCAATACAAATGTAGTAGTCACTAGGTTGGTTACATCTCGAATAATTTATTGCTTCCAGGTCCATCTTGAGTCTATGCCCCCGTTCCAATGGTCATGGCAGGATGAAGATTGGAGAGGGCTGCGGGTCGAGATCTTCAGATTCCATGCAGGTCGGTTGTTCGGGTAGATCATAGAGGGCTGGTCGGGCGTACTGGGATTTTGCATTTATTTGAAGTGGCAATCACTTTCTTGGAGCCGTGGATTAAAAACGATCTGCATTCCACTGGAAACGATTGTCTATCCTTTTTCAGATGTCTCCTTCTGGCGGGCATCTCGGCCTTAGCTACGACTACGGTTCGGGCGGCACTGGGTAATAATACACGTTCTTACGAAGGAGAAGGGCCAGTTCCATGATAGAATGAGGGAATGAGGGAATGAGAGAGAAAAGTAGAGTAGAGCACAACGAAACTTGTATTGGAGCAGCTAATTTGCCAATTCACTTGGATAAATCGAGACTTTGGTCTTAAGTGGAAACCCTAGTCTTCTGATACACACCAGTCGCCCAGCACCAAATTTCCGAACCGGATGCTACATGAACCAATAAACAACATCCCGAATGCGATTGGCCGTGCATTAAATTGCCGTGGGAAGCCAGCAGGATGCAGTTGAATTAATCTGGATTGGGGCATCAACTGTTCAAGGACGGAGCTCGTCTCGTGCAGCAACCACGGATCGGCACACGTTCAAGCAGTCTATCTGCGACGGTGCTCCGCGTTCGATAAGCCCAATTTAAACGTTCTGTGCTGCCAGGGGGAGTAAAAGTGATGGTCCCCCTCCCGGCCGAGCTCGACACCCAATCAACTGCCGAAACCAGGAAGCCAAGCTTCCATCCCGGGGGCGATCGAATTCTGCCCGAGATGCTGGGGTATGAAGAAATGCAGCGGTGCAGCGTAGAAGCTTCATTTTATTCTCCCTCCCCATCCTCGGCTTTTCGAACTCGATAATATTCTGATGAGGGCTATAACAGCTGTCGGCGCCGTCAAGGGCGAACTGTCTGTATTTCCTAATCGGAGACTGCTCACGGGAAGCTTCCGGGGGGTGAGCTTCTTCTTCCTCGATATTGGGCTCGAAATTGGATGTACCGCGAGTGGCGACTCAGAGGACGCAGGAGTGCGGAACCGGTTATATTGCACCACAACAGACCAGTGCCGATGCCGTGATGCATGCGCTTTTGCGATGGAGGGTTGCTTGGCCGTGGGGATCGACTTTCTCTGGGTTGCTTTATTACCGACGGAGCATGACATGGGGAGATAGGAAGTAGATTGCTTCTAATATCCGATGGATGTTGATCTGGAAGCATAGACGTCTAAACCGACACTCACGAGTCACGGCACACGGAACTGACAGAGACATCTATACATCAGTTGATATACACACAGGCGTAAACTTGGCTATTCCGGGTTCGCTCTCCCGAACCCCACAATGTTTCTCTTCTGCCAAGTGCAATTATTTGAAGTTCTTCCTTATATATAAATAAAAGCACTCGGAACGTCTTGGATTTCTTGGCTGCGCCGCAATTCTACTCCTCTAATCTCACGTGGGAAGAATCGCCTTGAACTTCAACGGCGTGCTGGCACCGAGTGACTGAGCAGAAGAGGGCGATCCACGATCTAAACAGAAATCAGAGAAAGAGGAAAAAGGAATACCGGACCATGGTCGTACAACAAGTGGCCGTATCCCATCAATACAAGTGATCCCAGCCCAAGATCAACGTTCCTTTCCTTATCCGTCGCACAAGTTTACGACTCAACCAAGACTACCCCTCGACGCGACCGTCACTTGCAGGAACATCCCTTTTAACCTACACACCCAATCGCGAAGATGGTCAATCTTAGACGGGCAGCCATCTTCCTCATCTCCTTGGTGCCGTTTGCCGCCGGGGCGTTCGTGCAGTCGGAGGGGTCGGAGGCAAACGCGTCGAGGTCGGAAAAGTCGACCGGCATCCCGGGCAAATACATCATTACGCTCAAAGAGGGCACCACCGACGCTACTACCGCGTCCCACTTAGCTTGGGTGCAGAACGTCCATAAGCGGAGTCTTGATGGACGAAATCTCAAGGGTGTCGAGAAAACGTACAAAGCGGCTAGATTCCGAGCATACGCGGGGGAGTTTGACGATGCGACGATTGAGCAGATCAGGAACCACCCAGAGGTAGGATGACATTAAATCTCCAACCACTTTTCTCTCAACCCCTCTCTCTCTCTCTCCGCCCTCGAGCACACACGGCGTTCGTTGGAATCACCGTGCCACGGTCCAGTAGCCTAACATCTTTTTCGCCTTAGGTCGAATACGTCGAGCCCGACCAGATCTTCAGGATAACCGCCGTCGCCTCACAGCAAGAAGCAGAATGGGGCCTCGGCACCCTCTCAAGTAGGACCCCCGGCTCCAAGATTTACACCTATGACTCTTCCGCTGGAAAAGGAGGCTACGCGTACATCATCGACACCGGTCTATTCAACCAGCACCCGGAATTCAACGATGGCCGCGCGCAGTTGGGTCAAAACTTTGTGCCGTTCACCCGCTTTGTCGACAATGCCGGTCACGGCACTCACGTTGCCGGGACCATTGGTGGCAAGACTTATGGCGTGGCTAAGGCTGCTACGCTCGTTTCCGTCAAGGTTCTGGATAATGAAGAGACTGATGGCTCTATCGTCCTGCAGGGATTGCAGTGGGCCATCCGCGATATTGTCGACAAGGGTCGGCTGGGCAAGTCGGTTATCAACATGTCTCTTGGTAAGGATAAAAAAGATAATTTGCCATTTCCCCCTCTCGCCCCTCGCCTCTGTTCTCCTAAAATGGAGCTTCACTTCTAACGTCCTTTTTCTGTTCCTAGGTGGCAATAGACTTTACGCGTTGAATGCCTTGGTCCGAACAGCGTACGACGCAGGCATCCCAGTCGTAGCGGCTGCCGGAAACGATGACACCCTCGCATCCCAGAGCTCGCCCGGCTCGCAACCCAACGCCATCACAGTCGGCGCCATCGACGAGAACTGGGAAGAGGCGTGGTTCTCCAATTACGGCCGAACCGTCGACATCCTCGCGCCCGGTGTGAACATTCTCTCTGCCTGGAGGCAGGTTAATGCCACGGGGCCCAATACCTTAACGCTCAACGGAACGTCCATGGCCGCGCCGCACATTACGGGGTTGTCGGTGTATCTCATGATTGCTGAGAACATCACCACGCCGGATGCACTCACGGCTCGGCTCAAGGCGCTCGGGACGAAGAATAAAGCCAAGAAGTTGAAATACGAGACCCCTAATCTAATTGCTTATAACGGAATCGCCTAAGACAGGGCACGTAACGAATTGTTTGATCGAGCTTATCATCGAAGTGTCAGAGGGACGACGGGCTCTCGAAGGCCGAGCGACTGGAGTAGGGATTCAATTGTTTATTTAGTTTTATTTGACCTATTTTCTTTATCGTCTAGTATACCGTAGGGCAGGCATGATGCTATTTTGAATTTTTTTTTTCTTTCTTTTCCTTTGGCCTCCCTTTCTAATTTTTCGCCCTTTTTTATTTTATCAATCTTAGTATATTTTTCCTCCCAACTGTGGTTTCCATTTTCCTTATGTTTCTATTATTTTTCTTCTCCTTTACTTAACTGTTGCAGCATTGAGGACGAAGTCGATACGCCAAGCTGGAGTGTAGAGTAGAACGAAGATAAATTTCTACAGGACATAGGAAGGTTATATTATGCTGTCAACGTCGCGGAAAGTCCCTTTTGTCCCGAAGACAACGCCCGAAGGAGTCAAACGTCAAAGCTCTCCTGATATCTGGGGGATGTGTTGATGGATGTAACTATACCTCAAGAGAGGCACAATTTCACAAATGATTTAACGTTAATGGCAATAATGTACGTACCATTCTTGGTGGGCCTATTCCAGATCGCCAGCGATTTGACAGCGCCAGGAAATCTCGAAACTCAAACTGGAACCTTTTCCCTCCCTCTCTTCTCCTTTTTAACCCAATCCCAATTCGATCTAGCCCATTTTGTGTGGGTCCGGCACAAGCACCCCAGACCCGAAACTTTTTAACTCCGTCATCCACGCAATTTTTTTCTGGATCCCCGAGCCCCGAGATCCGAGATCCCCGGTATTGAGGAGAAAAAGACACAAGCAATGGATTCAACAAAATGGCGCGTGTCCAAGGCCTGCCAAGAGTGCCGCGTCAAGAAGATAAGATGCAACGGCGAGGACCCGTGCCAGCGGTGCCAGGTCCGCCGCCTCGTCTGCGTCTACAGAGCCAAGGCCCGAAACAGGGCGAAAAGGATTCCGCTGGCGCCGGGTTCGAGCATCGCCTCGTCGGATGATAGTCGGCCGACGGCGGCTGCGGCTGGGACTGGCGCGGCGGCGTCCGCGAATGCGGGGGTTCGGCCGGCCGAGGAGCAGATAGAGGACACCGCCAGTCCGAGTCTTCACATCCATAGCGTGGCGGCTACGCATCGCACGTCGCCGTCGTGCTTCCTCGAGCTATACTATGGCCCGTCTTCCAATTTCTCGATGCTGCATTCGATATATCATCAGATGGAAGGCACTGCCGTGGCGCCCGGCTCGCAGAGGGATGTCGAGGAGGTCGGGCCGGGCTTGGACCTCTTTAGCAACCGGCGCCTCTTCTTCGGGGACTGGATCGATAGCAAGACCTCGTTGCCGACACCGAACGACTATTCAGCCATGTTCTTGGATCGCGCGTTGTCTCAACGTCTGGTGGAGACGTATCTTTCGACATATTGGCACGTCCTTCCTGTCATACCCCAGTCCGAGTACCGACGGCAACTCGACAGGTTACATAGATCCCCGGCGATATTCTCGTACGATTCTGCAGACAACATCATCGTCATGCTGGCCATGGCGCTTGGAGCGTCTGTTTTGGACGAGGACCACGTTGCCGAGTTTCTGTTCCAAAAGGCGAAGAACGGCGCGGCGAAGCTGGATGAGCTGGTGAATGTCCAGGCTGTCCAGATTGCTTTAATGATGATAAGTCTGCTGCCGAGGAAAAAGTGAAGAGAACTCAACTAACTGTGTGTGTGTGTGCACGCCCATTTTCAGGCTGAAAGAGCACGACCCAATGCTGGGTTTCTCCATACAGGAACGGCGGTGAGGAAGGCCGTCGCCGCTGGTTTGCACAAGGACGTAAATGGGCGTCGTGGGCAGAATCAAGAAGAAGTATTACGTGGGCGAAAGACATTATGGAGCTTATATTTTTGGGAGACGTACGTCTTACATTTAAAATGGCCTCAGATTCTTTGGAATTCCCCACTTCCTCCTTTATATTAACATGCTTCTTTTCCTAGGTGGACGTGCTTCAGCCTCGGTCGACCGCGGTCGATTCCAGAACCAGGGTCGAACGTACCGGTACCACCGCAGGATCGGTTTCTGAACTCACTCGTGATGTTATCTCGGATCATGTCCAAGTGCTCCTCTAAAATCTACGACGACCAACATCACTCCATCTTGCCGTTGTGGCACGCGGCGAACGAGATCCGCCGTGAGCTTCACGAGTTTGCCGAACAGCAGCGAAAGGACATGAACTTTGGGCTTGTTGGTGATCCGAATACGGGGGAGCTCGGCGTGTGCCAAACCATAATATCTACGAGCAAGTGTCCTTTTTTACTTCTTCTTGACTGAAGCGCAGGCGGCGCAACAATTTGAGCATTATCTAGAGGAAACTAACCGGATCTTCTATCCTAGTGTACCACCATACTCTTCTGCTCACGTTTAGGCCGTTTCTAGTTTTGCGAGCGAAATTAAAACGACAGACGGAAAGACCAGACGGCTCCGGGGTGGCACAACCAGCGTCACCACCTTGGCTGGATACGGCGGCTGAATATTGTCTAGACGCTGCGCGGCACTCCATCGGCTTTCTTGCCGGAGCATGCGAGCAAAATAGCTTCTGCCAGGTAGGGATACAATCCGAGAGACTATCTCGATCGACGTTGTGGCGAGGAGCTGCATCAAGTCATTCTAACACCGTACATTCAGGGAATCAAGTATCACCTCTTCTTCCTCGAAGGCGCCAGCTACGTCTTAGCCTTTGACATGCTCCAAGATAAACCCTCCTGCGACAGGAACCTCCCCTGGATCATCACAGCGTTAAAATGCATAAAATCCATCCTCCAAAAAGGCAACTCGACTTCCGTAACAATGAACCCCCTCATGGTCGCCATCGAACGCATGATCACGTCAGTCCTCCCTGATTTCCGCCTCGACGCCGCTTTGGCCTCGATACAGGACGGGGGGTCCCACACCGTTCCCCCCACCCAACACGAGTCCGCCGCTTCCGAGGTTCCCGGCCCGAATCTGACCTATCCGGTACCGGACTCGACGTGCCTGTACCCATCCATGCCCTTCGGCTTCGACATAAACGGGCCCCTGGTCGCGCAGTCGCCCGTCATGGGCTCGCTGGACGATCAGGTGGATATCACGGCGGCGGACATGGGGTGGAATTTCGACCTGGGCACAATGGATATGGAGGCTTTTTTATCTATAGATGCGAATCAGCAGTTTAATTTTAGCACGTAATTTGTGCGTTTTTCGCTGGGCTGGCCAGTCAACGCCGAGAGATAAGCTTCGTGCTCCAGCGTTTTGTCCTCTTTCCCCATCCACCTGCAGTTTTGTTGGCCCTCCAAGTTTTTTTTCTGTGGAGCAATGGAGCCGCGACGCCTCGAGGCTCCGCTCTTCTTTCTCCCGATTCTCGGCCGCGCTAGAAAGTGACTTCGCTTTTGCAGGAAGTTTGAGTGAGCGCGTTCGTACCTTGTGGAGATCGAGCCCGGAAATATGGAAATACGGATCTAGGGAAACTCGGAAAGTCGGCCATGGATTGATAATCACAAAAGAAGTAATGGAAGATATATAACAAATGTCGAGTCTGAAAGTATCTTGCATGTCTCTCGAAAGTAAAAGAGTAGGTGTGGCTTCAAGATTCGTTCTTTTCCTTCTGTTTGACTTCTTTTTTGTGTTGTTCTAGCCCGAGCTGTGGTGGTTTTTTCCTTTGCCGTCACGATGCATACATCCGGGTCCGAGGCCACGCTCGGGGACCTCGTCTCGGTGGCCCAGGGCCAAAACAAGCATAAAAATACCGAAACTTTCCACCAGGGTGGGAAATACCACGCTTCGAGTAGCGATACCGATGTGGAGGTTGGAGAACAGCAGGACGTGGGGAATAACGAGAAGGACTTTATCCAGAAGCGTCTGACTCTCAGCTTCAAGTCAGTAACTGTGCTGGTGAAGGCGCCAGGGGAAGCTTTGGGAGAGACTTTGTGGTCTAGAGTTGACCCAACGCAGCTGCTGGGATACCTAAAACCAAATGCGCTGCGGAAAAGAGTGAGATTGAAGTTAGATCATGCTGAATTGAAGACGTGCTAATGCAGTTTGTTGGCAGGCAATACTCCATGATGTCACTGGACAGGTCAATCCGGGAGAAATGGTATTCAGAAAACGAATCCCTGTAGAGTTTCGTGTATCAAGAGGCAATTTGTGCTAACTGCTATCCTGTTTCCAGCTTCTGGTTCTCGGCAGACCAGGAGCCGGATGCACCTCACTTCTCCGCGTCCTTTCCAACCACCGAGAATCCTTTAGCGAAATCCGGGGCCAGGTGAGCTACGGAAGCATGACGCACAAGGAAGCCAAGAGGTTCGGGCAGCAGATCGTCTTCAACACGGAAGATGACATTCATTTCCCTACCATGACTGTCAACCAGACTATGAAGTTTGCGCTGCGGAATAAGGTCCCGAGGGAAAGGCCTGAGCATGTCGAGAAGAAGACGCAGTTTGTTCAGGATAAGAGGACGGGTATTCTTGAGTCGCTTGGTATTGGCCATACGCAGAAGACGTTGGTGGGAAACGAGTTTATTCGAGGCGTATCTGGCGGTGAGAGGAAGCGGGTGTCGCTCGCTGAGGTGTTGGCAAGTCAGGTCAGCACGAGTCCAGTTAATTTTGCCTTGCGTTCTTTATACTTACCTTTGCGCAGAGTCCCGTCCAATTCTGGGACCAACCGACGAGAGGTCTCGACGCAAAAACGGCCTTCGAGTTCGTGGCCATGCTGCGCGAGGAAGCCGATCGAAATAGCAGGACTGTTGTCGCCACCATGTATCAGGCCGGAAACTCAATCTACGACAGCTTCGACAAGGTCCTCGTCCTGGCGGAAGGACGCGTCATCTACTACGGCCCCCGACAGAGGGCAAAGTCGTATTTCGAGGAGCTGGGTTTCGTGTGTCCTCGCGGTGCCAACGTCGCTGACTTCCTTACGTCCGTCACTGTGGTGACGGAGGCAATGGTAGCGCCTGGATTCGAGGGGCGGGTGCCGGCTACACCCGAGGAGTTTGAGAAAGTGTACAAGGAAAGTTCTGTGTACCAGCAAGCTGTCGAGCATATGCGAGATCCTACTACCCTGAGCGACGAGACTGAGGAACTGGAGGAAGCCGTGCAGAGGGAAAAGAAGCGACGACATGTCGGAGGCAAGAGAAGTGTTTATACGGTCGGACTTAAGGAACAGGTGGTCAACTGTACCATTCGGTATGTCCCGAAATATGCCTGCCTCTATGAAATGTGGAGTGCCTGCACGATTTGCTAACCGTTTTGCAGCCAATTTCAAATCATGATGGGTGACCGATTGTCCCTCGCCGTCAAGGTCGTCTCAGCCATCATCCAAGCCCTCGTCTGCGGCAGCCTTTTCTACAACCTCCCAGAGACCAGCGTGTCCATCTTCCTTCGCCCAGGCGTACTCTTCTTCCCCATCCTCTACTTCCTCCTCGAGTCCCTGTCGGAAACCACCGCCTCTTTCATGGGCAGGCCAATCCTGGTGCGCCACAAACGCTTCGGCTTCTACCGGCCCACTGCATTCTGCATCGCCAACGCCATCACCGACATCCCCATCGTTATGGTACAAGTAACGTGCTTCTCCCTCATCCTCTACTTCATGTCCAACCTGCAAGTCGACGCTGGAAAATTCTTCACCTTCTGGATCGTCGTCAACGCCAGCACGTTGTGCTTCATCCAGCTCTTCAGGATGGTCGGAGCTCTATGCGGGAGGTTTGGCACGGCATCGCAGGTTTCGGGCTTGCTTTCGACCATCTTTTTCGTTTACAGCGGCTACCTCATCCCCTATAAAAAGATGCACGTTTGGTTCCGGTGGATATTCTACCTGAACTCGGGCGCTTACGCGTTCGAGTCCCTCATGGCAAACGAGTTCGGAGGGGTTGAGCTGCAGTGCGTCGCGCCGCAATACGTCCCCTTTGGAGGGGCATACGATTCGGAGCCTGCTTCTAATAGAGGATGCACCGTCCTTGGCTCAGACGCCGAGGGCCTCATCAACGGCAGCGCGTACATCCGAGAACAACACCATTACTCTACCGGCCATATCTGGCGGGGCTTTGGCGTGTTGATCGGTTTCTGGATCTTTTTCATCGGTGCCACGGCGCTTGGGTTCGAGCTTAGAAATAATCAAGGCGGAGCATCGGTGCTCCAATATAAACGCAACCTGAGGAACAAGAAGCGGAATGGAGACGTGGAAGCCACTGCTTCTGGACTTGCGGACAGGGAGCAGCGGGCACCACCGACGACTCAAGAGGTCAAGCAGTCGACGTTTTCTTGGCAGAATTTGGACTACTATGTCAAGTACCATGGACAACAAAAGCAGCTCCTAGACAAGGTTTTCGGATACGTGAAGCCTGGAAATTTGGTGGCGCTCATGGGTTCCTCCGGGGCAGGAAAGACGACGTAAGGCCAATCAGGCTATCTAAGGATCTAAAACGCCAGGCTAGGTAATATGGAAGTCGCTAACCTGTTCTTTTCATACAGGCTTCTTGATGTACTTGCGCAGCGAAAAGACGCCGGGGAGATTTACGGTTCAATCCTCATCGACGGCAAACCTCAGGGCATCAGCTTCCAGCGAACGACGGGTTACTGCGAGCAGATGGATGTCCACGAAGCGACAGCCACCGTTCGGGAGGCGCTCGTCTTTTCGGCTCTGCTACGACAGCCCAGGCATGTTCCGGATAGAGAAAAGATCGAATACGTCGACCACATCATTGAGCTTCTTGAGTTGCAGGATATCAGCGATGCATTGATCGGAGGTTAGTTCCCCAAAGAGAAGAAAAAGAAACGAGCCCTGCTTTGATACTAACAGACCATAATAGTCCCCGGAGCTGGCCTGAGCATCGAACAGAGGAAGCGGGTGACTCTGGGTGTCGAGCTTGTCGCGAAACCAACTCTCCTCTTCCTTGATGAGCCCACATCTGGCCTTGATGGACAATCGGCTTACAATATTATTCGATTCCTGAGGAGGTTGGTAGACGGTGGCCAAGCTGTTTTGGTAAAATTTTGTCCCTCACACATCTATTAAATTTGATTATCGCTAATACAGCCTCAGTGTACCATCCACCAACCATCGGCAGTCCTTTTCGAGGCCTTTGACTCCTTGCTTCTCCTTGCCAAGGGTGGACGCATGGCCTACTTCGGCGAGAGTAAGTTGGCATTCCACAATACAGTCGATATCTCTGCCCCTCGCTAACGCTCTTATAGCCGGAGAGGACTCAGATAAGGTCCTCAGCTACTTTGCCCAACACGGCGCACCTTGTCCAGAAGACGCGAACCCAGCCGAGCACATTGTCGAAACCATCCAAGGCAACAGCGAAGTGGAAATTGATTGGGTGGACGTCTGGAGTAGATCCGAGGAACGCCAAAGGGCCCTAGAAGAACTTGAGACGCTTAACGCCAAGGCTCTAGAAGGCAGCCAAGGCGAGGAGGACACTGCGGATTTCGCGACGTCGAAGTGGTTCCAGTTCAGGATGGTTCTACATAGGCTCATGGTTCAGCTGTGGCGGTCACCAGTAAGACTCTCAGGACAACAGTTTAATAATTCACGGGAGGTTTCGCTGAACGCTAACGCCAAATTTGCATAGGACTACGTGTGGAACAAGATCAACTTGCACGTCTTCGCGGCGCTTTTCAGTGGTTTCACGTTCTGGATGATTGGCAATGGCTCGTTCGACCTACAGCTGCGCCTGTTCGCCATTTTCAACTTTATCTTTGTCGCACCCGGCTGTATTAACCAGATGCAGCCCTTCTTCTTGCGTAACCGAGATCTCTTTGAAACACGAGAGAAGAAGGTAGGTCTCCTCTAACCTATGGGCAGAACACACAAACGGGCGAAGAAACTGACGTGGCTTTTCCAGTCAAAAACATACCACTGGGTCGCTTTCATCGGAGCACAGGCGGTGTCGGAGATTCCGTATCTTATTCTCTGCGCTACGCTCTACTTTTGCTGTTGGTACTTTACTGCAGGCTTCCCGGTCGAGGCTCGCATCTCGGGCCATATTTACCTTCAGATGATTTGTGAGTTTTGGCTAGCATACTGAAACATGAGAAGAGAGCGCGACTAACGTCGAGGGAATTAAAGTCTACGAGTTTCTCTACACGTCCATCGGCCAAGCTATTGCTGCTTACGCCCCCAATGAATATTTCGCCGCCATTATGAACCCGCTCCTCATCGGATGCGGCATGATCTCCTTCTGCGGCGTTGTCGTCCCGTACACTCTAATGCAGCCTTTCTGGAAGTACTGGATATATTATCTCGACCCGTTCCACTACCTCGTCGGAGGGCTCCTGGGTACGGTCATCTGGGACGTCCAGGTCCACTGTCGACCCGAGGAGCTCACGACTTTCGACCCGCCTTCTGGGCTTACATGCGGAGAATACATGTCGGATTTCCTCGGGTCTAACAGCGGGTACATCGAGAACATGAATGCTACGAGCCAATGCCAGTACTGTCCTTATTCTACTGGAGCCGATTATGCAAAGATCTTTAACCTCAATGAGGAGTACTATGCCTGGCGAGACGTAAGTGCAGAAAGTTTCATACCTTGGAGATATTTTAGCCAGCTAACATTTTTTTCCCATGACAGACGGGTATCACAGCGCTATTCTGCTTATCTTCATATGCAGTAGTGTTTCTAATGATGAAATTGAGGAGCAAGAAGACAAAGAGCGCAAGGATGGAATAAAAGAGAATAGAATCAAAGCGATACCTTAAGAAACACCGGGAGAGAGAGAATAAATGGGAAGGAATCTCTGGCATAGAATATAGATCTAGATCGTCGCGACAATATCTAATATTAGTAAATAAATTGAATTCAGTCTTTGACTCTGCCTCCCTCAAAACTATCCCTGCAGTGATAGTCGTATCTTTCCGAGGTTGCCATCGATTGAGCTTAGCGGTCCCGAGCCAAGCCGGGATTACTAACGCTAAGAGTGTCATCTTGACATCCATACTGTAGCTCAAGCCTTATATCTTGTCTCCTTCGGTGGACACTATTATCTCCCTTTAATAAAGCATTTATCTGTTAGATGGTTACGCAATGATTGGTAAATTATCGAGTACGTGGCAGCTGAGACATAGGCCACTCTTTGATGCCGTGAGCCGTAGCGTGCCCTCACTTTCTTTATAGATTCCGGAATCTCGGCAACTTCGCTCTCAGCCTTCATTCAGCTAGCTATTCCTTAACGAGCAATTAGCTGGGGCGATCTCGAGCCCCCGGAGCGGTGATTGGGTCGAACCCTTTAGGGCGCAACGTCATCGTAAACCAAGCTTTCATCTATCGTCTTGGTTGAGGCCGCGGAAAGCTTCGGATTGTAATCTAGGTTTCCAAAGAGTGTATAAGAACGGGCCTCTGGCTTCTATCGATTCGTCATTACTCTCAACCGTTTCTACTATCAATCACATCTCTAGTTTAAGTATTATAATAGCAGACGCAGAATCGAAATATCACGATTTCATCCATCAACATGTTCGGATTCGGTGGGACAAACACTCTCCATCCCATGTAGCCGACATCGTGCTAATACGCGTGCTAACATCCTACAGATGAGGCCAAGGACCGCCACGGCGACCTCTACGGCGACCAACACCAGGGCAAGTTCAGCCATGAAGCCGTGGCCGGCGGCGCCGCTTTCGAAGCGATGAAGCTCTTCCTCGATAGACAGCGCAAGCAGGGTATGTTTTCCGCTTTCCCCTCCATTTCCATGGTCCTTTTTCCTTTCCAGTAGCAGCATGTTGACTAGAGGTCGTGTTCACTAGGCGGCCCAGTCAAGCACGCTCTCGCCAAGGAGCTCCTCATGGGCGTTGCTGGCGCCGAGGTGGACAAGGTGATGGAGACAAAGGGGATGGACTACCTTGACAGGGAAAGTGTGAAGAGGGATGCTCAGCGGCAGGCTGAGCAGATGTATGATGATCAGTATGGTGATATGGATGAGTTTGATCCGTAAGTATCGTCACTCCTCCTGCTTGGGTAATTGTGTTATACTGGCTACAAGCTAATGAAGAGGAAGCGTTTCGCGTAAGCCGCATCATTTCTTTCGTTGAATATCAAGCTCGAAGTGCTTGGCCGAAAAAGAATGTATGGCAAATTGAGTGGATGTCGCCTAGAAATCACTTAGGTTCTAAAATGAATCTTGATGGCTGTCTATCTAAACTTGTCTACTCATTTTTTACTCTCAGTACATCTCGTCTCTGCATAGCCCAGGTTGCGATTTGGGGCTTCTAGCTCTCTCGCGCTCTTCCGATCCAGTCTAGCGCCCTGGTCCTCCGGACGTACTCTCGTGCTGGCCTCCTTTTGTCTTGCTTGGCTAGCAATGGCTGACGAGAGCAATATTCGGGAAGCACAACCTACCTTGCATTGGGAGGGCGCGTAGCCGTCAACGCGAATGTTTTGGCTACGTTTATAACGTGCTCCCTAGTCGACCAAGTGGTCGCAGTCGTGGCGAGAGCTGGACTACCTCTCCTTGCACTCACCCTCACTCACCATGTACCAATTCTCCGAAGCTCCAATAACACCGTGATGTGCGCGGTGCTGCTCAAAGTTCTCAAACACCAAGGCGTGCCCTGAGTCCTGTCGGTGGCGGCGATGGGGGAGGGGGAATGTCAACGCAGAGCACTAGCTTATCGTGAATCGTGATTAACCGGCTACACACTCGGCTGCAGAAATAGTAAATCGATCCGGGATAAGGGTGTGTCATCTGAAACAAGCCACTTAATGATTAGAGATTCTACAGCATGCTTTAAGAAGAACCTAAGGAGGGGTCATGGCATAAGGAATAGGGAATAATCTTATAATTTTATCACTGTGATCTACTTACCCCAGTAGACCGATCTTCATCAAATGAGTGAGAAGAGATGATTTTATTAAATCTGCGGCAAGGGGAACGGTGAAGTGACACTGCAGCTCTAAGACGATAACTACTCTATCCGGTTACTATTATTGCAAGGAGACGAGTAATATTATACAGATGAGGACAATCACCGCTGTGAAACAGGACTGCAAGATCTGGCAACCGAATGACCGCACTCATACGATAGTGCAAAAACGCGAGGTCGAGAATGACCTTGGACCTCGTTTCATCCTCGAAAGGAAATGTGGCGTGCTGATTTCCCTGCTAAGCTCCTATGAAGATCGAAGATCGGATAATTGTACAAAGTACTTCCGCACTCGTATCGCGCTTACACGTTCCACCGAAGAAAAAAAAGAAGAAAAAAAAAAAAAAAAAGGAGGACGTGAGTGCGGGAAGGGAAGGGCAGAAATTGGCTGAGCAACAATGCTAATCAGTATTCGGGGCTGAATGCGGATACCCTCCTGTTGAAAGACTGATCGGGGTTTGAGCAGGATGGCCCTGCTTCGAGGGGCAGAGGGGCTGGCGCAACATCAATGAAGTGCACGATTACTCAGCTGTAGAGTGGTCAATCTATCCGCGACGAGGGTATGTCGTCCGGAACCGGCAACCCAGTGATCTCAGAGATCCTTTGGGCGTGCTTTAAGGAGAACTTAAGGAGAGGCAACGGTCTAAGTAGTATACGAAGGCTCATTCTGGAAGCCGCGGTCTACTTTGCCTGATGAATGGATACTAGTTGAATAAAGCGGAAATCGAGGCCATTCCGTTGAATATGGTCATGTTGCAAGGAGAGCAATGATGCTACGGCGCCCTTGTCCTCCCACCCAACCCCACTCTATCCTTCAATTCTAACACTACTGTCCACCTCCCTCTTCCTCCTTCTCTATCTAACTCTTACTTCTACCCTTGAACATCTTTTAGCTCTCCTCTGCATCATGCAATCGTATGCAATCGTACCTAAAAGCCTCCCCCTTCTTGTTTGATAGTTGTTGAGGCCGGATCGTGGCAACAAGGGGATTCCATGGGTCCTCTCGGATATCCTGCGATAGCCAGCGCTGGAGAGAAGCTCCAATAGAGCGACTAGCCTTAGGTTCGAGATGTTGAGCCAAGGTGTTGTTTCGCTGAGGATCTCGTGTCCTCTTTGACTTGCCCGTCTTCAGGCTCTCTTCAGTCGGCTTTATAATTTTAGGTTAAAGTACGCACGAAGGCCTGGAAACTGGGATACACGTACGGGAGACTTCTTGGCTGTGTACTTGTCGCTCATCTTTACGGAAAGCACAAAGTGGACATATATGGCCTGGGAACTTGTGGGGTAAGAGGAAACGCCCTTGGAGTTGAGGGAGATTAATATCGTTATTGTTGGTATTGGAGTTAGGACAATAAGAGATATGAATTGTCGAAGGATGGTTTCTGAAATTACCAGCGGAGATCTCGACTTATGTATTACAACCTACGAGGCATTTGGGGCATTTGAGTGCATTACAATGTTCAATTTCCCTGTCTCTATCTCTCCTTATCCGCTGGGGACTCCAGGCCTAACGTGATTGTCCGGCAACATGCCGGAAGAAGCAGGCTATATGAGTCGGTTCTTCCTCAGCTTCGTCTTCCCACAACGCAAGTGATCAATAGCGTAAACGCCAGCAGGAAGGATGTACGATGCCGACCTTGGTACGATGAAGGATACTAGTTGGGACGAGGTACGTACACCTTTACGAGACCAAACGTCCGAGCCCCAGATCTTTGATATTTGTACAAGTGGCGTAAATGCGATCCGCGTCACTAGGCAATAGAGCAGGCCGTGGCCAATGGACCACCACCTCGATCGCAGTCCCGCGGTGCCGAACCTTAAGGCACACCACATCCTCATATTCAGGATCCACTTTGGTACGAGTGTGCTGTCGTACATCAAAGAAACCCATCCCACGCCCTTCCTCAGTCGTACAAATTGCACATCGCGGCGGGGGCAGCCGCCAAGGACAGCCGACTCTTAATGAGAAGAGCTTGGCTCTTATCAAATACGGATCCACAATATTAGGAATCTGAACAGGAAAATAAGGGGGCGCCACGTTCATCTCATCTCAGGGTAAGGGAAATCCAGGTCCTCTGGAGTCCAGACTCTTCATCACACTGCTTTGTCAATAAAAATGGCGACATCGACCTGTCCGGATGTGATTGTAGGTTGTGCCGCAGAAGTGAAGAGAGCCTAGTCTTCGGTCCCTGCCTTCCATGATGCTCTTACGACTTCGACAAGCGCTTATTGCTTTTTCGAGTTTTAGGCGGGGTTCATAACTGGTCAGCATTTCACCAAGTGTAAGTTGTTCGCGAATTTATAGGCAGGCCTAATGAGGTGGAGAGCATCTATACCTTCAACCTTAATGTGACCTGAGAGCATTCTGTGACAGGGATTAGACTTGCTACTTCAGCCTCGAAGCCATCGCTCTCTTTAACCAGGGTTCAGATTGTGTTGACGAATGAGGATCAGAGGTCTTGCTCTTAAAATGGATTTTCTTTTTTTTTTTTTTCCCTCTCCCTCCTCCTCCCCCCAAACGAACAAAGCCACAATAAGTACTCTATCTTATAACGTATAGTTCCTAGCATCGGCAGTTGAATACGTTTCATACAGGATAATTAATATACTTTAACTTCTCAGGCAGCTACGAAAATAATATAAGAAATGGATGAGTTTAAAATTTTGAGCATTGTTTGCTTTCCAACTGTAAACTGCGAGCCTGAGTTGATTTTATCTACTAGAATTTCCTGGGCAAATTCTGAGTCGTTAAAAGGGTTGATTTTTATCTCGGCCTGACTGAGGGACTTCCCATCACCTAGGTTGTGGGATATCTAGTTTATATATGCTGGCTATCTCGCTAGCACCTGTTTTCCAAGAATGGAAAACCCTATCCTTGCCATCACAGTATCCCCGCAGGGTTCCTTCTTTACGGACGTAAGTGACGGACTTATCCCGTGATGCCCGGAGCGTACGGCACGGTACGGTACAGACACCGAAAGAGGAGTAACTGCTCAAACCTGCTCATCAACCAGATAGCGACCAGCGGATCAACTTCCATCATTTTTTTCACAATGGCACTCTAGTGAATAGGGCTTTTGGGTGTAGCGGGAATAAAAGTGGACGAATCAAAATAAATTCCCGGACTGCTAGATACTGTTATTTTCCGTCTACCTAAAGGTGAAGCCCAAAAGATCCAGAGTCATTACCTCAAGTGTTGTGAGGGAGTGCTAATCATGACATTGAGCTAGGCAAATATCCTTGACAATGCCGGGATTAACTCGGAATGTATCCGTTCCTTCTGTCGACGGTATACATCCTCCGTTTCGCTGCCGGATGATTGAATGGCTGATGCTCCCATATCTGAAAGTGTTGCGGAAAATAGGTCCATAGCTCGTCGAAGCCTTGCCCTCATGATGTTGATCGCGCATTCCTTCCCGACCTTTCCTTCGTCCAGAGATGAGCGATAGGCTGTCAAGAATTTATCCGAAGCCTCGTCCAACGCCTCTCTGATAAGCCTGATCTCAATCTCACCATCCCAGTTCTCCGTCCCATTAAGTTTGAGCATGCTGTGTCGAAAGCTAGCCACAAAGTTATTCCGCATCTGGTTAGACCTTTCGCTTAGTTCCTCGCGCCGAGGCAGCAAACTGAGTAGCAGAGAAATCATTCTATCAGCAGGTCTGTCTTCCCCGGACAACTCGATGGCTGCTTCACGAAGCAGAGATAACTCCCCAAAGGCCCTTTCGACCGCCTCAGTGCCTTCTTTCCAGAGAGATCGCAGCTCATCGGATCCCGGGACCGAATCGAGGCTCACTAGTTGCAAAACAAGTCCGTTAAGCTTCGAGCAAGCTGTCTTCAGCCATGGGCACTTAGTTTTCAGGAGGTTCTTTAACTGAGAAAACTCATCATTGGTCCCATGGTCAACAATAGAATCAATATCCAACCGGAGAAGTGGAGGTCTAGGTTCTGGATAGCTCAATGCCAGTAGAACGCCTTCTCCTAGCATGTCCTTCAGCTCCATCCAGCGCTTCCCGGATCGGAGCAGCCTCAACTCATATGCCCCCAACCCACGCTCTGTGGAAGTGTTGTCCGGCTGGATATTAGAAGGCCCGGCTGAACATTGGGCCATGTCATCCAAGTTAGGGCGGGCCACATCGGCTTCGGCAAGAACAGCGTCGATAAGCAAACTCACGTCTGCGAAGAGCTCCGTTGGAGTCGCTATTCTCAATGTCTGATACGTGTCCATGTCGCAATATCGGTTGCGGACTATCACAGCGAGGGATAGAAGATTTCGAATCTCCACCGCATTTATAGAGTCCGCATGCCCGAAAGAGAAGATTTCAGTAAATCTAAACATGCGAATAGCCGCTACCCTTTGCTGCTTTGGGGTATTCGCCGAAAAGACACCGCCTGATAATGCTCTCTCCAGCTCCATTCTGCGATCAGATAACTTTTTCGGGTCGAGTAAGGCCAATTGAATGGATCCCAACATCCCATTAGTCATATCGTCTTCCCACCACTCAGGGACGTTGTGGTAGACTGGATACTGGTGGTGGCTTTGTTCCAGAAGCGACGCGATAAGAGAGAGAGAATCGGTGTATTCTTTCCAGTGGCTGGAAGCCATTTCCTGAATGCTACCCATCTCAGTGTCAAAATTGGTCAGGTTGTCCTGGAAAAGCCTTGCTAAATGTAAAGGGTTGAACTGTTTGGGTGCGAAGGTTTGCCAGAAGTTCGACCAAGCTGGAAGTTTGTCTATAGCAATAGATGCGTAGACCCAAAGCGCCATGCGGACACGCTTTGCCCGGTCGATAAACTCAATCTGGGTGGGATTAAGAGGCGCGCCGTCATCCTACAAAACCGACCGATTAACAGGCAAGAGACTTAAAGAAATGGAGAAGATTAGGGAGAAAGAAGAAGACGATCCGGCAACATACCATAGGGTTCTCTGTTAGCGATATAAGAACGAGCATCATACAAGAGATGTTTGTCTTCGTGCCCTGTGTCATCTCGCCGTCATTATTAGCCGCGCACTGCAAGTAGCGGAACAAGCAGAGCTCGATGTATCTGCAGCTGAACCAGGCTAGTGACTGGACGGCTTCTTCGACGAATATCTCCCAGCCCCTCCGAGTGTTTTCGCCTCCTCCTAGGATATCGGCTATCTGAGCTTTATAGTTGTAGGAGGCGTCTCCAAGAGCTCCAAAGGAACCGCAGAATAAGAGAGCAAGGCGCTTGGGTTTTAAGTTAGTTTAGCACCACACCAAGGGTACGTCATTGATGCAACTTACAACCCAGTGCTCCTTCTGCGGTATCTCAGGATGGACAGGGACAGGTAACCCGACAAGCCCTCCTGAAGGGTCAATTTCGACGAGCTTTTTCTCTACATTTGCGAGGCTGAATGTGCTTGGCATTTCAAATTGTTCCTCGGAATTTGGGAAGAAGAGACGCCGAAGCCCTGATGCACCAAGTATCCATGCTAGGTCGCATGGTATCCCTAATGGGAAAAGAGTACCAGTAAGGGATGGATGGCGTTCTCCGAGCCGTCTCATCAAGGAATACTGGGCTATGACAGTCTGCTGGTCCTTACCAAGGATCCTAGACTGGCGTTGTGCAATGTCTGGGCACGCAAAAAAATAAGATACGTTGAAACGGGTAAAACTTCCATCAGAAATCGGCCACTCACCGGTGAATATTGATCCGCATTCAACGATATCTAAGAAGTGAGCCTTAGTACATGGCTTCCGCCAAAGTCTGGATTTTGAATTGGCTAGGCAGGCCTTGCAAGGAATGCCCCCTTCGCACTAAGAAAACACATACATTAGTAGGACGCTGGGCATGAAACTGTGGGGAAGGAGAGAGTCTATCGTACTTTGATTCTTGTTTTTCGGCAACGAATACATACGCCTCTTGCCCGCGCTTCCTTTTGCGCCTTTGCCTGGGCTGCAGAAAGGGGACCACATCTTCCGCCTCTTCTCCCAGGTGGCAAGGGCTTGTGTCGTCTGGGAAGAGGGTGCCTCCGCGGAACGGTTTGGCCTAATGGGACAGAGATACTACTTGGCAATACGCCGCTTCCAGTGTTTGCCCCCGAGAGCGGATCCAGCACCATTAGTCTGTTAGGACCAGGCTGCGCAAAGGTCCCCTCACTTGAGTCGATCATTAGACTTGGGAGGTTGACATTTCCTAACCGAGTTCGTTAGTCCTGAACATAAGGGAATTGACAATGGACGGAACTTGAGAGTACCAAGGTGTTGGTTCGCCGTCTGTTCTTCAAGCGATAGACTGGGAACTAATACAGAATCGAAACTAGTCAGTGGCGGCTGAAATGCGTATCCAGCGCTATCGCCGTACGTAGGAGGTAGGGGCGTGAAGGTGAGATCAGCGCCGTCAATATCCATTGCCTGGTCAGGAGACAGTCCTAAATTGAGTGCGTCCATGCTTCCCGGCCAACTTCCGTCAGCCCCCGGAATTGATGGAAAAGGAAAGGAAGTCAGAGACTCTGGGTCTATGAAGTCTATCAGAGCTTCGTTGTTCCCCTCCACGGAGAGAGCATCCAACATCGGAATGTCAGCGACTATACAGACCATAATTATGTTAGTCTCGCAAGACTGCCAAGGGACGGGACAATTGTTGACAACGCACAACTACGGTCTAGAGCCATGAAATCTTGAAGCGGGTCGGGGTCGGCATCTTGCAGGGAGAAAACCTCAGACAAGTCAAAGGCAGTAGGGTCAAAATCCGCACTTGGAAAGGGTTCATTTTGTTGTGGCGTTTCAACGTTATCAGGAAAGAGTTCATCGCCTTCTACGAAGGTGGTAGGAGGGTGCTCGAGATTGCTGGAAAAGGAAAAGTCCATGTCTTTGGTCGATTGATTTGTTTCTTGAGGATATGTGAGTGAGAAGATTGATTGATTTGTTCTTGACGACGAAGCAGAAAATGTTCAAGGACGAGCTTGCTCCTATATACTGCGATGGACGAGACTTGGCCACACGGAGCTCGTAGGTCTCAGCCAATCAGAGGGATTATCGGTAAAGATTCGATCAACAGGGTTCCCAGACGGGGCCCCAATCAGAGAGCTGATCGGTAACGGGGATCTGGTTTGAGCTGCATAAACCTTTATCAAGGATGAGTGTAATAGTACTTCTTCGATGTAGTGATTTTAATGTGTCTACGTGTAGAAGTACAGCGATTTTTGTCACCATCACAACCCCTATCGGTCTGGAAGAGAGCAGAATAGCGAGGCTCGTTACATCCCAACCAGAGTGTCACGAGCTGACTACCTTGAAGACTGCTGAGCGGTCAGGGGCGGCAGAAACGGGTAAGCCACAGAAGAAGAAAGACTAATCAAGGAAGGACCGACAGGACTGACTCGCGATCCCAGGCGGCTTAGAGGAATATAACAAATCTGGGAAGGACTGATTGAGAAAGAGTGTCGGTCCCTGGTTGGACGGACTAAGACATTGGTCTATAAAAAGAGGCTCGGAGGAAATAGATATCCTTCCGCTTTTGTTCTATATAGAGTAACAGTATGGCAATTGGAATACTACATAAAAAGAACGCCTAAGCGCAGTCAGGAACTCCCAAACCATGGATGATATCGGGAGGGGTTTTGCTAAGAAAGGATCCCTGTGAAGACTCAGCAAACAAGGCCGAGCTGCACCGTTGATTTTTCGCAATCCTCCACGATCTAGGCGTATAGCAGTGAACACTCAGGGGACCTTGGTCATTTTGGGCCCAAGGCCATAGTCTGGGACTGTAGCTTTGCTCTTTTCCCCATATTACATGCGGGGTCGGAGGCGGGTCATTCGGTAAACCGCACCGGGAGCCACGTTGAGACGGGAGATGTACATCACATTAATCCTCAATTGCTCCACCCTCCCTTTTCCACTCAATTTGATTCGGACCACATGGTGTTTACCCGGCGTGCGCAATACTCTCTTGGACGTCAGATGCAAGACCGGAGTATAATCAAGTTCGGAAGATGAGGTCGACATCGATTCGCCGTTCAGGCGTAATAAAGGAAAAGACATGCGCACTTTTTAAAGGGGCCATTCTACCAAAAGCGCGATCTAGGTGCATAACCAACTGGTTTCGAGGTTATTACCCCTTCTTTTTTTCAAGATGCTGCCGAAATCTCTCCTCCAGATTCTCTCGGCTCTGGCCTTCTCCCCGCCATGCTCTGCCCGGGCCCACCCGCGACAGTCTTATGAAGAACCAGAGGAGGAGTTCGGCTGAACGATGCCGCTAAAGCCCGTGGGCATCTCTATTTCGGAACCGCCACGCACAACTCTTTCAACATCGGGGATGTCGAGTACCACAAGCAGCTGAATAACACCCACGATTTTGGTCAGATTGTACCGGCCGGCTCCATGAAATGGGATGCGACCCAGCGTAAGAGGGTGGTCTTCAATTTCACAGCAGCTGATGCCGTGGTTGCCGCCGCCGAAGCCAACGGTCAGATGATGCGCTGCCACACTCCCCTCTGGCACTTATCAACCCCTAGCTGGGTTACCGAAGGAGGTTTCGACAACGAAACCTTGATCGACATCATGACAGACCACATCAGGGTCGTGCTTCCCCACTACAGGGGTCGGTGCTACGCTTGGGATGTGGTTAACGAAGGTAAGATGGGGTGGATCGGGGCCCCCTGGGATTAGAACTTGGAGGAAAAAGAAAGACTGCTAATAGATCTACTAGCCGTCTACAACAATGGATCGTGGCATAACAGCGTCTTCTACGATACCATAGGGCCCGCTTATGTCCCCATCGCATTCGCTGCGGCCGCCGAGGCCGATCCGCACGCTAAACTTTATCTGAACGACTTTGCCATAGAAGTTCCAGGTCCAAAGGCCGACGCGACTTATGAAATTGCGAAGATGGTCCGGGACTACGGCGTCAAGATCGACGGCATCGGTATCCAGGGACACATCGATCTCAGCGGCATGCCGCTCGACGACCACTATGAGCTGGGCAGCAGGCCCACCTATGATGACCTGGTGGAAGTCATGACGCAATATGCGTCGCTCGGTATAGAACTGGCCATCACCGAGCTGGACGTCGCTGTGCTGACCCCGGTGACGGCTGAGAATGCGACTATTTACGAGACGCAGGCCGAAGTCTATTACAACGTTACTGCTGCTTGCCTGACTTTTGAGGAATGTGTCGGCATTACCATCTGGGATTGGACTGATCGGTACACCTGGGTGCCGGACGTCTTCCCCGACATGGGCGACGCGCTGGTGTGGGACAAGGACCTGAAAAAGAAACCGGCATACGGTGCATCATGAGGGCCTTTACGGAATTTGGGGTGTAAGGGGATGTCGAAACAGGGTGGAAGAAGGGGAGGGGACGGTACGGGGGCGAACAATGAAATGGAACATTGATTTAACTGCCAGAGTTCTAGTAGTTACCTGTTGTAGATCTATATTACTTTACAATTAAATATTTACCTCGGCGTCCCATTGAGTCCCTCGGCTTGCCGTCCTACGTCCATATAGACTCCTTCCAGAGCACCTGTGTGACCCTGGCATCATAGTATCCCGTATATGAGCCATATATCCTCGGGATTTTCCCTAGCGGGGTGCATGCCTGCAAGGGCTGGCCACACAGAAAAGCACCTGTTGATTCTTTGAGCGAGAAAATACCGCTAGAGAAACGAAAATCGTCTTGTTAGCCGCTCACCATCCCATGGACCACCTTCTGATCACACGGCGCCCTCCTTTTGGTAAGCCCGAATCAAGGCATGACTGGCCTACTAGGGCTCCCCATTGCGAACACTTACACAGTACGAACCGATAGAGGTTCCTCATAGAAGGTGAGTTGTAAGAGTTGGAAATAGAAAGGGCTAAGAATATCGATCTTTGGGCCTGAAATTCCTTGGAGCAAGAAGACCGATATTGGAACGCGATGAGTGGAAGAATAGAATCCTCGCTGTCGATCACAATCCGACGTCAAGCATAGATCTTTGCCCGATCTCTTCGAGAGCTATTAAATGCTGTTCCCTGTACGTATAGCAACGGATAGCGCAGGTGTCGAAGCAGATCCTGCCACTCTCGGCCTTTTCGGTAGAGCCAAAACCGTCTAGTTCGCACCGCCATTTCAGGGCGGGGTTTATATTAAGAGGACAAAAATAGCAGGCTGCCCGTTTCGAACGGACGGCCTACGAAAACCGCATCTCAGTAGAGCCTTTCTCGAGCGCATTGTCGGAATCGTAACTCATCATGCCGGGTCACTCGCTAGTTTCTCTCCTAATTAAAGGGATCTATTAACATGGGGATGTCGTAAAACGGCGTACTGGCGTACATCCACATGTATCTATCGTGGGCTCCGTTTCTAACCATTATCCCAGCTAGGGCGAGGTTATCATACATGACTACGTTTTAGAGGCCAAACCATTCAAGATCGATTCCACATCTGCAGGGACATATGCCCAACACCTTCTGCTGAATACCCGAGAAGCTGCGTGCCATCGCCGTAAAGCATCTTGGTGTACCCCGGATATGGGTCATCCGTGACATTCTTCGTGAACGGCACGTCAAAGACGGTCGACCACTGCTTCAAGGTCTCGGCCAGATTTGGATACAGAACCATTTCATCCGCTGTGCCATGCCAGATCATTGTCCGTGGGTACGTCCCGTTGTAGCCGGGATACATGCCCCACACCGCCTGAGCCCACTCCTCGCTCGACCTGGCCTCGCCCAACGCGCAGGCTGGGTCGGCCGTTCCCGGGCTCGAGCCGGCTGCCCCCGCAAGGCAGCCAGCAGGGAATCCAGAGTAACGGGAAGCGGCGGCGAAAACGTCCGGATATTTTCCACACATGACGTTGGTCATCATGCAGCCGGACGAGGAACCGGTGAAGAAAATTCTAGCTGGGTCGGCGTTGTATTCGGATATGGACCACTGGATCATGTTGATGAGGCCGGCGCTGCCGCTGCCACCGCTCCCGCACGTCAGCGAATCGGGATTGGCAACGTCCCAGCAGTTGCCCTGGTTCAAGGTGCTGGGGAAAAGGGCGATGAAGCCCGTCTCGTCAGCGTAGACGGTGTAGTTATTCTCTTCCTCGTACTGGATCCCTGAGAGGCTACAGGCGTGGAGCTATTATGTCTTTGCGTTAACGTCCAGGCAACGCCACGCCGTTACGAGGAGTAGCACTTACCGCGAGAATAACATCTGGACTCTCGGGGAGAGGATCTGGAAAGTAGGCACGCATTTCAAGACCGCTTGGGTTTTCGCCCCAGTCGGATATAAAGGTCAGGTCTCTGGAGGCAGCGCCATTAGCCGTACAAAGTAGCGTAACCACCGACGCTGTAAGTGCAGTCAACATAATGAGGGCGGGGAGCGAACTAAGATGGTGAAAGTGTTTGAAGGTGAGTAATCATGCGTGCATCAGGTAGTACAAGGCGCCGTAGCGGGACGAGCGCACGGCAGCAGCTAGATATCTTTGAGGGTCGGAGATGAGGCCCCGAGATATCGCTCTGGGGGGATACAGATGTGTGGAGGAGTTACATATATTACAAAGGCATGCCTGGGAGACTGTAACCCGACTCACCGAGGAATTCAATCTCGTCAACCCAATTCCCCATTAGCATCGCTGTCGCCAGCCGCTTCCGGGCGGGGTTAACTGCGCCATCGAATTTGATTGCTCCGCAATGTGGGACAACTGCTGGATCCTCTTTTTCTGCTGTTTCGGTGAAATTGCGGCCCCTCCGGCCTTGTCACTGGAAAACGCGGTTAGAAGCGACTAAAATGGTGATCTGACTGTAGGAGAATTAATTGTGTCGATGATGGTTGATCAATGAGGGAACAGAACCGAGAACGCGCCAGAACCGCCCGAAATACCCACGGTGTTTTCCAACCAAATAGGGTAATTACGGTGATGCTACGGAAACCGATTATGGTTCCAAAATAGGTTAACGTCGGCTCGTACATTCTGACACCTTCCGGTGGCGGTGCGTGGACAATGTCATATATTGTAGTTCTGATTTTGGCAAGGATACTCTTAATAAGCAGGATCCTTGCCGATAGATCTTTGGACTGATTCGCAATGTAGGCGTGGAGATTTTGAGGGTATGGTGGTCGCGTTTCTGTTGAGCGAGAGCCTTCTCCGTGAGATGAGGGACGATACCCAGGTCAAGCTCGGTCAGGGCAACTTCCATGCCAAGCTTCCCGTAAGCACCAATCGCAGAAATGGATTCATCGATTAGGGCATGGGACAGCCTTGCCAGTATCAATGTGAGACTGACGGCCAATGCCATCAATGCAGATGCCTTCTTGCAGAAGCATGCAAATAATTCGAATGACACCGGCAGCCTTGGGACCGGGCTTTTCAATGGCCGCATCGTTGTAGTACAATTTGGCGTGGGGACCAACCTGCTGGGCAGCATGGAGGCCAGCTTGATCCAGTCTTCGCCGAGTATGTCGTAGAGGAAAACTCCACCATAATAGGTTCCGTAATCATTGAGGGCCTCGCTGGCAACGTCCCAAGCGTACCATTTGCTCCTATAACGCCCCATGGCCTTGTATATGGTCAATGATAGCCTGAAATAGCGACTCCTTGGCCAATCCTTGTAATAGGCACAGAGCGGGAAAGATTCCCAGTAAAACCAAGGTGTGGCGGCACATAGATTGCCTTACGGTTCGGAGAGGCGGTCGGCCAATCACTCTCCGTGAAGTTGAGAGGGTAGCTGAACTCTTTCTTGTTGGCAAAGACAGCATCTTACTGAGGGTACTTCTCTTCCCGGCCAGCATGCTCCTGCGTACTGGGGTTGTCTATAGAAGAACTATAATACTTCAATCCCCGTCTTGTTCTTCCAATAGTCGAGCTACGGCCGATGCGGTGTCGAGGGAACATGCCAGTACGGCAGGTGTGAGAAGAGTGACCCTTCTGGTGACTTGTGACGATTAAGCTGAATAAATGATGAGGAATGCAGCATTGGGGTGAACTCTGTGAGGCAATGTCTCGACAGAAAAACGCCTTCGCCGTCTTAAATAATTTACGTTGAGAACTGGAGACGAGGAAGCCGGTCTGCTGCCGTATATTCCACACACATAACTTGACGTATCTCGGACTTTACTTCGTAATCCCTTCACCTCCCATCAATAGCCTAGATTCAAAGAGCCAAGGCCCCTGTCCGGTTGATCGTCTTGATTGTCCCCTCTTCTATCTACCCACGGGCATGGGCTCACTTGAACCCCACCGAGTAAAGTGTTCTGCTTGCTAATGTAAGTGCTAAGTTAAGTTTGAGAAGGTGTTTCTGCTTGTCTGGTCGCATGCGCGGAGCTGGTCCTTCACGATAGGTTACAGACAAATCCCCACATTATGATCTCAAGCTTTAAGCGATATTATACGACAGTTAGAGGCACAGGTATGCCTCTCAGCTTCAACGCCTGGACTGGGGATGCCAGCTTTGCTCCATCGTACCCCTCTAACTAAATACCCATTGTACTGACTATTTACTCAGGTGTTCCACCGTGTACGAAGAGGCCCAGAGCAAGGGCGTTGGTGGTCCCGTCATTGGCAAGATGTTCTTGTTCTACGGGGTTGCCGGCGGTGCATGGCCCGATTTGACAGTCGCCTACTGCGCGGAGATTCTTCCATACAACATCCGAGCTAAGCGTCTCGCCGTGAATTTAGCCATGGTTTCTTTGGCCGCCGTTGTTAAACAGGACGCGAACCCGGTGAGACTCTCTGACCTCCAGTGGTATTCTACTTTGGGTACATCACCACTTTGGTCCTCGAGTGTCTTCGCATCTGGTTCCAGTTTGTAGAGACTAAGGGTCCTACCTTAGAGGAAATTGCGGACCGTTTCGAGGGCGAAGATCCGTACGTGGCTCATATCAAGGACCACTAGAATGTCGAGGAGAAGAAACAGAGCACATTGAGAAGGAACTGGTCGTCTAGATATTTGAAGATTGGCCATATCGAGTCTCAAGAATACCTAGTCGAGCCATGCCATTGAAACAACTTACTCCTGATCAATAGGCCAGATAGTGTCATGTTTTAAGCTAAAGTCAAGATTCATCGATGCGTCAAACTCTTTTTTAACCCAACCCCCCTTTATTCACCCAGCGCCAGGTTACATTTCATGATCCGCCTCGATTGCAGCCCAAAGCAGCCTGACGAGCGGGGAAATCTCAGCAAGGCAACACTCTGAAAGCCAGCGGAGGTTTCTACAGTATCCTAGCTTGAGAGGCAGGTTGGAACTTGTAGTTTCTAGATTCAGCGCCATGTGGTGCTAGGAAGAGTTAGATGGAAAGCCAGGTTCAAGAGCGAGCAGGCGACGCGAGCGTGCCCAGGGCGCAATCGCGTTATTCCGGTCGATAACACTGGGCTTCGCAATGTAGAACAGCGGAGAATATCTCGGAAAAGGATGAAAAGAAGACTCGTACTCCGCCACACAAGAGATTTTCCCTCATTCGTGGGTTGGAAACAACATCTGGACACCAGGCTTCGTGGCGCGAAAAGACAACTCAAACGTGCATGAGTGGCGTCCAATAAGCCAACTCTAAACACATTGAAACCGGTCACGCACGGTCTTTTGGATGAAGCGAGGAGGGGTGTTGGCTATGCTTGCGTTGCGTCTACATATCTAAGGCGGGAAGACCCCTGCCTGGAGGCGAACCACAGTTAAGGCGATGAAATCAAGGCCCTCCTCTTTCTGATGCAGCACCCGCCCGGAGATTCCCTCCCTTCATCACTTTTGCTTAGTTGTTCCTGAAGACGCTGCCCTCGCAATAAGAGTGCCCCTCCTGGCTCTGATCGTCTTTATCTGTCGATACCTCACGAACGACGCCTAAGTTCTACGAAATGGAGGCTCTCGGTCTTGTTGGGTCGATAATTGCAATCATCGGGGCTGTTAGTGCATCATACGGCACGATAAGCAAGATCACGGATCTTCCGCAAGCATTCAAGAAAGTCAAAGAGGCTCTGCCCCTAGCCCAAAAATTGCTCGACGATGTTGAGACAACCTTACGAAACTCCCGATTGTCCGAGGAACAACGCAAGTCGGTCCAGGATATCCTCAACGCATGCAACAAAGATGCCAAGGAGATGGAGAGGATATTTAGAACCCTTGAGAGAAAATTCAAAGAAGATCGGGGTGCGACAAGTTGGTCGGTTTCGGTTCGTGGGTGGTATCGCACCGCGCTGCGGAGCGTGAAGGCTCACCGTGTTGAAGATCTCATGAAGTCTATCCTAGGGGGCCTAGAGAAGCTGGCCCTGAACCAGGTGTTTCAGCTAGCAACAACAGGAGATCTTGAGGCTATTAAGACGGCTATCGATGAACTTTCGACGGTGCCTCCATCACTGGACGACTCGGAGTTCGATGCGTTTGGGCAGATGCACGCCCATATGGATGTCTCAGATAACGCCACTGCTCAGCAGATCAATGCGCAGGGAGGCTGCCATACATTCAACTCTGGGAGGAATGTATTCAGCGGCCCTATCCAAAGTTTGAGCTTCCGTAAGGACTCTTGAGAATCTTCTAGGAAGGGAAATGTGGCTAGTTAGAATTTCCGGCGGAGAACTAGGACTATAGATGTTAATCAGATTGATGTACTAGGAGAAGAATCCGGTCAGTTCTATCGTAGATGGGCTCCTCTATGTCCTATAATCAGAAACAGAAGCTCTGAGCGAGCGGGTATGCTAATATGAGGTGTTCCATCTTCAGCCAGCACACAGCGCCAAGAAATCCTTGAGCTTCTCTCATCTGATTACGAGGCCTCCAAAGATTTCAACGTCGAGAGAACGAGGGGGACATGTATGTGGATTTTTGACGACCCCAAGTTCAAGCAGTGGAGGGACTCTGGGTCTTCCGGAATACTCTGGATCTCTCTGGGCCCAGGCTGTGGCAAGACTGTTCTGTCGCGAGTGTTGGTAGATGACCGCCTCGGATGTACCACTACAGCGAGAACAATCTGCCATTTCTTTTTCAGGAAGGACGACGAAAGAAGAATCAAGGCCAGCCAATGTCTGTGCGCGATTCTTCACCAAATCTTTACCCAGACCCCTGGTGCTAATTTGATTCGGCATGCCGTACATGCTTATGAGCAACATGGCAATATGCTGTGCCAAAATTTCTCTGTTCTGTGGAAGATATTGGTCGAATGTATTCGATCACCAGAGTCGGGGAAGATTGTCTTCATTATCGATGCCCTCGATGAGTGCCATGGCACCGCTAGACACCAGCTACTTGACAAGTTCCAGCACTTGTACCGGGAGGAGCAGTCCTCGCCCAGAGCGAATTTAAATCTCTTGATAACTAGCCGCCCATACGACGACATAATTTCCACATTTGAAGAGTTTCCAGCAACCGCCGCGTCGCGTATCCGGGAAGACGAAAAGATAGCCGACATCAGTCGAGACATCGACCTTGTCATTGATCGACAGGTTGAGAACCTTGCCAGCAGGCTCCATCACCGCGACAGACAGCGCCTGTCGAAGCAGCTCAAGGAAATGAAGAATCGTACCTATCTCTGGCTTCATCTAATCTTCGGAATTATTAAGAAGAGAATGAGCGCCTATGGAAAGTCGTCCAGTATCCTGTTACTTTTGGAGAGTATTCCCACCGAGATATCCGAAGCTTACGAAGAAATATTGAGGAGGAACCAGGACGAAAAACTTACCGATACCCTGCTTCGAATCGTCCTGGCGGCAGTGGAACCTCTGACTCTCCAGGAAGCAAACATTGCGTTGACATTGGCTGGGAAAAAGCTTTGGCGTTCCATCGATGAGCTGGAAGAAGACATGTGGCCTTCCGAGGATTTCAAGAGAATAATCGAGAATGCCACTGGTCTTTTTATCCGGGTACATGATTCTAGGGTGTTCTTCATTCACCAAACGGCACGAGAACTCCTTCTTCACTCGGAACGGAAAGGCCGCTGGCAAGGGCGCTTGAGTCTCCCTGAATGCCATAGCACGATGTCTAGTATATGTATTCGCTATTTGTTGCTGCTAAACCCGGGGACACCACACTTAGGGTCGAGGCCCAGCAGATCGTCAGATCCATTCCGCTTCTACGCCGGCCTTAATTGGGGGGTTCACTATCGTGCACAGGAAGCCCACACGGCAAAGGCGTGGCGGGCCGAAGCTCGCCTTCTCTGCACCCGAAAAGGAGGGAAAATTGTGGGCAGGCTTTCCGCGCCTCGGAACGGCCCTGATGGGGTTTAATCGCTGGAACGATTTAGCCGCAGTTAGCCACCCCGGCCTACAGCCAGTTGTCGAGGAAATGTTGAGTACAGAGGGAGCTGGCGATATTAACGCGCCCATGGGTTCTTCCGGCATAGCCTCCATCTCGCATTTGGCCAGGGCCATCGAGACGTGATCGGGACCTGCGCGAAAATGGTGCAGGGGATGCAGGTGCTCGATCCTCTTTCCGGGGATCTTGCCTGCCGGCCGCCAGTTATGGCGGTCACATCGATTTGATGGAAGAGCTTCTCCGTGAAGGCATCGATGCGAATGGGACGGTATATTTTTTACATTACATCACTTCGTGCAGCGTCGGCGGAGGGTCATACCAAGATCGTAGAAACGTTGCTCAGGAGGGGCGCTGATATTGACAGACGGAATGTCGAGTACCGCAACTACTCAAAGGTAAACAGGCAGGTGTTTGACAGGCTTGCCAAACTTTCTGAAGCCTTCCTGGTGTCGTTCGAGTCGATGGAGGTCCGCAATCGGCTGCCTGATTTAGACATAGTTTACCATGTCTGCAGCCTCCCTTATCGCACTCCACTCCGGTTAGCCGTGAGCTGGGGACATAAAGAGGACGCAAATGTTTTAGTCGACAACGGCGCAGATGTTGATGCGGCTTCTGGGTTTGGGAAATTGAGTGGGACAGCCCTTCAAATTGCGTGCCGAACGGGAAATATTGCCATTGTTGAGATGCTCCTCACCAAAGGCGCAGACCCCCTCGCGGTCGGCGGCCATCCAGAAGAATCCACGCCCCTGATCGAGGCTTTGAGATGCAATGAAAGTGTGCAGATCTCCCAGTTGCTACTTACCAAGACGGGGCCTCGACATCAACATGCAGGATTCGACTGGGGAGCACCTCCTTACCTCAGCTTTTGAAATGATGAGCGAAACTTCTTGTATCTTGATGGTCGACAATGGTGCCGACGTTAGTATACTTCATAGTTCGCGGCACACGGCCCTCAACTCGGCTCTGAGAAAGAGCTGGAAACGACTCATGCGAGCGCGCGTCTGGAAAAAGGAGTCGATGTCGACGGAATGGGCAAAGGCCGTTCAACACCACGTCGTGGAGCCTGCGAACAAGGCGATCTGGAACTGAAGACCGTGGTCACCTTTCCCTGCGTCCTGCCCCCTCCACACACTAGCACACAAAGCCTGGAGCCGAACATACACGGCATGACTCGACGAGAATTTTCAGCCTTTGCAAGCTCGCAAATTTCAGCGAAGAACCGCTCTGAAAGCACGCACCGGTTCATGTTCACCGCCATGCGTTGGGAATGAATGCACGTTTATACGTTTATGAGAGGCTCATCGAAGCTTAGCTGCATGCAAGCAAAATGGAATCCGACGGGTCAAAGCAAAGTTCAAGCCTTGGCACAAGCACTAGACTGTGATACTGGAATGTTAGATCGCGATCCCCCAATCACAACACATCGCCTCGCCATTCTCAACACCTGATCGGCGGATATTCGCACGAGAGGTTTTCGTGTCGAGCTAGATATGACATTAGAGGGTCATTCAATCGAATATCCGCCGCTAGGTTCGTCCTGCACTTATATAACGACGAACCAAGAACTATCTATGACGGTTGCCTAGATACGACGCTATCTTATGACCATTGCACTCGAGCGGGAATCAATACAGGTTCAAATGCCAAGACATCTTGTGTGAACGTAAGTTGTAATGGTGGCTCTCCGCAAATCGTGGGCTTATTTTTTTCTCATTTCGGCATCTCGGCACCCTTCTGATGAAGAAGTGGGACAATATCCCCTCTTCACTGGAGGGAGACGTTGAGGTAGACAGCAGCATCACAGACGCGGTTGCCATATTGAAGAGTATCATTGCACGCCCGGAGACACCGTTTCTCGCAAGACTTATTAGTTATGCAGAGTTAACACAGGTGCTGGACGCTCTCAAGGAAAATGTTCGCCATCGTCGTCGATTGGGGCTAATCGATAGGGTTTCTGGTAAGAGGATTGCTACTCTAGCAATAGATATCTATCTGAGCGCCAAGGGCACACCTACAGACCAGGAGAGGAAATCCATATCCAAGCTGATGTAGGTTAGTGATCGCTAGACCAAGCTAGGAGGCACATCACCTCTCCTCCTCGCTACTTATACCAAGGTAGTGGAACAGGTAATGTACAGGCAATTTCATATGGTTCTGGTTCTGGTCCCTAATAAGTCCAATCCTTCTTCTTCTATTAGATATGCTCACACTTTGAAGTAAGGGTATGTATATATCGATAGATATACTAGAAGCAATTGCAGAAGAAATAGTTCACTAGTAACCCCCTGAAGTCATTACTATATCAAATTATCTAGCAGAGAATACAGAGTTACCCTACAGATTCAGCGATAATATAGAGTAGAGAGGGAAGATATTTATATGGGCAAAGGCATTTCTGGCCTAATATAAGCACTTATAGCTATGTTGGTGGATTTAAAGAGTTTGGCTGGACCATTCTCTTGTGGTGTTTGGTTTTATAGTTTTAAAGTATAGAGTCCTCGGTTAATGTCACTTATATCTCGTGTTCTAGAGCCTTCTGAATGTGATGTCACACTCAGGTCTCAATGAATTCAATTCCATTATCGTTGTTCTGAGACAATCAGGAGCTTTCCCAGGCATATATCACCCAGTGATCATTGAACACCCTGTCGCCTCCCTGACAGAGCTAGGAGGCCATGTACTATTAGATATAGGGGCTGATGTGGACATAGTCGCGGAGGATCTTGTAGATAGAATGGAAAAACTTGGAATAAACCACTGTTACCCCCTAAAAAGAGGAATCTTTATTGGCTCAGTTTCAACCCAAGGCATTCCCTCCCATTCATTTGCTCGAACAGCTATGTTGCTATTGGATTGGAGCTGGGGCAGCAGGTTCCCCTTCCCAGTTTTGAGGATACCTTTGTTCTATTTAGTAATAGGGTAGGAGCTTGGCTTCAAAGTCCTATGTCCTAATACCCGACAAGGAAATTCTCGTAGAGGTGGATCTTACAATCGAGATACGTCAGGTTTAAAACAGCGGGTTCTCAGATATCGCAGTTCGGTCCCGGACACGATCATCTCTGCAGAGCCCGCCTGTCCGAGCCAGAGGGGACAAGAGAGGGGTCAAGCAGGCATCGAGGAAGCAATCCCCGATTTCCTGGATCCGCATGTTGGTGCCTATCCAGCCAGTTGCCGCAAAAGTCACGCTCCTCAGGCAAAGCCCGTCCTGTCTGCGAGGAAGAGCTGGGCGTTTGACGCGGTCTACTGGAAGTATTTGGACGAGAGGTTCTTTGGCGATCGTGGAGCAGATGTTCCAGAGCAGGATTATTGGGAGATGAGGATTCATCTCCCTAGTCAGGAAGAGAGATCTGCTATGGAGCCGTTTGTAAAAAGGAAGATAGAGGAGTCAAAGGAGCGGATCCTCGTCGATTGGTCTCTGAAAGAGGCAAGGGAGTGTTTTATGAATTATTATTTGATTCACTAGAATGAGAAAGATCTGAATGGCAGAGGCAAGGCAAGGCTATTGCGACAGCAGAGCGGGCCTACCAATCATCCGCTTCGTAGTTTCACACCATTGTACCCACTCAGTTCTTACGTGGATATCTCGAATCATGGCCAAAGCCTGTTGACCCTAAAGGGTATCTGCATCGTAGAGTGGGTGTAATATCCGTGTACACCCTCCCTTACCCCCAGAATTTCGATTGCGAATTCGTCGTCTACCCTATTGTCACGTTTCTTTAAGTACTCTTCGGAGAGCCCGCGCTAAACGCCGCATGGAATAGAGGCCTCGGGCTCCTTTTCGTCTCATCCTGCTTATTTACGCTCCTGGCAGCCTCTCGGTTAGCTTTCTTCACCTGCTCCTGCGCCACTTTTGCCTGGTCCCAGAATAAAGCCCATCCAGAAAACAGTGGGTTGGCGCCATTCGCTTCCACTACCCTCAGCAAAGGCCATACAGAAGTCACAATAGCACCTAAATCTGGTCTTCTCTCAGTCAACGGCAATTGCTTCCCTTTTTGACCATTTCCTGCCTGATCTTGGGCCGACTTCGTCTCCGATCTGTTGACTTCGCGGCTATCGTTCCCTTCTGAGGGCTGCCAAAGTGGGACGGGAAAATAAAATTCTTTATCACCCTCCATATCGACCTCGTATCGTTTTTTGTATCGTTGGAACACTTGCCACTCCCGTTCGGCAAAGCGGCACGTGTCCTCAAGATCAATTCGAAATTGACGTATAGTTGCGTCGGAGAGTATAGGGCTGACACCTTTGATAACATCCCGGACAGCAGCTTTTACGGCTTTATCAATGACGGAGTCTCTATAACGTGGCAATTTCTCCATGACTGCAAAGTGGGATGATCGGCAGAACGATTCCATGTTTGGGTTTGAGACAGCCAGTTCAGATAAGGCCGCCACAAAATCATCGTCTCGGCCGATGGGGCGGAAAATATGGCGGGTTAATGCGGATGCAATGATTGAGTCGACCCCAACAATACGCATCTGTTTGGCCTTCTCCAAGTTGGTAGGCGGAGCAGGAAACTTCTTGGGGAAATTATGACTCGTGGGTGGTTCCCAGTCAGAGTGTGATCGGAGGGTATCGGGATCCAGATTCTCGGAGAAGTAGTCTGTGGCTAGCTGGTTGACGAGATTCCATATTTGTATCCACCTCTCCAAGCTTGAAAGGGCATCATCAATGTCAGTGAGCCTTTTCTAGCGTCAATGCTTCTTGGTCCGTAGAAACGTACATGTTGTCCTCCGTCTCGTCTTTTAGCTCCACCCTGTACTGGTCCAATTCCTCCACCTTGGCCGTCGCCTCTCTGAGACTTCGTCTATGCTTATCCAGATCATTTTCAGCTTGGGTAACTCTGACATTCAAGCTCTCAACTTCCTTTTTGAGCTTTTCATTTTCGTCCACCGCAGCTTCAGATTGTTGCAGAAGAGTACTCTTGTCTTTGGTGAGACGATTGATGAAAGCGCAGTTCTCTTGATCCCGTTGTCTAAGCGAACGAAGTTCGTTGGTGACATTTTCTCCTGCCTTGGCAGATAGTCTCTTAGATAGAGTCACCATCTGGAGCAAGACCTGGGTGTCGTCGTTGGTGCTCATGGTTTCAGAATGTGGACATATAGTTATTCTGTGGTGATGGAGGAGGGGAGAAAGGAATGCCATGGATGAAGAGAAATGCCGGATATGAAATTAACCTGGAGACCTTGATTTTTATTTACATCCTTGCACTTTCCTCCTAGCTGTATAACCTTGGAGAGTCAATGCCTTGGCAGTACTGACTATTTCGGAGAGGGGTGGTGTGTTGTCCGTGGCATAGAAAACTGCGGGAGGCCGAGCGGATGGAGCTCCTTTTCCAAACTCGGGCACCTTCCTGCACCACGAGTCAATAAAAAAGAACCCATTCCATCACACCATGCATATGATAGGTCGAGCGAGAGCTTCCTGTCTGGAACCACGTAGCAACAAGCTGCGTGTAGTCATGCCTCTAGACAATCATGTAAGAGGGAACTGAATCAACTGTAATCTGGACGGTTGGGATGTTTATTCTGTGGGAATCTAGGACGCCTTACTCCACCGGAAGGGGAGGGGGGGGGGGGGGGGGGGGGGAACATACCAGATACGTTAACAAGTTTTCTTATGATTCTGAGCGGCAGCAAAAAACTATCGCCGCGACAGCATCTACTATGTAGTCTCCTCGCCTGCATTGCGAATTACTGCCATGGGCATAGCCATTGGCGTTTCGATAGTCTCCCCTATTCATTTGAGGGATCTTTTGTTATCATTTTGACAGATTCGGTGCGGGGTAACCTGCGGGAGGCCAACTTCATCTGATGCATTGCAGAAGGTGAGGGGCTGGACACATACCGAACAGGAGCACAGCAGACCCGAGACTTTAGAGCCAGTTCCAGCGGCCGTCATCCTCACACCATGATCTCTTTATCATCAGCAGCGATTCCGAGTGCCTGTCCCACAGTCATCCCCTCTCCTCTGCCATGTCTATTGTAACGAGCAGTAGAGCGAGTGGATTAAAGAATGAAGGACATGAACGCGGAGATGGACTACCGCTTGGAAACTTCAGAGGAAAAAAAATTGAGGTTATGATCTCCCCCCGGCATCGATATGATTCTACCAATCATGTCCCCCACAGTCGACCTCCCTTGTCTCCCACCATATACAACACCCTTGGCGTTCCCCTTCCCATTGCGATCCTTCTTCCCACCCATCTTTTTCAACCCGAAGAAGCCTCCTTGTCTTCCCGTCGGTTGTGGCGGACCACCGCACTGGCCACCAATCTCGGAATCGGCGTCGGGAATGTAACCATCGCGACGACGTCGTCCGGACCGGCTAAAGCAGCAGCATATGGTAATAGCGGCGAGGATAAAGAGAGCGGCGACGACGCCGACTACGTTCATGTCTCGATCTAATACATCCTCAGTATGACGCACCAATTCGTGTATCTAAGCTAGTATACCCGGACTGGTGCTAAACTTGCATATCTCGGATCTTGGCACTGGGCTCATACATTTCGTCATCGGTTTGGCACGCGCTGATGTCGTTGCGGAGACTGTTGGATTGTGGTCGGGCTTCAGCACAAGAAAAGAGGCCTCTCGCATTCGCATTGCTCGTATATAGATATCGAATCCTGAGAATACGGTTCTCGTTAGGCAGCCTTTTTTTCCCCATCTGCTGTTTTTAATTTAACGTCCATATAATCTAGAACAATGATTTTCCTTCGCTCATTAGACCACCTCGATGACTACTTCTGATCAGTAGAGTTAGAAAAATGCAGTATATTTGCTATAATGCTCTTCAAGGGAAAACAAAGGACCACAACATGCCCTCATTTGCCTGGAGGGGCTTCGCCAGCAAAACTCATTGCGGGCGCTGGTGCTGAGACGAAAAATGGGGCTGGAGAGGCTGTCCAAACTGCTCAGACATGCGAGGTTTGTGCCCAGGAGAAGAAGGCGGCAAGAGTTTACCGAGCAAAAATAATCCTGGGCCTCGTGTTGCCGTTTACGGTGCAGGCTTTTGATATGACGATGTAAGTTGGGTCGTCTCCTGCCGTGCTTTCCTCAAGAGACCAAACGTTGGGTATAATGCTGCGGTGAGAATTCTAAGACGGCAGCTAACGAAAGCCCGACCTCGCCTACAGTATCGCAAGCCCTCTCCCATGGATCGCGGTCGAGTTCAGTAAGCGATATGAGCTCTTCCACAGACGTTCGTCCTAACCAAGGAACAGGCGAAATCACACAGCTTAACTGGATCGTCACCGCCTTCAACTTAACATCGGCGGCTTTCATCCCCGCCTGGGGCCACTTCGCCGACATATTCGGGAGACACTGGTCCCTCCAAGCAGCTGTTTTCATCGTCATGGTGGGGAGTGCGCTCTGCACCGGGCGCCGACAAATGCTTTTCCCGTTCTTCTGCTCGGCCGCGCTCTGCAGGGCGTGGGGGCTGCTGGCATCGGCGTGATCATTCGGGTCATCCTCGCCGACAAGGTGTCTCTGAAGGAGAATGCCAAGAACAATTCGATATTTTCTTTAGTTGCGGGTGTTTCGTCTGGGGCCGGACCGGTCCTCGGAGGTGAGTGGTATCAATGCATCAACTTTTATCATACTTGCGTGAGTGCGGCTAACTTTTTTGTCTCTCTCTTCTAGGCGTTCTCACCCGCGCAAACTGGAGATGGTGCTTCGGAATAAACCTCCCCGCGTGTGCTGTAACATTCATTATCGTCTTTCTGATCCGATCCGTCCTCCTTGGGCCGCAGCCCATTCCGGGCCTGGATGAGCATGGCACGGGCGGACAGTCGCCACTTGCGCGTCGTCTGAAAACGATCGATGTCGGCGGTGAAATCCTATCCATCTCCGGCGTCGGGCTTATGATTTTGGCCTTTACCTGGGCAGGAGCTACCTACGACTGGGACAACGCGGCTGTTCTTGTCCCTCTCATCATCGGCGCGCTGATGACGGCCGGTTTCATCCTCTGGCAGTATATGATGGCCACCGGCAAGCTGCTGTCACAGTTGTTTCCTCTCCAGCGGCCCATGCTAGCTTGGGAACTTCTGAGGCAACGGAATATTAGCCTGCTCTTCTTCATCAACTTCGCAACGGGGGTAGGCATGTACGCAGTACTTTATTTCGTGAACCTCTACTTCACAATGGTCAGGGTATGTGTTGGGTATCCATATCTCAGCAATCGGTGGAGAAATGTGCTCAACTAAAAGTGATTGATGCAAGGGCCACAACGCGTCTTCTGCCGGCGTTCAACTCTTATACTATACGCCAGGACTTGGAGGTATGTTCCCCCATCAACACATACATATCATAGAATCTGAAGGCTAAGCAAATAAAGTCGGCGCGTATTTGGCCATGTACATGTGTAATGTATGGCCGCGGAACACCTGGTGGCCCATCCTCTTAGGTTCGACGATTGAATGCGCAGGAGTCGCCGCTTTGGCGTATGCAATTTCTATCGACCATAAGCGGACTGTGTACGGCATGATGGCACTGGCTGGTGTTGGGACCGGCTTGCGATTTATGCCAGGTGCGTAGGGGAAACACTTTTCTGTCTTTTCTTTTTTCATTCCCCTTCCTCTAATTTCAACTGCTCCTTCTGAAACAACTCTTTAGGAACCATTCACGCGGTCGGTTTCTGTCCAGGTCACATCTCATCTATTGTGGCGTTCATGGGAATCGCCATGCCGTTTGGTGGCATCCTCGGTATGACCATTATGTCGACTGTCTTCAACAACACCTCCCACCTGTCTCGTAACTCCCCATATCGCGATTTCTCTGCTTTACCCCAGCTACCTGCGGACATTCTCAGACAAGTTAGGGAAGACGCAAAGGTACGTAGCCTAGCCTGGAAGAGGAGAGATTGTCTGCTAACAGAAACATTATAACAACAGATGGGTATAGTGTGGGCATTCGTTGCCATCACGCCAATCCTGTTTATGGTGAGATAATCTGCACTTCCTTCTCTGCGGCGCCGTCATAGCCTAGTGATAGCTAACAGCCTGCGATACTAGTGCATGATTACTGCGTTGGCTTTAGGAAATGTCAACATCACAAAGGATGATATTCATTCCGGCGATGATGCCTACAAGGCGAATCTGACTGAAGAGAGTTACCTATATACTATACTTGGACGAAGAAGCCAGAAAACCACAGAATGAGATTCAGAGCGATCGAGTATCCGCCCAGTCAGCGGAAAATTTGTACGTGGTGTAAAGATGGGTATATTATTAGTTTGCTGTATCACATTGTTTCGCGAGTCGAATCGTCGAGTCGAATACTGTAAATCGCATCGTCTGAGACCAAGCACCAACAATACTCCGTACTCTGCTTCTCGGTGTATCGGACCAGCATTTACAAGAGGGCAGAGTCTGGAAATGAATGAGCGGATTTTTCATCAGAGGCTAGGCACCTCTGTCACTGCCCACCCTACTCCTGCCTAAGGGGGGAAATATCGCCCATGGAATATTCGTTCACTCGCTCAAAAGTTCAGCATTAGGCGGAACGTGGGCCCATAGGTCATCTCAAGTCGTCGCAGTCCCTGTCGTCAGGAGTTGAAATGACAGGGCTGGGGCTGTAAACTTTGCGAGCGGTCACCCCACTGGCACCACGTTTACCTTTTTCGGAGACGGATCGGTGGGTGCGGGCATCTCCGGTGTTCTTGTAAAACCCTAAATTGGTCGGCGATTAAGACCGTTGCCCACGTCATTTCGCCGACCACTACTCGCTGTGGGCGGCTTTGCTTCAGTTCTACTGGTCGCTCGCCAAGAAACATCATGCATCGAACGATTTAAGCCAGCTCGGATGATCCCGAGCCTGCAAAGAGGCCACTTTAAATATCTTGAATGCCGTCTCCAATTTGTAAGATGCTTTCTGATTTATAAACATTCCCGGTTTACCTTGTCGCTGTAAATCTATATTAGATGGTCACAATTCGTAGTCTGTCGCTTTTCACCCATTCTTTGACCAACAACAACAACACATTTGACCGTTCATGAATAGATCTCTTAAGTCCTTTACGAATTTACTTCGCAACTACCATCATCACATTATGGCCCAACCTCGCAACATCGTCATAGTAGGCGGAGTCGCCGGCGGCATGTCCTGCGCCGCCCGCCTCCGCCGCCTCGACGAAGACGCAAAAATCACCATCTTCGAAAAGGGCCCCTACATTAGCTACGCCAACTGCGGCATCCCCTACGCCCTCGGCGGCGTCATCGAGTCCGAGGCCAAGCTTCACGTCATGACGGCCGCCAAGGTCGAAAGCTGGTTCAATGTCGACGTGCGCAGCGACAGTGAGCTCGTCAGCATTGACCGGAGTAGCAAGACCGTCCAGGTTCAATCGCAGGCGAGCCCGGAGCCGGAGACGGTACCCTACGATAAGCTCGTTCTGGCACTCGGCGCTGAGGCTTTTCGGCCGCCCATCAAGGGCATCGACGCCCCACATGTTTTCACCCTGCAGACGATTCCCCAGCTCCAGCAGGTTGAAGGGTTTATCGCGCAGACAACGACGCGAAAATGCCAGAATGCTGTGGTTATTGGCGGTGGATTCATCGGCCTCGAGGCGGCGGAGAACTTGGTCTTCAAGGGTCTGAACGTCTCTTTGCTCGAGGTGTTGCCGCACGTCATGCCCCCCGTGGATGCCGACATGGCGGAACCCCTGCACAAGGAGCTCAGGCGCAACGGCGTAAGTCTCATGATGAGTGCCAAGATCGGCGAAATCGTTGCGCCCACGGCCACGGAGGAAGGCTACGTGACTGTAACAATTGGCGGCGAAGAATTAAAGGTTCCGGCTGATATGGTCATCGTCGCGACAGGTGTGCGGCCTCGAATCGCCATTCCCCAGGCTGCTGGGCTCGAAACCACCCGCGGAGGAATGGTCGTAAATGAGCATATGCAGACCTCGGACCCGGACATTTACGCCGTCGGAGACATGGCCGCGACGCCCAACTTGATTACCGGCACCGACATGAACCTAGCCCTCGCAGGTCCCGCCAACAGGCAGGGACGAATGGCGGCCGATCACATTTGCGGACGAGAGACGCGATACCGAGGAAATGTCGCTACGTCCGTCTGCAAAGTTTTCGACCTGTCCGTCGCGACAGTGGGCTTCTCGACCGAGGCACTGACGAGAATGGGAAAGACGTTCGAATACGTTACCGTTCATCCTCCCGACCACGCTAGCTACTACCCTGGAGCCGAGCCCATGACGCTCAAGGTAGCTTTTGAGCCACCCAGCGGAACCCTCCTCGGAGCGCAGATTGTCGGGGCTAAGGGCGTGGACAAGAGGATTGATGTTCTTGCTATGGCCATTAGGGCGGGCATGACTATTTTCGATTTGGAGCACGTCGAGTTGGCATACGCTCCACCGTACGGCTCGGCCAAGGATCCCGTCAACATGGCCGGATTCTGCGGCTCCAACGTCCTCAGGGGCGACGTCAAGATCGTTCACGCTGCCTCTCTGGCCGTGAAGGGTGAGGGAATCGAAGGCTACGAGGTTGTCGACGTCCGCACGCCCGGAGAGTTCGCCCAGGGACACGTCAAGGGTGCCAAGAACATCCCCCTGAACGATTTGAGAGAGAGAAGTGGAGAGATTCAGAAGGAGTCCCCGGTAATCGTGTACTGCAAGGTCGGATATCGCGGCTATTTGGCATATCGCATCTTGAAGCAGAAGGGCTTTGATGTCTTTAACCTTGATGGCGGCTTCAAGGCTGTTTCTGAGGGAGGATACGACGCATTGTGTGCGGAAAAGAGTTCTCTTGCAGCTTGCAACTAATGTTCCTTTTCTCTCCTTTTGATTTTTCTCTCTTAATTAGTTAGTTTCGAATTGGGATTAGACTAGACTCAGCATATAGAGATGCCACTTAATATTTTAGAAATACATATGAGCGGGCCTCTACATCCTCACAAAAAGCAACATAATAGAGACAAGAGATAGTCTTCAGGCGTTTAACGGGGCAGAGGAAATCAATTGCAGTTGGGCGTGCATTTATTTTAACTGGTATATTTTAATGTTAATCCACAAGACGTTTCTCCTGGGCTTGAGCTTCCGTCGAAGGCCACCCTCGACAAAGGATCGCTGCCGCCCAAGCATCAGTCCGAGGAGGACATGCGGGCATCATCACCACCATCTGGTGGTACGCCGACATACATGTAGTTGTCAGCATCGATGTTTAGAAACCTTGCCCGAGGCCTTCCCCGAATGAGATGTTCAATGGCGGATCCGTATTTTATCAGAAGATCTTCTCTTCCTGCAGTCTGTATGATTACCAGGCCAAACGGAACATCTGTTTCTCGGTGTTATGGTCAGCCTTCGATCTATCCATTGCAAGGCTGCGGACCCCGTGTTTGCGCGTAACCCACCATCATCTTTGTTCACAGCTACCGGGATTGTTATTGCCGGATATCCTACACGGGGCTGTTAGTACGGGAAGGTCATGAGGGACGAGAATCTACTAACCCGCCTTGGCAGCAACTTGGTTGGCCACTCCGCCGTCCGCCTGTATAGGTACCAAGATGCCATCGAGAAGACCCCCCTTGGATCGAAGCACGGCATCTATGCCTTCCTCGCGGCTCTTCTGCCTTATGTAGTCGACAGCCGAGTGGTACGCCTCATCCTCTATTCCTCGAGAATCCGCACAACGGTGAAAGTTATCTTGGCCCATCGGCCACGCGCCGTGCAGGCCTGGCAGGCCGCCTTCATCCTCTGCGTTTTTCTTGTTGAACTCGATGATGTCCTCCAAACTCTCCAGGTTCCAGGGGTTCTCCGCCAGTGATGCGAGATATGCTTTGAGCTGGTTGTAAAAGTCGGTTTTCACGACTGTAAACTCCGATTTACTCGGTTCGCGAGGATAGTTCCTACACACCGATCGATGAGTTGCGATTTGCGAGTCATAGTCGAAGTAACAAAGCCACGTACCAGTCCCAACCAACAGGCGGAATTATGTCTTCCGCAGAGGGAAAATCAACGTCCTCGAAGACCTCTGCCCCGGACTTCCTGATACGATCGATGGCTCCTAGGAGAATTTGATACTGGTATGGATTCTGCGAGGCAGACTCCCATACCCTTGTCCAGGGCATTGCAAATCTCGCTCCCTTTAACGCCGACTGCGTAGATACGAAAGACTCGAATGGAGTGTCTAAAACAAGTAATTATTAGAATCGTGCCGGTTCCTGTTGGGGGAAAAAAAAAGAAGAAAATCCTTCCTTAGCGAATCGTCGCTCACCTGGTGCTTCCTGATCGCATTCCCCAGAAATGACGCTGAGCACCACTGCTGCATCCTCGACATTTTTCGCAATGGGTCCCACGACATCGAGGTTATGGGATTCTGGGATAACACCTCGACGGGACGTGACTCCTAGGGTCGGCTTTAGTCCCACTACTCCATTTCGGTCGGATGGATAGGTAACCTGTACACAAGGCCTTAGCAAGAGTTAATAATGCACCAGAGGCATATCAACAGATTTGACGCGCACGCTTCCATCCGTTTCCGTCCCTAGTGCAAAGGCACACATGGAGATGGCGACTGCGACTGCACTCCCCGAGCTAGATCCTCCTGGATGCTCTGCAAGGTTGTGTGGGTTGCGACATTGGCCGCCTCGACCGGAGTATCCCTCGGAGCTGAGAGATTAAGACCAATGTCGTTAGGCACTTAGGTATATCGTAGTCGTGGGTGTGGAGGGACGCACTAATACGATGTCCGCATGCAGGCCCATTCTGACAGATTAGCGTGGCCAAGGAGAACGGCACCGGCCTCTCGAAGCTTGGCTACGACAACCGCATCACTATCGACGGCTGTCCCGATCAGCGCTAGGGATAATTAGCCGGCTCAAAAGGCTCTAAACCTAATCCTTGCTAGGGGTTCACACCTCGTGATCCGGCCGTGGTTTGCATTTTATCCTTTGTGCAGATGTTCTAAGGTAGGTAGTTAGCTACCAAGAAAGTCTGGAGACACGGAGAGTTGTCTATCGGTATATCCTACGTCCTTGACCAGGTACGGTATTCCGTGAAGAGGACCCCTCATCGTGCCTTTCTTGCGTTCGATGTCACGTTCATCGGCGATAGTTAGGGCGTCGGGGTTTACTTCGATAACCGCCCTGTCCCGGAGTGAGCTACCAGGTCTATCATCCCCAATAGAACCCGACTTGCTCGCTCGATTACCTACTTCAGAACCGGGTTTAGGCGCCGGATCCTCTCCAAGTAGCACTCGGTAAGGTCCCAAGCTGAGAACTTGCCGTCGATCATGTGCCTCTGTAGCTCGGCGATCGACAGGTCATGGATATCGACTCCACGACATGTTGGCATCGACAGGTCGATATGCATCGTCACGCTTTTACCCGAGGATTGGTCGGGATGATAATGAATCAGGAGAAGTTAAGACTGAGTTGAGATCGTAAAAACCATCTTGACGATCCTGAATTCCTGATGCCTGATGAATTAATGACGGGTTTACGTAAGCGTTATTTTGAGTTCAATTTGTGATTATTCCTCAGCCAAATCCGGGCTGGTTCGATCAGCATAATCCGCGATGTGGAATTACTATGCTTATCGCAAGGTACGGTAAGCCAGACGCAGGGGGGAATTACATACCCAAAAGGCTGGAAGTGGCTTGGGTGATCGTGTAGCTCGGTGGAGACGAATCATAGGCTCGCGGGAGTCTTTCAGTTCTGACAATCTTCATTGTGTATATGCGCATACGATACCTTGAATGGTTGACGGGGTTGCGGGAAAAGCATACTCTATTGGTTTTCTACTCGAGGAGATGCTCCAGGCTTCAAAGATATCGAGGAGCCTTTGTGGGACTTCTCTCACTACAGTGTAAAAAATATCGCGACAACTAATATCCAAGGCTTCAGATTACCGCAGTAAAATTGATGGAATTATTTATTCTGTCTCCTCGACTGAACTAATATCGATCAAATTTAGATATAACGCCGGTGAATAAAGTGAGTCGAAGAAAAATGCCCGAGGGAGCATAATAATGTCCTCCATGTGACAAAAGTAGATGGCCTTCTCATAAGCCTAGGGGTTAGGGTGTGTTGTAATAGATGAATCCAATCCAGCGTCTTGCATGCTCCCGAGGTCGATTCCCATATTAAATTGTCGATAAGAATCCTCCAACAACTCTGCCAACAATAGAATCGAAAGCACCTCGCTCTATCGTGGCTCCAAAGCCAAAACACTTGACAACACCCACAAACTCACGCTTCAAAGACTCCATGACCGACTTGTTTAAGAGAACATCCTCAGTATACCTCGACGCCAACTCGAACCACCCTTGAACCGGGGTAAGTTCCTTGTCGTCGAGGTGCAGCGAAGCCGCCAGCCTATGCAGATTCTGCAGAGTAAGACCGGCAGTGGGCCACGGCGATGACGGGGCTTCGGATGGAGTTTGTTGGAACTGTGCGCGATCATCGTACACCGAAGAAGGAGCACTAGCTAAGCAGAATGTCGAGGCTAGGAGGGTGTGGCCACATTGGTCGTCGGCGTCGTCGCTATGGGCGGGGAAGTTGGTTAGGTGGAGGTGATCCCAGCAAACATGTTCGAGTCTGAAAAAAGAAGAAGGTTAGTCGCAGTCTTGAAAGCCTGAATGTTTCGTATGTGAGTCGGATTGCTACTTACGCGAGGATGAAGTTGATGGCAAGATCTTCCTTTTGAGTCGACAAGGGAGGAGAATTCGGAAAGGTCCAGGGACTTCCGGAGGATGTAGGCAAGGACCTGCTCGGCGATGAAGCGATCCTGTAGCAGGGTTTCTGCATGGTGTCGTCCATGCCGAGGCAGGCAAGCATATCGCTAGATGATATTGAGGCGCTGTCAAGGGGTAGAGAGAAGTCAAACGCGTTCAGGTCGAGGTCTGCGAGGTCACCGAGGTCATCCAGCTGTTGTGCACCGCCCTCAGCTATGCCAGGTAAAGAAGGCAAGGGCTTGTTCTTCCAGGCAGTTTCTGGATCGATGCTCGCCAGGCCGGACTTCATCTCTGCATTCTCTTTTCGTAGTTTCGCAACGTCTACCTCAGCTTCGGCTATGGCATCTCGAAGACGGTTGACATCGAGCTCGAGCTTCTTGACGTAGTTGACTTTGCGTTGGCGATGTTCGGTTTGCGCTTTCCTCACCTGGGCTCTCCTGGCTTGAGCTTTCTCTTCGGCTGTTGGGGTTTGGGCCTCATCTAGTCGGAGACTGTGTAAGCTCGAGACGAGAAGAGGAAGAAGGACGCGGACGGAGGGGATTGAAAGCAGTGTGGAAGGTGGGAGCCCAGTAGAGGCGTATGGGGCGGTCACGTTCGTCTCATGGATAGGAAGGAAGAGGAAAAGAAGCAAGCACACCACTTTGTTCCTAGCGCTCTCTAATGGCAACCTGCATGTCTAGCCCATACTAGGCCCATGCTGCGGGGTCGTGAAGAAAGGGATGATGAGGATAATTCGGCATGAATAGTGGATCAGGCGCCATGATTTGCGAGGCGACATAACGGGCTAAGGAGGTGGATGGGGCGAGGGTCCCGCGGCAACGACTGAATAGGAAGAGAGATTTGTATTGCAATCGGGCTATCGGGGAGTTGGGGAGCGTGGGCGGAGCCTAAATCCTCCTTGGTGGGGGTGGACTATACCTTTGGAAGAGCCCTCTGGCGACACAAATACAAACTGCGTCTGCTTCCCGGCCGCCTTTGTACGCTTCCAGAACTTGGAAAAAGACGGACGGTTCTCGTCATCGCCGCCGGTCATTATTGCGCGTCGATGGGTGTTGATCGGCGGCCTACGACCATGCTGGTCGGTGAAGGGTGATAATGCGACGCGATGGGGGGAGAGGTTTAATTTGCCCGTCTCCGCCTTTGAGCTTGGGCTTGGATACTTGGATGGGGATGGGAAAAGGACGTCAGCACGGGGCAGCTTTGATCAACATGAGAATATCTGATTGGATGAAGCCTTGAGTCGGATCGATTGGGTTTTCGTGGTTTTCTGGAATCAGTGTTGCCGTTTTGGGAAAGGTGGAAAATAAAAATCCTGGAGGAACTGAGGAATTGGGATGACAGAGTGCCCCTGGTTTCAAGTCGGTGTCTGTTCGTTGAGTTAACACAGAGAAAAATTATCGACTCGCTTGAGAATCAGGAGGAAAGTTAGAAACAAACCGGCGGGGCGATCGCTCTAATAAGTTCCCTTGACACAATTCTTCAATAGTTAGGCTTATCCCAAAGCACCAGACAAGATCTGTCATTGCTTCGCCTTGCTCCTCAGCTTCTGGCGGCTGATGCGAGGCCAGTGGCATACAGGCTGTCAATATGCCATCAATGATGTCTCTCTTCCCTTGCTTTGCAGAACATGCCCAAATTAGACGTTTTAACACCTGCCAACGTCCAGTGGCGGTGTCTTGGGCTGAAATTCTGCGGAGTGTGGATGTCCCTCCGCCCCTGAAGCCATTGCCCAAATAGGAAATGGGAATCTGTCATGGTTCATTGACCCTTGTTCCTCGTGTCCTGTCTGCCGGGGTTAATGGCGGATCCTAGTTTCTTAGGTCCCACCCGCTTTCGAGAGCGGAAGTCAAGATCTCGCATCGACCGCAGCTTGCGAAACGCCACACGAAAACGGCCCAGGTTCAGGAACCCAATCTCTAACGCTGATAGGTGGTGTTCCTGACAGCCCATGCGACCAAGCTCGATGGTTCCTGGCTAAGCCCACCTTGGCTGAACGAGCCGTTGGGATTCCTCCGCCCCTGGTTCTCTCGCGAGACCCGCGACAAATCATAAAACACTATTTCCGAACGCAGACAACATGATTACAATGTGCAGCTTGGCAGTTTGACAGTTTGACAGCATCGCGTATCTGCATGGGACTAACCGTTAGGCTCAACTAAGTATAAGTAGCAGTAGCACGCCGGGCACGATGCCTGCTCCTAGACTTCTTACTACACATGCATCCAGTTCACATCTAAAGATCTCAACTCCACTAACTTCACCTTCACAACATCACCATGCACTCCCTTTCTCGTCCATCCCTTCTTCTCCTTTCCCTTGTCTCCCTCTTCACGGGAGCCTTAGGCAATCCTGGTTGTCGACCACGCCCACCCAGGCTAAACACTGCAAGGGCCATTTATTTCATCACCAATGAAGACAACAATGGCGTCGCTGCCTTGCCAATCGGTGCCGACGGGACACTGTCGCAGGGAACCGTAACCGAAACCGGCGGTGCGGGCTCCGTGTCGGTGGATAGCAATGGCGATCAGGCTCTCCCGGATGCCTTGATCGGCCAGTCCGCCTTGACTGTGGTCGGAAATGTGAGGCATCATCACCGCTCCGTGCCATCACACACGGGTCAAGACTAACATTACTTTGGTAGCACATTTTCGCCGTCAACGCCGGCTCCAACACCCTCAGCATGCTCACCATCTCCAACTCGGACCCGACACAACTTGCCCTCGTCGGCGAACCCGTCGCCATCCCCGGAGAATTCCCCAACACAGTCTCCGCCTCGCTAAAGAACCACTTGGTCTGCGTGGGAACCACCGGTGCCGTCTCCGGCATTTCATGCAGCTCCTTCAGTCGCAGGGGACTCGGACCCATGGATGGTCTGCGGGCCTTTGATCTTGGTCAGGTCACACCTCCTGTCGGCCCGACGAATACAGTGTCACAGACTTTCTTCTCTGCAGATGAGTCGCTTCTGTTTACCACCGTCAAGGGCGACCCGCCCACGAACAAGACTGGGTTCTTTTCCGTCTTCCCCGTGGAACAGGCATCCTCGCGGAGAGGAAGGGGTAGGGGCAGGGGCAGAGTCGCTACTCTTGGTACGACTGATACCCGCAGCGTCCCTGACGGCTCAGCGGTATTGTTCGGCTCGCAGGTTATCCCGGGAACTTCCAACGTCTTTGTGACAGATGCAGCCTTCGGCGCAGCGATCCTCTCCGTCGACCCCCAAACACGCCAAGCAACGACCGCCGCACGAGTAGCAATCGACGGCCAAGTCGCCACTTGCTGGGCCACCATTTCTTCAACTACCGGTACTGGCTTCGTAACCGACGTTGCCAACAACCGTCTCGTCGAGGTGAGCCTGCAGGACGCCAGCATCGTTTCGCAACTCGACCTGTCCAGCAATGGTGATCCGGGCCTCATCGATCTGCGAGCTGGCGGCGACTTTATCTACGCGCTGTCTCCTGGGAATGGCAGCACTGAGTCTGCAGTCACGGTGGTTGACCTCTCTGGTGGACCGGGGTCTGCGAAGATGGTTCAGCACTTCGGACTCGGCACCATTGCCGGTCCTCGGGCACAGGGAATGGCAGTTCTTCAGTAGCATGGTTCGTATGGTCTGATCTAGATCGTCACTTTCGTTCTCTGTTTTGTATTCAGGTGGGAAGCACCGGTTGCACATCACTCACCATCAGATATTAGTATAAATATTCTCTTTGTATGTAACAAAAGGCCTTAGAAGCCACTTTTTTTTTCCTTTTTCCAACGTCAAATATATCTTAGAAAATAGTTAAGGCCGAAGTAAGTTGCGAATAAGCTGATTGTTAAATGTTACTGAAAGTCTTCAAATTGAACGTCCTTGTTCTCAGTGTCGTGAACTCGTCGCAAACATCTACAAAAGTACAAGATGCAGACATCGTGTCTCATATACGTTTCAGCCGAAAGCGGAGAGCTTATCTAATCTGACGATGTATTTACACGTATTTCCGAGGTCCTCTTCTCCTGCGGCTGTCGCTGCCCAAGATGGAAATATCTCCATGCGCAGCAATCAGGCACTGCAATCTGAGAAGAAAAAAAATGCCCCTCTGTGAGCGCTGTACGATCCTTACGATCGACGAACTCGTCGAAAACGATGTGCTTTTCCATCCAGACCTCGGAACTTTAAAGTCGTGCGGAGAGCGAGGATGCGAGTTCTGCGCCTTATGTTGGGCTACTCTCCAGACCATCAATCGCCCCCAGTTGGAGAGTCTTCTTCGCGGGGAGTCTGCTTGGCCTAACGCTGAGACGTGGACACCGACAATATGGCTACGTGCTGGCCACTTTTTTCATCGTGGAACAGCGGGCACGCACATCACCGTGAGTTGTGGAAAAGACTACACCGCAGGCGGTGTTCTAGATGGGGATCCGCATCTGAATCCCAGCCCTGGTGTATATTCAAGGCTCGAGGTCTATGAGTATGCTCTTCATCTTTCTCCCATCATCGGGTCCTACTAATAATCGGTCCAGGTTACCGGGATGCCCAACAAAGTATCGCCTTCGGGGGCGACGTCACACGGCAGACCAGGACCCCGAGTTGTATATTGACCTTATTCGATCTTGGCTAAGAAACTGTTGTACGAATCATCAAGAATGCGAGGTCGGGAAGAGCAACGTGATGCCGACGAGGGTCATCGATGTCGGCGATCCTGCCAACGGAAAAGCCATTCGTCTCATCTACACTCAGGGCATGCGGGAGCAGTACATTGCATTGTCGTATTGTTGGGGAGTGATTGCGAGCGATATCCTGACACTCAATGCCAAGACCTACGATTCCATGACGCACGCAGTCAAAGAATCGGATCTCTCCAAAACCCACCAAGAAGCCCTTCAACTCGCTCGTGCACTTGGGATTCAATACGTTTGGATCGACGCGCTATGCATCATTCAAGGGGACGCGGACGATTGGGAGCGTGAATCCAAGACCATGGCGGATGTCTACGGCAACGCGACGTTGACCGTGATTGCCGGGCGTTCTGCCGACTCGAGAAAGGGCTTCATTACGAACAACTTGGCCTCCAAGGGGCGCCCTTCGCCCTGCATACTGCCCATCGACTCATCGAAGAATTCAGGGACCTTGATGGTGGACTTGCCCAGAGTATCTGATGTTGGGCCGGTCTCTACGCGGGCGTGGTGCTTCCAAGAGAGATTAAGTACTAGACGATCCGTTATATTCGGGGATGAGCAATTGCTTTTCGAATGTGTCAAGGATTTCAACTTGGAGAATGGCGTATCAAAGCCGAATGTGCGTCGGCCAGCATTTCTCCGACCTTCAACACCAGTCGCACCGTCATCAGAGCTCCAGACCGTGAGGGACCAAGTTCTCAAAGAATGGTATCAGCTCTTGAATCAGTTCACCCTATGTCGCCTCTCCAATCCTCATGATATCTTCGCCGCAATTGCCAGTCTCGCCCAACATGCCTCCCGCATTCTCAAGTCTCGGTACTTGGCGGGAATATGGGAATGCGATATCGTGCGTGGTCTACTATGGAGGCCATGTCACCACTTTCAACAGGGCCCGGCTGGGAAAATCCCCACGACGCGGCCAAAGGCGACCCAACTCACTAAGGAGACTGGAGTGGTTGTGCGTGCGCCGTCGTGGTCATGGGCGGCTGTTCAGGGGCCCGTCAGCCAAGCATCTTTTAGCCCTCCTCGAATAGCACGTCACAAAGACCCGGGGTATACGAAAGTACGGCCTAAATACGTGAATCCTCAGGGAAAATGGACGTTGGATGACCGATGTGGGGTCGGGACCTTGCACATGCCGAGTTGCGAGTTGCACCTGATCGGGCACATTGCTCAAGCGGCGGTTCTTCAGAAGCCGGTCTCAGGGTATCTCGAATCCAGACCGAGGTGGTCCAAGATTGGGAAATGGGGGGCACTGCGGCACGGAGTTTTGCTTGCGGATAGCAAAGAGATCAAAACCAGTGAGGGAGAGAATGATGAGACGTCGAGCCAAATTGTTGCGATGGGGTTTTTCGACGTTTCTGAGGAGAGACACGGAGTTGAGGAGGTTTGGTGTCTACTCCTCGTGCTCGATCAAGGCTTGATGCTGAAGAGGAATGTAAATGGTACGTTTAGTCGCATTGGGTGGTTTCTACCGGAAAAGGACGACTGGCTTAGAGGGCAAGAGCAGGTAGAGGTTCGTCTATGCTAGTGAACTCCAGAATCGCGGGACTGCTTGATGAATCCACGGGTTCCCAGAGAGAACACACGTGATGGTCATCATGGTTGTTTAGGTCTATCCACGTGAAAATCTCTCGTGGCCCTTGGTGCACCTATCTTCCTTCGGTATGCGTGATTAGGGCATGCTTGGACGCAGGCCAGCCGGATTCGCGGATATGGGGACAAGTGCGACACCAAGGATAGAGCGGCTCAATATCACGCTTCTGCGCCCACCTTGCCACTCATTGCCAATATGCTATCCGAGCTAGCGCTTCTTATCTGATTTTTTGCACCACTCACGGACCTTCATAGGGGGAAGAAGCAACATGGCTTCCTTCAATCTCCCTACGGCAACGGTTTAATCCATATCAACTTCGGTACGCTAGAAATGGAACGCCAGTAACACCAGAGCAAGGCGAATCTACGGAAGAGAAAGACCGACCTTATGCCGGTTTTTAATCAAGGTTGACCCAGACAGAGCAATCGGGGTCAGCGCCATCGTCCTAACATCACTAAGGTATCTCCGGGTTTGTCAGAGGTAAATGGGATTTTACCTGCCCCAGTATATTCATTTCCGGCAGGGGAATAAAAAAAATGCAAAAGAGATCGTACGCGCAGCTCTGGTTGGACTTCGAACGAAACAAATCCCCGCTGGACACGTAGCGACGACAAATACTTTTTTCCAACTTTCTGAGCGCTCCAAGTGACCGCTAGGCCATTTGGTCGCAGCGCCGGTGTTTGAGCTGCTCGGTTGGAAATTCTTGCCATATCCGAAGGTATAAATCATAGGGGACCGGGTGGTGAGGAAGGTGTGGACCGGGCTCTTTCCTTTCACTTACATCGTCGAGTTCCCATTGGGGGGCAATGGAATATAATTTTGACTTCGCCAGGGCCTTGACAGCATCCCACTACTACCACACCACACGCGCACGGTTCAGAATCAGCGTGGGTATTCAGGCGCAGTTGAATCAAATGACCTGGCCCCTGCTCCACCGCTAAGCTAAGCTCAGCGGACTTAAGGGTCTTCCCCTACTGACCTGAGCTCCTTGTTCTAGCAAGAACTTGGCTGCCTCAATATCCTCCTTGTCAGCCTCCGTCTCAGTCGCCGCTTGTGCTACTTGTAGCGCTGTCCACCCATCCTCAGCGCCAGGTGCGTGCGTTGATGTCTGCACCGTGATCCACGAGATAAGCTCCATGATAAGCTAAAACGCCCCTTTTTCTGGATCGCATATCTATTGGCTAAGCAGCGAATCGAGACTGCATTTGTGGAACCGCCTGATCGTCTCGCAATATTCCAGCTAGGACAACGCCAAGCATCATGGAGGGGAACTGATAAGGTCAACACAGGATAGTGCCCAAATCGAGTTAGCTCGGGGGTCGTTCAAGCGTGACAGTAACATCCGATCTGATCCGAACAGAGCTTAGCTCCATGCACCCCATCTTTCTCCCCGTCGCCGGGTAATGTACTTGGCGATTGTTAAGAATGTCCATGCTCTCTCACACCTAGTAATAGTTTACCTCCCCTCCCCAAGCCCCAGATTTTCCTCGGTTTTCAGCTTCTCAGCGCCTAGGCCCTCAACATCCTATCTAGTGCGGACATGCCTCTGACGAGGACTCGACGAAACGAAGGGGCTTGCGTTGGATGCGCCCTGAGAAAGCGAAAGGTATAAACTGCTTGTTATTGCTCATTCCACCGGTTCAGTCTCCCACTTCCCTGTGTTCGTCATCATATGATCACCATCCTTCCGTGCAGCTAACTGTGACGAGCAAAGTGTGATTTGAAAAAGCCAAGCTGCTCTCAATGCAAGAAGAGAAACCTAGAGTGCCAACCAAGGACTTTCAGGAATTACCTAACGCCGACTCGCACCCCCAGACCCGCCCACGGTACAGGCGGCCCACCTTGGCTCACCACCGGCTGTACTTCGCCCTCGCTGCATCGGAGTAGCCAGAGTAGCCGAATATTTACATCCAATTCCCGCGTCGGTGATTCCTTAGAGCCAATCGTCATCGCTTCGTTGGCCTCACTGGACCATGATGGCGGACGTTTATCAGAGATGGAGCCGGAGTCGGAGCTATCCCTGTCTCCATCAACAGATGTTGCCTGGAGTTTCGATGATATACAGCTGTCAAGTTGCGTAGATGTCGAAGATGTAATGGAAACATCACGTCACAATCGCGGTGACCTCCACCCCTATGAGCACACTGGAGACATCGATTCGATGGACTACTTTCCATTACCGGCATCGCCATGGTCGTTACCGTTTTATGTCGACGACGATTCTCAGCAGTCGTTCCTCTGGTCATACTTTGTGTTCCGAGGCTCAAAGATATTTCTTTGCTGGGACACGGAGAAGATGGATTCGAATGTTTTGATCGACGATCCTTACACCACAACCCTGACCGCTGTGGCAGCACACTCGAGGCCGTTCTATCTCGCTGCTCTGGCTCTTTCTGCTTTCCTTTACAGTATGGACTACCCAGGTGTCCTTCCCAGCTCTGACGTCTCCAGGTTCCGACAACAAACTTTGTCAGCTCTGAAAAATACAACCCATGAATCAACAGAAATCTCAGTCGATATCATCCTGGCTCGTCTAATAATGTCTCTTCTCGATATGGACGACGGCAGGAACTCATTCTCATTAGAGCTCGGAAGCAGAGTCACAGCGCGTTACTGGCAACGGCGGGAGCCCGACTACGGACAAAGTGACTCGGTATCTGACGTTGCTTTGCACCTCTTACGATGGACATATATCTGCAAGCAAGTCTCCTTTAGCAATGAACCTGAATCAGCCGACGACGCCGCATGGCGAGTACTTGAATTTCGTGACGAAGAGCTGGAGACACCGCTACGCCGACAATTCAGCCATTGGGTTATTCACCCTCTTTATACAGTATCACATCGATGGATTAATCCACTGCTGAAACTGGGAAGACTTGTATCTCTTCGTCGCCAAGCTCGCAAGCTTTCAGGTGTTTCACTCCCCGAGGATTTCGAGGACCAAATAGGCCAACTGGAGAATGAGATTCTCATCGCTCGCGGCCGAGATCTACTCGTTTTCTTGAGAGGTTCGGGAGACTTGGCAGACCTATTATGTCTCAACGAGGCGATCCACTCGGCAGTCCTCCTTACATTTTACACAAGGTTGAGGGATATGGCCTGGACGAATTCGTTTGTCCGCCAGCAAGCCAGGAAGGTATGTGAGTATGCTGAGGCTATTGACAAATGCTCACGAACTTTGAACAACATCGTGTTCCCTGTATTCCTGGCTGGATGTGAGGCCGCTGATACGGAGACACGGGAGAGGATCGTGTCCTTGTTGAGTGGCCTACATCCGTGGGGATTTTGGTTTCATCAAGAATTTAAGCTGTTGGCAAGTCTGCAACAGGTTTGGCTTATAAGAGATGAGATGCCTGGCGCTTCTTGGCCTGAATGGAGTCAGAGAGGTTTGTCTCCATTCTACTGTTCATATCTAACACTTGAATTGCTAACGACTACTCTAGTGCTTCTCGATAATGTCTTCTGTATTCCCATTTGAGCCATCTGGATGGGTTTGTTGCTCTCAAATTCGAGGGCGGGTACCGTAGACATAAGGGAGTCCAGAATGTAAACATCTATATCGGCCCCCCCAGATCGCCAATTTTATCGTGCGTAATGTTGGCGGGTACTTTTCCGAAACGGAGTTGAGGAGCCTTGTCGAGGGTATCGCCTCGCCAAGGTCCGTGGAGGGAAGCCGCCAATCTGGTTCGTAGAGGCCCGTCCGAGCAACAAGATGCGCCTCGAACAGCAAACCTACATTGGTGTAGCAGAATCCCTTATCTTATTTCTTGATCTGCCAATCCCAGGGTCTAGCGGGGTCATCGGGGGCCGCTCACTACAGCCCAACGCTCAGCAGGATACTTGAGTCTGATTAACCCGGAATGGAAATTCTCCCACCATTGTATGAGATCCTACAATGCAGGGGTGATGGCCGTGGTGTACTCCGTAGAGTTCACGGCGTACAGGCTCATGTCTGGTGGAACGAAATGCGTCATTACTACCAAAAGGAGTTAGCTTGGAACCACGGGTGCTGAGCAAATCGCATGATTTTTGTAGTTCCTAGGAATGGAGTCAACTGATATACTCTATCTAGGAGACAAGGGCGAGATGTCTTGAGCCTAATAATTGGTTCTTGTTACAATCTGCTATCAACGACGCATCGAGATCATTGCCAGTACAAAGAGGAGGCCTGGATCTCGTAATAACGAAATCTTGAATTGAAGTGCTATTTCAGCTATTTAGACCATACTTCTCCCAGGGCACCTACTGCTTTGGCGTCTCCGCCTCGTGGGTCGACCCAGGGATCTCTCCGTAGGACTCAATATCATCAAGGACGCTCTTGAGGATCTCCATGCCCTTGTCAAATTCCTGATCCGTAATGTTCAAGGCGAAGCCAATGCGCAGGCGCTCGCCATGAGGGTAAATGAAAACGCCCCGCTGGAAGGCAAGCCTGGCGATACGGCGGGGAGTGACAACATTGCCTGGCTTAATGTAGATCGACGCATCAGCGCCCCGGTTGGTGACGTACTTGATGAAGCTATGTTTCCATGACTTCGTTATCTCTGCAAACTTGTTGCCAATGTCAGTGGCTCGCTGCAGCAAGTTCTCTTCGTCATAAATTTGTAGCGCCGTCAGGGTTGCAATGTTCGCTGCGGGCGCCATGCAGAAAGTGCTGCCGGTCTCGTAGGGCTTGATCATATCTGGGCCCATAACGTCGTCATTCCCGAGGATGTAGGAGGCCGGATACGAACCACCGGTGATGGATTTGGCCATGTTCACCATGTCCGGCTTATTCTCCGGGCCCAACCAGTCGCTGCAGAGGAACTTTCCGGTTTTACCTGCGCCCATTCGGACTTCGTCAGCAATGAAGAGGATGTTATACTTCCTGCATAGCTGACGAACGCCGATGGCGAATTGAATCTCTTCCTCGAATGTGCTGGAAAGGATAGGGATTAGCTGATGAGCTAGGGGATAGACACAAGGATCGGCTAAAGGATGTATGAAACTCACGGAAGACGACCATGGATACACTCCATAATGACACCGGCCACACGGTGGCCGAATTGCTTGAAGGCATCTTCGTAATCCTGCACACTGCCGTAGCGAAGAGGCTGCCCAGTATGGGGACTGATATTGGTGATATTCCTATTGATTACACCGTAGTCTACATGATCGTCAGCAGCCAATTTCCATTCGTGAGCGCCGAGAATAAGTCATACCTCGCTGAGAGTATGGTTCCATAATGGGCCAAATACCGGCGGTCACACCGTGGTAGTTGTTGGAAGTTCCGAGGACGAGAACATCCTCGGGAGCGATGCCCTTTTTCTTGATGCCCCATTTGCTAGCGAATTTGCAGGCAGCGTCGGCTGATTCAGCGCCGGACACCATCGTAGCACACTTGTCGTAGCCAAACCTCTCGCAAAGGGTCTTTGCGACAAGTGGCCAATCGGCGCTGTGGGTAGCGAAGTTGGTGAGTGTGACTGAAAGGAAGATCTGACGTTAGGACAAGCCCACAGTCCGGGATGATGGTATTGATGGACACGAACTTTTGTTGATCGACTTCGTCATGGCCTTGACCATCTTAGGGTGGCAGTGCCCCAGATTGGTAGCACTCAGCATGCAGATGAAGTCGATGATTTCTTTGCCGTCCACATCCTAGTACATCGGTGAACTATCAACACTGTAATCCTTCCAACACCGGATCCTGTAGGATAGTAACTTACAATAAGGGTCGAACCCTTCCCACTGACAATGAACCCGGGCGTAGCGCCAAAAGTTCCCGCGCCGTACTTCTCTTCCATGTCCATAAGACTCTGGACGGTCTGGGATAAGGGCTCGCCGGCTTGAGTCGCCATTTTGTCTGATTGCTTTTATAGAATGTAGCAAAGGGACGTTTCGAAGTATGAGCAAGAATAGTATGAAAATGTTCGGTGTCGAATGTAGTCACATACGAAGCTCTTCGACAGGAGAGAATCAGCAGCAATATATATTGTTGTGACCTTGGTCGCCAGAAGGGGGGAGACATCATGCCGGGTCCGGTGCCGAGTTGGCTTGCGGCAAGTTCTCCTAAAGGGGACTGGCGTGGTGGCCATTGGAAATCTCCCGCGGGACCCGAACACCAGGAGCTCGGTCTTCTTGCTTCGATCAAGGACACGGGGCCTTTGTTGCGTTTAAATTCTGACCCACGAAAGAGGAAGTATTTCAGCAGTGACAACGTACGATGGTGCGGGGTCTTGAGCGATTATTCCTTTCCTCCTCCCTGGGGCGATTATTTGGTTCGAGGAAGATCATCATGACCCGGCGCTCCGTACTGCTATTCGTCTAGCGCAGTACCCTGAAGAGTGGGGTTAAGGGAAGGGAGATCTGGGCCCTAACGTTCGGTGGAAGTTGATCCGTCGATCTGGGCAGACACGAATGAAGCCACCCGGGGAAAGAAACCACTGTCTGAAATGAAACTTTTTGTATGAGGAGGATTATGTAGATCGAGGCACCAGGGCCGAGCAGAGCCGCTCAAGGAATCATTCTGACCCTACTAATTCAGTGACCTATTTTCCGGTAACCCCGACTCCCCGAGGATCCAGCTTTTTATTAAGGAGTCCGGAACTAGAACATCTCAAAGTCCCCGGATAGTATACCGAGCGGAAACATTTTACATATAAAATAAAGTTTTAAGGGCAGGATATAGATAGAGTAGTAGGAAAGATAGAGGTTTGGTAAATGGAATCGGATTATATTCGTCGCTCCGTTGTCTTTTGTGGATTTCTTGAACAAAGATGCAAGTGGCCCCCTCTCTCTATTCGTAGACAAGCATTTGCAGCGCACCTCATTATTACAATGCCCGTGGGCTCTCGCGGCCTGGAAGAAGATAAATTAATGACTTTTTTTATTCACTGGTTTGATTCTGGCGAACTTCGTCGTGCCAGAAAAGGGGCGCTAGTATAGGCAAAGTGAATGAATATTCGGGTATTTAAGGAGAGAGGTCGGAAGGCGCCCGTTGTGTGTTATGTACGAAGACGATTAATCAAACCCTCTCCAGATAAAGGCAGTGGCATCCACAATATCCCACACCAATATACAGGACCACCAATCCTAGAGCTACCTATATCTACATCTCCTCCCATCATTTCGGGACCCGCCTGTCACCCCTTTCGGTGGACACCTGCGCTCTCTACGAAGTAGGAGACCAACCCCAACAAGGAGGCTTTGGCTTGCAAGGGTTTCGCGAAACCAGACACTCGCTTAATAGCCAGCGTGGGTCAGGGTTACTGCCTGCCTGCAACGTTCCCCTGCAAAATCCGGCTAGGGTTGCTGAGCACATCGCCAAACCCCTGTCGACGACCGTGCGTGAGACAGCTCTGTGACAGAAAAGAGCTGGCCCATCACAACATCGACAAAGTCCGCGCCTAGCAGAGCTGAGACTTCACGTGGGTTCTTGCTCTCTCCCTCCGTTCAACCACTTGCGGTTTGTTTGGCTCGAGTGGAGAAAGAAAAGGCGCGCCATTGACCCGTTTGACGTTTGACACCTCCCCCCCGGCCCTCCACTTTTTTTCTTGTCCGGGCAATTTGGTGTTCCATACCCATGGAAATTGGGGCTTGCTCCGTATTTTGCAGCCAGACCCTGCCTAGTTTGTGAGCGGTCCCGGCCAACATGAGCATCAGAGCCCGGACGTGATGCCATTTTTTGGCCAGCATAGGCCTTGGCCTCGGTAAATGTAGCCGAGATGATAGATGGGGCGGCCATGCAAACTACGATGGGATGACAGGACTATTTCGGAACCAGGAATGCATAAAAGGCCCTCGATCATCCCTTCGCTGTTGGGGAATCTTTCTCCTTTGCTGGCCTCAATCACCATCCCCACTTCCAGCTTCCCTTCTTCTCCCCACAGCCAGCAGCTCGTAGCTCTTTGTTCGTTTCTTCTCAGACAGCTGTGCTGTAGTACTATTATTATTTTATTCGCTTCAAAACACTTTTGTTCCTTGGGGTTGCCTCATTCAAAGACACCTTCACTTCACGACCAAATTCCCTCTTTCAATTCTTTTTTTTTTCCCGAGAAAACAATTAAAGGAAACGAAAACACGCCTTCCGTCAAAATGCACTTCTCCAAGATCACCTTCTTCACCTTCGTCGCCTCCGTCCTGGCCGTCGACCTCCTCACTGTTCAAGACTATGCCGACTTCCAAATCTCGGATGGCGTTGCCGGAAACGCCCTCGCCGAAGTCGCGGCCAAATTTCCTGTATAGTTTTCCATCCTTCCCTCCCGAGTTGAAGAAAGGGCAAGAAATTTAACAAGCGAGGAAAAAAAAATAGGTCGAGGAGTTCCGTGCGGACCTAGCGGCCGTTAGTGAGAACGATCTTGCAATCCTCAAGGCCGCTCGTGAGACCGCCGAGGATGCCGAGACCGAGAGTGGTGGCTTCAACGATGCCATCGACGCCGCTGGTGGCAAGAACACCGAAGAGGGTGCGGCTCTACAGATCGGGTAAGTAAACGTCGGCAAATTCTACTATGCTCTCCCTAGACCCTCCGTTTTATTTATGTGTAATATATAGGAAACTAACTTCTGCCGTTCTCCAGCAAAATCAAGAACAAGGTCCTCAAGCTTGAGCTCTTCAGCCTGGTCCTACAGATTGAGCAGGCCCAGGGCGCCGATAACCAGGACAAGCTCGACGAGGAACTTGCCAAATTGGCCAAGAATGTTGCGACCGACGAGGATTCCGCTGGCGAAACGAGCCAGAGTGTCAACTTTCAGGGAAGCTCTCAACCTTGAGTTGAATAGGCGATGAAAGTTATTGGGGAACTAGGTCAGGGACGGGCGGCTCTAGTTTTGGGAAAGGGATGATGGTGCTTGATGAAGCTTAGGGGAGTGTACGAGGGACCTGGAGCTGGGGATGGCCGGGGGGTCAGACGCACGCACAGACTTGATACCCCATCGAACAAAATACGAACAAGAATTGAAGCGAACCTTTGTATATTGTGTGATTTGACGTAAATGTGTGCTAATTGTATTGGTTAGTCGCATTCCCTCGAGGCTAGCGGGTCTCCGCGAGGAAAAGAAAACCAGGAGCGTGGGCGGTGCATAATTTTGTAAATGGACTCGAACTCGCTGAAATAACACCACCTCTATGCCAGTCAGCAGCGCAAAGATCTTCTCTGTTATGTGATGGGGGTACCGTATTTCGACCTAAATTATGATAGACGAAGACGATGTGCATGTAATCGTAACGAGCCAGCATAATATCCACAGAAGAGTAGAGTGAGAGAATACGTTGACTGCTCTAGAGCTATATATATGAAAGCCAAGAAACGACGTCGATTCCTCCGCGAAGGCATTGCCTCCTGATCTCCTTGCGGATCTTGTTCTAATCCTCAAACACGTCATCTTCCAATCCTCATTTTTCAATTTCTTCTTCAGGCCCCACTGGCCAAGTCTCTTTTGAAAAGTCTTCAGACTCGGAGGTGTGAGCACGTTGGATCGATAGGGGAGATGATTCGAGAGAGTCGCACCTAATATCAGGAAACCCGAAACGCAGTTCCAGAACCTTTTTGATCTAGGAGGCGGTCTTGCCGTGCCACTTATAAAGGTCCAATGAACTGCTCGCCAACGATGATACTTCACAACTTGGCTCCATTGTCGTAGTGTTGAATCGAGCAAGTGGGTGTCGTTATGTTCATGTAACACTAAAAGGGGATTTTGTCGGCAGACGCGTTGGAACTGTATTAAACAAATTTGGGAGAATTGAAGATGGACTGACAAGATGGCAAGGGGAAAGAAGCTGAGGAGGCACATTAAATTTTCAAGGAGGATGAACCATTGGGCGGCCCAAACCGCAGCGAGGCCGCCCGGTGAAAAAGAAAAGGACTGGCTTCTTCATTTTGACTACTCGTAGACCTCATCCTCCCGGTTGTGATGGCCCCTTCACAATTGTATCTGGCCGCAGTTGCTAGGCTGTGCTCGTTTTTCCTCAGCTGCCCAAAACCCCTAGAAAACTGCCTGCGCCCCTGATGCGAAGGTTAGAGTCGTCCAGGTGAGTGCACACGGTTTTAATGTTTTCTACGAAAGTTTTTGTAGTGACTGTTATTGTTCATTATGCTAGTTGAGACTGCTAACGGGACAGTTTAGCGAATATCTTATAATATCATCAGGTAATAATAGCAACGAGTTTCCTTTTTCGAAAGGTGACGTGCCTGGTGAACCGGGATCCGCGGCGGTGTCCGGGCACGACCCCCGCACCTCTCGTATGGTTCGTAAATATAACAGGAGCTAATCCCAGCTCATTATGAGTAGTTTCAGTCTCGCTATCCCCGTCGAGGCACCACATCCTACATGTTCGGGCATATAAAGCTATCCCTCAACCGGGTACGTCGTTCATCACCCTCCCTCTAAACTTAAGTGCTTCATCCTCTGAGTATTAATTCGCAGACCGCATGGCAATGTGCTGTAGAGGCTGCAAGGTCGTCACGAGGCTTGATATTCCCTAGATCCCCACTCTCATATCGTGCGAAAATACTGAAACTAGCTACTAAGTAATAGATCAGACCGGGGTATCGCGTCTCAATGCCGACGGCGGATGTCCGGAGTCCATTCGCAAGGCTGCCATGCACCAAATATCCATGTAACACTGCAGCTGCACCCGAATCGTTTAGTGGATATTGCCGTCGTCGATCCAGTGACCGGCCTGCATGCCTCAGTCTTACCCCCTCTGCTCAATCTGCGGGGTAGAAATTCAATTCATATGACTGTTGCCTAATTCCACGAGAACCCGCCGTTGCAATGCAATCACCACTTCAACTGCGGTGCATTCAAGCTCGGAAAACCAAGTCAGTATCCGCTAGGCCTATTTTGAAGTCTACCTACCACAGTTACGCCGGGGCCGCTTTCCTCGAGTTCAAAAACCCGCTCATCTTCCGCCACCCTCTCCGAACTCTTGAGATTGTACGCAGCACATAGAGGACTAATCATGTCTCGTGTACCACACCTGACTTCCGACAAAACGGGAAACGCCTTACCCCGGAGATTGTATGAGCCTCTACCCGAGGGCAACTTCATCCGGCTCATGATCCTTGAGCCCGGTGAAGATGGGGACGCATTGTCTTGCACTATGAAAACGATGAATCTCGATAATCCCGTCCCTTACGAAGCTGTCTCCTACGTATGGGGGAGCACACACCGAGACCATCCCATAAAAGTTGCAGGCCAGACCACCTATATCACCACCAACCTGGACAGCACTTTGCGTCGAGTGCGCTCGCGCAGCCGGCCTCGCACGTTGTGGGTGGACTCCGTCTGCATCAACCAAGATGACCTCCCCGAGCGAGGGAGTCAGGTACTCCAGATGGGCAAAGTCTACGGGAAGGCGAAGAAGGTACTCATGTACCTTGGAGAAGATGGCAACAGCCACGGAGAGGCAGTCAAGTCCTTGGTATCGGAAATCGAAGACATGGTTCTAGAGGGAATAAGAGGAGCAGGAGAGTCGTGGAACTCCTTCCCGACCCTGAATTCGGATGATCGGGAGCGTTTCCTCGCCGACACGAGGTGGAATAGTCTCATCGTTATGACGCACCAGCCTTGGTTCACGCGTGGCTGGGTAATTCAGGAGTCTAGCCTGGCTGCTGATGGTTTGATGCTATGGGGTTCTTCTGAGATCCCCTGGCGGGCGTTTTTGCGCACCTACACGTGGATGATCAGGAGACTTCCACATGTGCGAGTTAAGTACGGAGACGGCAATCATGGCATGAACCGCCTACATCTCGAGCTCTACCGGATGCACAGCCAGACGGAAACCATGCCACTTTACACGAAGCAGGCATCCGAGTTCGATTTCCTTATCATCCCCCACGATGCAAGGGCACTATCCGTCAAGGACCAACGAGATCGAGTGCACGCTTTTCTGTCAGTGGCAAGCGCTGCAGGACTAGAACTTAGGATATGGCCGGACTACTCTGATGGAAAAAAGCCCCAAGATGTCTACCTAGATATGGCGAGGGAATATATCAACATCACTGGGAATGTCAACATATTGCATTGCGTACAGCACACCGATGATAGCCTCTGCGATGGATTTCCGTCCTGGGTCCCGAGATGGGATCTCAACCTCTTCGATAACATCATTACGCACACATCGGCACCAACCCTTATCCCCGCGGACGTGAGACCTTCAGTCTCCGGAAGTAACGTCTTGAATGTCAAGGGAGTCATTTTCGATGAGGTCATCTTCACATCCGAGCCGCTCTCACGAGACGTCTCCATTTACGACCTAAAAAGGATTTGGGACCGAGTTTCTGATGCCCATATCACATCGGCATACAAATCTACGTACAAAGCGTTGGCATTCTCCCAGATACTCTCAGTGGGCCGATCATGGGGTGCTGAGTGGCCCGAATGGGTGAAATGGAGGGAGGCATACATTAACTTGTGCCTGAAACAAAACCGCTATGTATCACAAGCAGACGATCCGCTCCACGAAGGGATAAAGGCCTTCCACACTTATTCGCAGTGGAACGTGCACAATCGACGTATTGTTGTCACAAAACGGGGATTCTACGGCGTAGTTCCGCTTCCGACTCGTGACGGGGATCTTTGTGGCGTGGTATTCGGGGGTAAATCACCATTTATATTACGGAAGACTTCGGCATCTGGTCGATACAGGCTTATTGGGGACGCCTATATTCCTGGGGGTCAACCCCCTAGGCATCGAAACGGGGGCGAAATGATTCTCCCTATCGGCTTCAGAATTATCGAGACTGGGCAAGCTGGGTTACTGAAGACCAAGCCATTCACCTATGTTGAAGTCTCCCATTCTCATAGTTTAACTTTTGTCAAAGATAGAACAAATTTTGAACCATTTATGGGTACAAGAAATCTGTCAATTCAGGAGCCTTTAGATCGATCGCACGATTCATGTGTACAACGGAGCGGGATAGGACCATCAGTTTTCGCGAGCTATGGTAGTCGTATGTGCTGTTCAGGCGTAGCAAATTTTCTTATGAACTGAGGTTTAACACCTGCCAAGAAGTGAAGCATTGGCTCGGACTTATATCATGTCCCGTGCGACCCGATCACCAGCGCCTGCTAGACTATTTCGCTCCCATAGCTAGTCTTAGACTATTACAGCTTTCCAGTGCTCTCCCCAGGCCACATACCACTTTCCTTCCAGCCAATCTTCCCTAAAGTTCATTTTGCTGCCCCCTATACGCCAGGCACAGATCGTCGCCGCACTGCTCAATGCACTATAGCGAGATGAGGCGGCCATGCCTTGATGTGCAGTGCCGATACTTAACGGAAAGGCCAAAATGGAATAATAAACGGCAGGGCAAAGGCCTGAATGCTAGCAGCTCCATCGAGAATATCTTTCCACTGAGGAGACTTGCAAGAAGAGGCACCAGAGGTGTTCCAGTTTGTCTTACTTTGAGGTTCCCTCTTTTCAGAGAATCCCAAATCGTGCGGTTTGGTCACTTAGTTCGCATTTTGAATGGTTCCGGAGTACTCTTCTGCGATCTTTGGGCGAGAGTCCTCTAAGAGTCATCGGTAACTTTGGTCCTCCAAAAGGGTTGTCTGGCTATGCCTGCGAGTTGTGTTTAGTCTTCGATCATGCCGTTTGTTTCGATGATGTCTTTTCACGATTGGTCTCAGCGAAAATACCCCCGATGCCGCGTTTTATCCTCTAAATAATAAACATTTTTACTGTGAAGATGCTTTTATCCACCAAGTTACTTGTTAGTTTGTATTTCGGGTTGTCGCTAATCCATTACTCATGTTTTGTTTGGTATTTCTAGTATTGTTCTAAGTAAGTGGTATTCTTTTTTAAACTTTTTTTTTATAGTATTATTCCTTTTGTAAAGGTATTACTTATATATATATTACTAACAATAATTAAGTACCGTTGAAGATTACATTAATTCTTTATGAAAAACAAAAAGAATTTAAGAAAGAAATAGAATCAAGATTGATAGGAGATTGATCCCCTTGAAGTAGTCTACAACTCTGAAGAAGAGTACAACTCTAAAAGAGGCGGAATAGTACAAGTCGCTTGTACACAGTATCAACAAGCTAGCACCTCCAGCAGTATAGGTTTGTTTTATAGGAAGTGCGGCTAACTGCCCGTTAGTACAAAGGCAAACTGATTAGTAGGGAAGATACATAGTTTAGATCTGATTTTTTGGTGCGGCAGATAGGTCGACTGCCGAGAGGAACCAGTGTTTACGATTTGTGAGTAAAAGATACATTTGATTTTTGAAAGTCGTTCACTGTGCTAGACAACCAATGGGGTATAAAGAAATTGGGGGAGGAGGGGGACTCCGACTTTGAAGTTGGTGCCGTGGTGAAAGGGACCAGATATGGTGCCATTGTGTTGGTGCCGTAAGAGGTGTATATAAAGGGGTGTTTCCCTGGATCGCACTCTTGTCTGAATCAGATATATCACTTACAGCTTAGACTAGGGCCGGCATACAAGATACCCAGTTGTTCAATCTCTTCGGCATGGCTCTCTCTGGCGAAGTTATCGTGGGCCTGGTGGCTTTGCTCGTCATGTGTGCTCCTTACGCTGTGCGATTTCTGCGCCGGTATCTTCATTATTCGCCGTGTCGGCGCCAGGTCCAACAGGGTGGTGAGTGCGGTCTTGATGGTTAATGTAGACAGTTCCTGAACCCAGACTAAACCAATACCGGACCTAGGTCTTCTTCTACCTTTGGCAACTGGTGACGTGGTCACTTATGGCGACAGACCAGCGACCGAAGCCGCATCCGCGCATACTTTCTACAGCACGGTAAGACGAAAGCGCCAAGTGACAGGTCCGTATCATTTCAGCTAACAAAACGGAAACCCTTAGGTTACAAGAGAAACTGTTATGTATTTCAAATTAGTGGGACGTGACGACTCGCATCGGGTCTAGGTAGCTCGACGAGACATTTTGTGTCGGCGAGCTAGGTTAGAGGAAATATGGGTTATTGGGCAGTGTGGAGCGATAACGGCAAATGGAGTTACGGTATATGTGGACGCCGGGCAAGGAGAGCAGCGCCGGCGGACATTTTGAATTCTGACTACGGGTGTATATATTCTATACAATACATTAGATTACCATTCATCAATTATGCCAATTGAAATTTGCGGAGGACAGAATCCCTTTGGGCGGTTACTCATTGGCATGTTCATGAGGCACTACGGTAGAGCGAGTCGGACTACGGATTTGCACGAGACGGCACGCCGAGAATATACTGAAAATAATTTAATTGGAAAGACGGCAAAGGAGGGACTACAGTGAATATGCCTATTGCAAAAAAATCAAAACTGTTCCTTCCCATTCGAAAAAAAAGAGCCAAACGATGCCTCTAATTTCGGCCCATGGTATCACTGCTTTCTCCATGGGCGAAACGCAGTGCCACGGTCACCGAAGCAAAGCAAAGGCGCTTTGTCCAGCAGACCTGGTGGTCAAGCGATGCCTCGGGATCCGGGGGGCCGCATCGGCAAAGGCGTGTCCTGCGACCGTACAAGACTCTGCGTCACGGACACCGAGGTCCGTCAGCAGGCCTTCCCAACAGGACAACAGGCGCAGCGATCCTATGCTTTGGGGCATTCGGGGCAGGACGTGACAAAGTTTGGGTGGAGATTGGTCGGCTTTCCACTCCGATCTAATCCGAGCCTCCGTGATGTATTGAAGCAGCTATCGTTGGCGAGCTGCTAGCCCTGTCAATCGTGGGCAGGGTTGTATAGCTGTCTGGTCAACTTCATGGCGCATAATTCGCGGGATTCTCCTCGAGTGATGGCTCTCAGAGAATACATCGCGTGTCTATGTGTGCCTGACCCAACTGGGTATGCCAGGTGACTCCAAACAGAGGAAGACCTTCGAGATTGGGACCCGATAGCTTCGGTCGTTCCACCAGCTGTAATCAAGTGTCCCTCCCCGGGGTCTCCCCAGTCAAATAACTGAAATTTAGAAACAGGTATAGTTCTTCGCGAAACGTCGCGGTTGTAAGTTTGGGCGGCTTTTCGCTTTCGAATAGTTAAATGCTCTCCAGGGTCACCCCAGTCGAAGAGGAAAGGTCGGAAAAGCTCAAATGCGATGTCACAGGGGATGAGGTCCTCATTCCTCGAGTACAATGCCTCGATGACCAGAGAGAGATCATCATCGTAAGATGTCAATTCCGGGATGGGTGTCAATCCGAAAAGTGAAGAGCGGGATTTATTGTAGCGGAAAATAGGCGCATGGCCGAGATAATATCCCCTTTTGTCTCCTTTCTCTCCTTTTTCTTCTTCTTCTTCTTCTTCTTGGTCTTCATCGTTGTCGATGTCCTCATCGTAATGACATGTATAGTGGAACTCTTGAGAGGACGGATCACGCCGATAAAGGTAGACATCTACGGCAGATAAGTAGACGACCCGGAACAAGACGCCGGATAAAACGAGCCAAAATTGTCCCTGCTTCCAACCAAGGAGCAGGATGAGCAGGTTTATGGCCAGATTGGCCCGAGAACTTGCGAGAAGGAACATTGCTGGTAGAAGACAAGGAGCAACACAAGGAGGATGAAGGTTAAACCAGGATTGAGAAATGTAGACCAGATACCCAAGGGACGGCACTTATGAAGCTTGAAACCGACACTTCCCTCTTAAGTGTTTAGTGAGATTATATTTTCTAGTAAATGTGGCAGGACATCGCGGGTTCGTGCATTTGATCGACGGCCTAGGAAAGTGGACGGATTGATGTTTTTTGACGTCCTTGGGATATCTCGCCGTGTAATTGCAGCCGATAAAGCCGCACTTATGAGGCCAGACACGTAGTTGTCGTTTCGGATTTCCAGTTTGGCCTCCAGCACCTCGGATCTCTGGCCGGGAGTTAGGCAACTCCTCCCCCGCTGGCGAGCCCGGCTGCTGATCGGACGGCGATGGACCCGGTTGCAAGGGCGACGGGGTCGGGAAGGCGGGAAGGGCCCCGAAAAACTGCTGCTGAGGCACAAAAGAAGGGAGTGGACAGCTTGCGAAATTGATTGACGACGAAAAGTCTGCCGGGTACGCCAATCCAAAGGCAGAGACGTTATAAGTCGGCGTCGGTAGGAAGAGATTGGAGGGATTAGGGGTCAGGTAGGCGATCCCTTCGGGGTTAGGAAGTAGCCTTTGGTCGCAGAAAAGACTACGTTCCGACGCGCTCGTTGGGATCGCTTGGTGTTGGGTCTGATTGATGAATTCGCTGAAGAACCGCGAATCAGTTTCGGGACATAATATTGTGTTCGGTCCAAAATTGAAGAAGTCGTGCGGGTGCGGCGGAATCGACGCGGAGTCAGGCGGGTCACCGCAAGGAACGGCGGCGACCCCGTCAAGCGGGAAGTGGGAGGAACCCTTGGGCAGACCACAGCGTCTCGCGACGAGAGCGATGTGGGCAATGGATGCGAGCGAGGACCGCCCTCCCGGGTGGGCAGCTCGGTGTGCGCTGTGAGGATGATACCGAGGGGGACTCCTTTCGCGTTTGTCGTGGGTTGGGCGAAGGAGAGAATCAAGGCACGAGGGAGAGATGGCAGGCGAGCGAGGGGCAGAGACTTTTGTCCAACAAGTGGTGGCGTCACTCTGCATCCCTGCATCACCCAACACAGCAGAGGGGGTCAACATATAAGGAGGCTTTGCGATTTGGCAGAACGATTGGCTGGTATTAATTGAGGTGCATGCGGGAGTCCTCCCCCTTGTCCCCTGCTGGCGAATGATAGTCCGTAATTGACAACCAGGACATCAACCTAACCCAATCTTGGACGCACAACTGTGTGTCCCAGTACTTCGTCTGAGTGCCCTGTCCCGAGGACAGTCGAGTACTGTGACAGGTTCCATACAGCCTGGCCAGTCTCGGAACGAAGAGGACGATCTAGTGAGTACCACAAGACGATGAGAGTATTTAATTATAGAGGCATGGCTACATTATTCTATATTCACGGGTTATGCATCCGTAGTATTACTCTTCAAACCCACGGGCCTGACTACCGGATGTGGCACGACCGGTCAGATGCGGCATGGGTAGTCAAATGCGGCATGTCGACGCATGGCTCCATCTACTCAACCCGCCAATCAGAGAAGGGAGTCCGGGCTACGAATGGCCTCAGCGGACTCCCAGAAACTGGCAGAGGACTCCCGAAGAACTGAGAGCGGACTCCAACGGACTCCCAGCGGACTCCCAGAGGATTCCTTCCACACGAAATGCGCTCGAAACCAGGCGCCGATTTCCCTGGAGTTTCGCTCGAGACTCTGCCGGAGGAGGGCCGATTGATAGGATATTTAAAGGGCCCCATGAACGCGATGGACTTGTCTGTTGAGCCTCTTTCTCAAATTTCTCGCCTATGATTTAAGTGATAGAGGATCTCCTTGCATCCCTGAGGTTGCTACGTTCTTCCGACGCGAATATATATAAATTTGATTGTCTGCCTCTTAGCCATGAAGCTTCCCCCTAGCCGGTGAGCTTCCTAGCCGCTATAGTCTCCGAGAAAATTCCCATCTAACGTCCTGTTTGCCACAGCCCAATCAATAGTAGCCGGCCCGTCACGGCGTTTCCAAAGAAGAAAGCGGAGGGCCAGTCAAGCCCCACGGCCCCTGAGACTTGTGAAATTCATACCATCACCAAGCCAGGCAAACCAGTCTTAACGGCTGCTGCCCGAACTCGTGTTGAGGCATATCTAGACAGCCTAACCATAGTTCCCAACGGAAGTGTGGCGGGTGACATGCGAGATCCCATGACAAGGCGAATCGAGGAAGTTGAGAGGGCTCTTAATGAGTTTCGCAACAAGTTCTAGAGCTCGGCATGTTCGCTCCGGGCCGGGCCGGAGAACGGAGCAAGGGTGTGTCGATGATACCTAAATAGAGCAGAAGAACGTGGGGTAGAGTTAGCAGAAGTAGTCCTCGAAGTTGGACATGACCTGACGGCTAGATACATAAATGCAATCTATTATTTATCGTTGCCTCACTCGACATCTACTCTTAGGGTTCCTACAGCAATTAGAAACGGCCAAGTAAATAAAGTACTCTTCAGCCTCTTCGTCGGTCCTGTTGACCGGACAAGAATACCCCAATCTGAGGCGAAGCCACATGTCCAAGTTGTCCTTGCTGAAAACGATTCCGGCCCTCTTGTAGACTCCCTGCATATGGGTGCATATGGGTGCATCGCACATCTTATTGCGCGGCGCGTTCTTGTGTCTTTTTTCTTGTGGAAGCACATCTAGAGTGGACATTCGCCTCACCCCTCCCAACTTCGCGGTTTCGGCATCGGCCGTGCAACGTCGTAATCTCTCTAGTGCACAAGCTCTTCTCCGCATCCATGTTGATCCATCCATCTTGGGGAAGGCCCATCGCACCATCCCTGAAACAGCCTAGGGTGCTGGGGATTTGGTGCAATTTGAGGGGGTGCGGAAGCTTAGCTTCGCAGAGCAGTGAGCCCATGATGCTGCTCATCATGTCATGAAAAACTCCGTCGTGTACCTTTCCTAGCTTGTTCAGGCTTGGATCTACCTCCGATGAACCTCGGTAGCCTCTCAGCTCCGTGCCAGTTTTAAGCAACAATTCCCCATCCATCGAGTCCTCCTTTTCCGACTCTCTCCTGATCATTAATTGCGAGAGGTCAAGGTCGTGACGTCTCAGCTGTCAAATTTATCTTCAATTCATTTCTAGCCTTTTTCTCTTTTCTTTTATATTCCTCTTCACCATCCTTCTTTCTTGCAGAATACAACCACAGATAACACCCACAGCCTAATAATGGCAGGTACCAATCTACGAGCCACGCTCGTAGCGCTCTTCGCCATCTTCTTGGCGTCCACCTACGGGCCGGACGTGTATCGGTGCCTCAAAACCGTCGGCCTCCTCCGCAAGCTCGAGAACACCGCCGTCGCGAGCTCGGCAGATTTTGTCCGGATCGAGGACACGGCGCAATGCGAAGACGTCCATCTCCATGAGCCTAGCGGTCTGCTGTTCACCGCCTGCGAGGATACCATTGTGCCGCGATCGAAATGGTTCCCGCCGTTGGCGAATTTCGACGATCCGAGCATTGCAGCAACTTCTCAGGGCTCTATTCATGTCATCGATCCAAAGGTGGGCTCAAGACGATAGCAATCATCCCTTAGACAGATGCTGATAAAATCCATGGTGCTAGACCTTCAAGTCCCAAAGGCTCGCTATCGACAACTTCAACGGCCCCTTCATTACCCACGGCTTTGACATAGTCGCCGACCCCGAGCAGCCCGAGGACGCCGTCTACATATTTGCCGTCAACCACGTCCCCAACCCGGAATACGTCGCCGCCAAAGCTTCCAAGGAAGGCTCCCAGGACCCCAACACAATCCCCGATAAGGCGCATTCTCGTATCGAGCTCTTCCACTACGTCATTGGCGACTCGTCGGTGAAGCACGTCCGCACAATCAGCCACCCTCTGATTCAGACGCCCAACGACGTATATGCGCAGAGTCCAAACTCCATCTTCGTCACCAACGATCACTACTATCGGGAGGGCCATATGCGTGCTGTTGAGGACTTGCACTACCGAGCGAAGTGGTCTACGACGATCCATCTGCAAATATCTGAGCTCGAATCGTCTGATGCAACCGCCGGCGTCACGGGGAGAGTAGCGGCAGAAAACCTCCACAATAACAACGGCCTCGGTCACGGTCGAACTCCCGACGAGATCCTCATCGCCAGCTGTGTCAGCGGCACGATGCACATCGCCAAGCTGCCCGCCGACCCGACCACTTCCAACATCACAGTCGTGGAGGACGTCATCGTCGACACCATCGTCGACAACCCCAACTATTTCGCCGACCCGTACGCCAAGAGTACCGGCGAGAATAAGAGCGGGTACTTGCTGCCCGGCCTCTCTCACGCCATCAACATCGGGCATAATATCCACGAGGCCGAGGCTGTGGACGGCGCCATGGTGTACTTTGCGCAGAAGGATCCTGCAGTCCCTGGGGGCTGGAAGAAGAGGCTCATTTTTGCGGATGATGGAACGAGGCTTCGGTCTGTGAGCGCGTCGCTGATGGTTGCGATCGATCCGGCGGAGAATGATGGGAAGCGGCAGGCTTGGTTGTTTGCTACCGGGTTCGTGTCGAGCAACATGATTGCTGTCAAGGTGGATCTTTAAGTGCAAGATGAAATCCTGGATCGGAGCACGATGTAACCATTTCCCAGTCGAGCTTGGCAGCTGCTGGATAGGTACTAGACTACTAAGGGTTAGAGGTTCGCGTCAAAAAGGCTTGAAAGGACAGCATCTGTGCATCCCTGAAATCGACGGCACATAGTGGCTGATATAATTGAAGTAAGGGCTTATAGAGTCAACCATTGACTTGAACATGGTGGAATTGCTCCGTGTTTGAGGCCGTGATGGAAACCGGACCCAACTGGAGCTACAATAAACTTGATAGAATATAAATATTGGCCTCCTAGACTAAACCTGATTCAAGTTCACGTCCGTACGTCACGATGCGCGTCAAAATAAGCTCAGGGTAAGTCCAATTCAACCTGGTTAGGCATATCACAAACTCCTAATCCAGCTCCAGTCTACGGATATCTATCTATCTTCCTCCTTCCTCTCCTCTCCAAAATACTTCTTCTCCCCTCCTCACCCGCGAAGTCTCTAACCTTCAAGTTATCGTGAGGCCCCGCTTCTCCGCATCGCGTCTCTTAACTTTCTTTCATTATTTCATCTCTCTGGATACCGTTCATCGCCCTTCTCATCCCTTAGGAGTATCTGATCATCCCTGGAACGACCAATTAAACCGGTATCTCTTGTGAACACCTTCTCGATCATTTCCCCCTCAAATCCCCAGTTTGGCTCAGTCAAGATCTGCTGGACCAAAAGCCTGGTTGTCGCCTCTTCGAGAACTCTATTTCTCGTCTTCTCGTGGATCAATTTTTCTCGGAAGACTCGAATCACCTAGACACGACGTTGGAGAACGCTCATCTTCGCAAGACGGATCTTTCCTTTGGGTTTTTCCTATCTTGTTCTTTCCTGGTGTCGCTCGCTCTAAGCTTAACCTACGTCTAATTCCCCTTTTGACAGCCCTGGTTCTCGAATCCGGTGAAACAAAAGCGATCAACAACAACCTATCAAAGTACCGCGTCTACTCAGAACCGGAGACAAGGACTTAACCGCTCATTGTCTGGAAAAAGGCTCATCCAAATCAATCCTCGACTCGACTCGACTCGACTCGACTCGACTCCTACCCAAGAGTTAATTTCAGCGACGCCTTATCATAACCGAGAAGTACCGAATTCTAGCCCGAGATGTCGACATCTACTCAGAATGGTCCGAGTTCACTCTCGAACGGACAAATCGGAACGGGTCTAAACGCCGAGACCGATTCTTCAAACCAGACGCTCGTGGCGGCCATTTCCAAACTCAACATCGCCCCGTATTCTCGGGCAACAGCCAATCTCGACGAGCAACCCTTCAGATGGAGGGGATCGAGGGAATACACCTGATTCGCTAACACCTCGAGCGCCGTCAGCTATCGAGAATCTTCCGGTAGAGCTACTCCTCATGATTAGCCGAAAGCTGTTCCCAGAATGCCGGGCCTGCTTAGCACTCACCAGCCGTGCCATGCTCGCTGCCCATGGCACCTGTGTCCTAAATCTGAGCCGTGAACACGGCCATAGGATTGGCTTCCTGCGCCTGCTGGAGAAAAAAAGGCGCGCTGCCGTCACACATTCTCTGTCCATATTGCTCGGTCTTCCATCGACCCGTCGTGCCCACGTTGTGGGTCTCCGGGGACCCGAAACGCCTTCATTACAGGGCTCCAGGAGGGCGCCGGCGGTGCGAACAGAAGGCGGCCAGCTTGCCCTGCGACGTTTCTTTCTCGACCGTTGCGGCGATTGCGAGGCCCGCCAGACTCTCGCTAGGCGTGTTCCCACCGGCGATACTTGATACATCTGTCCGACATGGACCCGAAGATGGGAACCGGCCACTTATCCGAGTCTATACATCATGCAAGGTTGTGGACGGGCACGTCCTACTGCGAACGGGGACGTGCTTATATTCCCGGTCTTCGGGGATACACGCGTTAAGGGCTACGGCTAGGCTCAGAGAAATATTGAACCGCTCGCATGGTGCCCTTGGGCAAATTTGCCGGCATAGGCGACGGACGGAGGCCTATGATTTTATCCTGCCGGACCCCAACCAGACCATCGGGCAATTCGCTGAGGCTAAGCAGGTCTGTCTGTGGTCGCACCCACTGGGCTGTTTGAAGCAGGAATGCGGAATCCTTCCCTATTCCCTTTCAGCATCCCAAGTTTGTCGAGTCTGCCCGACTAGTTACCTGGCTGAGAAAAAGGACGTTCCAGGTCCTAGCGGACATTCACGGCAGAGGGCCGTCGTGGTGACAACCTGGCACGACCTGGGTCCGGGTGAAAGCCCCTATGATAACGAATGGTTACTCTTCAAGGGTTGGGCCTACAGGGCCCCTGTCGGCCGTCGGTATGACGCCTATGACGCCGCCATAAGAGCTCTGCAAAGATCGAACAGGTGCTGGTCTTGGATACGTGTATCAAGTTTCCTAATCTTGATATGGGAAACCCCGAGACTATGCGGTTCGGCAATCATGATGAGACTATCATTGCATATGTATGATATGTATAATAGGAGCCATTCCCGCGGGGGAGGCGGAGGGGGGAATACGGGAGTTGCAACGCACAAGAGAACTAGTCCTTAACACCGGGCTGCATTGTGAGAGAGTACCACAAGAAATTGAAATACCATAGATACTCGTACCTCAGATAAAAGAAACGAAAGAATGCGCATGCAGATCACACCGAACGACCCCAACCAGACCCTCCGCCTTACCTCTTCAGATATTAGTGCGACATTCCAAAAGGATAACCCGTCTTTCACGAATCATAACAGCCGTAGCAGCGATCCAATACGCGCCCACAAAGAAGCAAAAGCCTACGTTCTAGAAGGTGGCTGCGCTTCGGTTTCACGGATCGCCCCGGGGCTTCCCTCTCCTCTATATCCGGACGTGTCCAACATCCAACAGCGGTCTGCTTCTAGCGATTATGTAGGTCGGCTGTGGCGAGGAACGATCGCTCCTTTCTTCTTTCCTGGCAGGGCTGAGCCTCTCATGTGATACTCCTTGATATTGTCTTAGTGTCCGCCGGCAAAGGTGTGGATGGGCGCTGCATGGTAGCAGGAGACTGGCCCCCGCGAAGTTGGTCATCAGATGAGGATTGGGCTCAGCCTCAAAAGGGGCATCTGGGCTATCGGCACGCGTCCCGACCTGGCCGTCGCTAAAATGTTCCAGTCTGTGTTTTCCCCTACATTGTCCGTCGTCGTAGGCGGGAATTGAGCTCCTCGTTGCTGGATCACTATAACCCGCATCGCCCACCGCTAGCACAGCCTACGTCATTCACATCGACGCTCTGGGGGAATGAGTGAAGAATTCAATCATCGGAAGAAAGGGGAAAGGGAGGGGCCGGTGTTGCGACTGCTATGGATATCGACAGTGTCGTTATTGATATTGTGTCTTCAGTTATGGAGAGGTCATCAGATAAGAGAGATGAGAGGCCAGACTAGGTCGATACAGGAACTATGTCCCAACGCTGATAGAGCCGAAGGTGAAACTAGATAGTGGCAAATGCGACACTAGGACCCCCCGTCCCGGTGCCTGTCCCTCGATCTTCCCTATTAATAATACCTTTGAGTGGCGGTGGAAAACAACTAAGGTGCATATTCCTCTTCCCATATTTCATCTCTGAACAGCCAGTACATGCCGTCGTTTTGGGTTGAGAAGCTCAAGCAAGTAGCAGATTTCTACTATAATATACGGTCTTCCATCATAGTAGACCGCCCAGTTCCTCAGCGTCAAGCTCTCATACATGCTTACATTACGATCACTTCGCTTCACGCGTGGGGGTGTCGTCCAACACACTGTTTTTCGCATCCTCAAGAATGCAGTCGCCGCCTTCCAGGCAGGACCCATCATATCATTCATCTAAAGAAAATCAAAGTATAATCCCAATGTTCCCAGGTACGCCGGCCGTCCCGACCGGATAACTGCAAAATGAACCGCCGGGTATTTCAGAAATGCAACAAATTTGACGGATATATCCCAATGTCCCCAGATACGCCTTGGCCGTCCCGACCAGAGTCATAACTAGACATTTCATGACAGATAAAAAAGAAATTGAGTCATATATAAAACACACATGTGGGTGGAGAGGTTTAGTGCCGCTTAGACCTTCTCCATGGTCTCGACCTCGATGCTCTTCTTCTCGCTCTCGGAAGAGCTCGTGCCGGTACAGATGTAAGTCCTGAACTTGCGAGCAGGGAGTTTGGCGTAGAACTGTGAAGGGGGCAGTTGAGTTAGCGGGCATCGAATAGCAGTGAGGGGGGAGGGGACGAAATTTACCATCTCATCGATCTCCTCAAGGGTCCTACCCTTGAGTTCAGGGAGGAAGAAGTAGACCCAGACGGCGGCAATGATGCAGGAAGGTGCCCAGATGAAGCCATATCGGGGACCCCAGTTGAGGGAACTGGGGTTAATGAAGTAGGGGGCCGTGAAGGTGGTGAGCCAGGCGCCGAAGAAACCGACGGCGGCGGCGAGACCGAAGGTATAGGATCGGAGACGCTGAGAGGGGATCTCACCACCGGCCAACCAGGCGTAGGGGGCAATCATACCCTGGAGTTTGGTCAGCTTACTCTTGTGAAAGGGGAAAAAAAAGGAAAAAAAGAAGAGTAGCAAACTCACGTTGTAGCTCATCATGTACAGGCAAGATAGAGCGACAACGACCTTGCCGGTAGTCGAGGTACCAGGGTTCTTGTGGTACACGATAGCAATAATGAGCTGAAGGATACAACAGCCCAAGAGACCAGTGGCAAGGAGCACACGGCGACGGCCGTAGCGCACGACGATGAGCGAGTTAAGAAGAATGGCAATGATGCCAATGGTGCTCAGGACGTTGCTCATGGCGAACGGGTCGCTGACTTTGGCCATGGTGAGGAAGTACGCCTTGTACGCAATGATGAACATAGAGCCCGAAGCAGCCTGGAGCGTCACGGCGCAGACGGCCAGGATGGTACGCCTCCTGTCGACGGGGTCCCTGAACATATCCCAGATACCGACGCCGCTGGTGGTTTCCTTCTCCTTCTCGATGGCGGACTTGATCTCGCGGGCTTCGCCCTCGGCATCCCAGCCGACAGGGCGGAGCCAGCTGAGGGACTTGACGCCGTCTTCGTACTTGTCCTGGAGGATGAGCCAGCGGGGGGACTCGGGGATGAAGAACATGGCAACGGTGAGGAAGGTAGGCACGACGTAGATGATACCGAGGGGGATGAGGTAGGAAGACTTGTCGGGGCGTTTAGCGGTAGCCCAATCGATGATGGTGCCGACGAGGGTGCCCTAGAAAGTTTCATCTGTCAGTTTGCTTGTCTGCCCAATCCCACCCAACAGCATTACCATGCGAGATACATACAACGGAGGTGAAGAACTGAAACACCGTGAGGAACAGTCCACGATACTTCGCAGGGCTAGACTCCTGGATGTAAAGCTGAGAGAAAGTCATGAAGTAACCGTTGGCCAAACCGATCAGGAATCGGCCGGCGTAGAGGGCACCAATGGATGTGGTGGTCATCATGATAATATTCGAGACGGCACAGAGCAGACAGGCGAGCCAGAGGCAGTGCCTACGGCCGAGCTTGGCAGCGGCGACGCCGGCGAGACCGGAGCTGATGAAGGCGCCGAGGGTCATGAGGGAGGAGATGAGCTGTTGTCGGGTGGTCTGGATGTTCCAGCCATTTGGAACCTTAGGGTCTTCGTAGCCGAAGATCTGGAAGGAAAGAAAATTCCCCGTCAGTACGGTTTCAATTGATCGCTTCCGTTGTCGCTCCTCAATTGGATGCAGAGAAGAAGTTTACCTTCAGGAAGCCCACCATGGCCTGGAGACCTCCGATCAACCCGAAATCGACACCATACTGGAAGGGCGAAAGGATCATGACACCACAGGCCAGGAACACCTTCCAATGGGCCTTCCAATTATCCGCGTTAGCGGTCGTCATCTTGGGGATTTGTGCGTCGGCTGTTAAAAGAAGAGAAGGTGTAGTTGAGAAGGATAGGGGTAGACAAGAGGGTCCAGTGAGATTTCCTCTTTCCCTTGAAGGCTTTTCTTCTTTTCACCAAGGAGGTAAGTAGTCTACAAAAAACCAACACATTGTGGACTGGCTGTCCCAATTTTATAAGCAAAAAGCTATGACCAGTCGAAAACGAAGGGCGTATCATTCACTTGACTCCCAATCCTCCTCGAAGTGCCGGTGTCCCAAGCACTGCGGACCCCTGGCCATCCTAGAGCCTCTTTGGGCACAGAATGGAACATTGCCGCCTCACCCGGTTAGCCTTTCCCAGCATCCTAGCTAGATAAAGGTTAGGGCAACGCGGGGTACGGGGTATCCCCAGCACTACCCCACACCGGGAGATGGGGAGGATAGCTCTGAGTGGTTGTTAATCAAAGATGACCTAGTTTTATTGGGGTAAATAGCTTTGGCGAGCTTGCTCAATGTGATGCTGGTCATGTGGAGCCTGTTTCGTGATCCAGTCTATCGGACTCAAGCACCCGAAATGGAGGCCAATGCGAGCACGAGCTCCAGTGCGTTCTTAAAGGCAATAAAGGGATAAGGGATCACCAGGGGTACTAGAGGGATATTATCCAGGAGAAAATGCTCCTAAGCTGCTGGGCATAATATCATAACCATAGTTCTTCACTTACCTTGGGGCGATAGAGAAATTCTCGCGCCGCAGAGATGCGCAGGTCAAGCCGGACTCTGGGCAAGTGAGTTCGAGCTTATCGGGATTATTTCTCACAGAATACTCCTAGCCTGGAACAGAGGTGTCGTGTGAAGCACGAAGGAGTTCCTTTTGGCTGCATTGACGTTTTCGGGATACTCGAGATAGTGTCGGCAGTCGACTAGAGCCTCGTACCATTTACGCGGCTATTGAGTGGGGGACAGCTGAACCTCACAGCAGATCTTAGGGCGGGCACCCTGACTCGTAAGGACTTCGATTGCATTGTTAGATTGATTTCTTGAGATGTAGGTCAGCAACGTAGGGCAGTCCATTACACTCAACCCGACGTCTACGAATTCCTTTATGGGGGGCTAACTCAACCAAGTAGCGAGCTGGAAACCTACATCCTTGCGGGTGTGTAGACACCCTTGCCCCAACTTTACAGGATGATGATCAATACCAGGTTAAGATCTAGCATAATGTATCAAGCCGAGATTGGGAGAGTATCTTGCCGTCCAGGGTTTACAATAATGGAGTGGGTAGTAGTATTAACAGGTAGGAAATAAACTGAGCCGCATGCGCTGCAAGGACGGCATGAAGCGAGACACAACTTATTCCGTAGACACAGCCTTTCCTATCCAATTGACTGTCTCATGGTGGGAGCTTGGCATGGGGGGACGTTGGGGTAGCTCATTCCCGAATCGAGACTTCATATGCTTTTTGTGGCAGGGACACGAGACAGGCACCGACTTCAAAGGAAGAGGCCGAGTATATTGCCCCAAGATGCGTTATACCGCTTAACCTATTCATCAATCTATCTTATGATTGTGTCCCTCGACAAAATATGCCGAGGAAAACAAATCTGAAGAGGAGACGGAAGATTGCCGTTCCGTTGACCTGAGATGACGTCCGAGGAGAGAACATCGAATTGTTTGATGATATTCATGCTTCGGATATATTGGACAGCTCTGAATAAATAATTATCCCGCGTAACCCGGTAGACAGCTCCCTGATGCAAAACGAGGTCAGGCCTATTTCTCCCCTTCGGCATATAGCATGTCTTTCCGACAGAAGATAGGGCACGGCTATTTGGCCGTTTCTGCCCTTCGCTAGCATAATTCCGATAGGAGCCCGGTTTCTCTCACCCCCCACTACTGGCTTGAGGAAGAGATCGGAGAGAATCTTCCATTAATATTCCCAGTAACGTATCAAATTAGTATATGATATATATTAAGGGGGATGCGGATACCTCCTGCAAACCCAGCCGCTAGTCACATTTAGGATTCGATAGTGCCCGTTTCCTCGCATTTCTAGTGACAAGCCCTCTGCAATCCCAATTCGACCCTATCCACTCCACAAAGCCAAGGACGGAACCAAGGACGGAACCTAGTGCCGATATCAACCAAGTTTTACGCCATGGCTCATGCATTTACACTGTTTCCAGACGATCCCTCTGGCTACACGAATGGCCTCAAGTCGGACGACAGAGCCAAATATCCCAACACTCCATTTTTCCAAGGTCCGCTAAAAGTTTCCCGAGTAGAATGCGACGTCTTCGAGCTCGAGACGTCTGGGGAAATCCCCAAGGACATCAACGGCACGTTCTACCGCGTGCAGCCCGACCCCCAGTTCCCGCCCATGTTCGAAGAGGATGTCAACTTTAGCGGTGACGGAAACGTGACGGCGTTCATCTTTCAGAATGGTCACGTCGACTTGAAGCAGCGATACGTGCAGACCGACCGGTTCAAGGCCGAGAGGCAGAACCGCAAGGCTATGTTTGGGAAATATCGTAACCCGTACACGGACAGTGAAATGGTCAAGGGCATCATCCGGACGGTGTCGAATACCAACATTTACTTTTGGCGCGGTGCCTTGCTGGCGTCTAAAGAGGATGGCCCTCCGTACGCCATGGATCCGACGACGCTGGAGACCATCGGGCGGTATGATTTCGAAGGACAGATGAAGGCTCCCTGCTTCACGGCTCACCCCAAGATTGACCCTGAAACGGGTGAAATGGTCGCATTCGCCTATGAGGCAGGTGGCGATGCGCACGATGCCTCGTGCGATATCGTCGTCTGGACATTCGATCCCGTCACGGGGAAGAAGACCGAAGAGACGTGGTACAAGGCTCCCTTTTGTGGCATGATTCATGACTGTGCCTTGACCAAGAACTACCTCATCCTTCCCATGACTCCCATCGTGGCGGATCTCGAGCGGATAAAGAAGGGTGGTAATCACTGGGCCTGGGACCCTACGAAGGATCAGTGCTACGGAATTGTACCGCGCAGAGGTGGAAAGCCTGAAGACATCGTCTGGCTTCGGGCTGACAATGGTAAGTTATTCCTTGCCGTGTCTTACTATCTTATCATGCTTCTCCACTCTTCCTATCTTTTTTTCATGGACTGAGATGCTAATGCGCCGGTCACTCTTTATCAGGCTTCCACGGCCATGTCGCTGGTGCGTACGAAGATGAACAAGGGCAGATCGTCTGCGACTTGACAGTAGCAGACGGCAACGTCTTCTTCTGGTGGCCACCCGACAACGCCGGCCCCGACGCCGTCCAAAAGTCCCTCCCCCAACGGCAACGCCTAATATCAGACACCTTCCGCTGGGTATTTGACCCAAAGAGTCCCACAGATACTCGCGTCACTCCCTTCAAGCTCTACGGGACCAATGGCGAATTCTCCCGCATCGACGACCGTTTCGTGACGAAGCGATATAGCCATTTTTGGCAGTTGCAGTCTGACAAGACGCGCCACTACGATATCCAGAAGTGCGGACCTCCTGCGGGAGGCCTCTGGAACGTCATCGGCCACTACAACTGGGACACGGGCGTCAAAGATGAGTATTTCGCCGGACCTACCTGCACTTTCCAGGAGCCCGTATTCGTGCCCAAAGCAGGCGAGAGTGCCGAGGGCGAGGGCTATCTCATGGCTCTCCTCAACCATCTCGACGTGCAGCGCAACGACTTGGTAATTTTCGACGCTCTTAACCTCGCCAAGGGGCCGATTTGTGCGCTTCATCTGCCTGTGAGGATGAGGATGGGACTTCACGGAAATTTCGTACCCCAGAACGACATTGACGACTGGAATAAGCGGAGGCAAGGGGATGAGGGACCGGTACGGATTGCCACGGAACCGTTGGCGTGGCAGGCGAAGCTAGCTCAGGAAAGGGGGGCAAATGGGGTCAATGGCTCCGGTTGATTTGCTATTCATGGAGGTGCTTGCATCCAATTGAGATTTGGGAAACAGCTTTATTTCCTCTTATGGCTAGGCTAGTCTTGTTGAATGTTACGAACTTTTGTCAATATTGACTTTGATGGATCCGACATCTTGGTCCCATAAATCTTTACCAAGTACCAAGCCTGAAGCTCTCCAACTATTGCCCGTGAAGCCGTACACTACAGGGGAAGATGCACCTAGCGTCTACGGAGGGGGTAATATTTCAATGGCTTAACGGGCTGAGATAGCAGGTCGTTCAGTAATACTAGGTTAAAATGATTTGTTATCTGTCTCTGCTCGAGAGCTATCCTCGATGTTCCTGGTCGGGGGTACTGCAAAATCTAAGTCAATACAATCTTCGGCCTTCGTCCGCGAGACCCCTTCCCGACAGGTTTCGGATCCTGATGTGCCGATTGCAGGGATCGAGAGGTGTAATCAGGATTATACTCGTGAGGGCAAACCGTGATTACCATCCCCAAGCCAGCACCAAATATTCCCGATGACCATACGACGTAGTTGCAACTGGCAAGCGATAGCCACATCATCGGAAGCATCACGCCCTCAACTTCTCCGTAATATTCTAGCACTATATTTGGCATCGGTTAGCTCGGGCCGTAGGCTCTCGAAGCGATGGAAGCAGGTCAAAGCTATCAAATCCCCACACAGGGCTCCCCCCAGGTCCCTCATCGGAACCATCTTACCGAAGGCTCGGCACTCAGCTTCCTGAGCTCGGTGAGGGGTATCCGCAACCCCTTTCGGACCGGCCTAGAACGAAACGAGAACATAAAACTAGCTACCCCAATGATTCCCTCCAATTGCAAGTCCCATTAGAGTACGGCGAACCAGAGTTGCACCTTGAGCTAATAGCGTACCTGTTCATTTTCTGGGGTACTGTGCCTAGCCATTTTCTGCTTGTTTCTTAATAATTTCTTTGTCACGGATTGAGTCACTCCTAGCAACTATGGGTGACGCTATCATCAAGCTTGAGCAGACTGTCGAGGCTCTGCGAAAGGAGGTTATTCGTCTCAGTGGTACGTACGGCCTTTCATCAGTGTTCCCAACAAAGAAAAGAAGCTGGTTTTTGACATTTTTGCCATAAACAAAAAAGATCAGGAAGAGATCCGAAAGCTCCAGTACAAATATGGCTACTACATTGACAAGTGCCTGTACGAAGAGGTACGTGTTGAATGGTCTTCTGCGTCATTTCGGCCTCTCCTTTTTCTTCGCACCAGTTAGACGGACCGGACCCTGGTCAACTACACCCAGCCACTTGCATCCTTTCCAGCTTGGCATCGGCGTTTGCAAGAAATGCACAATAATTTATCCCAAAATTCCACAGCTTGCTAATCACGTTCTTAAAAAGGTCGTCGAGCTCTTCTCAGAATCCCCCGATACCTACGTCCAATTCCTCGGCGGCCGCTACCGCACCAAAGCCGGCGTCCGCCGCCTCTACGTAAACCGCTTCGCCAAATTTTTCGTCGGCGGTCGCAACGGCCCCGTGCACGGCTTCCTCCTTGATCACCCGCAGATGCAAGGCATCATCGACGTCGACTACTCCCAAGCCGACAATGGCACGGGCGCCGGGGCGATCGCCAAGGCCCGGTTCCGATCTCTTATGCAGGCCGGCGTGCATGTTAGCCAGGCGGCGAAGCATCCGCGTGGCGTGTGCCAGTGGTTCGAGGGCGGGGTCTACGAGAATGAGTTCATCAAGGACGCGGATGGGACGTGGAGGATTTTGAAGCTGAGGTACTTTCCGTTTTGGCATGGGGATGTCGAGCATGGTTGGTCGTACAAAGTTGCGGGTTTCGTGCCGTTCATGTCGACGACATTCCCTGAGGATACTATGGGGCCGGACGAGCTCGTGGGCGAGGATCAGTGCATGATGTGGCCTGACACGCGAGTGGTGCCATTCCATTATAACCATCCGGTTACTGGGAAGCCTGTGGTTGATGTGGACATGCAGGCACCGCAGTACGGGGAGGATCCGGGGAGCTATAAGCCTGCGCTGAAGCTTGATGTTTAGCGTATTTATGGTGTGTGTACATATGGAAACATTGAGTATGTTATTCGAATGACCAAGAAAAGCCGCGTGCAATGCAGAAGTCTTGCCCTTCCTTGTATTTTGGATGCAGCTACGTGACGTCTGTCTTGGGGCGTTTGATGCCGAGTAACACATCTACATCCTCGACGTTCACCTTATGAAGTTGGCGTGGAGTAGCATCTCCAACTCTTCGTTTTTTTCGCTAGCCACTTGAGATCCCCAGTTTAACATCGAGAGAGACATTTAGCAACGGAATGAATAACAGGAACCCTTGTTATATGCTCGTATGTCCCAGAGAAATCAGTATCTGAAGGGGGTGGAAAGACTCAGATATAAGTCATTAAAGTCTACTTTCAAAACGAGAAAATACTCAAAAAAGAATATAAAACCTAAAGGAGAGAAGAAACGCAAAAATCACCAAATAAAAAAGCTCATCAACCTACTAACGTACGAGACAGGTGATCAAGAAAGAAATAAGATTGAGATAAAGAAGTAATAAAACAAAAAGCTCACTCGCATCCGCTCCCAGGATCGAATCCTGGTTGCTTCCGCGAGCTACGAGAATTGCAATTTTCTAACATTCTGAGCGCTCCAATGACCACACGGCCATCGATCGCAGTATCGCCACTGCTTGCGCTGCTCGGTTGGAAGTTCCTTTCAAGATCTCATATATAAAGAAATGGCTATTCTCCTACAAATTCATGAGGAAAGAAGTCCCAGGCCCGCTCCTGCCTTCCACAAAACCAGCCGCAACTCGGCGTTAACAAGATTCCTCAACATTCGATACCGGAACAGCACTGTTTCTACTATCACAGCTCGAGAGGGAGCTTGAAGAGCCTGATTGCATTTGTCCTGCCTATGATCTCCTTCTGATCCTCGGGCAAATCAATGTCCTTCCACCAGTCCTGGGCCTCCTTGATATCGTCGTAAGGGTAGTCTGGCCTCATTCGTCAGCGAGCTCTTCACTGGCCAGGAGCAAGATACACATACCAATGGAGTAGAGGCACCTCTCAACACCAACCTCATTGATGCAGTACTTGAGACCCTTCGTGTTGAAGTTGCCTGAAGTCGTGAGCGAGATGTTATGCGTAAAGTAGTAGCTATAGTCCTCCTTGGACGGCCGTGACGCCTTCTTCACCGGTTTGTTATACCAGTGATCCGCTCTCCAAAGATTGAACGGAATCCTATCCAATTGTTAGTAACTATCACTCTTTTCACAAAAAAAAAAAAAAAAAAAAAAAAAATCTTAGCCTATAGATGATGGTACTCACCCCTCTCCAAGATGTCCACAGACAACCTGCACCTTGGGAAACTCATCAAATACACCGCTCGACATCAGTGCATATAAGTGAAAGCTCAAATCTAGATGGAACTGCACAGCAGCCCCGACGAGATGCTTCCTGTCCCCATACTTCGCTCCCTTCTCCAACTCCGGGTTACAGGGATACCTCGGATGCATGTAAACCGGCACATCGAGCTCCTGCACTGTCTTCCAAAACGTCCGATACTCCTCTTCGTCGAAATACTTCTTCCCACTCCCATCCGCGCTGGTACTCTGGTAATCGTTCAAAATCGCCCCAAACATTCCCAGCTCCTTCACAGCCCTCCTCAACTCCGCCGCCGCCTCCGCCGCATCGTGCATAGACAGGGACGCCAGCGCCCCGAATCTCTTGGGATTCTTCTTCACCTCACCCGCAAGCCAGTTGTTGGCCGACACAGCCATCTGCTGAGCTTTAGCGCGGTCCGGTTCGCCCTGGGGTCCCGGGGACGTGACGGAGAGAAGCATGTACTCGACGCCCTCGGCGTCCATCTGTGCGAGGCGGTGGGTGTGGATGTCGGCGAGCTTTTGGGTAAGGGCGTGAGCTATGCTCGAGGAAGAACCCGTGACAATGGCAGCAGGGGCGTACATGGAGGCCGAGTCGCCCAACCACTGCAGGTCGGAGGGGTCGATAACGGCCTCTTCGATGGCGATGGTGCCTTTGGCCATTTTTGCTATGGGATCACTACGTCTGGAAATGGTGCGATTGAGGAGCTTGAAAATCGAAGGCGTCGCTGCTTCACTGCAGCTAGATGATACAAAAGATTTCCTACTTCACGGCATATTCACTTATCAAAAGCTCCTCCTCGCCAGGTTTACAACTCTCGTATCCATGCATGCGATCGGAGACTGAGGAGAGCGAACGGCGTCGGCGTATTGATTCCGTCGGGTTCATCAAGCCGATGCCGTGCAACACGAGCTTCGGTGCGGGCAGTCGGACTCCATCCGCTTAATGTCTCGGATAGATGAGAGGGTCCTTCGCTAGATTTTCTCCGATTCTTTGCAGCCGTTCTCTTTTGTTTCGGGCTTGTGATATATCCATACCCCCGGAAAGTGCAATTTAGGGTAGGAGTATGTACTTATTGCGGTTTCCGACGATTCGCAGATTGCAATACCTTGCATCACGTGGTTCCCATAAGCGAAACGTGACGACAACAGTCTTCCTGCTTAGTCACTCATCCACCTTCTTCGTCCAGATGATAGCATCAGACATCTCGTCTCACAACCAAAGACGATGACCATGAACTTTTGCTCTCTTTTTCCACTCTCCCTTTTTCCAGACCTCGCCCACAATGTCACAGCAAGTTTACAAGGTGTCGACCCCGCCAGCGGAACCACATCTACCTATTGAAGAAGTTGATGAAACAGCTGGCGTTGGTTCGCCTCTCATGCAGACATTATCGAAGGGAGTCCCCAGGTCAAGAACTCCTTCACGCTCATCCTCACCACAACGGCCTCCATCCATCACCGGGGATCCCTCTCTTGTATCAGCTCCTTCGCCAAGCAATATTTTCTCCGCAAACCTATGTTTGAATTTCAAGCTTGACCTGCCGCCCCCGAGACAAATCGTCGCTGCCCCTGAACTGCCGCCCAGCACACGGCCCGATGGCGGACTTGACCTTCCAGATTTTAGGGGATACCGATTCCTCTCCGATCTGCCACTGGATGACTCGCCTCCAGCCATGAGGTATAAGAACTTTAAGGCTCCACTCCTGCGCAGGTTTCGCAAGCATGACCAACCTGTCTGGTTTCTGAAACGTATGGGCCAGGGATATGAAGGTGTCGTGTACAAGGTTCTGGTTGATCGGAAACGTTTCGCCCTTAAAATTGTGAGTTAATCAACCTCTCACAGTCTAACTGGAATTTATCTGTTGTATATATTATTTGTACTCATTGAGTATTTCTTGCAGTTTTGGAATACCAGATCAAACAGGACCCAGGGCAAGGACATGTCTTTCAAACATTGGCCTTTTCTGAATGAATGTCAAACAGCAGCCAGAATTGAGAAAATCCGATGGGCGATCGGCCACGCGGAATCGCCTATTATGGTAAACGCCAACATATTAGATGACACGGACATGCGGAAAAACATGTGGTGTTTCAGCGAAGAGGGCCAGGAAAACCCAGTCGAGTTTGAAAACGCGGTGCCGATGACTCCCGCCGACACTATCGTCCGCTGCCACGGCTGGCTGAAAATCCCACGCAAGCAACTACCGCCCGATTTTCATTACGCCCGTATACTAGGGAGGCCGGACTGGTACGAAGAAACTACGCACTATTTTGCCTTGGTGTACGACTACGTTAAGAGAAGCCCCCGCGATCGGGAACACTACGTGTTGCAAGAAAACATTGACTTCTTCTACTATTCGGGTTTCACCTACTGGTTCCGACATCCTAACAACTGGCGGGGTGAAAGATTGGTGGATTTTGGGGATCTAGCATCTCCCTTCCGGTTCCGCCCGAAGTGGTATGGGGCTCCGCCGCATTCCACATCTCTGGACTTTTTCAACCCACCGAAAGGGGATACATCAGAAGATGAAAGAGATGGCAACCAACCGGACGGTAAACACTCTAACGACAAGCCAGCCGAAAAGGAGATGGGCAAGGACGAACCCGGGGTAGCTGCGAGTGAGCCCAATGGCGATTGTCAAGATTAGTTGCTTTGGACTGGATCCGAATTCATCCTACTCCACCCTCTTCTCCTTTACCTCCTTATTACTTCCCATGATTATCTGAGACTGGCTCCAGAGAAATTTGTATCCTTGCACTGTTGCCTCTTCTTTCTTGCCGCCTTGCAGCCACCTAGTTGACGATAGATGCGTGCTCATGGTTACTGTGCTATCGTCCGCCCATTTTCAAGGGCATAGGCCGTCTGTGGCCGAATCATGCACCGAGCGATGCGAGCAGTCTTGTCGTTCTCTGCAGGAAGATACCGTATCACATATCACAAGTATTTCAAATAGCGAGTGATCCTTGAGTGATCCTATAGTGATCTTACAGCATTGGGGCTAACGACTAGGGTCAAGGGATGTATGGGGTCAATACCATCCGGCCTGTTTCATGAATAAACGGGGAGAGAGCCAGCATTACCCTTCAGCCTATCGATTTTTCATTCATTGCTCGGGGAGCCGCCGATGTGGGCCGGGCTGAATGTGTTAAGTCCACAATCCGGCGATGTAACCAATCCGTCGCCTCGTAGCGCGTCCAAACGACACCACAATCCGAGATTTGGGCGGCTAGCGAGACAATTTGCCCAGAACACGTCACCTACGAACAGGCAGGGCATACCTAAATTTAGAAACGAAGTCTGTCGTCGATATTTCGAGCGAGTATTCTCAATGTGGTCCCATTCAGTGGCAGCATAGTCACTCGACACCAAATCCTCTATAACAACGCGAGCCCTCCCTCTGTTCGCCATTGTCTATGCCAGATCCGAACTCATCCTCTCAACAAAGACCATTCGCTCACCTTCAGTGTTCCTGCTTTACATTTTTATATTTATTTTTTTATTTGTTTATTTTTCCCTCACGTTAAACACCTCTTCCTACAATGCCAGTCTCATCGATCCTTTCCTTCTTAACGCAACCAAACCCCAGCCTAGACAACTCTAGACTCCGACCTGGGCTAAACACAAAGACCAGTGTGCCCCTGGACTTCATCTCTACATCGAGGTGGGACGAATTCAATTTTTCGTCTCTTTACACCCAGTTTCGCCCCATATTGGAATCCACGCATGAGTTTTCTGCCCCTTGCGATATTTCATCGAGCGGGTGCCAGATATTCGACGAGGAAACTTTTGAGCATCAGGTGCTTAGTCGAGCGATCATTCCCGCCGTCAACGAGGCACTCGAGGCAACCGCCAGACTCCTATCCGCGAAGTTTGGAAAGACGTTCCCAGTCTGGCAGCTTCGCCGCGGCGGAATATGCATTTACGAGGCTGATCCAAACTCTCGCGCCGACTGGGGCCTGGTTGGCAACGACTTTCTTGATCAGTTTGGTTACTTCTATAATTTCATGCCTGGGGATAGCAAGATATCCTCGAAATGGACTGCACAAGAACTCCATCAACTCTCATCGAAGGGCACAGAAGAGCACAAGTCATTGCCAGTTCAGCAAGTTGCGGGTTACTGCGACAAAACCCGATCGCGATACGGGTTCCTGATTAGCGACTTGCACCTAGCTGTCCTGGAATTTCATCGGGATCGCATCGGAAAGGGCATTGCTGCTACTGCAACACGGCGTGCCGTTCACGCTTCCAGGCAACCGCAGCAGCAGCAGCAGCAGCAGCAGCAACAACAACATCAACGAGGGGTCTCCATTGAGAGTCTTGGTACTGAGATTGTCTCCCTGTCTATCTCCACCCGGGCGCCGACAGATACGGGTGTTTCCGCGGAGTCGTACAAAAGTAACGATCTTGGTGACCCGGTTCATATGAGATACTGCGCAATCCCCTGGAATGCTAGTGGGGAAGTCCGAGTTACCGTACGATTAGCCTTGTTTTGTCTAGCGCTGATAGCTGGATATGGAGAGGGATTGATGAGCTATGAATTCTCGGACCTTAGCTCCTTGTCGCTTGCTACTTTCCCCGATCGCATGCGGGACAACCCGGACAGGTACAAGCCCTCGAGCCGGGATTACGCACCTAATCTGCCCCGTGTCCGAGAAGATACACGTATTACTGCAGACGACAGAGACAGCCCGAGTGATGACGACAGCGACGATGAGGACGATAATGAGGGTGATCTCGATAGTTCTGATGAGAGGCTGGCCCACATGTCTAGCCCCTATCACGTACAGAACGACAAGAGATACGTGAGGCGTAGTGTCGTATTCTTCATCGGAGAGGAAGCCTTTTACCACGACACTGACGGCAGCCGCCGTCGTATCGGAGAGGATGAGCTTGTCTATGATAGAAAGCGGGGTGAATTGGGCTCCTTCCGTGGCGCCGAGTTCACTGCGGAAAATGTTTCGCGGTCGTCGGGCGGGGGAGAGCCGAGCCACAGGCAAGCGAAGCACGGGAGGAGGGAGTCGGATCTTTCAAATACAACTCAGAGGCATAAGCGGGGTAGAGGTGCACGCTAATTGGCACATTACCTTTTCATCATTTCGTCTTTCTTTCTCTCATGCTTGCTTTCTTATCTTGTCTTGTCTTTCCTGTCTTTCGCTCGTTTTTGTTTTCGTTATCTTCTCCTTTTACTTTTCTCGCTATCGAGTATAGTTATTCCGCCTCTCCGCGAATCTATCGTTGTCTTCAACCCCTTGTGTCGTTAGTTGATGTCCCTTCCACCCATGCCTCAAGACCTATGAACAAAGAGAGAGTTTGCCCGGGGGATGACATGTATTGTAACTTTCGTGAGATAAGAAGGGTCCCATCTACCCGAGACGCGGATCGCGTGTGCAATAAATGTGCAATGAACAATGAATAGGCCCAAGAAGATGATGAGAAACAGAATGCAAGTACAGAGTCAGGAGAGCTTGGTCAAAACAACATTAAGGTAAGCTATAGAGGGTGTACTATATCAAAGCAAAGAGTCAAAACTATTCAGACTCTCTCAATAAACTAAAGCAGGAAACATCAGAAGATGGAGAAGGAGGTGAGTAGAGATGTTGCTGATGGACTTACTAGTAACTATTAATTAGATGTAATCGATGAGGGCCGGATCCTTACTGAATAGATATGGGAATGGCCTGTAATAGTAACTAAGTAGAAGATGTATCCTTATTATAGTCTATATACTACCTAAGTATCAGTCTTAACATATCGCCCCAGCTGCCTCTCAATATCACAGTAAATGAGCCTACTATCTCATATTTGAACCCATCAAGTTTCTCTCCTAAAACACTCATTTCGCCAGTGGATATTTCTAAAGTGCCGCTTCAAGTCACTCTTGCCAAGCGCACACTGCGAAGGGGGCTGTGCAAAGTCCTATAATCTCGGCTTCTTCCGGCCTTCCTAAAGTCCTAGTACCTCGGTACGTCATTTATCTACTAGTTCCCCAGCCAACACAACCCCAACTTACCTAGTGTCGCACGCATTGTGGAGAGAAATATAAACTAAATTAAGTAATATGAGGTACGCTGCCTCAGTACCTCCGTAAACTTTATTTTGAATAACTTTAATGGAGTCAGGGGTGAAACGATATGATTTGTCCCTAGTATGTGGGCTCGTCTTATCACATTGTCATTATTCCCGTTTCTGCTCAAACACGCCATCCGATCTGGCTGTCTCAGAAGCACCTCCGGACTACCTCTGATGAAATCAGGAGTAAAACCGCCAGAATAACGAATACGTTGTTGCGGTGAGAGTCACCTGGCGGGATAGAAGGGTCAGTAATGAGCATTATAACTTGGACCTGCCAAAGACACCCGTATTGCACCATGAGAGGCTACCGGTTGAGGCAATAGAAACATACCTTCCTCATCAAGACTATGCGTGATCACAACAAACAGGTTGAGAGGCAAACGCATGAGGCTGTACGTGCTACCACGAATTTCGTCGCTTACGACCTCACTCTTCAACAGGTTAATGGCGGGGAAATACAACCCAATGGACGTTTCAACGGCAATAAATGCGTAAAAGACGTATGACTCCGTCGACATCATTGACGCCGAGCTCAAACCCACACAGGCTATAAGAAGGGCGGACATCAAGACCAGGGTAGCACCCTGGAAGCCTGGGCGTTTGAGATTGAAGATGCAGGATCCAGCCATCATGGCACACATGAAGCAGGCAAAGATTAGCCCAAAAGGAAGCTCCTCTACCTCATCCGGGCTATGAGCGGTAGAGGTACGGGCGCTCTTCAACGCCGCGGACCAAAAGAAGACGAAGAGATACATGGCGCTTTCGAAGGAGGTGGTCGCGAGTAGAATCGCCATGATTCGGGCATCCGACGTGATTGCTTTGAGGGAGTCCTTGATGGAGACCCCTTTGGAAGATAGGGCGCCGTTATTCTCACCCTATTTCCCCAGTTAGACAACTCCATATGAGCTGCGCTGCGGTTAAGGCGATGGAGTTCCGGGCTAAGAGTTACGTACCCATCTCTTAGAAATCCAACCCATTGATAATAGACAGCACACGACGCCCCCCATGAACGGCCAAGCCCGACTGCCGAAGACCTCAACCATGGCATCGCCACACACCCCCATTGCTATCGCAATCATTGGACTCATGATGGCGGCATAACTGAAAACCGACGACAGAGATAGCGATGAGTCAGAGAGGCCTCGAGAATGATACTCGGACACCATCCAAACATCGAAGATGGAGAATAGAATCGTCGTCGCCACTCCCCCAGTCAATCGTCCGATGGTCAAGATTATAAGATTGTCGCTAAGCATCGAGAGGCAGGTTACCGTGTACATTACGCCGTAAATTAAACACCCGCGACGCCTACCATACTGATCTGCTAGCCGTCCGACAAAGGAAGCGGAGACAGCGCCACTGATAAAGCCGACGGCATAGAGAGCGCCGACGACCCTCTCGGGAAGTTGTTTGTCATATTTGTAGATGGCGTAAATATGTGGTCCCTAGGATGAGAAAAAGATAAGACGCCGTCGTTTTGAACGGAAGATCCAGCCAGAGTAGCATTTGGCTGAGCGATATTGGCGTTATGACTTACCTGGATCCAGTCGGCGGCGACTGCAAAAGCATACGCCGGGAAATAGTCAAGAAGAAACTTGGATATTTCCCTTGCCTGTGAGGCTTGAACATGGGAGTCAGCTGAAAGATTGCTTTCCTTGCTCTCCTCGTCCACCTTCTTCGTCCCATGAATATGTCTATAGTAACGATATAGAAGGAACAAATTGGCCAAGGCGAAGCCGACGAGATTAAAGGCGTAAAACTCCATATCGTGCCCCTAAATTTGCTGAGAACGGCATGAGCAGAAAAGTTGGTCAGGGCATGCCAGGGGAACGGGAAATGCATCCCTCTAAATTTAGATGTGATGACTGCCTTTATGAGACCTGGGCCTGGACCAACCGAGTTTAGCAAGTGACGGTTGAGCCAGCTTGTGGGATGTTGGGCTGACTGCCCACCAGGGTCTGCCTCGGGTCAAGGGGGGGTGGTGTCACGCCATGCCCTTATGGTATGTCTCGCAGGGCCAATCAATTGAGGGTCTCCGCATCCATGTTATCTGCCGCTCGCCCAAGCGGGTTAAGGCGGGATGAGGGAACCAATATAACTGAGGATCTCCGCATCATGTTATCGGCCGCTAGCCCAAGTGAGCAAGGGGTATTCAGGGATCGACTTCGTATTCAAATTCAATTCAACCCCTGGCCAAATGCGCCACCCCACGTTCAGTCAGGGGCGCGTCGAGATGGGATGGTTATTTTCCTTTCCCTCTTCTGACAACTTTCATAGAAAAAGCAGTTTTTTTTTCCCGCTTTTGATATTCTTGTCTTATCCCAATACCACATTACACTAGAATCATCGGCTATTCTATTGGCAAAATTCACGAGATTGCAGGCCCGGATTCAACATCATGACAGGACCAAGGACGAGGTTTTATACCATCTTGACCGTGGTGGCTGGCGTCCTCGTGCTCGCCGCCGTGATACATGCCATGGACTATAACACTGCATTTGAGATTTCTCGCATGATGAGGTAGGACAGGAAACTCCCTGTGCTCCCGTTATATCGGCATTCCGCCTTCGAGCCTTGGATGACCTGGCTCTTCCCTAAAGAAACGTGCTCTCTAACAACTGTCAAAGATCTGGCAAGCCGGGTCAAGGCAACGCCGACAACGCCAACAACGGCGGCTACCCCGACCACCCCGACCACCCCGACCACGCCGCCCAGACTGTGAACTATCAACCGAACCAACAAAAGACCTGGTATCAAATCGCCGCGGCGGCCGGTACAGACAAAGTCACGACGCACGAGTACCAGTATATGTACGAGAAATATCTACCCCCGATGCGCAACAGGCATGTGAAGATGCTCGAGATTGGATTGGGCTGTAACATGGTTCGTACGCATCCTACTCATCCTACTATTCTCACCAGCGCTCTCTCTAACGTAGAAATTCATTTCCATCGTAGAATTATGGCCCCGGAAAGTCTTATAACACCTGGCTCGAGTATTTCCCCGACGTCGACCTCTACTTCATCGAGTATGACGCGAAATGCGCGGAGAAATGGGCCCACAAGACACAAAACGCTCACGTCTTTACCGGAGACCAGGCCGACGCCGCCTTCCTAGAGGACTTTATCAGCAAGGCCGGCATGGACTTTGACCTCATCATTGATGACGGCGGACACACAATGGACCAGCAGATTACCTCTCTCAAACACCTTTGGAAGGCCGTTAAGCCCGGTGGCTACTACATTCTCGAAGACCTGCAAACAAGCTACCTTGAAGCATACCACGGCGATCCGTCCGCCCACGACCCAACGATTGAAACAGCCACCAAGTTCATCTACGAGCTAATTGATGACCGGATGACTGGCAAGAACAAGCACGAGATTAGTAGTGACATGAGGAGTATTGATTGTATGCGGGAGGTGTGTGGATTCACCAAGAAAGTGGCCTAGAATATGTAAGAGAGGCTTTAACCCGTTTTGTAGATTATTCTTAAAATACTCTCCATAATAATAGTTATAATAACTGTCAGGGTATCACCCCCTCGAGGGCTCCACCTCACACAGGGCAATCAGAGGAGCCGTAGAGACCCCGCCGTACAGTCACAGATCGACCGCACCGCGGACTACAAGAGACCCATATCCGCCATAGTGACGCGGAGGTGTCGCTGAGGTGCCGTAGAGAAGGGTTGGGGAAGACCTACGGAGCGATAGCTATATGAAGGGGCCGGATGAAGCAGCAGCGATTCGCGAATTGAACTGACATACCCTACACTTCACGACCTCGCAGACAACCCGCTGTGCCCTCTCACTCCGTGACCAACCGTCTCTTGCAATAACGCTCCGGGCTGGTTGCGGTAAGTCTCACCTTCAAATTGCCCGGTGCCAAGTAGTAATTGCGTCTCATTTTCTTGTCGAAACCAAAACGGAACACGCCAACCCTAACCCTAATAGACAAACTCGGAGGCGGGACCTGTTAAACAAAGGTGGTACGTCTCTTTCTAAAGAGCGCGACGAGCCCGAGGAACTGCTAAAAGTATGAGGGGCATGGTACTGCCCCGCGGATATCTGCGTGGTAGAGTAGGAAGCTGGCTCCTAATTCTATTGCAGGCTAGGGGACGCGTTCGGAAAGCAAGCCGCGTCGCGTCGTCCACAAACATAACCTCGGCGTTCAGACTTACGAAAAGGTAATCGGCAGTGTAAATGAAATATTGACACGAATTTACACTCCGGTCGTATTGGTTTAATTTTCTGGCGGCGAGTTCATCGTAGAAACTGCTTCGAGGTCATTGGGCGGGGGAGAGTCAAGCCACAGGCAAGCGAAGCACGGGAGGAGGGAGCCAGATCTTTCAAATACCACCCCGGGGCATGTAGAGGCGGATGCTAATTAGCCTATATTTGATATTAATTCGCAATAGCATTTCGGACAGTGGAGAGAGTGTATTGATTAAACCAAAGGAAGCACTCCATTGGAACCTGTTTGGAGTTCTGGCGCATAAAACTCCACCTCTACTGTCCCGAACCTTAACCTCGCCGATATGGTAACAGGCTTAAAATTTGTGTGCTTGCCACATTTTATAGCTGGTGCAGCACCCAGATATCAGTTTCGACGTATCGTCCCACTTGCCTCTTAGCGTCCCAGTAAACAGGCCTGCCATCATGTTTAAACCCGTCAAGCTTCTCTCCCAAAACAATCACTTTACCATCATCATCAGTGGACGTATCCAACTCGATTTTCCCCTCTAGCCACTCTTGCCAAGCGGCGGCTGGCGCCTCTTTCACGAGACTCTCCGGCGCAATTTTTACCACTCGCGCCCCCATTCGAATGTGTTTCCGCAGCCAGGGATCGAACGGGAGGACCACCGGTGCCTGCTGCTGATCACTGCCCGCCTCCGGCTCGCTCTTCTTCTTTTCGAGGCGGTCCAAGGACCACGCAAACGTGCCAGGTTGGTTCGGCTTCCCCTGTGCCCAAGTAAGGTACTCTTCCATCGAAACATCCGGATACCGCCCTTTGAGCGTGGGGCGGAGCGGGACAACGAGCGCTTTAAGGCCGTGTTGTCTCGCCAAAGCTTTGAAATTGAGCAGCAATGCGTCCGCGATGCCTGTACCCTTGTAGTCCCCCATCACGTTCACCAACATCGCAGACAAAGCGTTCGGCGGCTCTGTAGCGCGGGAAAGTGAGTCATGCAACCGCGGGTCGTCATCCGTCCGGTGGGGGCCCGCGTCAGCCCCCTCCGGCGTATCACCACTGCGTGCTTTGGCTTGAAGAGCACCTCTGGCGAGCATCGCATCCCAGCCGCGGTCGGGGAGGCTAAGGGCCCATCGAATAGACCCGTCGAGATCGAGTTCGCGGCCAGCCAGCTCCGGCCAGTAGAACGGCACGCACAGGCCGATGGCGACGACCTGCTCGTCTGGCTCCTTGACAACCATGGTTTGATAACGGGCCAACTCTTCGATTTCCCCCAGCGCCTCCCAGTGCGGGTTGTCCAGCTCGGTTATCCAGGGCGGCCAGATTATGTTGAGGGGATGAGTTTCATCGCCGGCGATTTCCCAGAGGTCCGGTCGCGACGCAGCCGATTCGAGGCGGAGACCGTCGTCGAGTTGGGTATCGAATGATTCCATTTCCATCGAGGAATTTTACCAAGCCGTCTTTGAGATGGTACTAACCGAAGAGTGGATTGCGGCTTGCAAGGTTGCAAGGACGAAGTACTGACGTGGGACGACACAACACAACGCAAGGACCAACGTGCTTTGTTCGGGTTTAGCTCGTATTATCTTGTCCAGGTTCGGGTCGTTCGGTAGATTGATGCCTGAGAACGGGACTCGCAGAAGAACACTGTACAGTGACAAGAATAACAACATGACTAGTATGCAATGCCCTTGTACTTTCGGTTGGTTTGCTTTTTTAATTTTTACTTTAGAAAAGAAGCAAAAAAAAGGGAAGGGAGAGGGACCCTACTACATAGCCACTAATTTCCTCCGAAGAGCGAGCTGAGCAGCTTTCAGCTTGTTCAGCTGCGGACGTTTGTTTGACCTGACTGACCTGACGCCATCAGCTCTGTGGCTTCCATACAAAGCCAGTGGCTGGCTGTGCATCTCGGTCGCTTTTCTCCCATGCTGGTTGTCTCGGCGAAAACGAAAGGTACAACATTGTGCACACCTGTTATTTCAACCTAGAAACATTGATTGGCCCTTTCCCCTGTTCCCAGGCTCATGGAAGATCTGTCAGAGTTCCTCGCAGGTGAAACATGGCTGGAAAGCAAAAAAAAAAAAAAAAAAAAAAAAAAAAAAGAGAACAAAGGAACAAAATAGGAAAGGTGCCGTTAACTGGTCAGTATCAGCAGTATTGATCTCCAAACATTAAGTCGGGCCTTCAAGGTGAGTCAACATATCAGCCGCTGGCATCACTAAACCAGGCAGAGAGAGAGGGAGAGCAAGTATGAGGGGAAGGACAACATTCATCAGAGACAAGAGAATGGTGGGTATTATTATCCTCTGCAGCCGGTTCCGTAGACCGGGTGCTGGTCATGTTGCCCTTCGACGCCACCACCTTGCGTCTAAACGGGGTTTTTTCTTTTTCTTTTTTTCTTTTAAAGCTTCTGGTGTCCTTAACACACTTTTTATCTATAGTTTTATTTTTATTTTCTCCTTAATTGTCTCCTAATATTTTTTTGCCATGGGCGATCATCAGGCTCAGACATGGGGGACCCGGTGGCGGTCCAAGCCATCTTTCATCCTAACAACCGTAGGAATGGGTCTCTTTATAGATCTTCTTCTTTACGGTATCGTCGTGCCGGTGCTTCCATTCATGTTACGCGACCGTCTTTCCATCCCAGAATCCCAGATCCAATCGTGCACTTCCAGGCTACTGGCCGCATATGCAGGGGCATCCGTTGTATTTTCACTCCCAGCAGGATGGATTGGGGACCGGTTAGGCTCTCGACAACCGCTGTTCCTCGCGGGTCTGATTCTCCTCCTCGTCGCGAACGCAATCTTGGCGTTAGGCCAGACCATGAATGTGCTGGTTATGGCAAGAGTCATCCAGGGTATCTCGGCAGCGGTCGTCTGGACGGCTGGACTTTCCATGGTTCAACGCACAGTTGGCTCTGAAAACATGGGCAAGGCCATGGGGACGGTAAGCAGGCACTTCTCCCCATTATCCCTCCACATCACGCTTTTGCTTTTGGCTTGGTTTATTTTATTTCAATATATTGCATTTTCTTTTCCTTTCCACGCGTCAAATTTGTCGAGACTTCAAACTGACGGACCGGGAATAAGATGTATCCCATCATTTCTGTCGCCGAACTCATCGCGCCGATCCTGGGGGGCGAGCTGTACGAAAGAGCCGGTACTCTCGGAATGTTCTCCGCTGGAGCAGTAGCCCTCTCGGTCGATTTCGTCATGCGGCTTCTGGTTCTCGACAAGCCAGCGGCACCAGCCACGACCTCCTCGTCAGTAAAATCGAGGTCCGGATCGGCCCTAGAGGCGGGAGAAACCGACCCATTGCTCCGCGCAAACGGCCGTATCGTCCACGAGGAATTCAAGATACTCAAGGACCCTCGCGCCAGAGTGGACGAGGCCTTTCCTTTCCTACACTGTTTTCTGGACCCGAGGATTTTTGTGGGGCTATTCCTCTCCTTTGTTCACGCCTCGATGGTTGGGACGTTCAACGCCACGTTACCCACGGAGGCACAGTCGCTTTTCCACTTCTCATCGCGCCAGGTCGGGCTTCTCTTCATTCCGTTAATTATTCCCTATCTCGCCTGCGGCTTACCCGCTGGGATGGCGGTGGATAGGCGGGGACCTCGAATCATGGCAGTGGCGGGCTTCATCTTCCAAGCCCCGTGCCTTCTACTTCTCGGGATATCTTCGCGGGACGCGGTTCCGGGTCAGGCTAGGCTCGCGCTCTTCTGCGTCGCTCTCGCGCTGAACGGCGTGGGCATGGCTGTCATTAGTCTGCCGGGTTTCGTGGAGGCGACCAACGTAACGCAGAAGTACGCCGAGGCCAACCCGGGCTTTTTCGGCAAGAACGGGCCTTACGCGCAGCTTTACGGGATGGACTCGCTATTCATCTTCTCCGGACTCGCATTTGGCCCTCTCGTAGGTGGCATGCTGAGGGATAGTTTTGGCTATTGGGTCATGATGGCTTGTTTTGCGGTGTTTTCGGGTTTCGCAGCTGTGCTGTCGTACCTAGTGTTAGGGGAAAGAACTTGAGAAGGAGATCACCGATGCCTGGATCTTTGTGTAGCTTCAGGATAACTGCACGTTACTACTACTAGTTTCTCTTAACCACGCGTCGATAACTCAATACGGCATTGGAAGATGGTTAGATCCACACCGCCCCCACTCGCCGACGCCTTGGGACTGCATCCAACTCTCGCCACATTTTCTGCCCTAATTTATGTGTGAGCTGGGGTTTTGCTGTTCAACAGACATATCGGGAACAATTCTTCTTTTCTGACGGTCCTCTTCTGATCGTGCAAAGTTGCCTAGCTGCAATGGGCTGGCTGAAGAGTGGAGTAGCTGGATGCTCGTTGCCACTGTTCTTTCGTTTCTTTTTCTTATAACAGATCACCAGCGCGTCACATCAGCCTGGAAAGTTAAAAAAGTAAAGAAGCTGCCTGAGTCGTCATGCGAACGGCTCCCCGCTTGCTCAACCGACCGACGGACCTGGGTCTCTTACAGCCGCTGAGTCTAATCATTCAAAATGTCACCACGTAGTGTCACGCCGAGGACAGTCCGATATACTTGTATCTACGAGACTTCAGCGTGCGTGCCGTTGATGGTTTTGGGCTTTTGGCTGGCTGATTTCAGCCAGGCTGGGACCCTGAGATGACGATCCTGTGGACAACGAAACCGAGCCTCTCGGATTCGATTGGCAGGCAGTTTGCTGTTCATGACAACGTTTAATCTACGCTGGCGTAATGTAGTGTAATTGCCTATCTCGTTGTCGGCGTATTACGATGGGTAGGAAACACGGTGGGCAGTGGTCGCGACTCAGAAGGCGAAGGATGTACGTAGACGACGTCTTACGTGGAAACTCGTCACTTCATTGTTGATGACCGGGTCGTGGACGGTGATATTATGCCGTAGCAATTGGGCTTATATATCATCAAGTTGTTGCCCATGTTTTCGCGCCAACGTCACTGTATCTCTCAATCTAGCCCATGATTTGATTACATTCACTGAATATGGCTGTACGCCGGACAAGCGCAACCGCGCCGACAAGCGTCATGGCATCCCCTTTCATCTTATACATCACTTCTTCGAGACTATTCTCCATCATACTCGCCACGGTGGCTAAGTTTCTACCGCCTCTGCCATTGCCGTCTAAGAAGGAAGCAAAACCGCACCATCAAACTCAAGAAGTCCTCGCCCCGACGCCTCAAAACCCCGAAGAGGTCGTAGTGATAATCGATGATGGTGGAGACGGATTGCCAGTCGTCAAAACGCTCGTCCTAGACAATGGCGTCGAGAAACCCCAACATCTTCACGATGCGTCGGTGTACCGGTACTTCGGCAGCTTCGATAACAATGCGGTTGGCGACGCACGGCTGTCGAAGTGTATTAGAAGAAGCGCCGTGTCGATGGGACAGCTGCAACATCTTCTCAAAGGAAGGGATCCCCACGAGACTTCCAAGCCGGAGCCTGAGCCAACAGTTACTCTCGGGGACGGGGGCTTTGTTTCATCACTGCAGATGCCAGACGGGACCGACGTATCAGAAGTTTTTACAAAAGTCCAGCTTCGGTATGCCCATGGATTCGCATCTACTCAGTACTTCCACTCCCGCTGTTCGGCCGTCAAACCTTCAATGCTGAAACAACCACGGGCTGAATTCAAACATATACACATCAGCACCGGAGTCTGCTTGTTTTCTGAAGCCGTGCTCGGCATGACGCCGGGACAGGCCCAGGCATCACTCCTCGACGGTGATAACCCCACCATCCCGTCTTTATTACCGCCGCATGTCGACCTCACGATTTATGAGCTGGAAACTATCTTTAGAGTCTCGTCGGCAATCGCTGATGTCGTTGGTCTCATTAAACAGTCCCACCCAGCTGATCGAGTGACCATCCACGTCGACATTCCCGACTTTCAGTACCATTGGACGGCCTGCGAACTTCTGAAGCGCAACCTAGTCGACGTTGACTACGTCCGTGGGTGGGTTGGTGCGATTGACGGAAGAAAAAGGCTTCTTGGAGCTATCATGACTTCAACCATTCATAAGATGTTACGAGACCGATGCCTGCCCATCGTCCAGGTTATCATCACGTCCGGAACGGAGAGCGCTGTACGCCTCGTAAATGAAAAGCTCGGTAATAGCGGGACCGTACCGACCTTAGAAGAGATCATCGATGTGCTACGCACCGAGGGTGAGGATTCGGGCCAGTGGAGGGAGTTCTTCCATCATTTGGAGATGCGCCGTCAACCCTCAACAGTTGAAGATCTTGGCCGGCTTATGTATGTCTTCAAGATGGTGAAGCCGGCCCTTTATCCCGACGGGAAGATAATCGATCGTCCCGGTCAGAGACTTCTGATTAATGTCGACGACATCGCTGAATGGAGGATCTTGGATGGGGCAAAGGCCTTTCTTAAGAGATATTATAAGCAACACTATCACGTCGACCAAGAGCCAGTCCCAGTCGGATTATTTCCTGTGCAAAGAGTCTTCACCACAGCTCCGGGGCGACTATGTCTTTATCACAATGACCCTGGTCAGCATATGTATCACGAGGAGGATCGGGCTGTAGTCGGCCCGTTGGATATCATTGCGATGACATACGGGCAACAGATGAGAGACTGGTTGGAAAAGACCATAACCGAGATCGCTTAAAATAGTAGAAATAAATATCATTTAATACCGGGTTTTGCCAACACATGAGAAAAAAGGTCACTGTATGGGACCAAGTCATCGACTAGTATTAACAAATGTCCAGACACCAGAGACCCCAAGACATGTTTATAACTCCTGGAACTGTGGAGAATGGCTCAGCTGCACGTTCATATCCCCCAGGCCCACACCCGACAAGTACGTTCCCGAATCCACGGCACTATTCGTCTAGTTAGCTCATTTGGATCTATTACAAGGGCCAAGAAAAGGTTGGCCAGGAGAGGAGGAGGGTTCGCCCTTACAATTCGTTATTTGGCACGATGTCCAGAAACATCAGATTTGGAGTCTCCATGCTCGCAGGATACAGAACATTTTCTCCGTCCCAGATGCCGTGTTCCTCAAGTTGCGCCATCACCTCTGTAAGAGCATGTTTCGTCCAAAGAATCTGCTCCATCCCCTGAAGAGTCCGCGTGCACGTCTTGACATTCTCCAGCTGCTCCGCCGCATTCGTCTCTATCAGCGCCAGAAGCGAAACCTGCATACACTCGAGGATGGATGTGCAGTCGAACGGGATCCGACTCGTCAGCAGATCGTGGTCGCGTAGAAACGCGATGGCCTCCATGGCCTTTTGCGCGGCGCCGAGACACATGGTGCCGAAGTCGTCGAACCACTTTTGCTTGGTGGCGTCGGCGAGCTTGCGGCCTTCGCGCGAGACGTTGTAGAGTTTGAAGGGCCGCGTCGTGAACATGACGGTTCGCCAGTATCGGAGGTGTAATACCGCGACGGAACGTTTGTGGAATCCGGCTACTTGGTTGAAGTCGCGCAGGTGAGGAGGTAGCTCGGAGTACCAATTCTGCAGGTCGTTCATCAGGGTCGAGACTGTTGACAGCGCGAGGTTGAGTGTGTTGGGTGTCGGCACCCTGTAGATAACTCTGCTGGCGGTCCGCTTGAGCTGGGCTAGTCGGCAGGATACCTCGAGGTAATTCAGGGGCATATTTGAGCCGGGGCTTAGAATCTGGCCCATGGTTTAGCGAGGATCAATAAGCATACGCCTGGCGCGACTTACGTCTTCCGAGGGCAATTTCAGCACGCCGGGAATAATATCTTCGCTGATGGCGGTAGGATGTCCATAGCAAAGGCTAATGTCAAGGTCGAGTAGGTACAAGGAGCAAAACAATCGTAAGTCTACCTGCTTGTGAAGGCTGTGGCGAGCGCTAATGTCCCCTTTCGTGTGGAGGCCCAGGGTAAATGCGATCCTAGCGGCGGATCCGACATAGATGTATGCGGTGTTGCCAAACATTGAGCTCGAAAGCGCCAGAGCCTAGCAGGGATATATCGTATTAGACGCCAGGAAATCAACGTAGAATGGGTAATAAACTTACTAAAAGACATAATGCCCTGAGACTGTCAATGTCGCCGCTATCGCACAGCGCCGGCACCAAGGCCTTTGACAAAGCAAGATATCGAAGAGACGGCCTCATATCGAGACCTGGACTCTCCTTTTGCATTTGAGTCTCACACGTCATGGCAAATATTGCGTACAGGGCACAAAGTGTCGCCGGAGTAGCCGCCGCGGAATCTCCGGCATATATCCGATCGAGTCGAGCATGCAGCTGCTCGGCCGAAAAGAACCAGTAGACGGACTGGATCTCTCGGAAGAATCGGGCTATGCAGCCGTCGCAAAGGTCTCGCCGAGGCAGGTTTATTTGTCTGGGCGGTTTTAAGCGATGGGTTGTTTCAGGTGTGAGGGGAGGGCAGGCCTCGGCGGCGCTGAGAGGAGCCAAAACTTCACTCTTGGGAGAGGAAGCACTGAGGCGGGGCCGTTTTAAAGATCGCACGGCGTCGAGGAAGAGATATGTTGAGTTTGCGCCGACATGTCCTAGAGATGTTATTAACGATTTGGGCCTTCATTTTGTGAGTATGGTAAAATTCCATGGGCGACCACATACTGTAGACTCCGTTTGAGTCGATGCGTAGCCACCCGAGCTCCTTGTGGAGCTCTTCAATCTCATCCACTACAATATCCGGCCCGTCTTTCGGCGTTCCTACTGGCTGAAGATAGCTGGGCGAGTTTCCATTCACCGAAACCACGACTGTGTCGTTCGTCGGCGATGCTTGCGAATTATTGGAGCTGGTGGAAGTCAAGGACTCGGCGAGGGCCTTGAGCGTGTGCAGGTTGAACTCGGTATTGGGGACGAAGTGCTCCAGGATCCGCATCATGTAACGGAATTCTTCCTCTGAGACGCGATAATATGGACGCTGTCTCCTTCGCGACGCGTCGAGATGACAGGGGGCGCCGATGCTGGCGCAGAAATGGCATGGTCCGGGAACTATGATGGTCAGTATACTCCCAAGATTTTAGTCCTCTTCAATTAGAACATACTAGGATCGACACACTGAATCTGTTAGTAAAAGAGAAAGCAAATTGTTGCCATAACGATGGAAGCTATTGCCAGTTTTGTTGGTTATTTCCTCACCTTGGTCTTTCTGCTCTTGCAGCGGTCGCAGCTCATAGCTGTCCGCCGCCTCGCTGGCCGGTCGGAACCATTCTGGGCCGGCTTGGGTGACACCGATGGCATCGTCATTGTGAATTACTTCTCAATTATATGATCAAGATAGGATCCAGCCCAAATGCAGTCGATCGTTTTGGCGATTTTGTTATGGTTAAATGCCGTCTCGGAAGATTTCCAGCGCCGGTGGAGAGTGGATATTCAGATCCAGAGAAGTCATGCCGAGTGGAGGGCACCCGGATCTGGGGATAAAATCTGGGGAACTCTGGGGAAGCTGGGGAAAATGGAGACGAGTCAATTGGCGGACGTTTGCATGGGCAAGCTGCGCCGCACATGGCTAGCTCGGTCAATAGCTCCAGAGCTTATGGTGTGGTGCGCGTGGGCTCCATTGCCCTGCCCTGCCCTGCCCTGGGATCTTGCGCATCTTGATTGATCATCAAAGCCCTTGTCTCCATGGATTCGTAAGGATCATGGCAGCTCACCGATTCTCTGTCTCCCGGTTGGATGGGCTCGCTGGAGATAGCTCGGAGTCCCCACAGCGCCTACCGGATTGGGTGCTGTGCAGGCTTTCATGTGATTCCCTCGACCAAGTTCCTGGGAAAGCGCGAAGAGGCGAGCACCTCCACTCGAGCTCAGTTCGTAACTGCCGGGGAAGGACCAAGAGGTGCGAAGTGGGGACCCAGTGGGGACCTGGTGGGGACCTGGTGGACCCTGGGTTTTGCCGTGCGGGGAAGGAACGGGGGTAAGTCGGGGCCAGCGGGTGCCATCGCCAAGTGGTAGAAGTACCGCTGGCTTTGTTATCTGCCAGGATCCGGGTTCGTTCCGGGTAGTGATACTGAGGTACAGTGCAGAAGATTGATGGACGGTCTCGGCAAGGGCATTAAACGATGCCATTCCGGAGTCTTGATCTGTTGCCGGCAACCCCGCAGATTAAACCCGGAGTCTACCTGTAGAAAAGCCCTGCTGTTACTTCGTACTTCGTGCTCCATCGTCAACATTGGTCCCCTCAGTTCAGTGCCTGTTGTCTATTCGACCAACTGACCCTCTCAAGTATCGTGTCTCGTTTTTTTTTTCTACACTCCGCTGAGATCTCGTAAATCTTACGAAATCACTTTTAAGTCCGACTGCATTTCTGCTTCTGGCCTAGCGAATCGAGACTTTCCAAGAATCTCTTACCCACACTCTCTCGCTGCACAGGTAGCCATGACTCAGTTCCAGCCTCGCATGCTGATCAACGGCCAGGTAAGACATCCCCCCAACTTACATCCACACCCTCGAACTGAAGACAAGGGAGTGATTGGTGCCCAGAGTGGAACTTCCCCCCAAGCCAATTGCTGTGGCTGGAAACTAACCACTCGCTCCTTCCAGTTGGTCGAAGCCTCTGACAAAGCCACTTTTCCCCTTTTCAATCCTGCGACACGCGAGAAGGTGGCCGATGGTACGTAGTGACTTCGATTATCGCTCCTTTCCCCACCGGACTGAATTATCGCGAGTTTTTTTTCGTCGTCCTTTTCGTTGGGCCTCAGTTGTTTCTCCTCTCTCGGATAATGTCGCCTCCGCAGCCTCTAGCCATCCCAAACCCTTCAGCATTCATTCTCTCCCAATTAGCCCCGCTTCCACCGGAATAATTCCCCCAAACTAACCTCACCTCCCTACCACCTTGCCTCACAGTCCCGGAAGCCACCGAAGACGACGTCAACGCCGCCGTCGCCGCCGCAAAGGCCGCCTTCCCAGCATGGTCCGCTCTCGACCCCGCCAAGCGTGGCTCCTACCTCAAGAAGCTCGCCGCCCTCATCCGTCAACACAACGATGAGCTGGCCCACCTCGAGGCGAGCTCCATGGGCCGCCCCGTGACGGAGTACATTGACGGGTTCGCTGCCGCGGGCCACTACGACCACTACTCCGAGGCGTGGGCGCAGATCCAGGGCCAGGCGAGCTTGAACACTCCGGGTTACGTGAACATGACGCTGAGGCAGCCGTACGGTGTCGTCGGTGCCATCATCCCATGGAACGTGCCGCTTGTTTTCTTTGCTGGGAAATCGGCGCCTGCGTTGATTACGGGGAATACTGTGGTTCTTAAGTCGAGTGAGAAGGCGCCCCTCGCGTCGGCCAAGCTTGCCGAGCTCATTCACGAGGCTGGGTTTCCCCCGGGCGTCTTCAACGTCATCTCGGGTCATGGGCTTCCCTCGGGTGCAGCGCTATCGGCGCACATGGACGTCCGCGTACTCACCTTTACCGGCTCTGGCCGTACCGGTCGCCTGATCCAAGAGGTCGCCGCGAAGACGAACCTGAAGAAGGTCATCCTCGAGCTCGGCGGTAAGTCGCCCGCCATCATCTTCGACGACGCAAACCTCGATAGGGCCGTCGCCGAGACGATGCATTCCATCCAGTGGAACAGCGGCCAAGTCTGCATGGCCAACTCGCGCATCTACGTGCAGGAGAACATTGCTTCGCAGTTTGTTGAGGTCTTCAAGCAGAAGTTTTCCGCCGTCAAGGCTGGCAACCCTATCGAGAAGGATGTCAAACATGGGCCTCAGGCCGATGAGATTCAGTACAAGAACGTGCTGAGCTTCATTGAGGAGGGCAAGAAGTCCGGGTCGCTTGCGCTTGGCGGTAAGGGGAACCTCGAGTCGACGGGTGGTTTCTTCGTTGAGCCTACCGTGTTCCTCGAGACGCCGGAGGATGCGCGCATCATGAAGGAGGAGGTCTTTGGTCCTGTCGTCAATATTAACACTTTTAAGACGGAAGAGGAAGCTATCAAGAAGGCCAACGACACCCATTACGGGTTGTATGCTTCCGTTTACACCAAGAACATCGACAGGGCTCTCAGGGTGGCCAAGGCTCTCGAGTCTGGCTACGTCGGCGTCAACTCTACCAGTCCTGCGACCGGGCGAGATCTGCCGTTCGGAGGGTACAAGATGTCGGGTCAAGGAAGAGAGGGGTGGCTCCATAGCATGGACAACTTCCTTGAGACCAAGAGTGTTATGATCAGGATTGAGGATGCGTAAATGTGTGGGAAGGATTTTGGTTTGATTGCTTCTGCAGCGTAGATACGCTAGTCAAATTTATAATTTTTTTGTCATGCATGCTCCAAATCGGCAGTTTGTTTTCCAGTCTCCAAGTCCCCAACAACACCCATACGCCCTGCAGGTGCCTTGTCTGACCAATCTTCCTCTTGGCTTCAGAGAGTTGGGGTAATGGGCTACGTCCCTGGAGATTTATAATTTTATTTCGATTGAAAAGCAGGAAGTTGAGTGAGAGTTTTTGTAGTCTATCATCTTGTACTGAAATGGAAGTGTTGGTGTCGTGCACGATGAAGACGAGAAATTCGGTTTAAAAAGCGAAAAATCAAAGCGTGATATTCATAAGTCTAGATAGATGCAGTCCCTGCGCTATTCTAATTTATAAACGACTCTTAAAAGCAAACCCTAATAATGACAAAAGTACAAATCCCAGAGAAAGAAGACGTTAGCCTCTCTACGCAACCACGGCGGGCGACGCGTTGGCAGTCATACCCAGCGGCGTCTCGGCCTTCGGCGCGGGCCCCTCGGTCTGCGCCTTGAAGGCGTCGGCGAAATTATCCTCGGCGTACTTCTCAGCGTCGAAGCCGTGAATCCAGTCCTCACGGGGGAAGGCAATGCTGGATGGATTCTCCCTGACCTTGGCCCAGTCGGTCTTGTGCCAGAGGTCGCGGGTGGTTTCGCCTGTCTTTTGGACCTTGCGGACACGTTCGTACCTGGAGGAGTGAGGCATAATTAGCATCTTCTTTCTTTAGGGCAAATCGGGATTTTTTTTCTCCTCGACTCACCTGAGATCCTGGTAGGTCCTGACAGCAGCCTGCACCTTCCCCCTACCAGCCCTCTTCAAGCAGACAGCCATAGTAACGCCATCCTCCATCGACTGCGTCGCCCCCTGCGCACTAGTAGGCAAGAACGGATGGGCCGAATCACCGAGCAGCGCAATGCGCGCGTGCTTGCTAATCCAAGTAGGGAGGGGATCTCTGTACACAAGCTTCCAGTCGACGAGCGCCGTCGGGGGCGTCTTCTCGATGATGGCCGTGCAGAGCGGGTCCCACTCCTTGAGGACCTCCTTGACCTCCTCTAGCTTACCCGGGAAAGACCACGACTCGTCAATGTCGTGTTCGTCCTTGTGGGTGAGGACCCAGGAACAGTTCTTGCCGCCCTTGATGGTGGAGAAGAGGAAGTGCACGTCTTGGCCGATCCAGCCGTTAAAGGTGTCGCCGTGCTCGCAGAATTCTTTGGTGCGGGGATCCTTGGCCATTTCGGTGGCGGGGAACCTATCAAGACATGCCTTAGCATGGATGTTCGTTGAGAAGAGATTGGAATTGAAGCATGGGAATGTCAAATTGATCCACGCTTGAGGTCCGTCCTGATCTACTCACCAAGCACGCCACACAGCGTAGCCGCTGCTCTTGGGCTTATCAAAGTATCCGAGGACGAGCTCTCTGGCCTTGGAGCGCACACCGTCGGCTCCGATGACGACGTCGGCAGTCACCTAGAGGGGAGGAAAGAAAAGCAAGGTTAGCATAAATCAGCTTTCAATCGGCCCATTCTGTCTCGTCAATTGACTCACCCTCTTTCCGTTCTTCAGAACAATACCAGCCTGGCTCTCATCCTCAAAATACTCCGTAACAGGACTGTCCAAATGAATCGGAATCTTCAAATCATCCCTCGCATAATCAAAAATAACTTTATGCAACTCCCCACGATGCCCATGCATAGGCGGCGCATCAGGCGTATCTGGAGCGCTCGGTTGATGGTACACGACCTCGCCCGTGTCGTACTTGTGGATGCGGAAACCGTAGTCCTTGAGGTTGATGCACAGCGGCTTGAGGCGGCTGACAACCTCACCCTGGCCCCAGCGGTAGAAGATGCGGCCGGCGTTGGCGCCGAAGGAGATGATGTCGCCGAGGACCTTGAGCTGCGGGAAGTTTTCGTAGATTTCGACGTCGTGGCCCTGGCGTTGGCATTCGATGGCTGCGGTGAGACCGCCGAAGCCGGCGCCGACGACGATGACTTTGATGCCAGTCTTGGTTGCGGACATGTTGGAGAGGGCGGGCTTAACAAGAGGTAGAATCGGATTGACACGGCTTGCGGCAGAGGTTATGGGAGAGATGATGGGTGGAGAGAGAGTAGGGATATGGAGAAGAGAGGGGGGATAGGATGGGATGGATAAAGAGACGATGTTAGGGAATCAAAGCTTCCGCGGAGAGAAGAATTGCCAATCAAATACTCTCTGTCCGCACACGATCATCACACAGCGTTCCTGGTTGCCGGAGTCTGCAGCAATGCCATCATCCCACTCTCCCCGCTTCTCCCCTCACGGCTCTTGATGCCGAGCCCCCCCATTCTATCTTTATGGCTCTCTCTTCAGCGCCTCTGCTCACTTTCAAGCACCCCACCATTTTATCATTGCCATCCTTTGGTTCTCCTTGGCATTGACTAGCCCGGGCCTGTTGTGTAAATTGCCTGCCCGATTTTGCTAGTCTAGACTCTACCCCAACTTCCCCACACCCCGCCTCCATCGGATTCATGGTTCCTACGGCACACCGGCCAAGAGAACCCCGGAATCTATCTTACTAGCTTGGTCTTCATTCTCACCGTGTTCCTGGGAATGAATTTTGCGTGGGGTCTCGGCGCGAACCCTTTTCGCCTCATAAGACTTCGTGCATTTGCCCACCTCCTTCATGACTTCATTTATGCGGGTGCAAGTAATAATAAGAGACCCTTGATCCTTCTGTTCCTGGTTCCGGGTAAAAAGGCATAGTACATTTTTATTATTATTATTTCCCCCTCTTTTGGCTGAATCTTTTTTTTTTTTTCTAAGTGTTGCCGTCGATAATTCACGATGACGTCCCACGCTGAGTTCAGTGCCACCACGGCGGCGACGGAAGTTGCTGGCGCGTTCAAGGCTCAAATCAAGGGCAGGAACGGTAAGGAATCCATCGCTTTCTTCAATTTTGTTTAGAGAAATAGAGATTGAAAGAAAAGAAATATTGACAAAGTATCTCGAACAGTCGTCGTCACCGGAGTGAGCCCCGGCGGCATCGGTGCAGCCACAGCAACCGCCATCGCCTCCCAACAACCCGCATCCCTCATCCTCGCCTCGCGCAACCAATCCAACCTCGCCAGCGTCGTCGCCGAGATCAAGGAGAAATTCCCCTCGATCTCCGTCAACACCGTCATCCTCGACCTCTCCTCCATCGACTCCATCAAGAGCGCCGCCGCCCAAATCACCTCCCTCGTCGACCACATCGACGTCCTCATCAACAATGCCGGCATCACTCTACAGAGTCGAAGCCCCGTAGTGACCCCCGGAGGCATCACGGTGGATTTGCAGCTCTTTACCAACCACGTTGGGACGTTCCTCTTCACCTCGCTGCTCCTGCCCAAGATCACCGCTGCTGCTTCGCGTGGTGGTGCAAGGGGAAGCGTGCGGGTCGTCAACGTGAGCAGTCTAGGACACCGTCTCTCGCCAATTCGTTTCAGCGATTACGCTTTCGAAAAGGACATGTATGAGGGTGTTCCCGAGTCGGAGCAACCTCCCAAGCCCCTCCCTGCGGGTTTCCTCCAGGTCAAGGGCGACTACCCTGGATTCCTGGGTTACGGCCAGAGCAAGACGGCGAACATCCTCCACGCGTTTGAGTTGACCAGGCGTCTCCAGGCAAAGGGAGATGACGTCTTCGCTCTGTCCGTCCACCCCGGGACCATTAACACAGGCCTCTCCCGCAGCTTGGACGATCAAGCTCGCGCGACGTTGGATGGCACCGCTCCCAGCGGCGTGTGGAAGACGCTGGATCAAGGTGCCGCAACGACTATGGTCGCTGCTTTTGATCCCAAGTTGTCTGAGGGTGACATCACCAGCGCACCTAAGTTTTTGTCGGACTGCCAGCTTGCGGACGAGAGGATGGCGCCGCATACCAGGGATCTTGATGCAGCTCGGAGGCTGTGGGCCGAGAGTGAGAAGATGCTTGGTATTCAGTGTTTGTAGTCGGGAAATGTGGCAGTCGCAGGAGTTAAGAGGTTAGACTAAAATCTTGGACGAAATTCAGGATGCATTTCGTTCAATTATGGGGGAGGCGCCGTGCTTATATTGACTGTTTTAAAGCATTACCTCTTATCTTACAATAGATTTCCAATACCCTTTGCCTGGCGGAACATACCCAGAAATCCCTTGATGAATGCTTTCTCAGTGGGACCTCATATTCCGGCCCACAGATTGCCTCAAGTTCCTGCATTACGGGAAGACTGTGCAGGGGTGAATAATCTAGGCTTCAACACGCCAAACCAAAACTAGGCATGAGGTGAGATGTCGTGGACGAAGAGATGGACCAGTGTTTCGGTAGTCACATCGGCGCGGAGGACGCAGTTTCCGCGGGTTGCTTCCCGAAGGCAACCGCAGCTACGGCTTTTATCAGTCCAATCAGCTGTTATTATAGGCACTATCTTTTCCCAACGGACTACCCCTCTATTCTATACTGATGCGTCTGTGGAGGGTATCTCTCTTAACGCCATCTCAGCCCTGGGTGGACTTCAATGTCAACCGCGTCACGCTCCCCGATTTCTGCCCAAGGATCAAGAGGCTATCGTGCAGCGCCGTGCAATTAGGCCGGTAACTCGGCGGGAGCCAGAGAACATTCTTCCCCGCCTGGGTCACCCACTCCCCCCGGACAAACAGCCGCTCAGCCCATCGCTTCCGGATCGCCTCTGGCAGGGGCAAGAGGTGGCCCCAGTCCATTGCGTAGTGTTTCCCGTCTTTTTTGAGAAATCTTGGGGGCGAGTCGTGCGCGGGTGGAAGAGGTGTGTCGAGGTCGACGTACAGTCCCTCGTGGAGTATATAGTCCAAGGTGCACTCAGCTCTCGAGATGGGCTCTATGGGGTCTGCTCTGGACTTGAACCATGTGATTCTGCGGTGTCTCCCATCAGCCCGCAGCAAATCTCCGTCTTTTGAAAACAACACGCTGATAGTATAGGCCCCGGGTGTGTCCAACTCCCATCTTCTGGTAGTCGGCGATAGGGAGTAGATGCAGGTATAAGTTCCGCGATATGCTGTCCACGCCAAATCCTTGCCATCGGCCGAGAAAGCAACGGAAAGAACAATCGGGCCGCCCCCGCTAGATCTTGGCTCGACCTTCTCTCTCACCTCACCCGTCTTGGCATTCCACGCTTTCACTTCGCCGTACATTGACCCTGAAGCAAATGTCTTGCCATCGGGTGAGAAGGCGAGGCAAGTGATGGGATCCCAGGTTGTCTGTTGGTTTGATCCGCTCCTCGGCATGCCCGTGTCCCAGAGCCGGATGGTCTGATCCTGGGAGCAAGTGGCCAATACTTGCCCATCGGGAGAGAAGGACGTGTAGTAGACGTCCCGGCCGTGGCAGTAGAATCCCAGGGATGTCGCCTTCCCCGTGATGGCATCCCAAATTTCCGTTGTGGCATCCCGAGCCACCGCCACAAGTTTGCTTGCTGGCGAGTAGTCAACCTTGAGCGGCCCGACGTCCCAATCACCCCATGTGTTATGGCATACGCCTGTACCAAGGTCCCAAACTGTCACTACGCCGAATATAGAAATCGCGACGAGTGTACCATCGTCGTCAAAACGGATGACAGGAAACGGTCCACACGCAAATGTGTGAAGCTGTGTCCTGCTGGATACGTCATAGACCTGCACCGCACCGTCTACACAGCCAAAGGCAAGGGTATCGGCATCAAAATTCAAGATGACGGTGTGAATCGAGGTCTTGGCAACCGTCACAACCTCAGAGACCCCAGAGGTGATGTCCCAGATGTGGACTGTCCCGTCCAGCAAGCCGGCCACGAGAGTGTTGCCATCCCAAGATAGGGCCAACGCCGAAAAAAGCCCGGTATTGTGGCCGCAAGAGCTAAGAAGCCGCCCAGTTTCACAATCCCGGATATGAACGGCGCCATCCGGGCCAGGGAACGCCAGCATCGTTCCTCTCCGAGAGATAGACAACGCGCCGTAGAAGCCTTTATAGCCTTCGAAGAGGTGCTTGCAGACACCGGTATGGGTGTCCCAAAGCCGCACCGTCTTATCCACCGACACGGACGCCAGGAGCCCCCCGTCGCCGGAGAAGACGGCGTAGGTCACGGTCTCCGTGTGGCCTTCGAGGACCTGGAGGCAAGAGTCCCATTCCTCCTCGACACCTGCAGCTTCCTGAAGCAGGGGAAGTCTCTGATCCCAAAACAATCCCCGGATGACGCTCTTGGCTGGGCTGAAGGCCAGGGCTCCTCCGTATATTTGCAAAGGGGCGCGCTCGATGATGGGGCGATTGGTTACGAGAAACCTGGCTGCATCGTACAAGAATTGGTCTAAACGCGCTCCACCACGCCTTGTTCCCTGACGACGTAGTGGCGGCGTCTCATCAGTAGGGTTCCTACCATATCGCGAAAATGAAAAAAAAAAAGAAAAGAAAAAAAGAAAGGAAAAAGAGGCACGCTTACCTCCAATTTTGTTAACAATCGCTTGATGGCAACAATGGCACTCGGTACCCGCTGCAGGAAGCTGAGGCACTCCACCCAGTGAAGAAAATGGCATGACAGGAACGACATGACGGGTCCGTCGTCAGAAAACAGCATCTGGCACAGCTTTTCCTCTTCCGACTTGTCGCATACGTGACCCGGACGGAAGATGCACAACCTGCAGGTAGAAGCCTCCTGCAGCGTCGCTAGCGCGTGGTCGACCCACAAAGAGCTGGCATATTTCAGAAGATGAACAGGCGAGGTGGACGGCATGACGGCATCTTGAATGGTCGCATCTGGAGTGAGCAGGTTATGCATATTAGCCTTGAGGCTGCGATCCATTAAGTCTAGCGCGCTCTGGACAATCTCCATGTGTGCTTCGGTGGGAGGACGTGGGAAAATGGCGTCATAGCACTCGTTGCTGTCGAGAAAGTCCTTGGCGGATTGGTGAATGAAATCCACGCTTCCATCTCGGACAGAGAGGAATGACCCGCAGCGGCTTATAATCGCGTAGACTTCATCCAGTGGCATGTCCAAAAGGCCGTGTACGAAGGATTGAATCTCGCTGACCTTCAGCGGACCGTACGAGATCACCATCAACCGTAGGATTGGCAGGCACACGTCGGCATCGTCAGTCTCACCGACATAGGCGAGCATCTGCGCGTACAGAGAGGCCAGGCCGGGAGGCAGCTTTCTCAATCTCTCCATGACCCTCGAAGATGACTGTTCGAGGTGGTGACAAGCGAGGGCCACCCATAGAAAAGTTCCTTGCGCGTTTTGACCCAGATACTCGCGTACTTGGCGCGCCGTCTTTTCGTTGTAACCCTTGAGGGCGGCGAGCCGACCCACCTTCCATTGGATGAAAGCCGTCACGGCGTCGGAGATGTGCTTGTCTTGCGCGTCCAGAGACAGGAGAAGCCTCTGGTCTCCCATCAGGGCCAGGCGCTCCTTGACTTCTAGGTTATTCCGACTTGAGACGATCCACTTTGTGCGCGGAAAAGAGGCCGATGTGGACACGATAAAGTCGAGAAGCCGGGGGAGGCCATCGCGGCACTCGTCAAGAGCGTCAATGACGATACGAACGCCATTCTTGAGAGCAGGGTGCTGGAGTACATGTCGAAACATCGATGTCAGGACGGAGAACGGGTGTGCTTGTCGCGAGAGGGTCTCAGATTCGTGCCAAAACTTGTCCCGAATCGGGGGGATGAGAAATGGGTGCTCTTTAAGTACGAGGTAGAGCAGACCCTGCAAAATCGTCGAGGCCTTGCTCCTCTCCAAGTCGGATGCTTGAAAATACGAGAAAATCACCGGCACGGCGCCCGGCCGCGCTCGCAGCGTATCCACGATTCCACATAGAAGCATCGTCTTTCCTTTTCCCGGGTCGCCGCGCACCCAAAGCAGCTGCGCAGACGGAGTGGTATCCCACCGCTTAAAGGCATCTTGTTCCAAAATCCAGGTGTAACAGTCTTCGAACAGGCCGCCGCGGGTACCTTCGATGCGCTCCTTGTCATAGATGGGATTTGTGACGTGGAAGAAGCTGAGAAAAGCGCGGTCTTTTTCACTCACGACACGTCTGCAACGTCATCACTAGGCTCAGCACAACCTCTAACAATAATAAACAAAAACAAATTGCATTTCACCGGGCTCGATCGGCAGATGCCAGGACTGTAGCTACCTAGATTTCGACTCCCACCTCCGCAGCGAAGCTAGCACTCTCACAAAGCCCGGGTCCTCGGCCGAGGCGAACTTGACCATGTTGGAGTGGGTGGCGTGGATGCTCTGGACATTGTAGGGCGGCAGGGTGGCCGACTCCTTGGAGACTACGACGCCGACGACGGGGAGACCCAGCTCCTCGAAAAAGCAAATGATTTCCAGCTCCCTCTGCTCCTCCCGCAGCTGGCGGACCATGGCTAGGAATCTCAGGTGCACGGACTCGAGCATCTGGTCATCGGTCTCGAGGATCTGAAGCAGGGACTTGTTGGTGGACTTGACGAGCCCCAGGGTGCTGGCCGGGATCTTGGCCCAGTCGGCGATCCACGAACCCTTGTGCGGTGTGCCCATAAAGACGACTCCCTTCACCGAACGGAACACGTCCTGCAGGTACACGTCGGGGTTGTCGCGGGACTGGAGAATGGCTTCCTTGCACACGAGACCGCCCATGCTGTGGACGACGAAGATCAGCGGGCGGGAAACGGCGTCGTTTGCCTCACGATCGTCGACCAGATCATTGAGCAGGTTCTTGGCGTGGTCGATAAGTCGATTCCGCGACGCAGGCGCCTTCTTGACTACGTAGGCGTCGTAGCCGTATGTGAGGAGACGCGCGGTGCCGAGCTTTTCGGCGAGCAGGAGCTGCGGCCACGGCGCCGACGCGCCGGGGGCCGTCCACGTGCTGTCGCGATTGCCGGTCAGGCCGTGGATGAAGCAGATATCGACGGTAGGGGCCTCCGGGCTCTTCCAGATTTTGAGGCCGACGGGGAAGGTCGCGACGGCGGCATCGTCGGCGCCCAACGCAGACTCCCCCGCAGTCGGTGTCGTCGTCGATGTCTCTTGGGGGGTTGGAGCGGCTTTGGACCTGCTAAATAAGCCCATGGCGACGGTGGCGTCGGAAGTATCGTGTACGATTGGGGATGCAGGCGGCCGGGTTATCACTGTTTGGGGATAAAGACGGCAACCTGAGAGGTTTTATTTGTTTTATTTTTGAGGATGAAGGAACGTGAAGGAGTGAAACACCGAACAGCTCGGCCAATGGCGACGGCAAGATTGCCGCCACCTCCTTTTTAGTGCCAGCAAGAACGCTTCGCTTTGGAGAGAACATTACGAGAAGCTGACAGGAGCAAATCGCACAAAGCATGACGACATGAGGGAAAAAGAAGAAAAAAAGAAAAGAAAAAAAAACCTTCACCTCGCTACATATATAAATATACTTACCAATTAAGTCTTATCCTTCCTCTTCTTCTTCTTAACTCTACTATTATTATTAATCTTATAGTTTATTTCTATAAATATTATAATAATATAATGTAATAGAATACTTAGAGGTGGCTGGTCGCGCCATGATTGAGAGGGTTCTTAAGTAGATGTAAGGGAGCAGTTCCAACATGTGGTGTTGGAACTGGTGGATCTTTTGGTCTATTGTGCTAATTGTCACTCCCTTGCAATTATCTTACATAGGGGCTATAAAAGAAAGTATAATAAGTCTATAAACCCTACCTAGATAAAGAAGGCATCCTAGAGCTGATTTACAATCTATAGCCCTGCCCCTTAACACCTTCCTATAATATCAATTAACTTCTTTATAGGCCACATAGTTCAATCTGACAGTTAGCGCGCCCTAGTCGTGAGGGCAGAATGGACTGGATTTCATGATAGTGTTGGACCACACACGACGTGTCCCGAATACGTATCTGCCTGGTGCTGAGTATATGAGATCGAAGCTGTTCGATGGAAGGTCTCTGTTAGCAGCCGTCCTGTCCCTCGCTGACACGGCTACATAGGTAGGTAGATACCTAGATAAGGACACGAGGCCTAAAGCCACTAGAATGAGCTATCATAAGTACATCTCCGACTGGCGGTCCAGCTGGGTGGTATTAGACACAAATGAGGCAGACATCAAGCCCTTACGATGTGGGATGGTGTTGATATGTGCATATGCACGTCGTTGAACAGAGAGTGACTAAGCCTTCGTTTTTAGAGAAACAGAGCTTCTCACTGCCCTCGCGATGTACGCAAATGGTGTCCCTGCACCCAATCCCATAGGTACAGACACAGGCTTGGGGCGCTGCAACCACCCCTATCAGATGAACATGCCTTGCTCGCTGCCCAACCTCCCAGGGAAGAGGCAAAAATGACAACAAGAGACCCAAAAACGAAGTAACTTGAACCATCGGGCGAAGTTGACGCAGTATCACGCAGTCACTTCCACTGGGGTGAGGACCGCCGATAACCTGGAAGATCCTCAGTACCTACTACATTGCCTCGTAGCTACAGTACACAGGAGAACGTCTGCGTTTCTCCGTCGTGGGTCCGAGGCCTGAGAACAGTGCCCAGCATGGTTGCTGCCCAACCTTCCTACCATGGAACTTTGGAAGTAACATGAAGAAGAAACGAACAAAAGATCTCTCTCCGCCTGGCAGAATGTCAGTACATATGTCATTGAACTGTCGGCGTCAGCCATCGTGAAAGCAGAGGCCCTCTCTCCCCAGGCCTGCAAACACAACAAAAACTTTGCCATCACAAACCCAGCACCGTTACGAAAAAAAATGTCTCCTCACCCAGATCTACACTCAAAGGGCGCCCTCCAGTCTGGTGACCCCAAGCTCAGTGGTGGACGATACCACATCGAGTGCTTGAAGCCATGTGAGGTCGTGTCAGATGACGGCGAGGTTAGAACCAGGGATTGGCATGGCTTCCAGACCGGGGTACGTTTAAGCTTATTTTACTGTCACACTTTCTCCGTTTGGCACTGCAGGCTTCTTTTCATGCATATGGTGTGAAAACCACTTTGACTTCTGTCGAGATCAAACCTGCAGCAGAGCAGCCAGGCGACTGCTCCTTCCGCCACAGACACAGAATATCCACCCACTTGTTTTGCTTCCCGCAACATCCTAGCTGGGCTAACTTCTGTGACTCCCCGATAGCCGTTCTCAGAGGACCTCGTCAAGCGCATTCGTCGTCTCCAGCTGGTCACCAAATCCAAAAATCAACGCGTCGCAGACAAACCCCGCGAAGGGAACTGGTCTTGGTTTGAGCTTGGCATTGTCAGAGGCCAGCCCAGTACCACGGATGCCAAGGAGGCCCTTTGCTGGATGAGTCATGAGGATGCTTTCATGGCCGAGGAGTCTGAGTGGGTAGGCTGCACTCTTTCGCTCCTCTCGCAGACCGCACAGCTAACCACCATTTAATTCGCATAGAGGGAGGGAAAGGTCTTTAGTCAGGGTCATGCGTTGTTTGAATCGCTTCGGGTGGGTCTCTCTAGATGGGCCATCCCAGCCTGAGGGGAGTAAAATGGATTACTGATCAGTCTAAAGGGCGGTGACGCTATTCAAGTACGGCTTTGCACTCGCTTCGGGTGCTGGGGTATCTCGGCAAGCGAGGGCTACTTGGTCTTCGACATTGGGGAAGAAGGTGTCTCTCGCACTCCACCGGTGGCCCTCCCGCAGGCTGATGGAGGCGCCGGTTGCCATCTGTTGATCGCCGGGGCCGATGGAGTCTCGGGCTTGTTGACAGGATACGATCGGAGAATGAAGATCAGCTGCCTGCCATCAGTCGACATCAAGAACGGCTCAATCGAATACAGCCAGTCGTTGCTCATGAGAAGGGAGACTTCATACGCTGCCATCAAAAAGCAGCCGAACGGCCTCTCAGGCTTCCCTCCCAAGCGCTCGTTGGTTGTGCTCGACGCCAATAATCTGCCGTGGTCGGAACTCGACAACAAAATCGACAACAGAAGACGTTTATCATGGGATCAAACAGTCGAGGACTTTGTTAAGCTTGTGGAGAAACTCCAGCTCGATCACCACCTGCTCATCCGCTTTGGGCACGAGGGGGCAATTTACAGAGACCCCACCCACCCCCAAGACCTGGTTCTCATCTTTGAGCCACGGAGCGTTGAAGGCTGTTTTCTCAAAGAGACCTGCTCAGCCCAGGCAGGGCTGGATCAGGAGACGCTGAAGACGCTGGAGACGGCACTGGATACCGCGTTCATGGCTGGCCTGGCCGCCTCCCTGGCCAAGGAATCCCATAAGTCGATTGAAAATCTCTGCGAGACGCAAATCAAGCAAGCTGTGATCACCGGCCTCCAGTGGTGCCGACGGCCTGCCGCCCGAAACCGCCAGCCTTCTTGGGTCGATCTGATGTTGGAGACGGCTGACGATCCCGTATTCATCCCCGTGCGCTTGAGCAGGAGAGACCTAAAGCGTGGCTCGTCCTTGATCTTTCGGACTCTTCCCTATGACCCTCCCACCAAGGCTGCGACCGAGCTAGTGCTGAACGTCATCCCCAAAGGCCAGGAGGACTTGCTATCCTACGTGCCAACTGCAACCTTTGGAAATCTCGTCACCCCTGACAGGCGCGAAGTCGATGGATTCCGGACGATTGCCCGGAAGATTGAGGCCTATTCAAAAGATCAGAATCAAGGACAGCCATTCTCCATTGCCGTGTTTGGTAAACCTGGCTCGGGCAAATCGTTCGGAGTCAAGGAGGTCGTCCAGAGCATCGTTGGGAAGGACAAGATTCTCAAGCTTGAGTTCAATCTCTCGCAGTTCCAGAAAGACGAGGATCTGTGGTCCGCTTTTGCGGAGATTGAGGCTGTGCCAGAGGGCAAGTTGCCAGTCGCGTATTTCGACGAATTCGACGCCACTTGCAAGCAGCAGCCGCTCTACTGGGTGCAACACTTTAAACAACTCCTGGAAGCCGGCAAATGGGCTACCGAAACCGAAGCACCCAAGTCCCTGGAGAGGCGACGTGGCATCTATGTCTTCATTGGAGGCACGGCCGAGACTTTTGAAGAATTCCGACTCCAGCCCAGCCCGAGGGTCGAAGTTATCCAGCACCAGTGTCTTAATGAGGTTGTGACGCAGTATCCCCAAAGCTGTCATCATCTAAAGCCAGTGATTGGCTGCTACTCTACGCCAAATACCACCCTTCTCAGGACAGTGACCTTCTCATCTAACTCATCGGAAACCCACCAGGAGCTGATGAAAGCCTTCCGCTGGGTGAGAGACACGCGGGAACCCAATCTCCCCATTGTCTTCTTCGAGAACTTTGGCGAAAGCCGAGATTCCGATCCTCTCGGATGGCTAAAATACTTCCTTTCTCCAATGCAGGACGGCCAATTCTTCGACTCCCAAGACAACACAACTTACGAACTAGGCCGCGCCATATTCGTCTTCATAGAGGGCAACATGGGCCACTTTGAAGGCTTCCTCGACAACCCAGACATGCCTGATATCTTCAGAAACGCCAAGGGCCCCGACTTTGTGAGCAGGCTGAGTGGGCAAGTTGCGAACTCCTTTAAAAACGAGAATGCAACAGCCGACGACCTGATTAAGGCACTCGCCGGCTATGCCAGAGGGAACTCATCCAAGCCTCTTTCTCTCGGTGTTTTCCGCACCGACGACACCTCCCGCAAGCGATTCACTAATCTGTTGGATGCACACATCAACGTTCAGGGGCCCAACAAGGTCGACGACGGTGACGAAATGTTTGTCATCCGCCGCGCCATTATGCTCCGGCACATGCTCAAAAAGCGGGGGCTCGAGGGGAAATTTGCCGCCGACAGCACCGTGCTGAACGCCTTGCTGCGAGTCCCGAAGCTGCGGCATGGGGCTCGTTCACTGGAAACCATCTTGGCCATGAGTGATGTTCCGGGCGAAGGGACTTTCTTCGAAACAAGGCACCTCCCACCGGATAGCCAGCTCAAGTTGCATGTGGATCTGAAGTCGTTTAAGGAGCACCTCACTGATCCCACAGTGAAGGGCACGGGGGCACGGGACCGAGGCGGCGGTGATGATGCGCGGAGGCGTCGTGCCGGGATCGAGTGGATTATTCTGAGGCGCGGAGGGGGCTACACCAAGGAAAGGCTGTACTAGGTTCAAGGCGCAACCACGATGACACTGGGGGGCTCAGGGCAGCACGGGTTGTTGAGGAGAAGTACGTAATACCTAAGTCTGGGTTGAGATTGGATTTCTGGGCCCGTAGCGGACATGGCAGAGCACGTTTTGGGAATAGGAGATAGATGCATATTTAGCCAACGTTTTGGACTCTCTAGAGGTCAATCTCGCTGAATCCGCCCGCGATGCAGGGTGACCATCCATAACCTGACAAGCGCTGCAGACAGGAGGCCTGTAGGCAAGACAGGCGTACTCGGTGATACTTGGTGGCAGCCTGATTTGGGAAGTCCTCATCTATCGTCATCCCACCATCTACCTTGGTCGTCTCCACGGGGTATGATTATCGGCTAGCCTGGTTCCCAACGTCGGTGCATCCATGAATCAGCCAACTAGCACCAAATGTCCCTTCGGAAAGGGCGATGCTCTGGAGGAAACTCCCAGCCTCCATCCCACCTAGTGTGTTTTGTCGAGTCACAGGCGTCGTGATCGCTGGTTGCCCCTCTTTGAGGGCTGCAGACTTGTCACGTGATGAAACGATCTCTCGCAGGGCGTTTGGTGTAGTCCATCGGCCGCTAAGATGCGCTGAAATTTCAGGGCATTCCGGTGCGACAAGCTTCGTTTTTAGTGTATACGGCCAACGCGTCTGGGGTCGCCCGGTCGATTAGCGCTATCGCCAGCCCGCTTTTCAGAGATATCATGTGCAGGGAAAAGGTTAATCGCATAGTGCTGCTGCAAGCGATGTCCATATGAGCGGCCAGGACGGAGTCTCCCAGTCACAGAGTAGTTTGATGCCGGAGAGAAAAGCCCCTGCTCGATGACGGAGCTGCGGCAAGCGATAGCTCCAGCTGGCCCCGCGTCGTTGTGCACAGTTTGTCTTCACGGCCACCCTAAATCGCTGCATAGCGACGGCGAGATTGCCGCCACCTCCTCTTTTTAGTGCCAGCAAGAACGCTGCGCCTCGGAGAGAACATTACGAGAAGCTGACAGGAGCAAATCACACAAACCATGGCGACATATTGAGGAGAAAAGGGGGGGGGGGGGGGGGGGGGGGAGGAGAAGTGGGAAAAGGAGGGAAAAAAAAGGAAAAAAAGAAGAGAAAAAACCTTCACCTCGCCACATATATAAGCATGCTTGCCGATCAAGTCTCGTCCTTCCTCTTCTTCTTCTTAACGTCGCCATCATTATCAATGCTGCAGTCCATCTCCATGAACGTCGCGGCGATGCAAGTGTAGGCGACACTGTTAGCGTTCTCGAGTTCGGCCAGCAGTTCCATTCGAGAAATATTTTCCGAGCGCTACGATTATATATTTGCGCCGTTCGCGTCGTCATCTAATAGCGGATAGCCCGGAGCTAGCTGACGGTACTCGTGTGGTGCCATGCACATCATCCCAGCCATGTGTTGAGGGGCTCAGTTCGAATCGCGCTATCGAGAATCTGGTGCGAGATGTGTTCATCGTCGGGTTAGCGTATTCTTCAATTTAGACTCGGGTACCAAGCCTTGGACGAACCCCCTGGACTACGATTCCCGAAAAGAGTTTGAAGGTGTCAATGTTTAGCAGCTTGAAGAAGTTGCTTCCCTTTCTCGCTGCAAGGTTCTCGCTGCAAGGTTCTCGGCCTGGATCTCCCCAATGGTCAAGTGCTTGACCTTGGGTCCCACCAGCGCTTGGGGGCAAATGGTAATGGTCACGATGGAGCCGCGGTCTCAGTCCGGGGTTGGGATCGGGAGGTTGGAATACGTCTGCGCCCGTGTTGCTGCGCCGGGTTCCCGGCAGCCAGAAATCTGCCGATCAAGGATTGTCCGGCCGGAGACATCAACCCGCTGGTCGAAGATGAGGTCATGCCCAGGGTCAATCCAGGCCTTCCTAGAGCTGATCCGCAACCTACAGCCCTGCCTCCTAACACCCTCCCGCGATACCTACTAACTTATTTACGGGTATGCTGCCCTAGAGACATTGTGCTGGCATGTCGATGATCTGGCTAGCACTATAATGGCGAGCTATCTTTTCCCTCTAGCCATCAATTCCTTAAAACTCTCGCTGGCATAAGCCTCTATGGCTACTATTATACTTAAGCGTCTCCCTTCTCACCAGAGCTTTTATACACGATGCGCACTGTTTAAATTTGCTGATAGGACTGCTCCTCAAATACGCTTCACTGACAAGCCCCAATTGGTGGCGCACACCAGCTAAGCTTGGCGTGAATTCGACCAGCATATCTCCACACAAATCTTCACAGGGACCTCATATAACGTGATCATCATCGAAAGCACCATCTTGAGATGGGAAACTGCTCTTTCAAGTCCGTTCGTTTTCCTAACGACTATCTATACTGAATCAATCTTGGCCCGGGGCGATCTGGTAAATACTGCCGACATTTCCTTCAGTATCCTCGAAATATCTGTAAAGTCCAAATTTACCCTCTGGCTGAGTGTCTGAGAGCAATTTCCCTCCAGCAGAAGTGATCGCCTCGCTTGTCTTATCGATATCCTCGACGAACCAGTGCATACAAGTACCACCGTGACCAGTTTTCAATACGCCTGCACTGTCAGGAACGAGGACGATTCCTCCACTGAGACTGATGTCCGGGCTGAAATCAAAACTCCGGACCGTAGCGCCGTCCGATGCGTCTTCACGGGGGGGCTTAAAGTACCAGCTAAAGACAGCCGAGTAAAATTTATGAGCTATAAGAGTGTGTCAACATCAGTACGGCCCGAGTCGCCGTGGACTCTTACCTCGAGATACGTCTGTTGCTGATATGCTCACCCAGCAAGGGTGCCCGAACTTTGGCGGCTTCCACTCTGCTGTCATGGTTTGTATGTCCGTATTTCCGAAATTCGTGGTGACTGGTAGGCGTTTACCGGAAGGAATTAGCACTAGCTGACACGCAGTTTTGGTTGATTTATATACCTCAGGATGTGCACGCCACGTTCTGGGGTCATGTGAAAAAGTTCCTCCGTCTTACACTTCCTCTTGGATTGCCAGTGTACATCTCTGCCGCATAGGTAAGACCTTACTTGGCAAAGTACACGTATATCGTTGCAGGCACGACCCGATAATCCCAAGCGTCTTTCCAATCGCTACCATAATACGGCATTCGGCGGCGAAGATCAATGACAATGCCCCAGAATAGATGGATTCTCCACCATTGGTCGTTGTTCGTAGCTGTCCCAGAATCTCGAAAATATGTCATGCAGGGGAGGGAGGTTCGATCCGATCCAAAAGTCCTAACCTCAGGGGTTGAGGTCGGTTGATTTACCTCGGTACACGTCCGAAAAGCGCGCCAGGTGCGACCAGCCAAGACCGCCAAGGCTCTTATATTCAGCACAGCCGCACTAGCTACTTAATAAAGATGAGCTCCTCACCGGGAACTGGCATTCTTCGTTTTCCTATCAAACTTACCTACACCCCACTAAGCGTCCTCATTTCGAGCAGACATGCGCGTCACAACATTCCGATGGATCCTCCTAATTGCATTCCTCCTCGTTGGCCAAACAACTCTCGCACGAAACTGGGCAGAAGGTCTTGGTAACGCAAATCTCTTTTCCCTCGGGTCTCTAGTAACAATACTAACCAGCTCGTAGCGCTCGCGTCTCGTCAACCCGGATCGTCAATATTCCCCCGACGGGGAGGACGGGGCGGTGGAGGTACAAACAGCGGGGGTAGTGACGAGGGCAACAATGACGACGACGACGATGACTGGTGTATTGGCTCAAGCACAGCGGGAGACTGCCTCGCAAATGAGAAGTTTTGCCTAAACAGCTGCATCCCGACCAACTCCACTTGCTGCGACGAAGGCACCTCCAGGCTTGGGATGTTTTGTCTACCGGATTATCGATGCGCGCTGGCTTCGTCCGTTGCTTCCGAATCTAACATGAGGTGCTGTCCTGCGGACAGCGAGACTTGTGATGGTAACTCGGACATGGCTCTCTATCCGTTTTATGGACAATCTAGAGGTATTTCTTCTTGCACATCTCCGGCAAGCCGTGGTCTAGCTGTGCATATGGGGCCATTGTCGCTGTTTCTGTGTGCTTGTAGTATACCATATATCTTAGGTTCTTATTGAGGTAGGGTTAGGGTACTCTAACTTATAGGAAGAGCTCATAGTAAAAGAAGGTCCTAGGACGGCTGATAGCCTAGCTACCCAGCGCGAAGTTTTGTTCGAGTCTTTAGTGATTTTGAAAACCTGAAGTAAAAACTTCGTCACGGGGGGGCCGCTCAACAGAAAAAATAAAAATGCGAGAAGCAAACCGAAGATCCCGGATCGTGAGAAAACGTGAAGCTTGTATATCTACCACAATGGTTATTTCGGCTGCCAATTCCTCGGTTCAGTTATTTCTCAGTTCGGGTCTACCTGTCTGACCGGGAGGAAGTGGCATCTCTTCATCGGCTACACCAGACGGGAATTCTAGTACAGGGAGGCGGCCAGACACTCGAGTGAAAAGATCCGCGAGTGTAAGGATCGATAATCCCAGCAAAGGTCAATCTCTTCCTATTTGGTCCTCAAGGAAACCCAGGCTTTGCTCTAGCAAGTGCGCATCATCCTGGCGCCTTAGGACCATCTTTGTCGATACGCACAAGTCCGGCGCATATTATGCTTCGGCACCAACAGTTGGATATAAACCTCGAATGCAGCAGTCGCGTCGGCACTGATATCATTCCTTTTCGCCCAGCTACCAGCATAGTTGGGATATTGTTCCTATTCTACCTAGACTAGACCATTTTCCCAAGACCTGCACTTTGCTAATAATCGCGATGGATATCATAGGCGCGTAGCCTGCGTTGATCGGTGATTGTTGAGGTAACGTTTTGGAGGTGTCGTCGCTGGTATTAGTGTATGGTTACCGCTCCACAAGCTTGTTTGTCACTGGAAACGATCCGCGTACTCAATGAAAGATTTTGCACAGAATAAATTTCTAAAAAAAAGAAGAAAAAAATTTGTTCGGCAAAAGTAAGGAACAAAGATGTCCAAGCCAAAGCCCC